ATAATTGGGAAATATGATATTTATATATAAAACAAAATTGTTAGATATACTTTATATAATCAGTTCAAGATTCTTAATTTATCTTCGAAACTATGAAAATTTATTGTATAGGATTTTGTAATTAAACTACTTTTTTCTAAAGAATTAGTTATGAAAAAGGAATATAATATTATTCTAATAATAATAGATAGATTAATCAAATATATTTATATAATATTATTTTATGAAATATGATCTATCGATAATTTGATATATATATTTTTAAGGAATATAATTAGTATATATGGTATACCAGAAAAGATAATTTCGGATCGAAATAAATTATTTATTTCGAAATTTTGAATTATATTAATAATATTATTGGATATAAAAAGGAAGTTATTGATAGCTTTCTATTTATAAATAGATAAATAAACAAAGTGATTAAACCAGATAATGGAAGCTTACTTATAATATTATATTAATTACAAATAAAACAATTAGATTGAATTATTATCCTTGATTCAATTTGTATATAATTTATCAGAAACAGAAATAACGAAAATTATATCAACTTATACTAACTTCGGATTCTATCTAATAGTATATTGAACAATATTATTACAAAATGAAAATATAAATGAAATTATAAAGAATATTGAAAAGATCAAGGATTTACAAAAACAATTCTTTTTGGATTTATAATTTATAGTTTTAAGAACAATAATATATTACAATGTATTATATAATCTAGGATTTATATTTAAAAAAGAAAATAAAGTTTATTTTCTTCAAAGAAATATATAAACAAAACGATTTAATGATAAACTAAATTATAAGAAATTAAAACTATTCAAAATCGATAAAATAATTAAATCAATCAATTATAAATTAAAGTTATTATATATTATAAATATTTATTCAATATTTTATATCTTTTTACTTGAATCGATATTATCAGAAGTGTTCGATATATTTATAATAGAAATCGAATTAATCAATCCAAATACTATATATAATATCGAAACAATACTAGATTATAAATATATCAAAAACAAAATCAAGTATTTGATTAAATAACTAGATTTCCTATATTCAGAGAATACTTAGAAGTTAAAAAAAGATCTTAATTATCCTGGAAAGTTGAAGATATTTTATCAATATTATTCAAATCTTCCTAAAAAGAATCCGAAAAACTTAAAAAAAAAGAAAAATTGTAATTATCAAACAAATTTGTATTAATTTTAATAGATATCGATAAATTAGAACTCGATTATTCTTTTTTCTGTTTTATATACTTTTTATTCAATCTTTCTTTCTTTTTTATTTTATTTAATTCATTTATCGTTTTCAAATTATAACGAATTATCTTAGAAACTTGTTTACAAAAGAAATATTGTTATTTATCAAAGTAAAACAATTTTAATAAAGTTTCTTTATATTTACGATTTAAACATTTTTGTTTTTATATAATATCTATTATATCCTTAACAAAAAGGTTTGATATATTATATTGTTAATTCTGATAAATATATTCATTATAATAATTGAAATTCTTCTTAACAATAATACAACAATACAAATGTTTTTTATAATAAATATACAAAGGTATCTCGAATCTTTCAGATTCAATTATTAAAACAAATTCGATTTGTTCTTTATATTTTCTTAATTTTGTAAATAGTATAATAAAGAAAAGAAAAAGATTTATTTTATAAAAACTTATAATATAATAAAAAAAGCGATTATAAAAGTTTGAGATAAGTATTAGATTAGAAAGAAGATAATATTATAAGATAATAATCAATTTGTTTATATAAGCTTAGACTTTATCAAAAAATAAAACAATTTGTATATAAATTTGTATAGTAATTGTTTTATATAGTTTCTTTATTTTCAGCAAGCTCGGATATATAATCTGATTCTAGAAGTTATATAATGGATCTTATATATATAAGAATACAAATTATAGGTTTATATGAATTGTAAGTTTATACAAATCATAAGTTTATATAAATCTATAGATTATAAAGATCTATATAAACCAGAGGGGTTTCCTGTATATAGAAGTTTTGTACTTAAGATTAATTATTTAATATATTCTATTATTAATTACGAATTGCAATTATTGATATTACTTTAAAACTCCTGCTTAACACCTAGTTATAAACCATTCGAGGATCCAGGCCACTTCCACATGATCTAGATCGCATCCCTCGTAACATATATATATACATTTGAATTCATATAGTATCAACTCCAAAACCATTATGAACCTTGTTTTACCTATAAGTGATATATTACAATATAATCTAATTCAGCTTTCTCTTCCAATTCCCTCCTCATAGTATGCTATCAGGACGTATATATCTCGACCTATTACTTTTACAATATATTTATAAATAAATAATAAAAAAAGATTTATTAAAAATCAAAAACAAATCAAAAAATTAATTGAATTTTAAACCAAAGATATAAAAGTATTAAAATAAATAATTGAAATAAAAAAATTCTAATTATAAAAATTTTAAAAGATAATATCTAAAATAATAAATAAAGAAATAAATAATTCAAATATCTTTTATAATATTGTAAATCGATTACAAATCAATATTTATAATATCTAAAAGATTAATTGATTAATAGATTTATATTTTTGTTTTATTTTATAATATTATTAAATCTAAATAAAAAATTGTTCTTTGATAATATTGTAATTTCTAAAATTGATTATTTTTGAAAATTGATAATGAATTGAACAAAAAAAGAAAATATAAAATATCTTTAAACTTTTATAACAATTTAAATTATTCTATTTATATATATCAAAGTTATATATTATAAAAAAATTGAAATTATAAGTTAAATATATAAAGATTTTTAATTAATCAATCATATAACTTTTTATAATTAAATATAAAAAAAAAACTTTTACTTTTTCTTTTTACAATAATCAATCTTTTATATATATACATTTGAAGCTATATAGTATTAATCTTAAAACTATTATAAATTTTGTTTTCTTCATAAGTAATATATTATAATATAATTTAATTCAACTTTCTCTTTCAATCCCCTTCTTATAATATATTATCAAGATATACATATCTTGATTTATTACTTTTATAATATTATCTTTTTGTAATTATATAATTTCGATTATAAAATTATTATTGTTATATCAATTTTGAAGGTTTACTTAATAATTTCTATTGATTTAATATAATCTATAATAAGTTTCTTATATTTGAAATATTAATATCAATAAATTAAGATTCTAAAAAGTAAAATTAATAAAAGTCTTAAAGAAAATTTAATAAAAATTTCTTATATCAATATATAAAAGATATTATATATTATAAAAGATTGAGATCTTTCAAAAGAAAATAAAAAAAGATATTTATAATTCAAAATCGATTGAATATTTATTAACGATGATGATTATAATAATATCAAAATCAATTAAATATAAATTATAAACAAAATAATAAAATTATACTTTATAAAAATAAAATAAGAAAGGATTTAATAAAAACTAAATATATATCAAAAATCTAATTGAAAACTTTAATAGAAAATTTAAATAATAAAATAAACAATTAAATAATAAAGATCTTCATTTGTAATTTTCTCAAAATTAACAATATTTGAAATAATAGATAAAAAAATAATATAAAAAACATTGAAATAATAAAAAATATTAAAAATAATATTAAATTTATTATCAGTTTATCAACTTCATAATTTTATTATATACAAGATTTACCTGATAGATAATAGAAAATGAAAAACTTGTTTAAATAAATCACAATCCTGACAATCTGATTGATCTAAAATACCCCAGTAAATACCCCGGTAAATAATTTAACAAAAAACTTGATATAAGTCTTACAATTTTAAACAAATCTAATTTAAAGCTTTTTTTAATTCAACTTTATTGAAATCATTTAACTTTGAAATCATTCAATTCAATTGAATAAATAAAATTGAATCGAATTGAATGATTTTAAAATTGAATGAATAAAATTAAATTGAATGAGTTGAATGATTTTAATAGAAATTGAATAAATTAAATGATTTTAATTAAGTTGAATGATTTTAGTAGAGTTGAATGATTTTATTAAAGTTGAATTGAAAAAAGTTTTAAGTCAGATTTGTTTAAGATTGTAAGATTTATATTAAGCTTTTTGTTAGATTATTTACCGGGGTATTTACCGGGGTATTTTAGATCAATCAGATTATCAAGATTGCGATTTATTTAAACAAGTTTCTTATTTTTTATTATTTATTAAATAAACCTTATATATAACAAAGCTATAAAGTCGGTAAGCCGATAATAATATTTAATTTTATAATTAATATCTATTATAGTTTTATATTTCTTATTTCATTATCATTAAAATAACTCAGAAGAATATCTTTTGCTTGATTTGAAACAATCACTTTCTGCATTTTAAGATCATATCTACAACAGTCATCTTCCTCAACGATCAGAGACATGATATAATATTGATACAGTGTTGAGTTGATAAAGTGTTGAGTTTCGTTGCTCTGAGGGCTTGTTGTAGTTGCAAGTAATCTATGCAAAAGTTTAGGATTCTTATATGTTGAATTATTGTTGATTTTGACAGGTCCGATCCTAGGAGATTTTATATTTATATTATGTTGGCCGGGTACTGTAGATGGAAGTTACTAGTTTAAGCGTGTATTAGTGAACACCGTAAGACACAATACTACAGATTTACGCTGATTTGAATAGTGCTTAACTTACTTTGTCAAGTGTAGAGATTGAGCATTCAATCAATACTATCAAATTGTTATTCATATCTAATGATCTTGTGTTATTCACTTGTGCGCAGTACAAAACTAGGTGCAGTACCAAACTTACTTTTCAGTCCTTTGTGAATTGCTCAACTACACATCATGACAAACACTACTACTATCACTTTCTCAATCTGAAGATAAATGATTATTTATTTGGAAAATTGGGGTGACTAAATAGAGCCAAATGTAGGTTTGCTTTACTGCCCAAATCTACAATCTATCATACACATCTCACTAGAGAACAGAATGCGAAGTATATCACAGCCAATGAATTGTAACTACAAACCAATAGGCAGCTAATATCGCTTCATCTTTCCATACCTAATGATGCTCGACAATTTCCTTGCAGTGTGTTAATCTAACACAAGGAGAATGAGCCATATACAAATGACAAATATCTATTTCAATAATATATTTCCACGAAGCAATTTTGATTCCGTACAATAGATGGAAGACAAGGCCGACACAATAAAGCCATATGCATCAGTAACACGATTCACCATAAAACTCCTCTCTTCTGCTCCTATCTAGGTCCTAACTTTTCTAGTACTCTGGCGCCCTGCTCCTCCCATTCCTGCTTCGTGATCCACATATTCTCTTTATCAGCCATAATGTTTGCCAGCACTGCTCCTCCCAAGAAAACCATATGTCTCCTCCTAGGAGGATCTTCGATACGGACCTTGAACTTGTTTAACCGTTCAGGATCTCCGCCAAGAACCCTCGTCAACCATAATTGTTTTAATTCTTTCTCAAGTCGTGATGGTAGACCAGGATACATAGACGATCCACCGGACAGAACGATAGCTTTGAAGAGTGAGGATCGGACATCAACATCGGCAGCCTGAATGGTGTTGAAAAGAAATTCGGCGATACCGGGTTGCTCGACATCGACGAGATGAGGTTGAAAGAGGCACTCAGGAGCTTCGAAACGTTCACTACCAACGCGAATCACACGCCCGTCAGGTAAAGTATAACTCTCAACCAGGACAGTTGTATCCTCGCTCAATCGCTGATCCAATTCTAAATCGTACGACACATAGCAAAGCTTCTCCTTGATTTGTCGAACAGTTTCAAAATCCGCTGTTCTGTTCAAGGCATATCCGCGACGTAATAAGAGAGCAATTAAGTTCCGTGTGACATCTCGACCAGCGACGTCAAGACGACGAGTAAGATGATTGAGAACAACGGATTCGTAAACAGGTACAATATGCGTAACCCCATCTCCAGAGTCGACCACAACTCCTGAACTGAGACCTGTTGACAGTCAGTACGCTACTCATGGCACACTGCACAATCGAGAAAATAGATATACCTTGTGCATATAGAGCCAACACAGCTTGAATAGCCACGTAAACTCCCCCAAATTGATACCTTTCAAACATAACTTCGCACATCTGTTCTCTGTTCTTTAAGGGGTTCATCGGCGGTTCTGTCAAGAGGATCTTCCGGCCTGTTGGGTCAACCTTCATTTTCTCGTAAAACGTATAGTCCCAAAGATGCTGCATGTCATCCCATTTCTTCACGATACCATTTTCCATAGGATACGATACTTGAAGCATGGTTCTTGCTGCGGCAGCTTCATCACCACACATAATGTCCTTAATGACCATGCCATCGTCACCCTTTTCTTCGGAACGCAGAATTGGTCGGCCGACAATAGATGGATATTGAAACTCGGGAAAGTTCTTCAAGTACAAAAAAGTTAGTTCTGAAGCTACTAGATAGCTGCAATCATTAATAGGCCAAAATGCCACATACCTGAGCTGCGTATCCGACTTTCAGGAAACCAGTTCCTCCATCGAGAACTATGCGATTGACGTTAGTATTGACAGAACAAAGCTGATAAGTGATTGCGCTATACCTATTGGTGGTTCTGCCATAATTACAAGCTGTGGCAGTTCGAATTGTAGAATCTATGTACGAAATAGCTGAAGTTGTGGTGTATCGGTGGATGGGATTCTGACGACGCTGCGGTTGAGGTCGGAATGAATGGCCGTAACGAGGCTTAACCTTTAACCTTTGAGCTTTCCCCGCCTCGCCTCACAAGGCTGGTGCTGGTTGGTGGTGGGTGGGGGATGGTGATTGGAGAAAGCGCACTTGGAAGTGTGAACCTGATGAACATTTATCTTGTTTCTGCTTACTAGGTAGGTAGTTAAAGAACTCTCCTTGAATTCATTTGAAGTTGATTAATTTATTGATCAAAGTTAAAGGATAAGGTTACCTATCAACAGTTGTATCTAAGGTTATCATCCTAAATTTAACCTTACTTCTACAAACAAATTTCAAAGGAACTCCACTCTATTGCTGCAGCCATGGTTTCCAATAGACTTACGGACAAAAAGCTCCTCGTCATAAATCCGAATTCGTCCAAGTCTATGACTGAAGGGCTGCATACTCTACTATCTACAATAAATGATCCTTCTCACGTAAAAGTCTCTTTCTACACGGCCCCTCCTCCAAGTCCTCCATCCATCAATAGCGAAGAAGATGCCCTTCTCTCGACTAAAGTTGTTCTCTCGGACCTCACACCCACTCTTGATCAATACAATGCCTTCCTCGTAGCATGTTATAGTGTCCATCCCCTGGTTACAGAGCTGAAGAAAGTTGTGAAACCGAATGTACACGTGATGGGTATCTTTGAAGCGAGTGTCATGATGTCGTTGGGATTGCTGGCGCAGAGCAACGGAAAGAGACTAGGGATTGATGAAGGTGAGAAGGGAGGTTTTGGGATTGTCAGTACTGGTAAATACTGGGAGGAAGTCTTGGGGGAGGGTGTGGGAAACTTCTTGGGAGTTAGAAAGGGAGAGAACTGTGATCGATTTAGGGGAGTCGAGACTACAGGTCTCACAGCCGGCGAGCTTCATAGTGTTGATCCCGAGATTGTGAGAACCAAAATGAAGGAAGCGGTGAAAAGATTGGTTGGAGGAAGAGACTGTTCTGTTGTCTGTTTGGGGTGTGCGGGAATGGCTGGAATGGACGATATGGTCAGAGAAGCACTCATCGAAGAATTGGGATTAGAGGATGCTAAACAGGTGTATATTGTCGACGGTGTCAAATCCGCCGTAGTATACTTAGAGGGGAACCTGAGGGCAATGCCTAATGGAAGTGGTTGAAGTACATTGAATCCACCAAAAGTAGACATGATACCCTATTTCTAAAAAAAAAATCATTTTATCCAGCAGATTAACTTTCCACAGTGATTCTGCTTACTAGATCGCAAATCTTCGCGTTCTCACAGTACCATGAGACCACAATCAATCTACTATTCAGTACACCAGGCTTCAAAACACTTACATAATTCCGCTCCCTCGATTGCGCTGTTGTATTACAATCCGGATTGTACATCCATGACTCCGTATCTACCACTCGTACCTTGATTTTAACGCACTTGCGGGTGAAGAGCGACGAAACTCAAAAGGACAATTAACTTACGCTGATGGACCGACTAGGCTATCCGGCAAGACAATCTTACCCTGACTCTACAGCAGATCAAATACTAAGTGCTATATTTTTAAATCAGGTGAAGAAACAAGAGGAAATTGAGTGGAAAACGGGGCACCGAGAATACTTGTCGTTCCATGACGCAAAGTAGGCATCCCCTTGTGCAGAACTTTTGGGGCCGGCATTGTCCTAGGAGTTAGCAAATCCAGTTCGGTTACCAGTCAAGACAGGTCGACCATAGACACGGTAAATCGAATAATATCATATTCGTTCCTGTATCAATGCCCGTAAATTCAAGTATACCGTAAGTTCACGGCTCCAAATCCAGCTAACCATATCTCAGCGACTCCCAGACAAACCGTCGCCTCAAGCCTCACTTGCGGTATCTCTGAGCTTGGATCCGGTGGCCAGTACCAATAACTTTATAGCTGCAGACTTGGTTGTATAGTGGTCGTAAAAAGAGTGTAGTCAAATGACAGATCCCGGAGGTCCAGGAATAATCGGTCCAATCACCAATTTAAAAGTCCCGGCGTTCGAAGTTCATCCATCAAATATATCGGTGCATACAATGGTTATATCGATACACATCTTTTTCGAAAATTGTTTCGTCATATCGAGACCATTGTCACCATGCTGGGTTTACATCAATATCCTGCAAAATTGTATTCCATTTCCATGCCATATGTACACATCCATTCCGTTCCTGATCGCCTTGCTCTCATTTCAATTGCTTCTTGCACCACCTTTTGCCTCTCTCAATTCGTCCATCTTCGCGACCCTCTTCTTGAATTCTTCATATTGGCATTTTTCGTAGGAATGTCTTTCTTGCTGTTCGCAAAATCCCGAATGTCAGCCTTGTCCCCGATAGCTCAGTACTTTCAGTCTGTCTAGCAAACGAACCTCACACTTCCATGGAAGATAATACTCTTCCTGCCGACAACGATTGAGCGGAATCAATAGACCAGCACATCCATCACGATATGCAATAGGTAATCGGGCTTCGCTCATTTGTTCTCGAGTTGCGCCTAAGCCTAGTATTAGCTTCGTACCCAGGAAATGTAGTTTTGAAAGGAGGGGAGCATACTGGTAGATGGAGCACCAGAAAGTCCAACTGCAGACTTTACAGCTTCGACTACAGTCATGATTGCGTGTGTGATATGTGGTGAGAGGAGATCTAAATGTCCGGGGTATTGAGGGGGTTTGAGGTGAGTTAAGTCAACAGAACTGGCACTAATGATTTCCGCTTAGTAAGCCAACATTTTCCTATACTCAGTGTCTGATATTTACTTGACCCAGTTGGCCACCTGGTTCCATACGTCCTGAGAAGCTTCACGGTTCAGCAACTAAACATCCGAAGCCATGGTTAAATTGTTGTAGATGATGGCGGCTCTCCTTAGAGTTCATAACAATCACTCTAAGCTTCCAGGCTTTTAAATTTTTTATACTTTGCATGGGCTGTTGGTCAAAATGAAACTTCCCTTAGCTACAGATTCAAGGTCATAAACGGAAGCGGCCTTCAAAATGAGGAAGTTCTCATGGCTCAATGAAATCTAGCTTCGTATCTATTAGAGTGTGACTGCGAGCAATGCAACATCTTCACGAATTGTTTTATCTAGTCCATCTTACTTCAGATACGTCTTCTTTTTGATTGCAAGCACTCATCAAGTATACCAAGTTGGTTCCGGAATTTCTCCCAATAATGCCCACCTCCCAAGCTCCCTCTTCTTATAAGCAACAGGGTCATGAAGACTATGCGTTCTAATATCACGCCAGAAACGATCCAATCCGACATTTTTACTAGTTGCTCTTGCTCCAGTCATTTCAAATACCCCGCTTGTCACCTTCAACCCAACATCAGTTGCAACCACTTTCACAGCCGCAACAGCTTCAGCCAGCTCACCACGTTCCCGTGCAGAGACTGAGCGCTTTTCTTGATGTTCTGCATATACAGCCGCCACCTTTTCACCGGTTGAATCTGCTAGAGCTACAACCGCCGATAGATGTGCGTGGAAAGTGCCGTATCGCTCGAGAATGTACCACTCCTCTGTAGGACTATCCTTATTGTCTCCCCCAAAAGGCCACGCCCGCGTATATGTTGTCGTATACTTTGCCGCCGATTCGATAGCACCGAGAGAGATCCCGATGTAAAAGTTTGCGAAAACTAATTGAATGGTGGGAAGGAGTAGGGTAGCGAAGGGGACATTAAGGATTTCAGGAAGCGGTTCCTTCGTTTGGGCATCCCAACCTAATGCATCCGCCCATGGAACTCTAACATTTTCAATCTTCACGCTACCGGATTCCGTGAGTCTTAGACCAATGTTGTTCCAATTGTGCTGTTCATTTTGTCAGCTAAATTATGAAACTTGGTCTACCACCCTCATTTCACTCACGGCAAATTTAATACCTGGCTGTCTTGTTGGTACAGCGGCAAAGATATGTTTACCAGTTCCCTCAAGCACACCCTCGAGAATTGTCATGTCAGATACGACCCCACCAGTATTAAAATGTTTCTGGCCATTGAACACAATGTTATCACCATCAGATTTAATGCTCAAATCGGAATCTCTTGGATTGACGGCACCTAAATGGTATTTGGTCAGTCTGTCCGAAGCTTTGTTTCCAGGTCATAAATTGAATTACCTCCCATAAAAAAGTTATTCTCAATTATGTGCTTTTGCAATCGATCTTTTTGCTCATCTGTACCAACGATGTTCGCTGTCGTCGACCAAAGCAGGTGGTATCCAAGTAGCATACCCAAAGATCCGTCACCTTTAGCTACTTCCCTGATCGCTTTGTATGCGACATCCCAAGACTGGCCACCGCCACCATATTGCTTTGGACCCAATAATTTGAGTAATCCCGACGATTTCAACAATAATACTTCATCACCAGGCGATTTATTCTCAATATCTCTTTTAGCGGCGTCTTGACCAAAGATCTGAGAGATTTCCGATGCTCTTGAAAGCCATTCTTTTTCAGTCTGGGGTACTGGGGTGGATTGAAACTTTCGATGATGTTCTGAGTAGCTATCATTATCAGAGCTGGATGCAGTTGATGTGGCCATTGTGTCAAGTAATGTGGGATACACAAAAAAGCAGGGCGGAAGAAGGGAATTAGGAGTGGGGTTACTGCAGTGAAATACATTTCGGCTTCCAGTTGAAATGGACTAGACCAAACATGCACATATTGTGTAATTACGCATACACAAGTCAGATCTCGTGCTTTTTGCAACATGTGGACATTGCGTTACTTTTCCAGGATATGATTTACTGCAAGCACGCAAGTCATATTCCCCGCAATCAGCATAGTCACCGATGAGCACGCCATCAAGAGATTGAGATGTCGTGATATCTATTGATACAATCAAAGTTTATAGTAAGAAGAACAGCATAAAATTTCTCCACTTACTTGAACTTTATAAAAAACTTCAATTAGTAAATCCCCTACCCCACATTCCGACCACCCCCTCATTCCGATCACTTTTCATACCAAAAATCATAAAAATCAGCCTATATAACTTTCTTATTTGTAAATAAAATTAAATAAAAATTGAATCTTGGATTTATTATTTATATAATAATAAATTCTGAAAATTTCAAATTTTTCATAATTTAATTGATCAAGATATCAAAAGTTGAAATTTGATTTTTAAATTGTATATAAATAATATATAAATTTAAAATCTTGAAAATCTTGAATAACTTTTCAACAAAAATTATTAAAAATAAAATATAAATCTTTTTGGAATATTTAAATAAATATTATTCAGAAATTTCTTATTATAACAAAAAATAATTTATAATTAATGATTTGATTAAAAAATTTGATTTTATTAACAAAATATTTATATAAGAAATTATGAAATTTTTATTTTTATTTAATTATATTCATAAATAAAAATTTTAGTTTTTGGTGTAAAAGTGGTCGGAATGGGGGTGGTCGGAATGTGGGTACTTATGAGGCGATGGGAGCTATCATGTTACAACATTTGAAGCTGGATCAATCCACTCCAAACGATTAAATTTTTTTCCATATACATGGACACAATGAAATGTTTTCTATAGTCAATGACTATAGATTATTTCTCTGGAGATACTTCGCTTTTTTTTCGTTATGGTCCAATTCAAACTTAAGCCATGTGTTAAATGAGTGTTGAAGAGTATGACGGCGGCTTTTTCTTCACACTTCCCATTCAATCTTGAAACAATAGATCTTACTTATCATCATAGCAAGACTAAATCTGTCAAATCAGGATGAATCAGCTCGAACTTTACGGACACAAAGATTTTACGAAGGAAAGCATATCCAAGCTCCCCTCCTTCCCTTTCCCTGACCAAACGGAAAAAGGAAACTTTTCAATCTATAAAAAGAAAACAGAAGCATCATTACATATGATAAAGATAAAATAGAACATAAATCAATTAGAAAAGAAAGAGAAAAAAATTTATTTAAAAAATGATTTATATAATTGATTCGTTCTTCTCTTCAACGGGAAAAGAAATTGAAAGTAAAAAGGAAAAGAAGAAATAAAAAGTAGATGAAAAATTAACAGGGCCTAGTAATCCTTGTTAAGCCTTAGGGATTTAGAGGAGGAGAGGATTTACTGCATTGTATTGCTTCTACCCTCTCATCGTTTGGTCTGATATGCCATCAGCAGAACTGGAGGATTTACTGCATCATGTATTTTGTTTATAGTATCGATTTCACGATGCTACGTCCATGGGATCTTACCACGTCAAGACCATAGCAAGTCTGATTCAAAGGCACTATATTATCTCATCTGAAGCTAGTCAGATATACTACAGTTGAAGTAGATTTCGTTGCCGAAGAGTTTCGTGGTACATAATACCGGATTGGCTTGAGTCAATTGGCAAACTCAATCTTTCCAAAATAACGAGACTGGATGTATGTCTGCAAAGGCAAAAACCTGTATGGCAACTTCCTAGCAGGGCCCGTAAGCAGATTTATAAGTTTTAAAAGCATGAACTAGTATATTTGGAAGTGGGTTTGATGCTTGTAGCAGAAATCGACAAGGAGAAAGTTTATCCTTGGAATCACTGCCTATAACCTGTACAAGATACAGTATCGGACGATATCAACCATTATCAAGATCTTGAAGCTTTCGTAGAGAATATTAGTCCCCATGTCAGGGATGTTTTCCAACTTCTTGCTTGTACTAGTATCATTTAAGGCCAAGGCCAACATCATAACAGCTTGCAGTATGGCTTGCACGAACTATCCTCGTTGGAAGAGATTTCGTGTGATGCCCATTGACCAAACCATTGTTGGATGGATAAGGAGCTTTGATTTGCTAGTGTGTTACGAGTTGTATTCATCACCATGTTAACAACGTATCAAAGAAATGGGGAAGGTCATTACGAGCAAACATTTTCTGAAGCAAAAATTTGCAGACAATGGAGAGACAGAAGATGGGAATTTATCGAAAAAAGGGCTGGTGGACAATTTTGTACCCAGCAAGGACCAATTTGAAATTACATTGAACTTTGGAAAACATCAAGGTTTGGTGCTCCTGATCAGCTATGTCTCAAGTACTATCCATTGATACAAGTCTAAATTTCACACTGCATCAGGAGGAATGTATCAGGTGGCGCTCGACGAAAAGGTATTTTGTAGCTAGCTGCACAATTTACACGAAGATGTTTAACGATGATTGACTTTGAGTTTCCCGAGTAGACAATCACTCAATCTTCATTACATGAGAAATATAACACTGCCGCTGCAGCAGCCTCATGCTTCCAAGATGTCAATACATTCGCAATCAAATAAATCCTCCCACGTTGACTGCTTAGAGCTAAAATATTACCTTGGGGTTTTCCCAACCCTAAATCAACATGGTGCCGCCTTCGAGGCTTCGACCAAGGTTCCAGGAACGATCTCCCCTTACGTCTGCTAACATTAACTCAGAGATCAGTTCGTCGCCAATCCAGCGATTTCACTATTGCTATGAAATTGTTGAAGACAAATTCGGGATACATTCCGGAACACAAGATGATCTGAGGCTCAAATCTAGCACTTAACTCACGGTTTCCATGCGATCATTCAATTTCTTCATTTCGCTTGTCACTCGAAGACTTGTTCATGAACCTTTTCTTAAACACGTCCTTGAAGTTAGAAACTCTGCTATTTAATTTGGTATCTGCATATAGTGATTATACTTTTATGCTGATGGCTTTAAATTCAGAACTGTTCATTGCATCGAGATGATTTACGAGAAAAGACTCAAAAAAGGGGCGTGATTTTTTAGTGCTGATAAGCCTTTGCAATTGAGTAGCGTTTAAGCCACGTTCATGGCCTCTCGGGCCTCACAGGAGCTACTGGATGCTTTATGCCTCAATATTTGGGAAAGGGGTTCGGTAGTGTTTAAGGCATAAAAGGTAGGGGCCACTTCCTCGAGCACGACTCATGCTAGGTTGCGAGGGACGCTGCGGTAAACGCACTATTACTGGATCATTTCGAGGAACCTAAAGCCTGCTCTCCCCTTGGGGCAGCGGAAGAGTCGGCACCTGAACGTGATGTATGAATTTTGAGTTGTGGGCATGAGCAGGAAACTTCAAAATGGGAAGGATGACCAGGGTTCATCGCACAGGTAAGAAAAACCGAACCGCTTGGTGCTGTCTCCAAAGGAGGAGTCGAAATCAAAATAAAAAGTCATAATGTGTCTCCATCAAAAATCAATTACAGTTATCCAAAGATCATTATCACCTAGCGCGAACTAATAGCAACTCGCTGGGCCTAACTTTTCGCATACCAAGAGCTCGCTGCCAAAATCAATCAACCCTTCTTGTCCTCCCCCAAACTTCATCCGCATCTTTCTTGCCTCTAGTCTCGGGAACCCTCCAACTCACAAATATTCCAGACAACACTGCAAGGACTGCAAATATAAAATATGCCCAACCCACACCTCCTAATGCTCTATTTAGTCTTGTGTTGATGATTGGGAAGAATTGAGCAACTAGAAATGTAGCAACATAATTGGCTGCCAATCCTACACTTTGGGTTGCACCAACAGCTTCTGGACCGACGAATTCTGATGCCATTATGAAAGGAACAGGACCAAGACCTGTTGCGAAGAAAGTCACGAAGAGGATGACGGATATTGCAGAGAGAACCTTGGTTTCCCACCGAAGGGAAAGGGCTAAAACAAGAGACATTGTGCCCATCCCGGATATCGAGAGGAGAAGACATGCCTTTCGGCCAATTTTGTCAGCCAACGGAGCACATACGACTGTTGCGACCAGGTTGACAACCGAAATAAGGATTGTGACGATAGATGAAGAAACAGGAAGAAGGCCAGAAAGCAGTGATACGGAATACATGATGATGCTGTTGATACCACACAGTTGTTGGGCAAACATAATACCAATGACGGCGATGACTGCAGGCTGATAGAGCGGATCCCTGATGACTTGAAAAAATCCGACGTTCGACGTGGATTTTTGTGACGATGCCTTGCTAGCGACGGAATTTCTTCGATTCAGCTCCGGATCAAGTAACAGGCGCTCTTCTTCTTCTCCTGAAGGCTCAATATTCCAGTCTTGGATCTCTTCCGCAATGGAAGAACCATGTCCCCGAATTCGCTGAAGTGTTCTCATAGCCATTTGAGGGTCTTTATGTGCGGCAAGCCATGTTGGACTTTCCGGAATGAATAACAGCCCAACTCCTTGCAACAAACCAAGTCCTGCTCCGACTGCCAATATGATTCTCCATTTCGATCCTTTACTTAGATAGTAACCTAGAACCTGAGTGAGTAGAATTCCTACATTCGTGGTAATTTGTGTCATGGATCCAAATAACCCCCTTTCTTTTGGTGGTGCAATTTCAGATATGTAGATTGGCACCACGACTGTGGAGGCTCCAGCCCCGATACCTGAAAAGAATCTGCCAACAGACATTACTGGAACTGTGCCTGCGAAGATTTCTAGAACGGATCCTACTATAAAGCAAACGCTGGTGATTCTCATGGCAAACAATCTTCCATAACTGGTCGACATGGCACCCGAACCCAACGCTCCTAGTAAGCCACCAAGAACGAAGAGAGATGAGAGGGCGGCAAACTCGGCTTCGTTCATAGGTATACATTGTGGGAGGTTGGTACGAACGACAGCGATGGAATTGGCCTCATTTTGCTTCTTGCATGTAATGACATCTTGAGGTGCGTTTAATTCCGACTTGTGGGAGAAGTTAGCCAGCGCTCTCGGAGTATTGACTGGCGAGTGAGTTATAATTGTTTAGAATGGCACATACCAAATGGAAACCAAATTGTAAAGGTCCAAGGGTTGATATAAAGATTAGAAAGATTAGATATGGAGTGATATCCTGAATACATTGTCTCATGCCTCCTGAAGCCATATCGAACTCCAAACGTAAGAATTTGATAGAAGTTATGGGGCATAAATTCATGTGTTGCAATGGCTTTGGTATATACAAATTTCGATCCTAATAAGGTCTGGAATGCTGGTGGTTGTATGCGTTGGGCCGGCTGTTGTAAACATACCTAGTAGGTATGGTTGTTGATGGTGATGAGTGATAAGTGATAGGTGATGGGTAATGGGTACGATAAGGTTAAAGCAATTGGTGACGGCTCGGTTGCTTCTGTTATCGATAAGAAAGTTAAGTTACGTTGACCCTCGGTTGCTTCTGTTATCGATAAGAAAGTTAAGTTACGTTGGCCTAGCTAGTAATTACCTAACCTTATCACCTTATATCATATTACAGAGTAACCTAATTGTTATTCATAATTAGTTTATTGTAAATTATTATTTATCATTCACTTACTACCAGAATTTCAATACATCCTCTATTAGGTATCCAAGGTTGTTTCTTCGTTTCTTCCTCTTTTGATTTCTACCTCACTGGTCATGTGAACTATTCCTTTTGACTTCAACTCACGGATACTCCGAAATCTATGAGAGTTTTATTAGAGGACAGGTCGGGTTAATAACCTTAACACGGCGTCTCTATCTGCACATCCTCACAATCTATTCCGTATACGCGGCAGCGCCATCCAACGCCCAGAACTGTCAAATTTCTCGCCTTCCACGAAGTTGGAAGAGATCTATCTTACTTCCTTCGTCTTCGTTGGTTCATAAGGTTTCCTCATCCTGTTTGTCTGTCTCATCTGACCGCTATCTCCGAATATCGCCTCTAGCTTTCTTCTCATCTTCCTTCTCCCCATCTTTGGATATTCCTAGGGGTTACGCATCAAAAGGCACTGAGAGTCCGAGACGCAGGTGGCTAGCCATTCCGTATGACTTTATCGTCGCTGTATCGAATCACTGCAGATATTAGTAGCCATCCTCCGGAAAGGTTTCTCATATCGCAGCACAGCACAGCACATCACATCACACCACACCACACATCACATTACCTAGCTACATTACAAGTATCTCCTTTCATTTCGGTCATCTGAAATTGTTTCGTCTTATTATCCGAGATTCGTGAATTTGATCGGCGGACATATGTCTCGACCTTCCATGCTATTACTAAGACCTTAATTCACAACTTTCCTTCTTTGGGTCTTTGATATCAAGCGTCTGTTGTACGTTTTCTATTAACCTATACCTTGCACCGACTTACATACATACGTACGTACATACATACATACACATTCGACCAGGGCTACTTTCTTTCGCGGCAATATTGATCATCTTCCGCGACACGAAACTGATTTCTGAGGGAATTTCACTTGAGTCTTGACAAGCTGATGCAACCAACAACCAACATCCAACTGTACTTACACTTGCACTTGCATCTAACTTGCGCTCTACTGCACCTTACCGACCCTGCACTACTGCAAAACACTATTGCGCTGCCCTGCCTACTAGGTATTCACACTCACACTCACACTCATCATACCCACACTCATACCCACACTCATACCCACACCCCACCCATCCTCACACTCACACGCGCATTTGAAATCTTCCTGTTGCCATTCCCCTTGTTTTGCCCACACGAAGCTTGTCTAGGATTGTCTTGGTTGGAGGCTTACAGATTTTCATGCCCACAGATCCTGCGTACTAATCAAGCAAACCAAGCCGAAGTGCGCCGCCCCCGCCGCGCACACACGCATCATATCCACAATAACAATAATGAGCCTGACATCTAATCCACCGTCATCCGGCGGCCCATCCTCGATCTCCGCATCTAGAACTCAGATAAAAAGATCAGTTCAAGCTATTTTTGAAGGTAATGTGAAATTTTGATTCTTTTTTTTTCCTCGTTTCTAACGAGAATATTTATTCATTTGCTCCTTCCATCGTATCACTTTCCTCTCCCCCAAAAGAAAAAACCTAAACCATTGATCGGCACTTCATTAGTTCTTTGTATAATGGCATAAAAACTCTGTCCTCTTGCTTCTCCCAATTGTTAGATAATTGCCTCATTAGTCATCTGATTTCTTATTTTCGACCCATCCCATATTCGATATATCAATATGTATCCTACCAGAAGACCTCCTCCATTTTATACCCCTAGTAGTTCGTTGCTATCCTACTTTACATGGTATGGTTCATGTAAGGCTAACAGCATATCTCCCAGGTACAGCCGAAAGAGCAACTAATCCTAGTTTGGGATATCAAAGTAAAGTTCGAGTTATTGATCGATACAAAGTCATTGGTTTCATTAGCTCTGGTACATATGGGCGAGTTTATAAAGCCGTTGGGCGAGATGGACGGCCCGGAGAATTTGCCATCAAGAAGTTCAAGCCAGGTAATTACAGACAAAATTATATCACCAACTGTTCTACATATGCTAATGTATCTCAGACAAGGAAGGAGAACAAATTCAATATACTGGTATTTCTCAATCAGCAGTTCGGGAAATGGCACTTTGTTCCGAATTGAGTCACATGAATGTCATCCGTCTCGTTGAGATTATTCTCGAAGACAAATGCATCTTTATGGTCTTTGAATATGCCGAACATGACCTTTTGCAAATCATCCACCATCATACCCAACCTACTCGCCATCCTATTCCTGCTCCGACCGTCAAATCTATAATGTTTCAACTGCTCAACGGTTGTCAATACCTTCACGCCAATTGGGTACTTCACCGCGATCTCAAGCCCGCAAATATCATGGTATCCTCCTCGGGTGAAGTGAAAATTGGCGACTTGGGTCTTGCTCGCCTCTTCAACAAACCACTCCATGCTCTCTTCTCGGGCGACAAAGTTGTAGTCACTATATGGTATCGAGCCCCTGAACTCTTGTTAGGCTCAAAACATTACACTCCGGCAATCGACATGTGGGCTGTTGGCTGCATTTTCGCCGAACTACTCTCTCTCAGGCCAATATTCAAAGGCGAAGAAGCGAAAATGGATAGTAAGAAAACGGTACCATTCCAAAGAAACCAGATGCAAAAGATTGTTGATATAATGGGACTCCCGACCAAGGAAAAATGGCCACATTTGGTATTTATGCCGGAGTACTCGCAACTTTCCACACTCTCAGCCAGCGGGCACGCAAAAGCCGGATACTCGAGTTTAGAAAAATGGTATTACCAGACGATAAACTCCTCTTCCACCTCTGTACCTGTATCGAATTCGAGTTTAGGGGCCGAAGGATACAAATTATTGAGCAGTTTACTCGAATATGACCCTGAGAAACGACTAACGGCGCAGGCGGCATTAACACATCCATTTTTCAGTACAGGAGACAAAGTTAGTGCCAACGTTTTCGAGGGGGTCAAAACGGAGTATCCACATAGGAGGGTTAGTCAGGATGATAACGATATTCGAACTGGGAGCTTGCCTGGCACGAAGCGGAGTGGGTTGCCGGACGATTCAAGACCTGCGAAGCGATTGAAGGAATAGCATTCAGACCGTCATCGAAAGTATGCAGCATAAAAATTTCAAAATTGTAAATGATGAAGGGCTGGGAAAGCATCAGAAAAGCTGCACAGCCACAATGCGGGTTGTCGACCTTACTAGCAATTTTGGGAGGGATCCCCAAGCGAGCAATTCATTGGCATGAATTGATATAATAACTGATATAGGAACTAGGTTTCGAAAACTTAGCATAATGGCAGCACAACTGTCGAATTTTGTTTCGATGGTCGTATGATATGATGACGATGATGAGGGGCATAATCTGGGCATCAGTGACGAATGAATAAGTGCAACATACATAAGCCTTCTTCGTTCCATCAGTTCAACACCCAGTTGCCTTATTCTTTTCCCATGATATCTTGGATTTAGGTCAATTGGAATTGGAATTGTCCTAAAGAGCCGTCACTTCTGAGAGCTGCCGATTTTGATGAATCACAAAACGGTTTTAAGCGGCCATCCTGGTTATCAACAACTTCCTGACGGTCAATTGATGGGTTGATAGCTCAGGTATCACACTCTGCCTTTGTCTCTTATAATATATATCTGAAGCCGTCGAAATGCGTCGACCCTACGTCTTCACTCGCACGTCATCTTCTCACGCTCGCTACAACCCCATCCACGACGAGACAGAAGCAAAAAAGGCCGAAGAAAAGCAAAGATCCCGACGGTCATTTCCGTTCTTCACTTCTAATCAGCCCAAAGGCAACGGAACCGTAAAGCCACAACCCCGACAATCCCAACAACCCAGCTCTCCTCCACGCACATCCGGTACTTTCCTCGCAACACATCACAATACGTATACGCCCACCAGTAGCACCGACAATATATATGAAGTCTCCGAGAAGACCAAGGAGCATACGACTGGTAGACAAAGAAAGCGCTTTTCTATCCCTACCTTTTCATCCTTCCGTGCTGATAACAACGGTGGTGATCAACTCGAAATTAACGATCAGAGCGATCACAGCAATCACAGCTCCAATTTACCATACAACGACGGAGCAAGCGGAAGCAACCCATTTCTCCACCAGGAAGACCACTCAAAGAAAGAAAAGAAAAAGAAGAGCCGACGCTTTTCATATCTCAACCGTGAAAAGCTAACCCACTCCTGGCAAGAACGCGAATCAGCCAAACGACAGCAGGCAAAAGAACAGAAAGAGAAAGCCAAAGAGCAAGAAAGAGCGCGAAAAAGAAATAGCGGTTTGGGATGGGCAAAGTCCTGGTCATTTGGTGGTGAAAGATTTGGGGGCACAATTTTGGCAGATGCAAGTGGAGTGACGATGCCGATTTTTAGATGTAAGGGTCCTTGTGGATTGTCTTGTGGATTTTAAATAATGCTCGGTCATTGATTGTGTATAGCTTGGATACGAAGGGATTGGAAAATGGGGTGCTGGGATGGCCTTGGCCACACATGGAGTTTAGATGCGAGGCGTTGAAGTGGATATATCTGCAGCATAGACCATAAAAGGAAAATATACATCCACAGTGACGAGAACACCGGAAATTGTGACCACATCTACGGAGGTACCTGCGTACACATTCCCTTGACCACAAACACGATTGAAAGTTGGGGTGCCAAATGCAAATCGGCAACTGTATTGTAGCTATAATTACAAGGCTTTCGTTTTTTGTATGTAGGTGGTGGTGTTCTCTTTCATCTTTTTTCCATCTCCCAGTTCTTCTCCGTTCATTTCTTCTGATTCTGCTCCTACGCCACTCGCTATATATTAAGAACCTTCTTGCTTTCCTTTCCTTTCCTTTCCTGCTCCAACTCTAGTTTCCCCCTTTCTTATGTAGGTACCTCGCACCATCCTGCCTGTCCACATCTCGCCCCCTCATGGAAGAAAGAAAGAATCAATAGTGAATTAAAAGGGATAAAGGGAAACTCTTGGTATCGCCGCCGCCGTAGGTAACGTAAATAACAACCTCACCACCCAAAAAACAGCGCAATACGTGCACATGTATGCATGCGCAAGTCAAAAATAAACAAAGAGAGATGGGAGGAATTCCGTAGATTGGAAGATGAGACGAGGAGATTTAAACAAGAGATACGCTCGTGGAAATGACGCGGAGACAATGACAAAGAGCCGTTAAGAAATTGAAGGTCGTGAATGAGGAGAAGCGACTGGAAGGAATCGACACAAATGCTCCTAGCAGCCAGTTGTTTATGTATGTTTCGTAGAGGAGTTATGTTCGTAGGAGACGGATATATCGTGCAGTTTGAGGTACATTGCGGCGATAGAGACGGATTGATAGATGGAATTCGATCATTGGTTTGTTCTCGAGAGGGTAGATTGGAGCTATCACTTTGCTTGTGGAGCAGGTCTTCCTTCAATTGTTTTCGAGAGCCAGGCCTGAAAATAGACTGTCAGTATAGTGACAAATTTACCCACGGTATCCATTGATGCATTCCATAAAAGGATGGAAAATATAAACGTACTAATCCTTCCATTAACCCTTCACCAGTGGTCGCGCAACTTGGTACCACGAACCAAACCTTGTTCTTCAGATCGTTTAACTTTAGTTGTTCTGTGACCTCGGGTGGCTTCATGGCTGCTCAAATGTCAGCTTCTCACCTGGCATAAAGTGTAGACATTTGGTTAAAGGGCATACCTCCTGCAATATCTTGCTTGTTGGCGAAAACTAGAAGTAATGAGTCTTGCATTTCTCTATCGTTGATGATGCGATGTAACTCTTGTTGTGCCTCTGCTATGCGTGCTCTGTCACTGGAATCAATCACAAAGATAAGTCCTTGAGTACCTGTAGCCAAACGAATTGGACATTAGCATTTCTTGCGACTCATCCGTATCCAAGCAAACACAGTTTCAACTGGCAATTGAGGACATACCACTGAAGTAATGTCTCCACAGAGGTCTGATCTTATCTTGACCACCAACATCCCAAACATTGAACTTGACATTCTTATATGTCACCGTCTCTACGTTGAATCCTACCGTGGGGATTGTCGTGACATCCTGACCCAATTTCAATTTATATAAAATGGTCGTCTTCCCTGCAGCATCGAGACCCAACATCAACAGGCGCATTTCCTTCGATCCGAAGATCTTGCCCATCATTTTTGAAATAGCTCCTCCCATATTGCTGGAATTCGAGATATGCGTGTGTCTATGTGTAATCTTAGAATATGCGCCGTTCAATTGATGACACGAACAGAGGTGAGAGGAAGGATCTACGAAGTCGTGTTGATTTGCGAATTGATCGATATTTGAAAGGAGTGACGTTGAATTGAGTTGACAGGAGGGTAGATGTTTAGAGGTTAAAGGAAACGGAGAGAAGTTGATCAAAGCAGATCAAGCCAGGCCCAATAAAATGCAATAAAATGAGATCAACTGCGAGATGGTGTTGGGTTAGATAGTGTTGGATTGGCAGACGAGGCTGAAACGATTCTTGTTGTTTGCATCAAGAAGGGGAGAGGTACTGACTGACTGTAGTGTAGGTATGTATCAGACGGGCAGACAGACAGACAGAACAGACAGAACAGACAGACAGACACAGACAAGACAATTCGTCTCTCACTACTTGCCTTTGTAGTAACCTTATGAGTTCCAATTATATTATTCGAGGAAGAAGTCGCGTAATAATAATAGTCAGAAAGGACCTAAGAAGAGCCTAATGAGAAGGAAGTATTAATCGCTAAATTGCTTTCGTACTTGGATTATCTTGATTGAAAGGAGAGACTGTAAGATTGCCAAAATTGCCTGCAGCTGTAACTAGTAGAAATAGGAGAATGCAAATTAAAACATTAAAACATTAAAACATGAAAACATGATACAAATTAAAACTGCATCCATAAATTGAGTGAGAGTGAGGCCTTTGATATTTGAGATTTCAAGAATAGTTATTCCGTGTGAACGTAATGTAAAAGGTGGTACATTACAGACTGATAAGTAAATAAGTAACTAACTCGATCGTGATGAAGAAGATGGTCATTCGACATTCGACATTCGACGATACGTTAACCAACCCTACCCTACTCTGTTCTGTGCAGCTGCGATGTCTGTAAAACTTTGATCTGGTAAATTATGATTTACACAAGGATCATGGACCTTTTAAATAATTGTCTATTCTCCATTCTCATCCGCCAACCTTGAGTTACATATGTGAGTTTATCTCTGAGTTATCCGAGTTAATTATATTAAACATATTAAACCTGAAAGTCCATTTTGGTTTCATTTCAGGGGAAATTGGACATTTGAGTGCTCGGATTGTCTTGAGTAATCAACTAATTTTCATTGCGAGGTGTTACCTGTAAAATATGGATTTATGAAATATTTAATTCATCCGGGCCAGCCTGAAGCTTGAATAGGTACTGTACCATTAGAGCTGGATTAATTTCCATCTTGGTCTCCCTTGGTCTCCCTCTCTCCCTCCCTCTCCCTCCCTCTCCTCTCCTCTCCCTCTCCCTCTCCCTCTCCTCTCCTCTCCTCTCCTCTCCTTTATAATAAAGTGAAGCTTGTATCAAGGTAAAAATCGAAATTCGTAGGCCGAACCTTCGGATATTATTTGAGGAGATGAAACAGTAGTTAGGTATTACCTAGTACAAATTACAAGTATATTATTGTAGCACCGCAGCACCGCAGCACCATACCACCATACCACCCTATCGCCGTACCACCGTACCAACTGAGCACCTCAGCATTCGAGCACTTGATCGTCCCCCGCTATCTTATTAATCTCGAGATTGCACAGTCCAATATTGAACTTGATGCTTTTCAAATAATACCTGAAATTGAGGACCGCATATCTCAACCATGTGGATGAGGAGGGGCAGTTTCGGTTCTTTCCGAATTATGAGATGGTGAAATTATCAAATTTGGTATTTGTATTTAGCTTAATCGAGTATATTTAACTTTAACCGTCATGTATCTCCGTACTCATAAGGTACATGTGTAACGACTTCGAATCACCTTTTTCATAATTCAAAAAGAATACTCCTGAACGCGACGGCCGTCGTGTCCTGTACACCAGAGTCCGCTGAGAGTAATTAACCACCCCAAACTCCGTCTATCCCCCATATAAATTATAAAAGTCCAAACGCTGTGCGGGGTATCCTTATTCCAAATGTTCCTGTACCAAGAGAGATCCCCGATGAAGGAAGGGAAGACGGGAGGAAAGAAGGAACGCCAGATAAATCATCAGTGCCACCAGGTCCCTTGAGACATATATTACTCCCACGCCGTTTTACCCCGAATGATCAAGAACAAATCGCCGTTCAACTTCCTTTGTAGAATCCTCATCTCCATCAAAGATTAATCTAACTCTATTACCATCATCCAGCATTGCTTTGACTTCGGCTCGGTAAAATGTCGTTGTCTCAGGATAGAGCGCGAGTACGCGCTTCCCGACATCGTAGGGGCCAAGGATAGCGTCATCTGGTGGGATAGGACACATGGAAGATGCTGAGGTGAGGAAATCCTTAGGTTGCTTCCCTTCGTCAGGAGCGACGTCTTCAACCTTGTACCGCCGGCTTTTGCCCTCCCCAATAACCTTTGTAACTTTTCCCTGGATCCAATCCGTTTCCGTCGTTGGGAACTCGGGTTTGGGTCTGAATGCCACTTCCTGTCCCTTGGAAAATTCAATCTTCTTTGTACTACTCGTGCTCGTGCTCGTCGTAGGCTCTCCGTTGTCGTATTTTCTCGGGGTATCTTTTCCCTTGGGTGGTAAACTGCTAGTTCTGCCATTTCCCATCTTTCGAACATGTTTGTTTTCTGCTGGAGAAGGTACAGGGGAGTCCATAGATCCCACATCGTCGGTAACACTGGATCTTCCATGCGATTCCCGTGAATTGGAGCCTCGTTCTGCTTCGTTACCTTTAATCAAAGCCAAGAGGATCGAGATCTTTTCCACCGTCTGTCGTATAGCTGCCGCTGTAGACTCGGAAAACTTCACGCCGTCTCGAATGTACTTGCTGAGCTCATCTATTGCAGCGAGAGCAGGGCCTGGGATTTCATCAACACCTAACCTCACTGCGGCTAGACTGTATACTCACTTATTCCACGATTCAATTGGTCAGCTATGATGGATTCTCTATTCATGATCGCTTCCGGAATATCTGCTTCGAATGATTTCTCTTCGGCTCTGATCTTCGCTAGAGCTTGGGTGATCTCGGTCCACAAGGCTGCTTCTTCACCTCTCTCATGTGTACCCGAACGAGCTCCACCGCGAGCTTGCCGTCGACCAGCGGTAGAGGCGGAGGACATGTTTTTATTGAAGCCCTCAGAGTTTTCGAGTTCCTTTATCAGGGACGGCCCTCTAGGTTTAGACATATTTTAGCCAGGGGAACTTTTAAAGTAGATAAAAATATACCGGGATTGTACCGGGAAAAGGAAGTTAGAGGGAAATAAATATCAACATTTCAACCCGACTTGGGGCTGTTTAGTTAATTTGACATTCTTTTTAAAGACCAGATAAATCATGAGAGTTGACCGCGGCGACTTACTTGTGGTTGTGGGTATTTTGACCCGCACCTACTTCCAATGAGGAATAAGTCGAGCGTCTGATGATGTACCTCTGTTAAGGGTAATTGAGGGCTACGAATGGCAATTGAATTTAATAAAAGTTGACGGTAATAGGACAAAACACACCAACATGAAGGGGGAATGAAGGGGGAAGAGAAATAAAAAATAATGTAGATGGCAGAAAAATGGCTGTGTATGGGAAGGATAATATTACTAGGTAGGTTAATAATTGATATGTCGTTCTGAAGATTTCAGGGTGGAGGTGGTAGTTCTTCAGGTGCGCTATAACCCAGGTGAGGGTGATGAGGGTGATGAAAAAGGTGAGAGAGATGAGATAGAGGTAGATGGGTCGATAGGCACAGTAGATGCTGCCTAGGTAGGTATAATTATGACTACCTTGCAGTGCAGATCCTGATAGACAGTAGGAAGAGGAAGAGAAAGAGGATGTTGCGGGAGGAATGAGGTACCTACCGATAGTACACTTTGTAGAATGATATAATCATTCAATTGGCAGAGTATGAAACATTCATGGATTCATTGATCGTAGGCACAGGCATGTAAAATGAAAGGATGTTGCTCTAAATTGGTATTCGGTGGTAACCTTGGTAGGCAAAAGAGGTATTAGGAAGTGCAGGGAGGGAGGTAACCTTAAAAATACCAACCTTGGAACACTTCTGCTCCGTAAAGTTGATAGTGAGATAACCTTGGTGAGATAGTGACGTTTTTGGGCTGGGAACACTACTAGCAGAGCCTTGTTAGCCTTGTTAGCCTTGGCCTTGGGAATAACTCAAAGCCAATCACCATGTCAGCCTTGTCAGCCTGGTCAATCATGATATCTCATTGGTTGATTTCCACATTTGAATCAAAAAATTAAAAATGATCATCAATTTATAGGTTAACCGACCGCGCGGGGTGGAAAAGCTAAGGTTAACCTTTCTAGGTACATGCCACCTCCCCGGGGCTGGCCATGCTAATATTAGGTACCTAGTACTTTACTCATCCGCTCTCTATCTACTGGCCCCTCCAATACTGGCCCTGCACAAGTCGCTGCTAGGTAAGTGAATACATCACTTTTCCTTTCTATCGATGCTGTCAATTAACAGAACAGAACGAAGCTACAAGAAATAAAGGTTACCGTCTGGCCAATACTTGTAACACGCCGAAGCAAACCTTCCACGCACGTTACCCATTCAACAGTCAATAAGTCGACAGTTAAAATGCAAGTTCCATTAATTAGGCTTCAATGTGGAGTGAACAGCTATGACTGGGGAAAGGTAGGAAATGATTCAGCCGCGGCAAAGTTTGCTGCTGCGACACCTGTCGATGATTTTTCTATCCAAGAAGATAAGCCATATGCTGAAGTAAGTGGTTCTTCCTTTATATTTCTTTGCAAAGTTTCATACTCATTCCCCATAGTTGTGGATGGGAACCCATCCTTCAAACCCTTCCAAGGATGTCGCCACAAAACGAACACTCCTCGATCTCGTTCAAGACAACCAAGCCCTCCTATCGAAAGATGTCAGTGAGAAGTTTGGTGAAAAATTACCATTTCTCTTCAAAGTCCTCTCAATCGGAAAAGCCCTGAGCATTCAAGCGCATCCCAATAAGAAACTCGCAGAACAATTGCATCAGAAGGACAGCAAAAATTACCCAGATGATAATCACAAACCGGAAATGACAATTGCCATCACGCCTTTCGATGGACTTTGCGGATTTAGACCTCTTGCGGAAATCTCACATTTCCTCTCGACCGTTCCATCTCTGAAGAAGGTAGTTGGCCAGTCCGAAGCGGAAGACTTTCAGTCCGCGATCAAGGGACAGGAAACATCTGATAAACAAAAGGATGAGGAAAAGAACAAGAAGGCGCTTCAAAGGGTTTTCACGGCTTTGATGAACGCGAAGAAAGAAGATGTTGAGAAAGCTAGTGAGGAATTGGTTGCAGCGGCACAGGAGGAGGGAGAGAATTTTGCCGGAGGTGGAGGCACGTCAAATGAAGGAAAGGAATTGGCAGATCTTGTCATCAGGCTGAACAAACAATTTCCAGGAGACATTGGATTATTCGTCCAATTCTTTTTGAATTACGTCAAACTCGAAGTCGGAGAAGCAATGTTTTTAAAGGCAGATGACATTCATGCGTACTTGAGCGGCGACATTATCGAATGCATGGCTGCATCCGACAATGTAGTCCGAGCTGGTTTCACACCAAAGTTCAAAGACGTTGATACTTTAACTTCGATGTTGACATATTCATATGCCCCAATCTCAGAACAAAAGATGGACCCAGTGGATTATCCATATGCCACTCTCAATGCCACCGCCTACTCTTCTGGATCATCAGCCATACTCTACGACCCACCCATTGCGGAGTTCAGTGTGGTAAAAACTGACCTGAAAAAGAGGGGAGCAAAAGCAACATTCGAACAAATTACTGGTCCCAGCATTTTCATCTGCACGACTGGAAATGGTAAGATTAGTGTTGGACCCAAGGTCGAGGAAGTTAAGCCTGGATATGTCTACTTTGTTGGAGCTACAGCAGAAGTGGTACTTGAAGCCGAAGATGAAGATTTCACCACATTCAAGGCATTCTGTGAATTGCAAGGCAAGGAAGATGCAGACGGAAAGGAGAAGCTCTAAAGCTCAGTTGAGAGGTTGGATTTATAATTTACTATGAAGTAACGACTTCATGAATGGGACAAGGCCTTCTCTTTGCATACTTGAAATTATTCTCGATATCTGGAACAATGAGGCCATTCCTGTTGAGGCAATTTGATCCGATCTATTGCATGGCTCGTGAGGAATTCTTATCTGAACTTCGAGCGTAACACTTTCTTAATCTTCATTGCAATCTCAACCATTCGACTTTATCTCTTTAATTCTTGCCTCTGTTATCTAGCAGACAATACCTATGTATCGTATCCATTCCTTTATGCCGATAACGTTAGCCAGGACTCATAATCTTGAGCTCGGATCATTTCCTGTGGTCTGGGGCTTACGGGTTTAACTTCATTTTTCCTATTCTCCTAATCGCCAAATTCACTCCTCACCAAAATTGACCAATCATGATTCGCTCTCATGAATGAACCAGGTCTTCTTATCGAGAGGCTGACATGGTCACAATCAACCAAGATATAATGCTGACAGATGCATAAGAACTCGGCGATGCCGTCTAGAGTTACACCTAGATCGTTTTATGACAGTCATTCTTATCGAAGTATCGAAGTATTGAAGTATCGAAAAAACTAAATATTTTTTTCTGCCGCTCTCTACATCTACGAGCATTTGAAGAGCAATGGAGGTTGATCCAGAACTTCCCATTGGAAAGCATGCTTTCAGAGTCTCCAGGGTAGAACAACATGATGAAGAGGAATTGGCGGAGTTTGGATACAAACAGGAATTGAGGAGAGACTGGGGTCTGATGCACAATTTTGGGATTTCTTTTAGTATTATTGTAAGTTATTTGTCTGGACTTTTAACCAGAACTCCGATATAAGACACTATGAAATCAATACCACCTCGCGGGGCATTATCAGGCCTGGTTGCGGGAAGCATCAACCATGTTGCAAATCATGCCATTAACAGAAAGACTTGCTAATCCTGCTTCAGTCAGTGATCACTGGAATAACGACACTATTCTCTTATGGCTTGATCACTGGTGGTCCTGGAGGTTTGTATATGCTCCTATTATCTCTTGATAGTATACTTTTTCTAACAAATTTAGTCATGTCTATTGGATGGATCATTGTATCCGTGTTTACTTTTATGATTGCTCTGAGTATGGCAGAAATTGTTTCTGCTATACCTACAGCTGGAGGACCTTATTATTGGGCAGCGCTTCTTGCTCCGAGAAATCATTCGGCTTTTGCGAGTTGGATTACTGGTTGGTTCAACTTCCTCGGTCAGGTTGCTGTCACTACTGGAATCAGCTTCGGCCTCGCAGGTCTCATCTCAACAACTGCAACAATAAAATCATCATATGGCCCTAGTGCCCCAAGAACAATCGGTATCTATGTAGCTGTCCTCATCTCCCATGGTATCTTCAATACCTTTGGTGTCCACGTGTTAAGATATCTAAACAATACATCTATCGCGCTTCACTCTTTAGGCGTAACTGCAATAGCTATTGCAGTTCTCGCAAAAGCCCCTACGCACCAAAGCGCAAAATTTGTCTTCGCCAAATTCTACGATGGGACTGGTGTAGATCCAAGTCTTGGATGGAGCGTCAGGGCATCCCCAGCATACGTCGCTTGCTGTGGTGTTCTCATGGCTCAATACACGCTCACTGGTTTCGATGCCTCCGCCCACTTGTCTGAGGAAACTCGAAATGCATCTTGGAGTGCACCTATTGGCGTTATTTCTTCCGTTGGGTTTTCGGCCCTTTTTGGATTCTTCGTTATATTGAGCTTCTTATTTAGCATCCAAGATTTTGACAATACAGTTACGAGTGATTATGGTCAACCAGTTATTCAAATTTTTGTCGATGTGTTCGGAACTGATGGGGCCGTTGTGCTCATGTGTTTGATTATGATTTGTGTCTGGCATTGTGGGCTTTTTTCGATGGCTTCGAATTCGAGAATGATGTTTGCCTTTGCCAGAGATGGTGGGATTGTAAGTTTCTCTTTCCAGTCCAGACTTCTTCTTCCCAGGTATTGACACAACCAACAGCCAGAATTCTTTCACAAGGTCGATAACCGTTTTCAATCTCCCATCCGAACCGTTTGGCTTGCAGCAACTCTAGCCTTTTGTCTAGCACTTCCTTCTCTGGGTTCCAGTGTAGCTTTTGCTGCGGCTACTAGCATAGCTACTATTGGTTTGTACATCTCATATGGTACCCCGATTCTGCTTGGCCTCATCTATTCCAAGGAGTTCAAAGCTAGGAAGGGACCATTTAACCTCGGGATTTTCTCGAGACCCGTTGCTTTCATTTCTGTATCCTGGATCGGCTTTATCACTGTGATATTTTGTCTTCCTACAACAAATCCGGTGACAAGTCAGACTGTAAACTATACAGTGGTGGCTGTGGGGATCATTGCAATCGGCGCTTGCGGAGCATGGGTGGTCTGGGCTAGAAAATGGTTTGTAGGACCCATGGTCGAGATCGAGGCAGCTGCGCGCTTGGGTATCAATCCTGAAGGGTCTGGTGCTTTAGAGAGAGCGGAAGTGGATGGGAAGGTTAATTTACATGGGGGTGTAAAGAGCTCGGATTAGAAGCCTCAAGAGCTGCCAGAGAAAATGCAAATGATGGTGCGAACAACTAATATACCGATGATAGAAGTAGACTCAGAGAAAGCAAGGCCTAGTAAAATGGTAAACGTGTATTCTGTTATGTATCACCACAGGAATCCAGGAACTGTGTATAGAGTTTGCGGCACATTGGAATCTTTCAGAATGGCGATATCCGGGAGCGTGTCTCGGACAACACTCGTTTAAAATTCGGACTATCGAGGAGGGAGGAATGATGGCAATGCCAATGGATAAAATGCAAACCTCTCCATCAAACTGACTAGATCATATATTGCATTTACATTCGAAATTAACTCAAAAGGTTAATGTGAATGGACTTTGAAATACGACATCTAGCCACAGAGTATACGACAGTTATTTTATTCCTAATTAATATTTTACCAGTAAACCTTAACCCTACAATTCGAATTATGCTTCGGAGAAGATTGATTCTTCTTCTCCCCAGCCATCAGTCAGCATTAAGCTGTGAGATTATGTAAGATCTTATATTATATCGTAAGCAAGCCTAGACCCCACAATTTTATCAATGATTACGGGAATGATTACAGGACAGGACCCGACTTCGGGGTGTCGGAACTTTTACTCACTTCAATTACTGAGTAGGTTCATTGATATTCATTATTCATTCATTCATATTCATTCATATTCTTTACGGAGTATTCAACGAACAACGACCAACAACCATACCTACTCACAGCAACAATATACCCTTTTTCCCTGTTGCTCCTCTCAAATTGATGATTGTTACCATCTCCAAAACTAATCATACAACCAAAAATGCCAGACCTTAACCCGACATCAGCTACTCTTCCTCAGCATTGGCGCAACACGCCTGATGAATCCTTGGACGAAGTCCCCTCTCTCCCACCTTTCTATTCGCCTCGTCCAATACCTGTAACTCGCACAATATCTGAGCTCGATCTAAATCAATTCAGTATCTCAGATCTTTCGCTCACCCATCCTCCTGCACGCTCTCAATTAGATTCTCCTGTTGAAACTTCATCGCAGGATTCCGATCACAATGGATCATTGCCCGACCTCGTCTCCCCCGCCTTTACACCTCCTTCAACGCCCGGTGCATCCACACCTACGTCTTTCGCACATCGCCCTGCCAGATCAGTACCTGTAGACTCGACTACGCCAACTGGGGGGTGTGGATCCAAGAAGCCCAAGTTGCTAGAGACTTTGCCGGAGGTTAATTGTGTAGTTCGCGCACGAATTCCTACAACCACGGGGACGGAAATGTTTTTGCATCTATACCAAAACAGTGAGGATAATAAAGAACATCTAGCCATTGTATTCGGGAACCAAATACGAAGTTATAGTTTGGATGCTGTGCGAGAAGGAGAAACGGAGATGGACAGGCTGATACGGGGAGCATATACGGGAAGATTGTTTCCGGGTCGGACTACAAGTAGCATGCCCAATTCGGCTACGGGCGGGGAAAGGAAAGAAGAAAAGGTGCAAGCGCCACTGGTTAGAATTCATTCGGAATGTTACACAGGAGAGACTGTTTGGTCTGCGAGATGTGATTGTGGGGAGCAATTGGATGAGGCTGCAAGGTTAATGTCCTTGCCCACTTCATCGGGACAAGCGGCTGGCGGAATTATAATTTATTTGCGACAAGAGGGGAGAGGTATTGGACTGGGAGAGAAATTAAAAGCATACAATTTACAGGATTTGGGATCAGATACAGTCGAGGCGAACCTACTTTTGAGACACCCGGCAGATGCTAGAAGTTATGGACTAGCTACTGCTATGTTGAAAGACTTGGGAGTTGACGAAATCAAACTTTTGACGAATAATCCGGATAAGATACGAGCGGTTGAAGGGCCTAACAGAGAAGTGGTGGTCAAGGAGAGAGTTGCCATGGTTCCTCTGGCTTGGAGGGGCAAAACTGGTGGGATCAGGAGTCAAGAAGTTGGTGGGTATTTGAAAACTAAGGTACGTTTTACACTGAAAAGTATGTGGGATGGGGCCAGGCTAACATCCTATTTGTAGATTGAGAAAATGGGACATATGCTTCAAATGAACGAATCATCATGATAAATGGCCTTTGGGAAATCAATACCATTTTCCGCTTGGATGCGGAGACGAGCAATCATATCTTCTAGAACGTGACGGGAGTTCTTATATATCATCTTCTGAATATACGGCGGCGTGAATTGGCGTTCGTTTGTCGAGCTGGGATACATGGAACCGCATCATGCACAGAAAAGTCTCAACCTTACATTTATGTATCATATGTGTCTATATTTCATTTGAGTACGTACTGGATATGAAGACATTTGATTAAATAAGGAAGAGTGTTAAACTTCACACTTTCATCTAAAAACATACATCTTCAATGACGCTTTGTGCTGACATCAAGCGAAAAGTCCCCTTTTAAGTTTATTTTGCCACTTTACTTAACTTCAACCATCATTCTACGCACGAGTCATTCCGCACAAGGATCGTTCATTCGGGATAACTAATCGTCCCGAGGCAAAGCTTGGCCAGCACCGAGATAACTTGAGAAACTTCTAGTGGAGCCTTTTGCATATCCCATCTTAACCGCCATCAAAATCATTGCCAATCATTGAAAACTGCTGCGAGGAAAATGCCTGCCAAGTCATATTGGATGGGCCATGCGAAGACTGCAGCGGTGTGTACTGCAGTTTTCGGCAATTGTTTGTGTGATATTGCTCTAGCTGTGGGTTTTCTCCACTATCACTAGTGTACAATTGAAAATCCGAATCCGATTATAAATGTACCTGATTTCAAAGCACTTGAGCCGCGGCGGTATTGTTTCAGCGCGATGTTGGCAAGTGGTATAAGAAAGTCCTCCTGGAACTCTTCATGGGCATTCTCTCTGAAATCTCAATCTTTCCAATTGACAATATATATCATTACGTAGATTATTAACAAAATGTCTGTCAGATACGAATCCTCCAGCTCCGATGCTTCCCCGCTTGGAGTCCCTCTCAAATATGAATTTTCCGGCAAAGTTGCACAAAATCGATTCCTGAAGGGAGCAATGAGCGAACGTCAAGCATCATGGGACCCAAAAGACCTCAAGGCTAGAGGGATTCCCTCCACGAGCCTCATCAATGTCTACAAGAGATGGGGCGAGGCAGAATACGGACAGATCTTGACCGGAAATATTATGATTGAATATGATCATTTGGAGGGTATGGGAAACACAATTATTCCACGGGAGGCTCCTTTCGAGGGAGAGAGATTTGAGAGATTTGCAGCGATGGCAAAGGAGGGAAAAGCTCATGGAAGCTTAATGGTTGGACAAGTGAGCCATCCGGGACGCCAAGTCGAGAATAGAATACAACCGAGTCCTATTTCTGCCAGTGACATTCAATTAGAAGGTTCGTACAAATCTCTTTCAAGCTGGCATTCGTATGTGTGGCCGAAACTTGTACTGACGAGTAGCTATTGTAGGAAACTCGATGGGAATGTCCTTCAACAAGCCGCGTCCAGCAACCCAAGAAGATATCGACAGCATAGTTGATAAATTTGCCCATGCAGCAGAATATCTCGAGAAGGCTGGTTTTGATGGTATTCAACTACACGGTGCCCACGGTTACCTCCTCGCCCAATTCCTTTCGAAAACTACAAATAAAAGAACAGATAAGTATGGAGGGTCGCTTGGGAACCGATTCCGCATTGTCCAAGAGATCGCGGACGAGATTCATAAGAGAGTGAAGCCAGACTTCATCGTCGGTATCAAGATGAATAGTGTTGAATTCCAAGAAGGCGGGTTTACGCCCGAAGATGCCAAGGCTGCGTGTCAAGCACTAGAGGGTGCAAGATTTGATTACGTTGAGCTCTCTGGTGGAACATACCAAGAATCGGGATTTGTTCACAAGCGCGAATCGACTAGGAAGAGAGAGAATTTCTTTCTGGATTTCGCCGAGGAAATTGTTAAGCCTTTGACCAAGACCAAGACTTATGTTACTGGTGGATTTAAGACTGTGGGTGCTATGGTTGCTGCGCTGGATACCGTTGACGGAGTAGGGTTTGGCCGACCTGCTGCTCAAGAGTTCCTACTTCCTAAGGATATTTTGGAAGGGAAAATTTCTAGTGCGAAGAAGTTGGCCATTTCGGATGATCAGTTCTTATTGACGTTTATGGCGTCTGGAGTTCAAATGCGCCAAGTTGGGGACGACTATGAGCCCGTTGACTTGAGCATCAAGGAGAATGTGGAGCTCTTTCTGAAGGAGGTGGGGGCTTTTGGTGCGAAGATGGCCGCGGATACGGAGTTGAAAGAGTCTGGGTATCTCGAGTGGATACATAATAATCAACCTTTTGGTTCTTCTTGAACGGATGATATGATAAATAGCTGTATAAATATGCACGATGAATGGAGATAGGAGTAAAAGATTAAAAATCTTAATGATTCAGCAAGAGCAGTTCAAACAAATTAACGTGGCATTGTCACTTTTTTAGGACGTTGTGAAATTTTTACAAGTAAGATTGTCGACTGTGATGGTACTGTCTTTATTTCCCAACCCGAGAGTTTCTATTAAAAAGGTACATTCATTCTTATTACGGACGATTTCCATGTCAGAAGGAAATTTCGTTCTTTGTCATGCAAACATAATAAACATTTTGAGGATCTTGACTGGATTTAGGTTTTGATCATGACTCCTTTCCCATCAGCGCAAACCAATCCATGGACTCACGCGTATGGATTCCGTCCGAACTCGAAGATGCAGCTTCGCGAGTGAATACACATAGATCGCGAAACAAGGGCCGGCAGCAACCTTGCAGAGGCACGTGTTATGATTTCTTGGAGGGAAGCAGTCGAAACCCGGGAAATTTTCCTACAGTGTCGCTGTTGGTCCTCAAAACTTAGTTGTGCAAAAAAAAGGAAATCCAAGAAGAATAGTAGAAACATAGACCAAGTCGTGGTCTTGATTATGGTCTTCCGATTCCTCTGCATGTGATGCGATATATGAATACACTGGTAGGCCAAGTTTTGGCCGTGGCCAGACAGCTAAATTTATCATCTTGTCAGGAGGAGTACTAAGTTCTTTTCCAAGAGTCTTCACCTGGGCCTTCTGATTTCCAGCCTCCCATCAACGAAGAGTATCAATACTTGGCTGAACGTATTGAACTACCCGCATAAACAACACTTCTCCCGCGGAATTGTCTCGTTCTCTGCGTTTCCATGATTCTAACCATGCCCGACAATACACTCCTTTGCCGCATCCCCATGTGACAGATTTCAGACGAGCTTCTTAGCATAAGTCAGTGAGTCCTTTGATGTGCTTTCGGACTCAAGTGCACCACGACCAGGCCAAGATCAATATTTTCGACCGGTGTTATCAATCCGCCACTCATCTCCTTCACAGCCTCATCAAGTTCTGCTTGATTGCTTCAAGTCTACACATCATCACCTGCTTTTCCCTTGAATGTCCTAGTTCCAGTGTCTAATTTCCCTCTCCAACTAGGATTTCTTCAAATTTTTGGTGTCTTCCTTTCAGGCGTAAAACACCTCCTGACTCAATATTTCTTACTCCTAGGACGGGAGCTGGTCTATGATTCAGTTCTCGTCGCCACTTCGTCAAGTGCTTCTTCCACAGACTGTTCTTCAGGAGCGATTGAAACAAATGAAGGCTGTTCTTCAGTTCCTTTGAAAGCTCTTGAATATAGACACTCAATATCCACCAGCTCTGGCTTACCCCATTTTCTTGCCATATTTACTTGGTAGTTCCTGCGCCATAAACTCAAACTTACAGCATGCCCCAAATCAATACCACTTGTGCTCCCAAAATCACGTGCAAGATCGTTCTTCGACTCTTCAGCATGTCTAGATCCCATCTCTCTACAAAATCCCAAAGGAATTTGAGCTTTGTATCTTTCCTTTTCCAACCTCTTCATGATAGTTCGCACTTCTTCATTTGGAAATTTGCCGAATACCTTCAGAAAGTATTCACGAAGTTTATGTGCCACCGATGCTTTTGGTAAACTCATCATAATTAAAGCATGTTGAGTGGTTGGCGGCTTAGGTTTCCTCTCCATGTAATCTCTGTTTCCGTACTCTTCTTCAACAAGGCCACTTTCTCTACGATCCTCTGCCACAAAATAGTTCGTTGATGGGCGCATGGGAAAAGAAGACGGAGCCTCTAAACAAAAATCATTGATGGCGTCTTTGTACATCTTCATATAAAAGTTGCGTTCAGGCAGTGGATCTATGAGGTCGACTCGTGTATCAGGAAAAGTTCCCCATGGATGAAGGTGTTTACTCTTCAATTTGTTACGAATTCCTGTTGCTTCGCTGCTCAAGTCTAGCGTTAAGACCAATCGAGAACTCCTATTCTTGGAGTGATGTGCCCAAGCTGCCACACTACGAGGTTCTTTTTGAGCTCCGACTCGGTCGTAATTTATGATAGAGGAGGGATCTTTTCCTGGAATGACTCGAGAGGCTCGAGGAAGTATATTCCCTATTCTAGACATTGTGCGAAAAACGTTGAATTTGTTTGTTGATGTCGTTGGTGTCGTCGATGTTGATGATGTTGTTGTTGATCCATGGATAGACATGGTTATGCTCCAAAATTGATTTTTCTTTCAGCTCACGTGATCGACATTAACCACATCAAACAAAATAGAGGCGAGAGTCTGAATGCTTGATCTGTATAATTTAAAACTAATTCTCGTCAATTCTTATATTTTGTTATACATCTAGATTAGCCAGCCGAGCTGACAACCATGTTCTGTAAAACCGGGTCATTGTTCAATGCCGCTTTTTACTAGGGACGGATGCACACACACCAGATAGTGGGACTGAAGTTTATTTACATCAACAACAACAACGCAACAAAAAGTTATCGTGCAATGCGTACCACATGCTCCAATATTGGGAGTTGTAGTAACAGTTCGCAGTCATGCATGAAAGGGAACTTGATGAGAGGAATGAAATTGATGATTATGAGCTTGTGAGAAGAGATGAGGAAGAAGGATTAGGGAAAATTTCAGTTCACCAGGAGGATGGACCATGGATACACAAATGGCGAATCGTAAAGCCTTGGTATGTATAAACCTAGAGGCTCAATGGACCAGGGCTGAATTCAAAAATGTAGGATTTGGATAGGATTCAGTATTTCGTCTATACTAACGGCAAGGAGACTTTTGACTACTGATTTTAGTAAGATTTTGTACTCCATTTCTGTTCTGGTTGAACCCAAGCTGACACGGTTTTTTTAAGGATATCGTAAGTCTTTTCCCCATGAATAGGCACTATTTTCATTCAAATGAAGATCTACATCTTCACATATCTTACTCCTGTTTAGCAATATGTTTTCTTGTTTTATTGCAAATCACTGCGTACTTCGGCTTGAGCATTTTTGCCGTCCTGATAAGTTTTGTCGACTACTTCACCAGTTTTCCGGATTTGAATCCAAATCGGGGTCCATCATTTTTAGAAGGCGTTTCCGTTATTACTAGATATTGCCTCACGGTACTCATTTCAATGATTGCTTTGATATACAATACGAAAGCGATCATGCTTTTCAACAATTTGGCTGTATTTTCTACTCTATTAGTATGCAGACTCTTCATCTTTTAGTTTGCACTTTCTGACACTTCAATAGATACTGACATATGCATTTGATGCTTTCCTTTTTAGTCTAGCATACGATTTACGAATGCTTCCTCGAGACAAAGGATTTGACAAGACCATTGTTGTCTGGGCCTTGGGCATCTTTTTCCTTACTTCCACAATTGTCTATAACGACTATCGACTCAACGTAGAAGCGCTTTCATTTGCAATACTTGGTATGTTTCTCCTCAGTCTCGCCAGAACGGTGGCTGCGATCGGATATCAAGTGCCTTCTCCCAAAAACCCTTCTCACGGAGCCTCACTCTATTTCATGCTTTGGGCTGGTTTACCTCCATGTTTGCTCATCACTCTCTATACCGCATACAAATATGAAGACTTCGGAACGGCATTCTCTATCCTTCGGACTTGGGATTTTTCGACTTTTATGAAGAACCTGGCTCCAGGTGCATTAACTCATGTTCTTTGGAATACTCCTTTACGATCCACATTGTCACTTTCTACCAGTTCGAGGTCACCTTATGAATCAACAGACGAAAATGCCCCGGATGCAATCGATGCAACGCTCCACCTCTCCCTAGGTCTGATGCTCATGAGTACACTTAAGGAAGAAAATGCGCTGGACTGGTTCCAGATTTTTGCCTTCATGCTCATTTACCTTATTAGTATTGGCCCGAGAGAGATAAGCCTCTATTTTCCTAAATCCATAAATTTTGTCTATACTATAAGGCGGAAGTCTGGCATACCAACTCGAAGGCTCTACCCAATGTGGCATAAGCCGATTTTACTTTGGACCACCACGCTTATATTCACCGTCATGAGTTCAGCAGGTATACTTTACTGGATGGACACAATCTCCATTCGTCACGATCAGAAATTCTGGACAGGTCCAGAATCTCCATCTTTAGACACAATTTACAGAGCATCAACTAAAAATCGTCTCCAAATCGTCATCGCTCATTCAGCCGGCGAATCAATCCCTGAAATTAAATGGATCGTAACTGGGATTTTAACATCACAGCCTGCCGTTTTGGCACACAAACCAAATGTTGTAATCTATACAAAAGATCCGTCGGCAGACATCGTGAAGAAACTTCGAACAGAAGTCGTTTTCGGGGATATACATCCTCTTCCCAATATTGGAGGTGTATCTGGAATTTTCCTTCATCATATATTGAAGAATTGGGATGATCTACCTACGCAGACGCTTTTTCTCACTACCTCTTCATATACCATCGATAATTTCGATCTAATCGGTCGTCGGTTATTCGATTATTATAATCCTGCGCAACTACCACCCGCGGCAGAAAACTCGGATACTTTAACCGGTTTCCTGAATCTGGGGGAACTGGAAACGTGTGATTGTTATGGATGCCTTGATAAAAGTGGCTGGAATGATACATTCAGACTAATCCCGAGCATGTGGTCTGCATCTCGTCCGGTGGAAAAAGGTCAAGCATCTCATCAATGCAAGAAAGTTATTATAACACATGGAAATAATTTCATTGCTTCAGCGGCACGCATTCGAGGAATCAAAAAGGATATTTGGGAGACTCTCAATGATGCGTTGTCAGACGAATCATTAAGTAGGGGCTGGGCTCATGATAGATTGAAATTAGGACCCGGAGGAAGAGATGCGGAAATTTTTGGTGAAAAGGACAGTTTGGAAAAACCGCATTTGGGATATACGGTTGAGAGGCTGTGGGGAATTCTGTTGGGCTGTTCAAAGCAGAAGATTGCATGGAGATGTCCTAACTTGTGGAAGGGGTGGAGGAGGGGCTGGGAGAAGGAGGATTGTGCCTGTAGAGATTGAGAGTGCATATAGACAGCGGTGAATGAACGATAATAGATGTGTATAATTCATGGATGGACGCTAAGCTTCAGGTAGTGCACATATCTCCCAAGCTGACTATTGTTCATTAATACGCTCACTTTCCTCCCCATCTACTTCACGTCAAGCACACGAATATTTGAACGCCAAAATTAGTTTCTTGGTCCGATCACGTTTTATCATCAGTTCTACCTTCATTTCCAACTCTACTGATGAATTTATGCCCGCTTTCCCCTTCGTTCCTTCTCTACCCTTACGATGAGTGATTATCTGTACAATAATTTGAAACCAATAGCAACGCAAAAATTCACGGTCACAACGGCAAGCGATATACCCAGCTGGAGAAAAACCGCAATGGCATATATATACAGCCCAAAAGCAATTACCCTAATCCATGATGATATTGTGCGCGGCAATTGAGTCCCATACACGCACCTTAGAGCACCGGTACTCCCACCTATTCCTATTCTGAATGTAATAGAAGAACAGGATTGGGACAATATAGGGTTTTATATACCGGGTACCTACAAAACTCACACAGAATCCACCACTTATATACACGAGTTCTTCACTGGATAAATGATTAGAGTTTTATGGATACATAGCGTCAAGGACTTTAGAATTTTAATCCTTTTCCAATATCTTTAAATCTTATAGAAGAGGTAAAACTAGACTGCGCAACAGGGCCCCACAGGGCGGATTATTGCCCTTAAAGAATAACCTACAGATGATTTATTTGTAGGGCAAGTAATTGAAGAATCTGAATAAATAAACTACAAATAATTTATAGTTTATTTATGAATATCTGTCACGGACCTCGTATACAGGACGATCACGTGATTCCAATTGATCGACAATTCCTATCGGTGAGCTGGTAGTCTGTGCACATCTTGTCAAATTTACCCTTTTTAGTATGGCATTATGGTCACCTTAAGGCAGGTTGAGCACAACCATGCAGGTATCTATCACGATTCACGGTTTTCTTTATAGTAGTACTATTGATGTCGGTGATTTACATGCCGACTACAGGGGGGGTGTGATTTAACCGTTGCTTTCAGGGGGCCTAATCACTTACGAATAGGACCCCAGGATTCTTAGGATAAGTATCCCAGGCAACTATATTAGATTAGGACAAGTGTCCTAGCTAATTGGCTGAAATGGGATCATCACCCTAGAGGATATCGTATCCTAGGGCTATAGTTCCTAGAGGAAAGTTTCTGGGATAAGTGTTCCAGGAAAAGAAAGGCCTCAAGATCAATCACGTGATATGCTAGCTCTGCTAGCCAGCTAGCATAGCTAGCATGAAAGGAAAGAGATTAGTATATATGATCAGAATAGTTTCATAGTTTAGGAGCTTCGTGCTCAACTTAGTTATCAATTAGTTTACCTATATTCCAATTGATCTAGTAACGAATTCACTTTCAAATAAATAACCAATGATTATTAGCCTTAACCTACAACTACCAACCATACGAAACCTCAGGCAGCCGCTGCCTCGACCAGATCGTTACAGAATGGAAAGAAGCTTTATAGAGTTTAAAAGCTTCAAAAAGCTTTTGAATCTTTAGGAGCTTTTAAAGCTTTTAAAGCTTTTAAAGCTTTTAAAGCTTTTAAAGCTCCTCATTACATGATTGGTCCTAAGGCCTTTCCTTTCCTGGAACATTTGTCCCAGGAGCTTTTCTTTAGGAATTATTGTTTTAGGATACAATATCCTCTAGAATGATTGTTTTATTATAATATAGTTGTCTAAGATACTTATTCTAGGAATCCTGGGTTTCTATTCGTAAATGATTAAGCCTCTTGAAAACAATGGTTAAATCACACCCCCTTAGTAATCAGTATCTAAATCACCGATATCAATAATACTATTATAATCTAAACCGTGAATCGTGACATTATTTTTATATAGTCTAGGTAAGACTTGTAAGTACTATAGAAAATCTAGATAATAACTAATAATATATAGGACTATAAGTTTTCAATTCACATAGCTCTATTGTGCTCTTCTTCTTTTGAAAGCTAAATATGTAATAATTATAGAAGTTCGAAGCTTCTGTATCTGAATTAGAAATTATATATCTCGACTCCTCATTTAGGGCGCAATAAGCTACACGCGCTGATTCGATATTGAGAGCTGTGAGTGGAAACATATGAAGTACAGTGACAGTTAGAACTATAACGCGACAGGAATGGTAAGGAGAAGATACTTCAGTGGTAAAAACGAAAAGGAAGTGGGTAATAATGGTCTATATAACCAACCCGCCATTATGACTCCATAAAATTCCATTGTGTCCTGCTTATTCCGCGATGAAGCTTAAGGTTCAACGATCCATACGTTCCTTAAATAGTACCGTGTCTCTATTCCGGTATAGTATGCCCAAATATTTACCTCTAATGTGGGATTATCTACCGTACCTTGAATATCTCCCGGTCCACTCAGAAATCTTATTGAGGATATATTTACATCACCTCCACCCGAGAAAAAAAGAAGTAAAGCCAACAAGGGAGACTTTGTACACTCACATTCCCCTCTCATCAACTACTTTCTTAAAACATCTCTGCAATGCAAAATTTGCCAAAGCACAACTGAGGGAAGAATGTAAAAGATGCAGAGCACCTTTCAGGAAATTCCTTGAAAATATTGATCTGTAAGATTTGAATTCCTCCAGAGTCTCGCTCGATATTTAAAAGCGTTACAGTGCGAGGTACCTCTCAACTTTCATTACCGAGAACATGCAATGCTTTTCGAAATCTCCATTAGGAGCAATAACACTAACAACAACAATAACAATAAAATCATCACTCACCATCACCAACTCACCAACTCACCAACTCACCAACTCACCATCCCACCATCCCACCATCCCACCATCCCACCATCCCACAGATCTCCCTCACAAAACAAAGTCCCCCCGAACCTATCTCCAATAAATGCCCAAAAACCAATATCTTCCCATCCCTCCTCATTTCACCTACTCAACAGACACTCCCCCTTCGAAACATTGCGTATAGGGGCTTGTACTACAAGCTATACTGCTCAATTTCGGAGTGTGCATAATAGCATAATACTGTTTTTACCATTCCCTGCTAGGGAACTGAGGTAGCAGACGGGAGAGACGCGGCGGTGAGTTTGAGATTCTAAAAGGCGCAAACTACTCTTCACTTATCAGCTCCTTCGTTGCTCCCTCATCCTGTGCCACATCCAACTAGTCAGCTCAGGGGGTGCAAAAGTTCACGACTGAGATTTGGTACGCCCATACCATAAATGCTACGGTGTAGTTTACATCAATATTAATCGATCTTGCCCTTGCCTTCGCCGACACATATTCAACAAGCCTCAACCGCTTATCATCCACGTCTCAAACCATCTTCGCATGGGTTTGATCGCAGTCATCTACATCTCACAACTACCTTTTTCATTTCATCCAGTTAAAGCCATAAACAAAAAGTCTTGACAAAAGCCTTTCCGAAGCTTCTTACTATTCATTTCCTATGCTTTGCAGTAAAATTCCAAGGTATCTATGCATCTATTAATATCACAAAATAATTCCATCTTCAATCAAGACAGCTCCACAATATGTAGATAAAAAAACAAATCTTATTGCCATTCAAAAACATCCACCTTGAATTTTCCCTTTCATCCCCATAAAGTAAAAAATTCTCGGGCCAAGGCGCATATAAATTTTCAGGTCGAAAGCTGTAAGTCTTCATATCTTCTCACGCAATCAATCCCAGCCGCTCTATTCATCCACGAGCTCCGCCATTCGATTCACACGGCAACTAAAATGTGATTTCTGCAATGGTCCAATGAACCTAGGTGTAAGTGAGCCTCGCACGGCCACCCATACATCGTCTGAGTCGCATGGGCTTCCTCGGACCCCTCCCCCCTTCTCCAGCCACTCGGTGCAAGGCTAAGAACAACGCGCAGGCCAAAGCAATTTTCTTCCAATGATGACCCTGAGAACATTTCTGACAGAGGTACGGCGTCATCCATATTTCGAAAATGCTCTGAAAAAGAAATTTGCCCCGCAATGATTTGCAGGTAAACGATTTTCACTGAAATGTGAGATACTCAAGGCGGGAAAGGATCCCTTTCCCCCTATCACAATACCAAGTCTAACCTCCAGCACCGTGTTGTGGCTAAAATTCAAGCGGGGCTCCAACTGTCAGGTCAATCCCCAATTATCCTTGAACTTCCCTCTCGTTCGACATACTCAAGATGTCGGCATCGCGACATCACCCCCTTCTCTTCCAGATGGTTGCCTCTTGAACCTTTCTCTCACACGCTCGTATATTGGAACTTTAGGTCCTTGAATCTCATAAAGTGGCTTATGTTCCTCAAATATATCATGTAAATCATCATAATCGACATGCACGAAGGCTCTTTCGACATCCGCCAACCCTGTTTCTGTTAGCGTCTTTTCAGATACTATCGTGCCACGATAGACCTACCCTCAAGCTTTCTTTGTAGAGTTTGGGAAACATCATGCGTGACTTTCAATGTTTCTTCTTGTCCCATGATAATATCGACTTCGACATAGTATTTCTCACCAGCAGAATATGCTCTTGCCTTGTGTCAGGGATTAGCAATAGTCAAGTAGCAGAATAGAATCCCTCCTTACAGTATCAATCTTTAGGATCCTAGGGTCGTGTGTAACTGCAACATATACAAGCTTGTTCAAAAATTCTTGCGGAGCACTTTTGCCAACTAAAAGCCACATGTGTTCAAAAGCAGTTGATGCCCATGAAAACAATATCAAGAATGCAATAGCGATAGCACCAGCTGGATCCAAGAACCAAACTTTTGCATACTTGGTACCCACAATGGACATAATCAAACCAAAACTGTTAACCACGATATCATTTCGATGATCCAACATGAAGATTGCGCAAGTTGGGTAACGACGTAGGGTAAAGCAGTATACGAATAGGACAGCCTTGGAAAAGATAGCAACACCCACGCAGACGAGAGGAATAGGTTTGAGAGTTTCGTTCTCCTTTGGACCATCAGCTAAGCTTCGAGCCGATTCGATAATCAATTCTACGGAGACTGTAGTCATAAGGGCGCAGAAGAGGATGATTCCCACAGTTTCGACTCGTTTGCGACCCTAAGAAAAGTGTGAGATGAGAATACTTCTTCTACTAAAAGACGTTACTCACAACCGGGAACTTTGTAATGTTGGGTTTGGCGGCTATCCGCGAAGTGATTAACATCACTATAGAACTGACCAAATCCATCTAATCATGGAATTAGTCTTTCAACGGCGGCCTCCGTTCCCAAGTTGGAAACTTACAAAAGCATCCGCAGCAGTGGCGAACAGTGCCAAACTTCCCGTCGAGACGGCGGCAAAGACTTGTATGATGAACAGGCAAAAGTTGACGGTAGAACTAGCATAGATAGCGAATCTGATCTTTCCACCATTTTGAAGTCCATCTTCAACCTCTGCAGCTTCTTCATTATTACTCGCTAGATATGCATCGATCAAAGCATTCTGTCTATTATAAAAACTCTTGATCTTTTTGACCTTTCGTGTTCGTTTTTGATCTGGATGTTGTGTGCGAAGCGTGGCAATGCTTACATCTTCCTTTTTGGAGTTGAGAAGAGAGTATGGATCTGCATTGTATGCAGTTTCGAGGCTATCACAGGACATGATAGGAGTAATATTTGGAAGAGGAGATGTAAGAGCTGTAGGCGTAGGGGATAACGCTGCAGAAGAAGAAGGGATCATTGTGTCGAGATCATTGCCATTGGCACTGTGGGTATTGGTAGGAGATGCCATCTGCGAATGAGTAAAAGCCCGGATATCTTTGTATTGTTCTATCTCCAACGACTTTTCTCGAAAGTTTTCAGCCCACGGGATTTAGTGTACCTTATCGCGTAGTACAAAAAAGATAGTGGGAGAGAACCTCGAAGGGAAAACCGAAGGGAAATATCGCAGGCGGATGGGTAATAAGTCTTATCGAATTCTCATTTTCCGATTTGCAGAGAGGCAGTATACTCGGGGTATCTGGATATGGAAATGGAAATGGAAATGGAAATGGATGGATGAGCACTGATGAGCGATGGATGGTCAAGTATCAGGTATCGGTATCAGGTATCGGATATCTCATACATTGTACTCGAGTACATTGTCATGCTTTTCATGCTTTTCATGATTTTCATGGTGGCTGTCATGATTGCCCTTGGCTTGCTGAAGGCTGGAGTACTACAAGTTGGTGAGGGACACTATAAATTGTGGCAAGGGATCTAATCGCCAAGCCACATTTTTTAAACTCATAAGATGATTCTATTGGTCGGTCATTCGAATTGAGAAGTGAGAGTAACCCGATCTGGTTCAAATCTGGTGAAAGTCTTACACCGCTTTCCCAGAGATCAGATAAATTATGACGACTTTGATGATTGGCTTGATAATAATTAAGGTTAAGGTTATCTTGACATTTTCATTTGCCAAAAGTGGATAATTAATGAAAGTTATGAAATACTCGTACTTACCTTAGCTAATAATAATAATTGAAAAACATTTATGTTTGCAAGATTATCACGAATCTGCCAGTAATTACTCTATAGATAACTAGATATATGATATATGATATATATTAGATATATAATATATGATATATATATGATATATATATACTAGGTACTTCATTACACTACATTTTGGTTCATCTCATCTCATTCATCTCATCCATCTAATTCAGTCCATCCCCCTTCTTTCTTGACTTCCAAAATCAATACTTGAACCTAAAGTCAAGTCTTTTGTTACCATCTTTCTCTCTTGCTTCACTGTCGTTTTGATATGCAGCCTTTTCTTCAGCCGTCATTTGATCCCAAACCTTCTCCTTTCTCTTGTTCAACACTATCAAGTACTGTCTTTGTGTCACAAATGTCACTAGCGCCAATGCGCAAATGGAAATCAGGACCTTATTGCCTTGTTTGTAATATGGAGCATCATATGAACGGTAGATTTGAGAACCGATCAATGATCCAACTTGAACAATAACGTTGTAAGTCGCCGCTGTAATTGCGCGCTTCTTCACATCGAACGTGTTTTCTGAAATCCAAGCAGAAACGATTGGATGGAAGTAGGGATCTGGGTTAAAGTCAGTAAATTAGAACTTGGAACTTGAGACATGGGAATTTCGTCCAAGCACTTACATCCAGAAATTAATGTCACCAAAGACCATCTACTCCAGTCCCTCCCGCCATCGGGGATTGTCAAGAGTGCCGTAAGTAGCGGCAGTATCCAGAATTCTCCAAAAATACAATGAAATGTACGTTCATCAAAGAAGTCACTACTATATGCAAGCACAAGCATAGTGATTACTTGCAAGGCAGCAGATGGGATGGTCAACATGTTGGAGTCGAAGGTAGTATATCCCAAACGCCTCAATGTGAGCGTAATATAAGATTGAACAGGCGTCGCAGGAATGTACGCTACCAAACCGATGAAATAAAGACCCCACATGGAAGAGTCACTCCATGCTTCGCGAATGTCTTTGAATGTGGCTGGTTCTTGCAGTGATGTAAGCCCTTTGGCTGGATCGTCACGCAGGATTCGCTATTTTGTTAGTGTCGAAGTGTTTAGCTGGAGTTCATTGACTTACATTCACCATGATTATCTCCTCTCGCTCTGTATACCAAGATTTGCGGCATAAAACACTGGAAGTCTTCGTCGGGGATTGAGGAAGATACAAAATACTCTGCATTTCCTTGTTAATCCAGCACAGGGAAACTGGGGAGCATGGGACGAAGCTTACAATAACACCAATTAAAAATGTGAAAAGTCCTTCAATCAGGAACAAATAAAACCATCCTGGTTTACCACCCACTCCCCTCATTGTCAGGATTCCAGCTGCAAGTAGCGCCGAAATTACTCGGGCAATATTGAGTGTGGACCAAAAACAAGCAAGACGAACGGATAGTTCCTTTGACTTGTAGAAGTATGTCGCAAAGAGGATGGTACCAGGAATGAAACCACCTTCACAAAGTCCAATGAGGGCACGGGTGATATAGAAGGATGTACGATCATGCATCCAGGCCTGAGTCCATGCTAATGTGAAGTATCAGTATTGCTATTCTCTCCAATCATGGTTTCTTCCGGTCCACTTCACTTACAGACGGTACCCCAAAGCATCATCATGATTGGGAGAATGTATTTGAATCCATAACGCTTGGTGAGGAACTGAACAGGAAATTCTGCTGCCAGAAAGCACAACAATTGAATTGTAGTACCCTATCAAACTGTAAGTACGGAAAGCACCCAACATTTAAGTCGGGGTAAGATGGAAACCTTACATTATTATAGTCGTCGGTAGTGAGCTTTAAATCCTTTAGAAGATTATCCGCTGTAGCATTGGAGAGATTCCCTCTGTCAAGTTGCAATCCGAAGAACTATATTCCGAATCAATAATCAAGACATTGACCAGAATGGGAGAATTCTTACCATGACGCAAATCCACAGCAAAAGATAAAGATCAGTCTTGCGAACGACTCTTCTCTCCTCTGCTTCCGTCCATGTGGCAGCTGGATCATATCTATGACTTCCTTCATATGATTCATGAGGCGGAAGTGCATCGGCCAAATTCTCACGGCCAACATGAGTCACCGAGATATGTGATGCACTATCCGAGACGACCTTTCTCGATGTATTGTCTTTGACATCTTCCATATTGCCAATTGGAAGAAATCAGATGAGCGAGTGTCTCAAAGGTCCGTCCCAAAGGTCGAATCGAATTATATTGACAGAATCAATTCAACCAACAGGATTTGAATCAAACAGGAAGCAGTGTCGGCCGCCCATCTTAAGTATTGAAACAAATCCACCTCGATAGTATCGGGACGAGCCAAGCAAACCCCATTCCTATGTTACATACAAACTTTACAAATTTTACAAATCTTACAGGAACACATTGATAGTCAATCAACAAATCGCTTTTAATAGCGGAGGGACTTGCCAGATATAAATGTCATATCCGTGATTTCTCCTTGTTTTTTCCTTATTTTTGGTTACAGTACGATGGTGACATATCACGCAATTGGAATATTGACCAGGGTGTTACGCATTGCGGGGGTTCCCGACCAACAGAAAGATACCTTACTTCTGATGTTGATGGCATTTGAGTTTATCCGTGCCTCGGGAACTTTTTAATAGACAGATAAAGTTTACTATTGCGAGCTCTTGCATGTTTTTTTTTTATTACTCTTCTTCTGCCTTTGTTGATTTGTTGTATGTATATATTTGCTTGCGTCTCTGAACAACGTTGACATTATGCCTTCCGCCGACTTCATTAATGTTAAAGCTCAACCAGTTCTGGAGGATGAAGATCAGATAGCTCGTACAAGATGTACCAAACCTTTAGTAAACAATGGATTATTGGATCAATACGAACATTCGGATCTTACACCAGTAATTGGACGAGCATTTGATGAGAAGACCCAATTGAAGGACTTTCTTGCACCGACTATTCCTGAAGAATTACTCAATGATCTCGCATTAACAAGTATGTTTGACATATACTCTTGGTTGATAGAAAGCAATATTGATGAGAGGATTAGTCTCCGATCGTGGTGTGGTTTTCTTCCGAAATCAAGATATTACTCCTGATCAAATGAAAGCTGTCATTGAACGAATTTCCAAAGCAGCTGGTTCTGTGAGTTCCTCCCTTTACATTAATAAAATTCTACATCCATCTGTCTCATACCTTGTCAAATCCAATTTCCCCCATCATCTAACGTTTCCCCAGCCTGAGTCCTCTACCCTCCACATCCATCCCCTTACGGAACAATCCTCCGAACTGGGCGACCAAATATCCGTCATCTCTTCTGCCAAACAAGCTAAAGGAGGTGGTTTAACCCACCAACTCTCTGATGTATCTCGGTTTGCCAGTACCGGCTGGCACGCAGACATTACTTTCGAACGAGTACCTTCCGACTATGCCATGTTGAAAATCCATACTTTGCCAGAAACAGGCGGCGATACCCTTTGGGCTTCTGGAAATGAAATCTATGAGCGCTTGAGCCCGAAGATGAAAGAGGTACTGGAGGGATTGACGGCAACGCATGATGCGAACTTTTTCCATGAGGAGGCGAGGAGATTAGGACAGGATATCAGGGAGGATATGAGGGGAAGTCCTCTGAATATCGGGAAGGAGTTAAGCGCCATTCATCCTGTTGTTAGGACAAATCGTATGTTACTCCCACCTGCTTCTGTTTTCTTTATCTTTTCCTCATTAGCTTTCCATTTCTCGATTATCATTCCACCCCTCTGGCATATTCCGTCCATTATTAACGTCCAACAGCTGTAACCGGCAAAAAATCCCTCTTCATAAATCAAGGTTTCACAAGGCGTCTTCATCCTCTCACCAAAGATGAATCGGATCTTTTACTTCCATGGTTAAAGAATTTGGTGCCTTTAAATCATGATGCCCAAGTTAGATGGAAGTGGAGCAAGAATGATGTGGCGATTTGGGATAATAGAAGTAATTGGCATTGTGCTACTTATGACTAGTGAGTTTTCGTCTTTCATTTGTGGTGTATACGGAGATAGGAAGGTAAAGGATGGAGAATGGTAAAATGATGGGAAAGGGTCCTATGATGGATAAAACTAATGATTTGTGTTTTAGTGCGGAAGCGAGAGCAGGTGATAGAGTTTGTAGTCTAGGGGAGAAGCCATATTTGTAAAAGTGAAATCGACAAGAACTCGGTATGGACGATAAATGGGAACGAAAGATGCGGTATGAAAAGATGTGTCATGAAAGTAGACTGATGCCATTTACATATCGATCTTATCGTCGTTACCCCTGGTCGTGAGATCAATTCACTAGCCGTTGGGTGTTATACTAGTCGTATTAACGAGATAAAATACTATGTATATACTCGGGCTAGTCTTTAATGAGGGCCGGAGGCTTAAAGAAGCATATTTTCACATCAAAAATCATATATTTCAAAAATTTCTATAAATTCAATAGATAATTATATATATTTCAAATTTCAAAAATATAATAGATATTTATCAAAAATTTAATATCTTATTATTTTTATTTATTTTATATCAAAATATATTATAAAAATCTAAAATATATTAAAAATTAAAATCTTAAAATATTATAATTTTGATTTAATAATTTTTTATTAATAAAAGAATCAAAAATATTTTTATTAATATATAATTATTAAATAAATAAATAAATAATAATATCTATTTCAAATATTCAATTAAAATATTGAAAATTTGAAAATTTGAAAAAATTGAATTAATATATATCTTTCAAAAAATCGACTTTTTTGATAAGAATATAAAAGTTTGAGCCCGGCCCTCATCAAAGACTAGCCCGAGTACACTACTACATTCCCTTCTTCCTCAAACTTTGAGCACGAGGAGGCCCCGGTACGTATAGGTTCTCGTTTCAGTCCATTGTGTTTTTAACTTTTTTATGATTTCGATATTATAATTTCATTACATAAAGGCATGCAATGCAAACGGACTATCTTCGATGTTAGTTAAACATCCAATTCCTGCTGCCAATCGTCTCCTTTCTCATCATATTGTCAATTCTAAATCATACACATTATTTAATTACCTGTCGTCGATTTCTAATCGGTCTTGGTGTTATACAAAAATAACTCAGAATAGGATCATTAGTGCTTCGTTTATGAAAGTCCGTATCTGTTGCGCTTAAAAAGCTGATTACCTGGTACCTAGCTTCGGTTAAGTAAGACTTATATCACTGGTGCTTCGACGGATTTCTGCTAATTATCAGCTTTTAAAAGTGTCTAGTGCTTGTCGTAAAACTTTGACTTGTTGGCAATGATTTTGCAAGCTCCATTCATCGTTTTGATAATATCAAACATACTGTATTCTGGGCTACCTAGCGCGTTAAACCCATCCCTTCATTTTAGTTTTGACTTCTGAAAATGAAAATGAAATCCACTTTTGAGATCTAGTTTTTGCTTGTTTTAGATCAACAACTTTTTTTTATATGTGATCTAATTAAATAATAGTCAAATTTATATTTTTATAGAGATATATTGTTATTTTTCTTATTAATAAATAACTAAGAATAAAATAAAAATGAATGGATTACTGATGGATATGTGCTCGATCCTTTTGCGTGCTTGCTCACACGTATATATGTACCAACTGACTATTTGAGAACTCTTTTTCATTATTTCGCTACACTTCTAGTTATCCCTGGCACTTTTCATTATCATCTTGTCATTGTCACATAAATATCAGCTCAAATATGCTTCTACCTGGAATCTAGACTTCTTCCCGCCGTGTGAGAAGAAACCACCTTGAGGAAGTTGTCGAGTGTTGGCCTGCAAATTGCTTTCCATCTTCGCTATTTACATCGGAGGCTCAAGCTCTTGTTGGAGTCGGGGTCTGAGGAATTTGATTCTGCGTAGTGTAGGTTATTTATACTTCTTCAAAGGGGAAAACTTGGGGATGTTGTAGCGCAATTAAGGTAAGGTAAATACTAAAGAGCACTAAAGCGGATCAAGACCTGCTTTTCATACTATTAGTCGGGAAATGGAAACAAACCCTATTTTACATTCGAGTGTTATTCTGTATCTGTCTTCCTTCCTAGCGCGACATTCAAAGATTAAGGACGAGAAACGCGGAGAGAGGGTCTTGAAGTTATTTGCGCAATGCTAAGAGCTTCCATTCTTTCTTTGAATTTCTTCTCTTCTTCTGATTCACTTGGAATAACAAGAATTAGGAATTATTACCATTTCTCACCCACTGTTACCAATTCAATTTTATGCATCACCGATATATTTACCCCGTTATCATTACTTTCTCAGCGTAAATCGATAGGGACTCTCGCATGCGAGATTCTGTTGTACTCTGTGTCAAAGGGTCAAAGGGTCATAGTATTAGAGACCTGGTGGACTAGTCTTTCACTTCTATTCTGGTCGAGCTTTTGCACCATTGCCTCTCAATCTTGAGAGTCAATACTCTATAGTGAGTGCGCGGTCCTTTTATACCTTAGAGGTACTAGCAATTAATATGGTCAGGAAATGGAGGAAGAGGGTGGGGACATATCTGTACTTTTATCTACATGAAGAGCTTGTGTGGAACGCCACTAGATTCGAATATAATCGAGTAGCTACCATTTACCACGGGTGAAGTAATAGTAATTCCACCGTGAATGGTCAAGGAGCAAATCGCTCGTTAGTTAAATTATCACCGCATCTAACAGCTCACTAGTGGAGCAGTATATTTTCCATTCTTATAAATTATCTTATTTTGACAAATGTAACGTTTTTACCGTCCTAGCTATTATTATCGCTGCCAAAGAAAAAGGTGTATAATTACACTATTTGAGATTCCCTATATAATATTTTCTTTTTTCCCATACGATAGGGGCTCATACCTAAGCGCAGTTTGTGAATCAATTTTTCAAGTCAAATCACACATCCTAAATAGAAGGCATGATTACATAGCATAGGTATCAGATATCCTTGACTTGTGAAGTATTGATACAAGGAAGTTTATTTATAGTCGAGACAAGTGAATTATACCGAATACATCTGAGATTGTGGTATACGATTGGAAATTCACTCGAATCAGGTTATTATTTCCTTTTTAGGACAGTTCCAAGCGTAGGTGTAGTATTTGAGTACCTAGATAGGTACTTAATACAGCTTCTTCCTAAAGATGCATTCATTATCTGTGGTACGATCAAATTAAAAAGGGCGAGATGATATGATCATGAGAGAACTAGAAGCAGATCTTAAATATTCAAAAGAGATGCCCTGCTCGATGATGAAATGTTCTTCCTTTATTGGACTTATATCACTATTGTTCACTATATGTCACTGTCAATACTCAATTTCTGTTACAACTCATAATCAGCCATACATTGCTCTACATTATCGATGACTATCAATTCTATATATACAATAGCTAATTGCACCACAAAACCGTCTGTATATACGACCTCCTCAAAGCGCAACCGTCTGAATCTCTACAAACTGGTTTGAAAACCATCCACGGTCAAGTACCACGTCGTTCCTGTATTCCATTAATGAGAAAGTGAAATCCTTGGCTAGGAAGGTCTTTATACATTCTTATTTGCAGAATGGATGATGTGCTACGCTCGCTTGTCACATAGTATTTTTACTCCACCATTCAAAGGCTTGATAGAGTGTGATGGATGGACTTGTAATATTCTTACTAGATAGACCATCATTCTTTTGACTATAACACTATTAAGCAAAGCTTTAATATTTACTATAAGAATATAGGTAATGAAATGTAAAAGAAATAGAATACATTAATCATCAAGAGAATTATAATCTATATTTCTTCATCATTCTAAAACACTACTAAAAAGTTAGCAACACCCCCTTTTTGAATGAACAAGTCAATAATTGTAATAATTCATTTTATATACGCACTCCGCTTCCTATAATACCAATATATACTTAACATAACGATTGGTGGATAAAACACCTGAACTTCCCTTAATCTATACATCCATGCATCCATCCATCGCAATGCCCGAAATCTCAATAGGAGTACCCTAAATATTCCATCCCATTCCATTCCATTTCCCTTGTCTAGTCCTTCACCTAAACGCCACAAATCCCTCGTATGTAAATCTTCTTACCATCTGAAACGATAAAAAGTGTTGCAACCTCACATCCAACCCTATAACTCATCACCAACCTCCCTCTCCAACCCCACACCTCCTCTCTCTTCCTCCAAATTCGCTATTAATGCATCCAACCCCTCATCACTTAATCCCCCTTCTCCTTCATCCACCCCCAAATCCCTTACAATAACCCTCTTATATAATTCTCCCTCATCACCACCACCAGCAACCCCTAGCGCTCCAATATATTCACCCACTAATGCCTTTCTCCTTCGGGATTCCACATGCAATTGTTGCGCTGCTAGTATTCTATCATTATCTCCATCTTCCGAATCTCCCGTTCCATTAATTTGCCCACCTCCATGACCATTTATCTTTGACCCTTCGTGTTGTGTACGAGAGAGTAAGAGGAGTTGTTGTTGTCTTTCCACTAAACTTTGGACTCTTTCTTGTAAACCCACGAGATGCGCCTTTGCTGCAATGACATTTTCTTCGCCTTCTTCTTCCTCCGCTAAGTGTCTAGCCTGTTCCCTGACTCCCACCAACTCCATCCTCACCCCCTCTAAAATCCTCCTACTATCCGCCTCTGCATTTTCTTTTTCCGCCAATTCTTCATCGAAGCTACAAGCTAAAGCATGTAATCTCTCCAATAAAATTGGTTCCGCATTATTCTTCAAAGTCATGGCAGCCTCTGAAATATGCGCTACACCTCTTGGATCCTCTTGTTCAAGAGCATCATAATGAGATAAGTGACGAGCTGAATCCGGAGCAAAAGGTGAAGAAGAAGCAGCTTGCTGATGTCTTTCGGATCTGCGAGAAGCGTTCAGGTCTTGGATTATTTCCTCAGCCGTTTCACCCATATCATTTAAAATATCTGTAGAGGCACCACGACCCATCAAAGCTCGTACACATTTCCTGGCTTTGTTCTTCGCGGCAATATGAATTGCAGTATTTCCATTAATATCTCGGGCATCCAACAACCTTTGTACCTCATCAGGATGAAAAATTTCGATAAGCTTTTCAAGCAGAACATCCAAATAATATTGAGCGCATCTGAACTTTTGTTTCATGTTAGTTGTCGCAGCTGCATGGTGAAGAACTGTAGCTCCACATGAATCAATTTCATGAGCAGTATTGATTAATTCTTTAACAATGAGAGGAAAGTTTTGCTTGTCATATGAATTTGTAAAGAGGACTGATCGCATAAGCGGAGTTTCTTGACGATTATTTCGACAAACAAGATTTGCACCGAATCTTTTGAGTTGTTTCAATATGTCAAGATCACCTATTGACGCAGCCCAATGTAAACCGGTATGACCATCTGTATCAATAATGAAGTCGGGCTCGAAATTTATGGGCGGTTCTGGTCTTCTATCCATAGAATTCGCATCAGCGGGAGGTGCCATGAAGTAATCCAAAAGTTCATCGGCCCACATAAGATGAGCTTGTGCACGAAGATCGACAGGATCATCTTGTTGAGATTCATCCCTCTCACGATCTCTTTTGCGCTTTCGATGTCCGGTAGGTGGTCGAGACATATCGAATCGATCATCTTCGGCCATATATGAAGCGGAAGCAACTGTAACATCATCTGCCACACTTTCATCATCATTCAATTGAGTGCCTATATTATCGTAATTCTCTTCGACTTGACGGGCAATCGCAGCTTGTTGAATCGGCACTGGTTCTATTCTGTTAGTACTATCTACCTAGAAGGAAAGTAAGAAACTCACTCGCCCCCCATTTTGGTACTGCTGGTTTCTTGACCTTTGGCTTATTCGTAGCATGCTTTGGTGCTGGCGGAGGACTAAGTTCACCAGGTGTGTATTCGAAAATCGCACGAAGCTTTTCATAAATATTGTTTCTTTGCGCTAAAGCTTGACCTTTTTCGAGAGGAACCCAAGTACCTAAGACCAGTTAATCCTGTAACACTCTTATATCCAGAGTGTATGCGAACCTTGATATTTTCCATATCCACCTTGAATCTTCTCATGTTCTTCCTTCTGGACTTCTCTTTCAAGGATCCTCGTCCTAGCAGGTTTATCGAATCCAGCAGCTTTTAATATATGTGTCGCATTAATCCAATCATCATGCCGTCTTCTCATTACTGTGCCGAAGTTAGCTAGACTGCTTGGAAGTTAGGAGTATCATTCTGCTTACCATGTTCCTTGAGAGCCTCTCCGAACAAATATTCATACACAGGGACCTAATACTCAAATCAGCAACAAGGAATGAAGTGGATAGAAGGCATTGTATTCAAGTAGGTATACACACATTGCTATAGGTAGCAGAATATATCCCCGGTCCAGTTTTCGCGGTATTGACCATATTTGCATCCGAAGAGGGACCCTGTCGAATGGAGGGGTTTGTGGGTGTACGTACGGGTAATAACTGTGAGATTAAGGGTGCAATAAGTTGTCCAATGCCTTGGTAAGGGAATCTCCAGGTATGCCGAGGAATGTAAATGATCTCTCAACAGCTCTGCTTGGTCAAAAATTGCAATTGATTTTGATATCGACCCGCAAGAAGTGGTTGATACTACAGTTAGAGAAATTGATTGTGGGAAGACGCGACGATGTTCTGAATGACGCGAAACGCGATTGTTCTAAACCGAAGTATAACCGCGCAGAAGTATGACTAAGCGATGGTTCACTGTTCACGTTTTGGTCAAGTGTCACAATATGAAATGCCGTCCACAGTTTAAATCCACTCATTCTTCAGCCGATTTATTAGTATACGAAGGGTCGAAAATTGCCTTACTTTGATCTAAATACCCGTTGAATTTAAACCCTTCTTCTCTAATGATTTACTACTCAAGACCCTTTAACCACATCCGATTCTTTGCTTCTTTTCTACGTTCTACAGAACCAAGCCCGAATCTCAGCGTTAGTCTAATAAAGCAATCCACTCCCTCCATCTACACACCGAAAAGTGCCTTTCTAGTATCATAAGTATACTTCAAATCTAAATGCCAATAATCGGGTGTATCCGCCTTACAAAGCATCCACGCATCATCCAAAACCTTCACCACCTCTTCAGGCAAGGGTCCCTTCTCACAGTCCTTCAAGTTCGAATCTAATTGCTCAACGCTACTTGCTCCCATGATAATCCCATCATCGCCATGCAATACGTTAAGTGCACTATGGTGTATACACCATCGTAGTGCTGTCTCTACCATTGTAAGATTGTGTTTTTGAACAACGGGCTCGATCAATTTTAATGCAGAGAAGTTCGAGTCTTTCCAATAGCGTTTTCTGTACATTTCACCCAATTTTCCCACGGCATCGCTATAGCGTCCACTGGTCGGGATCTCCGAAGATTTGTAGGCACCTGAAAAGAGACCTCCTGCGATAGGATTGTATATGACTACGGAAATCCCGTAGCGTTTGCAGCAGGGGATGAGTTCCGAGGCGAGAGATCGAGTTATGGCGTTGTACATTCCTTGGTAGACTGATGGACGCACCCAATTGTTATATTTGCAATGCATGACTATTTCCGAGACTTCAAAAGCTGTAAAGTTTGAAAGTCCCAGACGGACGAATTTGCCCTGTTTGTGAAGCTTATCAAGAACTGCCAATGTGTCTGTGAATGGGGTCGCGCGATCCTATCACTGTTAAAACCCCCTCATATTTCGAACGATTGAGAGGAACAAACAGCAGCATGCAAATAAAATATATCCACACAGTTGGTCCCTAGCTCCTTCAAACTCGTCTCGAATCTACTCGTCAACTCTGCCTCCGTATGCCATCCTGCCTGGAGTGGATAAACTTTCGTGGCCAGTGTCAAACCCCTCTCTTGCCATTTGGCATCCCTTGTAAAGGCTTCTTGTTTTCCTCCAACATATGTACGTGCTGTATCGACTTCATTGTAACCAGCGACTTGGAAATGGTCAAGAAGGGTGTTGTATTCATCTAATGAGGTTATACGTGCGCCGGTGGAGGGGTCAGGACCAAAGTTCATGAGACCGAGGATGATTCGGGGTTTGGGATTAGTTGTTATGAGAGGCATTTTGAATATGGAGGTATAACGTTAACAATATAGTTGATATTTATGATAGTATGTCTGTTCTTGAATAACTTAAAGTGAAATGGAGGTGTAGATAGAATTATGATATGAGTCGGTGGTACCGAGTAGGTATAAACATAGACATTCCTCTCTGATATAGCGACGCCATGTTGCTGGACTGAACCCCGCATCAATTAACCCCCACCTTCACAAGAAATATACGGAGGACGTAGATTATAGCTACCGAGCACTTCATGGTGGGCGTGTTGTTGATGGACATTGCATGCAGAAGTTTTGGATGAACTCGGAAAACTTCTTTGATGAAATAAGCAACCTCCTGTTCATAGTTCATAGTTCAGAGTTCATAGCTAAGGAGATACGATGCTACGTATCTTACCTAGCACGTCGCCGGTCATGCTTTCTTCTTTCTGCTTCAGCCGTTTGTCCAACTCTAGAACATTAACCTACCGAGTACAGGATGAAACTTGAAGGTTTAATTCAAATCATTAGTACACGTGGGAGGAGAAATGTAAGATTAAGATAATACGGTGATCAAAATACTTTATAAATCTTTGAAAGTCTTCCCTTCCAAGCACCCGACAACATCACCTACAAGCAAAAGTCTTACATCTCACAACCACAACCCTACGAAATATCTCTTATTAGTCAAGTTCTTGCAAATTGATTTCGAGTAACCACCCTTTTCTGTTCTGACCACGACCAAGACGCTAAAGATATATAAATACACCCATCCTAGATTTGAGATCTTTTGGTAACGAACACCACATTATTATCCAGCAGGTTTGATTAGTTTAGGTCTTTTGATTCGTTCTCGTGGGGGAAGGAAGAGGAGTTTATCAGATTCTGACTCCGATTCAGGGTCTCCTCCGGTTCATCCATCCGTATCCACTTCTACACTCCCTACACTCCCTACACTCCCTACACTACGAATTACCAGGGGCTTCACTTCCAGCCAAGGATGACGACAAATTAATTGATTGGTCTTTTTTACTCTGTACAACCAACTTTAATGCAAACCATTACGCTATCACCCAGGATCGAAGGGAAAATCAACTGTAAAAAGATTAATTCGCACAATACACCTCGAAAGCGCAGCCACACAATCCACAAAGTCAGCCCTGATTCGAGGTCAACGTTTGACATCGAAGTCTAATAAATTGTCTATTCCGATAGCAACCCTCCTTGTCTCTACTTATACTACCAATTCACCCACCCAAATCGCATGTATGTCTCATAGAAGTCACCAGACATCTTCAAATAGACAGGAATTACATCCAATACCCGGACTCAATAGTGACTCGTGGAAGACCTCGAATCCTGTCTCAAGACACTCTTTGAGGGTAAGGTTATCCTCTCACAGTCCTAGCGTTCGGACTCTCGACTTCGCACATCATACACAACAAGGAGAGGCTTCACAGGTTAGTCCGTTGACCGACGACCAAGAAGATTCCAATTCCGATTTTGACGACGATATGGAAGGACGAAGGCCTCCATTGCATCGCCCTGCAGATGGCCGTTCACATCAACCATTACTACACAAAAGTGATGATCCTGAGAGAGGGAGGACGGGATACAATGCGTCTCCAGGTCCCACGGAACGTCCCACATTCTCGAGACGATCTACGATGCGAAGTCGAAGTCCGGACACTCAAGCAAAATTGGCCACAAAAAAGAAATATACATATGCCGCCTTCTTTTTGGGATTGAGTTTGATTAGTTTCGTCATCCAAACAGAAACTGCCGTGTATATACAACATCAATTGGGGTGGAATAAAGCATACTGCATGTTGTACGTAGGAGAATCCACCCCAACAACACTAGAAGCTAACATTTCAACTCCAGATATTTTACTCATGGATCATGGTCTTTACTATGGCCTACTCAACTTTTAATATTACGATTACAAAAATGGAAGATGCCATGGAAAACCTTCTGGAGAAGACACGTTTATCTTGTTCGAACGACCGCACAAATGGTGGAAACTGGAGAATTAGATATCCCAAGAGGGCAAAGATCCCCAATTCCATATATGCTCAAAATGACTGCGTTCGTTACATGCGCACTTACAGTTGCTGGTGGATCTTGGTACGTGGCGGTTAATTTAACATCACCATCCGATCTCACGGCTATTTACAATTGCTCGGCATTCTTCGCATATGCTTTCAGCGTACCTCTTTTGAAAGAGCCTCTTAGATGGGATAAATCTTTTGCGGTCATGGTGGCTATTATCGGAGTTTTGGTTGTCGCATATGGAGATTCTACACCAACGAAACATGGAGGGAAATCTGGTGGTTCAGTGGGTGGGAAACCAGGTGATGTAGATGATGAAGCATCAAATAGAGTTCTGGGAAATCTTGTTATTGGAATTGGGAGTGTTCTTTATGGATTCTACGAGGTCTTATATAAGAAATTGGCATGTCCACCTGAAGGAACAAGCCCCGGTCGAGGCATGATTTTCGCCAATACATTCGGATCTCTCATCGGATCTTTTACCCTATTAGTTCTCTGGATTCCCTTGCCCATCCTCCATCTTACCGGTCTCGAAACATTTGAGCTCCCACATGGAGAGGCAGCTTGGATGCTGGCCATCTCCGTCCTAGCAAATGCTATTTTCTCAGGAAGTTTCTTAGTCTTAATCAGTCTTACAAGCCCTGTTTTAAGTAGTGTCGCAGCACTTTTAACTATTTTCCTCGTCGCAATAGTCGATTGGGCTTTCACGGGTGTACCATTGAGTCCGGCTGCTATTGCAGGTGGTTTGTTGATTATCGTGGCGTTTTTGTTGTTGAGTTATAGTACTTTTAGAGAGATGCAAGAGGAGAGGCGAAAAAGAGAAATAGATTTGAGTGATCATGATTCGGACAGCGATAAGTTCGATGAGTAGACGTCCTTGAGTGGACTGGTGGGTGGGTAGGCGGTCGGTGGGTTTGGTTGAATAGGTGGCTCTTTACATAGGATTGATTGCATTGACTACATACATTTTGGGAAGTATCTTGCGGTACTCGGTGTGGGGAATACCTGTAGGTATTAACTAGCCTCATAGCATGGCTATGGTTTAAGGCTTAAACTTAGGGTTTACGGTTTGCATCTAGATGGCGCGGGCGTTCTGGATATTGATCTATCAATGGAGAATTGATGGGCACTTTTTTCCTGGCCACTTATTACCTACCATGACTTATCACTTGCATCTGGGATACTATGTGATATTATGCGTATGAGGAGATTCATGAGTATTCGAGTGTTGTACAGTGAATATGTGAACTGGTGACAGATCGTGTTTGGGGTATTGAATAGAGTGGGCGGGTGGTGTAAAAGGTATGGAAATGCATATAAATTACACATTCGTCTCAATTCCTACTGTACAAAATCATCTTTACTTAGGTATCTACTCCTATGCCAATCCCGTCCGATGCTATTTTATTACATTTCACTTCATTTTTTTCAGCCAGCCTACAAAATCCCTCCTTCATGGTTCACCAGGCCAAATCTCTTCAGCTAATTTCCTCACCAACTCCAGTTTCTCAATCATATCCGTTCTCTGCATATTATTTCCATCCGAGTGACTCGCAAATCCACATTGGGGACTAACACCCATTCTTTTTAATGCTTCTTCTCTTGTCTCTCCGTTCCCTTCAGCGATTTTATCGGCTGCTTTCAAAACTCTTTCTTTCAGTTCATCCAGATTTTCCAGTTTGGGGAATTTGCTCGTGATCAATCCTAGGATGACATTTTTATTCTTAGGAAGGTGGGCGAGCGGTTCAAATCCTCCTGCTCGCGCAGTGTCATATTCAAGGTAATATGTATCAACATTTAGGTCTTGGAATAGTTTCGTAGCGATGGCATCATACCCGCCTTCAGAAAAGTGACGACCGTTGACGAAGTTTCCGCGGCATAGATGGATGCCTACGTGCAAATCATTTGGACGATCACGCAGACAATCGTTGTAGAGTTCGATATATGATTCAAAGAGAGCATCCGAGTCTTCCCCATCTTGTTTAAAACCTGCCAGCATTTTTTCGGAGCAAAAGTATGCAAGGTTGGGATCGTCAATTTGGATATTTCGGACTCCGGCTTCATATAATATTTTAAGTTCTGTGCGGTAGGCGGTGGCTATGTCGGCGAAATATGAGGCATCGTCGGGGTATATGTCTTTTGGATATGCGTGGCCGGTGTTGTAGCGGAGATGATACCAATTCGGAGCTGCGAGGGTGATTTTCGCTTCTTTGAATTTTTCCGCCTGAAGAAGGTTTTTGAGGTAGTTCCATTGGGAGAGGTATGTGCTTCCGACATGTTTTATTTTGCCAGTACAGTAAACAGATTCACCGGGCTTATGGCCTTCTTCAAGGAATGCGCCGATGTCGGGAACGTAGCGACGGAAAGAATCCAGGGGTGGATTTTGGACTTCTTCAAATCCTTCGAGGCCGGGAAAGAATGTACCCCTTTTGTATATCAGTATTCTGTTTTAATAGTGTGATGGTGTGTGACGGTGGTGTATGAGGGTGATGTATGAGGGTGGTATGATGGTGTATGAAGGAGTGAATCTTATGCAGGCGAATAAAAACATACCAGAACATATGACGACGATACTCTCCATCTGTAACGGCATGGAAACCTAGGTCAAGTTGTGCTTGAACTATCTCGTCGATGGATACATCTTCTACCTTTCTCAAATCTTCCTTTGTAACATTATCCTTTCCATTATCGAGGGCATGTTTTATCGAAAGAAGTTGCTCTGAACGTAGCAGAGACCCGAGATGTTCTGCTCTGAAAGGAGGATTTCGATGAAGTTTGGGAGACATGTTGCAATAGAGAAGTTAATAAGAGTATATGAATCCTGTAATTGTAAAATGTAAGTGAGGATAGAAATTGTATAGCAATAGGTTGGCAGGCAAATAAGCCATGGTTATATACTCCTGCCATTGTATGATTAATCCACGGACTTTTCCTTAATCAAAAAAGTCATATAGAAAGACGCGACGGCTTGCTCATCTGCCCCTCACCAGCTTTCCAGAATCCTCGCTGCAATTGTAGATCCACCCCGTTGATCTTTATAAGAATGTAGTATAGTTCCCCGCTTGGTCATACCTTACTCAAGCATTAACGTTTGTGCTGCGCATGCACCTTTAACGGCGACAGATCGTTCCCAAACGTACGTACGTACCTACCTACCTTATACCTTATGTAAACTCGGAACCGGGCGGGCAGAGGAGGTGGAGGGTTCTGGTTGAAGCTTCCAACTGAATTGGTAGTACATGTCTTCTAGACGGGAAGTTTAGATAGGAACATGTAGGGGGAGAGGAGGTGGAGTTACCGGTAGCAGAGGAATGAGGTCTTGTAAGCATTGACAAATAACCCCGCACAATAGGACAGAACCTTAGACTTTGTTAGTTTAGCGTCATTTGCCCAGCCTTATCAATTATTATCTGTAAGCAGTTTAACCGTTTACCATACAGCTTTGAGCCACCGGGACCCCATCCCATCATATAATCTCAATCTCACGATAGTTTACCATATATTCATATATTCCCTTTCCAGCTAAGTGGTCCAATTATCCATTCTACGCTGTACTTCACATCCACCGAGGTGCGGAGACAAAACTGTCCATTTCAACCTTTAATCTCATTGGTTTTTCCAACATCCAAAATCTACAATAAATGAATCCTGAGCTACCTTCCTCAAGCCTGGATACCCTCGAAACTCTCACAATTGACGGCAAATCTACAGAAATATCATCACATCAGCCTTCAACGACTCCAATGGAATATCCCTCAACATCCCACGTTACTCCACATACGATCCCCGTAGACGTTACAAAACGGGGTCCCACCACAATTGAAGATCTTCCAAATGAATTGCTAGCCAATATCCTCAGCCATTTGGATTCAGAAGCTCCGTCACATTCCCATACGATACTTCATGATGAACCAACCTTGAATGTAACCACATCCGAAGTTCGAGACCTCAAGAATTGTTCTGTGATCTCGAAACGATGGAGACAACCAACCTTACCCTTGCTGTTCAAATACACACGATATATCTTGAAGTATTCAGAAGATGATTCTAGACCAATTCTCAATGATCTTACAGGACCCTTCCTTCAATTCCTTCATACTCAATCTCTCGCCAGCATTGTCACAAGCTTTACACTGGTGGTTCGGGAGGAGAAGATATCGAATTGCTTGGATGGAATACCTCGGTGCCGCGAATTCGATAGTTTTTGGCAACGACTCTTTCATATAATTGATCCCTCAACTATTTTGATTGCTGCACCTGCCGCCGCTCTCGCTTCCCTGACTTCGGCCGTCATAAGTGTAATGGAGGCATGGCTCTTTGGAATCGAATGTCACTATTTACGATTGGAAAGACCCGCATCCAAAGAAGCCATTGTCACGGAGATTACAGAGAGGGATGGTCCAACAGAATTGCCACAAAGACTAGCAGAAATATCTGCTCCATCGTCTAGAATATCGCCTCTTGCAGTTCCCTTTTTTGATGAGCGATTACACTATACCTTGGCCACTACTACTTTACCACGAACTTATGCCAAGTCTTCTGAGATCTTCCAAATTAGACCATGGACATCTTTGCTTCTTAATGAAGGGTCTAATTTAAAGGCCTACAAATCATCCTTGTGGTGGGAATTGGATACCCCTTCTGTAAGTAAATTATACGCTCAATTTGATGGTAGTTATCTGATTATTTAAAGATACTAGGCAATCTTGTTGGAATAAATGATGCCATACCTCTGATCAACTCTAATATTCGATCCATGAGATATATCGCTATCTTTCCAATAGCAACAAATCACTTCGAATATCTTGCCCAGAAATTACCAAGGTTGGATCATTTATATGTTCAATTGGTACCGCGTAACGATATTCTAGAAGACGAAGAATTAAAAAACAAGATTGATTTTGACGATCTTTGGATGGAGAGAAATAACTGTTATGCTCAATTAATGCGAGAAATGTTCAACGATCCACCAGAGGCAAATTACAGATATCTCAAAACTTTTGAGTCAGGAGATGCTGCTGATACAGATGCTTGGCAAATGGCAGTAGAATTCGTAAAACGTGCTGGAGGAGCATGGAAGATAACAGGTGATGGGATATTTGAAAAAGATATTGCAGCTGAAGATAGCTCATCTAATGCTTCGCACCCTTCACCACCATTGTCAGTTACTTGAGGGAGTCTGAGAAGAAAAGCTGATGAGTATTAGTCCAAGACAATTATATCGTTGGGCATGGAATGGGACAGCCAAGCTACCAATTTCACCCGTGGCATGGTATCAATGAATCAATGTCAGGAACTGCATACACTGAGAATGAAAGGCTTGGTGGAGGTTCAACAAAAGATAATAACTTGAATAAATTAATACGATAGATCTGCATAGAGGGTAAATTGTCATTGTCAAACATTTGGTACATGTTCGATGATGCAATTCCAAAACTACATATTTGGTCATTTCACCGCTGTATCTGAAAGTCTAGTGAAACGTTGAACACCAGAGGATATGATTTAGTCTTCGTCAAGGGGGAGCAACTCCATCAAGCGAACAATGAGGGGACATTTTTTTACTCACCGCCTTAGTAATTCTGCCTACCTCTCGACTTCAATAACATGCTCCAAACGCGACAACCTCAACTCCATCTACCTTCTTACCATGTAATCACCATGTCCCGCAAAGCGCCAAAGGGCGAATACATTGAAACGGTAAGCCCATTTTCATGTCCGCTTCTCTATCGCAATCTTATTCTCCAAAACCAACCATATATACAACGCATACACTAATCCCCCCCAGGATACAGGTAACAAAGTCTCCCGTCGTTCCCAAATCATCGGCACAACGAATATTATCCTAGGCGGAAAAACAGTAATTCAAGCTGAAGTTATCATCCGCGGTGATTTGTTAAGGACATTACCCCCTAGTACTTCTGGGGAGAAGGCGGGAAACGCTGTTGCGGTTGCCATTGGACGGTACTGCTTTTTTAGCCGGGGGTGTGAGTTGAGGCCGCCGGGGAAAATTTATCGAGGGTTTGTTTTGTTTTGCTTTTTTTAATCTATATATAGTTTTCGTGAAGAGAGATGTTTTTTAAGGGAGCTTTTACTGATATTTCCTGCTCGGAATCTTAACAGAACATTCTCATACTTCCCCCTCAAGATCGGTGATCATGTATTCGTCGGTGCCGGCTCCATAATCGAAGCAGCAATGCTGGGAAATCATGTTCATATTGGTGCCAATGTTGTAGTGGGCAAATTCGTTATAGTTAAGGATTTTGTTAAGATTTTGGAGGGTACAGTGGTTCCGCCGGGTATGGTCATACCGAGTTTTAGTGTGGTTGGTGGTGTTCCGGGACGGGTTGTGGGAGAGGTGGCGGAGGGAGAAATTGAGGGGATGGATTTGAGGGAGATTTATAGGGCGGTGAGGAATTAATGTTGAGATGTGCTGGCACACATGATGATATGATATTTGGGGTGGAATGACGAAGGATGAAGGCGATGAATATGGTGATAGTCGGATCAGGCCGGTGAATATTGGTAGACGCAGATGAGAGATGAAAATGATACCCAAGTTCTTGTGCGTATATTGGCAATTATGGTGTAGGCTGTTGTTACATCAAGGGGACCAATTCATATCCCAAGCCTCAACCATGGTTTCATCTCAGACTAACTCACATGAAAGATGCAGTGATATATGCAGGATAGTAGTTGACCTACATATTAAATTGTCTACTTTTGGCATGTGAAGACGCGGATCAGAGAAGAACTGATTGACCTTATCGAACATAAGTGTAGGTTATTTTCCACTCAGGTGCTGCAACTTGTAAGTTTTGTCTGAACTTTCTCCGTCATCTTTTCTTTATTCTATCAGTATGCCTGGCGTAGATTGATAGTTGTCATATATACCCGGATTCGCTGTGTTTAATAGGTACTCAATTTGCTCCTTCCTACTTTTGCCCCTGTGTGCGAATCTACATATTCTAAGAGGCAGAAGTTGATGTGGTGATTCAATTACAATCTCTGTATTCTACTTTTCTCCCAGTTATATCCATCTAATAAACAAATAACCCTTCTCTTTAAAAAGGAATAAGAATCTCTATAAAGTCAACAAGATGTAGTAAAAATCCATTTTAAAATTCAGGAGAGGATGGAAGAGGAGAGTTAGGTCGTCGTCTAGGATAACTATATCCGTAGCTGGACAGTGGATTGTAAGTTAACTGAAAGAGTTTTTGTTTGGATATTTGGATTTCTTCTGTGAAAGAAGGAATGGAAAATGAAAAATGAAAAATTGTCTGATTTGTGGTTCGACCTTGTATTTTCTTGTAAGTGCGATGGAAATCATTTGGTCGTGCGGAGGCGACTTAAAGAAATACATGCTGTAGCATAGCCACGCCTTCTGCCTTTCTTCTTGTGAGATTATATATGTTATATAACCTACCAAGTATCTCCCTCTCCCCTTTTCCACATCCGGATCTGGGAATACTCTTATTTAAGCAGATTGTGAGGGTATATTATTTGCGTTATCATCCCATCCATTATTTACCAATCAGCGAGTTTGATAGAATTCATTAATTATATTCCATCGGTGTCAGATGGATCAAAAGCTGGAAGAGAGGATAGCGAGCGACTTTTGATTGGCGAAGAGGATTTGCCCGATATCGATGATTTGTAGTCTCAGCGATATCAACTAGTCTTTCAAATCTTGCTTAGGAATTAGGATTGCGGCGTATTCTCTCAGCAAGGTCACGGAGTTGGAGAACAGATACGGCTTCCTTCCTGTTTCTACAGACGAATCAATCTCGGCGGAAATCAATCCATTGGACAAAACCTAGCTAAAGATCAAAGGGGATTTAAAAGATGGGTTAAAAAGCTACTGAAATCGAAGTCGGCTCAGAATGATACACTCACTAGTCACTACTCGCTACAGTGAAGAATTCGAGCGCAGTAAGTGCCTTTGCATCGAAAATTACGTCTGAATCTTCGTTTAATCCACGGATTCCAAGTCGGAAAGTATCTACCTTTTGCAAAGCTGGAGACATCTGGCAGAGAAGATATTTTACAGGAAATCAATGATCATTTCTCCATGGAGCGACTTCACGGGAGGAAAATGATCGGCTTAAAAGAAGAGCTTTTTTCTTGCAAGGGCTGGGAGGCATCAGCAAATCGCACGTCGCCCTGGAGTATATATACCAGAGTCCAGATGACTATAACACTGTTTTCTAGATCAATGCAACCGATTAACTATAAGACTATTATTGGAAGTGGTAGAGACATAACGAGAAAAATTATCATGGACTGCGCGAAAAATAACCCTTTGGTGACACTGCTTCGAAGATGTCCCGGTTGACCTTGGCACACCGGGAAAGATAACGACATTGGCCCAAAATTCAGCAGACACAGCATGGCATTCCATACAGAACTGGCTCCCTAGAAATGGCAATTGTAAATAAATGCCTTCTTGAGATGCACTCAATGATGAACGTCAGAACCAAAGGTTGCCGAATTTACTGCCTAAAGGCGCGTATGGGCATCTTATTATCATATTGACAGTACCAGTACATAATTACGAACTCATCGAAATTCCAATTTCGGAAACAGAGTCCGGACTAAAACTGCTGCTCGGAAACAAGTCCCAAATAAATGGAGCTGAGAGTATAGCCCCCTATTTCTCTTCCCACATTGTTTACATTCTTGAATACTTTCGCGCACCGAACTCCTGTTGAAGACCTCGGTGACATCTAGGCAGAATTACCCGCGGAGCAAAATGCAGATACACTTGGATATTTACCACTAGCTCTGGCTCAAGCTACACCTTTCGTGAAGATGAAATTCTTGAGTTTCTTCAGCTACTTGATCGGACTTGAAAAAAATATGATTTCACAAGGTTACATTAGCGAAAAATTTCACCCATACACAGCTGGAATGTTGTCATGCTGGAGTATTTCCGCTTGAGCGGTCATGAAATCCACGTCTCGCACCATCAAGTTGCTCCGAATTAGCTATTTTCTGAACGTGGACGGATTTGAAGGAACTAATGGAGGAATAGGAGTGATAGATTGATTTCATCATAATGAGTGCGATATGAATATATTATACTTTGATTTTTTATTCTTTATTTATTCTTGCAAGTGCGATGGTGGTATTCAGGTATAAGCTCACAAACCCTTCCAATATCGAGGAATTGTCTACAATCGAAGAGAGCTGACAGAGCTATGGATCTAGATGAAGGGTGATTGGATAAGCCTTGAGTCGGCATCGACATATCGACTACTTAGTCAAGGGGAAGATTGAAGTAATCAGTAAGATAGACAAGACGGAAGGAATCCTTGAAAATGCTAAAAAATCAGGTAGTTACTTTAGTCTATTGAAACGATGAGGAGGAACAGGAACACAATAAAACAAAAAAGGGAGCTCCGTTACCGTTAGCTAAATGCACAAATATATCCCATAATCAATTCGAAAGGGGAGTGTTATTATCCAATGTTTGCCATTAATGTTAACCGAATTCTCAATATATATCGAGTTCGATTCTATTCGCTACTTATACCATACCATAGTACTCGCTTACGCCCCTTCATCACGATGTAAAGTGATCGACACAGCCACCGAGTGATTCTCGCATTTCTTTCTCCAAAATTGTAATTCTATATCATTAATAAACGACCAATCTTTCCTTATATTCTAATCCGTACATCCTGACATACAATCTCGAGCTCCATTATATTTTTTCTAAGTCTAGATATATAAAACCTCGACGCTTCATCGATCAAGAATGATATATAATGCCTACAGCCTACTCTAATAGACCGGGCGGGCAATAATTCGAACTCCTGTCTGTATATAATACTGGGTACAAATTTACAATACTTAAAATCTACAAAGCCAATTGGTATTTTAAAAAATGACTGTTTGATTATTATGAAAAATAATATCAATCTTATCACTGTATTCTTTTAATTTATGAAAAACATTATTATTATTTATAATAATTATAGATTTAGCCAAAGAGCTTTAGACTATCTAGAATTCATTCAAATTAATATATTTTTATTTTAAACGAAAAAAAAAATCCTCATTTAAATAATTAACAAATATATTTAATTTCATCTTTATAAAAAGACTTTTTTTCCTTTTTATAGTTTTATAAACATAACTTTTTATTATTATTATTATTATTACTATTATTACTCCTACCCTCCACACAATATAAATCCCTGATCCCATCTCTTCCTCCCTCCCATCCTCCCACTGCCTCAACCTCACACCATCAACATCCATCCCAACCACCATATATACACCATACTACACTTCCTACTCTCTAGTAAACTCCAAATTCCCAATCCCATCAGCACCCTTAAATAATTAATCCAATCCAATCCAATCTAATCATCGCCTCTCCTTCTACATCTACATCTTCTTCCCCTCCAGCATCACATCGAACCGACCCACAAAACACAGCTCGAGCTCCACTTCCCTCCCCACCCACTTCCTCCAAAGAATTACGACGTGACGCGTACTTAACGACGCGACCAACTTGCGACTTCCGTGGCCGATGAATTGGCACGTCACTTATTGCTCCGCTATTTATCTAGTTCATCTCGATTCTCTAGTTTCTGTCTCAGGTCCCTAACCTTGAGCCTTGATACTTGGAAAACTGACATCATCGCAAGTCAAAGCCACGATTGCTTTCATACAATGCTAGCAGTAAGATAGACATCACATCACACGACAAAGAATTTGAGATCAGAGATTTTCATTCTATCCCTTTAATCTAGCCCTTCCACCCATCCATAAACCGACCCCTTCAACGGTAGAAAAAAGTATACAAGAATTTCCTTCCCTTCCTTTATCTTATTCCTTGGTATCATTATTCCCATTAGCTCATTTATTTCCCCTCTATTTTCCTTCCAAGCAAGCGATTAAGTCTAAGCAAGTCTAAATTTAATGTTTCACTCATCTGTTCCATCTATCGCATTTGAAGCCCACCCATCCATAACAAAGGAGTGGGGTAGCAAGTAAACTCCAGCCCGCGTGAAAATGTCAACAAAAATAACTCCCATCCCCTTGCATTTCCTTCAAAAGAATGTGGTGGTTGCGCCTTCCTTTGTATGAAAGCAACCAACAGCCCTAAACACCGACGCTTGCCATCTCGCCCGTAGCTCCTAGCTCAAATACGTAAGACGATGTTCTGTCCTCCCATCGTTTTAACAAAACCAAATAACGAATGAGGGTATGTGTATGCACATATGTGTACAAATGTGATGGATATGCTCCGCTTCCATATATCCCCTTTTCCCCCGCATTCTACACATAGCCCTGCTTTCTAGAAACTGAATAGTCCACTTCTTCTCTTCCCAAATGGATAGACAATCAACGCACTAAGGAAGAGGCCAACAGTGATTCCAATAGCAACTTGAATCATACTATAACCGACATTAAAAACAATTGTGTTCAAGTCTTCGCTACTTGAAATGGTAACCGAACTCGTTCCATTAACCTTCGCGGTTCCGTTTGCATAAGTCGTACTATTCGTCAGGGAGTCTGCTGTACTCAAACCTGCAAGGAGAGAGCCAGAAGCCGCAAGACCAGAAGGAACCTGTACGAAGATAGCAGGTAACAATGCCGCTGCGGCTACTCCATGTCTAACTCTTGAGTACAAGTTTCCGAGTACACCAACGGCAAGAGCGCCGAGCGTATTCGAAATTTGTGCACTCGAAGGGAATCTTCTTGCTGAAAAGAAATTGACGATATAGCCTGAGAACGAAATACCGAGCATAACAGGCATTTGTTTGAACTTTGCTTGATTGATAACTGCGAGGCATAGAGTAAAGATAGGGACAAAACACCAACGAACGTATTGATTCATTGGTGCGTCACACGTAGTCTTACTCGTAGCATTCGAATCCATGAGGCCATAGACAGCGGTGCCGATAGTGATACCATATCCAAGGAACAGAGAATAGATAATTGCATAGACCATACGGACCGAACCGGCGACCATGGAACGTGATTGAAGTTCAAGCGATCCGCAAAGAACCATGTAACCTGGAAGGATAAGAGCGATAGAAGATTGAGCGAGAGCTGAGAAACAGAAGAGATCACCTCCTCGAATCGAACCGAAAGCTCGTGCCAAGAAAGATGTGAGAACGGCAGCAGAAATTTCAAATACGTTTGCATAAAGGTCAGACTTGGGAGCAACAATAAGTTGTAAGTAACCAAGAAGTGACCCCAATAAAAATGCGATGGGTAAATCGATAAAACGTCCTTGGAATGCAAATGGTGCTACGCTAGCACTGGCAAAACCATATACCATAACCAAAAACCAAGGGTGATACTTTGGCTTGGCACGAATAATTGCATCCAACCTCTGCGTAGCTTCCTCAACACCAATAACATCATGTACTACCTCCTTGTAAATCTCGTGGACATCTTTTAGTTTGCCTAGATCAACACCCTGTACAGATCTAACAAGCTTTACTTCAGTAGTATGTGTTGATGCATCATCAAAGGAGATAATCATACAACCGGGAATATAAAGGACTTGTGCATCAATCTCAAGTACTCGAGCTGTCATCCTCATGTATTCTTCCAAACGATGCGTTGGTGCTCCGTATGTCATCAATGCTCGACAAAGTTTCAGAAGATATTTTTGTCTGCTCAAAGTCTCGGCGATATGGATAGTGATCCGAATTTCGTCCTCCAATCTAGGCTTTCCAGCCAATTGCCTCGCTGCTGTTTCAATGAGTCTGCCACTATGAGTACGTCTTCCCATTCCAGGTCTCGCAGGCTTCTTTTTTGGGGTACCACTTCCTCCAGCTGGGGCGGCCAACATTGCTGATGCTTCCATAAGACCAGCTAGAGTATCTTGAGATTGGTTCTTTTGATGATACCACTTTGCACTCTTCCTTGGAGTCGTAACTCCGGAGGATCCAAGGGAGACTGGGAGGGTTCCTTCAGAGACATCACTATTTCTTCTTGAGACTGGCGAGCTCATAGTACCATTGGTAGGTGGATTGTAAAGCTTTAGAAGTGAAGAGAGAACGCCGCCTCTGAATTGTTGAGGACGTGGAACATAGTCTTCCACAGAAGCATGCTCATCTTCTGGTGTGACTTGACCAGAGACTAAGCCTGGACGTGGTACAGGCATTTTGAATGCATCTTTTCGACCTTTGCTTGTATGTGATCTGACGAGTTTATGTGCTTCGGTTGAACTCGATTCTTTGCCCTTTTCGTTCTGGATATCGTCATCGCTATCTGCTCCATCATATGGTCTGCTATCCATTGGAACAAGTGGAATATCGTCGATTCTGACAGGAAGTCCCCCGGGGTTTCTTGGTCGTGGAGATGGTTGCTCATCTGCGTCATCGTCGAGACTGTTCCTTCTTGAGTTCGGTGTGGAGTGGCTTCCAACCAATGAAGCAATCCTCTGTGCCCGACTCTGGGCGGCCAAAGCAGAGAAAGTCTTCTCATTGCTCTCTTCCACATCCGATAAGTCTGCCTTGTATCCTCCACCTAGATTATTTCTTAATACGCTCGGCCTCGGTTTGCTAACTGCTGTTGGTGTAATGGGACTATTGTTGATCACTGCTAAATCTGTGAATGGATTGTCCTTTTCCTTATCAGGAGTGAACCTCATCAATGAACTGACACTGCTGTTTTTCGAATGGGATGGTGTGTGTTTGGCAGATTTTGGTATCGATATTTGCTTTGCTAATCTGTGAGGTGAAAGAGACTTATCCCTCAATGGGTGGAGGGACTTTTTGTTTTCCAAATCATTGGCTTCGTTTGTGGCGTTGAATCGAACCCTGCCTCGGTTCTTTGGTGGATTCCCTCCTGCACTATTTGGCCTGCTTGGAACTGCACTGTTGACGGCAGAGTTAACAGTACTGTTGACTGCACTTCCATTTACACTCCCAGATGGACTGACATCCCCAGTTGGCAACTCCGTATACGCAATGGGATTATTTTCGTTGTTGCTTTCGCTCGTTGATGCATGTTCGCCGGACATTTTTTCCCGAAAGTCTTCGATATCTCGATAGCAATTGATCCTTCTAAAAGTCCCCCTCAAACAGCCCTATTGAACGAAAGTCGATATAAGAATGATTGTCTGCAGAGTGTAGAAGATATTCGTTGGTGGGGGTTCAAAGCTCGGCAGCCGGTAGGTACCGATTCTTTCAGGCTATGATGCAACCTGCTAACAGTTTGCGTATACCTCTCGGCGGTTTTAACACGCCACAAGATATAAAAGGGTCCGATCAGAAGCCTAGAACCTGGTAAAAAATATTATAGAAGATATTCTTTATCCGTCTGTGATGGATATTCGATTGATGAGTCAACAATAAAGAATGGATTGAAAATAGAATAGACGAAGAGATGAAGGAGGTAGAGAGGGAATGAAGAACAAAGGATTCTACCCGGGATTTAAAGATAAGAAGAAAGACGGATGAGAGAAAGGAAAGATAAATGGAGAAAATAGACGTTGGAAAGGTGTGAAGGTGTAAAGGACTAGTGGACACCATTAGTATAACGCTATAACGCTGGTGCGGGCTGCGTCTTGCGTCTTGAAGGGGCAGGAACAATGAGAAGTGGAGTGGACCAAGAGAAATAGAAATGATAATAATAAAAACAATAACTGCTCAGGATAGACCACACCATGAGGATCCAGATTTCTTTGGCTCTCCCCTCTTTCAACAATAAATTGTAATGAATTGAGAGATTCTATTGCCCAACCAAAGCTTTGTCCTTACCTTAAAGCTCGAGTCCATCCATCCACATGGTAAACGCGATTCACCCAGTCGTCATCGTAATGCAAACCAAATAAATGCCTTTAGGACGCAAGCTTAGAAGGCACGGAAACTAATCGCCTGCTGCGAGAAAGACAAAAGAGAGCATCGTCTAAATCGTCTCAATCAAACTTTCTTGTTGTGCCCGCTTCATGGATTTTTTTTTTCCACGATGCCCTCAGATCTTAGTATCATCAAAGTTCGCAACTTCCAATTGGCACGGATCAAATTTGGTCCGCCAGGGTGTACGAAGTAGTAGTGGGTTTCTATGGCGTGTAAACATTGAGAAATCCCGTACCTACTTGAGACAAGTGTGGTAATGAGTTTTGGCAAATATGCATGTATGGATTTGAATCAAGGAATACTGTCATGGATGGAATAGACCAGCTGCCTATCAAAGGATACATCCGAATTGGCAATCTTTCCAAAAACTGGTAACGCGTCTTTACAACGCCGCTCTCCTAGCGAGGCTACCAAGTCCTGGTGATCAAGTGCGAGGTCGACAGTGGCATGTCTTTCCAAAGATAAAGAGGATATTCTCCACTTTTACTCGGGTTTCGATGAGTCCCGGAGGTGATAGGAAAAGGATAAGCTACCCACAAAACATAGGGGGGGCTCACGTTCCAAATGAGTTAGATCCACTGCCATGCACAAGTATTATACAGTATTTGGGCAGCGAGCAATTCTCACTACTCACCTGAGAGTCGAAGTCTCTCCGCCGACATGTTTTGTTTCCTAATATGGAGATCCTTCGGGACATTCCGTATTTAAGCAGCTGTGTAGTGAGCGGGTTGATTGCGACGACAGAGGTGACAAGGTGACAGCTGGAAGCAAGATGTCTTTGCGTGCCGTGACCGTGTCCTCTCGTTTAGTTGCCTCCTAGGGACAAAGCTTATTATTGCAATTGAATATATGAAGTACGAAGATCCTCATCGTGCTCTAGGTTTGTCATCGGGAATATCGTTGATATTGCAGTAGTGTTTGGGCAAGATCGTACGTATACTTTCGTGCATGAACATGTACACACATTTTGCATCTACGCAGTACGATTCACGAGTATTCGGTTATGTAGTGCTTTGGCCACCACTGATTCGTGTTCCTTCAGCCTTCGCTCATTGTTGGGTATTGTGCGAAGATTTCACATGCAGGAGGAAACTTAAATGACTCTTGCAGATGTATTGCCTATTGTGATAGTGATAGAGGAAATGATTCCTACCAATCACTGCAATTTGATGTATGTATGTGATGAAAACGAGAAGAACATCAAAACCCAGCACTGGTGCACCTAATAGTGTTTACCTACATACACCATTGTACAACTTCGAGAGGATGAATCTCAACAATCCTTTCTAGAAGATCTAGTTACCCCTGTTTTGCCCTATCAATCATGCGGCGCCAGCGGGAGCGAAAAATTTACTACGATCAGGGGGTAACACAAGGAATCAGGAGCGCAAGGAGTGCACGGTCGGAAGGACTAATCCGGTAAATCCGAGCCTTTTGATATTGCACAAGAGAAAAAAAAAAGCTTGGTACATTTTCTTTTTGCTTTTCCTTCCCTCGCTCAAATTCAAAAATGTTGGAAATCATCCTGTTGATATCCACTTCCAAAGCCTAAGTGCCTCTGGAACTCTTGCATGTGCTCCCATGAGGGCGCTTCTGCAATCTGGACCCTTTTCGAACATCTACAAGACTCCATTAGTCGGTCGAAACTCGGTAGTTTTCCTGTACAAATCAACAAGCTGCAAGTTGAAACGCAAGGGACACCTCACGTAAACATCGATGATGTGATAGACGAGTGAAGAGAGCCTCTCCTTGGCCGCTGCTAGATGACAGACCATCGGGCCTGCGATTTCCACGTGAATTAACATGATACATCGTCATCAGTTCATACTGAGGTACATTAGATCCCAACAAAATGTGAGATTTACGCTTTTCGAGGTGCGTTAGCTTTTAATAGACACTGACCCTTCCTGGAGCGACGTCTTCATTATACTGGTTTGCCTTTCAAGCATCGCTTTTCACATGCAACTTTTCTTCGGATTCGACTCTTTGGTATCATAAGGGCCCTTGCTTTGATCTTCGCGTTTGTAGTCTTAGCAACTATTCTAAGTACCCGCGCTTCCGAGGTTTGTTGATCACGCTCATCACGCTCATCAAAATATACACAGACCATAAATCATTCATACACAAAGCCATATGAATCCCGTTAATCTAATAGTCATGATCATGAAATTTGACAATCAAGACGATCAATTTCTCTCCAAGAGCCGGTGAACAAATGTTTGATAACTCAAAATTGCCCAAAAATAGAACGCTGGTACACAGCTTGAGCACATTTAACATACTCTGTATAGACCTTGATTATCCACGGAGTTTCAGCTCTTCGTCTTATCGCCGTGGAAAACTATCTGTGAGCATCGACCACCAACAATGACTGAGGCGAATTTATAAACATGGGTAAAGGGATACCCGAAATGGAAGTCCTTTCGCCGGTTTCAAAATAAGCTGTTCTCTCTCTTAACCTTAAATAATTCGATGAACACGAAGATGTCGATTCGAAAAGAAAACTTGGTTGACATGCTTCATGATTGTTTAATCTCATGACTGGGCTTCTTTCTAATGAACGACAACTTTTGGACTTCAAAGTACCATGTGAGTACCGATCATTGCCTCTTCGTTCTATGTTTGGGCGATCCATTTTCATTGATATGTGCGCACAAGCTAAACACGTCAACATACGGAGTATGAAATCTCCCCAATTCAAATGTTGATGCATGCGAAGTGTTGTAGTTCTGCATCTCCCCATCAGAAATCAGAAGCCCCAAATAAATTCACCGCTTAAACCCCCCACGCTTTTGGCCGTGCGAACTCTATCATCCACGGTGCCACTATACCAGGACTCCACTATCAGATCAGACTTCATTTCCGATATCCTGTTGGGTCCATCACTGCCCAATCATAACTACATGGCTGACCATGATCCCGGATTTCCAATCAGAGACGTGAAGACCGAAGCAAACCATCGTCCAACAAAAAACGTGGTGAGATTGTCTGTTCTAGAACATTGGCATCTTTTTTATTCTCCGATGATCAAAATCCTGCGATGCAAATTTTTGATATCTCTTTATTATTGATTACTTTTGCACCATAGCTTGGTATTCAAAGAGCCCTTGAATTTCTTCGCGTGGCCACATGGCAGCAACCCCCTTCAGCAAGTGGGCAGACATTGATACCACATTGTTTTTTTTCTGCTTTCTGTGTGCGAAGCTTTATCATAGCTACGAGGGTCTTTCGGTCTACATTTGTAAGGAAATCTTCGTTATCTGTGATTACCTGGCTTTCTGCATGTCCCTTTCAAAAAAGGTGCAATGCTTAAAAATTTTACTCACCGTTGCTAGCTCAAGCAATAGTTTTGCTTGAGACCTCGCCAAGTGCCAGGTACTAGGGGGTGTATAAAGCCACAAAGTCCAGGGTGATATTAAACATTTATCTGAGCTCGACGTTTTGATTTTAAAAGATGTCTGTCTATACCGTGTTTTCCATGAAGTAAAGTTGCACTCACATATCTCGAGCTTTTATTTCCACATTACCATTACCCCTATTTCTTTGTTTGTATAGATATACGTTGTGCGTCTACTACTCCTTAAAAAAAATGCAAGATACTTGCGGATATTAGTAAATATATAGTGATAATAACAGTTGATGTCGCCATGCTGGTAGAAGTGTGATTTATCTATAGACTGTGTTCTACTTTCATCATCATATTCCCGATTCTTGGATAGACGTCACTAGCAGACTATCCAAAGTTATTTCCTCCCATCCTAACACTTGGAGAGTATTTCGGAAATGTTTTTATACCGTCATATTTTATACAAACGCATTTAGCTCTAGTTTTTCTCGCTTCTTTTCGATTTTAGAAATACCCAAAAAATATGCCAAATGTAGATAACAAAAATCTGCAGATTATTCACTTTACTAATTCTTCCAATCATACACACTACTACGATTTCCGAACTTTAGATTAATAGGTGGCTTAGGTAGAATCCGAATTATATGAGATATGACGCCATACAACTTTCAAGCCTCCATCTTACTTACTACTTGGCTTCGCTGATCATTGGGTGGTTGGTTGCAGCGGCCAATTGTTTATCCCGCCTCCGCCTCGACCACCTCTTACTTTCCCATCCACAACCATGAGCAGACTGTCGACTTTTAGATACATTTCATAGGCAACGTTTTTCAAATATGTCATGTTCCACAGTCTTCCACCAGATTATTAAGGGAGGTGTGAGTCGCACTTCGATCACAAATTTGTGCGTTGACACTTCCTTTAGATCGAGTACAGTCCTTTCGTCAGGCTGAGCGCCTTTTTGACCTTGCCCGAAACTTTGGGCTAATTTCTGAGATCTTGCACAATAGCAAAGTAGATCTCCCATTTAATTATCTGAGCATAGTCCGTCTTCCTTTAGCTCACGATGAACAAGACAATACTCTTCAAGAAATAATTACTGGTGTTATAGTGTAGAATAATCCAGGCATCGGAATGGGACATTCGGGCGCCATAGTTAAACTATTTGATCATTGACGAGGTGCTCCCTAGTTTGCTTTCACTTTTGATATCTTCTGAGATGATGTCTCGTTCGTGGGTTGTGATCATACTCTTGAAGTCTCACTAGGAGGTCTTTGTCAGTCAAATGGAGATAAATCGCCCGTACCTGCTGATAGAAAATATAGAGAGATTATTATAAGGAGTGTGAGGAAATATTGAAAAGCTTAAGGCTGTCGAAAAAAGACAAATTATTCGATGAAAATAGATAAATTAGAAAAATAATAATAATAGATCAAATACATGTAGTTTGAATAAGGAGTTGAATACAGCCGAAATTTTGCTGTGTGGTGATTCAGATGTCGTCGCCTCTTTTGTATCCGCCGACAGATTTATTGATTTGCAAAGTTGCGATTAGCATCACATGTAGCTAATAATTAACTTCAATTAGTGGCCAATGGGCAGAACGTATGCCTTCCTACAGCAGCAGGGTATGCAATTGGCTAGCTTTGCATTCATTTCAGCCGCAATGTTACCCTGGAATAAGCACCAGCTGGCACACCATTAATTTTGTGTACCGATCTTTCATCTTACACATCTGTTCAATATTGCCTCGATTACATGAATTCTACGGAAGTACAATCTGTTTGTCCATAATGCATCTCCTGGAATATGATGACAGAGGTCACTTTGGCTTGATCAGGAATATTGCTAGCAGCGACATTCCTAAATATGCTATTCTTTCGCATACATGGGGAGCAGATAAGGACGAGGTCACCTTCCAAGATATCATAAAAAGCAAAGGAAAAGACAAGACAAGTTATAGAAAGCTCAAGTTTTGTGGAGAACAAGCCGAGCGTGATGGCTTACGATACTTTTGGGTAGATACTTGTTGTATTGACAAATCAAGTAGTGCTGAAATCACAGAGTCAATCAACTCTATGTTCCGCTGGTATGAAAACGCAGCCAAATGCTATGTGTACTTGTCAGATGTTACGACAAACAATTACGATCAGACCAATTTCTCCTCATGGCAACCAGCTTTCTGCAAAAGTCGTTGGTTTACCCGTGGTTGGATACTTCAAGAGCTTCTTGCTCCACGATCGGTGGAATTTTTTTGCTCAAATGGCAAACTCCTCGGTGACAAGGAATCATTACAACAGCAGCTGCACGAAATCACAGGGATTGAAAAGTCGGCTCTCCAAGGACAGAATTTGTCTGAATTCAGCGTTGACCAGCGAATATCTTGGACAAGAAATCGCGATACCAAGCATGAAGAGGATAAAGCTTATTCCTTACTAGGCATTTTTAACGTCTTCATGCCACTTATCTATGCTGAAAGAGCAAACCATGCATTTAGCAGGCTCCAGGTTGAAATTGGAAACCGAGCAAGAAAACGTTCGCTTAATGATTTATCGGCTTTTTCTATGACTGCTTTCAACCCCAATAAACGATCAAAGCTCTCACATGATCAGTCCTCCATTCAAGACATTTCTCCTCTTCAGGATTCCGGAACCCCCGAAAAGATTGTCTCTCCAGGAAATTTTACACATATTATTAACGCTACCACGAAACAGTCAATTATAGGCCAGCTCTACTTTACCAAATCGACGAACGTCTAACAAACTTGACAGCTGCCCAGGGAAAAATTTGCCGCTGGTTCCTCACGAAATCTGAGTATAGGGCCTGGAATGACGTATCAAAACAAGAAGAACACGGCGGTTTCCTTTGGATCAAGGGCAACCCGGGGACCGGGAAGTCAACTCTAATGAAGCTTCTCTTCGAGGAGGCTAGCTCAATGCGAAAGGCAACCCGTCACGAATAACGTTATCAATTTTCTTCCTCGAACGTGGAACGATTGAGGAAAGAACAACCACTGGTCTATATCGGTCTCTGTTGCACCAGATTTTTGAGAAGGTGCCAGTGTTGAAGTCTAGCTTGGATTGGATGACGGCCGATGCCGCTAGAGGCATTGAACGAAATGGGTAAAGTCAGGAAGCGTTTAAGCAAACCTTGAAGCATCTTGTGCCGAAACTCGGAAGTCGATCGTTGATGATATTTGTTGATGCGTTAGATGAATGTGAGCAGTACCAAGCAAGAGAGATGGTTTGCTTTTTTGAGGATCTATGCGAGCTTGCAGAAAACTCGCGAGTTAGTTTGCAAATATGTTTCTCCAGTCGACATTATCCGACTATATTCATCCAGAAGGGGTTGGAATTGGCCTTGGAAGATGAAGGCGGACATACGGACGATATTAAACACTATATTAAGTCAGAACTAAGGCTAGGAAAGTCCCAGCAAGCCGAGTCACTTCGGTCAGAAATACTTGACAAATCTTCTGATATTTTCCTCTGGGTTGCTTTAGTCCTCGATATTCTAAACTCGGAGTATTAAATTAGCTTTATTTCCACCAAGAAAATCCGTGAGCGCCTTCACGAAATTCCATCGGGCCTGACTGACTTGTTTGAGATGATTCTCAAGAAGGATGGAGAGAACCTCGAAGAACTACAAGTTTGTCTCAAATTAATCCTCTTCGCGACTCGTCCTCTAAAACCACAGGAGCTCTATTTTGCGAGTCAGCTTTGCCTTGGTGAAAAATGCACGGGTTACTGGGATCCAGAAGATGTTGATTTGGAGTAGATGAAATTATTCGTGAGGAGCTTCTCCAAAGGTTTGGCTGAAGTGACGCGAAACAAATCCTTGGAAATTCAATTCATTCACGAATCTGTTAGAGACTTTTTGTTAAGTAAACACGAGGCCCGATGGTCTGGAGTTACCGAAAACTTTGTCGGTCATGGGCACGAGCTTTTGAGAAATTGCTGTCTGGCTCAGTTGTGCGCTCCCGTCAACCAAGAATTCATAAAAGCCTTCAACTTAGGGACACCCAGGTTTTGGGAATGTCGTAACATGAGTTATCCATTCGTGGATACATTGCACCCTGATAAACCTATTCAGCCATCGGAACGTTCCAACGAAACACAATCACGATTGCAAGTGGAAATTAGGTTGAAGTTCCCATTTCTCGATTATTCGGTCACGAATGTTCTTCGCCACTCCAATATTGCTCAACAAAATGCCATGGGGTAGGGGGAGTTTCCGGCAAATTTTCCCTTCGGCTTATGGGTATTTATTAACAATTATCTTGAGAAACACGATGTTCGCCGATATACGTATTCAGTGATCGCCCCTTATATCCTTGCAGAAAAGAACCTAGGGAATCTTCTTCGAATATATCCTCAGAAAGACTCTTGCTTTGAAATCACGGAGCAGCGCTATGGCCCGTTGATTATTGCCGCTCTGGCTAACGGAAGCCATGAAGCTGTTCAGACGCTCCTTGAAATTGAAGCTAGAGCCTACCCCATGACTTCTCCCGTACACGGCTTGTGCAAACAGTATCACCAGAACCCCAGCAGAATGCCGCGCGATTTCATCTTTTCGCAGTATAGGCAAGACATACCACCTATGTTTCTACCCAGCTGTCGGCTTAAAAACTAAATTCCGGACGAGCAGACTCATGGTCAAGGTCACGAAATTCTGCTAACTAACGCTATTGAATCTAGAAATGATATTGTAGCCAAGTTTATATTAGAGAAGATCATTGATATTAAGAATAGGAGCGAGTATACTACTACGCTCCTACTAACAGCTGTTAGGCGTGGACGTACAGAGACAGTCGGATCGTTATTACAGAAGGTCAGTGGTATTAACCATACGAGCGACTATAACAATACACTCCTACCGGTAGCTGTTAGGCGTGGACATACAGAGATAATCGAATTGTTATTGGACAATGGTGCTGATATTGATTGTACAAGCAATGACAAAGGCATACTCTTGTGGAAAGCTGCTAGGAGTGGACACACAGATATAACCAACTTGTTATTAGAGAAGGGTGCTGATATTCATTTTATAAATAATAGCATTGAGGAACTTTTGTAGGTGAATGCTAAATATGGACGTGTGGAAAATGGTAAAGTGGCTGCTGGAGGATGGGTACCGATGTTAGCTTCGAGAGAAAATTATAGAATAACACGAAAATCTTACTGGAGGCTGTTTGGATGGGACATGTGGAGCTAGTCAAGTCGCTATTGAAGCATGGTGCTGATGTTAGTGCAGCAAATGCAGATGGTTTCACACCACTACTATCCGCCATGAATAAAGGAGATAGACACAAACCTATTATAAAAGTATTATTGAGCCATGGTGCTACAGTCGAGGACAATCAAATAAAGCAAATTTCTTCAATTTTTATTCAATTTTTGAAATGATTTATAAAATAGCTTTTTTATAACTATAAGTCAGAGGAGTTCAAATGTACAATAATACCAGAGGCCTGCGCCCACCGGACCTCTGGCTTTTTGAGAAAGTCTAATAAAAATTTAAAAATTGAATATATATCAGGGTGCAGGCAGAATATCAGCTTGTTTTTAATAATTGAAAATTAAAATATTTTATTTAAAAATAATAATTATAATATGATTTAATACTATTATTATTATTATTATTATTATTATTATTATTATTATTATTATTATTATTATTATTATTATTATTATTATTATTATTATTATTATTATTATTATTATTATTATTATTATTATTATTATTATTATTATTATTATTATTATTATTATTATTATTATTATTATTATTATTATTATTATTATTATTATTATTATTATTATTATTATTATTATTATTATTATTATTATTATTATTATTATTATTATTATTATTACTACCACCACCATTATTATTCTGAATTGAATAAAATGAATTAAATGAATAAAATTGAATTGAATAAGTTGAATGATTTCAATAGAGTTGAAAAAAGTTCTAAGTCAAATTTATCTAAGGTTATAAGGCTTTTGTCAAGCTTTTTGTTAGATTTATTTACCGGGGTATTTAGACCAATCAAATTATCAGGATCGCGACTTACTTAAACAAGTTTCTTATTTTTTATAATTTATACTAAATAAATTATAACATGTTATATATATAACAAGGTTTTAGTATCGATAAATCGACAATAAATAATAATATATCAAAATTTCAAATCAATTGATTCAATAATTATTGAATTATTAAAGATTGAAAAGGTAATAATTGTTTATAATAGTGTAACTTTTAGAATGGTTTATATTAGGGGTAGTCCAAAAGTGGGGTACTAGACTTACTTGACTAGTTAAAAACCCCTATGTATTTGGCCTACAATTCCAACTTCCTCACAATATTTAAATGAATAGATAAAATATAAAGCTAGAATTCTATAGTTCGTTATCCCTTTTTAGTTCATAACTATTGAGTTTCCCGGAATTTGTTTGGAAGTGAGATAAAAAAGCTATCTACACTGAACACAAGAAGCTCGTCGCAAAATTTCAGTGGCTTACTAAGCAGGTCCTACAGTCATATATTCTTCTTGAACAGCAGCTGATACTTAACAAACAATCCTTTCTTTAAGCCTATTCTTTCCACAATGTCGTTTACTTGTGATGTAGCAAACTGTGAGAGACCTTCTGTAAGACTTCATAATGATTGTATACTTTGCCAGCGTCACCTATACTCGCAGCATCTAGAAGGACCTAACCACAAATGTCCCCCGCGAGAGGCCCGTTACTTATCCCGGCTAGCTTGCAATTCATTTAATGTTAATATATTATAAGGATGATTTATACGATTCTGCAATCTTGAATGCTCAAATTGTGGAAATCAAAGAGCTTCTATCTCGAATCAATCAAGATAGATGCCTTAGCAAAGCGCGCATCGCTTTTACGGAACCTCTCTTGTGTGGTCATTCCCACGGATTTGAATAGTCTTTTGACTGTGATGGGAAATGTTAATCTCCATCTTAAACTTCAATTCAGTGATGGCGTGCGCTGGATTGCACGAATAAAGCGCCAAAATGTAACGACGCCATTGAAGCCGGTACAGAAACTCGTTATCGAAAGCGAGGTTGCTACATATCCCTTCCTCCAAAGTACTCAAGTGCCGGCTCCACGTGTATTTGATTTCTGTGCCAGTTCGGATAATACAGTCGGCGTTCCATATATTCTGATGGAGAAGGTTCCCGGGCGGCCCTTTTCGAAGTGTGCACCGACAGTCGAGCAGAGAAATAGGGTCATGAAACAAACTGCCCTCTTTTACAACGAGCTTTATCGCCATCCTTTCAAGACCATGGGCTCATTACATCTTCAAGACTCCGAGCCTGGTTATTTCATTGGTCCACTTACATCAGAACTCCTGTCCGACTCCTCTGATAATATTGAAAGCCTCAAAACGCTTGGGCCTTTTCAAGACGCAGCTCATTACTACGACCAAATCATCGCACGAATCCTCTACATGATTACCGACGGAGTACTTTATACTCCCTGACCAATAGAAACTTACCTCATCCAACTTTCACTCCACGAATTGGCTTCTTCGAATTCCCTTCCGCAATCATTTTCATCTGCCGGGGACAGGAAATTCTATCTGAAGCATATAGATGATCAAGGAAGTCATATTATGGTTGATGAAGACTATAATATTACCGGTGTGATTGATTGGGAGTGGGAATGAGATCTCGAACTGGGATATCTCTTCCTACATCCAAAACTTTAGCTCCCTGCTCCAAACATTGGATTTTGATCCTCATGTTCATTTTTCTTGGGATGAGTGGAAATCAGGTGCTCTCGAAAAGTATAGAAATGATAAGGGCTCGCAAAAGTTGAAAGAACGCTAATCTTTTAACAAATTATATCTCTTTCTACCGGGTTACTAGATTATAAGTCCCCTACTTCTCATTCCAGCCACTCTTTTATATCAAAAATGACGATTTTCATCTATTAAAAATTTTATAAAAAATAAATAAATAAAATCAATTAAAAAATTTCATTTGAATAATTTATATATATTAAGAAACACTATAATTTTTTTAAAGATTATTATTATAATTACTTTTAAGAATATAAATTATCTTAATTATTAATTTATAAAACTTTTAAAAATTCTATTTTAATATATTAATATTAAACTTTATTTGATTTAATATTATTTTAAAACTCAAAAAAATAAAAAAATTTATAAGATTAATCTTATTAGATAATTTAAGATCTCATTTAAAATCCTAAAAATATAAAAAAAACTAAAAATATAAAAAAATATAAAAAAAGACCGCTAGCTATACTAAGTCTTATAGTATTATGAAATGTAGGTATGCTCGTGATAATAATTATCATCTCTAGGCTCTCTCTATCCTATGTACTCATAAATTCAACGAGTACTAATGAAACCCGTTGACCACCACCTCTATGGCTGGTATATATAACAATTTCATCATACGAAAAAAAGCAACAAAAATATAACACAAGAACAATTGCATGATCATCCCCAAAATGATACCGATCCCTCCCAATTTCATAAATATCATCTCCTCGTGTACTGAAGGTTGGACAAATTTACATTGTCATTCCATTCCATTCCATCCTATATCCCAAACTCCTTCCTTCCTCCCGGCTGCAAAACACATCAATACCCACTATCCCAAATCTCCTCTTCACTCTTTATTAACTCCACCACCGGTGTCCTAGGCATAGCTTTCTTCATCTTCTTTCTATCTTCTTTCGTGACCAAGCGCGGTGTAATTGGCATCATGGGTGTAAACGGTTGATAAGGACTATATGGTACTGTGCCACCACTGAAAGGTGTTTTAAGACCTCCAGTCTTTTGTCCATTATCCCTAGGGACACGTTCGAGAACAGTCATTTTAGTAGGGAGAGTTGGGGAGAGCATGTTTTGTTGAAATTGTTCTCGGAAGGGAAGGGAACGGGTTGGGTTGACGGCCGAGGTAGTTTGAGTGTTGTTGGTTGAGGTGGAGCCAATGACTGTGGATGATGATGGAGAATCCGGAGACGTGGAGGAACTGTTTGAGATTTTTGGGTTATTAGGGAGAGATAGTTTTGAAGAGGTAGATCGGAGAGGTCTGGAAAACATGGTTCTAGTGCGGTCGCTTGTTGCAGATTGAGGAGAGGCGGTATTCATTTCGGATTTGAGTGAGATTTGGAGATTACGAGTATTGAGTGAAGGGAGACTTCGTTGAGGAGATACAGGTGATATTGTTTCGAGAGTCTCTGCTATACTGCGAGTAGGTGATTCACCATTGGCTGATGTGGAGCCATAGGGAAGTTGATTTTTTGGAATTGGTGGTGGGGCTCGATGCACATATTCTCGTGGTGTTAAAGGCTCTTCATCCGATGCAGCATGTGAGAAAGTGGTTGAGTGTGGTGTAGCCATTGGAGATGAAATTCGTAAACCCCGGATTCCTTTTCTTCGTGGGGATTTGGGAGATTTCGGAGCTGATCTAGGAGAAGTAAGAGCTGAAATTATGGAGGATGCTCGAGAGTGGGTTTTGGTTGATATGTTGTCATTGGTATTGATTTCTGATGGTTTATGTTGGCCGAACTTCTTTGATTGCGGTTTTTGTAGTGCTGTCGCAGATACTTCGCCTGGTACTTTAGGAGGAGGCATACTTCTTACATCCACTCCTGCAGCCTTTGCCTCCTCCTGCTCCATAACATGAGCATATAAATCCTCAAGATTTCGATTCATCATTTCTCGATCAGCTTCAACAACCTTATTATCAATACTCAGGTTACTTTGGTGTGAATATACACTCTGGTGTATACTGTGTTGTCTCTGCGTAGGGTAAACGTAAGAGGTCTCGTATGATGTGTGTATGGGAGGAAAAACAAAAGCACTTGGGTCAGGATTTATTCCTGGTGCAAAGTACTTCTTATCAGGAGATGGCCAAGAAAAGTTTCGAAGATTTGCTGGAGTAAGTGGTGTTGGACCTGACGACCCAGTGTTAATGCCACCATATGCTGCGTCTACCAATTCTACCTCCAAAGCCCTAGCATCCAATTCAAGCTGTCTTCGTAGTCTTCTTCCGAGAGTAATGATGAGAATTCCGACGACGCAAAGGGAAAATAAATATGCTCCAACAATGCCACCAATTTGAGCTGGCAAAAGTTCTTTATTTCGTGAAGCTGCAGCTGAAAATGGTGGACCGTTTTCTGGTGGTGGCGCTGGTGACCAATCTATTCCCAAGGGGTTACTTCGAGGAACTTGTGTCGCTGAGATTGGTTTCGCAAGCACCTTGATAGGTAAGAGAGCGAAAGTCGAGTAGATGAAGAGAAGAGATAACAATGGCGAAGGGAACGCTGAGCAGATCAAACGAATGGGAGATGATATCGATAATATAGACAATATATAGGCGCAGCCTGATTCACTTTGAACCATCTTGTGTATATAGATGATACGGTTGACCACTTTTATAGCCTCAACCTTTCAAACAGACCGCAGTGTGTAACCTTCCATCGAAACGCTTATTATTTTCAGATCATATAAAAGTGACATGAAGTGTTCCAGCTCTTCACACTTCAAGGGGGTGTGAATTGATGTATATAGCGGTACGGGACTGAAATTACCTAGCAGGTATTTATGATTCGTGAAATGCATGATGTGTCGAGGACCGATGGGAAGAGGATTTGGCCATCTGGCAATGGTATTGGCTGGAGAGTGAAAAGTGATGGAACTTTTGTTTGGTTGATGAATATTTTGATGGCGCTTGGAAGACAGATTGACCAATAGGAGGCTAGATGATCGAGGATTAATGGGATTATCATCAGATTTAGTCAGTGCAGATCTGCATTAGGAAATATCCCTCGTTGAAGGTTGCAGTGACATTTTCGTCCAGTCCGGATGTGATGGGTGATAAATGTTGTGGTTGGTTGAGAAGATACCGATCTGTGTCCTGTCATCCTTAATAAGGCCTCTGATTGGATGATTGTTTTATTATCATGCATTGTCTTTTTAAGCGCCCGGGAAAAAGATGGGTCTACCCACGTAGGTAGGGACTAACCTAGTCGGTAACATTTATCATTTATCGGAAAGTTGGTTACAATACCGAAGCTGGGGAAAAAGTCAATTTGTCTTATTGAACTGTCATCCATCAATCACACATCACACATCACACATCACACATCACGCATCACACATCACAGATCACAGATCGCACATCGCACATCACACATCACACATCACATCAATGACTCTGATATTGTAAACCATACTGCGGCGAATGTCTCTAGCTATCCGACAGGAAGAAACGCAATGGCTTCGCAATGCCTTCGGGCTGTGTACAGCACGGTACGACTCTATGTATGGCTCTAACGCAACGAATTTAGGATACTGAGTAACCGTAGGGGCTGTACTATTTTCACTCAGTCACACATTGTAAGATCGGTACACAATTCAAGTCGAACATGGTGTTTGCTTACACCGACCCAAACAATTTCGTGCAGCTCAGAGAATCAAGTCAAGCCCGGGTTGTGGATCCGTGCGCCATGAACATTATGGCAAAGCTACATATTAATAGATCTTAACTGAGCTTCATATTACATTCACAGCCTTATGCCAGATATCGGCCATCAATTAAATGCTTGATTGTGAGGTATTAAGTCTGTTGTTCTTTGACCGGCGGTCTAGCAAAAATTGGACTTTAATTCTTAACAGAATCTTGTCGCAGTCGAGCAAATATCAATAGCTAATATATAACTACTAAATACTTTATACACACTTAGAGCTACAGTACCATAATTGAAGCACTATATCAATGACAGATACCATTAACTTGGGACTCAGAGTCTGACCTAGAGCTTAGTTTTGAGCCACTCAAGGTCTTGAAAAGGGCATAAATCAGCAGTTGATTGATAGACTGAAGGCAAGTATCAGTCTCATTATCCGAGTCATTCCGACCTTGCCAAAAACCAGCATACAAATACCAATTCGACTGGGACTTCTTCCGGATCCAAAGAAATTCATATCAAAATCAGGCTGGTGATAAGTAGGAGAACGAGGAAAAGTGGCGAATTTCGTCAATATTTATAGATGGACGAGGATTCCTTCGTTGCATAATTAGTTGCAGCTCGGAGAATGTGATGTGGTTCTGAAAGTAACCCATGGCGATAGAGTTATATACACCTGGAAGCTAAAAGGGAGTCAGTAAGTATGGATATCTCATTGCACAATAGCTAGTTCCTCTCCAATTACAGACGAATTCTAAAAGAGCTTTTAATATTCCTCCATTCATTCAAAACATTTCGAATCATGTATAATTCACATCAAAACCTTCGCATTGATATCTCTATTCCACCTACATTCATCCACTCATCCCTTACAATATTACTTGTTTCCGCCAAAGAATGAATTCGTTGCACTGCTCAAGCATTCATTATATAGTTCTTGCATGATGTAGAGATATGAATATGAATATGGATATAGATATGGATATTCACTATCATGATATTATACATAGAGAGAAGACTAGCTTCAACTTATATTAATAATCTAGCCGACCTATACTATCTATTCGCTAAGAAATTATCATTTTTTAATACAAGTCTTATAAATATTTTAATCTTATTGAATCTTTATATAAACACTTTATCTTTTTATAATATTTATAAACTTAATTATAAAAATAAAAATAATTTAAATTTTTTCCTTTTTTTTAATATATATCTATTTTAAATAAACATCTTAAATATCATTTTATAAAAATAATTATTTATATTATCATTATTGAATATATAATAATCATTTATTTAATTAAAAAATAATTTGTTTTTAAAAATATATTCTTTGTTTAAGAATTAAATAATTAATATATAATAATTAATACCCCGATTATAATTTAATAATAAAGTCTTTTTTTTTAAAGATTAAACTCTATTCTAGAGGATCCAATCAATTTCAACACAATCAATACAAAACAAAACAACAACAATAACAACTTCATTAAAACCACACCACACCACATACTAACCCCCCTCCTCCCTCCCCTCACGAATCGGCTCAACCATCTCCCCGACACCATACCATACTCAAGCACGCATAGGTATATAACCAACGCCGTGCCCGATCACGCGACATAATTAACAATTGCAAGCATACCTATATATTTGTACAGAAAAGCAATTTGGACTCCGACTCCGACTCCGACTCAGATTCTTCGGTCATAGATATGATTTTAAACATATAAATTTAAATTTAATTTAAATTAAATTAAAACTTTTTGGTGTTTATTTTAGATCTTTGTAGGAGTTTACTTGTGTTAGATTTTGGGAGGGGAAATAAAAGAAAAGAGAGAAAAAAGAGAAAAAAGGTAAATCAGATTGTTAACCTAGGTTATCTATCTAAAGGATTGGCCATGAGCGTACATTGGACACACTTTGTCCTGTACATGTAGTACACTAGCATACCCGTCTACTTGGTTAAACTTAATCGTAAGATGAGATGTGAGGAGATAGATGAGATGCATTTTCAGGATCCATGAAAGTCACCAAATCTAGTGGGGTGATATCAATGGACACACTTTGCACACTGTAGATGTAGCATACCCACCTACTTGGTTAAACTCAATCGTAAGATGTGATGAGATAGATGAGATAGAGGAGATGCATTTCCAGCATCCAAGAAATTTAAAGTCACCAGATCCAGTGGGGTGATATCTCAAAGATTTTTGAAACTATCTTTCGATGTTTGAAAGTGTTTGAAAAGGCTGGCTAGCTATTGCCCCATTGTGGGCGTTAATGACGTGTAATTTGCAGGAATGATTTGAGAATAAATTTCGATCTTGTTTTTGTTTGTTTGTTTGTTTGTTTGTTTGTTTGTTTGTTTGGATGTGAGGTGGAGTGGAGTGATCTTGAGATACACGTATGACTCCAGTAATTACTGATTTCTCTTTCGCTCGCAAACTAAGTAGAATGGATTTCACCTAGGGCAGGACCTGCAACTTTAACTGTCGTTGCAGGAACTATAGTAGCAGTAATACATAGTTATCTATCGTCATAGACCAGATCCAGGAAATACTGCTACAGTATCGTTCTCAGAATGACATAGTCGATGCATTAGGCCCAAGTCAATAATAGCTCCATCCACAAAATAAGCTGCACCTGCCCACTATCAAGTACATGCACATCAATCCTTATGCACCGGAACCCTAAACCGCATGTACCAGCTCGATAAACATAGATGACATTTTGATAACCGTTGGTATTAGCTTGGAGATGTTGAAAGTATAGTGCCAAGAACCTAATTCCATCCCGTAATATCTATATCCTTACTGATCGTATTTCATGGGGAGATAAAGCTGAAAAAGAATAAAAGCTTCGAGGCCAAGCAACTCGCTAGCTCGTATAGATCCTTCATGGTCACATAATAGCTGTACAGACAATAATTATTGTACTCATAGTTATATAGCTTCCACTCCAGATAATAGATTGATATAGTTGCGGCTTAATGGCTTGCATTGGTGCATCCATCTATAGCTTGTGAATTTTAGCCGTATTTGGCGGTTGGATGATCGATACAATAAAGATCTAATTGCTTTGTTGATAATCATCATGATAAAATTCAGCCGTATAAACAATTAGACATTCAGACTAGCCAAGCAGCGTACTTGAAGAATAAAGCTAATCTAGATTAGCACTAGATTTTCGCATGGATAGCGAACGGGTGATTCATACAGATACACAAACCGTTTGTGCTGTTAGTGCCAGTGCCAGTTTCAGTTCAATGTTTAGTGCCGTTGTATGAAGCTGCTATATCAAGTACAGTCAAAATAGCGACCGGCTTTTCCATGTCTCAACTTCAATAACTAGAGATAGAAAATTCCACGGCCGAAAAAGCAAGAAGAAAAGAAGCTTCTTTATACACATTACATAGCAGGAAGGAAGCGAGGAAAGAAACTTACTTGCATGAAGGCTTGCAAAGTTTGGGAATTATTGGAATTCAACAACCGAGGACGATCTGAGGTAAATAAATTAAAACCCGACAGTTAAGCATGATCTGCATACGAGAGCTCTATCATTTGCCAATCACCGATGATGCGCCTGCTGCGTTGCAGTACGTATATTATTATAAAACGTCAACCCCCTAGTTTCCGGACACTCGGAACAACTTTTCCGTCGGCTTCAGAAGAATTTCAACCAAGCATGGAAATTTAGTCGAACGGCCGATGTTAAACCTTCTTTTGACATTGGGCGTTGTGATTGGTATATAAGACCCAATGGTGGAGTTTATGTGGGATTTCTGCAGATCTAGCTTCTCAACTCCCGCTGTCTCCCGAGTCCCGCTGCTGCAGGCACGGAGAAATATTACCGGTAATCTCGAGCTCTAGCTGCTAGCGTCATCTAGATGATGAGTAAACGTTTTATCATTTCCTTCCTCGGATCTATACATCCCGTGAGTGTTCAATATCGCAAGCAAGTAGACGTGCTCTTATGCAAAGTCAATCATGCTGAGGACTTCGAAGGTCCTGATAAATAATACCATCTTAAGAGGGATCCGGATGGTACTGCTATCAACTAGGAATCGCCAAGGAAAAACGTTTGCAAATGTGAGTCTAATAAGAAGTTGAAATCTGCATCTTCAAGAACATTAATGAAGATTCTTCTAGCATATTGCTGATTAATAAGTTAAAGGGTATTTTCCGATATACGACTGCGAATAAAGTTCACCTAGCAAATCACTGGTAATAGTCCACATCATTCAGAATTAGACTCCGTATCAGGCATGCGCATCAGATAAGATCACTACGTGTCCCCGACACCAGCATGCAGGAATCAAAATTATCGGGCGAAAAGAAAAAAGTGATTTTTAATGCCGTAGACTCCTACGAAATGTTTCTCGACATGGATGGCCCAAACCCCATAAATTTTAACAAAATTTTTATACTTTTCCTCATCCCTTAATCCGTGCTGTGGGTAGAAAGATGCCTGCTGCGTATCTCTATTTTCGAATCCCAATGGTCAAATACCATCCATACAAGCATACTTTCATGTGCTTTTATAATAATGGATGATCCCGTCCCAAGAGCTGCCATGACGTTCTGTTGTTCCGTGTTTTGATTTACTGATGCTTCTTGCTCCATTCTCGATATCTTCCTCAGCGTATTGATAATGCCATCGCTGGTGGCCGCGGCGTCTGCTCCGGCGGGATATGTTGTGGATTTTGCCAATCCGGCGAGGAAGGGGGATCTATCGGGCTATTGGGTTTTTGGCGTGGGCATGGTGTTGAGTTTTTCGTTTTTGTGTATGAGGGTTTATACCAAGGTGGTTGTTGCGAGGAACTTTGCTATTGAGGATGGTAGGTCATCTTTCGCTGGAAACATGTATGGATGGGATTTGCTAACGTCTTTGGTGAATGTAGTTTGTTTGATTTTGGCTTGGGTAAGTCACTTACTTGGCTTGAGTTACTTGGGATCGCGTTGTATTGATTGATGGAATAGCTTGCCGGGGTAAGTGTGCAGGCTCTTCTCGTTTGTAAGTTGAGAACCTGTTGTGAGAAATAAAGCTAATAGGATATAGTCATGTGGCTGAACAAAGCTATTGGAGTACATATATACGAAATGCCAGTAGAAGTATTTAATTTATACACCAAAGTAAGTTCTCATCACTACTCACCACTCTCCAATCCATCTGACAACTTTGATATAGATTATTATGAGCGCCTTTGTAATATACGTAGCTTGTCTCGGCCTATCCAAAATTTCCCTCCTCCTCTTTTACAACCGATTATCACCCGTACGATGGTTTCGCACAGCCGTTTACTTCCTCATGTTTATTGTATTCGCCTATAGCATCGCCTTCATCTTCGCACTTATTTTCCCATGCAGGCCTGTGGCAAGAAATTGGGATATTCGCATTAAAGATGGAGAATGTATTAATCGCGCAGCGATATATACTGCTGGCGCGGCCGTGAATATAACTACCGATATTGCACTTCTCGCCTTACCCATTCCAATGATTGTGGATTTGCAGATGCCCAAGATACAGAAGGCGGGGTTGATTTTTATCTTTATGGTTGGTTCAATGTAGGTGGATGGTTTCTTCACTTGAACTGATTTCTAATATGAGAGGTAGTGCTGATGTTTGATGATGCAGGACATGTGTAACGAGTATAATTCGTTTAAAGGTCATATTACCTCTCCTTGTAGATAACGATGAAACATGGGAAGTTTCCGTTCCATGCATATGGACGTAAGTATCTTTCTCCAGTTCATCAACCCAAAATCAAAATCAACCTTGCGAACATACTAATCCTAATCTCACCCCAACAGTATCGTAGAAGCCAACCTGGTAATAATCTGCGGTTCCTTCCCTATCACGCGCCAATTCTTAAAACATGTCGTCCCTCGGTGGATAGGCGAGTCATCATCCCCTGCAGCAAACTCCAGATACCGCAGCAGACATCCATATGATCTCGAAACCATCGGACACCGATCACCAAAGAAGAAGCGTTCACGATACGGCATGGAATCATTGGACGATGGAGATAATGATAATGATTTAGAGCTAGATGGAAGGTTTGCGGAACATAAAGTTGAGATTCAAGCGACGGGAGGGGAGAGAAGTGGGGATATTGGAGAAGAGGTAGAGGATGCGGGAAGCGAAACGGGAATTGTGAAGACGAATGTTACGAAAGTGACGTTTTCGAAGAGAGAAACATGGGAAGACAAGGACTCGCTTGCGTCATGAAGCAAGCGAGGGGCGAAATGTTTCTTTGGTGCAACTTATGTACTCGAGTAACAACAATTACAATTATGGTTTCTGGGTATAGACTAGACGATAATCTAGGAAAATAGATGGCTGGATGGTAGGGTAATTAATTCATTGTCCATGTCCATGTCCGTGTCAGTGTCAATATGGCATCGCAATGTTATTTACAAAATTATTTCAGGGAAACTCAGTGATTAAGATTCAAGTAGAAGTTTTTCTCCCCCTCTTCCAGCTTCTTCTGGTGTTCAGTATTTCCATATCTAAGGTTAGATTAGATAGGTTAAGTCTTGCAACGGAAAAGTTAAGTCACCATAATTATAATATAACCTTATAATTTTCACACTTACATTTACATTTAGATCTACATCTTCAAAGCCAATTCAATGCAATTCAACACAGTTATTTCTTATTTTTTGCAAATAAATAAATGAACTTATACCATCATATCATATCAATCTTTGAAATTTTAATTGTATGAGTTTACTTTACTTTACTTTACTATATACAAAAAGTTCGTTCTGTCCGTCTGTCTATTCTCAAAAACAAGACGACCTTAATTCATTCGGTATCGATATCATCATCAAATCATCATTCCTATCAATCCCCCCTCAATCCAACAACGGAATCCTCTAAACTGCACCAACAGCACTAACAATAAAGTCACTCGCCGCCTGGGCATTGGTGGAATATGTCAAATCTACATATAGACACCAGTCAGTAAATAAATTCTCAGAGGCATAAACAAATACACAACCCTCAAATCAGCACGATCGAGAAGAAGAAAAAACTCACGTGTAGTAAACCATCCAGACCCCGTACAGACAATATCCTGATCATGACAAATACTCAACACTTTACTAGTGGGCACAGTACCAACCGCCTTTCCATTATCTGGATCACCGAACATGACTACGGCGGCAATTCTGGCGGTGACAGCTGCAGAGAGTGTGCTGGCTGCGTTGTGGAGGAGTTGGGCTCCTTGGGAGTAGCCGGATAAGACGAGTTTTGCAGAGGGACATTTCGCCGCGGCGGTGTTGGTTAGGTTGGCCATGGTGGTTGAGCCGGTTGGATCGCCGCCTTCGAGGTAGCTGGGCGGGGGTTAGCTTTGCTTTGCTTGAATGGTTTGGGATGGGATGGAAAAAACGTACCCGAGGACATTAGCGGCGTAATCAACTCCTTGAACTGTTACTTTTGCAGTAGTAAGTGCAGCTCTCAAATCAGTAAAGACGTATGGTCCAACATCCTGACCGACATTTCCCACTAATATATAGTTAGCAGGTGAAGATCATAGCATAGGAGATGAGAAAATTAGGAAATTCTCAGACTATCATACCTTCATTAGTACCCCTTGCGAAAATCACAATAACCGGTTTACAAGCATCGGTTGTAAGACCATTTTCTGTTGTTACGACAGTGGGTGTAGTTGAGGCGGCGGCTGCAGCTACTACGGCTGATTCTTCGAAGAAGTGCGCGGTTGATGCGAGGTGATCGGTTGTGGCTTTGTCGGCTACTGCTTCTGATCGTGCTTCTGTCTCTGCGAGAGGAAGAGCTAGGACGATCGAGGAGAGGGAAAGGAGGATGGGGATGGAGAACTTCATTTTGAGGATGTAGTTTGGTTTTCCTGACTGAGGAGTTGATGAGGTGAGGTTGAGGAGGAGGAGAGGAGGAATGAGATGGGATGAGATGAGATGATATGAACGAAGAGAGCACTTTGAAGATGGCACTCAAGCTTAAAGAACTAAGAACTCGAGGACGGGAATGAGTATTTATACCACAAAACCCAATAAGCAACAACAAACTCTATCTCCCATTCCATCACGTAACTTCTGCATGTCCCCTCCCGTTTGAATTGACCTCCCGAGGTGATTCCCATAACCACTGAAGCAACAAAGGGCCACGTAACGTAGAACTACAAACGCACTCACGCATTTGGATACAGTATCTCCAGACTAGGATCATAACATAACCGACCCCAAGACCCCATTCAGAAGCTGATCTAGCTATATTTCTTCCTTCCTAATTTTCTCGGAGCTGCAGCCAAGCCCTTGTATTGAAGTTTAAACAATTGCATAGTAGCATATTTGTGATTGCTCCGACAGACCGGTAGCTTGTTTTGTCCCATGTGTGAGGAGACCGAGGTTGTTTTCCTGCATGTTAAGTTCGTTAATGCTTATCATAGTGTCAGTGTGTCATAATAGCAATGTTGAGTTTAAAGAAGGAAGGGATTGATCCAACGGGGCAGGTGCCATCTGATCAATCACCTGCAGGTCCAATACGCAGGTCCGAAGCCATCAAAATGCATGGATAGACGAGTGACCAAGCCCATTCCAAAAATTGCGGGGTGAGCTTATGCTGGGGCTTAGTTCTTGTGCGGTGATTCTTGGCTGCAGATGAAGAGAAGAGGGGCTGTCTAGGATGGGGCGAGAAGTCGGATGTGGACATGTGTTCTGCAAAAGGAAACAGATATGGATGTAGACTCCGTTTGTGAGGGAAAATTGGCTAGAAAGGTAGCTGATTCAATCTAGTAGAGTTTCGGTTGCTTAATGCCTATCTCTTAGAACTACCGTAAAATAATGCGGCAGTCCCCGTCCCGTCCCGTTGTGTTGCGTTGCGTTTTAATTACAGATATCGATTATTGCGTATTTCTTGCTATCTATCTATTGACCATGAGTAGATAGATATGTTTCTCGTTTAATATATTTCCCAACACTAGGACATTATCATGACAAACTTTTAAATAACTAATCAACCCGCACCCGAGTTCAGACTAACTTCTAACTACGTACGGAGTATATTAAATTCATCCCATACATATGCACCCCTCACACCAAGACAATCCAGTAGCCCTAAGCTTATACCCAAGATCAACCACAATCTTTCCGGAAAAGACTTATGCTCCGTCTCTGCATCCAATGACTGACTCATCACTCATCCATCACTCAACCCGCAAAAAACCAACCACCACCAAAAGAAACACAAAATCGGTAAACAAGAGGCCGAATAATTTTCATTTCACCAGTTATTATTTCCGGTACTTACCTAGTAGGCTAGTAGTACATACTCATCAATTACAATAAGCCGTTATATAGCCGTTATCAAGCAAATCAAAGCCATGAAGAAAGAAAGAAAGGAAGAAAGTAGAAACTAGACTCGACTAAATACCGACATACATAACTCTAGCGGATAGAAAATACACTCCGCAATAAAAGACTCCGAAAGCTACGTACGTAGAGGAGGAAATAATGATTGTTATTAGACCGACTGAACGGCATCATTTCAAGATTTTCCCACCGATTTATTATACTTTCCCTTCGCACGAGGTATTTATTAAAGGTTAATGAACGTGTTCGCAGTGTAAATATTCCGGATACATTGATGCATGGGATTTATCTATCCTTGAAGGTACATTCACATACACTTGTACACATACACCTAGGATGTTTCCCCGCAAGAACCTAAAGAAATTCCTCAACAGGAAGGTGGCGGATCATGAGTATATAGTGATTACTGCCTAACGAAGCTCGGTAGACGTATTGCAATTAGCCATCTAATCTCACCAATAACACTTTAGAGAACCACCCCGATTTTACTATTTGGGTACCTTATGCGACTAGAAATTGTATCACATTTCACTTTAGGCATGTGTTTCCTGATGATAAACTACAAATGGGATAGTAGTTTATTTTTTCTAAGGCGTGCTATCGTACATACTCTCATGATCAGCTCAAGTCCAAATCCTATTAGACCTGATTATATTCCTCTTCCTCACTAATGCAGGAGTGAAGGATACTAAGAGTCATAAGATATATAATAGTGTAATTTCTGTTATACATATACATATATTTCATTACTAAATTTTAGACATAGCATTCAAAATATCAGATTCCTTCCATTTATGAATTCCCTTTCACCATCTCCATTATATCTAATACACATACACAATACACAATACCCAATCCTTAATACTCAATATAAAACCCCCTTCCTTCCGTCTCCAATACTTTATCCATCAAAAGGCCAAGTTACCAATCAATCCAAGCACCACCCGGCAAAACCTCCCTCATAACTCCCCAATGACCCACCGCACTCTTAACCTGCCACTCCATTAACCTTCCTGTCTCATTCCTCCTCAAAACTCCCGAGAATTCTTCCTCTCCCTTCTCTTGTCCTCTTCTCAATTCATCCTCACTTATTTCCCACTTGGGTAATAGGTATTCTCTTCTCGAGTTACATTCTAAGAAATCTTTCTCTACTGGTTCACGGAATGTGATTGATGGTTTTACAGAAGATTCAAAGTCTTTGATTTCATGTGTTTCGGAAAGAGGTTTGGTGCAGAAGATTACCATATTTGTGAAATCTTGTCCTGTTGCTGCAATGTATTCATCTGTTGGAGCTTCGGCTTCGCGGTAGATGCGGCAGGTGGGGAATAATGAGCGGATTGTGCGATGGATGATTAGGAAAGGAGGGAGAACGAAGTCTCCAGCGTAATTCTAGGGGATTATTAGTACGGGAATTAAGAAAGTTGCGTAAAACAAGAAAACATACAATAGCAATAACACCGCCCGGTTCTAGGATATCATAAAGATCCTTCAGGAACTCATATGTAAATAGTTCAACAGGTTCAGCTCCACCTGTAAATACATCGTGAACGATATAATTGAACTTCTTCCCTTGAGCAGCGAAATTTGATGCGACAGATACCGCATCATCAATGATAGTTTCTTGAGGCTCAGGAAGAGAGAAATATTCACGAGCAAAATCTACCACAACAGGATCAATCTCTACCAAAGTAGTATGGATTCCATGAGATACCAGAGCAGCCGGTGTGGTACCAACACCGAGACCACTATTTCATATCAGTAAGAAGAAGATTTGAAAAGATCTTGGGAAACTCACATGACCAATGCACTAGCATCCTCGTCCTTGATCGGGTTCTCCACTTCAACCAGACGTACTGCCTCTAGCATTACAAAGATTCCATAAATAGGTTCAGGGATCCCTTTAGCTTTCTTCCCATCAACCAACCATTCTCCTCCTAACAGACTATGATCACAGCGCATAGCACGGAATCCACCATTTATCGTCGAAGTTTCAATAACAGAAATATATCCGGTTAAAGATTCTTTTCGATCAAGGATCGACCAGCCATGAGAACTCATGGTAGTATTAAGTCTATTTAGAGCATATGGCGTGGGAACATGTACGTTAAATAACGCGGTATGAATTACCGCTGGGAATATCCAAAGAAGGAGTTTCGAAGGGGCGAAGACGGCATATAAAGCTTGGAGGACAATTTCCATTCCAAGACGTGTGAAGATGAAGGATTGGCCTATATATATGGAAATTTGATTTGCAGATACATATTCAACAGTTTTGAAGAAAGCATATGATATCATACCTGGTGCTGCATCGGAAATCCAAGGCCATCGACCAGATGTGAGTTCCAAATCGTCCAATGTAGTGGCCGTACACGAGGCGGAAAGGATGAGTAAAGGGAGAAATGTGAGACCTTCGGTAATAGGAGGTCCAAAGTTAGCTCTCATGAGACCGCTTAAATTGAAGAGTAAATACTGGACCGCTGGGATATAGGCCGCGATAATGGGAAGAAGTTGGGCTGGTTTCCTGATTGGAAGATAACGTCTAATGAATAGATTTGATGACCAGCCCAAGAAGCAAGCTGTCATGACTCCTTTCGAATGCCATTTTCCAGCTGGATATGATCCATAAACTGGAGAAAGTGCGAGTTGAGAAACATTTGAATATATGGCAGCGAGTGAAAGAAGGGTAGCTGATTTAGCCAAGATCCAAAGTTGAGATATGAGAAACCTGGTTGTAGTCTCTTCTTGAGCTTTTGAAGCTAAAGCTTTAAGTTCCTTTTCAAAGTTCTCTTGAGTAAATGATTGTAATTGTTCATCATTTATAGTTTTAGTATTCGATGTTTTGGAGGAGGTTGGTGATGGTTTTTGGGGTTGTTTTGGTGCCATGATCTTTGATTTGAGGTAGTTCGAAGAGCGGGAAATAGATGAGGACCCTCAAGCGATATTCAGACTTCCACAAGTGAACCTATCGAGCAAAAATGGAAGGAGACTAAAATATAAACATTACCTCCCACATGGGATGGGATTTGGATTTATATATTGATGAACTGGTGAATTTAACTTTGAATACGTTTCGATAAATGTTTTGTTTTAGGCCAATGCGCGAATCCTGAAACGAGAAAAAAACACAAAGCACACGTGATGTTGAATGAGAGAGGGGGGAGGGAGACCTTCGCTCGGAGTTTGATGTTTCCAATCCGTAAAAAGGTTTATTAGCATGAATAGGGTAAATTGGAGTTTTGACCATGGGATGAACTAATTGCTTAGACGACGCCTTGGTATTACACCATACAAGAGGTTGAAACTTTCTTTCTTTCTTTCTTTCTCTATATATGTACCTAGTAGTTCGTAGGCAAAGCATGGATGAATAGCTGGCTAAGGGAAGGACGCTCTAGACACCTCCTCCGGTATCGTCTGATAAAGGCTTTGCTCTCTCGCCTTCCGCCATCGAATTAACACCAGTTTCAATTAATCACAACGACCTCGGATTCAATTAATTACAGCAGTTTTAATGATTATTTATCAGTAGCTCAAGTAATATTATGGATTTGTGCTATGTGAAATTTACTAGATAAATTCTTTGAAATAGATGATCGGTGGATGGCGCCCATAGTCCTCGCTTCAGGCAAAATTAACATGTACCTCTATCGTGGTTAATGGATCGAGTTATAGGACTTTCATCGGTCACCAATGACTGAGCTGTAAGTAAATCAACATATAAATAAATAGGTATATAAATAATGGTACTACAGTTTTAGGATAACAAATGTTATACAGGATGCCATCGTTGCCCTGCGGAAGAGGGCCCAACATGAAAACCCTCGACCCCACTGGGATGAAACATAATCATACAGGATGCCATCGTTGCCCTGCTGCCGATGACTCAACATTAACATCATCGACACCCCTCACAACTCCACCGACAACATAAATTATATCTTGATACCCTCCAAGATAGGCTTAGCCTCTTCACTCTTCCACCAACTGACTCCATCCTTTCCTGGGAACTCATATCGATCCATACTTGCTGCCTTCATCTCAACACTATATCCTGGCTCCAATGGAGTCTGGTAGTAACCACCCTTGATGACGGATGGGTTCTCGAAGTGCTCATGAAGATGGTCGACGTATTCCAAAACGCTCAACTTTCCACTGACTACAACATAGTCAATAGTACTTAAATGTTGAGTGTACTCTGGAAGCCCAACACCGCCACTGTGTGGAACAATTGGGACACCGAATTTCTTTGCCATAAGCAAAACAGCCAAGACCTCGTTGACACCTCCCATACGACAAGCATCAATCTGGCAGACATCAATGGCTCCACTGGCTAGAAGTTGTTTGAAGATAACTCTGTTTTGACACATCTCACCGGTTGCAACACCGATTCCATATGGTTTCAGAGCTTCACGAATAGCTTTGTGGCCGAGGATATCATCGGGAGAAGTGGGCTCCTCGATAAACCATGGCTTAAATTCTTTGAGTTGTTGCATGTATTCAATAGCTTCAGGAACAGACCAGACCTATAAGAATGTTAGTTCTTGAACTTATTGACACTACCACGAGGTAACCTACCTGGTTTGCGTCAACCATAAGAATATTGCCCTTGTCATATCCAATGACTTCTCTGGCAATTGATAAACGTTCACGATCAGCCTCAACGGATGTTCCGACCTTGAGCTTGAAATGTCTATATCCCTTTGCCAAAGTTTCCTCCAAGAGCCCCTTCATCTTGTCTTTACCATAACCCAACCATCCGGCACTTGTAGTATAAGCCGGAACAGCTTTGTTGTTCAAAGCATCTTCAATTCTCTTGGCCTTTCCTCCCTCTTCGGCCTTGAGCATAGCAATAGCTTCTTCAGGTGTAATGGCATCTGTAATATAACGGAAATCGATACAGCTGACGAACTCCTCTGGGCTCATATCTGCCACGATTCTCCACACGGGCTTGTTGAGTGTCTTTGCCCATAAATCCCAGATAGCATTGACGACGGCTCCAAGCGCAAGATGAATAACACCCTTTTCCGGACCAATCCATCTGAGTTGTGAATCGGAAACGAGATATCTCCAGGTCTGACCCCAATTCGAGACGAGGGAGGAAAGGGTACGTCCCTTGAGACGATCGGCTACATGGTTGATTGCAGCACATACGATATCGTTTCCACGACCGATTGTGAAAGTCTGCGAGGGGAGAAATCGTTAGCAGAGTATATAAAGAGGGGAATTGACAGGAAAGAAGAATGGTCTTACCATGCCGTGACCTGAGAATTCAGAATCAGTCTTGAGAATACAGTATGCAGAACTGTAATCTCCAGCGGCGTTCATAGCATCAGATCCAGTCTTGTCGAGAGAAGTGGGGAATCGAACATCTCGAGTATCCCAACCTGTGATGGTGATTTCAGCCATGATGATTGATGTGATGGATGAGGGTAAGTGAAGAAAAGGGATGGATGGAAAAGTATGAGGGGTGAGTGATGGAAGAGAAGAGAAAATTGAGAAGAGATATTTACAATCAGGGAAGGAAGCAGACACATATATATATAATTAATTGAGCCATTCAAACTGTTTGAAAAGTAGTCGAGGGAGTATGAACAATTGGGCCAAGAGTGGGGCAATTTGACGGAAGTCATAAGTCCACGATGATTTCTGGTTATTTTCCTCTTTCGTGTTTAATATTCAAGGATCCAGAGATTTTATTGGTGGAAGAATAGAGTTTCCAGTTTCAACCCCGCGCTCCAGACTATTTTTGATGACCATCACTCCATTCACGCTTCAAGGTTGCGGAAACCCCACATTGTTCGAGAATTTGGCGGAAGAAAGAAAATCCGGGCACAGGTAGAATTTTGGTCCATTCATCCCATCCATCCATTCCTTCATGCCATTAATATGCAAATAAAAAGCAAATATAAAATACAATATCAAAGCGACTAATAGTATGGACTGATCCATCCACTCATCCAATAATAAGACTACATTAGCCTCGTTTGCGGTATCACTTGATTCACTTCCCCATGTTTTTAGCCTTTCGATGCACTCTAAACTTGGTATAACCTCGTCTTGTTTGCTTTCAATTTCCCCATTTACAGCCCAGCTATCGTTTCGAAGGTCCCTCCTTGAAATCCTACACCACATTGTCTGATTTTCGATCCGAGCGGAACGAAAAGAGATGCTCGTGGCACTTCATACTTTGCAATGTCAATTCCTGAGTCTAGACTTAACCTGCGGCAGGAGTAGTGAGGTCTCAAATAGTCTTGTTATTCCACTCATTTCTCACGGTGCGAAATTGGCGGAAGTGAAAGACTCAACTATCTGTTTTTCTCTTATTAAATATATTCCATAGAATGGTATCACATTTATCAAATCATTTGCAATGATATTTTAACACAATCTTTCTATCTTCATATCAACACACCCCGAGACTCCAGACCAACAGGATCTGGTTCTTCCACGGTCCGTACATGCTTTAACGCACTGTCTTTGCATCAGAGCTGCCAATGTAGCTCTATACATCTTTGCAAGGACATATCAGAACTATGCCAATTCCAGCTTCCGCTCAACCAGAAAAATCTTTTAGCCCATCATGTATGAAGCTGAGGATAATTTGGAAGTTGGAATAGATAGGGATCACAGTTGCAACCTCCCTAGCTCTCAATTGAGGTAAAGCGAGTCCGATAGTAATCAAGCAAATACAAGCGTGGTAAGAATCAAAAGACTGAGGTTTTTGGGATAAGAAGAAGGATGATTGATCTATTTTCACCGTGTCGAAGCACTACATACATAGTGTGTAAGTGCCCGCATTTTTTGAGGCATAACCCATAAGTGTTATGAAAGCCTGCACCTGCTGCAATTCTTTTTGATAAAGCCAGCACCAATAAATGTGCTCTATTTTGACACTGTTGCTGTTGTTGTGTCGGCACAGTTGCCGTCCAATTTCACAACTTTACAGAATTTCAAAGTAATTCTTCAACCTGATGGACACCGAATTTCACTTGAATACAAAGTGGATGACGTGCACAAAAGATCAATAATAGTTCGAGGTTTATCCAGTCTTGAGTACGCATTGTATGATGTGAAAGTCTAAACATGGATGCAAATCTTGAATGACACATCAAAATGGACTGTGTTGGCTTGAATGCGGTAGACGCCCTTTTATTAAAACTAAAATAAGATAATTTCAGGTGTAAAGCAGCCTTTGGCTGATACTACTCCATTTCAGAATGATAGACCAAGGCTATGGAGGTGTGGCTAATTGATATGCTTAATTTTATGCCACAAAATTCAAGCCCTTCTTCTTTCATCACTAGCTCTAGTAAGTGTGGCCAGCAACGATGTCCAGCTCAACGAGAACTACAAAGCACTTTCTATAAAACTTACATTTATCACCATTCTCCGACTCAAATATCTGCTTATACGTCGACCTCCACAACAGCACGTTCATGTCTGCACCAAGCTGGAGTCCGGAGTATTCTTAGCCATCAGAAATTGGTTGCATTTTGCTAGTCTCAGTAGTCACCTCACACAATTCAACCATTTGTAATAGGTTTACTTCAAATGCCGCGAGCTCAAAATACAGTGTCTCAGCATCTGTAGTCCCGGCAATAATAGCTGCTTCCTAGACCCCCAATAACTACCATCCGTATACAATAAATAGAAATTGCAGTAACAACCGGTAGAAGTGAAGTGAAGTGAGAGAGAAGAGGAGATTCAGCTAATTATAGAGATATCTTTGCAATTGTTTATTGGGATATGTGATATGTGATATGCGGGAAGAGGGCTCTGGATGGGTGTTTAGATTAGATTACGAGTAGATTAGATTAGGATGACGATGAAGATGCTAGGTTTAGGAAAGGAAGTACGTATTGTTGAGTTGATGTTAGGACTATGGAATTCTAAGATAGTAGTATATGATATATCTATCCTCTATGAATCAATTGAGTTTAGATATGGAATTGAGATAAAATTTGAAGTTCCCTGCTAGTGTATATAGTAGATTAGATACCTAGTAGTATGTATATATATAGAGAGAAAGCGTAGACAAGTATTATTGTAATACTTATGTAGGAATAAATATAAATAGAATTACTCCGCACATTAACATTAAAATTTCTATTATAATATCATTTCGTCAAGTATTAACTATTAACTACCAACTGCAGAAATCAAAACAAGTAGAATTAAACAGATATCAAATCCTGAAGAACTAACTGAGCAGAACACAAATGAACGGATTTTCCTTTCCTCCACATATGGATCTGTAATCCATTCAGGGTATCAATATTTCATCAGCCAGTAAGTACGCCATACATCATACGCCATTCAGTCCATTCCATTTCCCAAAACTCCATTTCATCCATCAATAAACCAACCAATAGCTTTGACACAATACAACCAAAAACAAAGCTCTTTAGACAGTAAAGGTAAGAGAAGTACAAGATACATCATCATATCATCTAATCAACACATCCACGGTATCCATATCATCAAAACCGGATTCTTCAACCGTAGACTCCACATCCAACTGATCACCATCAAAACTGAGAATAATTTTCTTCTCTGCTGGAATTCTATTCATACTCCTAAAGCCATCTACCAATTTCTGAACCGTCGTTGTAGCTCTCACATAAGTTTTGAATTCCTTGATATCCTTCGATTGCGCCTTGAGTATTAATCGCATCTTGGCTATTGGTTCCGGCACAACTTCCACGGGTTCTTCCTCATCGTCGCTGATTTCTTCCGCGGAGGCTGCTTTACAACATTCGTCCCAGAGATCGTTGGTCCATGCTTCCATGTGGATTCTACCGCTGTTGAATCCTTCACCTGTGCTATCGAGATCGCCATTTGTGTTAAAGTCCAGATTTAGTGATGCGCATGTCATGGAGTCGAATAATCTCTTGTTTCTCCATGTGAGTAATATTGCGTCTTTTAATTCTTCTGGCATGGGTACTCCATTCCATTGTTGTTTGTCGCACCAAGCTTGTCGAACTTCTCGTAATCGTTGATGTAGTTTTCTCTTGATAACTAAATTCTTGGTATTTTCAAGTCGAGATGAGATGAAGATTTCTAGAACTAGTTCCCCTTTTTGTTTATCTTGGAAGACGTCGTCATCTGCGGCACTCCGATCTGGCTCATGATTCCTATTTGCCCATTCGGCATTACTTCTTTGTTGCGCGAGATCTGCAAGCCGTTTATTCTCTCGAGCCTTTGCTAATAATTCCGGAAACTCCTCCTCAGAGAACGCATCTTCATCGTCATCGTCAATAACAGATATCGAATTGGCCGGCGCTACAACCGGGGAGGAACTCCTGCTAATAGTTTGCCTGACAGGCACGATATCCTCGGTCTCGCTATCGCTCAGTGATATATAGCCCTTTGTGACAGCCTTACAATTCCCACTCTTGTTCCCTTTACTTTCTACATCTTTCGCAAAACGACCCATCAAACTCGTAGGTGAGCGACGCTTTTGTTGCGGGGATCTTGTTTGTGACTTGCTACTATCAGGAGTAGATAATGAAGATTCCCTAAACCTCCAATCAGCATACATTCATGACAAGATCACACCCCAAGTCAATAAATACCTAGCCCTCAATTCCTCGTCTTCCGTCTCACTACCCAAGTCGTTTAAATCCACCTTCACATCCACATCCACATCCACATCCCCAACTTTTCTCCTCTTCTCCAACCTCGGACTCGAGGATGATTTTTCTCTACTCTGCGAGGAGCGTTTTCTCTCCAAAGTCACTGCCTTCTTCTCCCTCTTAATCTCCTTCTCCTTAACATGTAACGGAAAGAGATCTTTCGCGCGACTAAAAGCATCCGTATGATTTTGACCCGGTTTAATATTTGGAGCTGGCGACTGGGTTAACTTTTTTTTGAACAACGAAAACTTCTTTTTGACAGGAGGTGCTTCTTCAGTATCGAGGTCTGCCATGTTTTGTTTGTTATTTGTGCGATTTGATTGTGATTCTTAGGATTGTATTTATATTTGTAGAATCAGTTGTAATTCCGAGGTTGAAGTGCGAACCTACAGTGGAAATTTTGGTGGGTAGCCAGACCAGGCTGCGTCTGCATGCGCTAAAAGTACCGGTAGCGATACCGATGCTTTATTCACGGCCATTGTCTTTGTAGGACGCGACGTTCAAAACTATTTTTCAATCAAAGAAACAATTCCGTGAAACCAAAATCGGTATTGCGAAAGAAGATATGGAGAACGGAGCATTAAATCAAGGCGAGGGCAAGGATCCTTCATCCTTCCTGTCAGATATCATTGGATCAAGAGTCATTGTAAAGCTCAATAATTCTCTCGTCTTCAAAGGTTACCTACTATTTATCCCTCCATTGCATAGCCCAAAGCTTACATGTTCCTAGGAGAACTACAATCAGTCGATGGATATATGAATATTGCGCTGGAGAAATGCGAGGAGTGGGTTCATGGAAAGAAGAAGACGGTTCATGGAGATGCTTTTGTGCGGGGCAACAATGGTGAGGATTCTTCCCTCTGGATATCATGTCGATATGCGAAGCTAATTCCGTTTGTTTTTTAGTCATGTACATCTCGGCCGATGAGTCTGCATAATAGCACAATGGTGAAAAAGCATTGGGTGGGAGTTATGGAGTGCTATACAGGAAGGATCCTTTTACGAAATTCATGATATCCAAAAGACGATGATGGGATGCGACAAGGCAGGAGAAGAGCAGTGCATATGTGCATGGCCATAAGATAATCGATATTCCAATATTTGGAAACTGCCAAAATAGAACAAAGGGGTAGCTTCTAAAGCTATCTATGCCATTTATCTACTCAAACCCTTCTGAAGCTATCTATGCCATCTATGCCATCTATTTACTCAAACCCTCGAGGTCCAGAAGAAATAAGTTTTTCCATGCAACGCAACCTCGCCTTTCTCATTACGCTCTGCATCCAATTCCTTCAACGAGTTAAGAACCTTCTGCTTTATCTGTTCTTTCTTCTCCGGCTCTAATACCGTAATCGCGCTCAAAGTCCCAAATCTATTCCAAATAGCCTCATCACTCAACCATACCGTCCACTCAACATGATCTTCCCCCAACGGCAATGAAAACTGCGGGAAATCTTGCATGAATGTATCCTTCAAGGTTTGCAATGGAGTAGAATCCAATTGATCCTCAAACACTTGTTTCCATTTCCCATTACGAAACCGAGGAAGACCATCTTCGGTACTTTCAACAATATCCTTCAGGACTTGTTCCCATTTCGTTGTTGTTGCTCGACCATCTCGTGGTGTATTATCTATATTTTGTGATTAGTAGTAGATGAACAGATAGATTTGTGTAACATACAATCTTCAATGTTCCACTAATAAACATTCACATTCACATGTTAGCGACTTCCGTCCGCCATCAATATTTCAAGAACCCTTACAATCAATCCAAGCGCTCCTCCAGGTCTTAACACTCTATGAATCTCCTTCAAAGACTCCTTAGTAGCAAACCTTTCCGATAATTAGTCAAAAGTCCCCCATACCACAAATACATCATCACCTATCACTCACCAATGCCAAGACTAACCACAACACCAAGTCAGCCGAAATTCCCCATCTCCTCACATCCATCACAAACCACAACCACTCACCTGCGAAGCAATAACCGCATCAGCCCAACCCTCCTCGACCTCCATCCCGCCTGCATGACCCCCCAAAATCTTAACCTTCGCCTTCCCCTCCCCCTCCCCAAACTTCCCCCTCAAAACCTCCTTCATCTCCTCATGAGGCTCCACACACAAAATCTCAAACGCCTCCCCCCTCTGCGCAAGCAAACTAGTAAATTTACCCGTCCCAGCACCTACATCAATAATTCTCGCTCCTTCTACATTTTCCACTCCTAGATTATGTAGAAGTTTCGAGAGTGCTTCGAGTGGGTAACTCGGACGATGTTTATCGTAGCTTGAGGCGTCGGAGAAGCCGTTTAGGGCTTCGGGTGCTAGGGTTGACATCTTGGGGGAATATTCTGTGGAAATTATTTAGAGATGTATAAGGTGGTACAGATTATTTGAGGCTTGGCGACGTTGGAGGTGTATTTATTTACGTTGTTAATTGAAACTACGTCAGTGATGTGCGGGCCGGAAACCGGATGGCGTAAACCGCACCGCATTTACAAATGGTGGGGAAGGTATGATTGATTGCAAAATACATTGTGAAAAGTTATTATGATTGTGCAAGGAAGTACCAATTATTATATTTGTATCAGTAAGTATAGTGAAAGAAGAAAATCTAAGAAGGATAATCCCATGCCAAACACCCCCACGCTTTCAAAGACAGTGTACTACAATTTCAATATCACTAGAATTACCACCACGGCCGACATTCTTCTTGCATTCGCCAAACCAAACCCGAGCATTAGATATCTACACCGGACTTTCCTTGTAAATCTCTTCGATATCCAACTCAAACGTGAATATTCCCCGTAGAAGCCAGCAAGGCATCTAGTATGGAATTCCATTGGTCAAAAGCTGGAACTGATCATAGACTCCAGTGGAATAACTTCCATAACTTCTCTTGACTAAACCTCTCATGAATGTCGCAGCATCAGCTTCCGTTTTGTCCAGCACAAATCTATCTCTGAAATGCTGAATAGTCTCAGGCTTGAAGCAAGGAAGACCAGAATCCATCATGAGCATGACGAGCTGCGACAACTTCTCAGTGTATGGGCGGGAGGCCAAATAAGCCTTTACACACAGTTCTTCAAACCATTTGAATGCTTGATGTTCTGTGCTTCCTCCCATCACAGCGACCATTTCTGTTGTGAGTTTGAATGGTGCTCTCTCGAATTTGACACCACCAGGTGCGATATCAAAGCAGAATCCAAAATCAATGTGTAAAATGTGTCCAGCATCATCAATCATGATGTTACCGTTGTGTCGGTCCTTGAATTGCAACAAGAAAGATATAACTGAGTATGCAGCCATACTTTTAACAAAGTTGGCGCGCGCTTCTTGGAATCTGAGGGAATCCTCGTTTCCGTACTTAGATATGAAATAGTCAAATAGACCATTCACAGCCTCTCTTCCAAGCATATCACGGGAGATGGAGTTTGGCAAAACGTCAATAACACCGCAACCAGGTGCTGTCGCAGTAACACGATAGGGGAAAACATAAACATCAAGCCCGACATTATTGAAGATTCCGCGGAAAGCAGCGATCATTTGAAGAGCGAGGACGTCTTGACGACAATCATCACCAACCTTGAAAATAGCTGATTGCCAAATCTCAATGGAATTTTCATCCGAGGTGCTTCCATTTTTGTTGGTCTCTTCAAGCATGTCATCCGTGCCTTCCATATCATTACCTATACTTTTCTTAATACGGAAGGTTGCCATATACGGCGCTTTAGCATGACTTTGAAGTGGCTTTCCGGATTGACGATCAATACCAATTACCACACCATCAGGGTTACTAGGGAGGTAGACTCCAACCTCCACCTTGATTTTGCGCAATTCTTCTTCAATTTTCTGTTTCTTCTCTGGCTTTGGCCGTTTGATGTATGGCTTCAGCTTGCCAGAAATGCTAGTGACTTCGTCAAAGAATGTGAATTCGCGCTCATAGAAGGTTTTATCAACACCCGAGAAGGACTCAATCATGCGATTCATAACTTTATCGAGTGTGGGTTTGACAGGATCAGGCTAGAATTGTTAGCTTAGCAATTTGAGAGATACAAGTCACTTACAATTTGAGAATCTTCGTCTTTGAAAGCATTAGCCTTCATGTTCCAAATAATTTGATGTGCAAAAAGCTGTGAAAACTTCGCAGTCTCGACAATATATCGCTCAACATATCCCAAGTCATCATAGCGCAAAGTTTGAACTATCTGCGGCACATAAAAGAACGTGACGTCTACAGGGTGACTTTCTAAAGCCCGCATAGCATATTGAATAATGAAAGGATGATTTCGGTATGACGGTAAGAAATATGTCACAGCAGATATCGGATTAACAGAAGTCCAGTATAAGAGGTACTACATTTGTCAGCTTATTTTCAAACAATAGCCGCCTTTCATATCACCTACCTTCATTTGGAATGTCACATCAGGTGGCAAAGTGTCGCCCAGTAAGACATGCAGTGCTTCAGGCTCCGATACTGCTTTGTCGGGAAAGTGAAGCAAGAGCGAGCGGATTTCCTGGTGCAACCTCGCCGAAGGAAATCTAGACACAAGCTGTATAGCCAAAGATGGGCTTTCATTCCAAGCTGTTTGCACCAGAGGAAGTAGCACTGCATCGTTAGCTACTCTAGCGGGAGTGGGAACCTGGATATCGCGGCCTTGACGTAAAGGATCAAGCCAAACATTCAACCTAGTCTGTTCGCTTTCTATTAAAATGTGCAAAAGCTCCTCCTTCGCCTGCATCAATTGGAGCATAGCAGTGGGCTTGGGACCTGTCATTGCAACGCTTCTAAACGCTAGAACGACGTCGTTCAATAGGCGAGTCTCGGCTTTCAATTGCAGACGGTTACCACCAAATGACCACCGTGGTGGGAATGTAAACCAACTGAGAGCAGCAGAAAGAATCTTGTCCTTCAGCCTACACTTAGAGGGGAAGTCGAGAGAAGTAGTGTGTCTTAGGACTCTTAAGCCAAACAAGACGATTTGGAATCTGATCTCTCGAGCAAGCGGGTGCCCAGTAGAATGTTTCAAGCTATCCAATGTAAAGTTCAGGATTCTGAGGAATGTCTTTTCCATATGCGAGCTACCAAGACGAGTGGCATTGAAATGACTACTGAGGAGCTGTAGAAGTCGCATGTGGGGAGCAAGCATATCGTTAACAGCGTGTTGCTTTTTGGCCAGCACTGTCCTGTCGCTAGGTGCGAACTCCTCCTTGATGTAGAAAGGGTCCTGATGGCTATGGACGATTAGTTTTTGATAGGGTATGAACATATGATTGTACTTACATGAACATGCCATTGAAAATACCTACTTTACGATGTGAAGTCAGTTCCCATTGTTGGGCGATTTCTATCAGAATTCTAGGCTCCATGCTGGGATTTTCGTTGATGACACCCAGCCATAATGAACCTCCTAGTTTGATTGACTGCTTGGTGAAGATAGCGAAGGGTATGGAAACAAGATAGTGTATGATGGCACACTCATCCTTGTCACTTCGGCAAAGCAAAGCAGCAGCTCGCCTCAATACATCACGGATTTCGCCGATAGCTATGTGTTTCTTTTTGTGAATTTGTTCTTCGAGTTTGGCCAAAAGTGAAACCGCGTCATCACAATCTTTGCCAGGTTTAGATGTGATCGAAGATCTATGTTCATCGAGATACATAGAGCGTAGCCATTCAGCGTTGTGGTCCGGAAGAGCTTCTGCATAACGGTACTCTTGCCTTGTAGTATATTGAGCAATGAAATCAGAGGCTGTATTGATATTACAATCCCCGTGGCGATCGATCGCCTCAAGCCTGTGATCCATACTTGGAATGACAGCTCCCATCTCTGTAGCAAACGACCGTCCCAGGGATATATGACCATAAGCGCCTTCATCGTCATATTCTGAGAGATATGTCTGTAGCAAGCCCTTTACATCTGCAGGAGCAATATTGATCACTGCTGTGACCCAGCCTTTGGCTTTCCTGTAAAGAGCATCAAGCGTACGACGACGTAGGCCATAATCATCGGATAATTCAATAGTTATTTTTGATTTCTCAGAAGTAAAGGAGGATCTCAGTCCATACTCATCGGTTTCGGCTTCCAAACAACTCACCCAAAGGAGTGACAATAGTTCAAGAAGTGCAAATAGGGAGGACTTTTGACAGAGGGCAGATGGGACATCTCGTATTATCCTATCCGCGCAGTTCATTGCAGCTTGCTGTACCCTTTCGATCCGATAACAACAGCCAGTAAATATTGATGCCAATTGCTTAGCAACGTATGGAGCCGAAAATGTTGGGGTCAGACCCGCTAAAGTTTTGCGCAAGTAAATCTCCATAACGGCACCTGTGACAGCTTCCATCGTGCTGCTCATCTCACCTCTGCGCATGCTAGGCTCAAGAAAATACCTTAGGGCTTTGCTGCAGTCACCTGCATCAGCCCGTAGCGTTTCCACTAAATAAGCAGCCTGAAGGAAGATGACTTTGCGATAACTAAGTGCATTGATTTCTCTAGCTCTACTAGGCAGGAGAGCTGTAAGGCGCTTTTTCTGTGTTGTTTCATGGTCTTGACTGATCCCTCGGCGTAACACCGTATTGAGTTCAATATCACTCTCTACTTGCTCACCTCGCTGCTCGGCAACAAGAGGCTTTGAATGGATCGCCAGGATACGCAACTCTTTTAGATAGAGCTGTCCACGCTCAGTGTTGGTGGTAAAGCCATGAACGACAATATTGAACCAAGCATCTCGTACCAAAGACAACATCTCCTCGCTGAGGTCATTGTCGGAAACCATATTATTGGTGGAAAAAAAGACTGCTAGGGGCTGCAGTAACTGCGCAATCTCTTTAGCTGCAGATTCTACATCGCCTTCTCGCGTGCTGTGCCCTTGATGGACGTCGCCTTTGCTAATGATGTCCTCTAGTAAATTCCCGAGATATATGTCATGTAAAGGAGAATCTTTGCGCAAATTAGAGGAAAGGAAATTTCGGCCTTTCATTACCTAGACCAGGTTAGATGATGTGGGACTTCAAAACTTTTTTGTGAACTTACAGCATGCAGTATGATTTCGTTGTTTTTCATGACACCGAGATGCGTGATTTTTCCATAAAGCTTGAGCAATGACCGGAATTCTAGCGGCCCTCCACACAATGACAATTCTGCAGCAGCTGTGACGATACGGGCATCGATTAGTTGGTTGATTTTATCGATCTTCTGCAGGAGCATGGATTGGGCCAAAGCAATAATTTTAGCATCTTTACAATCTCCAGCGATAGCGCATATAGCCTGTACAACATTACCATAGACGGCAGAAGTGTCTTCTTCTGTGAATATTTCCAAGGATATAGAACTGCCATTAGAATTCTTTCCATAGAGGGTTGTCTGTGCAGCTCCATCCAGCGCCAGGTCTCCGTTAGGTACAGAAGGAGCTTTATCCGCATGACTTGCACCAGAGGTGAGAACATTTCCTAGCGTATAAAGGGTAGTGATTATAGCATCCTGGGATAAATTGTGAAGAACATATGCGAGACATGCGCAGGCAACCCCAATTGTATTGCCTTGTGGATTGCCCTGAACAATGAATCGTGGTAGAAGACGACTGACTTCTGGTGCGAACTGAGGAGCGAGTTTAGAGGTCAAGGCCATTGAGCGAAGGACAACATTGGCCAATGTCTCATCTGCCATTTGTACAGGATCCGCCAGGGTGTCCTCAAGCCAGGACATGAGGGTTTCGGGTTCAACTTCATCATCATTTACATTCAACATTGCACAATTCAGATAGGTTGTTATAGCACTTGCTTTGACTGAAAATGCCAGTCTTTGTTGCCAAGCAGAGCCTAAACGGAGGTAATCTGCGCCGTCCTCGAGAAGACCGATTTCAATCGAAGCAATATTTGCCAGAGTATTAACTGTGTCAGAATCAACCTGGTCGTTACGGGGTGAATTAGGCCTCGATTCCTCAAGGCGAGACATCAGAATGCCTAAAACATCATGGCCTTTGAGACTGCCAGCATCAACGAGGAGGAGTGATGAGCTTGCAACAAGTAGCCACATAAAGCTCCGTTGTAAAAGCATGGCACCCAATGGCCGACCAATAGCTGCATAATGACGAACATATCTCTTCCACTCTTTTACGTGACTGCTTTGGAGATGGGTATTGCGAATAGTCGAGAAGGCCGTCTCTATCGCCACCAAAAAGCCCTCTGACAAAATAACCTTAACACGCTCACATAGCTCCAATCTCTCCCTTGCACTCCAAAAATTGGCCGAAGAAGCTACAGCGTCTAAAAAGCCCAAAAGAGATATCGTAACTGTTGCAACGTGGATTGCCTCTTCGATCTCAGTAGCATATTCTGAACTAACCCCTCGATTCTCTGTAGCAGTCTCACTAGCATGTACACAATTGTCTAGGTATATTGATAATTTTTCGGAAATGAGTCTTTGTAGATGTCCATGTTTTGTACCAATGGATAGGAGAGCCGTGGTGAGATTGTAGCTTAGTGCTTCGACAGGAGACGGTTCGATCGCGCGAAAAAGGGGGGATTGCACAAACAATTGAGTATGGGCCTCGAGAACGTATGGGCTCAACTGGCTGGTGAGCTTCTCCGCGCTGTACATATTATCGATCAGAGGTGCGGCTTTACATAGAGCCAGAAGTACTTCAAACTCCCTAATATTCTGCTCTGGGTATTAGCATTCTGCCTATTGAGAGATATCCCCCTTTTCCGTACCATAGGGGAGCCCGCCAGAGAGCCCGAAGGCTCATTGTTAACTCCATTCACACGCCCAGATAACTTATTATTGCCAGAAGAAACTCGACAGAGCCTCTCAATATCAGAACCCTCAAAATCTCCAGTTGATGACGTCGCAGAGAGCTCAGCTATTTTAGCCAGCGCATTTCGCCGTATGCTTCTCGGGAGGCTGTAAACAAAGGTTTAGTATTTGAAAAGTATTGAAATATAAGCAAACTATAACTACACATACCTAGCCATTTTTGTTTGTAAATAGCAATCTGCTATTCAAACATAATTAATTATCTTGAATTATAGTGACTGGCTTCTGATTCCCTATTAAAACTAAGATCTTACAATAAAGTTGTTCCGTGCAGCTACCCCCTGTCAGAAAGATTGGCGCTAGTTATCACCAGGCTGAAGGTCGACGCGACATCTACAGTGAGATAGATACCTTTGTACCTCAAATTCCAAACCTCTACAACATTTATCAGATTCTAACAAAATTCATCGTATTCCAAGTTCAGAGATTCCCCAATACGATAATCAAGATGTCCATGTTCAGTCAAAATCCTCTCATGAATGGTCCAAATTACTCCTTCAATCAAGCTCCAACCAAGCAAGGTGATGGTTTCACACAACATCATGGTTTCTACCCGTAGGAATATCTTTCGACTTTAATGTCCTTCCAAAACTAATATATTTCTAGATACACAGATAACGGTGGTTCTACTCTAGCAATCTCAGGTTCCGACTTCACCATCGTCGCCGGCGACACTCGTTCCACATCCGGATATAATATCAACACAAGATACCAACCCAAAGTCTTCAAGATCGGCGGCACAACCGCAGCTCAAGATGATGCGACTCTCGTCCTCTCCGTCGTAGGATTTGCTGCAGATGGTGAAGCACTCAAGGAACGCCTCGATGCAATCGTCAAGATGTACCGTTACCAGCACGGCAAACCCATGAGTGTTAACGCTTGTGCTCAACGATTAGCAACCATTTTATATAGCAAGCGATTCTTCCCATACTACGTTACCGCAATTCTTGGAGGGTTGGATGAGGAGGGAAAGGGAGCAGTTTACAGTTATGATCCTGTTGGAAGTTACGAGAGGGAACAGTGTAGGGCCGCAGGTGCTGCAGCCAGTTTGATCATGCCTTTCTTGGACAACCAGGTCAACTTTAAGAATCAATATATTCCGGGCAGCGGGGTGGGACATGAATTGGCAGAAAGAGAAAAGATTTCATTGCCTAGAAATGAAGTGGAGGACTTGGTTAAGGATGCTTTTGACAGTGCGGTGGAAAGACATATTGAGGTCGGTGATGGTTTACAGATGTTAATCATTACGAAAGATGGCATTGAGGAGATTTATAAGCCATTGAAGAGGGATTAAGGTGCTTTTTAAACAGAGCGGTGATGCGGACTTGTATTACTAGCAAGGCATGTGCATTCTCAGCAACTGCCTTTACGAAACCAGGTGTTGCTTCGGAATTCATGAATTTTGTCAGAACATTCAAATGAATTTGCATGTGGTGACTTGATTAACACATTTGCCGCCCGAAGGAATATCACAGATAATAAAAGCTTCATCGATTAAACACAGGTCAGACTGAATCACATAGGCACACACTCTCATTCAAGATTTTGGGGAAAAGTTTAATTGTACTAGTAACACATTTACTGGTTGGTTAACTTCGGATCGATAAAGAATCCAGGTGAGCCAACTCTTGGGGAGGAGCGACATACTGATTTTGTTGAAGATGTCCCGTAGGCAGAACCATGAAAATGTTCCAATGTAGAAGCTCTGCTAACGAAGTTCGAGCCACCGACCTCGGGTGTTGGAGCACTATCTCAAAGTTCCAAATTCTATTCCGGATGAATAACAATGTTTTCGAAGTCTGAAATAGCTCCAACCGACCCACGACCCGTGATTTTTGTGCACAATAAGCCAAGCTTAGTACTTGCATCTTCTCCCACCATGACACCGTTAACAGAAGTATTAAAGATGCACTCGATGTCTGCATCATTATCGCCATAATATACTGCTTTAGAAGCCGCGTCGAGTCTCCAGGATTTGAGCAACTGCTTCATTGCAGATAGTTTCGTGTCCCCGGACGCCAAGATAGTTCTTACTCCAGTATCCTCAAGAAAAGGACCCCTGATGACTCCATTTTCGTCGGGAGAATTCGCTAGAATGGGTATCTCGATCTCCTTTCCCAGACACTGTTCCAAAACGCCTCTGATGAAGTCCTTCGAGAAACTGACTGAGATAACTCCCCAGACACCATTTTGTCTCTCTATCTGTTGCACAAGACCGATGAAGCCTCTTCTGATTTGTACAGCCCCTGACAAAACAGCGGCCTTACCAGCAGATTCCCACTCTTCTTTAGAAATGCCGGCAAACAGACCTAATCTGTTGATACGGTCGATGCTCCTCAACTCTACTTCTTTCAGAGCTCTATTCACACTAATCCCAAAGCCTAGTGGTAGTACCTTGGGCATCTCGAGGAAATATCGTCCAACGAATTCACCACGGTCATTGTCGTATGATTTGACTAAGTCCTCCCATGTCTCCGACAAATCATTGCCTAGGACCTGTTGATGGGCAATTCCGATATCTGCAATGAGTTTGGTAGTGTCTTCTGTGGTAATTGTTCCATCGAAATCAAAGATGAAATGAGTACCATGGGTCGAAAGATTCGCCATGATGTAAGGTTACTGTATTCTTGCTTGGTGTAACAGACAATTGTGACTTTAACCGGAAGGGTATGAGAAGAAGGTCATCATTCAAATCGAACTTGCCATGACGATAAGACTGTGGAAAGCCACTTCCAGCTATAACTGATAACTACTACCTATTCGGGCTCATAGCACCCTTGTAAGATTCCACTTCAAATTTCACAGTAGAATAGAATGATCCTTCGGGTCTTGGATTGCACTCGGATGTTCCAAATAGGAGTAACAATTGAAAGATCCTTTCATTGTACTTCGTCAATGCTGTGTGTCACGTGTCAGATGCTTATTTTAGTATTATCTTATCCACCACCGCGTGATAGCCACATGATCATGGCTTTAGTGGCTAAATATCTGGGTGGTTTATTACTAAGCGAAAACACCAAAAGACCAGCTTTTTTTCCTCTTCGTCTTCACTTCCATTAACAATTAGCTGTGACATCGAACATAATATCTCATCGGTTTATGGAGTGGTCAGGGATTTACTTAATAGTTTGAGTTTGATTTCCGTCATCCTATTCAATATTAAATGATTATTACAATTATAAATAGAATATTCTCACTCATCTGGCAAGTTTCTAGTATTTTCCAGCATTTTCTAGCATTTTCCAGTGATTGCTTCATGCTTCAATGACCTAATATCTCCTGACATCTATTTACCCCTCATTTGTTCTTTCAATTTCTATTTGCCCTCAAATATTGGAGTCGTCATTCTAGAACATGCTGGCACTCAATTGAATATTGATTATTACATCACCCAAAGTAATTTCTAGCGCATACCAGAAGTCCCAACACTCCATCAGATCAAATATTTAAAGGTAGGCTCAGTCTCTGTATAGCCTCTTCTCTTTCTTCTACATCAACACAAGAATCATCAAAACAATTCATGCAATCTTGCTATCGAAAAGCTACAAGACTTCCAGTCGTAACAACTATTAAACGAATTCTCAAACCACAAACAACTACACGCAAAATGTCTCTCTTCCCAAGATCCTATCTCACAAACGAAGCTACCTCCTTTCACCCTCTTTTCCGCCTTCTCGATGACTTCGATCAATACAGCAGCGGCCGCAGCGGCGACAGCCACCGTCATGGCCGCAACAACGTCATGAAGACCTGGACTCCTAAATTCGACGTCAAGGAAGCCGGCGACGTTTATGAACTTCAAGGTGAACTCCCAGGTATTGAACAAAAAGATATCGATATCGAATTCATTGATGATCAAACACTCAACATCCGTGGACGTACCGAGCGCTCTTACACTTCCGGCACTCCACCGGCTGGTTTCGTCGAGGATGAACCCAAATCTGGTCAAATCACTGAAGGTGGTGAGGGCGAGCACAAGGACAAGGCCCATCAACCAACCGTCGAAGACGAAGGTGCGGAAAATCAACAGGGCAACCAGCAAGTCACCAAACACGAAGAGAAAAAGTCCGAGAAGCCTGACCACAGATACTGGGTTTCTGAGCGTAGCGTTGGTGAATTCTCTCGATCATTTAGCTTCCCAGTTCGCGTCAATCAGGATGAGGTTAAGGCTAGCATGAAGAATGGTATTCTTAGCATTGTCGTTCCAAAGGCTAAGAAGCAAGAAAGCCGCAAGATCACCATTCAGTAAATCTTCACTTTACGATTTTCTGATCGCCTCTTACGACATTACGAAGGAATTGATGAAAGGGAGTTAGCAATGAGTATTTTGATATTGGCATTTTTAGTGACGGATTTAACTACGGTGTTTCTGTGAGGGAAAGGGGGAGGATCACAAACGAAAATGAATTCGATTTCGGAGGGTGTTAATGGGAGGAGTTTCACAGTGCGAGAGTTTAATTTTCTACTTCTTTGCTACAATGGCTTTAATCATATCAATTCGATCCTTTCTGTACACAGAATTTAATAAAAAGTTGTTTCTATCAAATTTGTTGTCTGATCATATACTGATGAATTTGCAAGTGATGAAAGAATAGCCTCAAAATGTATAAATACTTACACTACGTACTCAATAGTTGACATCTGGTGATTCAACAACTATGACTGCATGCATATCGATACTATCTTAACTACCACATGACACCCCCAAACCATAGCACACTATACGTCTGCATACATATACCAACCAGTATCATCCATTCATGTATACAACAAACATAGCATCTACCAAACTTTCTTAATTATCTATCTAATGTATACACTTACCCTATACTATATGATATCTTGCATCTTACTTACTCACTAAATATATCACATCACCCACTGTGGATCTTTTGCATACAAGGAAGGATATTCCGGAATCTCTGCTCCTATTTGTTCTTATTCTATCATATTATACCTCATATTTAAAACTCCAAACTTTATATCTTATATCTCATATCCTTATCTATTTAAATTGAATTTTTTAATATTAATTTTTTTGTAAAATATATAAAAAAATCTATATTTTGATAATTTTATTATTTGTTTATTTAGTGAATATATAAATAAGTAATTAATATAAATATTTAATTATCTTATTTTAATTTTAGTTAATTTTAATATTATATATCTATAATATAATTCCAAGTTTTTATTAATATAATAATGTATTGTTTTTATATTTGAATCTTGATATTATAATTTGATATATATTTGTGAAGCGGGGGCTGTCTACTTGGTTAATGCGATAGAGTTTCAACCATGGTTTAGACTATCATCACCGTTTCGTTTTCCCATTTCCCATTATTTACCTCCATAAATACAGCGTTTGAAATCTTTAGCATCTTGTCGGGCTTCTTACACAGACCGAGCCGCGCAGTGATTGGAGTTTCCAAATCCTCCAGTTGGGCAATAAGCTCAGGCGGTGCGTCATTTGAAGGATCAAAATACCGGAGTTTGAGTATCCCAGCTCGGTGATAGACATTGATTCCATTTAGAATATCACCAGTAGCTTCCAACACAAGTAAATGCAGCGAGCATAGGCCACTAAGCATCAGCAGAACACTAAAATGGACTCCGGGTAGAGAAGGGTATTTGTGTGTAACAATTCCATGACTTTCCTTCTCCACGATTTCAGAAATATAACGCTCAAGTTTTGACATTGGTGTTTCTGCTGATGCCCATTCCTTGTTATAAAGCCTTGGTAGTCTCCTTAATGGGCCACGTATGGTGACACTACCACTATTTAGAGCACCAAAGGGATCTTGTGGATCAGCAAGATCAATCTGTATATTCTCGATTTCTGATAAATCACGGAGACCATCCTTAGTCTTCAAGTCATTTTTAACAATCTCATATCCAACACTGGCCCAGCTCCAGGATGGAAAAGCCCCATGAAGAGGTGATATATCGTTTGCAGAACGCTTAGGAATGAGCGTTGCACCTTCAATGTGCCATAAGAGCCCCCGAATGAGGTCCTCTTTCCACAAACCAGCCACATATGTAGGGTTTCGAATCATGCCGCTATATATTCTAGCCAGACCTGAGATGGCCACGAGACGATCGGTGATCCTTTCAAACCTTCTCTGAGTATACTCCTCGACTAGGTCGTACCACAATCGAAATGTTTCTGACTCCGACCACAAAGGATAATCCAAACAGGAAGGTAAATATTTTTTAAATGTTTTGAACGACAGAAATGCCGGCAATTCCCAAATAAATCCGGATCCAAATGTTAAGTTTTCAAAATCAGAATAAGTCAAGGTTTCAGATACTTTATCTTTGACACTTTCTGTTACGCCCCTTTCGAATCTCTGTTCCTCACAGCATTTCCAGATAATTTGAGAAGATGTGTAGTACAATAAACGATTGGGAAGTAGTCCCTCTTGAAATGTCCAACCCCGTTGAATCCAGGGCCAGCTATATTCGCCTTCACTATCATCCCATTCTGGTGATAAGAATACTTTTGCTCTATGATTATCTGCTAGGTCAATGGAATATGCAACAGGAATATAGTTGAGGTTGCGTTCCTTCAGGAATCCATTCTTTACAGAATCTGAACTGGCAATAACAAGAGTCACTATTGATCTTCCATATATTTCATTCATCTTAGAGGCCTCTTCGCCCCATTCCTTACCATCCTGGAGGATGCAAAGTGCATCGATCCAAATGTACGAGATTCCCAAAGCCCGAGTGACCAGTACAGCGTCTTGAATTGTAGCATCGAAATTGGTCAAAGAAATTCCGTTCTTCAACTCATTCATAGTGTCATTGGTAAGTTTCATCGAAGGCTCTTCTCCCCAGCAATAGCTTAGCGAAACCCATTTCACGAGTTGAGGATCAGGGAAGGCTTCTATTAAAAAGAGATCCTGAGTGTTATTGCCGACGTGAATTAGCCGTCTAGGCGGTTTGTGGAACTCAGCATGAGGAGGCCTGCAGGAGGAATGACTCTCTACACAGTTGTTTAACCATCCGGAAGCAATTTCAAATGATCTTTTGGAAGCAGGGTCCTTCTCCATTATTTTCAAAATAGGCGGCGAATCATCCTCTTTTATCCGAGCTACCCGGAAAAGTTCTTCGACTGCAGAGAAAAATGAGTTCCATACCTACACAATTACTAGAGATAATACTCACTATCGGGCTCATCCATGTATACATCAAGACCGCAGAATTTAGCCAATCCTTCATTTGTTTTCGTATCAAAACATACTTCAATCTTTGTACCGGATATACGAAAGAAGATCTGCCAGCCCCTTGCAACTTCCACATCCTGAACATTGATTCTTTTAAAGACTTGAAATATGGCTTTGCATAGGTTACAGTCTTTGCTTGATTTCTCAATCTCGAAAATGTTGCGGTGGTGTTTAAATTTAGATCCCTCATAGATATTGAATCTGGTATTATAGAGTTTGCCGTTGCGCATGCATAGAGCTTCTTGTTCGTCTCGAAATTCTGAAAGACAGATAAGGAGGAGGGTAAGAACGTCTGAGGTTACACTATTACATGTCGCGCAGAGGTGCATTTTTAGTTCTATAAATAGCGATGGGTGTTAGAGGCCATGAAATAAATATGTTCATTTTTATGAAGTTTAGGATTTTGAAAGTAATTGCGCATGCTGCTGCTGCCTAATTTAACGCGGATGCAATATGGAAGCAAATGACATTGAAAACCATCCATTCCGATTTTTATATAACCGAAGTAATTTATAAACGATTTCTTTATATTATATATAACCTCAAATCTTGAATACACTTTTAATCTTATGAAATATTAATCATTATAAATAAATATACTAACGATTTATTTTTAAAGGTTTATATGGAAATTATATTAATTTAAATTAAAAAGAAAAAATAATTAAGAATCTTATAAAAAAATACAAAATATATTCTCAAAATCAAGATTTTTAATATGTTAATAATTCATAAATAAAAATTAGTATTATATTATAATTCACTTAATAAAAATGACTATAAATATAATATATCTTTAAAAAATATTTATAATTAAAACAAGAAAAATAAATAAAAAAGATAATAAATATTAATATAATCTTTTTTTAATAATTTTAAGAATTTTAAAGAGTTTCTCATACTCAAAAGTAAATCATAAATAAATCTTCACCCTGAAATTTCTTAGATAAGTTTCAATAGATCATAGATGATTAGATGAAGTTTCATCTAATAAGATGACGATTTAGATAAGTGACTAAGGTACTTGACAGGAATGACTGGTATAACATAACATAACATAGCCACCATGCATACATGTATGCATGCAAATAGACAGACAGGGAGACATGCACCGAAATCGCAGATCAGATCAAATCAAAATCGAAACCATGACCACAACACTTCCTTGCTCATACACTCACGACCAGCAAGAAAATTTCACCTCTTTTCTGAAAATTCAACCTCAACCTCCAGCTAAACCTCCACCCAACTCCCGCTCAACCTCCGCTCAACCTCCGCTCAACCCCATCTCATGGATGTAATTTGTGATAGTCGTGACTCGTAAAAGTCATTGTAATATATGATTCGCATCAATCCAAAATCTTCCAATCCTTCAAAATATGTCCCCTCGAGAATGTTAATTTTAACGTGAATTATCCGGAATACATCATACAATAAGAAATAATATCCAAGCCAACTCAAAAAATGAAATAAAAAGTAAGAAGAAACTTTTCCCCGTGCCTTTCCATCTGATATCCACATCAATATCCTTTTCGAAAACCTTAATTATATGGACGCATCTGTGGATATCCACCTAGAGGCATCATTTGAATAGGCATTCCCATGCCCTGCATCTGAGGCAAATTAGGCGCCACAGGACTTTGAACCCTATGAAAAAGTCCCACTAATCTTTTCCCAATACTCGTTTCCAACTCAGTACCATCCCTTGCAATCTTGACTTCGCGATTTGAGTTCCACGGATTACGAAGTCCGCGCGTACGATAGAATGGTAATCGAGTTGTCGATATCCATTCCAGCTTGAAAGGTTTACCCCAAGCCTTTGAAGGTGCATCACCGTCAACATCACTCTTGCCACTTTGAGATTTATCGTCTTCATCTACATCTTCTGGCTCGTCGCGCTCGATTTCCCAGAAAATAGTTCCACGTGCTGAATCGTCAATAATGCGTCCTTTAGGTGCGAATTCCGAAGCTGGTGTCGGGATTGCTTTTGGGAGATCAGGATCCTCAACCGTTTGAGCCTTGGGCGCGAATTCAATGGCGGCAGCTGGATCATTATTGATTGGTGATATCATACGTGCGTATCCGAAATATTCTCCTGATTTATTGGCAGAAAATATTAGGTAGACATTATCTGCTGTCTATCACCATCTGTTAGTACGGACCTGATTAAATTTCAGCTTACACCTACCTGGTATGCCTCATTCAAAGCTTCTTCATTATGTGTTTGTGTAGCCCAAATCCCGTTGCGCACACTTAATTCTAAGTCCTCTACCGTGAGACTCTTTACCACAAAATATTTGTCCTTCGAAAGCGGCGAAGACTCTCCATCCGGCATCTGTTGCTTTTCAACAGCCTCTTTCGACGCCTTTTCATTTTCTGAGACTGGCGATGGGTTTTGTGATGGCTGTGGAGGTGTTAAAGCTGCTGGGCCTGTAGGAACAGAGACACCTCCTACAGTCCCAAGTGATGCCTTGCGTAGTCGGCTAACCAGGCGTACAGTTTGAAATCTCGAATCATGAATCTTAAGTTGTGCTGCGACACATGCAGCCTCGTCCTTGAAATTCGCAAAGGCGCAGTTACTCTTGGAGATCAAGAATAGCGACTCAAGACCAACAGTCTCTTTGCAAACATGAAGTACGAGACTCATGAGATCTGTCTGCGGTGGCAAATTACCAATCCACTAAAGCACGGGAAGGTCAGCGATCGCAATAAAAAAGGAGTCTTTAGAGTAACCCAGGGAAAAAAGCTTTTTCAAAGAAGAACCTAAAAGGCAAAACATGGAAATGTAAATTGTGAACGTTGTATAGAATGAAGGAACCAATTATGCTTACGATCGCGTGCCCTAGCGCAACTTGTTAGCTCTGCCGATTAAATTCAATGAAAGTTAAATTAAAGTCCAGTTTGAACATACCACTCTGACGAGGTTTTCGTGGAGGTCCTCTGACGACCGTTGATTGTGTTGGACTAGATGCTATGACTTCTTAGCTTCTACTTTCAAATACCTTTCTACAAGGCGTATAGCTTACCAACACTATTTGATCTTCCAGCTTGGCCTGTCACATTAACAAACAGATCATTGCGTTGTTGTGAGAAAGGTCGACTGTCTCCAGAGAAGCTACCACGTTGTGGGTATTGTGATCCCATTTGATTTCCTGTATAATTTTGACCTTGCTGTCCAAAAGTGCCAGGTTGTATATAATATTGCGATCCTGCTTGTTGCTGTGGTTGTCCCATATATCCCTGGCCGACGTAAAACTGAGCATTGTTTGGGGCCATATGCATATGCTGTTGTTGCATTTGTTGGTTTGAAGGATAGATTCCATATTGTGTCTGGTATGGCGCGTTATACGTTGCAGCGGTGGGCGGAGGGCTCATGATGCCTTGATTTGCGAACTGCGTCTGATACATGAAATGTGGAGGGGCGCCAGGGCTTTGAGGAAACCGTTGGCCAAAGTGCTGGTAGGACATATCTGGCAAGGTAGCACCGAGTGCTGTCATATTGAAAGATTCCGGAGTTGCATGCGACATGGGAAGCTGAGAGTATGCCACGCTCGGAGGATAATTTGAAGATGTACTGGGCAAGTGCGGAGGTCTGTTTGAACCTTTTCTTGAGCTATCCGTTTCTAAATTCTGCACAGAATTTTGCCCCGAAACCTGTAAAGTATCTGGGAATCCGCCATCGTTTGATTTGGATCCGACGACTGATGAGTCTCCCATGGATTTCTGGATGATTGCTTTACTGAGGAGTTATCTGTTCTGAGTCAGTATTGACAGGCAGTCAGAAGGTTCCCACGTGCCAGTCACTACTTAAATGCAGAGCAAGTGTTTAAGTTGATGCAGTGGATAGACAAAAGAGCGATTTAGAGTAGTGGTTCGCTGAAGTAGAGGGGTCGACGTAAAAAAAATTGGATTACAGTGAATTTCAAATGTAACTCGGTTTCTGTAATAGCACTTCGAGACCGATCCAAAAACAGGTGAACTTAAAGCCGATATAAAGTTTGTAGTGAGTGTGGTGTAGTACTCTGAGATTAATCAATGGTTGAGTCGTGTGGAGGAGGCGAAAGCAAGGGTCTAATCGTGGCTGGTTCGGTAGGGCTTGATAGAACTTAAAGCAGCTGTCCCAATCCAAGGCGAGGAAGAGTATGGAAATGGTAGGGTTTTCGGATGCCGTCAACCAGTAAGGACAAGCAATATAGTACAGAGAAGGTGTGAAATTGTTCCGGTGCCAAGAACCCGAATAGTTCAAATATGTGCGAGTTGCGTGCTTATCAGTGTCTCTGTCGAGCTATAGAAGACCGAATCACTGAGTGAGTTACGAAAGAAAAAATATAAAACGAGGGACTTGAAGATCCTTGAGGTTAGTATTGATCTCAAGTTGATGTTCTATCAGGCAGGGAAAACAAAAGCCACGCGGGGTATGAAAGGGTCGGAACGTTTTATATGTGGCAGTGAACTCGTCCTTTAGATAGGCACCTGAGTGTGAGAGGAAAGAGTAGAGATCGTCAGGAACGAGGAGGGAGGCAAATAATACCCGTATGCTAAGTAGAGATTATCTCTCACTACTTATCAAGTGGTAATGCTAGGAAAAGCTCGAACCAGATTCGTCAGAATAACTCCATGAGAGAAAAAAATCATTGTTTATAAGCCACAGCATCCGTCCACAAACCCACCTGTGGCCATGACGGCCAATTGCTGGTAGGCTTTTGGCTATCTAGAATGGAAGTATGCATGGGTAGAGCGTTGTTGTTAGTATGGGATTAGAATCGCTGCATGTAGGGCGACCCTAAGGCAGAGTAGGAAGGAGAATCGAGTATCAAAAAGTTCAAATGTGGTTGAGTTGGCCTGATACCCTTGATGGGAAATGGATTGTTGAGCTTGAAGGCCGCTTTAAAAAATGGTAAAATTTTTATGGGATTTGTAGAATTCCATGGCTTGAGTGAGGATCTATAACTAAACTGGAATAGGAAAAGGATGGGAACTATTTTGCCCTAGAAATTCTTCGCCTACCGCTTCTTGAACCCATGAGTTGAGGGTAACACGGCTGGTGAGGTAAAATAAGAGGTGGCGAATATATTGATTGGATAATGGCGCAAACTGGAGTGGCTGAGACAATGTCAGTAATTGGTAGATATGCAAATCTTCAAACTTGGGTATCTGCAGTACGCAAGTCACTCCCTAGTAACCTTATGGTGAATGTGCTTTTAGATGCTCTAGAACTTATCTTTATATTTTTTAAAGGGGCGTTGTTTTTCCTTTTCTTTTGAAAAAGTCGCTAGCGACAATTAAGTCAGCCATATCAGTATAATTTTCCTTGTTGATCCCATTCTTGAAGAGATAATAAGTAATGAAGTTAGGACTTTATATCTGCCTCATGATATTCCTTTGCTCCGAAGTAGGTATACGTAGATTTCGATCTCGTCGTTTGGCTGTGGCTTGTTTGACGTCTAGAAATCCACGATGAAATAAATGAAGATCGTCTATCATTAGCAGCTATTGTGTTTAAGTAAAGTATTATTACATCACAAGATGTATCGATATAGATTAAGTTTAATCATTACTCCCTGCTGCCAGATCTGTTTGTCAGAAAGCATGATGCTGTTGATGTGAGGTCGTTAACCCTGCTAACAGTAGGTAACAAAGCGATAAGAACATGATTTCTTTCGTTGGTTGGGGAGGTACAATTAAATTGGTGCCTTGGTATTGTCAACAGCACTCCCTGGAAGAAGTTCAATTTTTTTTTTCGGCACTTTCTTTTTCATTCATGATTTGGGTTTATGACTTTTGACATTGGAAATTCAGAGGGCTCGGAGATATCTCCGGTTATCCAATAAGCGTAGCGAGCCCCTTCATTTTACTCCTCAAGCGTGTATCAACAATGACACATGGTAGCAACCATGTCCACCATTTAAACACTATAAGTGCTTGGAACCGGCACTTAGCTATTTTATTATTTACCTAATCGTTGATATTTCAAAACATCAGATCATAGTGGCAGATGCAAGCATTTTATTACTTGTCTGTCCAAATCCAAGAAACCTAAACCAAAGTATGGATTATTCAAGGATGGCCAATGAATGAAAGTTGGCCACCGATACCATCCGTTGAAGTAAAAGAGATAATTCCCGCATCATGTTAGATATCAACCCTCAAGGATGTCTCTACACATGATCAAGGAGGAGTGCTGGTGGGTATCACTTACCGACTTGGAATCAGATGGGTGTTCAAGTTATTTTTGTTGTAGATCCAAGAAAATGGACCCCTAATCGTCATTGTGGGGAAGAGAGAGAGGAAAAACCAGATGGAAAAGGTACAAGTAACAAACAGTTGGTACTTCTCGGTAGCATAATCCGAAATGGTTGGCGTAAATCGGATACAATCATTGGAAGAGAACTTTTGACTTCGGGGCTGGGTACATTCTACCGGTATTCTCCCCGTAAATCATAAATTCTCGGGATGATCAATCGGTAATAAATACCTAAATACATTATTCATTAATACACTTAAGAACTACTACTCCGTACTCAGTACATGGTCGTTAACTTTTACTTTTACTTTTACTGACGAATACATGAATAAATGCCAGGTTTAAAGATATTACGTGTTCGTTGGTCATATTAATTAATGTTTCTCAAAATAACTTCCATCACATCAGCAGCATGTTAATCTTTCTTCGTTCGTACCCAATAACATGTGGGTGAACTCATTCAACTTGGAAATATACCCAGATTTGTTGCCAATATCATGGTAAGTTACGCCACACTTGGGGCTGATATCTAACCTTTCAATGATCAACAATACACCGGCCATATTAAGCAAACGATCACCATGAACCTCATCAAAAACGTTCCATCGTGACCTACGCTTACCTCCTTCCTACTCGCAACTATACGCATTTCATGCACACATCGTAGCATTTACAGAGGAGCCCAGCTTTAGCACCAAAACCCAAAAAGCAAATTATTTGCCGACAGAACAGTACTTGCCACCCAATGCTGCTTTAACAAAAGAGGATATCATCGCAGCGACTATTAACTCTGTGGGTGCTGTGCTTCTCGACGGGGAAGTTTGACACTCACCCATCAATGGCTAGGCTCTGATAAGGTCAACGTGGCTTTTTACTTTGGAGGTTTCTCGCCCCCCGGAGATGAGACGTTTCAATCATGTCGATGGTCGACGTTAACCAGTGGGGTCAAATCTAAGCTCCTGCACAAAGTATCAAACAGTTCATCGTTCAGTGACGGTAGAGTAGAGGGGATAAGTACTAAGTACCAAGTCGCTTCGTAGCAACTGCGAAGAGCAATTGAGTACTACTGTTCATAGTGTATATGAGGCCTGGTCAAGGTAAAGGTTTTTGTGAGCAATCTATTCTGGCATGTCTTCCGATCATGTCTCGGAAATGTATAAACATTATTTGTTAACCCTTTCACATCTCGTTTTTGTATCCAGTCATTCTTGATGTAGGGAAAATTACACCAGAGGGAGCATGGCCCTTATACATAAGACTCCCCCGACTCCGGGTAGCTGTGTATTTGAAGATCTCGACATACTTCTTCAACGACGGGCTGACGGACATTTTGGTTGTGAGCGATTGCCAAGCCGATAGATGGTACAATTCACTCACACTCCTACAGGGAGCATTTGATCGTGCATTCAAGTTTTTCGGATAAAAACTTCGATATTTTGCCGCCTATCACACTGGCCCCAACCGTTTCTTCTTGTGGGATCATGGTCGGTCACGCCTGTGGTCGTTTGTCTGTAGAAAGTCGTTTCTACAAATAAAACTACTTTTCAGTACGGATGCCTGCATAATATTGGGTCAGTGAAACTGCTGTTGGTACAACTCATTGGTTCTCTTCCTGACACCCGGATTTGTATGTCTCTCGCAATGCTTTTACAAGGCCCCCCGCATGTCCGCCCAAGCTCCAGGTCAGCACAGCGGGTAGAGCCACAAGGCCAGCAATGACTCTGAAATATCTCTGTGGGCCGGTTATGGGACTCAGATCATCAAAAAAGACTCTGTCGCTCCAAGAAGTGTATCATTCCGAGTCTAGTCTACTTGTAATTAATGAAAATTGGTCCTGTCCCATCGCCATCGAGTGCATGCATCCTTCTTGACGGCATTGGACAGAACCTTTTCCGTGACACCCATGGTTCTGTTGCTAGGCCTGGGCCCCCATGATCATTCTTGGTGGGAATAGACCCACCGCTCTGGTGGCTTTAAATTGCTTTATTGTCCTCTGTTCTTACAAGTTGCCTTCCGTGAAAACAAGACCACCTGTTTGTGGGTAATTTGGCGTTATTGATGAATCACCAGAAAGCCACGGAAGTGATAAGAGCACACTCCACGCACTACAGCAGAGATTGCACATTTGCAGCCCACCTACCATTTTTTCTTGGCTACATCATGGAAGAGTTTTGACCTCCATGTAGTAAAGCCATAAAATCTTGCCATTTATTGTGGAGTTAAGCGCCAGTTCAGCATACAATGTAAGAGCTTTTTGGGAGAACATAGGGCACCAAGTTATTGCCAACTAATGCAACATCACTAGCCCCGGCCCTTCCACTACTCGGGAGAATTAACGACTTTGAGAGCATTCCGGTAAGAGATTAGCCTTGCAAGAAAACGTTGAATCGCCCACATCATCAGGTATTTCTATCTCATTCTCTTACAACATCTACCACAGTACTAATCTTTCTTTGGTAGCTTTCAAGCTGTGTAATAATCAATTTATGCGAAAACTCGCCATGCAACACTTTCCCCTCCTTTCCTCCGCCACAATCCTCGAGGCCTCGAAAACTAAATCTCTCCCAAGCTCAAGCTTGAAAGACATCACAACTTGAAGTATACCTGAAGATAGTCACCTCCTCGGTAAATCGCATAAATCAGAATACAACAATGTTCGCAGGTGGATAGTAAACAAAAGCTCCATTGAATACATGTAGAAACATTGCACACAGACTCTAAGCGTCTATGTAAACTCCATGCTTAAGAAATAAGCCGAAAATTTCGAGGTTAGCAAGAAGTTGTCATGCACAAAGAGATCGCTGTGCAATAAATCCACGAGAGCGAAGCATCAACAGAGTCACTATTTTGCAGCGATAACCTCGACTCCTCTAGATCTGCAACCATGATTGATCCAGGATATGTCCATTATGTCATCGAGCTGAACGAGGAGAAGCAAGCCGTGCCGAGCCGTGCCGTGCCGTGCCGTACCGTGCCATACATACATACATTCAATACTACTGCTTGCGATCTCTACTGCACAACCATACTGAACTGGGCAAGAAGATGGGATGAAACATCTGTTTTCAATCAGTATTGCCTTTGAAAATCAATAAGTTGATTCCGTGCGACGCAATACTTCTAGCAGAGCTCAATCTGAAATATTCGATCCGAATCTGGATGTGGATTAGTGTTTGCTCTTCAATAAGATCTCTTACATATTGCTCGCTAAGAACGAAACACGAAATCTATGACGGTAGAAAAGTTACTTTCGTCTATCTTTGATTTGCTCTTCTGCAATCATTTCCTTTGCCACCAAAGCGACATAGTCATGAAAGGCAAAATGTTAGTAATGAGCCATATCTTCCTTTTTTCATATACACACAGCCATGAACCAACGTTTCGAATTGTCTTACTGCCGCGCAGTGGCAAAAGGATCCTTGTACTTCTTTAACCTTGCAAGTCGCTATTAGGTGAAGAGGAATAGAGTGTCTTTTTATCTTTTGATATGACACTGCAGTACTTGAGGAATGCTTGGAAAGTATGTATGAAGTATGTTATGATTACTAGGTTTCTCCTACTATGCGATGGCCTGATGTAGCAATGAAAAACAAAAGATAGGAGGAAAATAAATTATAGTCAATTTTCTAATATTTATCCCTTCCCAGTACTTTTTCATCTCAGAGTCTTGATGTTTATACACCCCTCTCCTCATCTTTTCCATTTCATTTTGATTCAGACAGTACATCGAAAATGAACCATAATGATGGCAGGAAGTTATTCAATAGAGTGATATTCTTCTCGGGGTTTTAATCCATCTCCGTTTCGAGTATGGGATGCAGGAGTTGCAGTTAATGACAAACTAGCATGCTATTCCCTTCAGGGTAGCGAACAGGACAGTAAGATTGCGTGTGCATATACTAAAACAAGCAATAAAATATGATACACTGCCATCCATGAATCTTTCATCCCCATATTCGTGATTCCGTATACAAAGACAGGCTAATTACATGCAGGTATATTGAATACTATGCACAGGCATATCTGCTCAAGACTATTATCCTAAGATTACTTACCCTGGCATCCCCCATTCCCCAGGTACTTTTCCACATCCTCTTATATGGAGAACACTGCGGTAGATAAAATATGTAATAGCATTACTACCTAAACGCTCTCTCCACGAAGAGATAGGAAAACAGCACTTTGCCCCTTAAATCAATCATATGCATTCACCACTGCTTTCTTTCTCGATTACTGTGGAGTACTACCAACATGTACATGTATAGATAAGTGAAATCTCGAGCTCCTCGCTATATGAAATTTTTATCCTGTGAAAGATGTTATGATTATGAGTATTTTATCTATCTAATTAAGAAAATCTAATTAATCAGAATGACCTATACGTCGGTCCACTAATTAGCCGGCATTGAGTCGCTCGATCAAGCTCATGCATATCCATCCTCTTCCACCTTAAATTTCTTCGGGTCCTTTGCACGTCGAAAATTCCTTTACTGCAAGATATCTCCGGAGATATCTCAGATGAACCCTTACAGCGAAAGTAAAACTTTATCCCTAGACACCTACCACGAGGCGTCCGTGTGAATGCGAATATAATATTGAAATAAAGGATCCCGGAAAATCTGATCAGAGCCCCTATTACAAGCGGCGGACGAATTTAGCTGATTCTCTCGCGTCCCCTACTCCGTAAACGTAATGCTGACCTCGCTTACACATGCGTCCAAATAGATCCAAAGCAACTTCGCGCCGCCATAATCATGCATCTGATGATGCATCATGTCAAGTTCGTCGCGGGCTGTGGTTAGGCAGTACGCTGCTGTAATTGAATTGCCTTTGGGTATGATATTATGTGGGGTGTTGGCACGATACGATGATCGTGGAACGGTGGCATTTCGAAGGTGCTTGCTGGTAATATATTTCATGTTGGGGAAACCTCGAGCTCCAGGGAGCATGTACGATTTGATTTTGGGATTTTGGGATTTTGGGGAAGTGGTTCATCGTGGAGAGGGATCATGATAATGGTTATGGATGTGGCTATGTTTCATTTGGACGGTGGAGTGAAGTGAGGCTTGGGATGAGAGTTGAGATTGAGCGTGGTTTGCAAGGGATCGTGAGTGTTGCCGTTGTTTTTGAGATCAGCATTTATAATCATCGTCTGGTATGGTTGGAATTATTAGGTATGTTGATAATAAGGTGTTGAGAAGGAGGATGACCCTACATGAAGAAAGCAATCGCATATGGTATTGATAGTGATGATTTTCCTATGATATGCTGAAGTAAGAATAGTACAGGGTGGCATTTGAAGCTCATTGGCGATCCGCGCGCAACTAGAAATGCTATCCACTATCCTCATCCACGAGCTGGATTATCTAAAATGTATCTATCCCCTGCTCTCCGAATTTATTGGCAAGTATAAGGAATGAATACATGGTGCATCTGCACTACCCATGTAGAACTTTCTCTTCTGCTGTAAATATTCCTACGAACATTTGTGGCCGAGGTCAAGGTTTTGAGTTTACAACGAGATATACAAATGTTACTTGACTGAAGCTTAACTTTTCACTACTCCTCAGATGATGTTTGTATGTTCGTTACATCTACTTCCAGGACTGGACTTTTGATAATCTGTGCCCTCTTTTAGAATGAACGGGGTCTTATAACGGATTCTGCGGTGACATGGTGAAGCTGTAGCACCCTAGGCGGACACATTAACTCCTTGGACATGGTGATGTGCCAGGGATAGAAAGAACAAAAAGATTCATTGGTTGTTATAGATACAGAACGAAATGAATTACTTTTCCATTTCTGCTACAGACAGATCCGACATGCTCGGTTGCTCTGATATGAAGCATAAATAAAAGCCGATGAACGACTTGTAATGGGAGCCATAGATGCAAGTTCGTGTATCCTTAGAATACTCTTTTCTTTAAAAGGAGCAATGATATGAGGTTTACTTGCAAAGCATGCACGAAAAAAGAGGAAGATCATCCTAACACCAATCCGAAACAAAGCTCACCAGTGCCATTAATGAATCCCACTTGGGTTTTCAGAATCGCTGAAATGCTTCGAGGTTTGACCTAATTCCATTCCTCACAGCAAGGTACACTTCCCTCATATCTTCAAATCATTCTTTCATTAATCATATAATTGTTTATCGCTTCAATATAATTAAAGGATTTAATGATTTTGAGTACTTCAAACGGCCCGCTAACTTGCGAGAATTTCACAACTTCCCCACTAACCTCCGGAATGAAGTTAATATAGGAAATTCTACACCTACATATCAATTCCATACAACTTCCTTTTTATATCTCACCTCTCTTGTGAAATCTAATCATTGTTCGCTCTTTGTCTCTTTCGAATTATCGTTGATGTTTATTTGTACCGAATTCCGATTGTTACGTCGTAAAAATACCACCTTACTAGCCCCTCGGTTAGCGCATCCCACAGAGAATAGAACATTTTGATATCGACAACCTCAAGAATCGTAATTTTTACCTCATCGAAGACCCCAACCCTCCCCGCCTCAACCACATTTCGATCATTTCTGCAAACATGGCGCCCGCGACGCAGCAAGTCTTTATCGACGGTACTTTCGCCGATTTGGCACAAGAGCTGGCCGAATACCTTCAAATCGGTCCAGAAGTTCAACCCCTCCTCGAAGAAAACCAAAAGGATGAAGCTCTCAAGAAACTCGTCACTGCTTCGGCTTCCTTGAACTCATCTCCAGAGAAAGAATTTACTGCCGCATACAATTTATTGGTCTATCTTTGCGTCCAATCTCCAAATGTCAACATGTATCTTCCAAAAATTTGCGACAACCTCGCCAGACCAATTACTTCTTCACCTCTAAATGGACCAGGCCTTGCGCTGAATGTTATGACTACAATTTTCAACCTTTTACAACCAGATAATGAGACTAGATTTAATGTCTTCCAAGCCGTTCTTAAACTCATTAAGACTAGTGGAAATTACGAAATGTTGCGACCACAGTTGAAGAAATTGGACACCTGGATTGTCGAATGGAGTATTGAGGAGGAGGACCAAAGAAAACTTTTTGAGATGATCTCAGAAGTGGCAGATGATTCAGGAGAGGAGGAGTACGTTTGGAATCAACCCTGGAGACTATATTTTACTAATCGCTACGTATAGGGAATCATACCAATACACTCTCAAAGCTCTACGTACTTTCGACGGCAAAGACGAGAAAGCAATCGCATCCGAAGAAGCCCAAAAACTCGCCATCAAAGCATTAAGAACTGCCCTCCTTTCAAACACTCACTTCGATTTCCACGATCTCACTTCCCTCCCCGCCATCCAAGCCTTGAGCGATTCCCACGCAATCTACTCAGAACTGCTCGAAATTTTCGCCGAGAAGGAACTCGAGGACTACAACGATTTCCTAGATGAGCACGATGGATTCGTCGAGAAGGAGAACCTAGACAACAGCAAATTGCACCGCAAGATGCGACTCTTGACCTTGGCTAGCTTGGCCGCCTCCACGCACACGCGCGAACTCGAATACCGACGCATTTCCAAAGCTTTGCAAGTCGCACCTGAAGATGTGGAGATGTGGGTAATCGATGTTATCCGAGCCGGATTGGTCGAGGGAAAATTATCACAACAGAAGCAAGTTTTCCTCATTCACAGAACCACATACCGTGTATTCGGCGAGAAGCAATGGCGAGAGGTAGCCACGAGGTTGGATCAATGGAAGGAGAGTTTGAGAGGTGTAAAGGAGGTTATTAGCAGGGAGAGACAAGCAGCCGAAAGTCAAAAGGAGAAAGAAATCCAAGAGGCTGATAAGAAGGTTTCTGGTGCGCAGGGTATGAATGCTGGACGAAGAAGGGATAACATGGTTGAGATGGGTACTGATTAGATATACCAACTCATGAAAATTTGGTATTAATTCATGGATTGATTGGTCCTCCCCCCAAACCAAAAAAGGTTCCTCGTTTTCGTCGGCGTTCTTAGATGTTTGTACAGTGGCAACGGCAAAATGGTTATGTTTGCATTGGCATCTGGTAATGGTGTAGGAGAAGAACATCCATGATTTTTCATGTTCAAAATTGAAGCCACGAACGAACGATATGAAGCCATGAAAAAAGACGTAAAGACGTGGAGTGAAAAAAGAAGATGAGAAAGAATAGATTTTCTACGTACGTATTGAATGAGATAGATCTACATTTGAACATGCCTGTCTGATGTTTATGTATTTTTACAAGTACTAGGTATGTATGTAACGTGAAGGAATGACAGGTGTCTATCTCAGGTTCAGATTATAACTTTCTGTACTGTACTGTACTGTACGTACTATACTGATATACGCTCCTTTTCATACTCAGTATGATAGATTTTTTGACTTTTCCTGGTCTATATCCCAATTATACATCACCCAAATATCTATTAAAGTTCCCTCCCACGCATGCAATCTACCCATATCCATATCCATATCCACCTTATGCACCGTCCCATCGCACTCCAAGCACGCCCTCCCTAAAACGTCTTCCCCAATTTCTCCTCCAACTTCTTCCTCGTCTCCTCATAAACCCCCTCTGGAGTCTTCGTAGCATTAATCTTAATAACGCGACCTTGTCTATCAAAATAATCCACAACAGGCATACTCGTCTCTTCAAAAACCTTAAACCGCTTTTGAATACTCTCAGCATTATCATCCGTCCTTCCGCTTGTCTTCCCGCGCTCCAGTAATCTCTTCTGCATTTCCTCCTCCGGACAATCATAAAACAGTACATATCTACCCTTACACACCGTCTCCTCAAATTTATGCGCCTGGTCTAATTTGCGCGGAAATCCATCGATTAGGAATTTACCCGACCCGTTAGGCGATTTGGAAATAACATCCATCATGGCGTTTTCGAGGAGTTGAACGGTTACTTCCATGGGGACTATCAGGCCGTTCTTGATGTAATCTTTAATCATTTCGCCGAATTCGGAACCGGGACGTTCTTGTTCGGCTCGGAGGAGATCACCTGCGGAGAGATGGGTGAAGTTGTAGTCTCGGACGAGGTTGGCGCATTGTGTGCCTTTTCCTGCTCCGGGGCCGCCGAGGACGAAGAGGATGGTTACTTTTTCGGGGGAGAAGGTTGGGATGGGTTTTTTGGGGGAGGGGAGTTGGGGCGTTGGTGGTGTCATGTCTGTGGTGGGTTGGGTTGTTAGTTATGGGGTTATTTGAGTAGAGGGTAGTAGATTTGGAAGGTGGGAGGGCGGGACGGGGTCTTTGCAGATAGTTAGATTGATGGATGATGAAGAGAATGAGGAGATGCTCATATGTATGACAATAAGCTCCAAGCCTCAATAAAACTTAAAGCGGCTCTCGAATCCTTCAGATCGTATCATCTCATCGCTCTAATCCATCTAATCCATAACACTATACCAATCCCACACCCCTTATACATCCATCCCATAACATAACCAATTGAAACCAAAAACCCCCCCCCAAAAAAAACACATTAAATAACACAACATACCAGTACCAGCTCTACTCCTAACCATCAAAGCATAAGCACCACTTCCCACCAAAGTAATAGCAACAAAAGGCCAGATCTTCAACGGGCTCTTACTAGGACCACCTGTTGAATAGCCTCGACTTGATTTAGGATTTGCGTGGAATTGAGGACGGAAAGTGCGAGTGTGAGTGCGAGTGCAAGTTCGAGGGAGAGGTGAAGAGGTTTGGAAGAAGCGTCGTGAGAATCGGGGCAGTGGTTGTGCCATTTTGAGGAGTGCTTGTGGTGGTCGTGGTCGTTGTGCTGGAAGTGGAAGTCGAATGTGTGATGGAGGTGTTGGCTTTGCATGTGCATGAGGGAAGCTTAGCTTAGCTTAGGTAGGTAGCTTTGGAAATTTGGCTGACTAGGCTGGTTAGGTTCGCGTAGGGTTTTTGGATTTTTGGATTTTTGGCTGGGGATGAATGATGACCGTGCTGGGAAATTGGTAACTTCGTTTCCTCTCCTATTTTATTTTTATTTTTGCAGAGATTATTACCTATGGACTGCTGTTGTTCCGATACGTAAATGATCATTTTCTAAGCAATTGCGTGCGAATTTTATTTTGAATTTGTTGGTTTTTGACTCATGAAATCATGGAGGTAGATAGATATAGAAGGGCAACGGCTTTGTGTCTGTGATAAAGACAGCTAGAGGATACTGGTAATAGATTACACGCAGTTATGGGGGATATACAAAGATCTACCTGTGATGGTGCTTGGTGAGATGAGAATATCTTTCCAGTTTGTGAAATAGGAGAATGATCGAGTTGGGGAGAGCTATGATGGTCTTTCAGGTAAGGGGATGATGTGGAATGAGGCTCTGCACAACGAATACAGGTAAGTAGTAGGTGAAATGATTACATAGTAATGGATCATCATCAGTCATTGACCTTCATATGGAAATACTCCTGCATTTTATCTTTCTGATTTGCTAGCAGTATCTCCGTATATCTGTATTTGATTCGGTGTCATTTACCTGAGGGGGGTATCTTAAAATGTGTTATCTCCGTTTCTGCGTAAGAATGTGGTGTGGAAAGTAGGTATGCTGGAAAGGTTAGGGCTACTGTTGAGTTTCCAAGAGACATCTAAGTAGAGTCCCGCTCAAAATATTTGAAACGGATTTGCAGGTAAAAAGTTGGATAAGTACCGACGATCTCAAGACCTGAGGCGGGTACGACATGATACTGAAGAGCTCACATATTGCCAAAAGGTGAAATGAAAATCTCATCACCAGAATCACATCACGGATCAAAAGATGAAGTTATTAAATTTTTTAGTATTCACATCCCTGCACATATCGACAGTCTTGTTGATTTAATAGGTTTGCAATGAAGGATCATATGTACAAGAGAGAAGTCGATGTCAAAGCCTCATCCACCCTCTGTAAAAGTCCAGCAGCTCCATAATTGAACCAAATTATCATCTAACCTGCGGATCGCAAGTGTAGATCACATATCTGGTATCTCGTCGCTGAGTTACGAAAGAAGAAAAGGTATGTCATTAGGCCGCATTATCGAAAAGAAGTATAGACGCCATCATTAAAGATCTTGACGCCATTCGATGCTCAATTAAGGAATTTAGATGAACTGATTGAGTATGTTAGTTTGGATACAAGAGGAGGGGATATGGAAGGAAAACTTACAAGAGCAACGGCACCAACAACAACCATTCCGAAAGCGGAAACTTGGACGTGACCAGCAGCACCAGTAGCGTAAGCAATTGGCGAGCTGGTTCCACTTGGGGAGGTAACGACACCTGAGGAGGCAGTTGGGGCAGCAACGCCACTGGGTGCAGCAACACCGGATGGGTTGAGACCGGAGGATTCCCCAGATGAAGATCCAGCACCGGTGGTGATACCAGAAGATTCTCCAGCAGAGGAACCGGAGGATGCACCAGCGGTGGCAGCAGAGCCGGAAAGGCCAGTGGAACTTGGGCAAGCGTAGACGGTGACAGTCCTATGAATATTTGTTAATAATGTCCGATCTCGATTTCCAAAGTCGCAAAGACTTACTCAGTGGCAACTGCGACGGAAGCCATGGCGGCAATGGTAAGGGCGAGGATGTTGAACTGCATTTTGATAGATGGAAGTTTTATTGGTTTGGGGAAAGTTGGTGGATGGTGGATATTGGAATTTGAAGAGGTTGATTGAGGTTCTTTAAAGAGTGTGAGATTACTATTGTTGTAAAAGAGTGTAACTGATCGATGGATGAAGAAAAGAAGAAACAAAAAAAGGTTTGAAACTGAGGACGAAGCAGTATCATATATACTACGTGCCGACTATCTGTACACGCGTTTAATTTTCCAGCAGCGAGTGACCATGACCATGACCATGACCATGACCTTGACCTTGACCTTGACCATCGATCGAAAGTGAAATCCCGGATGATTTCCCCTTTGATAACGAATCCCCTGTTGACCCACCGAGTGAATGTTTCCCCGACCCACCAGGCGGAGATTGAGAAGTTGTATCATCTCCAATTTCTCATTTCTCATTTCTCATTTCTCATTTCTCTTGCATTTTGGCTTGATTGCGAAAATTACTTTTCCTAGTACATTTCACGATCATGAATGAGGGGCTGGCATTGGTTGATGCGATTGGAAGTGTAACCTATGGTGATACTGTTGTAATCTCTTTGTTGTTCCTGTTGTACATCCATCCCCATGCATGCGGTTTGTTCTTGATTCACTAGACTGTAGCTTATTAAATTTCTCTATGGGTAGGTAAGGTGCTAGGTACTCGGTGCTAGGTACTCGGTACTAGGTCGTCGGATATGGATGGGTTGGTTTATTTGGTGGTGATATTATCTGTGGTATTACTGGTATTCAACTGGTATTCAACTGGTATGCAACTGGTATGCAACTGGTATTCACATGGATGTTCCGCTTGTGATTGAAAGGTCTGGCTGGAGGGGTTGGGTGATCTTTACACCTTTACATGTACTTCCGTGCACCACATAGGTAGGTAGGTTGGTGTAGAAAATACAATAATCAGCATTCATTACAAAGTATCAACAAGTAATCAGACAAATCCATCAACCTTCACCGTATTCAAAGTTCACCCTAAGACCACACCATGAACAACCATAGCCAAACCCTCAAACATCAACATCAAAATATCCTTTCTGTGCATGTACTTACTACTTACTACTTACTACTTACTACTTACTACTTACTACTTACTACCTACTACCTACTACTTCCAAAGCGATCGCTTCTATTCATGCGACCCCCTGCTACCACTTAAGATTAAACCCCATATTGTTTCTCAAATAATGGCGAGAACTGCATTACACTGCAGTCTGCACTGCGCTGGTTCCTGCATTTTGCTCGTGTGGGTTTCTACTGAGTGATACCCACTGCGTATCTACAGAGTCACCTAGGGATATGTTGATGTGTCGGTCTGTTTATCGCGATAACATGGCTCGGCGTGGCATTGGCGCGTGGTATGGAATGGCCGTATGAGATGCCTCATAAGAGTTTATTCTCTGACGTTTCCTCATGGGTCTTGGTCTAAAAGCTAAATATAAATAAGCTTTGTGTGGCATGTAATATTTTGTGTATGCCTTGTCGGATGTATCGATTAGATTTAGATACCGTGCAATATACTCCATAAGTAAGTAGCTAGGGACGGAATCGAGGAACATGAAATGTTAATCCCCCAATCATCTGCACATTCAAGAGAGAGTCAAGATCTTCATGAATCTAATCGGGGCTTTCAGGTTTCTTTCCAGGAACTCCTACTAGGACACTATGTTACATTCATTATATTTCATCAGGTACCTAGGTAAGTACACTCCTAACTCTCCATATATTCCTCATATAAAAACCCTCCAGCTACTAATAACCTTAGAATCTTTCATCATTCTTGACCGCTACGATTAATATCCACAATGGACTTGAAATAAAAACCTCCGAGATGAAATGAGCATATAACCAACCTACACCTACCTACCTACATTCCCTGATATAAAAAAATTCCCAAAATTCCAAGCCACCCATGGATAATATTTCAAGTATCGTTATCACATCATTTCTTTATCTTGTTGATCGATGCTCACATGTAATAAATTTAAATGAGGGCTTTCGCGTCAGGTCTTAGATCTAGATTATATGTATGTAAGTAAGACTTGCGGATGTTTCTGATCGCTTAGTTAGCTTGTTGCTTGATGTATGGAGGACTTAGGTATGTAACATTGTGTCTTGTATGGATGGATGGTGCATAGGATCATAGATGGGATAGAAGGAGAGTGTGGAATCGGTGGATAACCTATGTCTTAAAGGGGTTTTTTATCTGAAACGAATCAAGCGAGGTGAGCATAGGGTGATCGGAGCGTAGATTGGGAAATACTGTAGCGCGGGACATATTGTACCGTTCGTTCGTTCGTTAGCTTAACGTTCTCGACTTGTCCGTCTCTACGGAGTAAACAGCCAACCACATAATAATATATATATATATAATTAGTAGGAGCTTTAAATTCCTAGGAGAAGAAAAAAAGAAATGATGTATTGTATTTAAAAACAATGATAATGTTCCGTCGTACGCCAAACTCTTCAGATTTACTATACACATAGTCGTCATCATCATCATATCTCTTGCAATTTTAATATCGAGTTGTCTTCGCCAGATTGAATCTCCTGAATCTAATCAATCGCAAACCAAACTCTAATAATTGGCAGAATGAAAGCGGTGAATGTATATCTTTTGGAGTTTTGGATAAAATTCTCAAGCTATGCGATTTGACTAGGGCGAGGCTAGGGCTGTAGGTTTAGGATGATTTGCTTTAGCCTTTAGCTCAATTACTTCATGGTTCATTTCATAGTACAGTACTCGGTATATATATTCGATTGAGTGATCGAGCGACGTCAATTCTAGCGAATAAGAATAGTGCTTTTCTACGAATGTGATCGGCTAATCTTTTGGGGGTGCAAGTATCGAAGGTTTCTATCTGTGATTCGGTAACTTAACTTTTATCAATACCAGCCTCTGAATGGCGAGAGTAGGTACTGGCCTAATATACAGATACCTGCTCAATAAAACCCGAGTTCATCATCTTTTCCAATTCTATTCTTTTAGCTAAACTAGTTTACCAGAACTCATTTTACTCATTTTCATCTGTTCGTTCCCTTGTCGCACAATCCTCACCACCTCCAAAAGTCCATCACAACTTACAGGACTGTATTCAACCTTCCATTGTTTCTGACTGCAAACCACCAGTGTGCAAAGCGCATCCATTGATCTGGATAATCTCCTGTGAAGCTTTCCATGAATCTAATCAGACGCTAGACCTCGACAAATCAATCCTACTCGCGGTATCACTCCTGTTGATAAAAATCCCGGCGTGTTCGTTCTTATTGTGTGGAACATCTTGACGCCCTAATTCAAGATGGTGGCTTGTCAAAATAGAAAGATGCTGAATATTTTATCGTCTTCTTCAGTATCTATCTGCATTGCACATTGAATGCGACCAGGGGTTTCCTTGCGCACGTGTAAATAATTAAAATTAGTAAATATACAAGACTAACCAGTCTATCCGCGCAAAAATCCAAGGGATATCTTGGGCATGCAAACAGAAGCTAAAAGAATGTGAAAATAGCATCTAGGATTTTCACCCCGATTGCTTTGTCCATTGCTCAATTATGCGTGCTCATTTGCCATTTGAAATGTAATGTCGAGCAGGCACCTTATCTCTTTTGGGGACACAACACATATCTCGTATGTACCAGCCAACTCATCCGTAGCGGCCAAAGTACTTGTATCCTGCCCTTCCAAACATCACAGACCCGCTAGTGCTTTCTCTCTGCACATCTTGAAGTGATAACAAGCTGGAACTGTGGTACGGACGTACTACAAGTTTTGATAGTTCGCAAGCTCAATATCTGCTATCCGTGATCTCCAGTCGGCTATGGCTATGGAAATACTTCACTGGATTTTGCAGGTCAACCTAATAGTGTCTGCTTTCACCTAGTTTGCATTTACCTTCATGTAAGGTTCGAGGATGGTCCTGTTCTTAATGCCACCAGTTTGCTTTTGAAAACTTGCTCTTGAAGATCCGTTGCTATGCTGACCCGACGCTTTTGTCATAAATGACACCGAGGATTAATGTACTATGTCGGTTAAGTCTAATACTCTCTTTTCAAACCATCTTTAATTCGGACCATCTTTTTATTTCAAAAACTATCATTTTCATCTATTAATAACTTTATAATTAATAAACATAATTCGAATTAAAGATTCATTATATAATTATATACTAATTGTGAAAATTTGGTATTTTTTACTATTTTTCTAATTGAAATATTAGAAATGAAAATTAAAATTTTTAATTTATACCAGAGGCCTGCGCCCCCCGGTAATTATATGATAAATTTAATTAGATTATATTTATTCATTATAAAGTTATTAAGAGATGAAATTCGTTTTTTTTTAAATATAAAAAAATGGTCTAAATTAGAACTAATCCGAAAATAAAGTACTAGACTTATAAGCTCTGAAAGAATGGGATTTATCCGGCTAATTGAAGATAATAAAAAGGTAAGAAATGAAGTTATACTAGGAACCATGTCATCAAAACCCTTTGAATATTTGAATACCGTGTCCAATCCTCCGAGCACTGATGCCCTAACCCTAATTTAAGGTTACATATCTACAACACTTTATAGTTCGCAAGCACGACCGATCTTTTCCAAGACAACCAATACTACTTTGTCGCTATGTGCCTTGACATAGTCTATAAGTTCTTGAGCAACCACGGCCACGAGATTCTCCACTCTCAACCTGTCGACTTCGGCCTTGAAATCCCCTGTTACTCAAATCTCCTCAAGAACCGTTACAATAATAGTGGCTTTTCTCTTGGTAATCCGGTCAAACTTTCTTAGAGCAGGATCAGGCCAACATGCCCACTAGTAAAAGTGCCAACGCATGTCATTATATCATATGTGTCGTCTGCTTTTCCAATCCGCTGTGCCAAATCACCTTGAGCTAAACTTCGATATACATCTATCTGGTCTACCACCATGAGCATGGCGGCAGACAGGTCGTAACCATCGATCACCTCTGCGCCAGCGGATGCAAGGGCTTGTCCCACTAACCCAGTCCCGCAACCAGCGTCCAGTATCCCACTTTTGGCTGGGTTGTCAGATGATTTGACAGTGGCCTGAGCAACGAGGGCAGGAGCGACCTATTCTTGGGCTTTGTCCCCAACCTCATCATTGTAAGTGGCAGCCCATTTATCATAGATTTTCATACGATCTTGAGCACTGAGACTAGAGCGAGCTTGAGTAAGGTATAAGTTGCTATGCTTTATTTGAGCCGACATGATGAGAGAGGAGTTGTTGAAGAGGCTTATTTGTAAATGACTGAGGCGGAATTGTGACTTTTGATGAAAGAGCTCAGGTTCGATGGGGAATCTAGTTATTTGGTAGTTTTCGGATTAGCTCGAGGAAAAGGATCTCGTGAGAACTGATGTGTATATAGCTTCTTTCTTCTGTGGTACTTCCACTAGCTATTTACATACAGACACATACCATGAGCCGCGTATCTTTAGGCAAAAAAGTATGGAGATATGACTTAATTCTACTCAGTACAGCGTACCTACTACTAATTTACAAAAAGCATGGATTTTCGATTGTGAAAGAAAACTATTTCGTAGTTGACCCAGTGATAGATCCTGATGAGTGGAAGAAAATTGAAATGGAGTTGGGTTTAACGACCATGTAGCAAATGATTAAGAAAGTGGTTTGAATATTAATAACTATCGGGGCCACGCGCACTTCTTCGAAATTCCCGTGGCTGCATGTTTACTGCTGTTAGTACAGTAGGGAACTCGCCGCCATATGCACATATGCACCCTCTGTCTAATGGAGCAGAGTATCCTTGCCCCCTGCGAATTCGTGCTGGGTAAGGCCTAGGACCCGTACCGAGTAACCGACCTGGCTCAGGGGTGCGGCGACAAGCATGCCAATGAGCCCTCGCTCTGTAGCTCCCAACGACTATTATTCATGAGGGGGAAGGGGGGTAGTCGTTCATGAGGTCTAATCGATTTGAAGCACAGATGTGTACTTGAAGTAACCAACCAACGATGAAAACCATATATACTTCGTGTAGCATGAAGATTCAGCGACAGAGGGAATGTGCCTGAATTGACCACACCAACAGCTCGCGTACACAGTGCAAGAATTTTGGGAAAAGAATGATGCAATAAGCCCATGAGGATCGTGCCATTGTCTACTTTAAAAAACCAGATCTTACATCAGCAGGCCTATAAAGCCTATAGGAATCCTTGGATTGTACCCTAGGAGCATCAAACATCGACAACGCCAAAGAAGCAACCAGCTTTTTCGCTTGATCATCTGGATCAGTCTCTAAAGCTTTACTCAAGATTGCAGCATGGCCATCCCAACCTTAGACTACAATCATTTCACCTCGGGATCCAAAGAGCAGAGCAGAGCGAGGAGTTCGCCCGTGCACTTTTGGACAGCTTTGAGAGGACTGGATTTGCGAAGCTCAAGGGCCACATCTTCAGTGCGTAAGAGCTAGAGGAATTGTTCACCTGGGTAAGAACCCCCCTTGATATACCTTGTAGATGCTGTGACACTGACTTTCTCCGCCAGGGCCGAAAGTTTTTTGACCAGCCATTGGAAATAAAGAACGAGATTCCGAATGAAAAAGGGCCTAGGCCTATGCGTGGTTACACCCCATGGAGAGTCGAGGAAGTCAGGAAGCTTCCTCTTGATGTAAAGGTTAAGATCATGACGGACTCAAAGGTTCGCGTAGACAGCAACTTACTGGCAATTTTGGGCATCCTGCCTGACCATGATATTTAGGAGCATTTTGATCAAGGCCCCGAATACGACACAGAATTCCCAAACAAATAGCCCAAGGCGTCTGAGCTATCGGGCTTTCGACCCTTCATGGAGGGGTTCTACCGTCAATGCGATGACGTTTGTATGACGCTGATGAAGGCCCTAGAGGTCGCCTGGGGTATCGACGATGGGTCATTGGTTACACGCTGCGTTCCCAATGCCACAGATCTCCGACTGACCCACTATCCTGCAATCAACGTGGACGAGATGCAATCAGGCCGATCAAGTCGTATTGCCCCACATACCGACTTCGGTCCCATCACACTCCTATTCCAGGACAGCACTGGTGGTCTAGAAATCGAAGACCGGACCAATCCCCGTCCCCATTCTTTCGTTCCCTTGCCGCCGACCGATATGACGGAAATGATTGTCAACGTCGGCGATACAATGACGCGTTGAACCAATGGAAAGATTGCCGGTGATATCCATCGGGTCACCATCCCAGAAGCAATGAAGGGGAAAAGCGCCTTGACCCTGCCCCGCAGAATGTCCATGGCCTATCTCTTTAAGGCGGAGCGTAATGCCTCAGTCGGCCCATTGTCAAAGTTTGTTTCTTGTGCGGAGCCAGCAAAGTATCCCGACATGACGGCTCCCGAATTCCAAAAATCGAGAAACAGCATCGTGTACAACGTTGACGAGAAGAAGTGTTCGAAGGATTTTGATAGCTTGAACGGCATATCTGGATACGAGTTTCCTCTGTAGCTAGGTCTATTCAGCTTTGTAGCCAGCAGGCCTTGACTTCGTGGCCAAGCATGATAGCACTAGGTTATCTGAATTAAAAAATTTAGTATCCTGTCATTTGCCCTTATCATCTCTACAGTATGTACCTCATACACCTGATTTACCCACTGTTTAATTATCTTTCGACTCAGCGCATCCCACGCTTTTAGTACCGATTCTTTACTAGTATCGTCGTCAAAGTGAGCGTGATTGCATAGGTGTGAATTAGGCTTGTTTCCAGGTCCTTTAAAGGAGAGGGAAATCGGGCGAAGAGGGCGCGATTCTCTAACACTGTAATCCAAGCTCTTTCTTCCATTTCTGTACAATATTTTTCTTTGATTCCGCAGTAACAACTTTTTGGGAGAATCTAGTTGTGCGCGGCGACCATTTTCCTCCTCGCACTTTTTGATTTTATATGACCTTGTCTCCTCCTTCTTGCCATTTCTCTTCTTGATAGTGCATTATACTTATGCCCAGGGTCTCCATTCTCCTCAAGAATCATCAGTGCGTTCGATTCATGGCTTAACCATATCTTAAGAAATTAAACATAATAACCTTATATGGATGTAAAATCTAGAAACAGGGATATGTCGGATGCAAGGATAGAATCAGCGGATCAAATGAAAGATCATTATATTCTCATTGCCTTTAACCTTTAGCTTAAAGGAGGTTTGTTCAAAAGATGAATATACAAAAACACAATTGCAATTCAGTTGTGAATTTATAGTTGCATAGATCGATCAGGCGACTGTAGCTCTACGGTTGAGGCTAAAGCATAAATCCCCATAAGGTAGCTTTCAGGGAATGACGTAATACTAAGGAGCTTTTGCTTTAACCAAGTAGAACTAAAACTGCCCGGGCCTCAATCATCCCTAAGCTCGGCTCAACATGCAATTGCAGACTTCGAGTTCAATCAATCCATACCCACTCCGGTTGGCCTGCTCTCACGCACCGCACATTCGCTTTCCACTCGTCCTTCTTCTACGGCGTCAAATCCACCAAGATCTACTGCCGTCCTACATGCTCTGCGCGCGTTGCTCGGAGAGCTAATGTTGTGTTTTACAACACAGAAGATCAAGCACGACGCGATGGATACAGGCCGTGCAAGAGATGTAGGCCGGATGACACTACCTTCGTGGAAAAGGCCAGGAGGTTGTCAGTAACGTAATAGCGCTTCTGATGGTGAGAAGGGATGATTCGTCGATGAAGGGAGGTTTAAAAAATTTGGCAAAAGAGGCTGGAATTACGCCATGTTATCTTTGTCGTGTATTTAAAAAGATAATGGGCGTTACGGTAGGGAAATACATGAAGGAGTTTGAGAATGACGCAAGCGAGGGCGAGACGAAGAGCTCAGTCCAACCTCCTAGCAAAACTGATACAGGTGTGATGGAAGTGGAGACTAAAATCGTGATGCCAGCAAAGACAGCAAGGTTCGTTGGAAGCGCCTGTCGAGCGTATCGAGGGTGGGCCGGCGGAAGAGGATGTTGGAAACAATGAAGATGCTCTGGACTTGAATCTCGATTTCGAGGAATGGTTCTGGACTTCCTTGAGTGATAGCGTCTACGGACGATCTATCGAGGAGCATTCCATATTACCAATGACAGCCTAAATGGGACGAGCAAAATCGTTCAGCTCCACTTACTATTTCTCAACCATCGCGCACACTTTTTTCCCTTTTCCATGCATATAATCATTCCCTAGCTACTAATGAATAACTGGAATTATATTGCTCCGCATCAATCAACTCTGCAGCTGAGTCACCGGGGTTGGAAACTCCCGTCCAATTTGGTCGTCCAGCCACCGGTTCAACTTCAAGTTGAGACCATGACGGGACCCGATGTGAAGCTGGGAAAACTATTGGAAATGTAGTTCCAGAGGATCTGTTTATGTATTAATTTTCATTCTATTTATTCATTCATCTATTCATTCATTCATCCATCATCTCTCATATATTCCACAATTTCTCCCCTACAACCTATACAACTCCATACAACCCATAAACCACGAAAATGCCCCTCCCGAGCTGCAGAAATCCCCCGCTGCACTTATTCGACCTCAACTGCTTCTTTGGACAGCCAAATTGACAACATCGATTCCAGTCCTTACTGTCAACAAAGATCCATTTCAGTTGCCACCGCCTCCCGTGTACGCCACTATCATTGCAGCCCCAGGACTTGTGTCAACATCTACACTTGTACAGACTCGATACAGAGCTTACCTTTTGTCTCATTTTACTTGTTAGATCTCCATACAATTTGGATGACATTTTCAAGCTTACATCATACACAGATGATATACATAAATAGCCCCTTGACGTACCAGCTGCACAAAGGGCTCAGACTCAACTCAATCATTCATTCTTGACCTTGATATCACATGCCTTCGTCCGATATTTCTCCCTATCCGAGCCCAGTTTCAGGTCTGTCGCAGGATCTCTCTAATTGTAATAGACATATATGCTATTGTGGTATTGATCTGTGTTGAAAATCGTTGCCTCCTTATCACAATATTAATTGATCATTTGATGGATTATTTTTGCAGTAGTGCTTATTTGTATTTATGGAATTATATTATAGAGTTAGGATTCAGTTTCAAAATAATATTAAAAAGAAATGTAATCAGAAATTGTTTGATCTTTTACCCTGCCTTGATATCAAACAATCTGAAATGAGATAGGTGAGGTCATCTTGCAAGAAGCGAGCCCAACAAGTGGTTGGTAAATATGGGATAAGGTGTTTGTCATTGTTGCTGATTGGTCAGTTTAAGTACACTCGTTTCGAATCTACATCAAGCGCCTGTCACTGATAGGCCACTTTGAGTACAATGCACCAAGGGTCCAAACGAGACTGCGGCATCAAGCGTCTACCCCCCCCTCCCTCCTTATAAGGATGATGTTACCCTCAGCAGCCCAAAACAGATTTGACCCAACATTTCTCCAGAGACATACGACAAGAAGCATATCATATTATTTTGCTGCGTTTGCCTTTCGACATATTGTAAGTCTTTTGAAGTGGAGCACTGGGAGACAATGGCATCGAGCTTGGAGCACGGCTCGTTACAGGCTAATCGTTCGCAAATCCCAGATGACGAAAGATGGATATTCGCTGACGAAACAGATTCTTCTTCCAATGTTGAAAGGCCTTTGCCTTCTCCTCCTACAGCGGTTAACCCAGTGCCTGTCAATGCCGAAGTTACTTATCCCGAGGGGGGCCGTGATGCCTGGTTAGTGGTGCTAGGTGCTTAGTGTGGCTTGACCGCATCGTTAGGTATTTACAACACAACCGGAGTGTTCCAGGTCGTCATCTCGGAATATATATTGCCAGAAGAATCTTCGTCTACTCTTGGCTGGATATTCTCAATCTACGCCTTTGTGAACTGGATCTTTGGGGTGGAAATTGGACCAATCTTTGATGCGATTGGTCCTCGTGGACTGCTCATTGCAGGGACTATTTGCACGCTGATTGGCATTTTCGCGCTTAGTGTCTGTACAGGTAAGGTCAGTCTTCCTACAACACTCCACGCATAACACATTCTAGTACGGCGGCTGCTCCTAAGGTCGCTCACTCGCTTGCTGCTAAATCTGCTCCTATTGAGGTCCTTCTGATCTTCTCCGGGGGCTCTGTTCAGCACTAATTGTGATACAGAATACTATCAGATCCTTCTGTCATTCTCCATATTGACTGGTATCGGCTCATCCCTTCTCATCACGCCGTCGATGGGCTGCGTCGCTCATTGGTTCATGGAGCGTCGCGGTCTCGCTAGTGGCATAGCTTTTATAGGAGGTGGCTTCGGCGGCGTTCTATTTCCCCTTATGATACAGTCACTCCTCCCTCAAGTTGGATGGGGATGGTCGATCCGTATTCTCGGTTTTGTGGTGCTCGTGCTTTGCGCCATTAACGTGACATTTTGCCGAAGCAGAGTTCCACCCCGCAAAGGAGCAGCAACTACTTGGCGAGATACATTACCGGACCCACAGATCTTCATGGATGGAACAAGAGCCATGGCTTTTACCACCGCTGGAGTCCTGTAAGTGTCAAATTTTCAGCGAAAATATCCCATTTCTGTGATTGTTCCAGAAGTTGCGACACAATGTGCCTACAACTTCTGGAATATTCCAATACTCCCGAAAGCTTGTAAAGTAGGTACACTAACTCCGAGATGTTGATCTACAGCTTGACAGATCTGGCATATTTCATACCCATCACATACACGCCGAGCTGTTACATCGATCGACAACATCTGTCTCAAGAGGAGGCATTGACTGGGTCAGCGGCGTTTGCACATCAACTTCTTGCGATTCTTAACGCTGCTTCATGTGTTGGCCGGTGCGTAGCGGGCGACCTAGCCGATCGATCCGGGCGATACAACACTATGATTGTCTCGTTGATCCTCTGCACGATATCAGTTCCATGTTTTTGGTTACCAGATGTGCTCTTACCCAACCTGAGTAATGACGCACTCTTAGTAGTCTTTGTACTAGTATTTGGATTTTTCAGCGGTTCAAATGTCAGCCTGACACCAATCTGTCTAGGTCAGCTCTGTGAAACTCAAGAATATGGGCGATACTACGCAAGCTGCTTTACGGTAGTAGCTTTTGGTCTGTTAGGGAACATCCCCATTGCTGGGGCCCTTCTTGATGCGGTAGAGGCTACAGGGAAAGAAAGGTATCGGGGCGTCGCTCTTTTCGCCGGACTGAGCTATGTGGCCTCCCTGCTGTGTTTTATATGGGTCAGGATCAAAGTAAAGGGGTGGAGTTGGAGGACAAAGTGGTAGAGAGTTAAACTTGCAGTGTTATAGGCAGGGCTAGCTTCTGGGTTTCTTTCTTTGTGTAAGAGAAAAACAGAACATAAAAAATGAAAAGGAGAGCTTTTAATCAGTAGAAGAAGAGATTACGGAAATATTTATATAGCAAATACTACAATATTGCTGGGTAATATAGCAGAATATTAATGGGTACAATTCTGGCACGTGCCAATAATATTATAGAGATTAATTTGGGATGAACATTATATTTTCATTTCTTGAATAAGAGATATATCAAATTCTTAAGAGTTTTCCGTGAGATTAGATAAATATGAGGACTTCCTCTAATCTACGATGATTGAAAGTAAGGCGCGAGAATCAGAGCATAAACAGGAAAAGAAATCATACATACATACATACATCTAATCACATTTTATTGCTAAAAGTTTAATTCAAATTTATTTCAAGCATTGAGGATATCTTATTTTATTTTGTAAAAGAAGCTTTCATTTAGCTATCACAAATATGAGAAAAACCACCATCCAAACATGTGTATGGAAATCCTTCATGAATAATCGTATCTATCTATCAATTTCATGCCTTCCTACCAGGTATCTAGTTTGTCGTGTAGCGCCCACTAACCACCATTTCAGAGCTTGTTAGGAGCGGTTTGTGTAGTTGGCCATTGATAACCAGCTGCGTCACTGAACTTATAACCGTAAGAAGATGTGAAGTCATCCAAGACGGCAGGTCCACGAGAGCCTATTATGTCATTAGTTTTTATGTTGGGTCAGTAGAGGAGAGGTTATGTCAAAATTTCTTACCGTATGGATATTCCATAGGAATAATCTCCTTGTTGTCATCAAGGTAATGTAAGAGTGGTGTGAAAATTCTCCAACTTGCATCAAGTTCATCATCACGAACAAAGTTGGAGTGATCACCCTTAAGAGCATCAAGAATGAGAGATTCGTATGCTTCTGGGATCTTAAGATCCGAGAATCGGCGGCGGTAAGTTAAATCGAGTTCGGTAACGACAGTTTGCATGCTCAAACCTGGCAACTTGGAGTTCATCTTAATATAAACACTCTCGTTTGGTTGAATGCGCATGACAAGCTCGTTTCTTGGGATATCTTTGAAGATACCAGAGGTGACATCCTTAAATTGAATTCTGATCTCGGTCTTTTGTTCGTTAAGAGCCTTACCAGCCTTCATGATAAATGGTACACCATCCCATCGCTCGTTCTTGATATATGCGACCATAGCACAGAACGTTGGGCATCTTGAATCCTTTGGTACTGTGTCATCTTCCTTGTAAGAAGGCTTGTTTCCATCTAAAGATTTGCCATATTGACCAATGATGACATTCTTTGGTTCGATTGCTGGGATAGCACGGAGGACTCTAACCTTTTCGTCTCGAACATCCTCAGCAGAGAATGAAATTGGTCTTTCCATGGCGAGGAGGGTGAGGACTTGTAGAAGATGGTTTTGCATAACATCTCGAATGATGCCGAATTCATCAAAATAACCTCCTCGGCCTTCAGTTCCAAAAGGCTCCTTGAATGTAATTTGAACATTATCAATGTGATTTCTGTTCCATGTAGCACCAAAAAATTCGTTACCAAATCTCAAAATCAAAATGTTCTTAACCATTTCCTTTCCAAGGTAATGATCAATACGGAAAATCTCATCTTCCTTCCAGTTTGGCTCCAATGCCTTTTGCAACTCGCGGGAACTTCCCAAATCCTTTCCAAATGGCTTCTCAACCTAGGAGTTATTAGCAATCGTCAATCAAGTGTGGGGATTCGAAATCGTACAATGATTCTTGCAACACCAGTTTCTGGGTAGGCATTTGCTTTCAATTGTTGCGAAACAGTAGTGAAAACAGACGGAGGTAAAGCCATGTAGAAGATTCTGTTGGCTTCTGTTCTTCCTTTCTCAAACCCCTCGCAGTGTTTTCGTAACTCGATAAAGCCCTCTGGCTTATCGTATTGCCCAGAAATGTATGTGCAGATGTCGCAGAATTCTTGAAGTTGCTGTTCCATATCTTTGGTGGGAGTCTTGATATATGATCTGACTCTCTTAATATATTCCTCGTGGTCCATCTTTGTTCGCGCATATCCAATGATTCTGACATCTTTTGGAAGGAACTGGTTACGGTACTGTAGTGGTATTAATACTGAATTCCTTAGTTAGATGCATCTTGCACCACTTACGAGACCGAAAAGAGCTGGGAACTATTATCATGTATGTTAGAGAGAGAAAAGACGCAGTTGATACAAGTTTCCTTACAGTCTTCTTCTTTGCAAGATCACCAGATGCCCCCAAAACAATGATAACAGTGTTGTCTTTCAGCTCGAGAGATCTGTAGTGGGGCAAGCGCAATCAGTAATAACTCGGATCACACCGGATTGGGATGTCTGGATGAAGAATGAGAAGTAAGAATTTCATCAGAGCTCAAGGGACTCATATCGGCCTTCTTAATGTGTATATTTCGCATGTGTAAGAAGCTTGGTTGAAGAGAAAGACCTTGAGTGAAGTAGGTAGATGTAAATAAACCAACTTACCCAGCATTGCCCGACTCCTCTGGTTTGATAACAGTGTCGGCCATTGTGTATGCTTTGCTTGTGAAATGTAAAATAAAGAAGAAAGAGAGGAACAGTCCGATATTTGCTAAAGATCAACGAAACTTTTAAAAGAAGGATTGAAGGTTGTAAATTGTGAGGGAAGCTCGAGAAAAATGTTGGGTTTGTCCGCTTTTGATGAAAGACTCGACCCCGCTAAGAGTGCTGGGACGACGTATGGTATGACGGACGAGAAGTATTTCCGGATAGCCTCCGAAGTTAAAAGATGTCGATTTTCAATATATCATGCTCGACCTTACAAATTTGTTAAAGGGGTTTATTTAATCTCGGATGTATTGATTGAAATAGGCTGATTCTTTTATCGAATGCTTATGTAGAATAGGTGTTTATATAAGTATAGTGATTAATTCACGGTTTACACTTGGAAGACTTCTTAAATTTATGATGTAATGTTTGGAGTTGTGCTGTAATATTTACTGTAACGAGCCAGCTTTGCCTACTCAGTGCTGAAGTCCTGAGCTCTGAGTCCTGGCTTCTGAATCGCACATGAACTTCTTCTTTCTACCCACCTTCCAAGCAGGTTCCAGAGTTCTTGACAGGCCCGATCGCCCCTCATTTATCACCGACCACTCTCATACACCATTTCTTACGGGTCCGATTATAAAGCTGTAAAGCCCGGTGAAGCCTTCACACAATGCTGATAAATCACTTCATTACTACTATATTTACTATATCTACTATATCTACTACATCCACTACATCCACTACATCTACTACATCTACTATATCTACTATATCTACTACATTAACACTGACAATGGTCGTCAAGGCATCTGTTACAACTTACGAAGGTGATATTATTGTATCAGAAAAGGGGTAATAACCCGAATGGCTAGCCTTCCACCCGATGCTCACTTGAAGCTCTAGACTGTTACTTCCGTACTCGGGGCATTGATGATTTGATTTGTGAGTGTCGCTTGGATTTCAGTGAATGTGTGTGTATGCCAGCATTGCCAGGTACTTGGGACGAGACTTTTCATCCAATATGGAACGGAACAATCATTAGCCCCAGATCATCTCCCTCCACTCATTTTCTCCTATGATTACATCACTTGACTCCAAATTTTGAAAGGCAAGCTCGGGAAAATCATCTTCGTCAAAGTACGGTCAGTAATAGACTGAGAACTGCCTATACATTCATTCATACCTCCTTTGCTACCTGCCCCAATCTTACAAACAATCGCTTGTAACCTAAGCTCGCATTGAAAGAAAGCGGAGAGAATGGATTTGCAAATAACCGGCAAGACAACCATTTATATAGCTTCACCAATGATTAATGTTCATTCCGTAGCTCGACAACTCCAGTAACATGACTGGTAACACTCCCTTTCATCTGTTCTTGAGTGAGAGATAAATGCATCGGAACTTATTTCCAAAATTCCCCCGTTCCATGCCCATTAATCGAAGGCCTTAAATTTCAGTCAAAACTAAATCACGTTTTATGCTTAGTCACTAATTCAGACAGCCCTAGTTTTTCGCTAAACTTCTAGGGTTTGCTGCTGAATTTAGAGGAACGAAAAAATCATTCTCGACGCCGACAACATTAACGCCAACCGAACGAAGTCTTCCCTCTCAAATCCCACGAGAGACTTTCGCCAAAATGCCTACCGAAGCCGGACACAGACGTGAGTTTCCTGAGTTTTCTTAAATTTTGAGATGGCATTGGCTGGTGTATATGGGGTTTGGAAGAGCATGGAGCGAGGGAGCAGTTTGGGAGGCAACGAAGTTGCTGTATTCTTAGGAGATAGGGAGGCTTGCTATGTTTGAGTCATTGCGACAATTTTGCTGGAATCAATTGCTAACATTTGTGTGTTTTAGTCTATGTTAAGTAAGTTCACAATTTATTCCGATCAACGAACATGCTCTGTACTCGAATGGCTGGAACGGCAATATGGGGTTGAGAAGTGCGAGAGGAGGGAGGAGAATAGGACGGGATATCTCGAGAATGCAAAGATGGATATGATGGATATTACCGAGATGGATTATTTTCATGGATTTATTGGACACACACTAATATGGATAACTTCAGGGGACGCCATTTGAGCTACCAACGCGGCAAGCGCAACACCACCCCAGGCACCAGCTTGATCCAAATCGAGGGTGTCAACAACACCGAGGCTGCCAAGTAGGTTTTATCACGATATTGGAATATCTCTCGATTCTAATGAATATACAGCTTCTACTGCGGAAAGAAGGTTGCTTTCGTCTACCGTGCATCAAAGGAGGTTAGAGGATCAAAGATTAGAGTTATCTGGGGCAAGATCGCTAGACCACACGGTATGAGAGATATACTTCACCTTTCACTGGGATCTAAATACTGATATACACCAAAGGAAACTCCGGTGTTGTACGTGCACGATTCAGACAAAACCTCCCACCTAAGTCATTCGGCGCATCCGTTCGCATCATGTTGTACCCATCATCGGTATAAATGGTTGGTTTGGAGTTGTTAGCATGGACTGGGTGGATGGTTGATGATATGCCATATCTGGGCACTCAAGAGGGCGGCAAATAATGAGCACAGCCTTGCTGGTAGTATACCAATAAAGCAATTAACCACCACAATGGCCGCATGGGTATATGATCAAAAGTGCATATGGGATCGTCGTGGAAATCTTCACTAGACGTAGGCAGGAGTTATCGATCAATGGTTTCACAATTATATCCAATACGACATGGACAGATGTGCTCCTAAATCTCTTGGTCTCACCATGTTAATTACGATTCCACAACGAAAATCGAAACTTTTATGCAATTGTTTGCACATTTTACCGAATTTCTGGGAATATACATTCTCAAGACCAAGCATGGCATTTTGATAAACAATGAAATTCGACAACCCCGCGATGGATGTACATGGAGAATGACATGAATATGCAGTAGAAATAAACATTGACGTCAAGACGAAATGCCGGTATCGGTCGTTCGGTACATGAAAGCATGATATTCCAAACCGGACTGAATCTTCGGACTCCGCTTGCCCCAGAAGTGATCCAGATATATTAGTATCGTATCCGTCAAAGTGATCTAGTAGCCTTTTCGTATGATTTGATGGGATTTGGAGTTAGTACCTAGGAGTTCGCAGTCGGGATGTAGGATGTAGGATGTTATTTTGTGTTTTTGTGGTGGGTTGGTAGGTTGATAGGTTGATAGGTAGGTAGTGTATATATTGTGTGATAAGTTATTTTATATACTCGAGAACAACTTTATAGACCTGGGTATTAGTATATCATTTCATTCTCTTCTTCTCTTCTCCATTGCTTCGTTCTTCGTTCATTCAAGGAATAGCCATCAAATAATCATACAGTACCTACCTATACCTATCTATACCTAGGCATCTATAAAGATGACAGAAATAACAATAATAAATAACATGGTATATATATATATATAATACCTACGAGGTACCTAGATGGTAGGTGATAGTCAATGCCCATAAACGGCGACTAGAATACCGGTAGTTCCCAGTCGAAGTCCGAGAGAAAAAATAAATGATGGTTGCCGGAAAATGAATTGTCCCTTGGCCGATTTTGATGGAATTTATACCTAGGTAGGTAGGTAGGCAGAAGTAGTATCAAAACCTAGAATTAAGGTTGCGAGATCTTGAGTGTTGGATAGGTGCTAGGTGTGGCTGTTAGGTGAGATTGGTATGTTGTTAGGTTGACAGTTTGGTAGCTTTGGTAGATGACTAGTTCGTTGTATTGAGGAATCATCATGTTGTATCTACCTACATATGAAGGAACGTGATATCTCAGCTGATTGGTGCCATGTATGTATGCAATTTGATGATATATATGATACTAGGTAGGTAGTAATGATCATATATAAATCTGTATTCGTACTTCGTACCGATACTTCGTGCATTATGGATAGGATAGGATAGGATAGGATAGACAAATAGATAGCTAGGTCCGAGCATCCCGATGCCCGATGAGCTGATGTGATTCATGATCATGGAGAAATGGTGAGAGAAAGAGAGTCCGTAGACTCGACACTAGAGAGTATTCGTGTTCTTCTTCAGCCACCACCATTTTTGGTGGGGGCAGGTTCTGGTGGATGGATGGAGGAATTAATACATTGGTGTGTGGATATGAATAATGGATGGCGAAAATGAAAACAGGATTCTTGGAATTTCTTCTTAGAACTACTGGGGAAGGGTATGACATGCTGATGGAGATGAATTGGGTTTGGATAACTAATGAAGGGTTCGGAATCTTCGGGTATTGATTGGCTTGGTTGTGTGATATTAGGTTGGCATGGATAGTACATTTTGTGTAGTAGGTAAAGAAAAGGTATTATTCGAGAATGCACAATGGAAAATCTTGACAAAATCTATAAATAAATGGACTATCTATCGACAAGGATTCTTCTTTTCTCATGACACTTTGGAAGTCATGTCATCGTACTTAGTATGTACCGTTACTATCTTGGCTTTGGTTCGATGCACAAGAAAATCCGAGAGGCCATCAATGGATGCATCAATGGATGCATCAATGATACTCGCACAGCGTCCAGAAGATTCTTACCAGGCCAGGGGATACATAACTTTATTAGGATTAGTGACATTAGTGGTAGATCATTCTTTTATCGCTTCATATTATCACCATCTGCCTAGGTACGGGCTTGTACCCAGTACTGTACTTGTATCTCTTCCTATCTTTCTTGAGATCCCTGCTGCTAGCGGAAGAGCATACGAATTCTTGTCCCAGTGTTGTATTGTCGACTATCGGATTTAGATAGATTAACCAAGTTCCGATGATTCCAATCATCGGATTGGTGATGAATGAATTCTGTTCTTGCAAGCCATCCCTTTGGAAGAAGTTGTCTACCATAGCACAGCACAACATTTTGGTAACTGGCTGGATTTGCCGGTTTATGGTTTGTGGTCCATGGTTATGATGAAATAACGAATATAACGTGTCCCTGTATGAGGAGGTACCTATCTCCATGAAGCTATACGAATGGGTTAAAGCTTTACCATCTATCTAGGTATTCACTGGCCCGAACAGCTAGACACGAGCTCCTCGTCATCCAAAAACCTTAGTACCTTTCCTAGTAATATACTTTTCCCATTTGTCTGGATGGATGATAAATATTGATTTCTCTTGTTTCTAAACCCCTCCAGTGGCTTGACATCGAGTGCTTCGTATTGATTTTTTTTTTAACTCTAATAACCTTTTCTATTCCCCTCGTAAAAAGTCTGCTCAAACTTTTTCCCCTCTCTTCTTTTTCAAGATTCTAATTTCTCAACCTCTTCTAAGCTTTTGATCCTCTCTCGAAACCTTCATCAATCTTTTTATCCATCTCAATCAATTGATCGACTTTGATTCCTTTACAACCTTTACAATCTTAGGTATCAGGCCCTTTTCAAAAGACGAAAGGATAGCTGGAAAGTTGGAAAGCTGGAAACCTTGGAAGATAAAACATACACAATCTATCTGCATTCATCAGAAAAGCCAAAAGCACTCGCTTCAGCACTTCCGACACAAGCTCTGTCTGATTCACATTAACGAAAACATCCATCAATCCATCCATCCATCTGGAGATTTACCAAGAAAAAAGATTCATAACAGCAAACGCATTTTTGGCCGTCTTCAAATCATTTCGTACCATAGCATCACACCATTCATCATAACATCAAGCTACAATTCCCATTAAGCTTAATTCAAACATTGTGAAACGGATATCTAGTTCTGATATAAAGCCATTCAATCCCCAACCACCTACTTTTGACCGTTCACGACCAAACGAGCGAACGAACCTCAGACTAACAGGACCAACCTCATTTCAAAGTTCCACAAATATCCCTACAATTCTCTTTGATAATCTCCACCACAACCGAATTTCACGACGATAAGGTGCTAAGCCTCGAGATCTTTTGAACAAAAGTTGTAACGAGACCCACAAGAGCGATAATCACCATCCACTTATCTGCTTATACATAGAAATATGCAAAACCAAAATCACCCGCTACCCTCGCCCCCGGGCAATCAGGAGCGGCCTGGGAACCGCCAAAGGACAAAGACCTCGTCTGGCTTCAGTTTACATTCTCATAAGAGCAGTGGAAGTGGACATAAACTTGATCTCACAGAAACACATCAAGAGAAAGAAGCAAAAAGACTACATACCAAAGCCGACCCATCTCTGGCCATGACTGAAGCAGAACCTTGTGAGCATTCTCAAAGATGATGGAATTTCATAATTCGCAGACTGACATTTTTTTTTACAGCCGCCGTTGCAAGTGACGTTCCGACTTCATTAGCACCTCTTCGAGCAATTCAACACAGAGATAAGCAGGGAAACCCTATCGGTTCGTCATATTATTCTACTACATCATTAATCTTGTGCGCTGATATATTTGTACGTAGCGGAACCCGATCGTTCAAATCCTACAAGAAGCAGATGGGAAAGACCCTTGGATACTATTCGAGCTTTTGAGGCAGCTATTGATGGAAACTATTCTTCGAGGAAATCAATGATACGCGCTGGTTAGTCTCCTACTAATGCTTCTATATGCTCATCACTTCGGACTTGCAATTCTAATTCTTCTACTCAACAGAATCTGACGTTGGCTCGACACAAAATCGTCGAAGCAGCTATTTTGCAGGTTGGTCCATACCATTTCCTCTCATTTTTCGATTTCCATTTCTCTCATCTGCATTTTTTGGGCACATACATCTGAGACAACTGTCTATCCTGTTTTCTTCTCTGTAGCTCTCAGCTATTGTGGTCCGTGTTCACTAGCCAATGCCCATCTACCAACCGAGCACCTTTTCCATGAAATGAATGGGGATTTTGGCATCTCGCATGCTTTGGCGTTTTTCATCCTCCTGTGGATCCTTGATAAACTATTCCTCAAGCGCGTGGGATTGACAACTGTCGCACATACGCTAACAGATCATCCTATAGCGAGTCAGATGAACAATGACGAACGACCAAGATATTCTCAGCCGGGCTCCTATGGGGGAGGACAACAATCCCACAGGCAAAATAGCCAATATAGTGATGGACGAGCGAATGGCGCGACGAGGCCTGACAGCTATTATACTACCGATAATCATGGAGGTCCCGGTCATGGATATACCACCAACAGATCTCGATATCCTCGAACAGCATCGGAGCCACAATTCAACAGTGGTGTATACACAGCACCTGCAGGACAGCAACACTCATATGAAACTGTGACGACGGCTTCTGGTAGTGCAATATCCGCAGACCCCGCGGGTTATTCAACCGATCCCAGCAGCTTAAATAGTTCAGTAGATGGAATTCATGCATTACCGCAGCCACCAAAGGAACCTATGGAGACATATGGCTTCAATGGATTCGGAAACAATCCACAGTACCTTCCACCCGGAAGTGGCATCAATGAGCAAAATGGAATGCGAAGGCAGCAGATTAATGGCTTGAACCAAGGACCTCCGCCCACAAACAAAGACAGCACACCACGAACTCCAATCAACCTTGGTATCACAAGTGGAAATTCTGGACCTCAAAAATCGGTCGTCGAAATCACCAAATCAGATGTCAAACCTCAGCAAGAAAAACGAAAAAGCTGGTTTGGAAGAAAGTTGAGCAAGAACAAATAAGATGCAGGTCATTCTTCTTCATCAAGCTAATTTACACAATCTATCTAATACGAATTATTCGGAGAGGAGAACATGAGATGGATGTAGGATGTTCGTATTGTTTTTTAATGATACCTATTCATGACGGGCAAATATAGGGGGGTTTCAAAGGATATAATGGAATACACTTGGAAAGGATTGGGGGGGTTTTTTGCATCAAGTGGCGCATGGTGTTTTATTTCTCTTGTGTCAACTATTGTCCTTAAAAGTTGGGCCTAGGAGCTGTGAGCTGCGGGCCTTGTGTTTGGCCTTAATTGATTCCTTTACCCAGAAGAGAAGATTGGTGGTTGGTGTTGGGTGGTGGGTTTGTGGGGAGCCTGAAGATGAAGATGAAGAATATCTATCCATCATTTAACCTAACGGATTACACGTCCTGAAATTTTAATGAACTTATTTTTTCTGCCCGTCATTACTTCTTGACCTTATGATTGGACGACTGATATAACTTGATTTGGCTTGAACTGACTGAATTTGACTCCCTCGTGAAATTCAAAGATAAATAAACCGTGACTAATAACCCTCGTGAGAAATACATTATTATAACTCCTTTTTCGATTCCGTCTTCGTCTCTTTGGCAGCAGCAGCTTCAAGTGCTTCGCTTTGATCTTCCTTCATGGCTACGATGACGTAACCGACTAATACTACATTTGCCATTATTGCAGCGGTGGCACCGGCGAATGTGGAGTTTCCTGGGGAGGGGTGAGTTTGTTGGTTTGGTTTTGTGGTGGGGGTTGTTTGTGGGGAAGGAGGGATGAGGGATGAGGGGATGAGGGGATGAATACATACCTCTGAAAACTGAGTTCAAGGTTAGGAAATAGGAACTTATTGGTATGACTATCATGGCTAGGGTGAAGCCGAGGAGTTTGTATATTATGTGGCTGGTTTTGGAAGAGGGAGGTTAGTTGGAGTTGGGGTGTGATGTTAGGAGTAAAGGGGAGAGGTGTCAAGGGGAAGGAGAACAAAGGAAGGGTGTGGTGGATGTGTGTGTGAGATGTGGAAGAAGTGGTATGTATGAGTGGATGAAGATAAAGAATATGGGAGGATATAAATATGAATATAGATATAAGAGAGAATGTATGAGGAAGTGAAAGAAAACTAACGCAGGAACAGCAGGAGCAATATTACTCTTCTCCCCAAGCACGGCTTCAGCTTTGAATGAAGCTTCTTTTTCTTCGCCGGCTGTGATGCGATCGTTGTGGGAGCGTCTTTGGGTTGCCATTTTGGGGTTGGATTGTGGTGAGGAAGAGGAGGATTGGGTTTTGGGCGGTGGTGTGGGTTGGATGAGGAAGATGAAGCGGGCTATGGATGAGATGGAAACTGGATTGAATAAAATAGATTGAATAGATATTAGTTTTAAAATCTAATGGAAAATAGATTGATAACGGATTTTTGTTTTGCTTGGTGAGATTTTTGATATTTTGGATGTTTATTTGATATGCTTTGCTTTGCTTGTTTTATCTGTACATATGATTGTGGAACAATGAACAAGACTGATATGATATGTATGGATCAAATTAGGAAGTGGATCCTGCTGACTTCGCGAAAAAGAAAAGCATGGGGAACGCGTAAATTAGATTTTGACTAGTGGAGCGTGTCTTTTTGATCGGTCGGTTATAATGGTCTGTGTACTAAAATCTAATCGTTGGTTTACTTTTGGTCAGCGCAGGCAAGGGCAGAGAAAAGAAGTTCAAGATTGTGGATTGAGGATTGAGGGTTGAGGATTGATTGATGCAAAGAAAGGTATGATAAAAGTTCATTTTGAGAATTCACTCTTATTTTACATGGGAGACTTAGGGAGTAGTGCTTGGTGTTCTTTTTCTACAATTATCTTTGCAATCTTTCCATCTCTCAATCTTACTATCTCGCTGTCTCAACAATTCTCAAGATCTTTCTTTTTTTTTCTGCTGCAAAACAAATACAATTGTTTTGATTGAAAACATTCTGGGAATTTCCGGGAGGAGATCAAATTTTAACTATAATTACAGATTGCGAATCAGAAATCAAATTCTGTATTAATCTCGATTCGACATTGCTTTTACAACTTGCAATCTCATCTTTTCCTCAACTTCTCACCGAACAACAAACCTCTCTCTCCTCATTCCAACAACAAAACAACAGAAACGAATTATGGCTTCCAATTTTACCAATTCCTCCTCTCTTATACCTGATTCACCAGCGGTAAAACGGCAAAGAACAGAATCTGGTTATACATCTATCAATAATTCTGCGAGAAATACAGATACCTATAATTCGGATGCGGATGATGGAGATGATTTATTCAAGGATTATGTCCCTGATACGCCAGCTGCTGGGAAGTTTGAGACACAACCTACACAGATTGTAGGCACTGTTGGGAAGTTTGAGACTCAACCTACCCAAATTGTACCCACTACTAGGAGGTTCGAGACACAAGCTACTCAAATAATCGATCGGTCCACGTCAACAGCATATCCACCAAGTTCTCCAATCACCAACGGCTTAAGTAATGGACAAGAGCCAGCTTCTTCACCTCTACGACAATCACCTACGCCAAGGAAAAACTTGGCTTCTGCAATGGCGCCTGCTGGAACGACATACAGAGCACCATTTGGAATTACTCAAAAACCCATTGCCCCACCAAGGAAGATTATCAACTTGGATAGTGATGATGAGGGACCTTCATTTGTTGCGGATAGTTCTGATGATGATGAATTTGCCAAGGCAGATATCAAACCAACAACGTTTGTTTCCAAGAATGCTTCTTTTGGATCCAGCGGTTATCCAGATATTTCTCGACCTGTCAATGGCAATTCCAGGTTTCAGAATGCTCTCGCCAACGCCGCATATAATCCGCAGAAAGGAAAGAAACAACAAGGTCCAGAAAGAGCCAGGCCTGTTCAGGATATTTCAATCAAGGATATTCCTGATGGTGAGCTCAGAGTAAAAGTTCAGCGCATCAAAGATATTTTTCCAGGTGTATCTATTCAAGAGGCCAAGGATGCTTTGATCGTAACTAGACACAATTTTGATGATGCTTGTACTTTACTTGCGAAAGATGAGCCGGTTGAGGTTCCAGACGATGATGAGGATGATGAAATTCAAGAAATCACCGCTTCGGAAATGGTCGAACCTCAGATGAGAAGAGGTCTTGCAAAGCCTATCAAGTCCATCAAGGATCGATATTCTTCTACTCAAAATCAATCTACGCAAAAATCAGCCCAGGTACCAGCTCAAGCTACTACGCCAAAAAAGCCAAGGAAAAGACTTATGCAAGGACGCAGAGCTCCATCTTCTCCTGTTGCTGCACCTTCTCCTATCAAGTTGGCTTCGTCTCCAGTCATCCTAGATATGTCTGATGATGATTCCGACCTAGAGCCTGAGGAAGAAGTTGAGGAAGATCCAGTTCTTGAGGACCGACTACTCAAATACTTAAACCGTTGTACGTTAGGGGATCTTATCGAACTTACTAATACTACCAATGCCAACGCGCAAGCAATGTTAGATGCTCGACCTTTCAGAAGTCTTAATGCTGCAAGAAACGTTTCAAATGTGAAGACATTAAAGAGCGGCAAGAAGAGTTCAAAGGCACCAATGGGCGAACGTCTTGTGGAGACAGCTTTGGAAATGTTCTCTGGCTATGAAGCTGTGGATTTACTTGTCAAAAGATGTGAGGATCTCGCAAAGCCACTGGAAGCTGAGATGGCAAAATGGGGCTTCAATTCTTTTGGTACTCGAAAGGAAGGAGAAGGTATTGAATTGGTATCTTTTGACGATGCGGAGTCTCAGCGTGATTCTGGAATTGGTTCTCCAAGTAGCACTTTATCCATCAATGGAGAAAATGCAGATGAGGACAAGATCATATCCGTCAAACGAAGAAAAGCTAAGGTCGACTTTCTAAAGAAACCATCACTTATGGCAGATGATGTTGTTTTGAAAGATTATCAAATTGTTGGGTTGAATTGGTTGAATTTGATGTATGATCAAAATTTGAGTTGTATTTTGGCAGATGATATGGGTCTTGGGAAGACTTGTCAAGTCATTTCCTTTCTTTCACATCTTGTGGCTACCGGTCGAAAAGGTCCTCATGTCGTTTTTGGTCCTGCTGCTGTTTTTGAGAATTGGTGTCAGGAGTTTCAAAAGTTTGCTCCGAAATTGGCCATTCAACCTTATCACGGTAAGTTATACATAGAACTTCATTCGAATTTTTGAGGATACAGTAACTAATAGATTTATAGGTCCTGCAGCTGAACGTGTTGAGTTGGCTGAGTCCATATTGGAGAATCTAGATGAAATTAACGTCATTGTTTCTACTTATGACATGGCCACAAAACCTACTGATAATAAATTCTTTCGAAGATTAGGATCTGATGTGAGTAATTATGAAGGTTACTCTAGTTTCAATTACTAACTATCTGTAGGTTCTCGTTTGTGATGAAGGTCATATTCTGAAAAATGGAGCTACTCAAAAGAATCAATCTTTGAACAGGATTCCTGCCAATTTTAAACTTTTATTGACGGGTACACCTCTTCAAAACAATTTGGTGGAATTGGTCACTTTACTTGCATTCATTCTTCCAGATGTTTTCAAGGAAAGAGAAGAAGATTTGAATTACATTTTCAAAGCAAAAGCAACAACTAGAGATACCGATCATGGAGCATTACTTTCTGCTGAACGTATTACTCGAGCTAGATCTATGCTCACTCCATTTGTTCTACGACGCAAGAAGCATCAAGTTTTAAAACATCTTCCTACAAAGTTCTGTCGAGTTGAACGTTGTAACTTGGAGGCAACACAGGCTAAAATCTATAATGAGCATGCAGATGCAGCCAAGGAAAGAGCCCGCAAACGTCTTGAGGGTGCCAAGATTCCACCTCTGAAATCCGAAGAAAATAACCCGATTATGCAACTTCGAAAAGCGGCTATTCATCCTTTACTTTTTCGACGTCACTTTACAAATGAGAAGGTTGAGAAAATGGTGGATATTTTACGAAAGAAAGAACCAGATAATTTCCCTCCTTCCGCAAAACGTGTTCACCTTGTTGAGGAAATGCGAAATGCTTCGGATTTTTGGTTACATACTTGGTGTGTTCTTTATCCATGTATCAAATCTTTTGACGTCAAGAAAAATGCCTGGATGGATTCAGGAAAGGTTTCTGCTTTGGTGGAACTTGTCACGAAATATAAGGAGAATGGTGACAGAGTTCTTATCTTCTCACAATTTTCACTTGTTCTTGATATTCTTGAATCCGTTTTGAACACTACGAAAATTACTTACACTCGTATTGATGGTTCTACCAAGATTGATGAACGTCAAGCATATATTGAAAGATTCAGAGATGATACTGATATTACGGCTTTCCTCTTGACGACCAAAGCAGGTGGAACAGGTATCAATTTGATGTATGCCAACAAAGTTATTATCTTTGATGGTAGTTTCAACCCTCAAGATGATGTTCAAGCAGAAAATCGTGCTCATCGAGTTGGCCAAACTCGTGATGTGGAAGTTGTTAGATTAGTCACTAGAGGTACAATTGAGGAAGCCATTTGGAAAATGGGTAGAAGTAAGTTAATGTTAGATGGGAGAGTTGCGGGTGAAGAAGTTGAAGAGGCTGGGGAGAAAGCGGTTGAGAAAATGTTATTGGATGGTGTGACGATTACTGATGAGGAGGCTGCTCCGGTTGCAGAAGGTCATGAATCGATGCTGATGAAGGGTAAAGATGGAGGGGCGAAGAATAAAGGGAAGGGTAAGGGGACTGCGACTACAACTGGTATGGGGAAGAAGTTACCAGAGAGGAAGAAATCTGGTGCGTTTTTAGATTTGGCGACAAAAGGGATGGGAAATGATGGTGAAGATGATGATGATGATGAAATGCTTGTTTGATGAATAACTGGTGGATTTATTGATCGTACATATTGATTGCAGTATGAATGAACTAGAGTACTTGTAGCGAGAAGATTTAGATTAAGATGAATTAATTGAGGTTGTTTAGAAGATTATATTTATATTTCTATATTTCTATAGTTTCAAATACATTAATAGAGATTTGAGAGTTGGAGATTATAATTGTATTATTTATTATTCTTTCTTTATTTTATAAGTGTATATATATAATAGATGAAGAGAGAAGAAGATTATAAAAGAAAGAAAGATAGATTTATTTTATTTTATTTTTGTTTTTATATAAAGAGTATATATTTATATTATAAAAGTGATAGGTCGAGATATATATATCTTGATATTATATTGTAATATATTACTTATAAAGAAAACAAAGTTTATAATAGTTTTGAAATTGAAATTATATAGATTTAAATATATATATATATAGAAGATTGATTATTATAAAAAGAAGAAATAAAAGTTTTCTTTTTATATTTAATTACAAAAAGTTATATAATTGATTGATTTAAAATCTTTATATATTTGATTTATAATTTTAACACTCTTATAATATTTATATATATAATAAATAGATTCTTGATTGAGAGTTAAGAATGAAATAAAGATATAAATTAAGAAAAATATATATATATATATAATATAATAAAAATAAATAAATAAATAAAGTTTTTTGTTAATCTTGAATTTTATATTTTATAATTTTTATAATTTGTATAGTTTTATAGTTTTTACAAGGGCGCAGGCCCTGGTAATAATATTATTTATGATATTAATTAATATTATTATTAATATTATTTTAAATTAAATTAAATAAATAAAATTCTATGATTTCAATAGAGTTGAAAAAAGTCCTAAATGAAATTTTTCTGAAATTGTAAGACTTATACCAAGCTTTTTATTAGATTATTTACCGGAGTATTTTAAATCAATTAGATTATCAAGATCACGATTTATTTAAACAAGTTTCTCATTTTCTATCATCTACACCGGGTAAACCTTGTGTACAGCAAGGTTTTGGTGTTGACAAGCCGATAATTAAAAATGATTCTTTTGTTTCATTTTTAAATATTAAAAAATTATTTATATAAAATTATTATAATTAATTAACAATTTTAAGTCTTTTTTTTTTTTAAAAAATATATTAAATTTCAAAGTCTAATTCATATTTAATAAATAATAAATCAAGTGTTTTCATTTATATCTTTTTATTTTTGCTTTAATTGTATTTATTAATCTGCGCAAATCTCAATATATAAATCCCCTTGAGTTTTACATTTAGCTCGTTCGATTGACTCCTTCATTGCGCGCTCGCATGGTGCCAAAATGAACTCAGTTCCTCCACGAACAGCCTGAAAATCCCACATAAGAGATCCCATATTACCATGATTAAGACTGCCCTCCCATACCGTATCTCACAATTCAGCTTGTTCGAGATCAACGATCATTACTCGATCCTCCAATTCGAAAATATTATGTAATTCAGGATCTCCATAACTGACTCCATATTTGCTCAATGCTTTGAAAGCTTCTTTCAATTTGGCCTCGAGAATATGATCATCGGTTTCTGGTCGCGCGGTAAAATCAATATCGTAAAGTCTTTGTCCATGGATCTCTGACAATACCCAAAGCAGGTGATCTATCATAGATTGCTTCCCTATAGAACTGCGGGATGAAGGTTCCTTGAAGAGGCTTCAAATGGCGATACATGCGCTTTTCTGTTTCGAACTCATTATCCCAATCAGGCTTTCGCTTTTTCAAGATGACAGTTGGTGGCAGGAACCAGTCAGGGTAGATAGCTTTGAGTGATAGAAAGAAATTAACAAGGGATTCAATTGTTGAACGAACAGTCATATTTGGAATATAATCGAGGATTGATGGTTTTTGGATCTTTAATCGATAAACCGTTCGATGCGAATCAATTCGATCAGAACTTGTTGCAATAACTTTTCTACAACCCATATAGAATTCCTTTCAAAATTAGCTTTATAAGAAATGTATAGAATGATAATTTACCAAAGGGCTTCAGATCTCATCAGAATCTAACATATTACACAATGGTGATAGTTGGTTGATATAGTAAAATAGATGGGAAAAAAGATGACGATAAAGTGGTAGATGCAAATGGAGAAGGATCTCCCTTGCCTTTATATGGAAATTGTGAATATGGAATGATAACATTTTCATTATTCATTATATGGATGATAAATGTAACCCTTTTTATTTGAGGGTTTGGAAAAGTTGCAAAAGTAAATAGAATAAATTTTTAAGACAGCAGAAATCATGTGTAATCGCAATCATCAACCAAATCGATAATGGAATAGTATCCCAAGCGATGTTATTCCCATCCCTACCCGTCCAATACCATCTCTTGCTCACAACACCAAAAGTCCGGTAACATCCATCTAGAATGATCAATCACTTTATGATAGTAGTTTGTTTCATTCCTCTAGAATGGCCTGCCTGACCAATAAGTTACTTAAACTCCCGACGAAAACCACCAAGCGAGATTGCGGGGTTCGGCTATCAACTGTATCCACACTAGCCTAGCCGATAGAGGCTGTACCTCGCAGTATAAACATCATACACAAACACCTAAGGATAATGGTAAAGATAAGCATATCTTTCAATATTAGTTATCTTCTCATTCTTTATTTCTTTTATTTTTTATTTTCAAGAGAAATAGAACTTACCCTCTTATCTCCCTCCCAAGCGGTGAGTTATAGAAGTTTTTGCTTTCGTTCCATTCCATTCATCAATCTTAATAACACCATGTTGTTTCATCTCTCCTATCACTTCACACCTCTCACTCTCCATCAACCCAGCTACCCTCCATGAATATAAATGGTCAATAGTCTTATTGTAATCTGTTGAACCTGGAGGACCTGGTCTAGGCTAAGAAATCGGTTGACTGAATCATAGGTAGATTCTCGGAATGTCGGATTCAAAATTGAAGAATAGACATCAGTCCAAGGCTTTTTACTTAGAGTAGCGTTGGCTCCCAATCGGCTGAATACAATTTCACCTGGGATCGATTGTGATAGAACATCTCTCACAGTGGTAAACATGTTAGGCACATATACAAATAAACAATCCTATCGTCTAAAGCGCAAGAATGGGAAGAGGTAAATAAATTGCATATAGCCCCACTCCTATATCTTTGCATTATCAACAAAACAGCTTTCTTTCACTGGCATAGTTACCAATGTTGAGAAAAGAATAGTACCGTGCTGCTATCATTAGCAGTATGATTCGTCTCGAATGAACAACGCAATAGCATCGCACTGCATCATGTCTTTTTATTTCATCTGTATTATTCCTCATCATTTCTTCTCATTACTCCTCACGGTGATACCGCGTCATTATCGAATGGTAGGACAGATTAAGGATCTGCATGGCTCAACAGTAGAAATGACTGAAATTTTAATGCATGGTATCTGTACAGGGCAGATATAGGTTTTCAAGCTCCGATAATTTTCGGTTTATAGGTTCGAAGAACTCCTCATCACACACTAAGCAAAGTCGTTGTCGGCTTGCCAATATTAAAAGTTTACTACTCGGGCTAGTCTTTAAAGAGCGCCGGGGCTTAGCGAAACTTAGTTTTACATCAAAAATCATCTATTTCAAAAATTTCTATAAATTTGATAAATAATTATATATATTTTGAATTTTGAAATATAATAGATGTTTATTAAATATTTTAAATCATATCAATTTCCTATTTTCATATATCAAAATATGTTTTAAAAATCTAAAATATATTAAAAATCAAAATCTTAAAATATTATAATTTTGATTTAATAATTTCAATTAATAAAGAGACAAAAAAATGTTTTCATTGATATGTAATTATTAATTGAATGAATATTAACATCTATTTAAAATATCAAATTAAAATAATTTTTTCAAAAGATTAACTTTTTGATAATAAAAATATAAAAACTTAAACCCGGCCCTCTTTAAAGACAAATCCGAGTATATATATATTATAATTTATTTTGAAAAACAATTAAGTTTATTTTTATAAGAAAAAAATTTAGTAATAAAGAAATTTCATTTCTTATATTTATTTTTAAGATTTCATTTCATTTTTTCAAAATAGAATTTGATTTTTCAATCAAGAAAAACTATCAAGAGATAATTGATTTCTTGATAAACTGAAAACCTCTATTGTAATACAATGAATCTATGAGAGAGAAGATCATACTGTCTAAAAGTGTGACATCACTCTTGAGAAGTGATCAATTGGGCTCATATTGTCATTCTTCAGGTCAACAAATTATCTATTGTAGAAACAGGCTTTATCTGAATCAATATGTGGTGGCTTCCGACAAGATGGGTTTGTACAGGGGGCTTATGTAGGCTGATACTATGTATGACAGAGAAGATGTCATCTGCGGTATGTTAAAAGAGAACCTGGTTCGATGTAAGAACCTTTTTGGTACATCCCCTACTACGATAGTCCAAAGGCATACCCCCCTCTCTCCATATTTCACAGTTATGATTCTGTTGATCGTCCTGGTTGTATAGACCTTTATGCTTCCTGACTCTAGAGGTTCTAATTAGATTCCTCAGAGCCCTCGGCTCTAGTAGCTTTAGATAGATCCCTTAGAGTCGTTATGTGATCATTACATGGTCCTCATAGCACTTGCTATTTGGCTTTGTAAGGTCTTGGCCTTATTATATGGCAAGCTATCCTAGTGATATGACGTCTGTCGTAACAGGTGAACAAACTGAAAGATTATATCGCCGGCAACCTCGATAGTGTCTGTCTGATGGTAAGCTTGCCTACCTTTTTTCCATGCACGTTTAATGCATATGTACAACACTATAACCAGCAATCCATTACATCATTAATATTGATGTGGACAAAATAAATGTGGTAATTCCCTCACAATCTAGTATATACATGCTTGAAAGAAAGTATGAGGTTTTCATCTCTAGATAGGCTGAAAAGCTGCATTCTTGGAAGCATGAGATTTTCAGCTTGTTATTAAATTAATTATCTTCAAACAAGTTGAAAACCTTTAAGAGTTTCTTGCTGCAGAAATTCTATGCAGGCCGAGTTTTTATATCTCAAAAATTCACGATTTGCGCGGGGTTCCCCACACAGTCCCGCACTGTCTTCACTAGACTTTGCAGGTTGTACCACTATTCTACATGCAAGGAAGTCTTTGTGGAAAGCGCTCCTGTGAAACACATTAGTATCAGATCAGCCACATCAATATTCTAGCAACTATAGAAAATTATAAGAAGTGCTGTGTTCTTCTACTTTCACTATGGTTCTTCATCACATCTCATATACTCACCCTCGAAAACACCCTTTTGGTTGATCCATTGCCTCTTCAAATCAGCATGACGAACGCAACACAAGACTATGGCGACCTCAGAGTCACTATGACCTCAGCCCTCGACTGGATCTGGAACGACCTGGACAGTGGAGCCACGACGGACTTTGAAGCCTACCATCCGAGATCTCAGGGAAACTTGCGTCCTCTAGGATCTGTTGGTTTTTCTTCTTATGGTGACAGGAATGGCAAGTTTGCTGTTATCCTTGTTGGAAACAACCCGAGTTCTACAGGTAAACCGGCAGTCGCTAGTCCCACTGGGTACGATCAAATCTGGCGTGACGAGGAGAGCGGGGGCGAGTATGATGGGTCTTTCTGGAGACCCAGAGCACCGAGTGGGTACGTCGCACTTGGAGATGTATGTCAAAGATATTGGAATACCCCTAGCACGGACATAATTTGGTGTGTTCGTTCTGATTTGGTTCAAGACTCGAACTACTTCAGATCAAAAGTTTGGGATGATCATATGTCAGGAGCTACGTTGGATTGTTCTGTGTGGGACATTGGACTCCCTTCTCTTGGTGTAAACGGGAGCGCAAATATCCCGATCTCGACAAATACTTTCCGGGCCAATAATAACTGGTCTGAACCCAACAATAGCCTCGCACAGGTTCTCGTCCTGCCAAACCCAAAAAAGTTTGTCGAGTTCACTACTCCTCCACCGAAGTTCACAAAAAATAATCTCCCCAAGGGTGGCGATATATTCAACTGCACTGATCAATGTCAAGTCACGCTCCCTTTCACTGTCTACTTCCCTCCCACGGACGCTGCGAGCCTTAGAGCAATCAGTAACCCATTCTGCACTCTCAGCAGGAGAATCGCTTGGTATGTTCACACGGTGCACATCAATGATGGCGGAGGTACGATTTCCGACTCCACCACAGTGACAAAAGGTGTCAGTAATACGCTCTCGAAGGAGATGACACAATCCGCAGGAGTCTCGATCTCTGCTTCATACGGTATCATGGGGTTTGGCATGGATGTTAGTCTAAATTATCAGTTTACCTCGACCATTTCCTCTAGTTTCACCGAGTATGAGGAGACTTCGCGTACACAGGAATATACTGTTCCACCATATGAAGCTTCCATTTTCCTCAGCAAACGGATTTGGATTCAGGCCAGCCGCGCAGATGGATCTATCGTTCTCAGAGAAATCAACTTCAATGCTAACGAAGATATCCATCTTATCGGAGTCCCTCTTAAGTAGAAGATGATGTGGCTGTTGATTGATGGGAATAGCAAGATTGTGTTTTTGTTGGTATTCAGTATGAAGTTAGGACCTTAGGCTCAGTTACCTCCGATGGGAATATGTTGGCCTGTAGGATTCAATAATGGTTTGAAGGATTCGAGGTCTTTATCTTTCAGCTCTCCGTTTCCTATCCAGCTCGGTTTTACTCTCAGCTCATTTTCAAGCTTTCTATCCAACTCAGATTCAGCTGAGATTCACCTTCTTTACTATGTAACTCACTAGTTATTTGATTAGTTCATTAGTTCTAAATCAATCAAGTTATGCTTCCTGAACATCACAGTTCCCAATAAGATAACAGTAGAACCTCGGACATGAAGAGAGCCATGTGACTAGTCATGATCATTGCTTAAAATTACTACTGATCAATGAACCTAAGAAGGCAAAAGGTACTTCCTATAAGGACATATAAGTACTTCCTGGAAGGGCCTTTAAATTTTATATTGTAAAAGAGGGTGGTCGAGATACATGCGTCCCAATAGCATTTTGAGGGGGGAAATAGAAAAAGAAGACTAATTAGATTACATTGTAATAAATCATTTATTAAGAAAATAGTTTTTACAATAGGTTTGGGGTTGGAACGATTTGTTTTTAAAAGTAGAATGTAAAGAATTGATTGATTTCTAAAAGGAGAAGGCGAAAACCTTTTCTTATATTTAACTACAAAAGATCGTGTGATTGAGCCGTTGAAAGCCTTTATGTATATGGCCTGCAATTCCAACCATTTCACAATATATGAAGTATACTATGTATACAGATTTATATAGGAAAGTGTTCAAGAATTAGACTCTCAAATATTGAAGTACATATAACCTCATTCCCAATTCGGCAAAAACGAAGCTATTCACTTCGGTCGGGCATCATCTTCAATCACTAATATTATCTTCAATTATTAATTATCTTATGATTTATTTAATAATCATTTTTTCTTCAAAGTTCATTCATTTTATTATTATACTATAAGAATATTTCAATTATACCAGGGGCCTGCGCCCCCCGGACCCCTGGCTTTTCAAGAAAGTTTAATAAAAATTTAAGTTTTAAAAAATTTATAATAAATTTAAATATTAAATATATATTAGGGTGCAGACAGAATATCGGCTTGTTTTCATTAATTAAAAATTAATTTTTAAAAATAATAATAATAATAATAATAATTATAATATTTATTATTATTATTATTGTTATAAGTTGAATAAGTTGAATTGAATGAATAGAGATGAATTGAATGAATAGAGTTGAATTGAATGATTTCAGTTAAGTTGAATGATTTCAATTGAGTTGAGTTGAAAAAAGCTCCAAGTCAGATTTGCTTAAGGTTGTAAGGCTTATATCAAGCTTTTTGTTAGATTTATTTACCGAGGTATTTACCGGGGTATTTTAGACCAATCAGATTATCAGGATCGCGACTCATTTAAGCGAGTTTCTTATTTTCCATCACTCATTAAGTAAACCTCGTGTACAGCAAGGTTATAGAGTCGGCAAGCCGACAATTATTAAAAAAAGTAAAGTAATATTTCTCATTTCTGATTAAGATTAAAACTAAATCAACTCATTGTCTAGTATCCTATAATTATCATATCGTATATCTCACGCAAAATTCCGTATGTATCATCCATTCATCCATCCATCCATCCAGCCAATCATTCAACATAATTGAAAAGCATGAATAATCTTTTCCTTTCCATTCAATGACTTAACACCATCCCAATCCAAGCTTGCCGAAGCTGAGGAAATCCCACAGGAGATTTGACTAATTGTATGTATCCTTACACAGCTCGGCTATCATAATTCTTCCTCGCCCCTCCACTTCACTCCATATCCACAATCCATTTGAAATTTTACTTCGACTTATCCGTCCCAGTCATTATATTATGAAACACTTTTCCAAGAGCAGAGGGCTATAAGTTCGATGCCAGATTAGCCAATGATCAATAGACAGTTCCACCTCCACATCTTTCTTTTCATTATTTCATTCCAAGCCCCAATCTCATTGTATCCCCTCCCATCCCATTCAACCCCTCAACACCGCAGACCACACCTCAAAACCAAACACGCTCCTCTCTTTCCTCCTCCCTCCTCCCCTACCCCATCTCTCCTCCCCTCCCTCTATCCCCCACCCGCAAAATCACAAAAGGTCTTATAAAAACCCACATACCTCAGTCCTCTGATCCAAAATCCCCTCTTTAAACTTCTCACTATCAACCCCACGATACTCATCCGTCCTTCCCCTCTGATCCTGACTCCCAAGTGTAGACGCATAACCCGGTGTATGATTTGCACTTCCGCCTGCGCGCGTGTGTGCATTTTCTATATTTTGAACTGTTTTTTGAGAGAGGGGGAGGGTTAGCTGGGTTGGGTTTTGGTTTTGGGGGTTGGGGGATGGATGGGAAAAAGGGAGGGATAGGGAGGAGGACAGAAAGAGGAGGTGGGTAGAGGTGAAGGAAGAAAGAAGGAAGAGGGATAGAGGTGAAGGAAGAAAAAGAAAGTAAGCCCACCACCAGGAGGTTTAAGCGAAGGAAGCATATCATGAATAGCAGAAGTAATTTTCGAAGGTTGGTTTTGACCCGAATTAGGATTCGCCTTTGCTCTTGGATCTAGCATTTTGAACTTTCGAATGTAGTTTCTTTTTGTTAAGTTAACGTTAAGTGAAGTAGATTACTTTACCCAAGCTACTCTACTTATCGTATAAAAATGTCAATAGAATCTTATGTTAAATTCAGACTCAAACGCAGAGGTGAATTCAAAAGTACGTAAATATGAATGTATGCAATAAAATAAGGAGTCCACAAAACCAACTATAAATACACAGCCAAAAATCCCCTCTACGTAAGGTTATACAAATTCTAGAATCTACCTACCTACCTACTCATCCTACATCAGAGTCCTTCAATGAACAAATTTTGACGATGATGATGATGAAAGCCTCCCTTACAATCTATGCATATCCAATAAAAACACCCATCAACTCGTCATATATTACCTAAGAAACCGGGATTTAAATCTACGACTAGATTGGACTGCAGTGGATTGGATTGTAAGTTAAGGTTCGGATCTTCCGTCCGGGAAGGCGCTAAGGATTTTAGTTTTTTGTTTATTTTTGTAGATTGGATGGAGGGTTGTTTTGAATGATTAGTGATGGGCATGATTGGGATGATTGGGATGATTGGATAGTTGGTATGATTGTAAGTAAAATAATAGATGCAAAAAGAGTACAGCATATAATGTTTTGATACTGTTTTTTATTTGTTATCATACTTCTAGTATTCATAATTCCATTCCCTCCTATTTCACATCAAACGCCATAACAATCCCAACGCTATCTCCCTCTCGCTTCGCTAACACATGCTGTCATGATCATAATAGGATATTGATGGCATAATCCATCCATGCTATCTCGTTGCATCTTTCGTTCATCGATTCTCGTAGAAATCTTCGAGTCTGCTTTCCTATTCATCCACTCTACACCATCGCACCCTCATCATCTACCCTCTCATTCCCCCTTCCCATTCCCTTCATCGATGTAAATCATCTATGTCCCCTTTGTAAAACTACACAAACACAACATTAGCACACATTCAATCCACTCCCAATCCACTCCCACCCCCTCCCACCACCACCCATCCACTCCAATCCTCCTCAATCAATCATCTATCTCAGGATATCCACAGAAAAAAGGGGCATTGAAAGAAACAAAAAAGAACACACCTATTCCACATCTGCGCCACAAATCCCGCCTTAGGAGTCTGATCCGCAAAACTAGCTCTCCTAGCCTGCGTCGCCGCATCAATACTCGAGCGTTTTTGATTTCGGAGTCCTGCGAACATGGTGCCTTCTTGAGAGCCCTGTTTGGTTTGTATGTTTGGTTAGTTGGGGTGGGTTTTGTGAAGGGAGGTGGTGAGAGGAGAAAGGGAGGATGTGGTTGGGGGATGCAGGAGGATGAGGAGAGAGAATGGTAATGGTGATGATATGATGACGAGGAGAAGAAGGAAAAGGAAGACATACACGTCTGTTTTGAGGGGTGATACCAGCGGTGTTGGTGGCTGGAGTAGAACCTCCCTTAACTGCTGATGTACTTTGAGAGTTCATTGTTTCTGATTTATGTAGATGTGCGATTGATTGATGTGAGTGATAAAGGTTATGATTGATTGATTGATTGATTGATTGATTGTAATTGAAGAATATCAAGTCCCTTGCGAATGTATTACGGTAATGTCTTGTTGTGTTGAAAAAGTAATAAAATAGAAGTAAACAAAAGTAATACGAGAAACCCTCTCCTCATATACCTACTCACTCTCTCACCCCTCCACAAACACACCCTAACCCTACCTACCCAAAACAAATCTAGAGAAACCCCGTCTCCCGATTCCCAACACAAAACCCAATCGCATACGATTAACGACGCATCTTACAAATCCAACTTAATCAGCCCGCTACAAACAAAGGGGAACCATGAATCAATTCCAGCCAGAGAGTTCCCTTGTGCTAGCTAGATTCAATCATGATTTGCGTATCCCATCACGATCTATCAGCTCAAAGATATCTCACGCCAATCATCTCCATAGTAATTACTACAATGCGTACCTACGTACATTTTACCCCGCGATTCTGACATGATTTTTACATGCATGCATTTGATATGAACATCCGATTATGTGATTGGAGAACGGGATAGAACTTTAATGATTGGAGGTGGAGGTTATTCTGGATACAGAATAATTAGTCTGTACGGTACGGTACGAATACGAAAACTTCCCATTGCTTGAAATGATGAATAATCTACGCATTATACTTTCATGCTAAGAGGATCGTAAACAGAAAGATTAGATTGATATTGAAGTCGAGGTGTTGTTGTCCATCGATCGAGAATCTATTTCTATTCATGGATAATATGGGGATGTGGGGCCGACTATCTGAGATGATGACGAGTGGTTGTTTAGGATCCTGGGGTATGCCATCGGAGTTTAATAGTCCCGTGGCCTGGCCTACTTCTTACTGTCGTTCCAGATTTAAATGGTCCAAGCGAGATGAGTTACATTTGACTTCCACTGAACAAGGAGATAGTGTAGTACATTTCCTTTCCAAAATAGTCTGCCTCCACGGCAGGGCCTTCGGAGAGCCAGCGGAGCGTCATTTCAACAATGGAAATCAATGACGATTGATCGATGAATGCAAATATGAAGGCAAGCCCCCAAACCCCCTTTTGCTCGCTGCCCTCGAATTTCTTTTCATATCTTCACATGTCATTACTATTGCAACGCATGGTTGAACTAGAGAGAAGAAAGAAACGAAGCAAAAAAAGCGATAGTCGGATGCATTGATCCAATGTAGCAAAGGTAAAGATATGAATATGACGTTAATGCCAATGCGGTGCTTGTAAACATGTTTGAGTACGATTGCCAAGTAGATCTAACTTCTAGCTTCTAACATCGAACATCGAGAAGAAGTTGGCGGACCTACCTAGTACGGGTCAGGAAGTATGTCACACTCCACTTTAAGCATGTAGAAGAAAATGGTAAACTAGGAAAAGGGATATCAGCCTCCTATTGTAAGGTGTGACATGCTATTTGGCCTCACGAGTACAGCTATATAGATAATTGAGTAGCTTGAGTTGGAGTATACTTAGTTGGAATATACCTCAGTTATTTTCCATGCTTTGCACACTTGCGCAAGTTCATCATCATACATCAAAAGCATAAAACCCTCCAGTCAAATGGAGAAATGAGATACTTCACTGGTATTGAATTCATTTTGTTCACTAGCCGAAGTTCACAGGACTTGCAATATCTTAATGGTTGAATGATTGGTTTGATTTTATTACAACTGTTTCCAAAGAGAACCTCCCATCAAAATATCTGCTTCATTATATGCTAATCAGTCTCAAAGTAACCCACCGTCTTAAGCAGACCTATTTTGCAACTCTGAAGGATGAAACTTTTTTGCTCGATCCATTCATTTCCCCAACTCGAATATTTGCACCCTCATGCAATACCATCCTACACAACTGATCAAAATATCACTAATGACATTAATATAAAACTCAAGGTTGATGGAAATTTTGTTTCATTGATTTCACAAATATGCACTTAGCACTTGCAAGAAAAGCCGGCAAGCCGGTCGGTCTCTAAGGCCGCAGACTTGATCCTAATAGGAGTCAAGCTGAACAGTTGGATGAACTGCTTCATTGTAATCTGATCCGTAGATGCAGTAAAGTACAACCAATGATGCCCCTTTCATTAACTCCATAAGCCCCACGTTGCGACAAATTCTAAAGAAATTGCCGGATCGATTCACTCGAAGCCCATGCCATATTTTTTATTTGAAACGTTTATCTGACGATACCTTCAAAACGGTTCTTGAACCATCTAAGTAGAAAATATTAGTATGAAGACATATAATGAGAAGTTCGGCGCAAACATACTTGACAGTCTCATCACGCTTGATCTTGTGGTTGGCACCAATGGAAGTCTTGCAGCGACGACGCTTAGCAACACGCTCACCAGGACGGGTCATGCATGCGTAGAAATCCATTCCGTAAATACCGATCGCAGGGTCGTACTTGATACCGAGATCGATGTGTTCGGAGATACCGAAACCGAAGTTACCAGTTTGGGAGAAGTTGCGCTTGCGGAGTTCATATTCCTTGACCTTCAATCCACGCTCCAAAATTTCCTCAGCCTTTGGTCCACGGACAGTGACGTGAACAGCGATCTTTTCGTTACGACGAATACCGAAGGTACGGACGGTATATCTGGCCTTGCCTGTAAATTAATTGTTAGAGATAAATTGATGATAAAAGTAATTGGTGTATGCCTACTGTAAACTGGGGTTTGACCACTCAATTGTTCCAAAACTTTGGCAGCACGGGTAAGTCTGTCACCAGATTCTCCGACAGAGATGTTGAGAACGAGCTTCTGGATTTTAAGCTCCTTCATGGGGTTGGTGGTCTTGTCTCCGGATTCAGCCATTTTGAATGATGCTGTTACGATTCGTCGTGAGAGATTGTCGGTTTTTGTCGTGATCGTCGAATTCAAAAAGAATTTCGAAAAGATTCAAAAAAACATTATATTCGCTAAGAACTGAAAACCCTAAAGGCTGATTAGGTAATAATTCATTATTGCCTAGTGGTTAAGGCTTCAACAATTTTTCATTTGAAGCTCGAGCCAGCCTCGTGAATGATCTTGAAGAACCTCATATCAAGAACTCATACACTTGTAATAGAGCTGTGGAGTCAAAAAGAAGTCATCGAACTTCTATACACATTCTTTGAAAACCAAAGCCGTAATAACGCGCACTCAAAAGTCATCATGGCGAACAAGCAGGGAAAGATGGTGAGTTTAATACCCCTTCTCAAAACCATTAAAAGCTTGTGTTGACATTATAGGCTGACTTTGACTCTTTCTACAGGCCGGTCTCGTATGTAATATCCATCAATTCAGCTATTACAGCTCTGCGCGATCAATTCGAATGTAAATACGGACTGACAGGGTTATAGATCAATTACCGGATGAGAGTGACTATGAATGATGGACGTCAAATGGTTGGACAGATGTTAGCATTTGATAAGGTACGATACTTAAGCAAGAACTACAATGGCTTTGACTAACTTTTAAATAGCACATGAACCTCGTTCTCGCCGATACAGAAGAATTCAGACGCGTCAAGCGCAAGGCACCAAAAGCCACAACTGCTCCTGGAGCTAGTTCTGCTGCACCACCTCTCGTCGAAACGGAAGAAAAGCGTACATTAGGTCTTACAATTATTCGAGGCACACATGTTATTTCTCTATCTGTCGAATCACCTCCACCAGCAGATCCAAGTGCTCGTTTAGGTGCTAGTGTTCCAGGTGGTGCTGTACCATCAGCTGCGATGGCTGCAGGAACAGGAATTGCAAGACCAGCTGCTGGAAGAGGTGGGTTAGCTGGTCCGGCTGTTGGAATTGGTGGCTTTCCGGGCATGCCAGCTCCTCCACCATTTGGAAGAGGTGCACCACCTCCAGGATTTGGTGGTGGATTCCCTCCTCCAGGTTTCCCAGGTCCACCAGGTGGTTTTGCTCCACCTCGCAGGTAAATGTTAAAGATAATGGCTTTCGCGATCATGTCAAATCAAATCTTAAAGGATATTCTCAGAGGAGCTTCTTGCATATAATCTGATGAAGAGCCAAGGACACATTGGACGTGACGATCGATGAAGGAATGGAAGATGATAGATCCAAAGGAAACTTATGGACACGCAGATAGGGGCGATGCAAAGAAGGTTATATTCAATCAGAATAAAGGCGTTGAGGGGTGGTTTTGACTTCACATACCAAAATTCGCAAATTTGTAGCATAAAAGCAAGCAAGTAAAGCGACAACGCTAATTGAATCCTATATAATTTTGCTTGATTCTACGTGATTCGTATCTCAGTCATATCGATCATTAGACCAAACCCAATCTAATCATCATTTCCTCATCTCAATTCATTTCATTAGCAAAACCCACGCCAAAAATCCAATCCTATCACCACGTGACACAAATCAAGACTTCGGACAAACTCAGGGTAAATCCGAAGCCAGTTCCCGTCCGTCCCATCAAAACTCTGGATATCAACAACAAAACATAACCACATCTTCCGGAGTCAACACCGAAAGAATATTTCAGATATTCACAATGGCAGCCTTGATTAAAGCAATTAATGCAAAGATTCGTAGTAACCCGGCGGTTAGCTATGTTTGTTCTACTCGTAAGTTATGATTTTATTTTCGAGAGGGGGAGAGGGAGAGAGGAGGGAATGTTGTCTTTGTTTGGATTGTAGTGGAGGGGGTGGATGGTTAAGGAATGGTATGGGTATGGGTAATGGAAGAGAGTATCGCATTGGGTAGGGGATTGGGATTGATTGGGAGGTGAAGGAGAATGTGAAGGTGGAAGTGGCAGATATTTGAGGGAGGTTGAGCGGGGTGCGTGGGGAATTGCCGGATTGGAGTGCAACTTAGATGATGGATATCGATAGAGCATAGGCAGTACGCAGATAATCAGTTGAACATCTACTAATAAACCTCACCAGATTTCTGGGGTCCAGTTTCTAACTTTGGAATCCCGGTTGCTGCCGTAATGGATACTCAAAAGAGTCCTGATTTGTACGTCCCCCACTCCTCATTCTCTCACCACAACCACAAAATCTAACCTCACATAGAATCTCCGGCAAAATGACCCTAGCACTGTGCATCTACTCTGCAACTTTCATGCGTTACTCCCTCGCCGTAACACCACTTAATCCACTTCTCTTCCTCTGTCATTTCGTAAATGAAGGTGCGCAACTTACGCAAGGGTATAGATGGATGCAATATCATAAGTGGGGAGGTAAAGAGGCAGAAGCTAAACAGAAGATTGGATTGGGAGTTGAGGGGGTAAAGGAGAGTGTTGTGGAGGCGGTTAAGAAGGTTGAGGGGAAGGTTGAGAAGGCTATTGGGAAATAAGAGGGTTAACTTGAGATGGAGGAGGGATGTGGAGGGATATGCTGTTTGTGGGTGGCTTTCGTGCAAGAGTGGATATTGGTGTAGTAGGAAATGGTAGAAGCTGATGGTGGGGGATCAAATAGATATCAGAGGATACGTGCATGCGTGCGTGCGTGTGTGGTGTGCGAAAGTGCAAAAGTGCAAAAGTGCATTATACCTAGAGGAGGCAAATCAAAGAAGAGAGTCAGACAAATGAGGAAGAGAAATGAAGAATACAGTTACGAGCTGATAACTACTCAATGAAAAGAAAAGAAAAGAAAAGAAAAGAAAAGAACTCGATTTTGCATATCATTCAATCATCCTTCACCATAAGCTACATGAGTCTACGTGCAGTTTGATTCATGATACAAGATATATATTCTTATAGTATATTTTACGTGATTTATACTGTGGAATTGCATTGAGTATATCTAGTCGATACAGCTATTTCACTCATCTATTTATTTCACTTCCTACGTTGTATGAACCCTTTAGCAAACCAGCTAGTTTGACATCTATTTACCTCTTAGGATACAAGTACCGGTATTATATATTCCTCATCTTCCTCTCCCTCTGGTAGAAAAATAAAGCATTATTTACTATCGACTAGAGTTAATAATGTTATATAGGTACTAAATATGATATTAAGAAAATACCAACTCCAAATATAAAGCCAGACAGAATCGGGGTGGAGCAGAGCAGAGTAGAGCAGAGCAGAGCAGATATAGATGTAATTCTTTAGTATATATGAGAAGAAAAAAGAATCATAGATTTTTTATTTTCTTCTCTGATATCTCTAATATCTTTTATATCTTATGTAATGTCCCTTGATCTATCGTTCAATTTCTGAGTATTTGAATTCTGAATTCCGAATTTTGGTATTGAGTATTGGGTATTTCATTTCATTTTAAATCCTTCCATCTTTTCTTTCATTCATCCACCCATCCATCAGTTTCATGATTCCTAATCCATCCATCCCATCAATCCAGTCAATCCCGTCAATCCATTTTCATCCCAAAATGCTGCATATACTGGATATATTCTATTCCCTTCATTTCCTCCTTTCTCCTCCTTTATTTCCCCCTTTTTCCCTTTTCCTAGGACGACGATATTTGCTCATCCGCTGACCTATCCATTCATCCAACCATTCATCCAACCATTTATCAAAACTCAAAAACAAACCACAACCAACCAACCCCGCCAAAAAATAAGTAGGAATAAAAACGACGCAGCGTTTGGGAGTATCTTAAATCCATCCAGCCATCCATCCAAACTCCAATCCATTCCCAAAAACGATTGTAAGAAGGAAAATATAAATAAATAAATAATATAAAGCATACGCATGCATACAAGCATACAAGCATTCTCAAAAAACCACATCCCAATTCCCAACCAGGAGTAAAATTACCTACATCTACATCTACACTCACTTCTCACCCATAGGACCTATCTTATCTCCCCAAACTGTGAGACCATTACTGAACACCCTGATTCGAAAGTGGATTTGCATATGCACCCGGAATAGGTACACTGGCATAAGTTTGTTCCCCAGGAGCCGCTTGGACATGTTCGACGACTCTCTGCTGTTGAAATTGTTGCTGAGGAGGCGGCGGCGGAGGAGAAGGAGAAGGGGTCTGAGATTCGAAACCACCTTGGTTAAGCTTCGGTGTTGCATTTTGTACTCTGATAGGAGGAGCTTGTAAGGTGAATGGTTTAGTAGTATTCATTCCACTCTTCGCTTCTACAAATCTCGTTCCGATTCCATTTCCTTCTTCCAGATCCGAGGAACTCTGATACACGCTTGGAGGGAATCTGGGAGATTTGGCATATTGAGAGTAAGAGGGGCTTAAGGGACCGAAACCAGGAGTGTTGGGTGCGGATTGACTGCGGAGTTGAGCGAGGTATAGATCTGAACGTGCACGATCGCGAATGGCCATGGATTTGCGAAGTCGTTGTTTGGAGTAGTATCTGTAGAAGACGACGCTATAAAGGGCGATTGTGAGGGATTCGAGGACGATTTCTATTATACAGCATACGAGGGACCAAGACTAGGAGGTTGTTAGTGGAATCATGGATGAAAGAGGTAGAGAAACTTACTTGAATTCGACAGACTAAAGCATAATCAATCTTTTCTTCAAATAATTGTCGTCTCTTATTATCGACGCATGACCAACCCCAAATATCCTTATTATCTCCAGTAGTTCTTACACCTTGTAAAATACCAGCTGCTATACCCCACATAACCGTACTGAAGATAAAATATGCGACTGCAAAGAGAGTATAATAAACTGCAACTTTCTCCGCCCGTTTATGTCCTCCTTTCCAATAATTGTAGAGTATGAGTACACAAAGTGCGAGTGATACAGATGATATAGCAAGAACGACTTTTTGAGGCCAAGTTTTGGTACCATCTGCCCATGGAGGAAGATTATTTCGAGCTGGTAGTGATTTTGTTGCTTCGAAGATGCTAAAAGTGGTAGCAACCATGGAGAGGACAATTAAACTACAGCTAAAGTTTACAAATCGTAATAGTAACTTAGCTATCCTGACTCTAGTTTTAATTTTCTATTCAATTGTTAGTATATCTCAAAATAATTGAATTCCAAAATCTCTTACTAAATCTTTGGCTTGCTCTACTTCGGTCATTTCTTCATGCTTTTCTAAGACTTGCTCCTCCCGAAACGTCGGACTTAAGGGATTCATCATTCTTCCTGGTGTACCAGGAACTTTTAATGCACTCTTTAATGGTGATGACGGAGTAAGTGGCATCTCGATCGGAACTCCTTGAGATTGTCTATTTTCTGATATGTAGCCGAAGCCAATATCAGAAGGTTGTGATTGTGCCATGTATGCTTGTGTTTTTGAGGCGTAAGAGTCTGCTGTTTTTGGAGGATCTGCAAATGGTGATCTCTTATCATCTACAGGAGAATATACAGTAGTAGCTTCGGCAAATCGTGGTGTTCGAGGGACTTTTAGTGACGATGATGATGATGATGATGATGTAGATGAATTGCTAGAGGATCGTGGCTTTGTGAGGGGAGGCAAAGGCCCCTTGTTTGTATGTGGTGCTAAATAAAAAATGAGCATACTGATACATTAACGACATCTTACATTCAGGAAGACTAACATGACATTGTGATGAACTGTGATGAACTGAAAAGAAAAGCAAGACAAGTTGACACAAATTACTCGAGTATAATCGTGAGGCCAAGAAAGACTTCACCAAAGCACTATCAATGGAGGTGCACGCAAGTAAAATGGTTAAAATAAGATGAAGTTGTACAATTCGAGACCAGCTACCAAGAAAAAAGGATAAAACAGATATTGAAGAGGGGGGAGATGGTAGGGTTTTGTGTAGCGCGCGCAAAAACAAAGCAAGAAATTTGGAATCAAATACAAGGCTTCGTACGACAATGTGGAAAGATCGGGAGATGTGAAGCAATGATATGACTTGTAGATCAAATGCAGACCAGGATATATGGACACCTAGTGGCCAAAAACTGACCTCGTACGGAAAGGGAAGAATATGACTGGATGAATGGTGGGGTCTAACCTTACAGATATTGGGACCAAAATAGACGCCCACTGGTAGTGTGCATGACAGATGCGTTTTTCTATTCGCACGAACTAAACGGATGGAGAAAGTGTGGCTCTACCCGTAGATATAGTGCCTAGATCTTTGTGGGCAAGAACTGAGATGTGCGAAGTAATATAAATGATTCGATATTCGTTGGTTTTTAGCCACGAAGAAACATCAAACATATAAAATAAATACTTATGAATATAGAGACAGAGAGAGAGAGGGAATGGGAGAAAACGAAAACAATCAAAATGGAAAAATCGCAAGAGCCAAAATTACTCACTACCAGAAGCAAATGAAGGGTGGTAACATCCATCTCCCATAAATCTTTTTGGCGCCCACTCTTCAACAGACCACCACTCAGGACCAGTTCACAACCCAGTCTCTATCGATGGTTTGCAGAGCTGGGGGAATCGGGATGTAATTCCCTCCAATGCCCTCAAGCTGACTTCATGCATCTGCATCTTAAATGTGAAAAAGGTACAAAGCAGGATATGATTGGAAGAAACGGCCGTCAATGCTTGAAGGAGACATATGCGAGTGAGAGTGAAAATTGCTGCTTTCGGTTATCATTCGTTAGTGATGTGCATGCTGCTTTAAGATCTCAACATGGTGTGCGTGATGAATGATCAGGATATAGCAGGGGACATCAATCATAATTTATATGTAAAGTCATAAATTTTGGTGGTGAGATTTGTCGGATCTTACTCATGTTAGGATTAAAACAGCATCAACTCCCCCAGCCTTTCCACATTAGCGAAAATTAGCTCGGGCGGTTAACAACATATGCACCAGCCAACCAACCGCGATTTATCCTTTTCCATTGCCATTCAAGCCTTGACTTGGCGGTATTTGAACCCCTTCTAACTTAAAAGTACCACGTCCCGAGCCATTTTCTCCAGGATCATTCATTGACACGGACATTGATTAAACATTAATATATCAATTCATGACCAGCATCAGTTCCATCATCCATCCATCTCCAATCAACCCATCATCATCTAAAGAAGCTTGGACAATTATCATCTGATAGGAAATTCCAGTACGTATGTGTCGATTTGAATCCCAAAATCTAGAGCTACCAATACAAACAAGCCCTTTGGAGAGAAAACAAAATATTCATCATCTCGAAAGATCTCATCAGATAACAAATCTTCAACGCAGCATTACGCAGGTACCATACCATACCTACTCGTACATCAACTACCTACATTAGCTAGCACACTCTAATACTCTACCGACAAATTTCTATATAAAGGTGTGATCAAATGCAAGACGCGCATATTCATCTACCCACCCACCGCATCTATTGGCGAAAATGCGTGGCAGTATGAAGTACCGATACTAGATCTTGATTTGCGAATTGACCTAATTAATTCATCCAATCCTCTTCATCCATCTATCCAATCCGTACTTATAAAATCCAATAAATCCATTTTCCACCACATCTTGAATTAATCCATCAATCCATACCCACCCACCTACCGGCCTACCCTACTTATTATCTAGTATTGTACAACAAAGAACCCAAGACCTCAAATTTCTATATATATAATCACAAAAAACCACAAGAAGAGAAAAAAGAGAAAAAGATAAGGAAAAACAGGCGGAGACATCCATTCATCCACATCCCTCATTATCCATCTCTATCTCCATCTCATCCGGTCCGGAGTACATACTCGATACATAAGATTCTACACACATACAATCATTTCAACGCAGACACACAGACACAGATACGCGGACAGGGCAAAAGCTCGGATGGAAAGAGATAACGAATACAACAGACACAATGGACACAATGGACACAATGGATATAAACAATAGGCTATTCACATCCGATTCCCGACGCCCGATTCCCGACTCCAAACCCTTCCCTTTCCCAACATCTACGTACATATTCCATAAAGCAGATATCCGAATACGCAATACGCAGTTATCCATCCACACCATCCACATCATACATACCCACACCCATCATATCATATCATACATACCCATACTCATACTCCGTACGTAACCTTACCATTCCATACCCTCCGAAAAAATGGCTGCTTACTCTTTCTTCATTTCTTCATTTCTTCATTTCTTCATCTATCTCATACAGTGTACATCCACCCATCCATCTATCCGTACCAATAAAAACCATACTTACATATTACCAACGAACGCCTTTTCAGGTAACACCAAATGATGAATGATGTTCTAATAAAAGATTCACTGCCATCATTCATGTTTCCAGTTGAACGCCGTGGCTGCATAACGACCTTATCATTTTCCTACCCGTTCCTCCGTGTCAAAAATTTATCTTACTCTGATTGTGCACGTGGGTTATACTGCATATTCCCGGTATAAGCCTTTAATGTATTATCCAAAAAACTGGCTCAAATCAAATATAGTTACAAATGTTGAATTTTCATATCACATTACGCCCTAGGGGTCGTTTCTATAGTAGGGGTATCTCTATACATTTTCCCCTCAAATGGGTGGAGGCAGGGTGTTTCCAACCTTGCGATATCCGCTCGTTATCTCTCTATCATAAACATTTTAATGGTGGAACAAACGAATGCTTTGTTCGACAAATGTAATGTCAAGTTTTTCAGCTGTCTCAAAGACATATGAATCATTTTGACTGCCACTTGGTGCGGCAATGTATTTAACGCCTGATCTTGCGGCACGGTAGACATTATCGATAAATGGGAACTAATTATGTTAGTAGAGTATATATGAACGAGGGAAAGTAGACTTACAAATGCATCACTTGAAACTGCAACTTGTGTGAGTTTCGACATCCATTCTTCTCTCTCCTTTTCAGTGAATTCGGCTGGAACTTCATCGAAGAAACCTTCGTATCCCTCACGCTCTGGTCCAGATTTTGGTAATTCGCCACTGACGAGGAGATCAATCGCATTACTCTTGTCTGGGCGCTTAGTACCAGTCTTCCACTTGATACCTAAAACACGAGGATGAAACCTCAACCACCAGTTGTCGGCCTTATCACCGGCCAGTCTTGTGCAATGAATACGAGATTGTTGACCAGCTCCTAGACCAATGACTTGACCATTTAGAGCATAGCAAACAGAGTTACTTTGTGTGTATTTCAAAGCAATAGTAGCCACTGTCAAATCTCGAACGGCTGAGTCTGATAGAGGAGCGGAATCTTTGGGAGTGATGATGGAAGAGAATGATTTAGGAGAAATAACAATGTCGTTGCGACGTTGGCTCAAATTAATGCCATAAACGGTTCTTGTCTCTTGTGTAGAAGGGGTAAAGTCTGGGTCCATTTGAAGGACAAGATACTTACCACCCTTCTTTTTCTTCAAGATCTCAAGAGCAGCATCCTCGTAACCTGCAGCGATAACACCATCGGAAACTTCTCTTGAGATGATCTTGGCAGTTGGAACATCAACAATATCGCTCAATGCAATCATATCTCCGAAACTACTCATGCGATCTGCACCTCTAGCACGTGCATATGCTTGAGCCAAAGGAGAGTTTTCCAAACCCGCAATATCATCTACCATGTAGACTTTACGCTCATCTGGTGTAAGGGGAACACCAATGGCAGCACCTGCAGGTGAGACGTGCTTGAAACTGGCAGCTGCTGGGTGCCCAAGGGCGGCCTTGAGCTCTTTGACTAAAGGCCAGGCGTTGAGGGCGTCTAAAAGGTTGATGTATCCTGGGGATCCACAAAGGACTTTGAATGGCAGTGGTCCCTCAGTGACGTAAGCTTGAGCAGGCTTTTGGTGTGGATTGGCACCGTATCTCAAAGCAAGTTGTTGTACACCATTTCCAGCGTATTGCTTACGGAAATAATCCGAGATGGAAGCATCATAGTCGGCGGTATGCTCGAATGCCTTCAATGCATATAACTTTCTGCTACGCTCTGTAACATCACCCTTCTCAAGTTCTTCCAAGAACTCTGGGTAATCTCCTGGGTCGGTTAAGATTGTGACTCGAGTGTGGTTTTTGGCAGCAGCTCTAATCAAAGTAACTCCTCCAATATCGATATCCTCCACAGCTTCTGGAATTGTAACATTAATCTTATTGATTGTTTCCTTGAAAGGGTAAAGGTTGCAGATGACATAGTCAACTTTATCGATGTTCTGCTCGGCGAGATCCTTTTCGTCAGATGCAAGGTCGCGGGCAAGGATACCGGCATGGACTGATGGATGGAGTGTCTTCACTCTGCCGCCCAACATCTCTGGGGCATGAGTAATTGCGGAAACATCTCTAGTGGCATAAGTTAGACATTAATTGGTATATCATAGCATTGTTGATAATAATTGCGCAATCGGAAAGCTCAAAATGTTAAGGAGAAATATCTTACTCAACTGGGAAACCAGACTCTCTAATCATCTTAGAGGTCCCACCTGAAGCAAGAAGACGAACATTCTGCTTGATCAATCCCTTGGCCAAGTCAAGAAGTCCCTTCTTGTCATAAACAGAAATAATAGCTATTGAATGATGTCAGTGAAGAAGTTCTATTTGCTACGATCTTCCTTTTATGTATGAATCGCATAAAACTAACCAGTCTTTTGAGTAGACATTGTGCTCTGCTGCAAGAATATGTAAGTAGATGCAAAGTGATAGCAGGATAAGAGACAAATGAGATGGAATTGACCAAATTATCACGTACTTAAATAAAACCTGGAGATTTTTGAAGCAAACGATGAAGTTTGTTACAAATTATAATTCAATCGCGGGGCAGCAAGTCTATAAGTTTTTTGCCAGTCTTGACCCGATTTTGCGGGTTGACTGGTGGGGTGATTGACACTAGTATTAAAATAGTTTAGATCATGGATGACTTAAGCGAAGAGAAATTTTTGGAAAATAAAAAGTTTTTTTCTTCGTCCAAATTTCTCCTTTTCTTCTTCACAAACTTCTTCGGAAGTACAACGCATACATCACATTCGCTATAAAGCATTTTCGGTGAGAAACCCGTCGTCATTCGTGATGGTGTGAGGTTTCCACGACCTTGAGAATCGTCAGTCGAAATGGAGAGAAATTTGATCGATCTTGGGTGCGGCGCTTCCTTTTTCACTATAGGAAGGGTCGCAATGATTGGCCATACATTCCAATCTTTTGTAAATTTGTATTATGTTTTTGATGAATTGCCTTTGATGATTGGATACTTGATTTGTGATGCCTTGCTGTTGACCTGTCTGCTGTTATTCTTGAGAAATACGAGATATCACACACAAAACACCAAATCATCATGATGCACTGGCTCCTTGTCTTATCAAGATTTGTGAATGAGCGTCTGTTTCTTGTATGATTCATTCAGACGAAATGCATGACGCACGAAACTATCATGCCTGATAACTTTATGTGCTGCATGGAGTGAGTTATCTTAGCGTGTGGATGAATTTCTCGTTCAACGACCTCGTCCATCTTACATACCACCCACCTACCTATTGGATGGATGTGTCAAGCAAATCATTTCGCACGTGTTTGTTTTCAATTTTGAGTTGTCATGACTCACGAGTCTGTATGTAAGATTGGGCTTTGCGAAAATCAATACTATTCTGTATCTGTGGTTGTGCTCAAGCTGGTTATCGTGGTGATGGTATTGATACCTGCAGGTGAGTAGGTATGAGAGTTGGAGAGAGTGTGTTGTGCTAGATCGTCCGTTCACAAAGTACAATCAATGCGCTGTATAAGAAGTATCACATGTTTTGCAGGAATGCCCAACTTTACCTCAAGTGTTAATCTTATCAACGTGGAAACCTCTCGAGGAAGTTCGTTTTAGCTTAGGTGCCTTGCGCGCACCACAGCCTTTATTTTTAAGAGTTGCTTTCGAGGGTCAAATTGCTGGAAAATGGAAATAAGTTAGATAATGAGGCCGTGTATCGAAAGATGATTCTGTCCGTTCCCTTATATCTCCCCTTCCAACATGAATGGATTGCCTGATTTCGGATTAGGAAAGGCGCTTGACTGGTCGAGCTCTTGGGCTAGTGCTCTCGGGCATTCTCTACGTGAATAGAGTAAGCGTATGACAATGACGATTCATGAAGATGATTGAGGAAGACGCATGAAAACGTATTACCGGCGTCTTTTCCACATCTGCTGGTTTCATTCAAATGTTCAAAGTATCGAAAAGCCTCAGGATGCTCCTATTCGACCTTGGAATTGGAGGAGCATACCATGATCAAGTCGCCATTCCCGCGACTACAAAGATACCCCGCACTTGAAGGAGCCCAAGACTTCAAATTCCGTGCTTGGTGCCCATAACCCGGTTAATTGCGCCTCTTGTCGAGAACAACTACTTCGACCATATCAGAGAGGATAATAGCAGATCAGGTTTTACACAATCCCGGACATGTTATATCGAGGTCAAACATACACCTGGGCCACCTAATTCTCAATTATTTTGTAGCCAAGGTCAATTTGAGGGTGTATAAATATGAAACTCCAAGCTAACCTGCCACTGGACGAGGTTTACTTCATTGCTAAGGTTTTGGACCATGAAGTCTTCGGTACAAAATTATTTTGTTAGTAGACCTATGGAATTGCGGAGGAAACGATGATCGTGTTCACAACGGATAGGTGAATATGTTATATCACGGTAAAGAAAATGTGAGGTTGAAAGGTCTGAAAAGAACTTGATCCCAGTGGAATTTAATCGCAATGAACATAAATTCAATCATTAGTCAAGAATAAATGATGCATAGGTGCTCGAGTAATGTAATCTCAGTTTGATGTTCGTCGTATTCGGTAGACCCCTTCCCGACTGGCGAGGCGGTGGATCAATCCTAGATAAGCCTAGTGGATATATATGCATGTCGTGTCTGTCAAAATATTCTCGCCAATGAATCATCATCACTGCACTTTTCTATGTTAGATATATTGATATGAGCACAGTCTGTCTGCATACTCCGTACATCGGCTGCCGTTGCTGTATTATGAGTTCAACATGATGATCACCTTATTCTAAAGATAGTTCAAAGAATACTGTTGGATGAGCTTGAAGTCAACCATCACAACATGATTGAAGCTCCACTTAGGAGAACTTCGGGGAATTCCAAGGCTGTACTGTACAACGGCGGTGTCGATTTGACGTGTATGTGATTCCAGGCAGCATAAGATCCAGGAATACAGATGCATTCGAAACGCGAGTTCTCAGCACTTCCCCACTTCAAAGATCCATGGCGCATATAGCTGAAAAAGCCACTATATATAAACTGCACTCCCCTCTTCAATTTGTCAGATATCTGTCAAACGTCGCTCAAAGGCTTACGGCATACACTTCTTTTTCCTGTTTTCGATTATTTCTATATACGAGACTTGTTTCAATAATAGTCATTTCAATCACTTCCATTCACAATGTTGCCGCTTGGAAAACCCAAAACGATAACCCATACATATGCACCTTTGTCTCCGGAATTCTTTTCACAAGTCGAGGAGACTTCGGCTGAGGAGCGAACTACATATGAGGGAGGTTGTCATTGTGGTGCTGTTACGGTTAGTTCTTTTTCTTTTTAGAACATATACTTGCTGAGTTTTGTGGAAGAAGACTCATGAGAAGAGACACTGACGTTGGTTAGTTCACTGTAACACTGAAATGGCCATTTCCAAAATATACCGTTAATTCGTGTAATTGTTCCGTCTGTACACATAATGGATATTTATTAGTTTATCCCATGAGACAAGATGTAAAGCTCTCGGATGGTAAGATTGAGTTCCATTCTGTCTATTCTTGTCATATCTCCTTTGGTTCCCTTCCGTCTTCATCTCAATTTACACGATTCAGGAATATTTCTAATTAAATTCCAGACGCAGAAGAAAAAATGGGCTCTTATAGATGGGGAAATAAGATTGCAGATCATAGATTCTGCAAAAATTGCGGAAATAGTATCATGGTTGATCTGTGCCGACCAGCTGCGTTCGGAGAAACGGATCCTAGAAAGGACATGGTGGCTATCAATGTAAGTTTGAGTATTCCTTTGAACTGCAAATCTTCAATGTGCTTGAAAAGTGGGAAAGCTGGTGATTTAAGAGTTTTGAGAGGAGAGGCGTGTGTAAAGAATGGAGTGGGGGAGGGGACTTCGTTCTTGACTTTTACGGAGCAAGGAATTATTTTCCATCTGGAATATATAGTTAGAGTACAGTTCACTGACCATCCCGGAATAGGTGCGAAATTTCAAGAACATCGATCTTGATGCAATGAGTTATACTCATTTCGATGGGAGAAGCATTATTTAAATCTGGCGCATTTTCTTCATGTTTCAATACGTAGAAATTGTCCTCTCTTTTCAGACCCACATTTGGGGAGGTTTGGAATCCATAGCCTTAGGATGGGATGAATAGTACCCTGTATTATCGTTAAACTACGTCGGTTTATATTCAATTGCCAAATCGAGCTTTTTTTGTGATGCGAATTCTATAGACAAGTATCTGTTGATCATGAGACATGAGAGGAGGGAATCTCCATCCATAGGGCGTAGCATATATATAATGTCGGTTCCCTAAACATCACATAAACCATTTACATGTAGCGATGATGTGAAAGTTGCCGTTACAATGTTCCAATCTGTACCTCAATAGCAACATCATGTTGAAACATCAAAGTTGGCCAGGATTTATCAGCGGTATTCATGTGCTTCCTAATGCTGTGAATTACAAACTGTTTGAAAGATGTTGTTACCGTACATAGTTTGGCCTCTCCACCTTTTCTCTCATTCGTCCAGGACGTAACACGATTTACTTTCACAACATTAGCTGAGGTCTCCCGTCGACCCGATATCCTTCTCATTCTCATCTCGACCATCCAGAATTCTTCCCAATTTATATGATTGACTTCCTTATCCGAACATCTTGAAACAAAAATATCTGCACATCAACAATGTCGTCTCCTCTCTCGTCGACGTTTTCATCATTCGTGGGGGCCCAGCAGGCCTGATGGCTGCCTCTACTTTTGCTCGTCAACTTCACGCAGCAGTTGTGTTTGATTCTGGCACTATAGCAATCTCGAGGCATCATATATGTACATGGTCTTGACCTGGCACCGTAAGAGTCCAAGGGAATTTCAAAGTCCGGTAAGACAAGAGATCCAGAATAATTACCCCACCATTAAATGCAGAGAGCTCGAGGTTAAGACTGTCAAACAGACCGGGATTGGATTTGCAGTTGCAATGGAAATTGGCAGACGTGGTTAGGAAAGAAAGACAATCTAGCTACTGGCTGTGCAATGGCTTACCGGATATTCCGAAAAGTTCAGGAACTGAGATGTAAAGTTATCCCTCACCTTAACACTTTGCTATACCAAATCCAATAAGTGTTAAGTGTCTCTTTTGCCACGGCTACGAAGAACACAACTCCCTCCTCGGGCGTTCTCCCGTCTCAACACACAAATATACTGTCCTCTTGCGATTCACATGGCCGACACAGCTACAGTAGTTCCCTAGGCCAAGCCTCAACCATCTACACGAACGGAGTGAGTGCCTTCGTGAACGTTACAGATCACCACAGCTCTCAAATCCCCTTCAAAGCCCTCCAACAAATTCACAGTCGATTCCCACATGACCCCAAGTCTTGTTAAGGAAGCGAAACGAGTCGACGTCGAAGTCATCTTACATTGTGAAGAACGTCGACGGCATCACAAAAACTGAATACCTTCTTACGGAGTACACCTAACACTCACTCCCCATCTCTATCAATTCAATTGGTCCGTTCATTTTTAGTGTCGCGCTATTTCTCTCATGGCATGGGAGAATTACTAATTCTCCCACTGCGGATTTCTGTTGCGCTTAATTGGTCCGTTCATTCTAGTGCGACACTAAAATGCTCATGGGAGAATTAGTATGCACTAATTCTCCCCACTTGTACGCTTTTGGTGTACTAATTCTCTCACTAATTCTCCCATTGCGCCCTAAATTTATCCACTTATCCATTTCAGGTGTACTGATTCTCCCATGAGAGAATTAGTGTCGCACTTGTCCATTTCAGGCGTACTAATTCTCCCACAGCCAATTCCTATTCATTCAATTGGCTTATCAACGTCAGCATCGCACTAATTCTCCCACACCAAAGGACCATTTACAGAACAGCTGGATTTGAAGCTTACTACGGAGTGCACACACAGATGAATCGTGATATTAATACCAATGCTTCGTTCTTTACCACAAGGGTAAGAGGTGTATTTGCAGCTGGTGATTCTATTCCTCCATAGAAGGTTATTGATGGTTCATTGTCAAGTGGTTGCAATGCAGCTGTTGCGGCTTCAGTCCAGCTTGGAGCGGTGATATCGATTTGTGACATCAAGCACTCTTTTGAGTAGGATTGAAGCAAAGTTGTATGTGGATTCAGCTTTGCGGTCAGTTTATATAATGTATCTCTGGAGATGGTAGAACCGGCTTTACTAGAGTTTAGTGAACTCTTGTTGATTAATGAGAAGGTCATGGTTAATAATGTTGTGCGTGCAACTGTCTGCAACGTGAAAGGCATCACAGACCTGCTTCAAATATTTCATGTTTCCACGTTTCCATGCATACAAGTTGGTATGATATTCAGATGGTGCAGACCGGAACAGACACTGTAGTTCAACATAGTATTGTTTAATATGTGCATATATATCTGCATGACAAAACAAGCTTCCTTCGAAAGAAGGATCATTGCAGGACTGTGAGTGACATACAAGTATTGATAGTACCTGAAAATCTAATCCCTATGATACATCCCTTTGCTCTATCTCCAAACACCATGAGGACTTTTCTCTCAACGTTTCTATGATATAACTAAACTGTCACAACCCAAGGTTGCAGCCTCAAACCAAATGCCAAATCTGAACCACAAACGACCGATGAAACGACTTAGAATATATCAAAAGAGTCCGCTTTTGTACATCCTGTTGTTCAACCCAATATACCAGCCTTCCACGTAGTTTAAAAGGGCCAGTTGGAATTTTAATCCTACTCCCAGTATTCTTTCTCTTCTACTTTCCTATCCCTATTCGCATCAAAACCCGCCACCACCACCAGCACCACTCTTACCCAACCAAAAACTCATCCACACTTTTGCTTTTGTACACATAAAAGAACTTCCCCGATATCCATAGGACTATCACTTGGTGACATGAGTATTAACCCCATCTAGTAATTATGGATCAAAAATCCCCTTTATAACTAATGAACTAGTCTACTACCATAAATCATCATCATCATCATCATCAGGGGAAGCTTAATTATACGGTAATTAGTTTCAACATCAAATGAATTTTTAATCTCAAGCGTGGTTCGTCGTTATATATGAAATGGATGCTGTTCTGTTCTGTTCTGCTCTGTTCTGCTCTTTGCTGCCGGATAGCTCTGTCCATGTATATAGATATCTTTAATTCTACCGGGACGGATATATTCAGAATGAACTCGGGGGCTCAGGATTAGACATTGCAGCTATATCAATCATAGCAGTTTTCACATCTATCCAAGAGCATCCACCAATTCTTTGTACTTGGGTATCTTCAGCGTTACATGGAGTTTCGCAACAGTGTACATTATATTATATTATATGATATGATATGATATGATATGATATTTTATTCCTCGAACGATAATATCTTATTAACATTACTTATTTTTATTCATAACCACCAGGAGGTGAATCTTTCACTAAACTTACACTCTCTAGCTCTAGATAATTAAATCTTATAGTTATATAAAAATCTAAAGACAGTACCACCAAACGAAACAAAAAACAAAACAAAACAAAACATTTTACTCCGTATTACACTGTAATAATATAATAATTAAACTTTCCTTCTATTAAACCGAAACCCCATATGCATTGTCGATTGCCGATTTGTTTGGTCCTTTGGGGACTTTTGCTGTATGTTTGTGCTTGCGCTTGTGCTTGTGTTTGTTGGTTCGTTTACCGTGTTGGGTTTAATTTCGTTTGGTTTTCCTCCTGCTTTTGCTTCTGCTTCTGGTTTGGTTACTTTCGCCTCGTCCAGCTTAAGATTTTCTGCTTTCCTTATTTCCCTGATTCTTTCACCATTTTCCCCATTCTCCCTTCACCACCTTCCCTTCTCCCTCACCCCCTTTCCCCCAATCTCCCCTCCTCCCAATCTTCCTTATACCACCTCCTCCTAATCCCTCTCTTCCCCTAATAAAACATTCTCCCACTCCTTCGCCCAATGCGGCCTAATATCCAAATCTATCTCCTTCCCCCCAACCTCCATACACCCCTTATATTTCGCCCACAAATCCACCACCTCCTGACAAAAAGGCGCCCACTCCTCGTCTTTTACCGCGTCGGGGATAGTCAAAATCTCAATACTAGCTGTGCCCCATCGATTTCCTTTTTGCGGTGCCATGATCAAATTCGAGTCTCCCATGATACGTAGCTCGAGCGTGAGACGCATGGGGGTTTCGGTATCGCGATAGCAGAGTTGGATGATGTCCCACCAGGCGCGGCGGACGATGGTGTAGTCTGGGGTTGCGTTGGGGAGACATGGGATGGGAATTTGGAATTCGAGGTCTCGGACGCGCATGTTTTGGATCTGCGGGACGGGATGTTAGTGGATTTATTATGGAAAAGGGATGAATGGATGGATGGGATGAGAATGAAAACTTACACCGCGTCGAAAATGGAGAGCATTGGGAAGTGCGGTTTTGTATTCTACTGTTTTCTTTTGTTCGAAATCATTGAATTCGAAGGGAGGGAGTGCGACCACTATTGTGTAGATTAGTAGATGCTGTTGCAAAATATCCCTCTGACCCTCTGACCCAGCCAAACCACCCACTCAAGCCCACAAACGCCCCAAAAAACAACAAGGAAAAAAAAAGGAAACTCACTCCCAAAAGTACTCAAAATACAAGCCTGCCACCGTCCAGGCAAAAGACCAAAAACCTCACTTCCCGTCAAAACACTCCCCACCCACCCCTGAACCCACTGAACAAAAGTATCAAACGGACTGGGATACTCAACCGCACCCTCAGGATCACTCGTATCATTCCACGAATTAACCCAAGCCTGCTGACTCCTCGTGAACCAAAACCACTCGCTGTAATAATCATTATTGGCTTTATCTTCAAAGTCTCTCAGGGCCTCGGCATATTGCGCCGGGGTCCAGGATTTGCGCAGCGCGATGGGGATGTCGGTGGGAGAGAGCGGGGGGATCGCAAGTGCGATGTCGGGTTTGCTGGGTTGGAGGATGGCGTAGGTCATGGGGGAGAGGAGGAGTGTGATGTGGGTTACGATGCCTAGGAGTCCAAAACAGCCTGCTGCGGCGCGGAGATGGGAGGGTTTGGTTATGGTGCGGTGGATTCCGTTTGCGTCGATGTATTCGATGGCTCGGACGTAGTCGGATACAGTTTGATGACGACGACCAGCTCCATGACATATTGGTCCGTTGACACCGCCTGCTGTGACTCTGTTTTTATTAGTTTTTGATTTCCAAAATCTAGATACGAACGAGGTGTTGCATAAAGACAATAAGAGAAAAGGAAAACCATACTCAACAAGAATAACATCCACTGGTAACGCCCACTTCCCATGACCTACCGCCCACCTCCTAAACTGTTCATTCGTAACCGCCGCACCAACTCTACAAAGCATCTTTCCCTCCTCCCCAGCAGTTAAACTCAAGCCCTCAATATCGGGCGCCAACTCTATCGTCTTCAATTCATTAACATCCACCACACCATCCCCATTTAAATCCACATCCCCTTTGTCCTTTGTAATACTCATGACATCCGGAATCTTCTCCACACTTTCCAAATTCAACATACTAACCAAAACCTGTTTATCCTGGGAAAAGGTATTACTCCACGAATGTCTATATCCGCTACATCGAACTCTATATCCTTCAACTTTGGCCCACTTGACAAGATTTGAAAGACCAAGTATGGTAGTAGGAACGAAAGTATAGAGAGGAGTATTCTTGACGCTATTTCCCCAATTATGAAACGGAGCATTTTTATGGACTTCCATAATCCTCGATCCTTTTGCATCTTCCCAGATCCTAGGAGATTTTCCCATCCCAAACATAGAATGAGAGTCCAGCTTCGAAGTTAACGAAGAAGAATCATTACTCTCTAATGAGGCACCTGAATGTCCATGGCCCCGATGCTTCCCCCAAAACTCTCCAACATGATCTTCAACCTTTTGAATCATCTCAATATGTCCCCCAGCCTCCTCCACAATCTCCCTCTCCAATTCTTCTTTCGCTTCTTGAATCTTCTTCATCACTTTACTCCTCACCAGCCTAATTCTCTCCTCATGAGCCTTCTCCCTCAGCGTCTCCTTTACCATTTCCTTAAAATGATGTTTCACAGCCGGAGAAGGCGGAATATGAAAATCACCTTTTACATTTCCCATGCTCATAATTTCCTCCTCCTTCACATCCTCCACATCGTCCATAAAAACTCGAATTTGCGCTTGCAAATTTGGTTCTAATTCCTCAAATGCATGTTTAAAAGTATGAGTATTTTCCAACACTCTCAATAAACCCCTTAAATGAGTCTTTGGATCCACATTCCGATTTCTAATATCCCAGAGTTGTTTGCGAAATAAATTGAATTTGACATGAGGAACATCATCGGCGAGTTTACCAATGTGGTCGATAATTTCTTGAAGTATGTATTCCGTGCTGAGATTTTCAACCGGAGGCGCGGGCAAACTTTCGAAATGATGGGAAACCATTGTGACTCGTCAGATCGAGAGTGAAGCTCGATTTCTATATATACCTAGCTAGTATGATATGCAGGGGAAAGATGCGAGATCGAGAATTGTGAAGAGATGAGTGGGTCGGGTAAGTGACTCGCAGATTTAAGCGCCACGAAGATATATAAAGAAAGTTTCTCGCGGAAGAACAAAAAATTGATTGGTTCACAAGAATGAAGAAACAATTGAAGATCACAATCTTCAGTTAAAAACATGAGGGAAAATCAATTGATATAAATAATCTTCAAATTCACCCCTCCCCTCACCCCTTCCCTACAAACATTTGCGCCCGTTAGTGAAAATGGCACTGCAAACCGTGAAAACTATCACATCAGGTCAAACCCGAGCAAGCATGTCAGCAATCTTCAGGCCTTGCCCGCGCTCCTACATAAACGCGGGATTGTCCCACGTCAGCCATCCAATCATGATTGTCGTCACCATCTCAGATGTTTGTCTCGTGCACCATTGTCGTAGAGCTTTTCTGATTGTCATCATTCTAATTGGACAAATCTCGAGTCCAGCTGATTGTCATGAACAGCCTTATCGGACAACATCCCCCAATGTAGACATTATTTTCTTCAATGAAGCCGTTGAGCCTCAGCCCGTACTAAGTTTTCAATACGTGGGGTCCTCTCTGCGCTTTCATTGACTTTGTTTCATTCTCGTAAAGAACTCCCAATGTCACTCTTTACGTGTGTTTCTTGAACATCTGATGATTTCACCCGTGAAATAAATTGCTAGCCTGATTCAAGTTTCCGAGACTGGCTGTAGACACGGCAGGAACCACCACTATCACACAGAACTCACCAATTGTACGACTTTGCAGTAAACACCCGTGTTCAAGGCTTTCCTAAGCTTCGGATTGTTACGAGGAAAACAACCCTTGAACGACATCATCCAACAGCTCGGTTAAGACTCACCAATTATGTCAATGGCTGAAGTGATTGATGCTAATCCCCTAAACAACTTTCCATGACATTAGATGAAATCTTTCTTGGATACGACTATAAACATCAGCTAAACAAATGCATGCCTCAAACTGAAACATGTTTGTAAGAGAATACCAAAAGACAATTTCGCAATGCAACCTATACCCAAAATCATAACTAGAGTGGTCTTGTAACCCTCAGTTCCCTGGGAATAATCAAGACGCCATATCCTCACCCAAAAGTTCCAATCCAGTCTATGTTGACCCATAATAACCAAATGACCAACTCCTTCTTACCAAATTGTTTAGACCCTATGATTTCATCCAATAACTTAACGAATATCCAATTGAAAAGGTTTAAACCTTCCCCCTATGGTCGCACATCTTGGACATTTTCTACGTGCCCCTTGCTCCGCCATGAGGACTTCAACACATGGTTGGCATAAACCACATATACATTCTGTACAAGCGTAAGATTCTTTCAAGAAAGAAACGTTCTGACAAGCAGCACAATAAATTTGTATATTTATTGCCGAGAAGCTTGGTGATGAATTTGAAAGCGCTTGTGAACCAATATTGAAATTATCACCACTTCCACCACTTTCCACTGATGGAAAAGGTTCTGGAGCTTCAGCCAAATAAGATGGTGGAGTGAGTGCTTGTTGTAAAGGTGAAGCCTGATATCCTTGAAATTGTGGTGCAGAAAAGGGGGGCATTGATGCACGATTGACTGAAACTGGGGATGGAGGGATCTGCATTCCCGTTAGTATGTTATTGAAACTTCTCTATATGTACAATGTACAAACCGTTGTTCTATCATCATCTGCATCTTCTGTGGCTGATGTTGCTGCATCAATCAAATCTTCCCATCGTTTTCCATAAAATGAGGGTTCAGCAGATTGAGCTTTACGATCATGACTTAAGCGTCGCAGATGAGCATGTTCACCACGAGATTTCTGCCTCCTATGTTGTGGCTCTCGAGCACGCTTTGACACTGATTGTTTTCGAGGACGACCCGTGCTTGGATTTCTTTGAAGTGGAGGAAGAGTAGATGATCGTCCTGGTGGCGATAATATCGAAGGGAGAAGATCTCTGCGGCGATGAACATTGAAATGAGAGAATGGATCGCTAGTTGGCTCGAGTTTGTTGGAATGAATTGGAGGAAGCTCAATAGAAGCTCGCATTGCTTGTTTATGAGCTTCATTATCAGACATCCAATCCTAAAATAAATAATTAGCCATCCACTCATTTTCGATAAATCAAGCTAGAAAAGCAACCTACCGGTTCCGATTCCCATCCATTATCCAATTTATGATTGTGTAGCTGTGCTAAAGCTGCTGCAGCGCTAGCGGCTGGAAGCATTGAGCTATCGTCCAAGATTCTGGGGGTATTCGGAGTACTCGAATGATTCGAATGATCGCCATAATAATTCGGTCTTTCATGTGTAAAGCCTATGTACACAATATCAGCAAAGAGTAAAGAAATATGATCAACTATTTCTACAGACTATTTGAAGCTTGAGAAGAGTTGGTGGTTGTTGGTGGTGGTGGTGGTGGTCGCTCAGAGGGCGGGGTATCGATCATAAGTTGGAAGCTTTCTTCGGTCGCAGGAAGCTTTGAGATGTAATGTTCTGGATGAGCTCTTCTAATGTGCTCTTGCATGGATCGATATCGTTTTTCCTGTCCATCTCACTCGCTTGTTACCACGGATTGAACCGTACAAAAGGAAAATAACTTCCAAAGGGGTACAGCAGATACAGCAGAGTAGAGGCACTCACGCCGAGGCAACGTTTGCGACAACTGGAGCCGTCTTGATTTCTCAATGGACAAACAACTTCATTATTTGCATCTGAAACCGAAAATGACGATGTCAACGAAGAACGAGGAGGCATCGTTAATGTAGAATCGACCATTACCAAGTCAAATAAGAGCGATAATGGTTAACGGGATGTGTAGGTTTTGTAGATAAGATAGGTAGACAGATAGGTAGATAGATAGGTACAGTATCGTCGCACTGTTTCGTATCGGGGGAAGAGGGAGGGGGAAGCGGGAATCTTTAAAAATGTATGATATTGATAGCAAAATTTCGCATCATTATTTAATAAAAATAATATGTGAAGTAATTTCTCTTTCTCTTTTTGTAACTTGATTCTTGTAATTCTTTCAGGGGAACAAAGACACAAAATGGAAGCTCAAAGCTTTCTCTTCAACGATTTCTTACAATTGGTGTTTGAGAAAGAATGTGTGTCGGTAGTGAGTAAGTAGTGAGAAATAGTGAGAAATAGTGAGTAGTGAGTAGTGAGTAGTAAGTAGTGTGAGTGGCACTGGCATATGAAGGGAACAATATGGATGAGGGGTCTTTCCATTTACCTTCGAAGGTTCGAGGCAGGGCAGTTAGAAGCTCTTTTACTAGTGGGGTAAGAGTCAAGAAAAGAGCTTCGGATAAGAGCTTTTTTCCTCCCTTTTTTTCTTCCATCTTTTCTATCAATGCGTTTACATACTAGGTAGCTAGCTCATATGTTTAGATACAATCTGTTAGAACCAATGCAAAGATGTATACCTAGTAGCTGGAGCATTGAGAGCTCTTGAACATGATATTGCTGTGAACCGAGCTTGGTTTCCTTTTCCTTGTCTTCCGTGTTACTGGTTTCAAACAAAATGCTCGCATACTCGAATACACAATCCTATTCAGACTCCACCTGCTATTCCCTCGATACTTTGATGCCAAAGGTTGAAGAAAATGAACCACATAATATTATAAGCTCTTTAAGATGGAAGATTCTCTATACATACTCATCATTCCAAGTACAGTATTACACTCCACTTTGTTCCAAATCAGTGATTAGTAGCTAGTAGGTAGCTGTGCGGGACCTGAATCAAGTCGACGGATTCAAAGTCAAAATGGATTTCCAGGAAGCTTTAACATTCCTCCAAATACATTTCGAGCGGCAAAAGCAGGCAATGGCCAAACATCGGACCTTCAAAAACTACCTTCTATTGCTAGTCAATTCACACATACCTAATACATACCTACGCATGTGCCTCGTTGGGCACGATATTTATTCATGCGACCAATGCTATACGCTCAATAGTAACAATAGTATTATCGGTGGAGAGTTAAAAAAGAAGCACCGCACCTCCCTCTCATCCAATCAAAATCAGATTATGTCTTCCTAATGGAGCAAACCTGTCTCTCAAAACCCATACCTGGGAAAGCAATTGACAAGTAAGAATTTGAGGATACAAAAGTTACCTGATCTGCTGATCTGCTGAAAAAAAAGAAGACTTATTGGATCATTCCTCCTTCCCAATGAAGATAAAAGAGCAATTAACACAAGACTATGCTACTTTATCGGTAACCTTTCATCCCATAGAAAGAAATCCCAATAGGAAGATATTGATAAGAGCTCTTTTTTTATCTCTTATCAATTGTTGCATTGTCCGAACCCTTCTCAAGCTACCAAGCTGGAACATCTGGAAACTGGAGAACCCTGAGTACCGTAACCATAACCTTACCTTACTTTGACTCGAATATGCATTGAGCATGCGAGTATGACCTTAACATGCCTAACATGCCGAACAAGCTCCCTTCCAGAAAGTCAATTCGCCAGAGGCAACACCAAAAAGTAATTGAAACTAAACAAAGTTGATGCTTTGATGAATTTAATTCATCTTTCACATGCGAAGGATTCGCAGCCGCTTGCATATTTGTATACCTTTGTAAGTCGTAACAAAGTATTTGTGTTGTGTTGTTGTTGCCATTGTTATTGTATTGATTGGTGCATTGATTTGCAAAGGCGAAGGAGATTTCTGCCAATAATTTCCAATTTCATTTGGGTATTCCGGAGAGAAATTCATGAGTCGACAATACAAATAGGACTTAGGAGTTCAAGGGGAATAGGGAGAAGCGTCGGGTATTTTCAAGCTCGCTGAGATCTTTGTAAGTTGGAACTTGGATTGTGGGAGTAGTATTGACTTTTGAGCATTGAGTAGCTAGGAGCTTCTAGGATAATTGCTTCCAGAATAGTAGCTCCAAGAGGACAATTACAATTACAAGCAGATCCTTGAATCGACGAAACCGCTGCGTTATTTTCATATTACTAGTGTAAAGCCGGGCCAAATTTCGAAAAGGGCCTCCCGGAGGTTTATTGAAGGTTTCGTAAGAACGGAGAGTCGAAAAGGTTTGTTTGAGTAGTTAATTGATTATTGTTGCCGCCAACGGCGAATCCGAAATGATTAGCATAGGTATCCTTGGGGACTTCTATCCCGTACTATTTCCGACCGTATATTATTTATCTGTCGCAAAGTATGAGTCCATGGGCGACAAAGTTAAAAAGAAAGGGTCTTCGGAGGATTGGATTCATGTCAACGGTCAAGCCCTTAATCCCCCACGCCTCGCCGTGCTCGGAATATTGAGGATATAAAAAGCGTTTCCTTTCTATATAACCTCCTACAGTCTGCCTCCACGGCAGTGGTCCCCGAAGGGCCAGCGGAGCGTCTTTCCAAGTAGAAATGAATATAAATCAGTGAGGAATGAGCAGAAATTTACATTTACTACCGAGGAACTGGAAGAGAAATGAATCATTGATAGCATTTTGAGGTGCTCGCTTCTTTCGTTTTATTCTGATATCAGGACAATCATGAAATCAACCTACAATTGAACAATTCAACAACAACTTCTCAAATTGCAGGTTCTTCGGAAATTCATGGAAGAGCGTACTTGAGTACTATACTCTCTCCATTCCCTTCCATCTCCTTCACATCACACAAAGATTCGACTCAACAGCCGTAGAAAGACCACCCAAACACTTCCTTCCATCTCGACACTACCAGCTATAGAAATTTGCTTGCTTACTGATCCTCATCTGGTATTGACGATTTTCCCAACTCTCCTGAAGATCATAAAAACGAGGCTTATAGTTTTTGAGGCTTATAGTTTCTTGGCCTAACTTACTTACTCTATGGCTGAATTGTTAAGACTTGTCGTCAATCAAGATTTCCACAATGACTAGGGGGGATGTCCTTTGTAGATACTAGATACCTATCCAGAAATACGACCATAGCTAAGAAATCCATTTGCCTGCCTTGCCTTAGATTACGCATATTTTTGTTACCGAAGTTTCCTACGTGGTCCAATTCCCATGGTAGGGTAGGTAATGATAAAAGCTCGCGTATCGATCCCTCATCTCCATCCCCACCAATCAAAGCCACTCAAAGCCACTCAAAGCCAATCAGCCAAACAAGGGAACCACTAATGACCTCGGAACCAAAAGCTGAAAAGGGCTCCATCGTCAAATCTTGCTTAGATTGATCTACATACCCGGAAGAAGGCGATCATTACTATTTGGGGCTATTTTGGGATGGCTAAAAGTGCTTATGTTAGAATTTGGGTAGCTGGAGGCGAAAGTATCCGCTTTCTTGATATTGATAGATACTGTGTTGAAGGCTTTGAGGCTTGCCTGGTGGAGTGCGATGATGGATGAGATGGATGACATGAGATGAGGGTTATGAAGATATGTAAGGAGGAATGATGGAAATGCCTACCTAGTGCATCTAACATCTATCTATATATTCTTCCGCCGAGCAATCAGATACATAAATGCACGGCATCTATCTATCCAAATACCCACTCAAAAAAAGAAAACATGGGACATTATTACATCAAATTGATAGTTGGTTCAATAGATCCTCCCCAATCGCGTAAGCTTTCCATTTCCAATTAGCAAACGGGGATTTTTGAGTGACGCCTCGGCCATGGGTGCATGCTTTGTTTCTATAAACAAATGTGCCCCATCCATCATCCCGCAGCTGATCTTCTTTACATTTAATATGTCATCTAGTACGCGTGTTTTTGACGAGTAGATGGAAATACCTACTTAAAATCAGCTTGATTTATTATTGACCCACCATCCATCCATCCCCTTTCTTCCATGTCAGAAAAATCTTTACTACCTATCTACAATCCGAGTGAAACTCCTCGACGATTTCATTGTTTCTTGTGGCCTCACTTTCTCGATACTATGACCTTTACCGATCTCCTCGACCTTCTCATTTCACGATTTGAAGATGTCCTTGACAGTTAAACATCTAAATAATGATGCTTCATTCCTCCTAACCTTTGCTCCCATATCCCCATTTCCACCTTCACCAAGCCGGCTCGAAGATTCCTTTACCATCCTCTTCGATCCATGGTTATCAGGTCCATCCAAGATATTCCATTCCAAGTTTTCGATATCTCATCTCAAAACCCCCTCATGCATATCTTCTCTCAGCGAAATCCCGGAACCTGATCTGGTAATAATAAGTCAAGACAAAACCGATCATTGTCACGAAGAAACCCTCAAACAACTCTCTTCAAACAGTAGCAAAACACTTATTCTCGCCGAACCCGGTGCAGCAAAGACAATAAAACGATGGAAATATTTCTCCTCCTCTAAAGTCATTCCACTCAAACGCTGGGAAGATCCTCGTCTACGGCAATCTGATAATATCCTTCGAATACCCGTCCCATCACAATCCCACAATGGTATACCAGGCGAAGTAACTATTGCATTTCTCCCTCAAAAGAACGACCTCACAGGTCTACACAACGCAATCGGGATAACCTACCGACCACCCACCCACACAATCTCATTCACAAACCCCTCAGAAACAAACTATGCCACCCCGCCCTCATCCCCTCACTCCTTCGCCTCCACCCTCTCCAACCCCACCGACCGCGCCCTCTCCGTAATCTTCTCCCCACACGGCTGCACCTACCGCACCATCGCCCCCTACGCAACCTCACACCTAATATCCGAAGCCGCCCTCCCACTAACATCCCTCCTGCACCCCTTTGACCGCATCTCCAACCCCTGGTACCTAGGCGGGAACATCATAAGCGGATTTCCAGGCGGGGTATCCATTGCGCAAAATCTCTGTGCAAAAACATGGATCAGTGCTCATGATGGCGAGAAGACGAATGCGGGAGTAGCAACTTGGAGTATTAGGAGTAGGAAGTGGGAGAGGGAAGAGGTAGAAAGTGTAGTTAGTCCGCGGGGTGAAAAGTTTTCGGAGAAAGGGGGGATAGGGACCGAGGTTTTGGTGTTGGGTAGTGGGGAGGGTGTGAGATTGGTACAGGGGAGTTATGGTTTTGGAGGTGGAAGTGGAGTGAGGATTGAGAGGGAGGGACTGGGGCCAGGATTGGGAAATACGAATTTAGAGATTAATAAGGAAGTAGATGGATGATGAGAAGGTGTAAAATGGTGTTTAGGTTAGGTTAGGTTAGGTTAGGTCTGGTTAGGTTAGGTTAGAGATTTTGCGTCTGGGCCGGTCGGTCGGTCGGTATATGTGATTGCATTTTGCGATGGATGATATACACACATGTACTCCGCATACTCTGTGGACTCTACTCTGTATGTTGTAATGAATATTGGGGATTCAACTAGGTTAGGTTGGGTTGGGGAAAAGTATATTCGAGAATGGGATTAGGATAGATATTAGAATGAATGTATATATAATAAACAAATAATATTTTCTTTTTAATTTTTATTATTATTATTAAAATAGTTTGTTTAATATAATCTAACAAATTAATAAATTTAACTTTTTAATATTAAAAATTTTAATTATATATTTATTTATTTAAAAAATATTTTAAAAAAATAGAAAGTCTGATAATCAGCCGGATTATTCTTTATTAATCTAATCAGGTCTTATTTATATTATAAAAGAACTATGATTTTGCACTGTACTGTGCTGCATGATATGAAGTTGATGTGGGATAAAGATTTAAAAACAGTATATTCTTGTGGGTAATTAGATAGTTTTATGAACTTCATATGCATATGCATACATTATTGTCGGTACATCATGTGATCAAACTCGAAAGGGAGGCCGTACATAAAGGGAGCCGTACGACTAGTGCATTCTAGCCCGTACCCCTTTCAATATAAATAGGTCCCTCTCCCCTAGATAGATAATAATCATCCATGAACAAATACAACAAGAATACTATGCACTGCATTCGTATCACCGAAGTGATACCAACAATTATATTCTCACCCATGCACTCCCTTTCAATCTCCACATCTCCCAATTAACCACTATCAATACATGCACCTAGTATGGACTCCATCCACTCACTCCACCCTACCTCTTCACCCCCTTCCCCTTCAACATCGCTTCCCTCATCGCTGCTCTCGCACTCCTACTACCTCCCAACTTAGGTCCTTTCATATACAATTCCTCTTCTGTCTTTTCCTGACCTCCTTTCTTCTTTTCCTTAGCTGCTTTTTCAGACATTTGCTGTTGTCTCTGCAGTAATGCATGAGAACTAGCTTCTTCCCAATCTTTACGAAATGTTTCCGCTACCATTTCATCATTGGGTCCTTCTACTTCTTTGGATAATAGTGATGATGAAGGTACAGGTTCGTAGATGTCTAGACGATTTTCGTGTAAGATAGCATCAACCAGAGCGTCGCGTTGGATATCATCACTTCCTCTTCTTTTGCGTCCACGCCAGGGTTTACCGTCGCGACCTAAACGGGGTCTTGAGGTAGAATTTTGTGCAGATTCTTCAAGATCAATGGATTCACCCGCTGCTTTTCTCCGTGCCATTTCTGTTCGATGTGCATTCCTCACTCTAGCTTCTTCTCCCAAATCAATTTCGAGTAATTGACCCATTGTAGTAGGTGCTCTCTGAGGTTCTTTAGATTGCAGTGTTGAGATCTCATTCTTCGAATTTCCCGATTCTGGATTCGTGAATGGAGAATTAACAGACTGAGAATTATGTCCTAGTTTCGATTCTATATATGCCATCCTATACTATTAGTCACCGTACTTGTACCCAACCAGTTCAAGAGGAAGAATAAGAAATGTACTTACATATGTTTATCAACACCACTATTCACAACTCCCATCTGCGGCGCGAATCGTCGCATAGAAAGCCCACCTTCTGGTTGTACTTCCTCTGTATCCTTTTCTTCATATTTGACCAGCGCATCTCCATTTGAATCTGCATCATTTTCTTCTCGAATTTTAGATTCAGCTCTAAACTCCACTCCTCCAATTTTCCTTCGTTGTTTTCGCAAGCGTAAAATTTCAGCTATGGCTAAAGTATCTTTTATTCCTGCTTCCTCCTCCTCCTCTTCTTTTTTAATAGGAACGGAATTCGATGAGATTAATTCATCCAAACTCTGTTCTGCGGACGTAAGTGCGGGTGCAGGCGCGGGTATTGATTGTACGACTCCAGTTTCAAAGTCATCATCATGATTTCGCTGTCTATAAACCTTGCGCTTTTTGGAAGGTCGAAATAACGGTATCGGATCTGCCTTTGGGGTTGTCATGGTGGAGGTCTGAAAATTTGGTAGATCTGGTGATTGGTGTACTTATAAGTTGTAGGTTGTATGTAAGTTATCGCAATTATGGATGAGGAAGATGGAGACCGGGTTGGTTGCATATTGTTTAGCGTCTATTGATAGACTTGCTGGGGTACACGGGTACACGGGCATCGGCTGATTTACATCCGAACCAGCACCGGACTGTGGGGTAAGCTCCAAAAGTGCGACAACAATTGAAGTTCCATCATCAAGAAGCTTTTTACAAATCAAAGATCTTGAAGTTCATCAACATTCAATTGACCTTAATACTTCATGTAACAATGTCGCGGAATGTAGCAGCTTCTGTCCTTCGAAGGGCTCTTCTCTATGGTATGCTATTCATCTGAACATCATACAATGGAAGCTCCCTCATGGGTAGCTAACCTACGAACAAGTACCATCATCCTCGCCCAAATTCTTAGAGAAATCCCGAGGATTGAAAGTCGACAGTATTGCCTATGATTTAGAGGACTCGGTGACATTGGAGAATAAACAGATGGCAAGGAAGAATATAGTAGATTTCCTTAGTGGTGAAAGACCAAAAGATGTAGGAGAGTATGTATTATATATTTGATATATCTTTCTCATGCTGCAAAGGCATAAAAATACTGACCTTACCCGCCCCCAGAATAGCTGTGCGAATCAACTCGGTATCATCAGGTCTAGCTCTTCAAGACCTTACTGAAGTTCTCAAAAGTCAACACCTAGATACTCTCGTAATACCTAAAGTAAATTCACCATCAGACCTCCACTTCATAAACGATATTCTTCGTCATTCCCTTCCATCGCGACATCCATCTACTCCATCAAACTCTTCAAATCCTGTCAAAATCCTCGCCCTGATAGAATCCGCACGATCCATCATAAATCTCACCTCAATCTGTCAAGCATCTCCCTACTTACACGGCCTTATTTTTGCAGCCGAAGATTTCTCCTTAGATTTAAATATCACACGAACACCCAGTCTAGACGAATTCGCCTATGCAAGAAGTCATATAGCAACCTGTGCACGAGCATTTAATCTTCCATCCACCATTGACTTGGTGTGTACTTCATATCGGGGAAATGAGGGACAAGCACGATTAGAGGAGGAATCTCTTCAGGGGAAAGGCCTAGGTTTTAATGGAAAACAATGTATCCATCCTTCCCAAGTGGATATTGTTCAAAAAGCATTTGCGCCTGGAGAGGGAGAAGTAGAATGGAGTGTACGAGTAGTGATTGCGGATAAGAAGGCAGAGAAGAAAGGGAAAGGAGCGTGGACATTAGATAATAAAATGATAGATGCACCAGTGACTGGTAAGGCGAGAGAAGTACTTAAGAAGGCTGAGTTGTGTGGGTTTAATACTGAGGCTATGATGGAGAAATGGAAGGATCAAGAACCGGAGTAAATTTGAGGTATATTGTCAGAGTGAATGATACAAATCCTGACGTTCAGAAATCTCCCAGTATATACTCTTGATATTTACTCTTTACTCTTTCGATTTTTAAGTTTTTTATACATTCAAGATCTTTAAATTTTAAAGAATTAAAAAAGTAAAAGGAAATTATTAAATATATATAAAGAGAGAGAGAGAGAGGACTAAATGGCATATAAGTGATGGATGAGTGAGTTGTAATAAAAGATATAATAGTTAAATAAATAAAGATATGAATAGATATATATCGCGTCATATATAGGTAAATAAATAAATAAATAAATATAAAATGTGTAAATAGATAATAAGATAATACTAGTATACCAGTATACTAAAAACCGCGGAACACCATCATCATCACCCCCGTCCACGCATACGAGGTACTACCTATTATAGTAAAATAGAATAGTAATGCACTTATTGTAATCTTACTATCACCTAAACACCAATTCAATCCCACCAATTAACCACAAACCAAACCAGACCATCAATCTACAAATCCACCTATCTCCCCATCGCCTCCCTCACCCTCCTCCTCTCCTCCTCCGCCTCCGCAATCGCCTCATCAATCCTCCTCTCCTCCTCCTCCTCTCTCGCCACCTCCTCCGCCGACATCCCGGGTTCACTCAAAAAAGGCGCTTGCAAGGTCCCCTTATAAACCTTCGGAGCATCCAGATTTGACCCTTGGCTTCTTATTTGCGCAGCTACGATAGCTCCCGGAGTATCACTTACTGCGCTCGCCCCATTGATATTATCCGTGTAAGGTTCCTCATCGAAAATACTGCGTTCGTCTAGTCGTTCGTGTCTGTTTTCTCGACTTATGGTTATTCCTTCATTGTTACCGCCTAGTGGGGATACGGGACGGGAAATTCCTGACGTGATACTAATGCCCACACTACCCACGTCACTTCTTAGCGTATTGGCAAGCTGGCTTCGTCGTGGACTAATAGGTACAGGTGTATTTGCTGTGAAAGCACTTCCCGGTGCAGGTAAATCATCATCGTTATCGTATGGTGTGACGGCACCGTGAGATGTGAGGGGTGTGTTTGTATCGGTGCGATCGGTTAGGTTGAGTTTTTCGGCAATGGAGAGATCGCGGGATTCATTGTTTTTGAGGGAGGAACTTAGAAGGAGGTTTTCGGGGGTGCGGGATGGGTTTGGTGGGGTGTTTTTGCGGCGTCGACGAAGGAGGAGAAGGAGGGCTAGGAGAAGTAGGAAGACTAGGATTATGGCGCCGAAAGCGATGCCAATTTTACCGCCGAGGGAAAGTCCGCTGGAATTAGAGGTGGAAGCATTCGATGTACCTGTTGCGTTGGCTGCATCGGTGCCAGTGCTAGTTGGTGGGGAGGTAGGTGAAGTTGTTACTGTTGCATTCCAAATAGTTGTGATAGGTATATTGGATGCTGTTGTTGATGGTAGGATCACTTTTCCCCCGGAAGGCAAAAGAATTGTTGTTGTAGCTGTGACAGAAATCGTAACAGTGGGCGTCGCATAATTCGCGATTGAGGATGTAAATGAGGCTATAAAAGCAGATAAAGATGCTTCTTCGGATGCTATTAGTCCTAGGTCTTGTCTCCTCAAGTTGCGGGACGAGAAATTGTGTGATATATGGAAGTACGGGCTATAAGATTCGCAGTTGAAGTCCGGAGTGGAATCAGCATTGTTGAAACACAGAAAGAAGGCTGAGTTGGGCTTTGTGATGGAAGAGAGGCTTGTATTAGTATCGTAGAGGTTGATATCTAAATTTGCCTTTCCTGTGTTTTGAGCTGCCATTAGACAAGTAGGGTAATCTTCGCAGTCGACTACATTTTTGGTTAGATCTGTCGCATAGAGATGATATCTTTTTAACAATTACTCACATGTGAGAGGGATAACATAAAATATGTTAGATGAGTCTGGTGCCATGAAATTGGTGGTATAACATAAAGCCAGCCCTATCACGTCTGTTGGTCCTTGAGATCCCACTACGTATTCGGGTTTGTAGCTTTCGTTCAGCAACACAATACGATCGAGATTTGGCCATGTGGTAGGGTAATAGTATGAGTCTCCTTGACCTTCACCGCCAGCAGCTCGAGAAGTGTAGATTTGTGGTGACAACGAGGAGCTCTTGTCCATTTCATTGCCATGCCCACCTTGTCTCTCATCTTGGTGGCCCAACACCATGCCCAGCAACCCGCACCAGACCACCAAGATGCTCCATCTCTCAATCGATATAATCATTTCCAGCTTTCTCACTTCCTATCCCATCCATATATCAACACAACATTCTCGCTCTTTATCCACTTTATTATTTTCAAATATTTCGCAAACACTTGTCGCATTTGTCGTTCTCAAATTCAATAAATCCAATTAATCATTCAAACAAAAATAATCAATCAACCACATCAAAAATTACCAAAAGAAAGAAAGAAAAAAAATCCTCAAGAGAGAGACCTCTCAGCCTACGACCAGGGAATGAATATACCAACACTTAATCGACACAACCCTACCTTTCCATACATAATCCATTACACCAAATCCTTCAAATCAATCACTCAGGATCTTAGAATCCACACCCAATGTAATGGAGGCGCAGTCTGCGGGTGGGTAGAGTGAGATGTGAGAATGGGGTGGGATGGTTCACATCCTAACACAGGATGCACATGCACGTTTGTAGGCTGTTATTAGCGCCCTCTTCATTGGTTCGTTTAGGAAGTGAAGGATCACCAAATTGTGGAATGTGTGTATGGATATGCGCCGCTCCCCTTTCCGTCTTCGTTCCTCCAACTATTTTTCCTAGCTGTGTTGTATATGTTGTACGCAAACTGTTTGTATGTCCATATATGTATGATTAGATGTAAATTTGTGAGGTTCGGGGGCTGAAGTGAGGGAGGGGTACGAATTAGCAAATTTGAATTTGGAAGGTAATGAGGTTAGATCCCGTTTATCACAGCCTTATTAGACGCGGACCCATTTATGACCTAGTCTTCGAGACAGAGTTTGTGATGGGCGTTGGTGACAGTGATTCGTGATTCACAATCAATAGAAGTATTTGATACTATGCTCCTATCCCTTCCACAAGACGGAAACAGACGGTATGGTGTCACCATGTTCCATCTGTAAGCCTCATCATAATGAAAGGATGAAGACTCACACTCATTCTGAACTACTTTCCGTCATACTTACTATATCCATCTAGGTAGGTATTGTTTTAAATTTGTGTCAGCAAACGATGGAAGCCTTCAATGGCTAATCATCTGGGATGGGGGTATTTTAATCGTATTGCATTGAATTGAATGCAACACAAGGAAATTCAATACTACTTTAGATGATCCGAAGTAGCTTTGTATGAAAGTTACTAAAGGATTACTGGATTGAAGGAAGTAGGTTGGGAAGTAAGTACCTTCCTCCCTTGAAGCATCCAGGTAAATGGATCGATAAATTATTCCGTTTATCAACCGCAGATTTACAAAACTGTATCATGTACGGGAAGAAAGTCAAGTCAATTCAATCGTATTTAATCCATGAAGAAAAGATGTTTGAACGAGTGAAGCCCTGTGAAGGTAGAATTCTTCGATATACTACCGTTGTATCGTCTTACCAGCTAAAAATAGATAGATACCTTGCACCTGCATACACTGATTCCCAATTCTATCAAACATTGAAAGTAGAGATAGATAACTTTGGTTAAGAAAACAAAACATTTGATTTTTTCATGATTTAAATATATGCTTTGCTGCCACCTTTCATTCATGAACGACCGATTTTCATATTTACCAATATTTCCACCCTCAAATAGAGGGGCAGAAATTTCAAAAAGCCCGTAGTCTGCTCGTTCTTGATAATGCCATATCTGAAATGTACCTTTCCATGATGATCAGAAAGACATAAAACATATCATCAACGCGTCCATAATAATAGTGATAGTGATAGTGATAGTGAAAGAAAAGCATCCCGTCGAAAGCCGTCTTATCTTGTCTTTGTCTTGTTTTGTTGGAGGGGGATTTCTTAGTAAATTAATATAACCTTATTGGTTATGGTGATTATGAATCGAATGAAATAAATATGTAAGAATACATATACATACCCATATACATACCATTAACTATATATCTGGATTACAAGATCTCTCTTTGTCTTTGTCGAGATATGGTGTGAAATGAATTTATGGTTAAAAATTTCAATCTCAAACACACACACACACACACACACAGAGAGAGAGCCCCAAAAACAATATCAATATCCATATCTATATCAACACCAAATCGCTAAACACCATTATGCTATGTAGGTAGGTAAGTACCTAGGTTTACCTAATGAGCCCGTCTTACTTCCTCATTCATTCATTCACTCAATCCATCCATCTATCCATCCATCTATACTTTCTTCATCCATGCCCGCCTTTACCCCATATATTCACGTATGCACAAGAAATGCACAAAAATTCTATATCTTTCCTTCTTTCTTTCCCTTCCTTCCAATTTTCTTTTCTCCCTCTTCCTTCATTTTTCTCCCTCGCTCCACATTCCATATTTCCAGCAACCTATCCCATACACAATAAAGCCCACCAGGCCTACATGTAAAACCCCACCACCTCCACCAAAAATCCATTATGCAAAAGTCATTTCGATTTCCTCCTCACCCCCACCCCCAAATTCATCCTCATCATCATCCGCCCATGCATTTTTCTCCGCCACATATGTCATTCCAGCCCCTACCCCTACCCCTAATCCCAACCCCACTCCCGCACCTAACCCTCCAACACCCAGTCCAACAGGTAACGTACTCGACGATTTATATTCCGGTCTTGCGCTACGCATTCCATCGAAACCTCCTCCAAATGAACTACCATCACCACTACCACTCGCAACATGTCCCAAAGAATGAAAACTCGTGTGCCCTCTCTCAGGTAATCTCGTACTACTTACATTCGCCGAATGAGGTGGTGAATGATATGCCGTATCAAACGTCATTTCTAATTCTTCTTCGGGTTCCTGTATCATATATGGAGAATTCCTTGCAAGATCCTGTTTGGAATGAGAATTCGAGTATGAATACGTCGAGCTCGATGCAAATCCATTAGAAGGACGTGGAGAATGGCTTGGTGAACGATAACCATGGGAATTTAGTATGCCAGCCGCATCGTCGCTTTTTGTTGGTCGAAGAGAATTGCGTGGACTGGATGGATTACTGTTTGAAGAGGATCCAAATTTGAGTTTCATGGGCGGGAGCGTAGATTTGAGTTCCTTGACTTCTACATGCTGGCCACTCGTACTACCAGTAGCAACGCCACTAGCGACCTCTGCACGAATAGCATCAATATCAAAGAGTACCCCATGATTGTTCCCTTGCCCATCCTCTATTACAGATCGACTCGGTTCACTACCATGCTCGTTCTTTGAAATTTCATCGTACGTTTCCCATTCTTTACGCTCGACAGCTGATTTCTTTTTGCGACCAAAGAAACTAAATCTTTGTTTTCCTTCCCTCTCCTTTTTCTCAAGTTCTTTTCGAGCTTCTTCTATCTCATTAATGAGCTCTCTCTGTCTCTCAGCATGATTATCGGGATCTGGATCTTCGATTTCATTAAATTCATCGCTTTCAACCTCCCATCCTACTTCTCGAAGAAGTTTGGGCATGGCCGTACGATATGCCATATGTCCGGGTACTAGTTCAGTGACATCCACATTTTCTATGCCAGGGACATTTTCTATAGGTGCAAGTCCTGCTACACGTCTGATACCACCACTAGTGAGACGGAAAAGATATCCTAAAATCCAATCATTTCTTGCGTATCCGTTGACGAATCTACCAGACACAACAGACTTGGCCTTCAAGTAATCATCCTGGTTCACAACATTAGGCGAACCAAATAGGTAAACATTCTGAACTAGTCCGTATGCCCCTTTCTTGGCGAGTTCTTTCAGACATGAGAAAATGACTCTGGAGCCAAGGGAATATCCCACAAAAGTGATTGGTCTGGTACCAAGATTTCGATCAATAAGTGAATCTGCAAGAATAAGTCCTGCGGCATTTGCCCTGTCAAGAGAAACCGTCCACGGGTTGTCGATGAGATATGACAGCTTAGTTAAAACGACTGGCAATTGTAAAGCAGACATTAAACCAATGAGGATGGTACTTCCAAGAACTTGTTGAAGACCTTGAGTCAGAGCCTACAATGGATTAGTATTTATCAAGTATTCTAGGCAACTCAACTCACCTCAGTTGCCAGGATATTAATAGTATCTCCCATACTCGTAAGCATTTCCGGCTCCCATAGTACTGAATAAATATCTCCCATAATCGGATCAACAGTACTATATGGTAATCGTACATCATCGACTTTACCCGTCATCCATCCAGAGACGGTAATAATCAAGTTGACTCGCTTATTATTATGCAGTGGTCTATATTCGAAAGTTTTGACAGCTCCAGTTCTGCGATTTGCAGCTTTGATTGCAATGAAGCCACCTGAAGTTGCGGCACCCGTTGTGATAATAGCAGCACCTGCGGAACCAGCAAGGAATCCACTAGTACCTGCTACACCTATTGTTGTAAAACCAGCAGCGAGACCTGCTCCAATAACAGGTGCTAAGAGACCTGCGGAAAGTCCTATAACTAAACTTCCACCAACAGTAGCAAGACCCATCATTAAATATCTCTTCTTGAGAGCCATTTTTCTTCTGTTTTCTTTATGGTCGTCCTCGTTCCAGTTCTCCTTCTCGGCTGCTTGTTGCATCTCTAATGCATCAGTCACCCTTTTCTCAAAACGACAAATTTCCAACCAGGAAACTTCCATATTATCGCCAACCTTTTCTAATAAAGTTCTGGATCTTGCATCATAAACTGAGTCTGCAATTAACGTCAAGAATAGATCACAAAGGACAGTCCAACGGAGATCGATATCAATATTCTTGGTAGTGGGAAGCTGCGAAGGAGTTCGAACTTCAGGTAAATCTTCGCCGTTCTGCTCTTGATATGGTGGAGGTAGTGCAGCTGATTCTTCATCCTCATTCCGCCGAGGGTATTGTGGAGTTGAAGGTGATTGTGGTAACCGTGGAGACTGTATAGATTGTCGAGCTATTCGCGGAGATGAGACGGAATCTCTAGGACTTCTACTCGAAGACACTGAACCTTTGCTCGAATGAGTTTTCTCGGCCATAGGATTCTTTACTCGTGCATTCTGCATGAGAGTCCCGGTCAAATCCGAAGGAACTACTCCATGTTCAGCTAATTGCTCAATCATGATCTGCTCATCCGTGCTAATTTCCATATGCGCATATAGTCGCACCATCATTTTTTGAGTCCACATCTTCATGGCCTCTGCTGAAATCTGTAGCTCTTTTTTGTTTCCTTTCTTGGCTGCTACCAATAATTCCTGCTGTTCAAGCATTTTAGATAATATAAGTCGAGTCATTCCAACATATGCAATTCTTTGCCCTTCGGTCAAAAGATCTTTAGTGGCTTGCATTTGAGAAAGTGCATCTCGCTGCTCCTCGTCCTCCGCTTCTCCAGCTCCAGTACCATGGACATCCTTGAAAAGGTATTGTGTGTTTTCATCCAGACTTGTCGCAGATTGAGCATCTTCATCGAGTTGTACTCTGGTATATCCTCTACCGGCGCCACCCAAACCTGCGTATGCATCACCCTCATCCTCAGAATCATGGGCCTCCCTCGCAATTAACCTATTATCATCATCGTAAATATCGTATGGGGCATAAGCTGGCATTGTTTGCCATTCATCTTCTTCTTGAGGCGGGCTCTGTGGAGCAGGTACTGTGGTATGTTGATGCGACCATTCTGATATTCCCTGAATTGCCTGACTATGTCTATCGTCCGCCGTGCGAACCGCATCCCTATTGTTGTTGACACTGCTCTTGTCCAAGTCTTCTTTAGGTTTTGTTACTTCTGCGGATGCCGCAGGTTCCGAGAATTTCGCCAGATCTTCTTTGCTTATAGGATCGAGTTCTTTGATTGTTTCTTGAGGGGTCGGGTGTCCATGGACTGGTAATTCATTATTCTGAGTTGTATCGCGAGGTCCTTGGAGCTCTGGATTCGATGTTACAGGCAATAGCGTCTTTTGAGCATCCTTAAATTCCCCTTCTCCAGCCGAACCATTAGCCTTTACAACATCCGCCTCCTCTGCATTCCCCTTAGCAACACCAGCATTCTTCAATCCGTTGTCTTCGGATTCAACATTCCGATCTTCCGGGACATTGGATTTATCCTCTGATTTGGCGCTCTCCGATTCAACATCATATGCTACCGGTTCTGGAACAACTCTCTTCTTGAGGGGTAATCCAAAATCATCAAGTTCCGGAGGTCCATGTTGGACAGCTGTATCCGGTCCCACATTGCCATTTTCCTTAGCATTTGTAGTGGTCTCATCACTCTGTGGCATATTGTTTCTAGCACTTCGACCACCACCTTGACTCACAGGGCAGGTGGCGTCTCTAACAGATAAATCATCTAATGTCACTTAGACATTCGTTGTTAAAATCTTAAATGTGTTCTTGCGCAGATCCATGGATTCTGAAGCACGAAGGTGTTCCGAGGTCGATGCTCTGTGCTTTGCACGCACTGTACACAGACAGTCCTAAGTTGACAAGGATTTTGTAGTGATACCAGTGAGTAAGATCAGTAAACGATTGGTGCGAGCTTCTTAACGGTACAGTAATGATTCAAGAGGCTCAAGGGCCGCGAAGGTTTAAAGAGATAGTGAGTTGATAAGGAGTTATTTGCTACACTTTAAATAGATTCGACTGTTACTTGGAGGGCCGTTTTTCTTTGTTTCTCCTAAAGGCGTCATCCAGGGGGTTGGTCAGATTGTACATGATTATTCCGAATCGCAATATCGTGCTTGCCGATTCTTTGTTTAACTTCAACACCAAACAGCAAATAACCATACAGCTAAATTCCGTCTATTTGGGTATCATTCTTTCCGAGTATACTTGTGATTAATTTATATGTAACTTCCTACTCGATAAAATCTTTTAACCTTGATATTACCTTTCATATCAATCTGCTTCGTCCATTTTCTCACTTGATTTTCCCGTTTCTCCATCAGCTCCATCCTCCGACTTTTTCTTCGAGTGTAGACGTTTTCGTTTTCGTTTGACAGGTTCTGAACCATCTGCTTCCGTACCATTTGCGTCGGCCAATTTATTTGACGCATTGGGTTTCGTGTTATCCCCCTCAACCTTCTTTTTCTTCTTCATTGCTAATGGGTTTGGGCCTTTGGGTCCTGGAACATTTTTCCTCTTTTTCGCAACACCTTCTGCCGCACCCATATCCTTCCTTGCCGATTCTTCGTCATCGTCCTCATCGCCTTCATTTCTCTTCCTCTTGAGACTTCCCGAGGCCCTTCCTGACTTTATACCTTGTCTAAATTTGGATCTTTCTTCCCTTCCCCTCACTTCTGTAGATGTTTCTGCCATAGGTTCCATGATCATAACACTCCTATTGATATAAACCAAAGGCACGCCCTGAATTGCCCTCATAGCTTTCCTGACTTCTATATCTTGACTTGCAACCACGTATCTGTGCTTGTTGGTTCCATTGCCTTTGCCGTCAACTACTGCTTTGATACAATCGTGGGCTGAAAGAGGTTCGGGATAATCTTCTGGAAGATGACCACAACGGCGTCGCTCGTACGTTTTAGCTTTATCGATGAGATATGACACTCCAGGTTCTGATGAGGCAGCGTATAGATGGCGCATTGAGCACTGTGTAATCACTAAGATATGTTAGTAATTAATGCGACAAAATGTAGAAGAGGAGTGAACATACTGGGCTTAACTTGGCCATGAAGTGTTCGCTCTAAACCGCCAACCAGATCCATCTTAAATCTATCGGCATCCTTAATGATCTCAGCGTCGACTGTAGGGGTAGAAAGTCAGTTATAAAACGGATCTTTGTACTGATGCGCAAAATTGGGGGAGCTCACGAAGAACTTGATATGCCTCGCGGAAACCGAAGCTCATGCCATATTGTTGCATGAGCTTTTTGTATTGCTTCGCCCTTTTTCCTCGCATATTTGTGAGTGTGACAAGATAGGTCAAAAGTCGATTGATTCAATGTTTGTAATTGTAAGGGATGTGATGGATACCTAGGTAGGTAGAGATTTGATATTTTTTTTATCGGATAAATTTGAAGTTACAGTAGCTGATAAGGATTGTCTATCGTGAACTAGGATCGTTAGCTCGATGGAAAAAAACCCTACTCACTACCGGCCAGAAAGTCTAGAACCACATCTAGCTGGTAAATTCAAGGTTTGTGCTTGATATTGTATGAATATTAAAAATGTCTATATGCTACCCAGATAATCCCCATTACATAGATGGTCTTTACGCCCTGGATTCCTCGCAAGTTATTATGTCCACCTCCTGTCATCTCAATCACTTATGAGAAGGGTCTTCAGGAAAGATCGCCTCTTTCGTGTTCTCCTCCTTGACAATGTTATTGTCTCTATATGCCTATTGGCGCGGGAAGCTATCAAACGAACGCTTCCAATCACTTTAGTTCCGAGGTCATATCTTATATACCTCAAATGAGCCGTACCGCGACCTTACTTCACCCGTTGCTCCGTTTACACAGCGCTGCAACTACACTTATATCATCTAGTTTGCCTAACCCTGAGTTAGTAAATGCCATGGTCATAAGTCTCTGTCAACTTACCTCCTTCCATAGCAAGACCTTCCTCAACAGCATGCTCCATGAAGGGGCTCTCCGCAAAGGGATCCTGTGCTATTACTTTCGCGGCTTTCATGAGTTCATCCGCTACAAATCTCATTCCACCACCAGCTCCACCTTGTCGATCACCAGTACTTATACCACCCTCACCTTGCTCCCACCTGCGGATACTGCTTACAACACTTTCAATTATTTCATGCTCCCATAGATTGTCAATAACGCCATCAGACATGGCAAGAACGACATCGTCCTCCTCGATCTCAACCTTGTCCATGACAGCATTATTGACGGGTGTATCAGGACTATTTGTACCGAGTTGCCGAGGACAGTCAAACCAATGCCATTGCTCTGTCGTTTTGAATATACGTTCCTGCTGTTTCGGTCTTATGACTAGTACTTGTGAATCGCCAATGTTGGTAACATATAGGAGGGGAGTAGCGGGCGCATTAGGGTCTGAATGATCGATTTTATAATGCAATTGTGCTCCGGTAGCTGTAGTTGTGCCCTGCCATTTATTCGGACTCGCAGTAGCTTGAATAGTTTGTTCGTATGCTTTTTGCAGATACTCAATAGGATTCGGCTCGAAGTATTGTCCTGCTGGTCGAGATTTCCGAGCGTCGTTTTCTACTTCCAAAGCCCAAAAATGTAATACTAGCCTCGACCATAAACTGGTATTAATATTAGCCTCCAAAAGCAAATCCTCATATCGGGAAGCCACAAACCCTGCATGGCCGCCTTCTCTAGTTGACCAGGCGCCAACGCCATCATTTGCGCCAATAAAGTAATCACTAGAGTAGACCGCATCATCACCATTGGTATAACCTCTAATTACCTCACCGTTCACAGAAGGTCTCCTATCGCGACTCCTATGGTGAGTACTCAAGGGATCGGAGAAGGATCCCGATGGCGGGGATAGAAATGGAGGAGGAAATGGTCGTGGTTTTCGTTTGGCAAAGAGCGCAAGCCCAGTTTCGAATTTGAATGGAAGGGTGTCTTTTCGAAATGGTGGTAATTCGACATCCGCAGATGTGGAATATGCCAATTCAGGGTGCCATCTGGGTGAACTATGTACAAGAGTACGACGAGATTGATTATGTATAGCTTGCGCAATTTGTGTTCGACAAATCGACCTCCTCATCACAGCGTCGTGATCGATGTGCAGAGGTTTACAAACTACCTCTTGGTCGGATTCATGAAAGTAGTCTGATTTAAAAGTCGAGAAATTACCCAACACAATAGTGCTTAGACGATAAGAACTTTCATTATGCAATTGACCAACAACGATAACGAATCGGGTACTAGACACGTGATTAAGTGTATAAACTATAGATTTTCTTAAGGCTGAATAAAGTTGTGGATTGTGACATTGTGGAGAACACAAGGTTCATGGATTCCTTTCTAAAGGTCAATCAAAGAAGGTTATTCAAGAGTGGGTGAAGGTCAGGAAAATCAGAAATGGTCCAATTGACATTGTGAAATGCATCATACCTATCTATAGTACCGCCATGTACGGAGTAGGTAGGTACTTACTTACATGACCTTGAATTGGCGGAGGGGAAATCTGCACACCTGTCCTGTCCTGACCTGCATCGTACAGACGAGATGTCAAGGCTATCACGGCTTTCTTTTCAACATAATCTTGCATATCCGGAGAATTCGGCTGACTCTGGTTCCTCAATTTGCACTTGTCAAGCCAAAAAGAATGATCACCACAGGCATGTTTGATATCCGTCCGGACAAAAATGGATAAATTTCTTCGTATTTTCGGTAGCCGCAGGAAAGAAGTTATCTCGGACATTGATTGGAAGTTTATGGACTTCTTCCATAAGAGCCTTGCATATGATCCAAAATAGTTTGATAATTGTGATGTTTCATAAGACTGGAGACATTTGGAGATACCGGGAGGCATTGGAGACATTAAAGGTATTGCATTTTCTTATAGTTGCTTATGGAAATATCTCATGCTCTCTTGATAGATGCGCCATTTCCAATCATTTTATGAAATCCCGACATTCGATAAACGAGCTGATTGCTGAGGCGAGAGAGAGAAGAGAGAGCCGCCTGCATAGTCGTGACAGTTTAATGATAACCAATTAAAGCACAACTCGGCAATCAGGATCTCGTATTATTCCTCTGGCCTGGGGGCTTTCAAACTTTCCAAGCATCCATTCAAGCACATCTTACCTATGAGCAACTTATTTCAAGCCTTTGTCAGCGCTTGTTGAGGTTAGAATCCGATGTTTCATAAACTACTGCACATTAAACTTACACCATCATGATAAAATGACGCGTACATGTAAGTAAGTAGTCAGCCAAGACAAGTATTAGGACTGTAGAATTCCCAACGGAGATATTCTTGTAGAAGCAGTAATGTGGTAATGTAGTAAAATGAGTTGGCTTCGAATGGCAATCCAGTACTAATTTCCATACTGCATTGTTGACAAGAGAAAAGATGGAATGTGCCAATGTCCTACTCCGTAGACATGTAAGATCTTACCTTTTCGTCCGATAGCTCCGTTTTCATTTATGAGACCTCGTAATTGAATCATTTCATGTGATGCAGACGAATTAAAATCAAATAAAACCCCCTCTCTTCTAATCACTTCGCTCCAAGATCCAATTATCTAATGTTTCTATGATTGATTTAGGTATTCAGTCTTCTACTCCATCCACTCTCTAGACTTCTCTTCATCTTTTTCCTATTCTTTTTTTTCCCTTCGTTGTGTTCTCCCAAAATTTCAATTTTCAATTTCATAGTTATATCATAATATTAAATACCCGTCGCTCGTTTTGTTTATTAGACCCTTTATATACCAAGCTAAAACATTTACTATTCTTTCTGTTTTGAGCATCGGTAATCTTCCCTCCCGCCTATTATTCTTCATTACCTATTCGCTGGTCTCACCAAAGTGACGTCCGGTAGTCCCCCAGATCCAGCCAAACCAAAAAAAACCAAAATGCTAAACAGGTACATGAGCTAATGAACTAGTTCGCCATAGATTATTCCAATAGCACTTCCCTCAAATCATTCATCATTCCTCCAGACAACTTTGAGAAATACACATTCTTTTTCATTTTTTGATCAAATTATCTTGCTGTTTGCAGCAATCCACCCAACATTTGCCGCCGGGTTGTTATTATTGGGAACATTGTACTGTTAATAATCAACAGACCGACAAAGGAAAGAACAAAACACTTAGATTTGTATATGTCATAAGTCAACCACAACACCTTGAAGGTCCATCCGGATCTTGCGGAACTACCGCTTCATCAATTTCTCTCTCAGCTTGCTACCATTCAAAACAATTTAAATCCTTCAAAATGGGCCGAAATCGAGGTATGTTGGAATGCGCCACCATATTTACCAGACAACCCGGTTACTAAATAGCTCTTTCCCCCTAGTTATGTCGTTCATGTCCCAATTTAGGGACCGAGACTCTAGCAGTCCTACTCGAACCCCTCCATCCTCAGGTCGAGCGCGAAGTCGAACGGAATCCTACACTAAACAAGAGTCTCAAGAGTCTCAAGAGTCAGGAAAGTCGTCCCAAGCTTTAGGAAAGGAGCCCTTCCCAACTTCGAATTTCCAAATGCCCTCTCTTCAGGTTTCCCCTTCTAGTGAGGCACGCGATTCTTCTCAACCTCCTCGATCAAGGGAACGAGCTTCGTCTAGACCTATGTCTATGGTACAAACTTTTCAGCCACCATTGATGAATGTCAACCAAGATACGCTACCAGAACTACAACCCATCTTCATATTTTTGAACAGTCATAGCAACAAGTTGTATCAGGAAGGATATTTCTTGAAGTTGGATGATCAAAACATACGTGTGTACAATATTCTACATTTGGAGAGCATTACGATCTAACATTACGTAGATGGCAAAGCCAATGCCGACCGGACCTGGACGGAATGTTTTGCACAGCTTGTGGGGACCATCCTCTCATTATGGGATGCAGCAGAGTTAGATGCTGCTGGGCAAGATGGAGAAGTTCTTCCAAAGTTCATCAATCTTACAGATGCTTCGATCAAAATGGTTACCTTCACTTTTCTGAACACCGGCCATGGTTCCCTTTACTGATACTTCATAGATTGAATCTCTTCCTACTCGATCGCCTGCCGAAGCACCTTTGCAAAACGTCCTCAGCATATCTACGGCTGGTAAGAATAGATACCTTTTGCACTTCAATTCACATCATTCGTTAGTTCAATGGACCGCCGGTATTCGTCTTTGTATGTATGAGCATGCTACATTGCAAGAGGCGTATACAGGCGCGCTCATCGCTGGAAAGGGTAAGTTACTAAACAACATCAAACCCATCATGGAGCGCGCGAGGATTCAGACGGCAGACTGGGCTCGAGTGAGATTTGGCGCTGGAACACCTTGGAGACGATGTTGGTGTGTGATCACTCCACCCGATGAAAAAGAGGTCCAAAGAGTGCAAAAACAATCACAAAAGAAGAGATCGGCCTATGATCGCCCCCGGCCGCCTATATTGAAAGGAAACATCAAATTTTATGATTCAAAGAAAACGAAAAAGGCTCGACCAATCGCTACAATTAATGATGCCTATTCAGCGTTTGCTATCTATCCCCAATCTAAACCACTCATAGATGCTTCCACTTTAGTCAAAGTGGAGGGGTCCATCACAATTCATTCAAATCCCCCTCTAACCTCCGAAGGGTTTGTTTTCGTCATGCCCGAGGTACATCCTGCCGTAAGTGGTTTTGAGATGATGCTCCGGTGGCTTTTCCCAGTCTACGATACATTTGGACTTTATGGGCGTCCTGGTCGTTTGATCGCAGAAACTAGTGACACCCGGAGTTTGATGTTTGCAATGCCAGAACATCGAAGATATGACTATCTAGAAACTCTCGATGTTGCGGGTCTGATATCCGAGCAAGGTAGCGCTAATTGGCTGGAATCTGAATGGAGGAAAAGAATGAAAGATTTAACAGCCAAGCGAATGGTAACCCTCAAGAACAGTAGCCGAACCAATAGCCAATACGGCAGTAGAAGAAGTCGCAACAGTGCGGGAAATCCTCGAACCCGCCTTCAGTTTGACGATACAGTTTCGGTTAGATCGTCACCATCGATCCAATTTGGCCCTCGCCCGTCAGGAGATGTTGGCAATGGGGGTCTTCCTAGGATTGATTCGGCACCTGCGGGTACTATAGCATTGCACCAATCGAAAACTTCAGCATCTCACCAAAGGTCAACTTCCGAATCTCAGCCACCAAGTCGTCAAGAGAACCAAACTCCTCCCGTCTTTGACGGGGCTTACGAACGTGCTCCTATTTTATCTCTCCAATATGCCCAAGATGTTGCACCTTCACCCGAGCGTCTCAGTTCGGAAGATGAGCAGGCGGCTAATGCAACCCCGGTTCGTGAACTACAAGAATTGCAAACAGTTACAATTCCAGAGCCTGTAGCTGCACCTCCAGCTTTCAGGCACGCGCCCGGAGCATTGCCTCCTAGTAAAACTTTACAATCACCAGATCTTCGAAAAGCGAATAATCGCATGTCTACCGCAACGCTATCTCAATTAGCCGGTGCTGCGGCTACTTATCAACAAGGTCCAGAAAGGCGAGGAATGAATGTTCAAATGCATGATAGAATAGAGGAGGATGAAGATCAAGGTAGAGGGGTACTGTCAGACGTCACCAGAAATCACCATATGCCTGCTAACCATAACATCATTAATGAAGGCATGGTAGCATCCTACAAACCTTATAACGAAGAAGGCTCAATTCTTCCGTCGAACCGCGATCAAACGTCTTATCAAAGCCAAGAGTACCGATCTAGCAACACCCAATTTAATTCAAACTCACAATTGGATTTTTCAAACGATATGCCCCACCCAGAAAATCCATCGAACCAGCCACCTCGTCTGCAGACGAGCCAGAGCATTTCAAGAAAACCTGTTCCTACACAACAAGAGAACCAACAAAGTCCTACTTCATCGCAACCCGCTTCTAGCAGTGGAAGCTTAACCCAACATATTCTTGAACTAGGCGCCTATGATTTGATACTCCCTAAAGAAGACGATTTCAAGCTTCCACAGATGAATAGACACAATAGTGATTTAAGCAGTACATATGACGACGCCGCATCGACGGGTACCCCAGATTATGCCAGTACCAGCCATTCTGTACGATCTGCACGCACGCAAAACTCTGTCGAAAAGCCGCGAGCAGGTAGGAAGAAGATCATTGGTAATGTCGAAGTTGGCCAACCACTTTACGGTGACGACAATACATTGTCAAAGGGGGTCGATATTGATTTTGGTCCTACCTTTGATCTCAATCGAGCACCGGGGCAGAATTCTCCAAGTCCTAGTCCTAAACAGGATAGATTCAGTAATCCCAATCCTGAAAAACGTCCAAGTCATGACAGAACTCCGAGCGGCAATGTGCTAGTTTGGCAACCAGGAATGAGTGCAGCTGCAGCTAACAATACCTTTGGTCACAAACAAGGATTGACCGCGGAAGAGTTTGTCCAACAGCGTTCTATAGCTGCTGCAGCGACGCCACAGTATGTACACCAACGTCAACACTCAGGCAATATTTTACGTGCACATTCTCCTACCCCAGCACATGCTTCACCTTCTCCTACTCCAGCACGATATACCCCTTCGCCTACACCAAATCAAGCTTCCAAGCGATCTAGTGCACTCTTAGGCCAGCATTCGCGCCATAGCTCAGCAGATTTGTTGAATTCTACCGAGGGTCACGGCCAGAATCGACATTCTCGCCGCGGCTCAGCAGATTTGTTGAATTCTGGTGAGGTATATGGTCAACAGCAGCATGCACGCCACAGTTCAGCAGATCTCCTGCGTCCAAGTTCCAGAGGTGCGGCCAGAGCTTTGGGTGCTTCTGGGAATGGCACCCTTACAACAAATCTTTCTGCTCGAGAACAAGTATTTGTTGCGAAAATGACTGGCGGACCCCTAATTGCCATGGCTCAAAACAACAATAAAAATAACGTCGTCTCTGCAGGTCTCGTTGGGGCTATTGATTCGCGTGAGAAGGAGAAGCAGTATGTCAAGCAAGGAGTCAACTCCCAATCGGTACAACATGCAATTGCACTTCGTCAGCAACAGTTAGTTCAACAGCAAATAGAGCAGCAGCAAAAAGCTGAGCAGCATCGACTTGAGCAACAACAAGCTGAAAATATTCGTCTCCAGCAACAACAAGCCGAAAATGTTCGTCTCCAGCAACAACAAGCTGAAAATATCCGTCTTCAGCAACAGCAAGCTGAGCAAAGTCGTCGCCAGCAACAGCAGACTGAACACATTCGTCGTCAGTCGCAATATGCTAATACCAATTTTTCACCCTCACAATTTGCAGTACCTAGTAAAAGAGGGTCATGGATGGGACCTAATGCAAACCTCTTTCCTCAAGCTGGGGGTTGGGCAATGCCAGGACAATCACCCGGTCAATACCAACCAAATTTGGCGCATTCACCTGGACAGTATCAACCGACATTACCACACTCACCTGGGCAATACCAACCAACTTTAGCTCACTCACCTGGGTATCAAGGGACTCCTCAGCAATACTCGCAGCAACAGCAATATTTCCCCCAATATCCACCTACGCAAGGAGGACAGAGAAACTCTGGATACTATGGATAGGATAGATATTAGATTGGAAGGCAGCATGGCGTTTTTCATATAATATTTTGAATTGAGTTGGAATAAAAAATCTTCCGGTTGAAATGGAAACCTTTTTTTGTAAATTTCTTTTTCTTTCCCTTCTGGTCTGTTTCTTTTTGGGGAACTTCATAGTGAAAGCATGGCGTGAAGGTGTACGTTTACGGGGTCGGGTATCCTCTTTATCTTTTGGGAAAAGGGAAGTGGTGGATCTTTCGGCCTGAACATGGCATATTTTCTTCGTGTCTCTCCTTTGTTTGTAAATCCAGGTGAATGGATGAATGGATGCATGGATCCAGATGCAGATGCAGATGCAGTGGAGCGAATGGATATGATAGAGAGTACTTAAACCTAGCTACCTATCTACCTCTTAGCCATAGCTGTTCTGAGGGGAAACGGTAAAGGGGCATTAACTGAGAAAAGACTTGGGTACCTTTTGAATGTACAATTTCTGAAATCTGAACTTTAAACTCTGAAATCTTGATGTCTGGGGATGGATACTTGTTGGGGTGGTTGTTGTGTATTAAGTAAGGAGCGAAAGGTAAGAGATTACATGGTGAGCAAAACATAAGGTTACCTCATATTAATTCACTTTTGATGTGAAATGTGAAATGAAGACGATCCTGTAGGTGAGGCTTTATGTATGTATATGGGCGATATTTCATTCACTGGGTATTAGATATTATAAGTATTAAAATCACAATAGAGAAGAGGAAGAGATAGAGTAGTGGAATTAAATCGGAATTTAGATTGGATATCTAAGAATCAATGAATGGATTAATATAATATCAAGTGTGGCTTTCTTTATATATTTAATACTGGAATAACAGGGAATAGTTCTATGCTTGCTTAGTCATCATTTTCATCATCAGGTGTTTATAAATACAATTTCCAGTTTTGGACACCTGATCTAGTTTCTGGAGTATTCCACGCTAGACCTCGTCTCAAGGGTGATTGATATCTTAGGATTTAGGTTTTTAATATCTTCGGATCTAGAATCCCGCATCTTCGTCGTTGGAATTTCAATCAGAGTGCATATCCACGATTGGGTCAGATATTCACCGTCGGGGTCTCAACATATTACCAGTAACATTACAATTATTTTTAAAATACGCTCTTGAGGGAAGACTATCATAACACAGTACACCTCAATCCAAACCTCCTTAAAAACACCACTCGGAACAACCATGCCCGACACAGACCACTACATCCTCAAACGCAGCGGCTGGCTACTCCTCCTCTTCATAACCCGTCTCTCAGCAACCATATTCCACGAATGCGCTTGCGCCAGCTTTCTCATCCGAGACCTAGAAAACGCACCCCCATCTTCTCAAATCAGCCCTCGAGATCGCCGCTGTGAATCCTGTAAGAGGAGATCGAAGAGGAAAAATGTGAGGTGGGAACGCAGGGCTAGGACGAAAGGGACGAAAACTCCGATAGGGACTTTAATTTGGAAGGAGGAGGAGAGGAGGGAGAGGATCAAGGTTGTGGTTAAGGAGGTGGTGCTGGGTGGGATGGTTGCGGCTGGGTGTTTGGGGTTGTGGAAATTGAGGGGGGTGTGGGGTTGGTGGGGGTTGCCGACGGGGTTTGGCGTTTGGGGGATGTTTGGGATGGAGGGGATTTGGGATGATGATGGAGAGGAGGAAGAGTTTTGAGAGTTTTGGGGGTGAGGATGGAGGACGTGAGGCGATGTGAGGGTGGCTGGGGAGTCTCTAGTGGAGGAGGAGGTCATGGGATTGATATGATGGGTAGTAGACTCTACTCTATTGATCCGATGGTATGTATGTATAAAAAATAATCTACATCAGCGATAGTCACTTGTTAATATGAAATAATTCAATACGTTATGATTTCTGATCTATCTTTGATGACCATTTCCCAATAAGATGTACACATCGACATATATTCCAAACGCAAATAGCCTTTGATGAATACATCTCATAGCTATATCTCAGTCTCCTAATTCCTCCCCACCAACTAATTCACTCCAAACTCCAAGCTTTACATTCGTCCCGCCAAAAATCCTTTTTGTTTGTGTGCGCTATTCATATAATTCCCGAATTCCTATGTACATCATATTCATCCTCGTCCTACGCATCTCGTACGATTCAATTTCCACAGATGTGCTATTGGAAGATTATATTTACTCGCAATACATCCCATACCAGCTCATCCTCTAACCCCTCCCACGCATCCGCATCCGCATCCGCATCCGCGTCCTCATCCTCTTCACTCAGAACCTCTTCCTCCTATTCAATGACTACCTCAGCATATTCAACCGGCGACTCAACACGCACACCGAACAATCCCAAAACCAACAGCAACATCTGAGCTAAAGATTCCCATCCCAGCGTACGAACTCATCACGATGTATATCCATATAAGTATTTACAAGTCATGCGATAATTTCTGCGTCGCTGCTCGCCGCCCAACTTTTAACGTGGTAGTAATGCCAGGTTAAGTCGGTTAGGATGATGATGGTACTTGTGGAGATGCCGAAGAAGGACCATGAGTTTTAGGCGTTCGCTTGTTAGGGGTTGGTCGGCGTTGATATTAGATCGCTCAATTTTTGGGGGATTTTTGGAGTCGTATTTGTTATTTATTTGGTGGTTGAAATGGAAGTCAAAGTGAGGGTGTGTGTTCTTTTTGTTTTGATGTAATAGACCGAATTCGGAATATTAAGGGGGGTGTTGCTGTCTTCGGATGGAGTTTAAGTTGTTATTTTCTCTATTCTTTTTGATTTTGTCTTGGGGATGGAAATGAAAATGGAAATGAAGAGGCACATGGTAGATTTTTATGAGATAACATATTTGAACTGTAAAGTGTGGAAATCTAAAACTTAGAGATGGGCGAGATAGGGTTTGATGGTAGTTAGTTTTGTTAGTGTCGGCATTTGAAGTAGTTCATGGCACTATATCTAGATGAGGCTAATTAAGATCGAGCCATGAACTTCATCTGGTATAATATACAAGTCCATAATGAGACATGACTAATGTCATCATTAGAGAGCGTAATGGCTGGTTAGTGTTAATACATCGTTCCTGAAAATCATAATCTATAATTTCTGCAGAAGAAAATATTATGGCGATCAGATATCCGATATCAGATACTTCAAATCCACTTGGAGAATGAGGAACTACGAATTCTGATATCAAGTAACATATTCAGCATCAAAACAACTCCAATAGAATAAATATTCAGGAAACAAAAAAAAAAGATCTAGGATGCAACACAAGAACACAGCATAACATTCCCAACCATGCACCCCGAACCGAACCGAGCTCGGCATTAACCCATTAACCTACAGTACCAACTGATCATCTGCCCCCTCCAACAAGAAAAAGCCCAAGAAAGCCAGACAAAGCCTCCGCAACCATACCAACCATTTATACCTCAGCACACCCCTTCAATTTAAGCAATCTAGCACAACTCATTCACGAAGCTCACACTGCATTTCCACACTCCCTTCCATTCACTGCTCGTCCTCATTCAGCATTCATCACCCGCGAACATCAGCTCGCGAATAAGTAGACAGCTGACCTTTATAATTCGTTATTGATTAATGAATTATTATCATTATCATTACTATTACCATATTTTAGATTCCCCTTCAAACACAAAGATCCTCTGTCTTTTAAGGTCGAGATGTGGAATTTATGTAATCTTACTTTCGACTCTTTGATCATTTATCGAAATCGAAATTGAAATCATAAATCCGGGACTGTTCGAGCGATAATAAAGTTATAACCTTATAATCGACCGAAAATGCCAGACATATCGCGGAATCGAATCGAAATTTGGCGCAGCGAAGTAGAATCGCAATCATCGTCGCAATCGGGTAGGACGGGCCTAGAAGATGTGGGGTGGAGTGCGCCTATTGTGCGACCAGTGGGATTTTGGAGACGGATTTTCGGGCTGGGGTATGGGGGGAGCGGAAGTGGTGTTGGCAATGGTGAAAGTGGAAGTGGAAGTATAAGCAGGACTGGGAAGATTATGAGTATAGGACAAAGATTGGGCTTGGTGAAGAAAGAGGTGGAAAGAACGGGGATGTATACGGTGAAGAGTAGGGATGTGGATGAGGTTGGAGGGAGAAGAGAGTTGGTGGGGAGAGATATGGATATCGATGGGAGAAGTAGTATGGAGCTTGATGGGAGTGAGGAGAGTGCGAGAGATGGGTTGAGGGAAAGGAAGAATAGGCTGGAGAGAGCGGCTAGGCTATTGGGGAAGAATGATGGGACGGAAGAGAATGGACAGAGGAGTTGATTTGACTTGCTTGTGGGATTTTTGGTGGATGTCACTGGATTGATGGCTGGTACATCGTTGGATCGTTAGATGCAGAGTGGTATGATGAGACTTTCTCAGTACTGGAACGGGATGATGTTTCCTGCGGCGGTTCATGCTGCGGAGCTTATGCATGCTTTTATAATGATGAATGATGGGGATATGCGGTTACTATGGAGTAAGCAATACAGCGGGGCATTATTAGATACATGATCGGCGTTGTAAGAATTATGACTATAATGATTCATGAATTATACACTTCTGAAGCCCATAGGATTGTACATTATCTCAAGTGTCAAATATGGAGTTAATCTTAGAATATCTGTTCGTACGAGAAGTCTGGGACAAACACATACATATATATCAGGTTTGACTTGTTTGTTGAGGAGAGTCACCACTCGACTAACAATGAAATGAAGAAAACGATCCACATATTATCTGTACCAAATTGATAAACAAGTCGAATTAATACTGAAGTCGTTTTTCAGACCAGAGAACATTGGTCGCCAATCTTTGACGGCATTTTCAATACTTGTTTCATCGAGAAATCTATTTCGAGGATTTCTGCTGCAGCGGCCTCGAGATATTCGATCCAGCCAGTCAGTTTATGGATATTGCCAAAAAAAAATTGGTCCGTCAAGCACACGTCTTTCACTGATTGATCTGTCTTTCTTTGTGGACGAATAGATCCAGTAACGCTCCACGAATTCTCAATGGGTGCTTTTAACCAGGTTGAGTCCTATGCCACCGGTTTTCACATCTAACACTTGCTACTTTCTTGCCTTCTTGTCCATCACCTTCTCTGCCATGTATATAGCGACTTCATTTCATTGTTGAAGTCTAGAGGCATGGCTGCCTACATGTATTGTAGCCGATACTAGTCAAAGGAGCTCTGCAATGCTAGCATACTCAACGATTTATGGCAAACATAAATGAAAATTCAAGTACAAAACTTGCCTCTGTGATCCGCTGATACCAATCACACCTCACAGTCTACGAGGAATTTTATCGAGATATTCATCGGCACCCAGAGCTGTCTGGTTTGGATTCTCGAACGAGAGCCGTTGTTGCATCTCACTTGGACGTTCTCAATTTCTCTGTACGCCTCAATATTGGAGGCCATGGGATTCTTGCCTACTTGAAAATGGTCCAGGTAAGGTAAGTTCGTGCCCATCAGAGCCGGACTAGGTGCATTTGCATACCCTTGAGCAACCAGGTCTCCCATATGCTAGCAAAAAGGAAATGGTGGATCGCTATGGAAATAAACGACCAGTTATGCATACATTCGGTCACGATATGGACATGGTTACTATTCTTGGTGCATTTGCACTTCTGGGGAATACCAAGAGCCATTGGAGTGGCACACCTATTATACTTTTCAGCTAGATGGAGAAGAAACTGGAGGGGCGTCAGCAATGGTTACAGATGGCCTGAATTCCACGATAACCGTCCCGGACATTATTCTCGCACAATATGTAACGCCTCTAAAAGTCGGGTCAGTAGCGATCCGGCCCGGTTCTTGGGGCGGCAGATGCTCTTCATGTGCGAATTTTCGGTGAGCCATTGGCGGGAATTGATCCAAAATTTTGCGAGAGTCCGGTTGAAATTGTTGTGAAAGGTTTTCCAAGGCTGTAGAAATACGTCTCGAAAGAATGCAGCCTAACAGATGAGGTCGCTACAGTTGCTTCCTGGCGATCTCTCGATGGCGTTCCCAGAGAAGAATTTGTTTTTCACACAGATCTCCTCTTAGACGTCGAGACAGTAGAACTCACAGTCCGAGATACATCATGTCGTTGTACTTTTCCTTCCAGGTTAAACCACTTCTTCTAAAGTGACATGAATGTTTATCTTAGGCTAAAAGAGGAAGAAGATACATACCATCCAATTGAAGCAAACAACTTTCGAGGCCTCTAAATATCCTCTTCCTTTGGCTATGGTTTCCTGGAAATATGCTCCGATGTTCGTGCTTTGGCTCTCACTAGGTCTTTCAAAACCCTGGAGTCTAGTTCACATGTGAACTAACGACGATGAATCCAAAGCCCATTTGTGCCGATAGAAAAGTAAGTCGGGCAGTCTCTAGCATCCGATATTACGATATTGTCGATGTTTACTAATCGCAATTGGATCTTTCCTCCATAGGAGCATCTGGATATCTAAACATTCTAAGAGTCCTCTTGTGTTCAAAGCGTGAGACTCGGCTAAGAATTTGAGTTTCGTAACCATTGTCATAGTAGCAGCTAGCTTGGTAGAGTACCCATGAGCTTATATGCTTTGTACCAAGAAAGTTTAAAGTTCAAAGTGTATGCTGAGGCTCTCTGTTTGAAAGCCTGACCTCTGAGTTATCTGCAACAAGATCAGGTCTTTTTATTAAAGCTGCAGTTGACCCAATCCTGGGATATAAACGTGCTGTGATGTACTCGGAAGTGAAATTATGTAAGAATATAAACAATACAAAGCACTAGTTGTGAGAAGTAAACATTAAAATGACATTCGAGTCTAATTAGGAAGATGTATAGAAACACTTAACTAATATTCATTCTACGATATCAAGTAACTGTCCCTCGAGAATTCTGAAATAGGACAAGGGGAATACTTGTTCACGTCACATGACTTGAAATTGATTTCCAACCCAGCGGCAAAAGCCGGCTCCAATACATTTCGATACAATTCTTGTCCATCAATTCAGCAACTCCTTGACATTAGAGAAGATGTCTAAAACTGTTGTTATAAAGTCATCAGGGGAATTCAGTAACTTACTGAAGACCTCTAAAATTGTTGTGACAGATTGTAAGCTACCCCGCGGAAAGCCCCTCCCATTACAACTCTTTGCCCCTCCAACACTACATACTACAAACTCTTATTGCTCTCACTAATCCTCCATCTTACCACTAGTTTATGCGGACTGGTGTGGACCATGCAAAGCTATTGCGCCTATCTACGAGCAGCTTTCTGCACAGCTATCTCGTCCAAACAAGATTACATTTACCAAGGTCAATGTCGACAATCAGACAGAGATTGCTTCCACCTATGGTGTCACTGCGTACGTCTTCCTTCAATAGCACGTTTTGAATATTGGGGGATTAAGCCACTAAGGATTTCTATAAGAAGCTATTGCTGACACGAATCCAACAGGATGCCAACTTTCATAATCTTTAAGGAGGGCAAGCAAGTCGAGAAAGTCCAAGGTGCAGATCCAAACAAACTACAAGATATTGTTAAGAAGTTAGCTGCAGAAGCAGACAATTCAGGCGATTCATCGTCAGGATTTGCAAGTGGTTCCGGCGATTGGCGTACAGGCGCTTTACCAAAGGGTTACAGCGATGTGACTGATCAGGTTGATATCAAGGGTCTCGAACTGTTGAATGCCGACAGTGAGTTCGGGGGTGTACGAACATTGGTTGACATAAACAAGCCTAGCACTTTGTCGAAGGGAAAGGAAGCAGATTCGCAGGTTAAGGACTGGGTTGTCAGTGATACGGATGAGCAGCTTATGTTGTTCGTGCCATTCCAATCTACGTTGAAGGTTCATACTGTTCAGGTTAGAGGCATCCATCAGTTGCGCAAATCTCTCAAGTATTAGTGCTAACCTTCAATTCTCCAGATCACTTCCCTACCTTCAGCAACTGATGACGAGGACGACGAAGAAGAAGTGCCAATGCGACCAAAAACCATCCAAATTTACACAAACCGAGCTCACATTGTTGGTTTCGACGAGGCTGAAGATCTTCCTTCCACACAAACTATTACACTGGAAGCTAATGACTGGGATTCAACTGGCACTGCTACATTATCGCTTCGCTTTGTCAAGTTCCAAAATGTTACAAGCTTGGTTTTCTTCATCGTTGATGGTGACGGAGATGGAGAGAAAGTGCGCATTGATCGAATTAGAATTATTGGAGAAACTGGTGAAAAGCGCGACCCAGGAAAGCTGGAGAAGATTGATGATGGCCATTAAGGGTTAACGAAGTATGATTTTTTTCTATGACGATGAGCGTTACAGTTACATGATGATAGGCATAGGATGGCGTTAGCAGATGTGCCTTTTTGTGGTGCTTTTGTTGTGCATGGCATTTGATATCAATGAGGTTTATAAACACTGTTATGAAAATAATTTTTCCTTTCCAAAGGACCTCTCACGTTGACAGTCACGATTACAAATGGCTAGGAATAATTTAGAGTAAGACATAAGATTAAGTTAGGTATGTTTAAGTAATATTGTTCAAGTAATATTCCGCCCACACGGGATTTGTGAAGGTAAATCAGACAAACCTTACCCAAGAGCAACCTGCACCCTAAAATCTCATCAGACAATTGTGACCGTTCAACGCCTTTTCCACTCCACCAACTCTGTCTCCAGCTATTCAAGAACCAACATAATAAAAACAAAGAATGTCCGAACCCTCTCCATCCTCTCACCCACCAACCGTTATCCGTTGGGCCCTTTCAGACAAACCGACGAACACAGCCTGGATTCGCGAAACGAAGTTTCGAAACCCGCGGAAAGAGGTGAAAGAGAGAGCATCGGCTGCAATTGGGATCAATCTATGGTACCATTGACACTCGTTTACATCATGGCGGAGAAGATGCGCGAAAAACACGAGGTACCAAGCCGCACTTAAAAAATAAGTTGAAGAAGAAAAGGAATTTGTTTGTGCTGGGAAATTTTTCTTATATTGTGGGAATTTTGGGGGGAGGCTAGTGAGGGGCGCTAAGCTGGTTTGGGGGTTGGTGTGTGTTTCTTGTGACCTTGGTGATGAGATGGGTGCCTTAGGCTGATTTTCTTTTTTGGTTGGTTACCTTGGTTGTTTGATTGGAATTAGGTAAGCAACTTACCTTGTTGACAACCAAAATTGTGTATTCATATTGTATCAGCTTTTGAGAAGAGGCATCTATCCCAATGTTCAGGATTTTACTATTCCATACTATTTCGAGTCAATTTCTCACATCATCTACATTGATCAAGCTTCAATCGTCATAACTTCAAGATGATATGAGAAAATTGACTTACATGGGTTATATCAACGATGAAATCTAGATCCAGATACATACAGCCTTAGTTATTACGTTCATGTACCGTTTCTTTATTGCATCTTCGTTATCTCGAGTAGGTGAGGTACAAAGATGATTCTCTATATTCAGTATCTTTGGATTGTATTCCTCATCTGCGTGAGTAATGCCTCGAACGATTGCGCTTGTGCATCAGCCGAGCATAATCAGCTACAAGTTTCATAGCGAGATATCGTTGACTACATACTTTATAACAAAAGCGGCTGTAATGTGCCGGACTCCTCATTCTATGAGCCGCACGCCATGCCTCACGGAACGAAGGGTCTTCAGCGGAAAAGCGCGATGCTTTGATCACTTGGTATTCTTCAATCAAAATAGATGATCAACACTCTAGTAACTGCTTCATATTCTTTTTTGGCTGGGACGGGTGATTATTATTCATACTAAAACATAAATGGTATTTAGCTGCAAAGGTTTCTCTAATGGAGAATCATCAACTTTGTGGTTCAGTGACCTCCTTGACCACAACTAGTATGGCGTCCAAAATAAGCTCAATCTTCTAAGCCATTGATGTTACAAAGATGTGGGCGTCACATTGCTAATTCAGACTTCATTATCAGATTTCATTTGATATCGAATCTGTAGGTTCTTACAACAAACTTTATTTGGATTCAGGAGAATTGTCCAATTTCACTCTAATTCACGGAATTTTGATGTCTGACTCCGACTTGTATGAGCCGGCACGTACACATGTACGCAGGGCACAATTTCTACATCAAGAGGTTCTGTGAGAGGCTAAGTAACTGGCACACCATTTTTGCCGGAAACACGCAATTAAATTGCCAATTCTTAGGCTCGGCATCGGGAGCTAATATCACTTAAAGAATCACTACCAAAACTTCATTCCGGCATTGCAAATTGCAGTGCAAAGACCCGAAGATATCTACTCTGATAAGGCTCTATTCACGCACTACCTACTTTTACTATTTGAGGTATGTTGAATAGACGGTTAGTCTTTTAGATAGAAGCATAATTGATGTCCTTGATCTAGCAATAAGCTCACTGTATTAACAAAATGTGAAGGTTGCCGCGACCGAGTAACGAAAAATCAAGATGCGGGAACATCATTTCTCTAAGACTTACGCATTCATCGGCTTCGGAAGCACTTCTTGATGATGAACGGCACATCTTCATCATTTCTGTAAGCATAATCGGGTTTTTGACTTCACAGTCCCGCTTTCAAACCACCTGCTTTATCTTTCATCTTTGGCATCATCTTTATTCTCTAACGTAGCTTTTTGTTCCTCATTTCCTTCCAGTAGCCTTCCTTGATTGCCAATTACTGAATTTATTGGTAGTGGGCCACATCTCTTGATGTATGCCCTTTGGTTAGCACTGGCACAAGGTCTTTTAGCAAAACCACGATTGAAAAAAAACCCTGCTGCCGTCTCCTGGATGGGCTTTGAGAGATGAAAACCTTTACATGGTTTTTGATCCAGAAGCGTTGCGCCAGATGTTTGATCTGCTAAGGACAGATCGAGAGCTGACTCTGATATCCATTAATATGGCACAGATAGCGCGGGAATTGAGGGTTGAAGCTGGAGAGCTCTTAAAGCCAAGACTGAAATTAGCATGCATCGATGCAACTACATACGAGATGCGCACACGCTTCTAGTTGGCTTTCACGACACTTGGCGTTCAGTTTCTAGAATTTGCAACGCCCGAGGAGGACTCGATTGGGGAACTGGCACAATCCCTAGATGGAGTATCCATATGCAGAACACATGTTAGGCTCCCCTGAATAATGCAAAAGAAAATCCACTGATGGAGTTAGATTCACTTGTTTTATTGAGCCTGCTTGATTTATTACCACACAAGTATGTACCCAGGTCAATCATTGATACCGGCAGCGGAGGCGAAAGAACAAATTGCTCCATGTGCTAGAGAGATAATTTTGATAGCAAGAATGATGCTAGATTGGGCCGTCTCGAGTGCTGATTCATAGTATTCCCTGTATTTAGCGGGCATAGCATCCAAGGTCAAAGAAGAGAAACAACCTGCTAGCTCTTGAGATCATTCACAGACTGGAAGAGACAAGTTTTGGCTCTAACACAAAAGCACGAGGAAAAAAAGCGGGAAACTGTTATTGCTCAGACTGGAAATCATTTGTGCGTCAGTTGAAGGATGAATTGGAGTCCAGTGGAGAGAAATTGATTACGTGGGCTTGTAACGTTATTAATGGGTACCGCTGTGTAGTTCGATAAGTTGGCGTCTTCACTCAAATAGATAGTTGTGGACAATTGAATAGTTTGGTTAATTGCACTACCATGATCTGTTGATTTTATCCATTTTCAGATATCTTCAGATTGGATAAGACAATGATTAATGAACATTCAATATCGACCGTCATCATTTACATCATCAACAATTAATCTTAACTCGAGAGTAACGCATGAACTATTAATAGACTCAGCCTTGTTTCGAAAGGCGGGTTGTTGCAAACATTCTTTGTGATGTGATTGAACACTTTTCGCCCCGCCGCCTTATGTAATATTATTCAGGTTACAGAGGGGTGACGATTTCGAACGCTATCGAAATTCGCATCACGATGAAGGAACATTCATTCCTACCTATTTATTTGTACAAAAGAAGTTGTATCAGTTCAAATCACTACCACTTTTTCACATGTGAAGCGGAACCATAGGCCATAGGAATCATATGCACCATTCCTTACCAACTACACAACCTTATGATTGACAACCTCGAAGCACAGTTCATTTTGTACTTCAGCCTCTGTATTCGACCCACCTTCATTCCCGCAATCAAAGCAAACATCTTTCTGCCATTTCAAAATCACCATAACATAAACTAATCTCCCTCATTACAAACAAAAATACGAATACAATCAACTCTTCCGCGACCGATAATTCATCATGGATGATCCTGTCGAAGCTTTTACGTCCATCACAGGGCAATCAGAAGCTGTGGCAAGACAGTATCTGGGAATGACCGACAACAACTATGAACAGGCAATAGGATTATTCTTTGAAGCACCTGAACTCGCCAACAGCAATAACGATACTTCTCACCAAGCGCCACCACAGATACCTACTTCTACCAGACCACAAAGATCCACGGCTCGTGCCCAGCAAAATTCATCTGTGGTGGTAAATTTGGATTCCGATGATACTATGGAAGTGGATGATGACAACAGTGATGAGGGAGACTCTGAGGCCGCAACAGCTGCTGCCATTGCACGCGCGGCCGAAGTAGAGGATGATGCTGCTATGGCGCGGAGAATGCAAGAAGAGCTTTATGCTGGTGGAGATGCAAGTGGCGGTTTCGATGCAGAAGGCGTAAGAGCACCTATTGCGAGAACGACGGAGACACTTGTTGGTGGTACAGGAGGCTGGGATGAAGGTGATGATGTACACAATAGTGTTTTCGAGCAATTGAGACTCCGACAACAAGCCAGAGCGCTTGGAGGTGGAGGCTCAGGTAAGGAGGAGTTGTTAACATTTTTGCGTCCCATGTGCTAACAGTAACCAGCTCGGACAGGAATTTTCAACCAACGAGCCATTCCGTCAATTTGGGACCAGGAACACGACGGGTTGGCACAGGCTGCTGGAGGAGCTTCAGAAGGATCTAGTAAGAATGCCCGCCTTGCGGAACTCTTCAGACCACCATTCGACCTAATGTACAAGTTGCCTTGGGATTCAGCTCGCGAGGAGGGAAAAGAGTCTGGAAAATGGATTTTAGTCAATGTACAGGACAACTCTATCTTCGACTGCCAGTCTCTAAATCGCGATATCTGGAAAGACTCTGGCGTCAAAGATGTCGTGAAGGAGAATTTCATATTCATGCAATATTCTAAGGACGACCCCAGAGGGAACCAATACATTCAGTACTACTTTCCACAGAAAGATAGTGATGCTGCATATCCTCACATTGCTATCGTTGATCCAAGAACTGGCGAGCAAGTAAAGGTTTGGTCAGGACCTCCAGTACCAAAACCTGCAGAATTCATCATGCAATTGGTTGAGTTTCTAGATCGATATAGTCTCGATCTTTCCAAGAAAAATCCAGTCGCGAGAAGGAAACCGGAGAAGTCGAAGTCGCTAGACGTCACTAAGCTCACTGAAGAGGAGATGCTTAACCTAGCACTGCAAAATAGTCTCGTGAACAACGGAACAAGTGGGCCTAAAGCGGATGATCCAGATGACCTCACAAAGAGCTTCGGGGATGTTAGCAAAGGAAAGGGTAAAGAGGTTGAGGAGGAACCTTCAGAGGCAGCCGAGCCCTTCCAAAATAGCTCTAGCGAATCAACCTCCACGTTCTCTCAGATTGCTTCCGATAGACCACATACCGAACCCGAAGGCTCTCCTTCGGAAAGCACGCGCATCCAGTTCAGACACGCCAATGGTCGTGTTGTTCATAGATTTAGACTCGACGATACAGTACGCCGCATCTACGAATGGCTAAAGTCAGATCCATTGGAGGGCAAAGCAGGGGTTCCTTTTGAGCTCAGAAGCGCTGGTAAAGATTTGATAGATTCTTTGGACGAAACGGTCAAAGTTGCGGGACTCAATAATGGTACCGTGATGGTGGAGTTTATCGAGGACTGAGGTTTTGTTTTAAATTTTCGGGGATCATTGATACCAAAGAGATTGCTTGCATCGCAGTTTGACGTAATAATGGGCTATTCACAGCGGATGTGGAGTTTTCTTAAGGCCTGTCTATGATTTCCGATCAAGAATAGCATATTGGGAGGATAATTTCACTTTTCTTCTTTTCGCATATGAGTTCCATCTCATCATTGTGCATAGACGGGACTTACCAGCAAGGATAATAGGACTGCTGAGCTATAGATTTATGAGAATGAGAAACGAGAATATCATGATATTGATGAAATCACTTGCAATTACATTACAGTATGTTTCGGGTGACAGTGAAGTTCTTGACGATCCCAACTGGTTAGAAATAAGTTTCATATACTCGAGCGATCGAATGATGGTTGGTTGTGACATGTAAGTAAGAGATCCCATCCACCTAGTTTCGAGCTAGTTAGTACCGGTACCTCTTTTGAATCATGTGAATTTTCACTCCGATATACTAGGTTAGAATCAGCATTCACAGCGTCAATGCAATATGATGAAATGCATGGGAATAATCTACCTAAAGCTTGAAACGGTCCATCGTTCATGCAGGTTCACGAAAAAAAAAGAATCCGGAAGCGCTGGGTCGACACGCTACCGTTATCAACCCCTGAAATTGTTGATGTTTGGCGAAGTGGATGAGTTCAATTTAACCTTTACTCAAGAGGATTGGTTGATTGAACTGGTTGGCTGGTAGACAAGATGCGTGATAAATCAACATGACAACAAAGATAAGTAAGTCCGCTTCATGAAAATAAGCAACCAAACAAATGTAGACGTAAGTCTTTACTAGGTAGGTTAAAAGATATCTATCCTCTAAAATGTCTACTGTTCCTGGGGAATGCTCGAGGTTTACATTACCTTGGTATCAAATTTAAGATTGCATCCATCTGAGAAGAAGTCATAATTCTCAAAATCTCCAAAAGGCTAAAACAGACTTCACTTCATCTCTCCTTCATATCGACCACCACCCGTACTTGTGAACTGCATTTGTTGCTCAACAGCCAGCCAATGGTGCTTACCTTCCCCAGATTAATGAAACCGCACTTCTGTTCGTACATGCCACTTCCCAAGAGTTGCATTCCTTCACAGATAGCTTGACTTGTTACTTCTCTTCGATTTCATACACAATCATTTTTCTACCCCTTTTGCCAAAAGTTTTACGACACTCACGATTTTCAAATACCACGACAAGCTTCGACATTCAATCTCTTTCCTCTCTACTCTCTATTTGATATAGTGATAGTGATATACACCCTCGGTAGCTGTTGACCCCACCATACCGTACTGTTCACCGCGTTCCTAGGTCCAGGCCCCCGATTCCCTTGTATAATTTGCTCTTCCGCAGAGTAAAGAATCCGACGAATTTCTTTCCGTTATTAGTATATGAGACGATAACGGGCATAGCCTGACTCGTGTTTGATATCCCACCTCGGACCATAGGCCAAGTCAATTCACTTCCGCGAGGATCCCTCCCTGGGTTGTGAGACCGACAAAATATCAGCGGGGTGCTCCCAGTAAAACCTGGACAACAAACCAACAACACAACCTAACACCAGAAGTGGTGTTGTCCCATTTCTCTTTCCTAATTATATCGAGTTTGATTTCAAAGGATGACGCATGAGATGAGTGGTGTCGTGGATCCTGAGACTTTGTACACAAAGCAGAACTGCATCGGTATGTCTACACATACTTTTATAACTCCGTGCAGAGGCTCATTTTTATAGGCGGTGGTAGTTTTGGTAAGGTTTACAAAGGGTATGTTTCCTTCAATCCGTCAATCGCGAATCCAATTCTTCACATAGGCCATGTACTGATCTCCAGCAGAGTTGACAAGCGCACTGGGCAGGCTGTAGCAATAAAAGTTATCGATGTCGAAAATGCCGAAGATGAAGTCGAAGATATTATTCAAGAGATCTCTATTCTTTCCGAATTACATTCCCCGTTCGTTACGCAATATTATGGATCATATCTTAGAGGTTCGGATCTTTGGATTGTTATGGAGTTTTGTTCGGGTGGTAGCTGTGGAGACTTGATGAAGCCGGGTTTGATACAGGAGGAGTATATTTCAATTATCATACGGGAACTTTTACTGGGCTTGGATTATCTTCATGGGGATAAGAAGCTTCACAGAGATATCAAAGGTTCGCGCAATTTTCCTCTGGCAGCTTGGTTTCAGATCTGAGGAGCTAACGTTGAGGGGATAGCTGCCAATGTTTTACTGGGCGCCAATGGACAAGTCAAGCTGGCAGATTTTGGTGTTTCGGGTCAATTGTCTGCTACCATGACTAAGAAGAATACATTTGTTGGAACACCATTCTGGATGGCCCCGGAAGTTATCAAGCAATCTGGTTATGATCACAAAGCGGATATATGGTCTCTAGGCATTACAGCGCTCGAACTAGCCAATGGCGAACCTCCATACTCCGATATCCATCCAATGAAAGTTTTGTTTCTCATTCCCAAAAATGCTCCACCAAAGTTGGAAGGAAACTTTACAAAAGCTTTCAAAGAATTTGTCGAATTGTGCCTTCAACGAGACCCGAGGGAACGTCCGTCTGCTAGAGAATTATTGAAGCATCCTTTTGTGCGAAGAGCCAAGAAAACCTCATACTTGACGGAATTGATAGAAAGATATGAACGCTGGGCAGTACATCATAAGGGTGACGATGATGACTCGGATAATGAACGAGAGGAAGCACCCCCACCCAAACCTGTCAATGAAGACTTATGGGATTTCGGTACGGTCCGACCGGTTGGTGGAAGAGTAAATGGTAGGGTTGGGTTGAATACTATGGATGAATCTGCCACAAATGCAAGGGCATCGAGGTCGTCATCGGACGAAGACAATTATGCAGAGCGTCCGCGACAGCAGTCGCCTTCGAAAACGAAAGATTCTGGATATGTCTCAAGTATTGAAACTGTCAAAGCGACAAACTCTCCTGTAGATGCACAACCCAGGCAGCCTTCCCCACAGAGACGGCCTGTTCCAAGTATGCAGACTCCAATGTCCCCAACCAGAATTCCTCTTCCAGCGTCACCAGAGAAGTTTAAGCCTCCAGGATTGGAAACACCCAGAACGGTCGCGCCGACCTATATAAATAGACAAGTTTCCGAATCTCCTGATTATGATCGTACATTGCAAGAGCAACTTCAGCAAGATATGGGATTTTTGAAACTCGGTGAACAATCTCCTCCCCCATTGCGAATACCCCCGTCTACCACTTCAAAATCAGTACAGTACACAAATCAAAATACACCACCTGCAGCAGTACCACGGTCATATACACAACAATCACTACCAAAGCTCGCCCCTATTAAATTACCTGAAATTCCTCCATTCCGTGGCAGCGGCCAACCTCAACCACTACAACAAAGACTACCAAATCAAGTACCTAATACAGAGCCTCGGAAGCAGCAACAACATCAACAACCACTTCCATTACCACCTCATCCTGCAGGGCTTCAAAACATAAGTCTACGCCAGACAGGTCAGCAGCCATTACCTGCATTACCGTCAAAGAAATTACGCAATACTCCTTCTCAGGAAAGCATTTCATCTCAATCTTCTAGAGCTCCATCATCTATGCCTTCACCTGCCCCTACTAGCCCTACGGGAGAACTTGATGCATTGAACGATGTGATATTTCCTGCTCTTGAAGAAGCACTTAAACGACGTCAGTATCGCTTACAACATGCTTTTCGGGCGACAGGAGCTACACCGAAGCAACAGAGAGCGCAAGCTGCTCACGAAAAATTACGAAAATTAGTGTATAAGCTTGCACATGTGTGCAAAGAAATCGACCATTGGGACAAGCAGGAACCAGTGGGTATGGGGAAGGATGTGGATGTCTTTCTCGAAGGATTATTAGAAGAGATTCTCGTCCGGGTTGAACCGGCTGATGAGGAAGATCTTGATGTGAGACGATGAAATGCAAAGTTATGATTTGAATGTATGCTGCATGAGGAATGAAGGAATATGGTTATCACGATGAATGAATGGGTCGGTTAGGTACTAGCTGGCCTCTATTATATGAGGCGTTGGTCGGCAGAATTTGATATTCCAAGAGAGCATGGAGTGTTTTATGTTGAGTATTCCAGCTTGCAGGAGATTTTATTCATTAATATTATAAAATTGAAGATGATAACTCCAACCTTTTGTTCACGAGATGCTCAGATGTAATGTCTGGAATTTTTTTGATGCTAAGATAGATGAAGTCGGATGCTGTTTATGGGATAAGTACAAGTATGCATTAAATGAAGAAGATCGCTTAATTATTGCGATGTCTCTAATTCGGGGGTGGGGATAGTTTTCCTGATCAACAGCTCTTCTATTACAGATGTGTATACACTAACGTGCAAGGGCATGCTAGCAACTATATTGATGGGGTAGCATGTATTTCTAATAAGGGCTATTGTATTTTCGCAAAACAATTATGTTGTGAGGGTGATACTCTAATGGGTGGTTTAGTTATGCTTATGCTATTGTTTCGTTCATGGGGTGTTTGTTGTTATTGTTATGGTCAGTACATGTATTTTGTGTGATTTTTTGAGGTGATATATATATGAATGGACATTTATTTACACAATCTTACAAGATCAAAAAAGTCCTAGTTCTCAATAATTTCAAGGATTTACTTATATCTTAGAATGTAGAATGTAGTATTTAGAGTGTAGGGTGTAGAGTGTAGAAAAATATGTTTGATCTGGTGATCCTCGCTTGAATGATAATATCTTACTTTCCCTGAATTCTCAGCTCAGAGAATACCTTACCTTACCTTACCTAGTATATAGCTGCGCACTTTGCGAAGTTTGGATGTTTGGATGTTTGGGCGCTGGATTTGGAGATTTGGGATATGGGATAGGATGGGATAGAATGTCGATGGGTTTTTGGGGCGATTATAGATTACCTAGGTACTTGGATTATGTAGTATTTTGTATTTGTTTTTTGTATTTCACTGCTGGACTTGGGATAGGTGTTTGTCTTTAGTAGTTTGTGTGGGAAGCTTGTCGTCGCTTCTTCTTGTGTGCTCTGTGGGAGATTCACTTGGTTTCTATCCTGCGCTGCTCCGCTGGGCCTATAGGAGAGGTTCTTGTTCGCTCTTGCTTTGCTTTGCTTGGTGCATGCGGGCTTGAATTTCTTTACCCCGCTCCGCTTGGAACCTCACTTACTTACACCTCGCCGTCGCTCTTCTTCTTTCCTCCTACGCCCTTTTATCCTACGGCCCTATCTGGTGGTCTCTTCATCTCTTCTTCATCTCTTCTTCATCTCTTCTTCATCTCTTCTTCAAACCCATATTCTTAACAATCACCTTTGCTTAGCATTATCTTGCTCCTTCGCGCTTGCAATAGTAACTTGACCTAAGACTATTTTCCTATCTTTGAAATCTCACTTTTTCTCTGGGCGTTGCACTTTAAGAGTTTAGAACGTGTCGCCTTTTAAAAAAAATCCTCGTCAGCTTTTCTGCTTCTTTGAGAACAATTGGTTTTCTTCAATGAAAAGTTTCCTCCGAATATTATTTTACTTCCTCACGTTGCTTTCCATCGCTATCTTTTATTACTTGAGAGTTAACTTGATATTTAATTATCGCCATCGTTTTCTAGATTTGACTTCAAAGCTATCTACTTAAAATGTTACTCTTGATCTTCGATATCATCCTCTTCGACCTTTAAGTACTTTTCGAGCGCTTTACTTTGGCTTTGATAGCCATCTACTCTTGCGATCACTTTACCCCCAGTCGTTGACTTTCCATCACCACTTTTTGCTTTTGTAGAAGTTCCGATCTAGTATAAAGAGGCCCTCATACTTTGGATCATTTCTCGTCGACGAGAGTGCTATCTGAATAAGTCACGAACACGAATTTTTGGGTTGACCCGAGCATTCAACTTAGCAATTCCGAGAGGAGAATTCCAAAGTCAATCAGTGGCATTTATCGACATTACTACTCAAGCTTGTCATCCTCATATTTCTGAAAATACATTCTACCATACTACAAATCTCATTACTAAGACTCTGCAACTTGCTTCATCATGGCGACGGACAAACTTGCCCCTGGTGGTCAAAACAGTCTATCTTCAGCTTCTTCGTCTTCGTCTTCTTCTTCCTCTTCTTCCTCGAGCACCCTCTTTCTTCGGTTACGGGAAGGAGAAGCAAACCACGGATTCGATATGCAATTTAGCGACATTATCGACGTAGACATCCGCAATAAAGTTAGAACATTACTCCGATTTTATCCATCTTATCCTCTTCTTTATCTCGTTTATGTACTCGTTAGGAGTGATCGAATGTTGGATAAAGCTCAAGACTTTCTCGAAAACACACACCGCGACCGAGCTCAATACCTACCGATCGCTTTTATGACAGAGCTTGAGGATATTAAGGGCGCTGAAATGCGTGACAAAGTTGGAAAAATCATTACAGTTATTTCATTCGTAACTGTCTGGTGGGCCTATTATGCCTTGAAAGTTTGTGATGGGAGTATGAACTGTGCTACTATGCTATTACTTGAGAACATCATCGATACCTCCAAGGACCCTGTGACGCAGGTAGCTTCAGTAACTACAACTCCTGTTAGCTCGTTGATGAGTCCTAGAAGCAGTGGTAATGTGCTTTTGGGACCGCTGATGGATTCGCAGTCAGATTCAGATAGCCAGGTGTTCGATCGTACTATGGCTAGTCCGAATAGTGGCAATGAGTCGTTTCAGACTAAGCCGTCCTCTTCCGAGGCATCATCCCAAACACCAAACTGTTCATACATCAATATAAGCGATGATGAGCAAGAATCTACGGAAGAAACTGCTACTATGAGTGCCAGCCCTGTTTCCAATCGACGAGGGGTATCTACAGACAAGGGCAAAGGCGTGGATAGATGGGACCCTGAGGATTACAACTCCGACATTGATATGAACGGAGTTCCACCCTTCGAGGAAAAGCCGCAAGCAAAGAAACGTCATGAGAAACAAACTAGCAATTGCAAGTTCTGTGGCAAAGAACTAGAAAACTGGTTAGAGCAAGCCGGCCATGAAAAGTCATGCCGTGTGAGGACAAGACAAGCTTGTGTGAAGTGTAAGAAAGAAGTCTCAAAGTCCAATATAAGAAGGCACGAAGCCAGATGTGATGGTCGTCGAACTTCAAGACGCGATGGTATGGAATTCAAAGAGCGCGATATATACGCAAGGCCGTCTGTTTCTCGTGGCAATTCTACAGATTTCGAATCGGAAGATTCTCCTACAGAAGAGCAGTTGCAAAAAGTGAAAAGAATGCGAGAATACCTTCCTCATCTTTCAGTCAATCAATGTATCGAATCCTTAGGGTTGTGCGATGATAATGTTGAGGATGCCATAGAGTTGGAAATGGAGGCATCGGCATCGGCATCGGGTGAAGAAGATGGTGATCGAGGACCTTGCAGCCAACAGATTAGTCCGAAGAAGAGAAAACTAGGAAATCTATTGGTAGGTCGAGCTTAGACTATTGTAATTCGAGGTAATTCCTGACAAAAATTAGGAGGAGCGTATCACCAAAAGGTCTCGCATTCAGGTCAATGACAGAGAGTCAAGTTTAGAGCCTGCAAGCCAGTGGGTTAAGTATGAGTCACTTCGTATTGTTTTGAATATTCGATGGCCATTCTAACCATGATTTATAGAACCACGTTTTTTGGTCTTTGTCAGGACTCAACCAATGCTACTCTTGTTCATCTTGCTGGCTCAGAAAGCAGAAAGGTTCCGACGAAGCTTATTTGTGATAACTCAAAAACTTTGAAAGATATGATCAGCGTGGAAGATCAAGAACTAGCAGCGCAGGAAATTTCACTTCTAAATGTCGAATCAACTCTTTTCGATACCGTCATTCAATACATGGTCTGCCGCAACGCCTCATTTGGTTCTCACTTGAGCCAGACACAGAAGATCACATCGATTGTAGATTTTCTAGTCCTCGCAAACAAACTCAAAGTTACAGGACCAGCGACTACTATGTTTCAAACGCTTGAAGCTATCTTGAAAGAAGAACGTAAGGGCCCTTATCCTCCAAGCTTCCTGAAAGCCGACCATGTTAATAAAGTCTTTTTGACTTTTGAGGCTGGTCATCCCATTCGAAAACTTTTTGTGAAGGCATCAGTACGACCATTTCTCAAAACCAAAAACCAAGATATCGCTGATGAAGAGGATTCCGACAATAACAGTGAAGTGGACGCGGGCAATATCGAAAATGATGGAAACAAGCCAGCACATCTTGCGTGGAATTTGAATAACGATTTCGCAATAGCTTTACTGGCAAAAGTCTACGAGACCACTAGCAACAGAAAAACGAGACCCACGAATAAGAATAGTAGAAATACTAAAAACCTGAGTGAGTTCTTTAAAGATCCGCTAGATGGCACCTGGTTTACTCTTTGAGGAACCTGGGATTTCCTTCAGTGTGATAATGGCTTCATTTCATACGCTTCTCTTTGGTTCTTCAACTTGGTCTCGTAGCTCAGATATTTATTTCGCTTCATTGCTGAAGCTAAAGCTAGGTGCGTGTTGAGGTTGAAATGAAGTGATTATGCTCAAGTGTTCTTACAGTGTTTTCACTGTTGGATACCCTACCCTTGTGCATTATTACTTCGTTGCTGGGCTTGGGGTAGGCTATGGCTTGGGCTTTAAGCTTGGGTGTACTCGAGGATAGTATATGACCTGGTCTGACCTCATGCAGCAATATTGCCATTCATCCAACAGGAACTCTCTTCCTATCCATCATTATTAATTTCTGCACAAAAGATTCGCGGGGCGGAGATACGAGAAGATAAATACGAGACGAAAAGTTCCAGCAATTCATCATCTACATATCCTCCTCGCACTGAGCGGAAAATAGAGGAGCGGAAGTTTAGATTTCTGGTGAGAAGTCCGGGGCGGAGTGGAGCGGGATATAATTGGGTAGATATGAGGATACAAGCAGATGCTATAATGAAAATGGTGATACTTGTTATTTATATATTTTATGGTGTAGATGCATTGTGATGTATTGTGATGTGAATATTCATGGTTATGTGTTCTCGTTGCGTATGGAGTATATCGATCTTATGAAGAGCTAATGGAAGATTGATATTTCACTTTGTTATCTTTCTTCTCATCTTACATTACCTAGGTATCGATATTCACTTATTAATATTCATATTTATGTTCAGCATTTTAGTATTCAAGTCATTTATTAGTTTTGCTCTAGATCTCATTAATTTCCTCCTCGTCAACATCCTCTATCATCATCACATATCTAGGTATTTAATATTCTCACCTCATCTCATCCTGTATCAAAACTATACAATTTATTTTATTTTTATATCATATCGTAAATATGGATAAATCTGATATATACTTTATATTTCTAAGTATTTTGAATTTTGAATTAAATAAAAGGGAGAGAGAGAGATCTATTAATGATAAAAATTTATTTTTTAATGATAGATATATTTATATATATTTATAGATATTCGATTAGGTGCCAAGTTGGAAATATTTGGATTTGATGTATATATATTATTAAATAAATAAATAAATAAATAAATAAATAAATAAATAAATAAATAAATAAATAAATAAATAAATAATAAAAAGTTGAAGAATCTTTTATTTGTGATTTAATTAAAGATAGGAGGATAAGAAGAGAGATGAGAGGAGAGATGAGAGGAGAGATGAGAGGAGAGAGGAGAGGAGAGATGAGAGGAGAGATGCGGTACAAGTCATAGCAAATCTAGTTACTAAGTGCATTTTTCTCGACTTTCATTGTCGAAACTGGGAGAAATGTATGGGTATGTGTTTAGTTCATACGAGATTAGAGATGGAGGACGGAGGCTGGATGAGGATGATGATATGGCTAGGAACTCCGGGAAAAATGTTTATTTGTATGCTTGGTATCGAGAAAGAGAAGACGATGATCATCACACCTTAATTTCAGTTGAATTATGAACTTTTCGATCTTGCTTTTGTCTGTCTTGCCCTATGATTGTGGTGTTTTAGACTTGACGAACGGAAGGAAAATAAACAGTAAAATCAAGGGAATAAAAGCAAAGCAAGAAGGATAGTATAGGCTGTCATGCAGGAAGTTGGCAAAGTTGTAGGCTATTTATCTCGAGGGCTTGAATAGTTTCATCACTCGATTGAAACCATGAATCCCAGGTCTAAAGCATCTCACATTGCGAGTCCCATAGCTCCGGTGTAATCTTCGAGACGAGGTTGGGCTGCTACGATTCTCTATATCACAAGAACTTGATATTGCCGAAATCGCAAAATCCAATTCAACGCTTCATATAAATCCAGTTTTATTATAACACAAACACATTCAGGTATCATCGCTCTTCATCTCCCTTTCACCCACGCTCTTTACATCAACAATCTCCAAGCACCCAAAATCAATGCCGCCGTACCCGTACAAACACCCATTAACCACTGCAAAGTCTGAAACTTAACACCCTCCAACTTCTCCCTCAACCCAGCAACCTCCTGCTCAATCTTCGTTTCCGTCTCCTTGATCTTAAGATCCTGAACATTAGCCTCCTCTCTTATCCTTCCTTTCTCCAAATTTAAATCCAACCGAACGGAAGCTTGCGTTCGGGAAACCTCGTCGCGGAGACGAGCATTGAGTTTAGCGAGGTCATTGGTTAGTCTCTCATGTGAAGCGCGGGTTGTGGATGATTCTGTAGAATCTGAGGAAAGGAGCTCGCTGCGGAGCGCCGCGAAATCAACTTTTTGAGTGTAGGTAGCGCGAGCTGCATCTTCCCGAAGGACCATTGTGCGAGTTAGGTTTTGGATACTGGTAAGGTGTTAAATGAGCGCTTCGTGAGTTTAAGAAAGGCAGCAAAGGCAAGGAATGAAAGGTTACCTTTCTTCGATAACATCGCTCAGTACTTTCATCATAGCTACAGCTTGAGTTTCTGTGAATCCCTCATCCTGTAATCTTTGGACGAACTTTAAAGTATCGAAATGGTGGTCTCGAGACTGTCGCGAGGTTGCATGGAATGCTCTTCGACATGATAGTTCTTGTAATATGCTAGTTTTAGGTTTGTTTCCATCTCCCGTTGATCGTGCTCCGTTTGACGTCTGCTTTCCAGAGACCAGTCTTATAGACTTCCCATTATTGTTTGCTGCTGCGCTGAATGCTCGAACAGTATGCGGGGGTAATGAGGATCGAGCTTGCCAGCTCAATCTAGGGAGGAGAAATCGAGGTAGTGTTTGTGCAGAGTTTGCAATTGAATTTGCCATTGCTTTTTGATTCCTTAGGAGGTAAATTGACTTCAAATCCTGTATAATTCTCCAAGTTTTCTGTTGAGGAATTGTGTTCTTAAAGATAGGCATTAATCTCTTGATACCCATCACATCATGCCCGGCAGTATCCGTTAGTCACCGAAATCGTGGAACTACGGTGACCAAGATTGTTTGTCTTCTCGGTTGAGTCACCCACTTCAAGAATATTATCAAGTTTCGAAATCTTGCCCATTCAAAAATCAACGAGGAATAATACCCACGACATTTGAATCCTTTCTTGAATTTCAGATTAGATCTTAGTGAACATATTGAGTTATCTGAGAATTCTTCAGCTCCAGATACCTCCACATCAAGGGAAATCACCCAATTACCCCGCCACAGCAAATATTTAAGAAAACGAAACAGCAAACCCCCCACCAGAGATCAACCACCCAACATGGCATCGAACGGTGATAAGTTTGGGAATGATCTGGAATCTGAATCCGACTCTAACCCAGGATCTCCTAACCTTGATGCGCAAGAGATTGACGACAATGTCGAGGATATTGACGAGAAGCCCATCAAATCCGCATTAAAGAAATCATCACATAAAGAGCCTGCGCCAGTTGTTGTTCGACCTATTTTACCACCTCAAACAGAACCAAAAGACTTGGATGTGAAGACCCTGAATCCCCTCACGCCAGAGATTATCGCAAGACAAGCAACTATCAATATTGGTACTATTGGACATGTGGCGCACGGAAAGTCAACTGTGGTGAAAGCTATCTCAGGAGTACAAACTGTTCGTTTCAAGAACGAATTGGAGAGAAATATTACGATTAAGCTTGGTTATGCGAATGCGAAGATCTACCAGTGCGATAACAAAGAGTGTCCTAGACCAGGTTGCTTTAGATCTTATAAGAGTGAGAAGGAAGTTGATCCACCATGTGAGAGAGATGGATGTGGTGGTACCTACAAACTTTTGAGACACGTATCGTAAGTTACGTTGCTTGCAATTTTAAGCGGCAGCAATAGCTAATATCTGATAGTTTCGTCGATTGCCCTGGTCACGATATTCTTATGAGTACCATGTTGTCTGGTGCAGCCGTCATGGACGCCGCTCTTCTACTTATTGCTGGAAATGAAACTTGCCCGCAACCACAAACTTCAGAACATTTGGCAGCCATCGAAATTATGAAGCTTGATAAGGTCATTATTTTACAGAACAAGGTCGATTTGATGAGAGAAGAAGGCGCAAACCAACATTACCAATCGATATTGAAGTTTATTAGAGGAACTGTTGCAGGTGGAGCACCAATTATCCCTATCTCCGCCCAACTGAAGTTCAACATTGATGCCGTTAACGAAGCTCTTGTATCCAACATCCCTGTCCCACCAAGAGATTTCACAATGGATCCACAAATGATTGTTATTCGATCCTTCGATGTTAACAAGCCAGGTGCTGAGATTGACGAATTGAAGGGTGGTGTTGCTGGTGGAAGTATCTTGCACGGTGTCATCAAATTGGGTGATGAAATCGAGATTAGACCTGGTATCGTTTCTCGCGACGAAAAGGGAGGTGTTAAGTGTCAACCAATTTTCAGCAGAATCATCACACTTAACTCGGAGAACAATGAGTTGAAATACGCCGTTCCAGGAGGACTTATTGGTGTTGGTACTCGAATTGATCCTACTCTTTGCCGTGCCGATCGTCTCGTCGGTTTCGTTCTCGGTCTCAAGGGCCGTCTCCCTGATATCTACATCGAAATCGAAGTCAACTACTATCTGTTGCGTCGTCTCTTGGGTGTTAAGACTGCTGATGGTAAACAAGCTAAGGTTACTAAGCTTACAAAGAACGAGGTTCTCATGGTTAACATTGGATCTACTGCTACCGGTGCTAAGGTTATGGCTGTCAAGCAAGATGCAGCTAAATTACTCTTGACCAACCCTGCTTGCACAAACATTGGAGAAAAGGTTGCGCTAAGTCGTCGTATTGAAAAACATTGGCGATTGATTGGTTGGGCCACTATCGCTGCTGGTGTAACTCTTGATCCAAGCACTTCTTAAGAGGATGGATGGAAGCAATATTTTCATACATAGCCTAGGAATTCAAGACAAAAGTGAAAGAGAGGCATGCAGCGATGTATTCTTGTGATGTAGTGATGTGATGGAAGAAGGATGTCTCGAGATCTTGAGACTCTTGGCTTATTCTGGCCTGGTCGTCGCATGTATACCGAGTATGTGAGGGAATGTCGATAGATTGGGCGCGGCAATTAAAAGTTAGCTCGATAATGAATTATTTTTTTTATACAGCATTCGTATTGTGATGTTTTTATGATGATGATGCACTTCATTGAGTCAGCTTTGAACAATTGGTAAGCCAGAACACAGCATCGCGTTTTCGTCTCTTGTCTTTGTAATCGTACAGTAGGTATCATAACCTTAAATCTCGCCTAATAGTTCGCCAAGCACGAAGCACGAGGTTCAATTGAAAAAGAACAATGTGGAAGCTGAGATGAGATTACATAATTCATATTAAGGTTAATTAGGTAGGTAGGTGATGTAAGCTGGTTGCCTTTTCAGCTTATTTTGAGCTTACTCTTTTTGTTATTTATGGGGGAGGAGCTTTTTAGGTAAGTGGGGAGGGAGTTTGATACGAATACGGGGATGGAGGGTGGAGGATGATTCTATTATGAGGAGTTTTGTTGATGTGTATGGTGAGATAGATCGTATTTAGATTAATTGTAGGGAGTAGAGGGTAGAGGGTAGAGGGTAGAGGGTAGAGGTAGAGGGCAGTCATATCTGGTGATGAGGAGAGAATTTCGTGTTTCTTTTTGATGATGAACAACAACCCGTTTCCTTGGCTGAGCGAATATGATACAGGTGACGGTAACGATATTGGCATCAGGGTGCATTTGGAAGAAAAAATAAGTGATCTTGGCTAGTAATTCTCACTCTGACTATGGATTATACAGATTGGCTATAGTTGTGTGAGCCTAGATTCATCTACATGATGATTATGTCTATATTCCGTACACAAATGCAGCCTACAGGTCGTTGAGAGGATCTAATTGTACTTTGTAGGTCTGAAAAAGGTTACCTTAGTAAGTGAGTGGAGCTATAATCCCGGCTATAAACCTTGCCATATTAAGCTTAATATCGTCGTACCTCAAGTCTGTGGGATGGCTGCATGTCTATGTGTCGGTGTCAGTGTTACTGTTCGGATATATTTTTACATCTACCGTCTCTATTTCTACGCGACCACGAGAAAGCGACTTCAAAGCAGTGTCAAAGCACCATCGCCGGTTAAAACCTATCAGTACGTGTATACTGCAGTAACCTACATGAATAAATGCGCCTATTCCCCTTTCTCGACATTCGTGGCCATATCGTCAGCTAGGCATCATACAAACAAACTATTTCGATTCCCAAAGCTATCCCACTTTTCCTTCCAGATCTAATTCCATTCTGCTTATTACGCGAGCATTATCCCAGGGGAGAGAAATGAATTTTATCTCTTTCGCGTACAGTTGTATGGGGCTAAGAGGTTTGCAGATTGCTATGTACATGTGGGCTCTGTCTTAGGTAGAAGTTAGAACACGACAGTTAGAGTACTACTCTGTACACAAATCATCAAATTTCTACTTCGGCCGATGAGAAAACTTTATTTTTATTCACACTTCCTATGATGCACTGATGCAGACATCCCAAATTCCAAGACGAAAATCTTTACGTCTGCCTATCTGCCTCACTCGGAGTTAAAGAAACACCCGGCGCACTGCTTGTCTGCTTACTCGGATTTTACTAACACCCGACGTTCTGCTTCATATGAGTACGTAAATGTAAATATGAGTCAGGCCTTAAGTGATCAAAGCGAGTTTTCTTCTTCCCCCAAGAATGGTACCCGGTGGGGAGTCAGAGTCCTTTTTAGTGATCGGGTCGAGGGATGTGATTTGCTGAGGCGTTTGATTCAAATTCCAAGGGGCTGAGGGGCCGACACGCTTAGGAGAGAGAAGAATCTAGATGGAAGGAATGAGATGAGGTGGATGGAAAAAATGGGTGAATTAGGACATTGGCGCTCATGTCCCATGCCCCATGCAAGAAAATTGAAAATAAGATATGCGATTTGTTGAAGCACAGGGACAGGTAAAAAAGAAAAGGATGAGGAAGTTTTCGGACACTTTTCTATAGTAGTATCTTGTTTTGCTCTGTGCATCCCAAATATGTCGCCGACGAAGGGTATATAGGTAGGGATATATTTTGGATATATGTTACTCTTCATTCTTTTTTCTAGAATCTTCATGATCGATCTGACTGCCGTTATATACGTATCAGACTAAAAACTTAGTTTCACCAAGAAAGCAAAAATTTAACCTTAATTGGCAACCTATTTTTCCCCAGGATTTTTTTACTGGATTTTATTGGATTTAGCTGGGTTTTAATTGGATCCATAAGGTTAGTGCTCATCAAAGAATACCTTGCGTTGCCCTAGTCTACGTATACGCATACATTTTACTTTTCCACATCCATCAACCACGATTCGCAAAGGGATTTCGACAAGGCTCCCCTTATCGGATTTGAGTGCGTTTCTATCTATCCCCGTTTATTGTTTACTTTATTTCCTCCGTACTTACGGGCTAAATCCACCGCCGGGTTCGTCCGTAGAGGGACTTGGAGATGTGAAATAAAAACGGCTATATATATTCGCATTACTGTACATCTTCAGATTGTATCTTCTTGACTAATCAATCATATAGAAGATTACTTCTTCAACTTTTTAAAGTTATCTTTCACTTAACTATCTACTTTCTTCTAAGGAGTCTTATCAAATCAAGAAGAACTTGGCGATCGAAGGACAATGATGACGGATGAAAAGTTACCACCCACGACAGCATCGTCTGCTTCAAGTACAATGCATGAGAAACCGGGTGCTGGGTCGACGGAAAAAACTCCAGAAGCGACAACTTCGGCTCAGGAAGGGGACAACAATAACGCGATAGAGTTAAATAGGACGAGAAGTGCAGCGGACGTACAGCAAGAGGAGTTGAACAGGGTTATGACAAGTGCAGATGGTGTAGAATATCCAACTGGTGTCAAGTTACAGTTGATTAGTTTGGCATTATGTTTATCGGTTTTCTTGATGGCATTGGTATGTTTCTGCTAGTTTATTCAAGACTACAGTTTCTTTATTTCTTGAGTTCTTGAGTTCTGATTGGTGAATAGGATAATTCTATTATTGCAACGGCCATTCCCAAGATTACGGATCAATTTCATTCATTGGACGATGTTGGTTGGTATGGATCTGCATGTAAGAATCTCTAACATTCATGTTTGTTGGTTTTAGTCTCCCCATGAGGAAGGAACTAGTAGGTGGAAACTTAGTGACTAACAATCATGTGTTTACAGACCTTCTCACTACTGCTTCCTTTCAACTCCTCTTTGGGAAATTCTATTCATATTTCTCAATAAAATGGGTTTATCTCATCGCAATTGGTATCTTCGAGGTCGGTAGTTTGATCTGTGGAGTTGCGCCAAATTCGATTGCCTTGATCATCGGTAGAGCTATTGCTGGTTTGGGAAGTGCTGGGATCTTCTCAGGTGCTTTGATCATTGTCGCATATTCCGTACCTTTGATCAAGAGACCTATGTTTACTGGATTTATTGGAGCTATGTATGGTATTGCCTCTGTAGCTGGACCATTACTTGGAGGTGTATTCGTAAGTCTGCCTTAGCATTTCACCATGACAAACACTGACCAGAACAGACTGACAAAGCAACTTGGCGTTGGTGCTTCTTAATCAATCTTCCAATTGGAGCTGGTTAGTCTCCCAAAACTCTTCATGATAAGCCATCGCTGATTATTTGATGTATTAGTCACTATTATTGTTATTTTGATTTTCTTCAAAGCTCCTGATAGACCAACTGTTGCAGAACTTCCATGGAAAGAGCGTATAAAGGAATTTGATCTTCTCGGTACCGCATTCTTCATTCCAGCTATCATCTGCCTACTGCTCGCACTTCAATGGGGTGGAACTAAGTACCAATGGGATAATGGTCGTATCATTGCACTCTTCGTACTCTTCGGACTATTAATCGGAGTTTTTGTCGCCATCCAATTCTGGAAAGGAGATAGCGCCACCGTACCACCCAACATCATGAAGAAGCGAAGCATGTGGTCAGCTGCATGGTTCTCTTTCTGTCTCGGATCATATTTCCTCCTTCTCATCTACTATCTCCCTATTTGGTTCCAAGCCGTCAAGGGTGATTCGGCTGTCAAATCTGGTATTTCTAACATACCAATGGTGTTGACATTGGTAATTGTTAGGTTCGTATAATCTTCCTCATCTTTTGCATATTTTCATAATAATAACATATTTTAGTATCATCTCCGGAGTTGGTGTCACAACAACCGGTTACTACGCACCATTCATGATCATTTCTTCAGTAATCGCAGCAATTGGAATCGGTCTTTTAACCACCTTCAAACCTGACACCAACCACGCGGCATGGATCGGCTACCAATGTCTCGCTGGTATAGGTATCGGCTTCGGTATGCAACAACCTCTCATTGCATGTCAAACCGTGCTCGATATCTCCCAAGTCCCAACCGGCACCTCCGTCATTATCTTTGTACAAACCCTTGGTGGAGCCCTCTTCGTCTCTATCGGTCAAAACATCTTTACAAACAAATTGTCTGAAAATTTGGCACATTTTGTACCAGATTTAGATCCTGCTGTTGTTTTAAGCACAGGTGCTACTAGTATCCAGAAAGACATCGCTCCAGAATATTTGGCCGGTGTAACGATTTCTTATAATAATGCGTTGACGCAATCATTTCTGGTGGCTGCTGTCATGGCTGTTTTGACTATTATTGGTAGTGTGGCCATTGAGTGGAAGAGTGTCAAAGGAAAGAAAATTGAGATGGCAGCTGCTTAAATCCGAGTTCGACAAATATTTCAATCTGGAGTTGAAATTTGGAGCTTGGGTTTAAGGTCGTTTGAGATGTGGTAATGATGTGAACGTTATGTGCTGCATTTTTATTGCACTGTACATGTGTACTATATACCCCTTTTCGCGTTGGAAACCCTTTATAAAGGGAAGAAAGACTTGCTTTTGCTATGCTATGGCTGTTATTTGGAAGATTTAATTAATGGATGGATGAGCGGATCACTTGGTTGCTTGTATGATACAGCAGCTGGGTGATGGGTGGTGGGCGATGAAGGGTGTGGTCTTGTCTTGATGGCTGAATGGCTGAGATGAGATGAGATGAGATGGTGGATTCCTATGAGATAGATGCTGCATAGATGAATATTTATGGCATGTATGCCATGTATGGAATTATGGCATGCTTTAATGAAATAGATAGATATATATATATATATATATATATAGATGGGGGGATAGAAAAATTAACTCTACTACTTACTTACTTGGTTATTTTTTAATATAAATAATATGATTATTATAAGCATTATGAGGAAGGGTTATAAGACATAATTAATAAAAGAAAGAAAGAGATTCCTCTTGGGATTTTAATACTTTGTAAATTGTTTTTTTTGGTTGTGTATGCTGTCTTAACATTTAGTGATAATAATGATTGGTAGTTCAGTCAACAGGGCTAACTACATAGAGTTAGTTGTACTAGATTTTGTGCAACATCTCCAGTTATATATATAACCCACCACCTACTGTTTTCTTTTGAAAAACGCAGCAGAAATTAGCTGCTATAAGATACAAAATACAGTTTGAAAGCATTAAGTTCAGCAAGTTCCAATTGAATCAGGAATTGAAACGTGCAACACGGACTGCTTGGCAATCAGCTCTACTGTGTAGAGATGCGAAAAATAAATCATTTCGAGTTGCCACTTGGCGGGAGTGTTGCCGGTTTAGTTTTGGGGAACATGCTGAGTAGTTTGGTTCTATCATTCCAAATGCATACCCGAAAATAGCTCCGCATGTTGGGGTTATTATAGGACTTCTCTCGAACGGCAATCGTGTTCTTTTCCAATTAGGGTTATTTGACACTATCCCGGGAATGGCACCGCCTGTTAGAATTTTGATTTCCGCAATACCAAGGAGAGAAAACAGCAGGACGCTCTGGGGTGAGGCACTCTGTCGAACAGAGGTAGATACAAATTTATATTCAAGAAAGGATACAATATTCTGGTATCCTACACCATTGGAATATCCATGCATAAGTTATCCAATTGGAGGTCATACAGTAAACTCGGCATCTGGGGCCTCCGCAGCATTCGTCAGTTTCTTGATGGAACTTTCGAAAATGTCTTCCAAGTCAAGACTTAAGTCTTGAAATAACAAAACCGCTCGCGGAGTTGCAAGAACTGTGAGAGAGCCGAGTCATAATTCTAAAAGATGGTAATAATGACCACCAACGCACATAAGCCATGGAAGAATCGTTGCACGAATTCGTAGCTTTGACTGCTGCCGATAACGGATACGGAAGATGTGATGTTGAGATTTTTCTGGAATCAAATGTTTGCTGAGATATCGGAAATGTTCGAGATTCCACCACAAGTGAAGTTGATTCTTTTTAAAGACGAGTTGGCGACCTCCCCTGAATTGAGGGTCCCGCTAGAATGGTTGCAAACATTGTTATGCATTGGTCTTGCAGTATCTGCCTAATCTGCCTATTATGGCATGTGAGTTAGTTCAAAGAATGAACTCTTGCAGGTCGCTTTGAAGTATTTTGAGAAGCCCGAGAACTTGCCGCCGAAGACAATAACGGTCCCGTCCCAATAAGCTATTTCTTCAGTATACAGATTCAGCCAATACCTATTCGGTTGGTCAAGGCTTAATGCAAGGGTAATGTAATGGTAGAACCTTGTAGCCATGTAAGAAGTCCTTAGTCACACCGGTATATTTCGTTCCCACATCTTCGATAGCTGACTTTAACCTGAAACCGATCGTATTATTCTCACTATCTCAGTGACTTGATTTTGATCTTATCATAACCATATTCCAAACAACAAACACTATGTTTTCCAATGCAAAGCCATACTGTTGACCTTCTCACGTCTACTGCCGGCTCAATACCTCAAAGTGGTTCTGCCCTTCGTCAAAATGAGATATGCCATACCGACACTTTTAATGTTTGTACCGTGGGACAAATCAGGCTATTGCACAAACCTTGTGAGTAGTATGATGGGTGTCGCCTATGATTGCACCAATCCTGACTTTCATCGGCGAATAATTTACAAGAAGATAGATTCCCCACAATCTGGACACCCAATGCTACCGATGAATGGAAGGATCTTCCACATCTCAGGAGAATCTACCTCACTACGGTTTTTATGGGCGCTGAGCTCTAGAGTAGTAACTTCTCCAGAGTTTTATTATGTTGCAATGCAGCTATATCCCTAAGTTCGATTTACTACTGCCGAGCTCCGAAACTACTCTTTTGTCGAATCCGGGAGTTTGTACGCTGCGGCTTGTGCTTGGCTCACACTGCAGTCTAGGATATCAAGCATCTTAACAGAACAAACTGCTGATGTGGAAAAGCAGTTGTATTTACTTTGTGCCAGCTTGGCTACTAGGCCAGAAGCCGCGTTGCTGGGTTGTTGGTACTGGTCGGAAATGCAAATGGCTCGGCTAGCGTCCTGGCCAAGAAGTAATGGATTGTCTACTTGGACGGGTGGAAAGAGCACACACAAACAAATGAGGAATGACGAGAGCAATGAAGTAAGCCATGTATGTACAAGAGTTCCCGGGTAGTTCATATGAAGAGCTTGACATCACCCCAATACTTTGAGACTCGGGTCCGGTTGCGTTTATGCACTGTTTAATAAAGGAAAGAACAGGAAGGATAATAATCTTTACTGTAATAAAGTATTCAAGTAAAATCGCATTTCAAACAAAATATGATACGGAGTAACTGCCGACATAACAAGCAAGTTATCAAACCGTAAAATGTCAAGCATACTATTATTTACTCCAGCGGCTCGGTTCGCTGGTCTACCCGCAGTTTCACCACTAGAAGCCGAGCCTTGTGGGACACGAGCGGGAACTAGAATTTTGCATTCCAAAGGCAAAATGTTGTATCTTGAAAACATTTTGGAAAGCTTGAGATCTTTCTTTCTGGTCCTCAAAACGAGTCGTTGCAATCGATGTGAATGTCAAACTTCAATGCTTGGTGAGAAAGGGGTCGTGCCCCTTATGTACTTAATCATGTGATGCGGCTGACCGATTGGCTAAAACGGACTAGCGCATTCTTAGCTTCGTTGATCCAGCGGTTTACAATTGTCGCCGTCGCAAGTGACAAGGCCAGTTTTAGAAGCATACAACCACATACACTCTCCACATTTCAAATCTCATATTCCTCAGCACCCCTCACATCTGGGTACTTTTCAAATTCTCTAATAATTTTCCACAGTACTTGTACTTTCCAATCTGCCGTTTACTATTAATTGAGCACTTTTCTGGGTGAACAGCGCCTCTGCGCAGATAGCTTACCCACTACATTGGGTCAACAATTAAAAGAGGTCATTTTCCTTTGATCGCATAGATTCAGAGATCATTAAAGATGGGTCCACTCCCAATCAAGTTTACGGAGCTTCTCCAGGTATGATATAAGGTCTAGATGTGGTGAATTGTTGATTTGTGTTTACTGACTTTAATTTAGTTAACAAGTGTCGGAGTTGAGGTATGTACCAGCCACAAACACAGCTGTTTTTACCAGCTCTGCCATGCCATTTTTAAGCCTTGGTACATCATCTCAATCTGACTTACTAATTGTTAATTTGACAGGCGCAATCGATAGGTTTTAATTCATGTGTAAGTTATTCCAATTCAGCTTTGGGCATGTATTGATTATTTGACCAGACACTGGAGTCAGATTCATACATCTGCGTACGAGAGAAGAAGAACGAAGCCGCACAACCAGAAGTCGTCATCGTCGATTTAAAGCAGAACAATGCTGTCACTCGAAGACCTATCAAGGCGGATAGTGCCATTATGCACTGGTCGAAACAGGTCATCGCATTAAAAGCACAATCAAGGACCTTACAAATATTTGACTTGGGTGCCAAGGCGAAGCTGAAGTCTGCTACCATGAATGAAGATGTTGTCTTCTGGAAATGGTTCAGTGAGACAAGCTTGGGTTTGGTTACCGACACAACAGTTTACCACTGGGATGTTTTTGACCCAAATCAAGCAGCTCCAGTGGAGGTCTTCAAGAGAAATCCAAACCTTTCTGTAAGTTCTGCTATTACTGAGGGAGGAAATGATATTGATGTTTCGTCAGGGATGTCAGATCATCAACTATCGTGTTAGTGGTGATGGAAAGTGGATGGTAGTCGTGGGCATTACACAACAACAAGGACGAGTGGTTGGAGCGATGCAACTTTATTCGAAAGACAGAGGCATCAGTCAGGCTATCGAGGGTCATGCCGCAGCATTTGGTACACTAAGATTAGAATCTGCGCCAGCAGACACGAAAGTGTTCACATTTTCGGTTCGAACTGCTACTGGCGCAAAGCTACACATAGTCGAGGTCGACCATCAATCTTCAAATCCACCGTTTTCAAAGAAAGCAGTTGATGTATATTTTCCTGCTGAAGCCGTAAACGATTTCCCAGTCGCCATGCAAGTTTCACAAAAATACAGCATTATTTATCTGGTTACAAAATACGGCTTTATCCACCTCTACGATCTTGAGACCGGTACATGTATTTTCATGAACCGCATCTCGAGCGAGACGATTTTCATTACAGCCGGCGACTCGGAATCCGCGGGACTTGTTGGTGTTAACCGAAGAGGACAAGTACTGTCGGTATCTGTTGATGAAACAACAATTATTCCGTACTTGCTCCAAAATCCTGCAAACTCGGGCTTAGCAGTCAAGCTTGCCTCAAGAGCCGGTCTACCTGGTGCAGACAACCTCTATGCCAACCAATTTGAGCAACTTTTGGCTGCCGGAAACTACTCTGAGGCTTCGAAAATTGCGGCAAACTCTCCCCGCGGCTTTTTGCGAACTCCACAAACTATCGAACGTCTCAAGAGCTTACCGGCTGTGCCCGGTCAATTATCTGTTATCTTGCAATACTTTGGTATGCTGCTTGACAAGGGATCGTTGAATAAACATGAGACATTGGAGCTTGTACGACCTGTCTTGGCTCAGAATCGAAAGCATCTCCTTGAAAAGTGGATGAAGGAAAACAAGCTCGACTGTTCTGAGGAATTGGGTGATATTGTCCGCCAACAAGATACACAGCTAGCACTTGCTATCTATCTTAAGGCAAATGTTCCCCACAAAGTTGTTGCTGCTTTCGCCGAGAGTGGTCAATTCGAGAAGATCCTACCTTACGCCCAACAAGCAGGTTACCAACCAGACTATGTCCAATTACTCCGTAATATTATCTCTATCAACCCTGAAAAGGGAGCCGAATTTGCTACTCAGTTGGCAAATACCGAAGGTGGTTCTCTCGTTGACGTTGAGCGTGTTGTAGACGTATTTCAGTCTCAAGGAATGGTTCAACCCGCCACTGGATTCCTGCTTGATGCACTGAAGGAAAACAAGCCTGAGCAAGGACACTTACAAACTCGCCTCCTTGAAATGAATCTCGCGAATGCTCCTCAAGTCGCTGATGCCATTCTTGGCAACGAAATGTTCTCTCATTACGACAAGCCTAGAATCGCGCAGCTATGTGAACAAGCTGGCCTTGCTCAAAGAGCTTTGGAACACTATGAAGACCCCGAGGCTATCAAACGTGTCATTGTCAATATTGTTGCATCCCCAACTTTCAGTCAAGAATGGCTCACTGGTTACTTTGGCCGCTTGTCCCTGGAACAGTCACTGGATTGTCTTGATGCTATGCTCAAAGTAAACATCCGTCAAAACCTCGGGGCCGTTGTTCAGATTGCCGTGAAATACTCGGATTTACTCGGCCCTGTTAGATTGATCGATCTTTTCGAGAAGTACAAGACTGCTGAAGGTCTATACCATTACCTTGGTAGCATCGTCAATTTGAGTGAGGACCCAGACGTAAACTTCAAATATATTGAAGCTGCCGTGAAGATGCAGCAGTATCAGGAGGTTGAACGTATATGCCGTGACAGGTTCGTTGCACTATCGCCCTATTGTCGCACAGTATATGGAGCTAATAATACTCTAGTAATTCCTATGATCCGCTCAAAGTCAAGAACTTCTTGAAGGAGGCCAAATTGACTGAGCAATTGCCGTTGATCATCGTCTGTGATCGATTCAACTTCATTCATGAGTTGGTACTTTACCTCTATCAGAACCAACAGTTTCAATCTATCGAGGTATATGTTCAACGAGTAAACCCTGCACGAACTCCTGCTGTCGTCGGTGGATTACTCGACGTTGACTGCGATGAGCAAATCATCAAGAATCTCTTGAATTCCGTTAATCATGCTTCCATCCCTATCGATGAGCTTGTTCAGGAGGTTGAATCCCGGAACCGCCTTAAGCTTCTGTTGCCATTCCTCGAGGCCACCTTGGCTGCAGGCAATCAGCAACAAGCTTTACATAACGCGCTCGGAAAAATCTTTATTGACAGGTACGTACATCCCTCCACAGTGTTTGGAACATGATAGCTAACTATTGCTTCTAGTAACAATAACCCAGAGCAGTTCCTCAGGACAAACGATATGTACGATTGCAAAGTTTTGGGCACCTACGCAGCTAAGCGAGACCCGTCGCTTGGTATGTTTGTTCTTTGTTTCTATTTTCATTCTACCAACTGGACTTCCACAGTTTCATCATATACTGCATCTACACTTGGGGAGGTAGTACCTTCCTCTGATACTTGGTCATTCCTTCACCACTAATCACCCCTTCTTTTTCGACTGCGTCTTCATCTGATACCTGGACGGGCCAATAACAATGACCGCCCTTTCCCTTTTTGGGCGGGCTTTCTCGTGATGTTATGATGATGAAGGATATCCCTCTTCCACTTGGACAGCCCCCGGAGGCAATCTCGTAACCAGCCTCGAGCACGTCGTTTCTTGGAACAAGACATTTTTATGACATCTTTGCGTAATATGCTCAAATCGATAACACCGATCGTCATCATTAGCTTTGCTTGAATTAGCGTGGTCAATGTTTGCTACAACCGTCATCCTTTTTTGAAGATCATTGTTACCTGTTACATTCTCTCTTCTGGAATGGAACGATGGCTAGCTGTACAATAAGCATTTGCTCGACGACTGGAAAGTCCTTTCGGGGATGACTACGCTTGTCCCTCCTGCCGTTACATTGTCTCATATATACCTGAGCATTGTTGACACATATTTGCTCGACATAAACGAACGGTGCTCGCTCAATTTACGTACCGGATCCTCACCGTATATCATTCACTCCACTATCACTCATTCTTTCTCCTAGAACTGGACAATCTTAACACACATGCTCCACACAAAGAAATCGGTAGTACCGTTTTTGCTCGATTTGCTGAATTTCTTCCGAGGCCCTAATGAATTTTTTGCTAACCAATTAAAAGCTATTATCGCATTTAGTAAAGGTCAGAACGATCTTGAACTCGTCAACATCACCAATGAAAATTCTATGTACAAAGCTCAAGCTCGCTACCTCCTGGAAAGAGCTGATAACGAATTGTGGGGGTTCGTCTTGTCTGAAAACAATATTCACCGCCGATCCGTGATTGATCAAGTCATATCTACAGCTGTTCCAGAGTCGACCGAGCCCGAAAAGGTTTCTGTTGCAGTTGCAGCCTTCCTTAGTGCTGATCTTCCAGGTGAATTGATTGAATTGCTTGAGAAGATCGTTCTTGAGCCTTCGCCATTCAGCGACAATGAGAGCTTGCAGAATCTTCTCATTCTCACCGCCACCAAAGCTGATAAGAGCAGAGTCATGGATTATATCCACAAGTTGGATGCGTATAATCCTGTGGATGTCGCTTCAATTTGTATTGAAGTTGGCTTATATGAGGAGGCATTCGAGGTTTACAAGAAGATTAATGACCATATTAACGCTGTCAATGTCCTCGTTGAGCATATTGTCAGTATCGATCGCGCACAAGATTTTGCGGAACAGGTGGAGATTCCTGAAGTATGGAGTAGAGTCGCTAAGGCTCAGTTGGATGGGCTACGTGTTTCCGACGGTATCAATAGCTATCTCCGAGCAAACGATCCAAGTAACTACCTCGAGGTTATTGAAATTGCTACCCACGCTGGCAAGGACGAAGACCTCATCAAATACCTTCGTATGGCCCGTAAGACTCTTCGCGAGCCTGCCATCGATACTGGACTTGCCTTTGCATTTGCTCGTACTGACCAATTAAGCGAACTCGAGGACTTCCTCAGGGGAACTAATGTCGCTGATATTGAAGAGTCGGGTGACAAGGCATATGCTGAAGGCTTTCACCAAGCTGCGAAGATCTTCTTCACTAGTATTTCAAATTGGGCGAAACTTGCCACCACTCTTGTTCACCTCGAGGATTATCAATCTGCCGTCGAGTGCGCAAGAAAGGCCAATAATATCAAGGTCTGGAAGCAAGTCAACGCTGCTTGTGTTGAGAAGAAGGAATTCCGTCTTGCCCAGATTTGTGGTCTCAATTTGATCGTTGATGCTGAAGAGCTACAAAGCTTGGTCAAGCAATACGAGCGCAATGGTTACTTTGATGAACTTATTGCATTACTTGAGCAGGGTCTAGGTCTTGAACGTACGTTGCCCGTTAATTTCTCTACTACTAATAGCCCGAAACCATGTACTAATATTATCATATTTAGGATGTCATATGGGAATTTTTACGGGACTAGGTATTGCCCTTTCCAAGTACCATCCAGATCGCACTATGGAGCACTTGAAGCTTTTCTGGAGTAGAATCAATATTCCAAAGATGATTCGTGCCTGCGAGGAAGCCCACCTTTGGCCAGAGTTGATTTTCTTGTACTGTCATTATGATGAGTGGGATAACGCCGCTCTTGCAATGATGGAGAGAGCTGCCGACGCATGGGAGCATCACTCTTTCAAGGATATCATTGTCAAGGTAGCAAATTTGGAGATCTACTACCGCGCTCTAAACTTCTATCTTCAAGAGCAACCATCTCTCATTACCGATCTTCTACAGGCACTTGCACCAAGAATTGACGTCAATCGTGTTGTCAAGATGTTCGAAAAGTCTGACAACATCCCTCTCATCAAGCCTTTCCTTCTTAACGTTCAAACTCAGAATAAGAAGATTGTCAACGTGGCCATCAATGATTTGTTGATTGAGGAGGAAGACTACAAGACTCTCCGTGATTCTGTTGAGAATTACGATAACTATGATGCCGTCGAGCTTGCTCAACGATTGGAGAGTCACGATTTGGTCTTCTTCCGCCAAATCGCTGCCAATATCTACCGCAATAACAAGCGCTGGGAGAAGTCGATCGCTCTTTCTAAGCAAGACAAGCTTTTCAAAGATGCAATTGAGACTGCTGCTATCTCTGGCAAGTCAGATGTTGTCGAGGAGTTGCTTAGATATGTAAGTTTGTCATCCGGTATTCCTTTTCTTTTGCTAATGATTCTCCTAGTTCGTCGATATCGGCAGCCGAGAATGCTATGTTGGTATGCTCTATGCCTGCTATGATCTCATTCCTGTCCATGTTGTCATGGAAGTCTCATGGCGTCACGGCCTTACAGATTTTACCATGCCATTCATGATCAACTATTTGGCTCAACAAAGCTCTACGATTGCTGAGTTGAAGAAGGACAACGAGGAGAGGAAGTTGAGAGAAAAGTCACAGGTTCAAGAAGAGGACAATACCCCCATTCTCGGAGGCAATCGTCTTATGATCACCGCTGGACCAACCGGACGTGCATCTCCAGCCCAGTTCGGGCACACTAATGGATTCGCGCCACAACCGACAGGTTATGGAGGGTTTTAGACGATGCTGGAGGATGAAGAACACGCTTATACATAATGATATTGCATTTGGGTTGCAAGTTTTCTTGATTTTTCATCAAACCTGGGTTCGTCGAGATTTGCATCTCGGAATATTCCATGATGATGACGATATAGTTGTATGCTTGTTGCAACATTTACTGGGTAGAATCCTTTTTCCTTCTTCAAGGGAGGACTCGCCATGTTTGTAACTGATAGTTTGGGGAGCGTTTATGGAAGAGTCTGCCTTTAGATTCTCTGATGTATTTCTGCACAATATGATAAAAGCAAAAGCTAGTTTACATTAAAACGGAATAAGAAGAGCCGTGCTCGCGCCGTTCCGCTGATGCCGCCTTGGTGTGTAGGATCTTAGATAAGAGTGAGATGTCCTGCACTGTGACGGCCTGCACTGTGATGGCCAAGAATGCCAATTCTGCAGTAGTGTTTCACGATGTAACTGTACACATTTTGGCAAAATAAAAAATGTTTTGAACTTTTTTTAATGGATGTTTTGATGCCAAGTAGCTTGGTTCTTGGTTGGCTATGACATCCACCGGCTACGCGCCGAAACCACGAAGTTGGGTGCAAAACTTTTGGATAGTTGAGTGTAAACACTTAGATCTGAAATAATAGCTTGGCGAGTTGAGGCGATGTAGATATGTCTAGGTAGAGAAGTTACTTGGCAGATTGGCGTGCCGGCTTGGCGTTTGTAGAAGCTCAGGAAATGCGTGGCTGGTACCCCACTAGCTTGGGTCTACTAAGATGTAAGCAGAGGGTGGTATTTGGATGGATTAGTGGGAGGCATTTGAGTATGAATTAGGAAAAGTAGAAGATCAAAGAATGATACTTGATACCTGCAAGTTAGGAGGGGTTCGGACAATTAGATGACGAGTAGGAGCGAGATAATAGGTGGGATCATGCGGGAGGGGGGAAGTGTAGAGGTTAGCCTCGGCAATCAAATAGGGATGGCGATATCGCATGTATAGATTTAAAGTTATGAATATGAATTATAAGGTTGTGATCACCGTTTGCTAAATCTTAAAAAGATGAAATATATGAAATTATGAGTTCAACGCCTTGGTCTGGGCTGCCGATAACATCACCGGTCCTCGGCATTGACCATGCTTCGCATCACATCAAAAGTCAATAAAACCCCACGATCACGATAGCCACCTGAGCCGCCAAAAAAAAATAAACAGATGTTACACTGCGTGAATATTTTTGAGATGCGATACGATGAGTATGAATCATGAAGGACGTTTGGAAGATGGGGATGATGGATGAGGATGCATATGATAAGTGGAAATTTGTGTGAGGGTGGAGGATAAGGTATTACGGAGATATGGAAGAATGGAATCAATGGACAGATGGATGTTGGTCTATATTGGATGGTTGGCTATTGGTTTACCAACAGAGTACCTGAGGATATCCCGCGCGGCTGGCTCGATGTTAATTCGGATTGGACGGTAGACAGTTGGTACAAAATTACGAATACATGAGGATATCCCACGCGCTGTTCTGCATGCCGGCTGGCTGGTGGATGATGTGATGTGCTGTGGAGGGGTAGACGCGGAGCAATAATGCATTGGTCCGTGGCAATGAGGTACATAATTCTTTGGCATGCTTGAGTAGTACAGTCTGTATGCACATTGTACAGTATGTGTGCATTTTTTTTTCCTCGCTAACGTTGGCGTATGTGATGAAGGGGGGTAAATGTGATGCAGTGGATATTTTGACTATGAGGTGTATTCTCTGTTGGGACACTTACAACAGAGACCCTTACTATATGCTGAGTGCTGTCCCTTGCAAAACTTCACTGTACAATTGAATCACGTTGTATATTTTGATATTAGTTCTTTCTTGACGCCGTTTAAGAAATCTTACTTCGGATTTGATATTGATATTCGTTGAAGATCATAGATCTGTCATTATCGTAGTTATATGATTGGTTCGGGGCTTAGCACGCTCACTTCGGTCCAAATACATGGAGACATTTCCGAAGCTTAATCCTATAGCGGAAAGTTTGATAGATGGTGGATCAGATATCTGGGCTTTTGATATTGCAATGTAACATCAGTGACCTGAAGACCTAGAATCTTACTCGAGTATGAGTCGACTGGAAATGGAAATGGAGATCACGGTAAGAATGGGATGGCCGATCTTAGATTAATGGATTGAAACTTTAAGCAGTGATGGACGGGTCTTTCATACAGGTAGTGGGGTCTATTTTGCTCTAAGGTTGGAGGTCTACAAACAAAAATGCTCACTTGGCGATGAATACATGGCGTTAGATTTCTCTAGCAGTATGCTGTACGTCCCAGTAATGGAAACTTTAGCTGAGGTCTATCAAATTGGTTCAGGTTCCTTCCCGTGCGAAGCACTCAGGCCTCTCCAGTACAGAATAACAGTAGTCTAGGTTGACAGCAGTGGTATGACCTATAGATCAGGTTCTTTTTTCAGTTCACGAAGAGCATGAAAAAGTGGCTGACAGCCAAGTGAATGAAGCAAACAAACAAAATTGAAGCTGCGCTGCGTTGCGTTGCGTTTCTTGTGACGGCGATGGCGATGTGATCAGAGCCCTGCTCCACCTGGTGCTTCAAAGTCCAACGTCCAAGACTTACCTAGTATCAATAAGAATACAGAGAAATGCACCTGCCAAGTGAGCGATTATTTTGATGAATTTGACCAAGAAAGCCCAAGAAATCCTAGGCGTTAGAAGAGTATAAATAAACCTTGTCAAAAAATTGCTGCCCCTCACCATATTGCATTTGAACAAGCCTCAATATCACCAAGGAAAACTCGGGTCTATTCACTACTTGAGAAAATTAAATAGGACCATTAAAGTCAAGAAGATTCCTTCATTCTGAGAATTAGTCGTTTCCCTTCTTCTTCTCCTCCTTCTTCTTCCTCATACCCGTCTAGTCCTCCTAGTCATCCTGCTCGTCCGTCTATCCACATAAAAAGACATTTAATTATCTTTTTACGAGAAAACAAAGCATACGAATTGTTCTCAAGAGCGTTTCTGCAGTACAGTGTACGCGTTCCACTAATTTACAATATATTGTTACGAGCAGTAGCTTCTTTCTAGAAGCTCTCCCGGGTCCCTCGCTCCCACACTCGAACTTAACCCCTCCATTATTTATACGCTTAACGTTATCCCTGGGCCGAACCTAAGCCGAGAGCCCCTCCGTCCGTCTTCTTAAGACCAACGAGCAAGAAGCTCAACAATACAACCAAATCCGACAACTACACCATCACAAATCTCAATATGGCTCACCACGATGAGAAAGGTCCTCACGGAGATGGAGCTTACAGTGAGGTTATCGAGGAGGGTTCCGATCTCAAACACCCACATACCGTTCATCGCATTAGAGCTAACTCCTCTATTATGCAACTGAAGAAGATTCTTGGTGAGCAATCAATCTATCAGTCATAACCTATCCGCCAATCTTCAAGTCCCTGCAGTATATGCTAATATAAATCTCTTGTGATCTACAGTGGCCAATCGTGGTGAAATTCGTAAGTTTTCCATCAACCAATCCATTTTTGTTTACTGTTGTGTTATGTGACTCAACTAACGTTTGTGTAGCTATTCGTGTATGTTATCGTCCAATTGCTTCAAGCCGATAAATGCAGAATGTGCTGACCCGACTTCCCTGCTCTTTAGATTTTCCGTACAGTAAGTTTGTTTGTCCTGTCCTCGATAGCCCTAGTATCCTTTCCAAGAGATTCTATATGCATCAGACTGACTCGTCTCTTTTTCTAGGCCCACGAGCTTTCCCTACAAACAGTCGCGGTCTTTAGGTAACACCTTGGCGATAATCATATAATGGACACCTGGCTGACCGAGTTTGTAGTTATGAGGATCGTCTTAGCATGCATAGGCAGAGTAAGTGCAATCTGCGAATTATACACGGTGAAGAGAGGCTGACTACATGGTGTTACAGAGGCTGATGAAGCATATGTTATCGGCAAGCGGGGTCAATATACACCGGTTGGTGCATACTTGGCAGGAGACGAAATCATCAAGATTGCTCTTGAACATGGCGTTCAAATGATACATCCTGGTATGAAGATTGAATTTATCATGATCATCGGGACATCTGTCTAATATTCCATTAGGTTATGGTTTCCTTTCCGAGAACGCCGAGTTTGCAAGAAACGTTGAAAAGGCTGGACTTATTGTAAGTGGAACATCCATCGTCTTGTACTTTTGAGGATTGTAACTTATAATACCCGCCGTATAGTTCGTTGGACCTTCCCCAACCGTTATCGATGCTCTTGGAGACAAGGTATCTGCCAGAGCAATTGCTATCAAAGCCGGTGTCCCAGTTGTTCCAGGTACTGAAGGCGCTGTTGAAAAATTTGAGGATGTGAAGAAATTCACCGATGAATTCGGTTTCCCAATCATCATCAAGGCGGCATATGGAGGTGGTGGACGTGGTATGCGTGTTGTCCGACAACAATCAGATCTCGAAGATGCTTTCAACCGTGCCACATCCGAAGCCAAGTCTGCCTTTGGAAATGGAACTGTTTTCGTGGAGCGATTCCTTGACAAACCAAAGCACATCGAGGTACAACTTTTAGGAGACAACCACGGAAACATTGTTCACTTGTACGAGCGTGACTGTTCCGTACAACGAAGACATCAAAAGGTGGTAGAAATCGCACCAGCTAAGGATCTTCCACAAGAAGTCAGAGATAACCTCTTGAATGATGCTGTCAAACTTGCCAGGTCGGTCAACTACCGTAACGCAGGAACAGCTGAATTCTTGGTTGATCAACAGAACCGATACTACTTTATTGAAATCAACCCACGTATTCAGGTCGAGCATACCATCACGGAAGAGATCACTGGAATTGATCTTATTGCAGCACAAATTCAAATCGCTGCAGGTGCAACACTTTCTCAATTGGGTCTCACACAAGATCGCATTTCTACCAGAGGTTTTGCTATCCAATGTCGTATTACCACAGAAGATCCTGCACAAGGATTCTCACCAGATACCGGAAAGATTGAGGTCTACCGTTCAGCCGGTGGTAACGGAGTTCGTCTTGATGGTGGTAATGGATTCGCCGGCGCTGTTATTACTCCTCATTACGACAGGTTCGTAATGATTCTCTCATCTTCTTCCAACATCCATCCTTGATAAGCAAATACTGACTATATAACAGCATGTTGGTCAAATGTACATGTCAAGGATCTACTTATGAGATTGCTCGAAGAAAGGTTCTTCGTGCCTTGATCGAATTCCGTATCCGTGGTGTTAAGACTAACATTCCTTTCTTGGCTACTTTACTTACTCATCCTACCTTCATCGAAGGCAACTGCTGGACCACATTCATCGACGATACCCCTGAACTGTTCGATTTGGTCGGTAGTCAAAATCGTGCCCAAAAGTTGTTGGCTTATCTTGGAGATATTGCTGTCAATGGAAGTAGCATTAAAGGTCAAATGGGAGAGCCAAAATTCAAGGGTGAAATCATCATGCCAGAGCTCTTTGATGCGAGCGGAAAGAAGATCGATACCTCTGTACCATCCAAAAAGGGATGGAGAAACATCCTTCTTGAACAAGGTCCTGAAGCATTTGTCAAAGCTGTCAGGGCAAACAAGGAATGTCTCATCATGGACACAACATGGCGTGATGCCCATCAATCGCTCCTTGCCACTCGTGTTCGAACAGTTGATCTTTTGAACATTGCAAAGGAGACAAGCCACGCTTACAGCAACTTGTTCAGTTTGGAATGTTGGGGTGGAGCTACTTTCGACGTTGCCATGCGTTTCCTCTACGAAGATCCATGGGACAGACTTCGAAAGATGAGAAAGCTTGTTCCAAACATTCCATTCCAAATGTTGTTGCGTGGAGCCAACGGTGTTGCTTACTCCTCCTTGCCGGATAATGCTATCTTTCACTTCTGTGAGCAAGCTAAAAAGCATGGTGTTGATATTTTCAGAGTCTTCGACGCTTTGAACGACATTGATCAGCTCGAGGTTGGTATTAATGCTGTACACAAGGCCGGTGGTGTTGTTGAAGGAACTATTTGTTATTCAGGTTAGTGATTTATCCACTGTGATAGCGTTACCGAATACTAACTTCTAAATTAGGTGACAGTACGTACTACCCAATGCTTGACTCGGCTTGGATGTTTCATTCCCTATGTTTCATTTTCGTTTCTTCACTTTTGATATATCTATACACCTCCCCATCTTTTCTTTCACCCCTTCTCCCAGTACTCTGGAGGATCTTTGAATTTTCCATACCGTTACGAAATTGAAGAGTTGTACCAAAAGAGAAATTTTACTTCCTTTTGAGAGTCTTCTCAACTGTTCATGGCAATCTGGACATTTTATCCCTTCCAAGAGACTAAATGTATTTCCTTCTGGAATGCTTTCTCAATTGTACAGCTTAGTCCGAACATTGAAAGTTCTGTGGGACGGGCAACGTTACATTCATCCTAAAGGGTCTATTCAAATACTGAAATTATCTTGGACATTGAAGTCTTTTCAATTGTTGATAGCATTTCAGATATTGAAGAGCTTTATGGCGTGATAGCTTTACTTCCTTTTCTCTCCAAACCCCTTCATACTAAGAATTACTGACTTACTCTTGCTCTAGTGTTGAACCCCGCAAAGAAATATAACTTGGAATACTACTTGTCTTTGGCCGAAAAGTTGGTGGACCTTAAGATTCACATCCTGGGTGTTAAGGACATGGCTGGTGTTCTGAAACCAAGAGCTGCTACCTTGTTGATTGGAGCCCTTCGCAAGAAGTACCCAGATCTTCCAATTCACGTTCACACTCACGATTCTGCCGGTACTGGTGTTGCATCTATGGTTGCTGCCGCTAATGCAGGTGCTGATGTTGTTGACACCGCTACTGATAGTTTGTCTGGCATGACATCTCAACCAAGTGTTGGAGCTTTCCTTGCTTCTTTGGAGGGCTCCGAACTTGAACCAAAATTGGACGTTCACCATGTTCGAGCCATTGATTCATACTGGTCCCAACTCCGTCTCTTGTATTCACCTTTCGAAGCCCATCTCAGTAAGTACAATATTTCACAATACACTCCCAGATTTCAAACTCCTGTTCTATAACAATTGCTAACTTTTCGAAGCTGGTCCCGACAGCGACGTGTATGAGCATGAGATCCCAGGTGGTCAATTGACCAACATGATGTTCCAAGCATCTCAACTTGGCCTTGGTGCTCAATGGGCCGAAACAAAGAAAGCTTATGAGCAAGCCAACGACTTACTTGGTGATGTTGTCAAGGTCACTCCAACATCTAAGGTTGTTGGTGATTTGGCACAATTCATGGTTTCCAACAAACTCGACTTTGATTCTGTTCAAGCTAGAGCTGGTGAATTGGACTTCCCAGGTTCCGTTTTGGATTTCTTTGAAGGTCTGATGGGTCAACCATACGGCGGTTTCCCAGAACCATTGAGAACCAACGCTCTCCGTGGCCGACGCAAGCTTGATAAGCGCCCTGGTCTTTACCTTGACCCACTGGATTTGGCTAAAATTAAGAAAGATATCCATTCCAAGTGGGGCAGCGTCACTGAGTGTGATGTTGCAAGTTACGCCATGTACCCCAAGGTCTTTGATGATTACCGAAAATTCATTCAGAAGTACGGTGATTTGAGTGTCCTTCCAACTAGATACTTCCTCTCAAAACCAGAAATTGGTGAGGAGTTCCATGTTGAGCTGGAGAAGGGTAAGGTTTTGATCTTGAAGCTTCTTGCTGTTGGTCCACTGTCAGATACCACTGGACAGAGAGAGGTCTTCTACGAGATGAACGGTGAAGTCCGACAAGTTACTGTTGATGATAACAATGCAGCTGTTGAGAACACGAGTAGACCAAAGGCTGATCCAGGAGATTCAAGCCAAGTTGGAGCTCCTATGGCAGGTGTGGTTGTTGAGTTGAGAGTTAAGGATGGTGGTGAGGTTAAGAAGGGTGATCCTCTCGCTGTTTTGAGTGCTATGAAGATGGTGAGTTTTTCCTCTATGGGTCGCCATTATTGATGAAATGAATTATTTACTAATCATGAATTTAGGAAATGGTTATCTCTGCGCCACATGCTGGTAAGGTTAGCAGTATGCAAATCAAGGAGGGAGATTCGGTTGGTGGTTCCGATCTTATCTGTAAAATCGTTAAAGCAGGCGAGTAAATAGCGAATGCAAGTTTTGAGGGGTTATTATGATATCAGATGTTGGTAGCGTTGATGGAATGAATGGATTATGATTGCTGGGTCTGAAAGTTATTGCTTGGTAGGACCATGAATTGTAACTACCTTTATAGAATTATGAATGATTTTTAACAATTTGAGTGATGATACCGTTTGGTATCCAATTTAAATGTGTGAAAACCAAGAGCGAATGATTAAGAGTTGTTCGTATTGTATTGTCCATACTAGGTTAATCTCCATTCACCCTTTTCCTCTAAAGCTTCAGAAAATAGGTCAATTGGTCTTCAAGGGTCTCAATATGTCAATGGCAGGCAAACTACTCTTCTCCACACACCTTTTTATATGAGCTGGTATGGAGTAATTAAATCAAGAATTCTTTTTTCTCGAACACAAGTAAGCAGTCGTTACTTTGAGAAGAAGGAAGGGATTTCTGGTTTGTGGGTTGGGAGATGTAAGGTTATGATGGAACGTATGGGATTTGGATGGATGGATGGAATTTTGGGGGTTTTGGGAGTTGGTCGGGGTGCAAGGGGATATGGGAGAGGGAGATTGAAAATGAGGGGTTAGAGATGGAGAGATGGAGAGATGGAGAGATGGAGAGATGGAGAGATGGAGATGGAGATGGAGATGGAGAGATGGAGAGATGGAAAGGGAAATGGAAAGGAGAGAAGAAGAATGGAAATGGTGTTGGAAGTAGTAGATTTTGGTTTAGTAGGATTATGAATTTTATGGATATTGTTGAGGATTCAGTGGGTATGGAGTATTGAGTACTGAGGTGGGGTGGAGATATATATGGGTGGGTGTGGGAGGATGGAGGTGTGGGAGGATGTGGGGTGGATGGGGAGGTGGATGAAGAGGAGATGGGGATGGGGAGATGGGGAGATGGTTTGGTTTATGTGGTGGTGGTGTTTGTGTATGGGTGTGTATATTTGATTATAGGTTTGGGATATTAGATGTTAGATATTAGATTATTGAAATTGAAATTGGAATTAGAAATATATTGATGAAGGGAGGAAAGGAGGATGGGTGGATGGGTTGAAGAGTGGGTGGGAGGGTGGGAGGATAATATAGGGAAGAAGATGGGAAGGAGAGAAGGAAAGGGGATGAGATGAAATTTTAGAATAGTATATTTATATATTTGTTTGTATACTATTAAGAAAGATAAAGACGATGGATGAGGTTAACCGGGGGAAAGGATGAGAGTTGATATTTGAGAGGATGAGGGAGAATGAGTAGATGAAAGAGATTGACTGAGTTTATTTGTTTTGTTTTATTTATTATTATATACTCGACTATGTATATCTCTCCCGCCTCGCTCTTTTTGAAAATAGATAAATAAAAAATAAAAGTTACTATTTAAAAGATTCTATTATAGAAAAAATTAATAATTATTTTAAAATATTATAATCTTAATGTTTTTTAATTTATATTTAATTAATCTTATAATTTATAAATACTTATATATATAAACTAATTCATAAAGAATCTAAAGATTTGAAGAAATGAAGATCATTTAGGAGATTATACAATTTTTGATGTTATTTATCTCGGTAAGAATAAAGAAATATACAAGTCAAACATCCGGATAAATTCAAAGAGACCCAAGACTCGAGACTCGAGAGGAAAGTTAGAAGTCGGAAACAAAGATTAGTACCGTCCGTACGGTAATGAAGTTGGAATTATCGAAGCAGAAAAATTAGGCCTCGAAGATGTGGACATCAATATCAAAATCAACTCCTCCATCCACCCTCCTCTTCTTCCCTTCCTTCCTTCCATCCCAAACAAATGACAAATGACAAATGACAAATGACAAATGAGAGAAACAGAGCTAAAATTTATGGTTCGTCAACAGACATGCAACAAAACAACGCAAAAGTCATTCGGAACATCGCGGTTGGATCTTTGATGAATTTTTCGTAGGTTCTCATGTATGGTTTTTTGAATGGGGTTAGGGTTGCTTGGGGTTGTTGCTTAGAAACTTGGTTAGAGTTTGGGGGTGAGAGGAGAGGCGAGGCGAGGCGAGGCCAGGCGAGGCCAGGCGAATGTGTTAGTTAGGCTGGTCACTCACTCACTCACTGGTGGGATTTTGTTGTATATATGGGTATGGGGGTGCGCCATTTATATTTTTGGTATTTTTTTGCTTTTGGATTTTCAGCTTGATGGTGATGGGTGATGGATAATGTATGGATGGATGGATGATATAAAGTTAACCTAATCAACTCATCTGCTGATCATATCAACTTGATTGATTAAATCTGGAGAAATCCATCAATCCATCAATCCGTCAAGCTAGAAATTTATAGTTCGTTCGTAGATGTGCAACATAAGAGTTTAACAGCGTTCAGAGATGCAGATTGGATGGGTGGATGATATAGATCGAGTGTAGTGTGCATTTTTTTGATGTAGGATCTTATGAAGGGGGTTTAGTTGCGGGCTGAAAATTGGGGGTGGGTTTTGGGGGCGGGAGGGATGGGATGGAGGAGGGAAAGAGGATGAGCTAGAGCTAGCTGGTGGGCGGGTGGTAGCTGGGTACTTGGCTTGGCTACCTTGGTTAGGAAGTTGGGGGCTTTGTGTTTTGTGTTTTGTGTTTTGTGTTTTGTGTTTTGTGTTTTGTGTTTTACGAGAGTAGCCTGTTTGGATTGTGAAATTCTTGGTTTGGTGTGTGTAAATCTATTTTGGTGTGATTTGTTGGTACCTAGTATTGCTACTGTATGATGATTTTGAGAATGAATCATCTGTCTATCGTTCCTGTCGAATGTTTAGAAGGATTATGTAAATCATGTGATGTAATATTTGATATAAAAGATGTAAGCAATGAGATGAAGGTGTGGAGATAATTCTCTACCCATCTACTGGTGTGGTGTACCTGCCAATCCAACTCCTTATAAATCCTTCTCTACTCATTTACCAACACAATTAATTAATACAATCTTACAAATACTACAAAATCATGGTTCGTCAGTAGATATGCAACAAATTCCCTCGATCAAATTCTCAGAGCTCATGGTTGGTTTGACGATGTGCAACATTTGGTGTTTGGGTATGGAGTATGTTGATAAGCTTATTTTCTTCACCGTGGATAGTGATGATGGATGGAGATGGATTTTTATGTATGTGAGTGGAGTGGAGATTTATTTGATTTGGCAGTTTTGGCAGTTTTGGCGGAGCTGATGCTTAGGATGCATTTCTTCTTTTTTCGCTCTTTTGTTTGTTCGTTTTATTTGTTGATTGATGAATGATGGATGGATGGTGCGATGAATTGAATTTTGAGATGGAAAATTTCAATTGTATAAAAACTTTTCTTTTCTCCCAGTATCAGATATACTGAAATCATTAAATAAACAAATAAATACATATTATATTATCCATTCATCATCTACTCCGTATACACACCAAACATAAAAACATCCCTCCCTCCCGAAAAAGCGGTAAAAGAATCCCTTCCTCCCTCCCTCCGCTCCTTCAACCTTCCAATCTCCCATCATTTCATTTCATTTCATTTTCAACAACAAGTATTGGTTTTGCGACATGCAACAAAACATCCAACTGTACATACATACATACATACTCCGACTAATCCACCGCAGAAGAATCCACTTGAAAGAATCCACTCGAATCCCTATGGTTACTCCATATTACTGTACGGAGTATTTGAACTGTATGAGTCTAATTTGGGATACGATGGGGAATTCGAATTATTGGAGAATATGTAGTGGGATTGATGAGATTGGATTGGATATTAGAAGAGGATAAAAGGATAAAATATTATAAAATATTATACCTAGCTATAGGTAATATGTAGGTAGTACTTTTGATGTAAGATTAGTTATGATATTGAGGGATTGAGATGAGTATAAATATGATGGATATAAATATAAATATATAATATTTCTTTCCCCTAATAAAAGAGGCTATAGTGTTTCTTTTTTTACCTTATAGAGTATTGATCAAAAAGACAAACAAACAAACAAGTATTTTTGAGGCTTGCATTTTTGGATTGGTGTGGCTGGGAGTTTTATGATGGTGGATGGCTCCATATGTATGCGGTGATAATGATAATAATCAAGGAGACGAATAAGAACGTGGAGATGGAAAATATGAGTATAGATATAAATTCGTGTGTGTGTATATATATGTGTGTGGCTGTGATTGTCTATCTCCTGTAGGGGCTATGCGTAGGTTGACTGGTATCGTATATGTGTATATAGATATAGGGATGGACTCTCATTTCGAGAGATTTATTTTAATACATGCTGTTGATGAAGATACGGAATAGACGGATGACGGGTTATAAGATAATGTAAGTGATAGATATATCCAGAGATATATATAAAAATTCATATATAATAATCCGGATTGACAAATTTCTCTATATAAAATACATAAAAGATAGCAGCATATCCAACTTTCACTTCCATTTCCTTCTCTTCTCAACCTAGATTCATCTCACTCCACTATAAAAAAAATATACACGTTAGCATATCATATCTTCTCACATCTCATCTCCATCGCATCCTAAAAAAAAATATATCAAAATAAACTCACCCTCTCAACCGAACAAACAACCTCCTCCCACGCTTCTAAAACATCGAAACCCATCCCTAACAAAACATCCCTATCACCACCCACCACCCAATTCAACACGACTCCTTTCCCATCCCCCTTATTTTTATTCTGTCGAATACTCAACATGACTAAACCCTGCAAAATCATTTCTCTCTGCGCGTTATTCGATGGGATGATTGGGGCTAGGATTCCCCCTACTGCATTTCCATTTCCATTCCCATTCCTATTTCCATTTCCACTTCCCTCTCTATTATCTTCTTTTTCTTTACCTTCTCCATTATTTGGGTTTATGTGAGAATTAGAATTCGAGCCAGAATGAGAGTTAGAATGAGAGTACGAAGAGGGAGAAGAAGAAAGTACAGGCATCCAGCGCGAAAGCAATGTATCGGAACGAGATATAATAACGGTACCAACGAGGGAACCATCGATTGGTGATTTAGCACGTACGATACCGCAAGATTTAGGATCCATGATGGCGAGATTATAGAGACTGTGGATTTCGACACTTGACGAGTGGGTTTGTACGAAATCGAGGACTTGGGTTGCGGAGTTTGATGGCCCGTGGATTAGATCGAATTGGAGGGATACTCGTTGGATGGTTGCTAGTAACCCTTCTGGTGGTGTCCAAAGTGCGAGGTTGCGGATTATTAATGTGTAGAGAAATCGTGGGGTTAGGACGTCCCAGCCATTTGTTGCGAACCAACGTTTGAGACGTGCGCCTTCGGTTAGATCGCTCATTGGGATACCGAGATAGATGGCTGGAAGGGTAGAACCGAGTTGAAGGTGGGTAATGTTGGGTTTTTGGAGGAGGTGACGGAGAGCACGTTGATGCAGGGAGTGTCCGATTGAGAGGTTACGTTTGGAGGGGTCAACGAAGAGGGTAGAGATAGTACCGGTGTGAGTACTTGGGGAGTAGGTGGTGGAGCAAAATCCGAAGAGTGCTTGAGTACTGCTGTTGCGGACGACGTAGTGAGATTCTTCGAGTGGGGTGTTGTTTGATGCTGGTGGCTGGAAAGAAGGACAATAGTGTTAGTGATTTTAATATGTAAATGGAGATGCAAATTTCTATGAGTTATGAAAAGCATTAGAATAGACATACCAATTCGAATGAATCTGCTGTTGCACCAGCTAATGCAGGTTGTTGATTCGGCGGCGTCGTCTTTTCAATAGATGTAATGAGTGCTTGAAGACCCCTCGCATCTCTATCTCTATTATAACTCTCCACCAACCAATGTTGTCTAGATTTTTGTACTTTCCTACTTTTCCTCAGTGTGCCAGGTAATGTTCCTTGAGGAACAAAATCACCAAATAATGCTCTCACCAATGCTTTCATAGCTGTCTCCGTAAAATCAAAAGTACAAACATATGTTCCAATACTTTTATCCATAGCAAAATCATAAGGAGAACTAACCGAAACCACAATTAATGATTTCTTCTTGCCAGCTGAACTAAGCATTGAACACATCATCGCAACATGTTTTGTAAAGCCATTTTGATATAAATTTCGTGTTGCATCAGCTGTTATGATGATAATAGTCCCTGCTCTATTAATCAAATTCTCATGAACAGGTCGAACACCGTTTGCGGTATATGATGTATGAAGTAGTCTTCCGTGTCTTTGACGTGCTAAAGTCCTTCCTAATTCTCGAAATACACCTTCACCGCTCATGATTGATGATCTGTGTGACTTTTCAGATTCAGTATTGGCAGATTTTGAATTTTCGTTATTGAAAGTTGCGGTTGACGCAGGTAATGGCTTTACCAAAGGTGTGAGAAGGAGAAGATCATCATCATCCTCGGAATAACTATTCGACAGTGGAAGTAGATGACCTTTGTCTCTCATGATGGTTATGGAGTGGTCGTATGCTTTAGTCGATAGAGCGAGATGATGAGGATGTAAAGATGCTAGATGGTTGATTCCCGGAGGATTTAAAGCTTTAGCCCAAGATGTGCATTGTGATTTAACCCTGAGTACTCGTTTCAGAGACAGATTAATACGTTCCCGAGAAATCATGTCGTTTTCCAGACCGAGTTTTAATCCTGCAATGGCTTCTCGTTGAACAGAGTAAGAACGACAGAGAAGAACCATATCACATCCAGCTTCTACTGCCATGACTGTACCACCTCTGACGCCGATATCATGACTTAACGCTTCCATTTCAAGACACTCGGAAACAACTACACCATTGAATCCAAGGTCGTTACGTAGGAGATCATCCACAACCTGGTCACTAAGACAAGCGTGCATAACATTCATTCCTATGTAGTGTTAATGATTCCATTCATTAATGGGGGAGACAAACAAACCAGCATTTGCTATAGCACATCCACCAACCATTATAGAATCCATTCCTTCACGAATAGCATTTCTAAATGGAACAAGAGCACCAAGACTTAACTGTTCAAGAGTCTCTGTAATGATGGGCATATCAAGAGATGATCCTAAGAAATCTAAATTCCCATAAGATGGAAAATGTTTCCCACAGGTAGCGATTCCAGCATCCTTATATCCATTCATGGCAGCAATGCCATATTGAGAAACTTCTTGAGGATCATCCCCAGTAGCTCTGACACCCAAAGGTTGATAACGAGCATTTGTTAGAACATCAAGACATGGACCCATAATCATGTTAACTCCAACTGCTGACAGCTCTTTGGCCGTGGCATTAGCAACTTCGTATGCAAGCTCAGGTGACCCTGTAGCTGCCATTCCCATCGCACTAGGAAATTGACAGATATAATCCTCATCGAAGAGACTATTGACGCCGCCATTTTCTTGATCAAGAGCAATGATTAAAGGTACTAGATGTCCGGCTTGATGTGCGATCGCTTGAAGCTCCTGTACTAGATTTGCTGTCTCGCGGGCAGCTACTCAAGTTAACGTCTGCTTTCGAGGAAGCTTGAAGAACAATAACATCATATGAAAGCAATGCACGTGAATATATGAGTGAAAGACAAATCACATGGCTGGTCAATACCCATCAACGTGATAAGCCCAAGCTCAATGCCATCTAGCCATTGAATTACGAAACGATGGAAGAACAGAAACACTACAAGCAGAATAAGAAATACAAATTATTACACTTCATATTCTTCGTCGACAACAGGATAGCACCTAGGTGATGATCTTCAATAAGAGTCCTGATCTGAGGAGTAACCACGGTCCCTTCAAATCCCATCATAAAGCATCTAGAACCAGATATTCCTTATCAGTACATATGGTCAAACACATTATTGCGAAGCCGTAAATTGTTACCATATACAGCTCAGCAAACTAAGAATAGACTCACTGTCCCATAGCCCTTCATTTTGTCAGCGTACTACTCAGCCTCTGTATAAGTGGCTCATAACCTACCAATCGAGATCCTTCCATAAAGGATCCAGCTCCTCCTCTGTAACGTCCATCTCTGGTAGTCGCTGCTGTACAGATGTCGTTGTTCACTTTGAGCTCAACGTAATTGTGATCGGATAAGTGTAACAAGGCTATAAGTTTTCAGCGCAACGTTCGCTGAGATGGCCTGGTGCTCTGCTTTCCTTTATCAGGGTTTCATGATATGTGAAGAGTACTACTGGACTTGTGCGATGTGAGTGAAATTGAAGATGTGCGTTTTCATCACAACTCTTGTCTCTTCGCCACTGTTCAAGAAGTGCGCAAAAGATGTTTTTCTGATATATGATCATCAGCCTCACATATTCGGCAGCTTGGTGTAACTGGTGTAACCAACCTGAGCAAATGTAAGTGGTTGGTATTATCTAGGATGTTATCGTTTGAACTCCCCCTCCGAAAATGGTCACATGACGTGGAGGTTATACCGGGGAATCATCGGGGATTAAAAGATTTATTCTGTGCTACTCCACGTGCGGATGCATTGATTCACTTGGGTGTTCAATGTTCACTACCTTATTATTATTGAGCAAAGAGAAACGATTGAATATTTCTTCCAACAGAAATACGGTTATGTAATCTCGGTGACTTGGCGTCAAATTACCTACTACCTACCATCAAGTTATTTCCAAGTGTGCTTGACAACTGGATTATTATTCGACCATCGTCATTTTTTACAAACCACCGACATTCCGACGATCCCATGATAGGATACGACGTTACATATGTATTTGAGATTTAGACTTCCATTCACCATCCATCAGATCACCATCCATCAGATCAACATTGATGGTAACAGTTAACTCGTCTCCTCTCCACGTCTCCCACCTTCCCACCTTCCCACCTTCCCACCTCTCCACTCAATCCACTACAACTATACCAGTCCAACGCTGCGATATGGTAGATAGATGTGTGATGTGATGTGATATGATGTGATGTATGATTGTATGATGTGTGGTTGTATGATGTATGATGGATGTATGATGCATGATACTGACTCATTCATTGTACGGTACAATCGATAAGTAACTTCAAAATTTGAGTTTATCATGTGTTGAATCTAGCGTTGGGTTTGCACTCTCAAACCATTTTATGGCAGGCGTCTAGATATAGGTATGCCCGGCATGGTCATATGCTAGTAAGTACCTGTCCCTACTACCTACAAGTAAGTAACTGCGTACGAGTGAATCCCCAGCTTCAAGTTTATAGAATCTTCCGGTGAATGAGATGTGGCATCATTCATCATTTCCCATCATACCCAATTTCAATCATCTTCTCTTTGTCCCCAACCTAATTTCTTAAACAACTACCCATCTACCTCTCTTTATAACCATAATCCCTCTGGAACCACAACCCTCCAGATACAACCATGCCATCGGCACTACCAACCTCGACTTCTGGAGTCACCAAGTTTACAAACTGTCGTTTGTTAAAGGGAGAATCTTTAGTTACTCAAGATCTTTGGGTATCATCTTCCACCGGCAAGATTATCCAAAGCCAGGAAGCTTTTTACTCACACTTATGTGTACCTGACGAGATCATTGATCTTGGTGGTCGCATTATCTCTCCAGGTTTCATCGACACACAACTGAATGGAGCTTTTGGATTTGACTTTGCTTCTATACCAGAAGGTACCGATCCTAATGCTTATGGCAAGGAATTTCGTCGAATCAATCAATTATTGATCAAGACCGGGGTTACTTCTCATTTACCTACTATCACATCATCACGTCCGGAAGTTTATCATCATGTGAGTACCAAACGTAATTTATCACTGAACCCATACTAATAATTCTCACCAGGCACTTCCTTTTCTAGGTCCTTCTGGAGCAAATCGTCTTGCATCAGATGGTACCGAATCTCTGGGCGCTCATGTTGAAGGACCATTCCTTTCCCCTACCAAAAATGGAATCCATCCTCTTCCTGTCCTACTCGCCCCTAAATCCAACGACCTCACCACTCTCTCAGAGTGTTATGGCTCTTCCAATCTTCTAGGGAATATCCGCCTTATAACCGCTGCTCCTGAACTTCCACACATGACCTCTCTAATACCAACTCTCACCTCTCCACCCCACAACATCATCTTCAGCATCGGCCACACAGAAGCCACATACGAAGAAGCCACAGCCGCCATTTCCGCCGGTGCAACAATGATAACCCACCTCTTCAACGCCATGCGTCCCCTCCACCACCGCAACCCAGGAATCTTCGGACTCCTCGGCACCACCCCCACAACCAGCACTTCTCCCTCCACAACCCCTCCTTCCACCCCCATCACAACTCAAAACATAATCCCCCCTCTCAAACCCATCACCCAACGCCCCTACTTCGGCATCATAGCCGACTCCATCCATCTCCACCCCACCACCATAACCCTAGCCTACAACGCGCACCCCTCCGGTCTAATCCTCGTAACAGACGCCATGCACCTCGTCGGACTCCCCGACGGCCGCTACTCCTGGAACGGCGAATACATCCTCAAAGACGGCATCCATCTCCGTCTCGAATCCACCAACAAAATCGCAGGATCTAGCATCACACTTGTAGAATGCGTGAGTAATTTTCTAAACTGGACAAATTGTAGCATAGCACAGGCTTTGAAAGCGGTTACTGAGACCCCAGCGAGGATGTTGGGCGTTTTTGATAGGAAGGGTGGGTTGGAGGGGGGAATGGATGCGGATTTGTGTGTACTGGATGTGGTTGTGGAGAGTGAGGGGAGGAAAAGGGTAGTGGTGGATCAGGTTTGGAAATTTGGAGTTAGGGTTTTTGAGAGGGAGGGGGAAGGGGAGAGGGAGAGAAAGATTGTTGGGTAGGTAGGTGATGAATGAACAAGTAATGGACACCGCATAAAGGGATAGAAGGTTGGGAATAACTTTTGATATCAATTGAGAGTGTTGGTTGGCAAATAAATGACGAATGACTACCTACCTACTTACTACCTAGATAGGTATTAAAGGGCATGAATGAATGAAATTTCATGGCGGAAAAATACTGCATAGGCATAGATTGTTATAGCAGATTTCTTGCAATGTATTTTACCTCTTTACGAATAAAGAAAATAAGATTACAATACAATACATGCTCATAAATCGACTCGTTATATTTATATCTTCAAAAAACGATTGATATCTCAATCTCCAGAATAGAGAAAAAATAAAATAAAATAAAACAATTTCCAGAACCCAAGTCAAATCAAATCAAGTCAAGTCAAGTCAAGACAAAGACAAAGACAAAGACAAAGACAGAAAAAAGAACATAAGTCAGAAATAGATAAATAAAATTAGGCGAAGTTAGTTATCATTAATTGGATAGAAAAGAAAGAAAGAAAGAAAGAAAGGAAAGCATTTCGAATACAATCTCTATCCACATTCACATCCACGGATGAGAAAATACACACAGAACACAAGTATACACATGATATAGATGCACCTCAAGCACAAAAATGATCTTAATATTCATAAAATTCATATCTCATTATTCTCATCTAAAATAACTACCTAATAATACATTTGCATTCGTGAGAATATGAGCAATTTAGTTTTTGGGGATAATTTACTTTGAATGTAAATCATTTCTGTGCCGCCATGGCCAGAAATGAATGTAAGCAGAGAGAGTACCTGTATCATCATGCAAAAGAAATGCAAATGTACATATTGTGCCTGCAAATATGTAAAAAGAAAAAAGAAAAAAGACCATCACTAGAAAAGCTTTGCGAAAATACACTCCTTAAGAACAACAACTCCGCTATCAAAGAGTGGATTTTGTTGTCTTATGTGCGTCCAACTCAATTTGATCCTCCCATTCACCAATTCGTTCCCAGTTATCTATTCATGGTACTAAACTGCCAAAATTCTGCTGCCCATGCGGTCAGGAATCAATTCTGGAGTATGGCTTCTGCGGACTGGGTATTCAGTAGCTGGTGCAGCTAAGAGTGTGGTTGTGAGAGGTTGTGGGGATTTAATGGTAGGTTCTTCCTTGACCAAGCTTTCTGGCATGGGTGGAACAGGTATAGTACGCTTGGGACCTGTACGGGCAGCAGATGGAAGAATTTGTTCGAAACCTTGAGCGGCGGCAACTTTTTCAATTGACTTGAAGTACTGTTGAATATATTGTTAGCATTCAGTATGGTTGTGATGGAAGGGCTAATGGAGGGGTAAGTGGATGGCGGGGTAAAGTGGGGTAGCTACCTTGACAGTTTTAACCTGGAGCTCAAGTGTTGCATCTTCATCCACAACAATCATAGGATGGGGATGAAGTTGTAAGCTTGAGAGAGTCCACATGTGGTTCACACCTTCTTCAATACATTTCTTCAATGCCAATGCCTTGTGTGCTCCAGTGATAATGATGACAACTTCTCTGGCCTCCAACACAGTTTGGATACCCACTGTTAAAGCCATCTTTGGGACCTTTTCCAGATCATTACCGAAGAATCGGGAATTAGCAATGATGGTATCATATGCCAAAGTCTTGACTCTTGTACGAGAAGCAAGGGAAGATCCAGGCTCATTGAATGCAAGATGACCATCTGGTCCAATTCCTCCAAGGAATAAATCAATGCCACCCTTTGCTTTGATAGTTTCCTCATAGTGTATACATTCAGCTTCGAGGTTCTCGGCATTGCCATTTAAAATGTGAACATTTTGAGGAAGGACATCGACGTGCGAGAAGAAGTGTTTGTACATAAATGTGTGGTAGCTTTCTGGGTGATTGCGCGGGATGCCAATGTATTCGTCCTATGCAATTTACCAATGTTAGTGATCTGACCCTTGATAGTGAAGTTGTGTGTGTGCGCGAGGGTTAGAACATACCATATTGAAAGTGACGACATTTTTGAATGAGATTTTACCAGCCTTGTACTTTTCAACGAGGATCTTGTAGATACCAATAGGAGAAGAACCGGTAGGAAGACCAAGGACAAAGGGGTGTTCTGGGGTAGGTCCAAAGGCATTGATGCGATCTAATCAGATGTTAAACAGTGTTTGTAATGGAGCTGGAGGAAGAATCTCACCAATAATGTATTGCGCAACGTAGGCACAAGCTTCCGATTTACCGTCTCTGATGATGAGTCTCATTTTGAATGTAGTTGAATCTGTGGTGTATGTCGAAGGGTGTGAGGATGTTTTCTTTTGTAGATATGAAAGTATGAAGGTGGTTGTTTGTCGCCGTATAATAAGTTCACAGAAGGTTCGACTGTTGATTAATGTCCCAGATACGGAATATGCGGAATGCGAGCAGTGAATATAAAACCAAACGTAGGGTAATCAAAGAAATTATCAAAGACTTGACCTACCATACCTACCATACCTACCGGTATCGTCCCATGAAGATTTCATTATAGTATCAAATACCGGCTTCACTCCAAGGAAATCCTACCACCAGCAACCGACCTTGATAGCATCTCCTCGTGGTAGCGCTATTCATTGGACAGGTCAAGGTTTGTGACCTTTGGACTTTGTCACTCCACCCCTCCAATATTATGATGGTGTATGGAACGTCACGACGACCTAGTACTGATAGCCTTCTGATAGAAAGATAGTAATCTGCTTACCCCACAAGGCACAACCTTGAAATCCACATTGGTGATCAATCCAGGATTTCGATGAGAGATCTATCTCCACTAACGGCAATGGTATGCCAGGTATGGTATGCGCCCGAGTCAGCAAGACCAGACAAAGTGATTGGATCATTGATAATGGTTTGACCAGTATTGGGCACACACCAATTCAAATGTTGGTCATTGTACAGTTACACCACGATACATTGTACAAGCTTCAAAAGATTCTCAAGTCTCAAGATCTGTACAGACTGTACTGGAGCAGTGAAGTTTCAAGGAAAAGGATCGGGAAATTTAAAAGGTCGTTTGATGTTTCTTCTAGTTGTACAGTTACATTCGCTTAATGCTTGTCCCGTTCGGAATTGATGGATTGGAAATGTACACTACCTACAAACGGCCTTCCTTATCGTTTGGAAATTGGAAGTGATCTTCAGGTAAGTTGGGACAAAGAATCAATGAAGATGATGTTTTAGCTAATTCTTTAAATCATCTCCCAATTTTTTGTCTTCCCGAAGAAGTTCCTATGTTCCTCGCATTTCCTCGATATCTATTGCAGCTAGCTTTGTCCGGAGCACAATACGAACCATCCAAGCTTTCGTATGGTTGTACGGAGAATAAAATGCCCTCCCACCAAATTGTAACGTTGCTTTCAACAGCAAAGCAATGAATTGATTGTATCGAAAACCCAAAAACCCACCGACATTACTACCTATGGTGGTGTAATTTCAATACTATACGAGCCAAAAATTGTAAATTTTTTGACTCATCAGAAAACGCCCAGGAATGTTTCTCTGCTTCTACTAATTTACGTAGCTATGCTATGCTATGCTCCCATTGATATTACCAAGGATGGGGAAAGTCATTATGCAGGGGTACATTCATCTCGAGAATCCTGTCCTGCTGAACAATGCAGAACAACCAACCTCTAAAACAAAACGGAGGGACGGATCAAATTGCGCCTCTTTTGAAGACCTCGTTCGATTGAAGAAGGTAACTTTGATTAATTTATTTCCAGCGGTATTAAGATCCAATTTTATAAGGTAAACGAACCGAGTGAGGGAGGATACGATGTTACTCCCAATTCTTCTTGGCTCTTTTTCACTCTTGGCTTGAAGCTGCTTCTTATCCTATCAAATCAATCTATTTTTGGGAGTGCGTAACCAATTGTTGATATTGCTTTTTTCATGAATGATGGCGCAGTTGTATCCTTCCAAGAGAAGTACATCCATTCGCTGTTAACCACATACTTTTTACGACCACGAGGGTAAAATTCCTCCTGCCTGTACTTTTCACATTGGATACCACTATCCCACTACCACTCTCGCCTGTCCTTTCACATCTACATCCATTGGATCCATTGTTCTTACTCGATTGAATGAAGTCAAAAATCTTATTAGACTGTCAATTGTCCAAGTTCCCTTCTCCATCTTTGTCGTGTGTGTTATGGAGCAAAGCGGGCCCGCATCAGCACTACCCTAGCACCTTCGTATCTTAGCGTGCTGGCTTCCTTGAGGATTCCTTATATGTATGAGGACTTCATATGATGCAGCCGCTCATCGCTGCCATGCATAGATTACGACAGGCTTTCTATGCCGCCTTTATCAAATCTTTTCTGAAAACTAAATCTATCTTTGAGATCATTATCAAGTTTTGGATTGCGCCTTCAACTTTTCCCAAAGTCAAGGACGAAAATGTCGACGTCAAAGACATCTCCATTGCAAAAGTCAAGAAGTTTTTAGATGAGGTTGAAGCTGCCTTTAGAGATTCTACGAAGGAGGCCTCCTTATTGGCGTTTTCGGAAGGGTTGAGAAAAGAATTTGCTGAGAGCTTATTAGAAAATCCACAATGCATGTTGCCTTCATACAATCATCAACTTCCTAGCGGTCATGAATGTGGAACGTACTTAGCCCTAGATGTTGGGGGTTCGACTTTCCGGGTAGCCTTGATTAAACTCGCGGGAAAAGAGTGCAAGGGGAAGGAGATTGAGATTGTTGAATTAAAGTCTTTCAAGATCAAAAATGTGGAAAGGCAGCTGGTTGGTGTAGAATTCTTCGATTGGATGGCAGACCGAATTCTGGACACTCTTTCTGGGGAGAAGGAAGGACACAAGATTTCGCAGACACCCTTATCTGTGGGACTGTCCTGGTCCTTTCCTATTGAGTATGATCACCAGGATATTCATCAAATTCAAAGTCAGCTGATAGTAGTTTCACAGTCAAACATCACTCAAGGGCGGTCTTCTTATGGGCATGGGAAAAGGCTTTTGTGCTGCTGATGGGCTGATCGGTAAAGATCTGGGTGGCCTTATCGAGGATTCCTGCTTAAAAAAAGGCCTTAACGTTCAGCTGAACGCCATTGTGAACGATTCTTCGGCAACATTACTCTCCAAATCATATATAGACCCTACCACTCGTTTCGCACTAATATTAGGAACTGGGTTGAACGCTGCAGCCCATCTTCCCGTCCACATCTTTTCACAACCCAAATTTGGCATTCGACCTGCATCCTGGCATGATTGCGCTGAGCATGTTATTGTCAACACAGAACTGTCGATGTTCGGTGGTAAGTTTCTTCCATACACGAAATGGGATAAACAATTGAGAGAAAGCCATCCTCTACCAGAGTTTCAGCCATTCGAACATTTTGCGAGTGGCGGATATATTGGCGAGATCGTGCGTTTGATATTGATTGATGGGATTCAGAGCGCAGGACTATTTGGGGGAGTAGTGCCAGCAAATTTGAGGGAGAAGTACTCATTAGAGACCGAAACTCTCTCATATATTGAAAAGTAAGTCATTTTTCATCAATAGCCTCCTAACGAAGCTTCCGTCAGCTTCATTCTCCGAAATTAGTTGCTAATAAGGTTGACACCACATTAGCGATAGAACTCCCCAACTTGCTACCGCTATTGAAGTGTTCAGCAGACGTCACCCCTCCCCTCATATCCCCACCGTAGCCGATTTACGAGCTCTACGATTGATAGCTTCCCGCGTAACTCTACGCTCTAGCGGCCTCATCGCTGCTGGCGTCCACTCCCTCTGGCACATGCGCAATGCCTCCGAATCAATCTCACCCTCAGATTCTGCCCACACGGTCATTGCCTATAATGGATCTGTGTTGGAAAATTATCCTGAATTTCGTAGCAATACGCAAAAACACATCGATATGTTGATCGAAGCAAGTGGTGCAAAAAGCGGTACCGTGGAGTTGGTTTATGCGGAAGAAAGCTCGCTGTTGGGAGCGGCCGTCGCGGTCGCTTGCTGCGATGCTTGAGTTACAGAAGCAAGGCGTGCGGTGTCATCTAGCATAGCTTCCCATCGCTACTGATATCATAACATGAATATAGGCACGGCATATGGGATGGTTTTTGTTGTTAAGAGGGATGTTAGGTATTGCATGGTTTGGAAACATCTTTGTAAAGCATTATTTTGGAGTTTTGGGGCTCATATAGTTCATCACATCTGTATTATCCGTAGTTAACTTGGAAAATTATCATAGTTGATTCGACTTTCATGTCATCAAACTAAATTTAAATAAACAATGATATTTTATCCTACGGTTGTTCATGTATGATCCGAAAAGCGTGACTTCGCGTATTAGCGCGATAAAAATACAGCGGTCCTTAATCCACAACCGCGTCGTGCGTCAACAACCCTCTTTCCTATAGAATTACTCTTCCAAAGCTTTCAGGATAAAAACCGAGTAATTGAATCAAAATAAATTTCCAACACTCTACCGTATTTATTGCCTGGCTTAGATGGCCTCACGCGAAGGAAATAACAAATGCCTATTTTATTTCACCCATCCAAATCACCTCCCATATTCAAAAGCACGCAAGCCTGAAACATTAGCCAATGCAGGCTCAAGCCACAGAAATGACTATTGATAATCTTCTTACAGGTCTCAATGCCTCACAAAGAGCCGCAGTTTCATCGCAAGCAGATACTCTCGCTATATTGGCAGGACCAGGAAGCGGGAAAACACATACTTTAACGTCGCGAACTGCTTGGCTATTGCAACAAGGATTGCAACCATGGAATATAATTGTGGCAACATTTACGGTCAAGGCAGCTCGAGAGATGAAGGAAAGAATTGGAAAGCTGATAGGAAATGGAACGGAATCTAAATTGATATTGGGAACTTTTCACAGCATTGCGCGACGTTACCTGGCACGATACGGACATTTGATAGGAATACGAAAAGACTTCGGAATTGCAGACTCGTCCGATTCTCTGGCGATAATTAAAAGGATTGTGAAGCGGAAGAATTTGAATATAGATCCAAAAGTCGCGCGGTCTCGCATAAGCTCCTTGAAAGCAAAGGGTCCAGCATCCGCGAGTAAACCCTTCGATGCCAAGGAGAAAACAGTAGATGCACAAGAATTCGAGATTGTTCATGCTGAGTATCAAGAGACCCTAGAGCGTTCAAACTTGCTTGACTATGACGACCTTCTTGTACGATGCGTCGAGCTTTTACGACTTCACCCTTCCTGTGTATCCAATATCGAAGCCGTTTTGATTGACGAATTTCAAGACACAAACCTTGTCCAATTTGATCTCATGCGGTTACTTGCTGCATATCAGAAACGAATCACCATCGTTGGCGATCCCGATCAAAGCATATACAGCTTTCGAGCTGCCGAAATTAAAAACTACAAACGGATGCTTAGACAATATCCGGATACGGTTACCATCTCATTGGAGGAAAATTACCGTTCCTCGGGCGCCATACTTCTCACAGCACTGAATGTGATTGAGCAAGACTCATCCAGAATTGCAAAGTCTCTTTTGCCCACTCACATTGTTGGCACACGACCAGTGCTACGCAAGCTTGCAACAGCCCAAAAAGAAGCAGAATGGATTATTCAAGAAATACAACGGACGATGGGTATGACAGGTGACCTGCTGGACTTGAATGATTTCGCTATTTTGCTACGATCTTCATCACTCTCACGAGTCATCGAAAGCTCGCTAGGTAAAGCAGGTATAGCCTACCGCATGGTCGGTAAGCATCATCTCTTGTCTGCCAAATTTGCAGCTTGCAACCAGCTCAATGCTTCCTCAAGAAGTTAGCTGCGTTCTGCATTTAGACTGACATATTGCAGGTGGTCTCCGATTTTACGACCGTGTAGAGATCAAAACTTTATTAGATTACTTGCGAGTTATTAACCTACCAGACAACAACGATGCTTTGGCAAGAATTATTAATACTCCTTCACGGCGGATCGGTGAGACGACGATCAAATCTTTGCTTGAGGAGGCAGAACAATCAAAATTGACACTTTGGGCACTAATCCTTGATTCCGTGCAGGGAAGGTGCAGGACGAAAACCAAGCTCACAACATCAGTCGGAAAAGGCCTTTCTGTCTTTGTTGATATCATATTGACAGGTATGAAGAAGATTGCTGACTCCCTCAACCGTGAAAACTCAATCGTAAAAATTATGGAGTTTATCATTGAAAAAATATCTTATGAAAAGTGGCTCGAGTTACACCATGATGACATTCACAAGGCGCGGTGGGACAACGTGAAGGAGCTTCTTGCCCAGGCTACGGATTTTCAGGGATTAATATCTAATGGTTATGAGGACGACTCCCTCCCTCAGATTGATGGTCTGGAGCAAGAGGGTGCTTCCGATTCTCTCACTCGATTTTTAGCGAATGTAGCATTGGCTTCGGAAGTCAAGAAAGAGGATGACCAAGGAAGTAGCACACCCCAAATTACGATATCTACCATACATGCTGCTAAAGGCCTTGAATGGCCTATAGTTTTCATTCCTGGGGCATATCAAGGCTCTATACCACACTCCAGGGCAGAGGATACTGACGAAGAACGACGATTGTTGTACGTAGCTATGACTCGAGCAAAGGCTTTGCTCAACATGAGTTGCCCTTTGAAAAATTCACTAGATGAGTTCACAGCAACCTGCCCATTTCTTTCTGCCCGTGGCCTGAGAGCACACTTAGACAAGAAGGGTCCTCCTCTGCGTTCAAATACTGTTCAATGCCTAGCTCAAATTCTACGACGAACATTTCCTACCAAAGAGTCAATTGCGGAGTCTTCCGCTTGCCTCGAACTCACTGAGGATACATACTACCCCTTGGAGCCTGAGGATGACAAACAAGATGAGTCCAAATGGAATCTCCGTAACGGAAATCCCTATTTTACCAAGGATCAGCGACCACCTAAACGCCGACGACTTGATACAAAGGATCAAATGGGAAACGTTTCCGGCGTATTTTATAATAATACCCCCATGACAACGATGGAAAGAGTATCGAACTTTACTTTGGGTGGTGGCTTTGTTAGTGCTGGCTCTCATCTTCAAGTCCTTGGCGAACAATCATCAAATCAAACCATTGGAGAAATGAGATCGACTTCAACAAAAGGAACAGTTCCATGCTCTAAAAATTCATTTAAAGGTCCACCTAATGGCCAAGGCACACTTTTGGGCTTCCTCGGGAAGCAGGAGCCAAAGAAGGAGATTAAGCCAGCACCAATAGTCGATGAGTTCCGGGAAACAAACATCAGGGCTAGTGCGCAACTACATAGACATCGAAACAACACTGCTGTAGGGATGATGCAATCGCCATCCCAAAATGAAGACGAAACTCTTCCACCTCTTCTCACAGGGCACCGCCTAGGAACAGGTGCAGCACTGCCTCGACCGAGTATTAATCGAATTCAAGGAGAGCAGAATGATAGCTATATCTTCCTGTCTAGCTCTCCACCGAGAGCGAAGCAACCTAGCATTGATACTGAACCAGCGCCGGATGTTCCCGTCCCTGGTCTAACAGCGAAACCAGCAATTATGTCGTTAGTTCGTCCGGCGAGAACGTTACATACCACGAGTATGGCAATAGCACAAGGGTCGGGTAGTGTAAAAAAGACTCTTGGCGTCAAAAGGAGCATGAATGGCTGGGGTAGTCGCACAACACAGCCTTTCGTTCCGCCAACCAGGAAAAGAGAAAACTAGCCAAAGGTTTATTGGTAATGATGGTCCGGGTGGTTTCCGACAAGAGGTCGCTGTGCATCGATCCTGTCATGATATATGTTGTGCGCCGTGAATTTGGCAAAGTATCGTCTGCATTGGTACGTGTTGAGGGAATGTAGGCTTGCTCACGAGTCTACTGGATAATGCTTAATGAATGATATGATCAAAAGATGGCCTGATTCTTTGTCGGCTGCGTTGGTCATGAACACACAATGGCTCTCTTTTTGCAGCAGAATTTGTCACTTGCTATCAGGTATCATCGGCTTTTCGGGTCGTCTAGATACTATTCATTTATATACTTGAGTACCGCACGGCCTGTTTTGTGGGTGTGCAAGAAACCGCTGTGAAGCCTGCAGCCACGAGTGTGGCGGTGGGCAGTTGTAAAGATGCCACAAATCACTGTCGCTACCAAAGTTTATGTCCTGTTGGACGAGATAATCTTTCTAATATAACGGTTGGAAAACAACCTCTGCGAAGCCGATATACTATTCCATGTGATTTACTATGCTAGAAAGGTAGGATACACGAAATTGCGGGGTGCATAAGGGCGCGTTCTAGCTTTCGAATCGGTCAACTGCCGCGGTGACTGTAACACCTTAGGTCATATCGTCATAATAGAGCCTTTTGGCAACTTACCACCACGTCGGCGAAATTTCATTTTCGAAAATTTGGGGATGTGCGCAGCTTTAGTAGAAATTTAATTACAAACATCAACATTATTGTGCCAGAGCGTGAATAAAGGTAAATAATAAGGGCCTAATAAAGCAAGCAGGTGAGGTGTGTGTGTAAATGCCGTTCTTAGCATACAATGTTCGGCCTTTTTTTTGACATTCAGCCTGTCTCCGTCTAAAAATGCACAATGGTCTACTAGAAATCTGTCCTCCTGAGGGATGCCGAAGCAAAAATCTGAACATATATTTAATGAATGATGTTCCTTTAATCTGCTTCTACTATTGAGTCTTCGAATGCAATATTCGGACTCGAAGGATTTCTCGAGAAGCAATTTTATGCCCTTCAAGATCTCCCTGAGCATTGACGATTTTCGATTTCCAAGAAATACAATACTTCACCACGTTTGCAGACGTCCACTTCCTATTGCGATATGCCCTGCATCGGCAATGCTCAGTGGGGATGGGAGTGCTGCATTGTATGTGCCCCAACTTGCCACGTTGAAAACGGGTTTTGCCTGCAGGAAGAAATGCTAATTCGTCTTCACAATAGTGTAATCTTCAAAATATCCAATGGAAAGAAACATGCAGCAACTGTGGACACGATAGTGTAAGGCCGCCGTATTCTCGTCAAGACAGCCTCCCTATGCCCAACACTTAAGCTTAAGCGCTGTGATGGGTTCTAAACTTCTATCGTTCGATTAGTTAAAAAATTACTTTGTCGCCTGTCCAGGTAATGTTTTTGCGCAGCTGTATGCGAGCTCGAGCTCCCGAGTTCCATTAGAGCGTTCTCGATTCTGAGAGGTCAATATGGCTTCTCCATGAGTACTTGCACGGTAATACCATCATATACACGTCACGCCACGAATCCCAAAGTAGCCAAAATAAAACACGGGAAATGGTTTCTCGCTGCTTTCGAGGATAATGATTTCAACGATCTTCCGGCATTGAATACTCCCACGTAAATATCCCGTCTGGAACACAAGCGAATACGATGATTTTGGTTAGAACTTTTTCCAACCCGCCTGTCAAGCGCTTAGTTAATAGCCTGAATGGTAAATGATTATAACGACAATGCTGACTGTTATCGCTGGCCATTATCCGCGAGCGACTAGGGTATTATCTCCGAAGATTTGAATATTTCAAGGAAGAGAGCTGGTTATGTAAGTAGATACTAGTGGAAAATGGGATGAGGTTGGCAGTGCATGCATGGGATTAAGAGTGGAAATAATTCTTTACGAGGACCGTTTGCCGCGATGCATCCAAAAATGGAAGTTTCGTCAAGGAGATGAGGGTTGGAAATGGCTGAGTTTGCACGGGGTATATCCTGTTTGAAATAAGCGCGTGATTTGGTATTCGGGAAATAACATGGCTTTAATTTTGACTTTTTTTATTCCTGGTGTGTGGCACAGTGGCTGCCTGCCTGCCTGCCTGATTCGGCCGGGCCGCCTTCATCTCCGGGTTGATTGATCGTGATGAGAGTTTGGAATTTGGAATTGGGAGATTGGAAATATGAAACTTGTCATTTGTCATTGGTGTGTGTGTGTGTCTGTGGGTGTGAAAGCAAATAATCAATTTCTACGCAGCTCCGTAAGTAGTTTGTTATATGATCGTTGTTATTACTTCATATGTAGCTTGGCTTCAAGCGTATTCAAACCTTATGCGGAAATAGATCTACAGGCGGTCCCTCAGCCCGATATCTGGGTATATTGCGGTGCAGTAGCGGTATAGCGTGCAGCGGCGGTTAAGAATGTCTACTTTGTACCATGATGGGATTTGGGGCATCTGGGGTCTACGCGTTGGGAAAAGTCAAGTATCTGGTTACCTGCTTATCTGGTAGTCAAGGCTGGGAGGATGCATTTAAGGGTATAGTTATAAGTTATAAGTTATAAGTTATAAATTATAAGTTATAAGTTATAAATTATAAATTATAAATGGTAAGTAGTACGTCATAAATTATAAAATTCCGAGTTGTGAATAGTAAACTGGAAAACGTAACTTGTATACACTCGTATTAGTCTTTAGTCATCTATCCTCGCCACACTTTATTTTAGCGTAGCCGATTATGTTGATCAAATAATGCTAAACCCCGTTTATTATTTCTCCTTTGAGTCCATTTCAATACTTTTCTACTAATAACACTCTAAACACTCCTGAGTACTCTAAAACTAGTATAGATAGCTTGCTTCGGCAGGAGCAAAGACCCGTTCCAGTTCCATTGAACGTTGTTTCCCCACAAATTCTCTTGCGCAAGAACCATGAATTGAATCTGATAGATGTCTTTAAACATCCGAAGTTCCACGTTCCCACCATAATGGTTCCGTCAAAATGGAGGCTCAAAGCCAGACTCAAAGTCCCTCTGAATGTAACCAGTGTGGAAAGAAATTCCAACGTAAAGCACATTTGCTTCGACATCAACAGCAACGTATGTACTCTTATTGTTTCAGAGCTCAAACTATCGAAGCCATGCTCTATGCTATCATCTATCTATCTATTGTGGAGGGACCTGACGTGTGCAAAATCTAGATTCCGGTGTTCGCCCATACAGCTGCATATTTTGTTCCAAAACCTTTAAACGCAGGCAAGTACCCGGGAAGTCACATAACTATGTACCTTTATCGACTTTGCAAGAATATCTTCTAACAATATACCATAGCGATGTTCTCCGAGATCATTTCAGCAGATGCGACCATCGCGGATCAGCCGCTATTCCACATTCTTTAGAACGAGGACGAAAACGGCACGCGTGCGACGAATGCTCGAGGCTAAAGGTCAAATGTGACAACGAAGTACCGTGTCGCAAATGTAAGGAATTTGGAAGAGTTTGTGTAAAAAGTAGAACTTCAAGTATGCTCTTTTAAACATCTCCGAAAGACATGTTATGATTTGCACTAACATCGTACTCAAGATTCCGCTTCTTCGACAAAAGCTTCACCAAGCCCCGAGGTGCCACCTCCCCGGTCTTTGACTCCACTAGCTGGCACTCCGGAGCCTATATCGGATCGAAATTCGATCAGCTTTTTATTGAATTTACCGAACGAAGCAGAGTTTATGCGGGAGTTTCCAAAAGCTTCTACCATGAGCCCAAAAGACAGAGCCGCAGAATACATGAGTTTGTATCCTCAAAGTACAACACAGCCATGGGCCGGAAGATATATGATGCACCAAAATATGGCAAATTTTGGATACACGTCAAACATGGGGATGGATACAGGGGTGGGCTTTCTCAATGACATGGAATTCGAAACATTCGAAAGACAGCACGGATGGCAGTCGCCTTCAGGCAACTTTATTCCATGGCCATCAGACGGAATGTTGAACGATCGAAATATCCTGGAACAACGCGCCTATGATATACGTGGGAAGTTGAGAAATGCTGCAATCTCACAGGTCGGACCCAATGGTGTATCAAAGGAAGTTGTTGAAGCAATTGAGCACATAACGGCCCAAGTTATTGCTGCGCATATCGAGTTGTATTTCAAGCATTGGCATCATCATGCACCTATGGTTCACCAAGCTACTTTTAATCCGTGCAAAGCTGCATTACCCTTAGTTCTTTCCATTATGAGTCTTGGTGCAATGGTAAGCAAAATTAAATAACCTGAGCTACCCCGGGCTAAATGGCTAACGAAACTTTAGTATTCTACAGAGGCAAACGAGGCAGCGGAGGGAAAGCTTCTTTTGGACACCATAGAAACCTACATCTACTCAATAAATGGGTTTAATGACGAGTTTGACTTACCCGGTAGAACTTATGCTGAGCGTAAAGGCAATTCATCTCAAGAATGGCTGCAATACCAGTTGGAGGAATTTCAAGGCGCTTATCTCATTGTAGTTGTTCAATTTTGGACAGGCAACGAGATTGCAAGAACACGGGTTAGGCAACAACGGTTTACAAGATTAGTATCTGTGAGTATCATAATTTACACTTTTCTGGAAGCCTGAGCTGACATGGCGTTGGACAGATTTATCGCTCGTTAGAATTAAATACTGTACAACATCCTCCTGGGTTTGTTATCAAAGACCAAGATTCGTTTAGAGATTGGATTCGCAAAGAATCGTATATTAGAACGGCAAGTATAATGATGATGCTTGACAACGCATTCGCCATATTTAATAATCTTACTCCAAGGATTCAATGGGCAGAGATAGATCTACCATTTCCAAGCAATGAGCAATATTTCAAAGCTGCAAAGTATGATGAATTGGGAAATCTTTCCGGATTTCCACTTCCAAAGATAAAGATAAAGGATGCCTTCCTTTTACTATACTCTCCTATGGAAAGAGCTGAGGAAGACCCATTTCCGTTATCTAGCCGTCATCTAACTGCTCAAGATATGCAGATGTTGATCCATAGTAAGAATAACCTCGCCTACCAGGTTTTTGCACAAAGCTAACTCTCTACAGTCCTCTACGTCCATATCTGGAACTCAACATTCTGCAACCCCTTGGTTCAATTACCCAGCATATCTATTTCCTCACTCCTCGCCCCTTTCAAACTCGCCATGCGCAATTGGAAAATAGTCTGGGATGAAATCAAATCTGCAGCAGATGTAAATGAATGGAATACACTCGGTTTTGAGAGAACGGCAGAAACTTATTATACGGCTGTTAAGAGCATTCTTAATATTTTTGAATCGAGAGATGGGAAATTTCCTCCTATTCCTAGTGATTGCGAGAAAGGGGCTCATATGAAGAGATTGTTGAGTTTTTGTTAGAGGTTAGTTGTTAGTTGTTAGAGGTGCTTGGAATTTTGGATTCGGGTCTTTCAAAGGGATGGATGGGTGGATGGGTGGATGGGTGGATGGGTGGATGGTGTTTCGGTTTTGGGTGTCATGCATGACGGATGTCATGCTTAAAGTATACGAGGGATATATATGGGATTTGGGCTCAAGCAACAATGAATGGGAATGGGAATGAGTATGGGATAGGGTATGGAATGGATGGGTGGAGTTTTCAAGGGGAGGGTCCGAGACATTTGACAAATTTAACAAATTTTAATATATGTCTACTTGAGTATAAATTGTTATCTTATTCCTTCTATCATTTAAATATTTATTCTTTAATATTAAAATCTATAAAAGATTATGAATTTTTGAATTCATAAATAAATATTTATTTATTCTTTTTTATTTATATTAGTTGGTAATTAAATTATAAGATTATAATAATAAAATATCAAATTTGAAAAAGGATTTATATTTATTTACTCTCTTTTTATTATTAAATAAATAAATAAATAAATATTCAATACATCTATCTTATCTCATTCTTTAATTAAATTTTTTATTTATTTTATTTATTAACTTTATCTAAAATAATATCAATATCCCCTCCATCACTACTCTACTACTCTTCCAGTTTGTGGATTTTTTTTTGTTTTCGGAACTTGTGGTTTGAACTTGCATTTGGACTTGGACTTGGGTGTTTGGTGCTTCTTGTTCGTCGCCGCAGTCGCGCGCTGTCGCGGAGCTCAATATCATCTATCATCTATCATCTATCAACTATCATCTATCAACTATCTTTTAATAGGTAGGTAGGTAGGTAGGTGTCACGATTCACGGTTTAGATTATAATAGTATTTTTGATGTCGATGATTTAGATGCCGATTACCGGGGTGTGATTTAACCGTTGTTTTCGAGGGGCCTAATCGTTTACGAATAGGAACCCAGGATTCCTAGGATAAGTATCCTAGGCAACCATATTAGAATAGGATAAGTGTTCTAGTTAATCGATTGTAATAGGACAATTATTCTAAAGGATATCGTATCTTAGGGTAGAGGTTCTTAGAGGAAAGCTCCTGGGATAAGTGTTCCAGGAAAGGAAAAACCTCAGGATCGATCATGTGATGAGGAGCCCTAGGAGCTTGGAAAGCTTCTAGAGCTTCAAGAGTCTTTGAAGTTTTGAGCTCCACGAAGCTCCTTTTTATTCATTAGGATATAGTCAGAATAGTTTCATAGTTTAGGAGCTTTGTATTCAATTTAGTTATCAATTAGTTTATCTACATTCTACTTGATCTAATAACGAATTCACTTTCAAATGAATAATCAATGATTAATAGCCTTAACCCACAACTACCCACAACTACCAACCATACGAACCTCAGGCAGCCGCTGCCTCGACCAGATCGTTACAGTAGGTATACTGCGATATATTCGAACCGGTTATCAATTAACGTGACGAATAAAAATCTATTTGTTGATAATTAAAGTTGCAAAAAGGTTGCAAAAAAGAAAGGAAAGCATCTCTATACTTCGATCGATCGACCGATATGATGATAATAATAATCCCAACCCCAATGCCGTAGCTGTAGTACCATTCATTCAACCAATACCCGCAACACCAACACCAACACCAACACCCACAGTCGAATCTCAACTTAATTAAATGCCCTTTTTCTAAAAAGAAAAAAGGAAAAAAGAAAAAGAAGGCACCTCCAGAAACGTAGATAACTAACTTCCTTTTCTAGCACTTTTTGTACGAGTACAACAACAACAACAACCATCTAATTAATGCTCAAGCCAAGAACCATCCACCTTGTTCCCACATTCCCGGGATATAAAGCGCCTGTTGTTTGAGTTGAGGATTACTCAAGCCACGTAGGAGAAAGTCCAAACGGGTAAAGTTTATAGGTTTTAGAATCCAACCATCGAAGCTAGATGATATTAGTTTCTTTATTGATATAAAATATAGGGAACACGCGAATATAAATAAATAACATATATATAAAAGAGTGTGTGTGTATATGAACATACCCAGCTTCGATATAATCAAAACGATTTTCCTCTGCAAGCGAGGCCGAAACGGCAAGAATAGGAACTCTCTTTCTTGCTTTATGTAATTCAGGATGATCTTTTTCGAAATGACGTATCATTCTCGTTGCCATAGAACCATCAACAAGAGGCATCTATTTATCGTTAATAAAAATCGGTCTTTAAAAAGAACAAATAGCACACCTGTAAATCCATCAAGATAACATCAACGCTGTTATTTTGAGACTTGTAGCAATCATGACATGATTGCCCGTCATTTGTAATTTCAACTGTGTGTGAAAGTTTACCCAGTCTCCTGTGCAGAAGTTTTGCGTTGATAGGGTTGTCCTCCGCTGCTAGGATTGAAAGTGGTTTATTTGTTGACATACAACTAAAGGTGGTTAATGAGGGTGTGCTTGATATTCTGCGCGCCGTCGACGCAATAACAGGGTCTTCTTTAAAGGAAAATGCAACATCAAAGAATGATGTAGCGGAAGATGAACCTTCTTCAATTGGGGTCGCTAGTGGAGTACTCCCAAAAGCGGAATGCGTATAGCTAGAAGTTATCCGGTCGCTGTCATCATAGACACTACCAGTCTCAGATAATGAACGAATATGTTTTCCGCTATTATTGAATGAGAGTTCTGGGATATCCACCGGAGTGGCGGCATGTTCAAACGGTAATTCAATGCCAAATATTGTCCCTTTTCCTCTTTCGCTATGTACTCGAATTTGGCCGTTGGAATTACGAACATATCGAGCTACGACAGCGAGGCCAAGACCAAGAGTCTCTCTCGTGTCACTTGATGGCCATGGCTTTGTCGGGGTAGGGACTTCTGTCTCGTCCAATATTTGCTCAAACTCCTGAAATAATTCATCAAGTTGTGATTCGGACATTCCATGACCCACATCTTGGACAGTGAGAGAGATTACGGTACTCTTTGGCCATACCTGTAAAGGCCGAATGTCAATTTTGACACCACCAGCTACGGAATTTTGAAACGCGTTGCTTGTGAGATTGGAAATAACCTGTCGTAATCGAGCAGCATCACCTTTGACCATTTCTGGTACACCTTGATGTATAGTGACAGTCAGATCTAAGCTCTTCCGTACTGCTTCCTTTCGAAAAGCTGACATGACTTCCGAAACTGTAGCTGAGAGGTCAAAAACATCTTTGATTGAATTGACCGGACCATTTTCGGCTTTGGTGAGTTTCAGCAGATCATCGATGACATATATCAAAGATCTTGAAGCCTTATGAGCTTTTATTAGCAACTCACGAGTTGGGGACTCGATTTTATCCTCTAGTGCCATTTCGAGATAGTTAACCACGGCATTTAACGGCGTGCGTACTTCATGACTTGTGTTCTTTATCAGGAGGCGAGTCATTCGATTATGTCCTGTTAATTCCTTTTGCCGCCAGATCTCAATGAATCTTCCATACAAAAGACTTAATACAGACGCAGTTTCGAAGTCATCGGTGTTCCATGTTTTGGAAGTGCCTTTGATAGTCTCTGTCCAGCGTCTAAAACTACTTCTTGGTTCTAGGTACTGACCATCAGTCCTGTTCATTTTCTCATAAGGATTACCCGCCCACCTGACTTCGCGAAGTTGACCTCTTCTGAAGAAAACCAAAAAGTCATTTCCGCCAGTGCTAAGAGGTATGACGAGTATACCAGCTACAGAATTGATTCCCGACGGGTCCTTTAGTTTTGGTAAGTCTTTCACAATATCGTGCGTGGCAAATATTTCCGTAAAGTGCCGAGATTGTAAGTGTGCAAGAATCGCTAAGGCCTCCCGATAGGGGCGAAGTTTTCCGATAGCTCGTGCTTCGTCCTGAATGTTGAGAAGACCGAAGTCGGCATTGAAGACACGCAGCAAATCATCAGAAGATGCCGCAATGAAACCGGAAGGTGTCTTTCCTGTATTCTGACGCGGTGCTTTTCGAGCTTCGATACGTTGCTGCATCAGTAACCTTTCGATATTTGTTGAAGCACATTCTCCAATATTTCTGGCCAGTTCACGCATCGGTAGCGTTACACGAACACCGCTATTACCATATCCATGACATGCCACTAATCCCCATAAATCACCATCAATCACAATAGAGATTGACATTGTTGAGCGTACTCCCATATTCGAAAGATATTTTATGTGGAGTGGTGACATGGCACGTAAATATGCATGTGTCAAGTCTAATGGCTTTTCGAAGTCCGATTCGTCACGACAGACCTATAAGATGATCAGCACGGTAGCGTTCGGTTTTGCTTCAGCATCAATGCTGTGAGACAATGTCCATTTCAAAGTTCGAGATGCACTTTCGAGCAATCAGGCTTCTGATGTCTGGCTAAGAAATAACGCGATGCCTAGCTTAACAAAAACCAACCAGGTAATGGATTCCGTGCTTACTAGTCGTGCAGTTTCTTCATCCCGGTCATACAAAATTCGAATCCTGTTGATTTTGTATAAATCGCGAGCTTGCTTAGGAATATCCGAAGCTAGAAAGAAAACAATGTTGTTGGTCAATGTAAAATGAGAAAATGGACTTTCGAACGAAAACTAACCTGGAAAATGCAACCCTCTGAATATATCATCACTTGCCTTGGGGTTAACCAACTCAGCCTCTACACATCCATTTTTCTCTGTATCAAATCGGTAAAACATGACACGATGAAAGCCCGTCAAGTCAAATATGAGGCCGACAACCACATCTTGAAGCTTCTGGACGGAAGTACAAGCAGCAAGTTGTTCTTGTGCTTGTGTCATCGCGTTGAACACCTCCAGGGAACCAACGGCATGTCTGCCTTTTCGTTTGGCAATTTGCAAGACACGTAACGGTTGACTTCCACTGGAGATACTTTTCAACCGTTCTCCAAGCACTATATCATTGTCAATTGTTCGCGTTGGAGTTTTTGGTAAATCTCTCGTAGTGTGAAGTCCATCAGAATGAAATATGTGGTCGGAAAATTCTTCGAATTCACAGATGATCAAATCATCAGTGTTTTTGGATATATGAATTGCGCACCAGAGATTGACCAATCCTGTATGTGCAACAACTGACATGGAGAATATATCCAGGCGTGTGTCAGAAGATGGATTTTTGCTGACGGCTCGAAGAGCATGATCCACCCGTGCGATGAAGTCTTCGCGAACATCCACGCCAAGAACATCGAGAAAAGACTTTAGGGTAAACAATTGTTCCGGCGTATATTTCAATATCTTGAACGTATTCTCGCTGGCAATCCGAGGCACAAGATCCCCTTGATCGTTGTATCTTAAGGCGACCAGTGCCCCATATTGTTGAATTGCCCCTGGAATGTGTATAGGTTCATCCTCACACCTGCAGAATGGCTGTTCCTCGGTGCTCACAGGTTCGCCGGGGGCAATACCTGGAGGGCCATGTTTTGAAGGGACCAATTGTGAACGTTGTGATATCTTCCTATTTTTTTCAGACTCGGATGACGATGACCGTTCATCATTGCCACTCCCCGTTGAATGGTTTTCTATCGAGGTTTCAGGCAGTCTGCGAATTTTATCGTCAGAAGGTATAGGTGGATAAGGCGGTGGATAAAAGTTCGATTCGTTAGAGTCATCGGTACGTCTCCCGCTCACATCGTCTGCTCTATCTTGAGCTTGTTGAGTCAAGATGGAGTATCGATGGCTTGAGGTGTATGAGGGAACATTCTCAACGTTCTGTGATGTTGTTCCAGTGTTAACATCTCTTCCATCTATAAGATTGCGAATAGGAAATATTCGCTCGACTGTAAACTCTTCAACCGATGGGAAAACCACAGGCTTGGAAGGCGTTGGGTCTATGTTGGACATTGTTCAGCATATTTGATCCCACCAAGTAGGAGTTTGAAGAATGGAATATCCCATCTCCAAACGTATGGTTAACATGGGGAAAAGAAAATGTGATAAATATGGATAAAAGAGACCCTGGAATACATAAGCTCTAATTCCAGTTGAGTAAGGGCTCGGTCTAGCTTGAGGTGTAGAGACCACTCAGCGAGCGATCGCATTGTTAGTTGGGATGGTATGGAAATCGGAGTGAATCCCTATGGTTATCAGCCACGGAAGATGCTCCGTCGTGACAAGGATACACAAACTTTATGAAGGGCGAAAAGATCTCCACAAAGGCGAATAAATGGAGCATTGCGGACGGAGGTATTTTTGAGCCCCCGTGTAGCATATCTCTGTTCTTAGCTACCCCTCCTTTGAGATGGATGCATCACCTCAAAGCATGGGATCTCTATAACAGGTAGGGTGGTAGCAAGAAAGAAACAGTAACAGTGACAATGACATGGACCAAACTTCATGACCAGTAGGTACCTAGATAAGGTTAACCATCGACGGGTCGTCCATAGTGAGGACAGCACCCTCCTATATTTCGGAAGGATCCCATTGACCTTTACCAATGGTGCAGTACACTGTTAAGTGATAATTCTTTAAAAACATAATCTTACATGCATGCATGTTCTTCACAGAGGATGATTGAGTACAAGCAGAAATAGATTGGGAGATTATTACCTGCTGTGTTTGCAGAAAGTCCGGATCGATCTGGCCTGTGCGAGGAGCCACGGGTCGCACATACAAGATGATAACCAACCTCACTCACAATCGGCAACATTCTTCTGATCCATGAACTCGAGACTAAAATTCTCCACTCACCATTTCTTTTTCACTACGGTGTAGAAACTAATAAGTCTTACCTATTAATGGATGTTCGAGGGCCCGTCCAGTAATCGGAAAGGCTGCCGCTTATGTACAGAGTACAGAGTACAGACTTTTCTTTACTTCTTTCAAGTACGTACCTAACGCACCGGCCGGGGTATTTATTGACTACCAGCAAGATTTCTATGGGGCACAAATTTAGTCAAGGAACGAACCCTTCCCGACCCTTCCTTGATGTAAAGCAAGTGTACCCTTCGAAACTCTGTTAGGTCATTGAAGTTTCAGCTATCGTCAAGTAGAAGGGCCAAAAAATCAAAAAAGAAGTTCTCATTCATCCTTAGACATCAATGGGAAGTACAGATCACAATTACACCATGGCCGTCACATTGGAAAAAGAAAAGATATTTCGATGGGAAAGCAAGGGGAAACCGTTGCAAAGATCGTGCCACTCAGATCGTGTTACGCATGCTTGACTTTAGTATTCAGGATCATGCATGTACGCGAATGTCACGATACCAGACAGAGGTCAGAAGCCTAGAAGCTATTTAGAAACCAATACTGTAGCTAGCTGCTAGCCTAGGTTTGAAGCGATTAACTACTCTTCCCGCAACCACCCCTATCTCAGACTGACTGGTATCTACTCCATACCCAGTCTGGTAATGTCTCCTCGCTTGCGGAAGCAAGAATAAAGGCCCGCAGCTCTATGCCCATACCACAATCTGGTAAACGACGAGAGGAGGAACATGATTCTACTGGTGCGGCCAGAAAGTATAGCACACTTTATTAGGAGGCTGCTACAGTATTTTCTTTGCAGTTCTGTAGTCCACCCATCTTGTGGTATGTGCTTAAAGTAAGTGGACTATGCGATGTTTTCTAGTTGCACGAGCAGCGTTCGTTTGGTATCTTAAAAAGTTTTGACAGCACGAGTTAATCCATTCATCCATTCACCTGAACTAGGTATACATTCTCCATTCCCGCGACGTGGGTCAATAACAAGGCCCGCAGGAGGAAGCCGATATCACTCGGACCTCCATTTAAAGTTTAAGATCCGAGCCGCTTCTCCTTACCTCGAAATCCAAGTGATAATATATTCAACACTTTATCATTTTATCATGATATTAGCTGCAGTGGCTTTTACTGCGTTATCCGTCACGGCTGACTGAGCTAAGCCTCCAACTATAGTCAAATATTCAGCTCAGGTTTTGTACTGAGTGCTAGAACATCCTGCAATAACGAAGTTTCGTTGTTACTTGACTATAGGTTCTGTGCATGCAATTTGCCCAATCATTTGGCGCACATATTTGAAAAAGACTACTCTCATCCAGATGGATCAATTGCCACACTTGATACCACTTCCCCTTATTCAAAGCTGGTTAATGCTTATGTTTCGTTTTTCCTCTAAAGTTGCTTCTCTACGCAGAGCAAACCTTAATTGGTTATCGATTCATCTAGTGCCTATAGCCTAAGCCTCTATGATAGCATAACTACTATTCGCTGGCTAAATGGCATTGTCTAAGCCACCGCCAAATATTTATCTTTACATCAATCCGGTACTTTTATTTATTTTCGCAAGAACATCAATCCTCATGTGTATGAATCATTCTCTTGTCACAGAAACTCATGGATTCCTACGATTGTAATTCACGATTTTAGGAGAGCGGGGAATCGTGATATCAACAACCCGACGGTTGAAAACCCTTTAAATTCCCTACGTTTATCGGAATGAAACATTATACATTAAAAAAACAACATCACAACCTCATTCAAAAGGTTACTCACACTTCGATCCTCCAAACCACCCTCGTCTCAACTCTAGTGGCCTCCTTCGCCGTCCCAAACCCGACCCCATTCCGTATGAAAGAATATGCCAAGAAAGGAGGGGCCATAAAGGGCTTCACTCTATTGTTCGTTGTACATTAGTCTGTTATTCTCTAGAGTAGATCACTATTATGCCTTGAGTTAGGCCATCGTCACAAGTAATATCTTAGAAGCTTCTAGAATTTGTGTACGGTCCTATGCCCGCCATATAATCTGACTTGGAGCCTATTTGTTTTCTTTTCTCTTTAGCTTTGCAAAAAAGCAATCATAAGCACTTCTTCCTATGTTGTCTTGAGTTTTTCTCCATACATTGAAGTCGAAAGCAAAATCACTTCTCCACCTGCCCGGTAGCCGTGCATCTGAGTACGGAGGCCTAGATCTCGAACAGCACATCCCAAAAAGAAGTTGTGCTTACTTCTTCCGTCAGATAGGAAATTGCAATACCGTTTCCGAATGCCTTCCCTTTAGAGATACATCCGCACATATGCCGACAGCCACAAGCGATTGTGGAGCACGAGCTGATGGATTCTGCTGCGGTGTTCAGGTACGATCCGTTGGAAGACGTGATTATGGACACTCGACTCATCCGTCTACTGCCTGGAAAAGTCATGGGGCCCATGACCACCTCTGGATTGACATATTCTCACAGGAGCTGGTAGCAGCGGGTCGAGACCGCATAAATTGTCCATCTCGAGGTGATGTACAACAGACTTTGCCAACCCATTGGGAAGTCAGCCAAACAGTTGAAGGCCGGCTACTTTTCATGTGAGAGACTGACAATGTCACAATCACGACTTGGGAACATCCTATCAAGGATTTCGACAAATTTCTATTCAATACACCGGTCATTGGAGCTCTGTCACCTCCTTCGTTGTCATTCGAAGCACTGTCTTATGTATGGGGTCCCCAAAGTGATCAAGTTGAATTCAAGTAGTTCCACGTGTTTCAGCTCATGGATTGGTTCTCAACCCGGGCGGCTCACTGTATGTTGGTCAAGCCCTTGCCCAATGCCCTGCAATATCTTAGACGTGAAGATGGAGAACTTACGCTTGAATAGATGCGCTCTCTATTGACCAAACCAACAAGGTTGAGGAACAGGGACAGATACGTCGGATGGATGAAATCTACAGACTGGCGCCTCGAGTGATAATATGGCTGGGAGCCTGGGACTCGGAACAGCGAACAGTGAGGTGGCCTTGTCAACTCTGGAGTACCTAGGAGCACGGGTGGAGGTCACACTAGATGGAAGAAAAGCTGCGTCCCCTAGTGCGGAACAGAGGTTTTGGTTTAGCGAAGAGGTGGATCTCACATATACCACTGCAACGTGGAAGGTCATACATGACTTTCTAGACTGTACTTACTTCCGACGGTTATGGATTATCCAAGAGGTCTCACTTGAAAATGGCTACGCCATCATGTAGCGCGGAGATAAAAGCGCAACCCTTGTATTATTCCGAAAGGCCGTCGCTTGTCTGTACAGCAAGAGTAACTTGCCATATAAGGGCTTGCGTCCGCTAGTCCTAGAATGCGTGCGAATCACCAAGAGCCATCATGGCAAAACTCGAATGGCGCTGCTCGAAAACTCACGTCGGTAGCAGTGTCAGGATCCTAAAGACAAGATCTATGGCATACTTGGGATCGCTCCAAGGAGGTTCGCTAAGCTCATTTGCCCAGACTATTCGGATGCTGTATCAGTTACAGACACTTATCGTGATATGTTTCTCGATCATATGAGGCATTTCGGTCGTTGGGAATTATTCGCTTGTGAGCAGAGCGGCCGTCAAGATACGCATTACATCTCTCTCAACCACAGAAATCGTTTGCCAAGGAATACAAAATTCAACATGTCGACGTCTGCACTGATCGAGAAAGTCCCTGAGAAACTTGAGGAAACAAAGTTAGCCCATCATTGTCCATCAGATTTGAAAAAGCGCCCATTTTCCTCCCCAAACGAAATGGTCACTTTCATCATTGGAATAGGCGACAGTCAAGAAACCTTTCAGATCCACAAACAAATCGCATGTCAACATTCGGAAGTCTGGGACCGGGCTTTCAACAGCGCTTTCATCGAGGGACAAATGCAAACTTACAGCATTCAAGGATACGGAACCTGACGTTTTCAAGTTGTTGATGCAGTGGGTTTACCAGGAAAAGTTTGACCATGTTCACTCTGAAGGTTTCGATCGCCATGAAAGCATTTATGAAATTCTTAAATGTGATTTTGAATATTATACTCTGCCGCAGCTTTGGGTTTTGGCCGACAAATTCCTCATTCTTAGACTCCAGAATTACACTATGAACATCATGTGCAGAAAACAGACTGTCTGTAAAACAGACATGTCTATCATGAATTATTCATATGTATATAATAACACAGCTGAAGATAGTGCCCTTCGTCGTTTTGTGGTTGCTCAGAGCTGTTGGGGCGAAGATAAATTTCATTGGACCAGGGATGCACTTGATCTTGAGAAGAAGCGTTACCAGAAGCGTTACCCGAAGGAGATGCTGATGGATATGGTGACTGTCTTCAAAGCATCAATACCCGTGTATATTAGAGAGCAGAAACAATCTATGGAGGGAGTATCATTGGAGGATTTCCTGGTTCCCGAGAATCCTAGTACTGGTAGGTACTTTATCTTTGCAATATTTGACATGTTCGCTAATGCTACTACAGCTTCTTGATTAGAACTGGGCCCAGTATCAGTACTTTGAGGAGCAAAGGCTAGCTTCACACGATCTACTTGACTGCGGAACAATAAGGGAGGCTTTGTGGTCGGGATCTTGATGTGCACACGAGAATGTGGTAGTAGGGATACAAGACTTACACTGCTTATTCGTTGCAATGGCATGGAATCTACTAGTTTGAAGGAGTAACCATACAACATGAAAAGATGTTCTTCTGAGAATGTTTCTGCTATTATTGTGTGACTTTGTTTGCTCATCAAAGATTTCAACATGTGGGCAAATAATAGCCGTTCAAGATAGTGATGACAATAAGATATTCAAAGAACTATCAATGTTGCAATGTTTGAAACATTTTGACTATATTCATTCACAAACAGCATTTGGCATGAAACTAAAGATGCATGACATTACACTTCTAACGATAAAAGCATTTTTCTAGAGCGCTGACTAAAATGGCAACAACACAAGATGCTCCTTCCTTCCTTCCTTCTCACAGATTGACATCCATACTAATTTGTATACTATTCCAGCATCATGACTTCCCCACTAAGAAAATTTCCACATCAAAGATATTAGACAAAGAATGAGTCTTCACGACTAGAGATCTTCTCTGAGTTCATCTCTCTCTTCATCTCAAAATAGACTTCATCCCCGAACCTCACTAACTATATTCATTTTCCATTCCAAGGACCAAAACAAAACCATATAAGATTACGTTTACATCTAAAGATACCTATGCAACCAAAATGATGAGCAAAGTTACAACTATTTATATAAAAACACTTCAAATATTAATATAGTAGAAGACTTTCTCGAAGTATTCTCAATGTTTGTAATACATTGTTCACAATAACCTCCCTTAAATCTACTCATCTATCTTAATCAATACCCCATTTCTACATAACCCTAAACGCCAACCATGTGTATTTTCCTCTCTTAAATGTCATCTAGTAAATACTAATAATCGAAACAAAAAGCAGGACTTTAAATATATACCAAATCACTTCTTTGAAAGCTTCAATCAAATACTCAACTTCGAGTCTTATATAATAAATGTATCATCAATTATAATTAATTCTGAATAAATATTCCAATTAATAATCATTTATTATTGACCGAGTCATAATTATAATTTATTTAAATGAAAATAAAACTACTGGTGAAAAATAATATTATTATAAAAATAAATTAAATCAAATAAATTAAATATAATATAAATTATAATCTTTATCATCTATATATATATATCTTTATTATCTATATATATATATCTTTATATAATTATAATAAAAAATTAAAAAAATTAAAATTAAAATATTATACCGAATTCACATTATATCACATCACTATATAACGTCATCACTATCGTCATCGTCATCATCACCACCACCATCACCATCACTATCCTCAAAACTCAAATTCAAAATCAAAGTAAGTTATTACAAAACGATTATATTCCATTTTATCTGCAAAACATATCTAATACAAGAGCATACAAGCATCAATCAAAATGAAAGAAAATGAGTGATTGATTGGGAAAGAAACAATAATGAAAATCCAGGTCCAAGTCCGGATCCAGGGTTAAATGCCGATCGCGATGGCGATAGCGAGACATTAAATGGGATAGGTTTGATGTGTGAATCCAGAGAAAAAGCTTTTATGTGAGTAGTAAGAGGTTGTATGATGAAAGTCGGGGTTGGGATGGGATGGGAAGTAAAGCGTAGAGTAGGGTAGACAGGAGAGGGATTGATGCGTACCTTAGTACCTAGCGAGTGATGTTTGATGCTCATGTGATTTGGGGTGAAGACGAAACGATGAAGTGTAGGAAGGTATGGAGTGTTGAATTGTCGTAGCGAGGGTGTATAGGGGAAAATGGTAAGGGGTTATGAAGGGATGGAGGAATGGACGAATAAGAACAGGGGATAGGAGGATCAGAAAGTACGTACCTCACACCAAAAAATCATAAATCAAGACAAGAAAAGTACATGAAAGACGAAGAGATCATCGTCTTTGACCAACCACCAGCCTTAAAACATATTTTGTAGAAGAATATAAATGCAGATGTACTCCATGCATGCATTTCCTAATAGCCCTCCAGATACCCCTCCAAGAACCAAAAAATATCATGCAATGTCTCGCCGAACAATAACAATTTCCCAAATTCCATGCCTGGTATGCCTAACTCTATGGAAATACTAACTATAGCTACCTAGAGCAAAACGTATAATTATTTACAACATCTCCTCATCTTCACCTCCATTTGTGTATCCACCAAATTGATAATTTTGGAACGCTCCATACCTATGATATTTAGTTAGTGAAAACATATATGAGAAGCTGTTAAAATCGGTGAGAAAGGGAGGGTTGCATTTAAAAACGTAAAGTGGGGTTGTTTGAGGTGGGGTTAACGAAAAAGGGGAGAGAGGAAGGTGCCAACTCATGAACTTGGCAAGAAAATACTCACTGATTCTCCATCGCTTCAACATTTGGGTACCCATGAATAGATTCGACGGCCTTATAGACAGGGTCGATGGATTGTTTGTATTGAGGTCCACCAACTGCCGAACCGAAGTGCGAGTAAATGTCTTTGGAGGGACCCGCTGATTGTTCATACTCTCTCGCAGCTAAAAGCTCATAACCAGATGCCATGTAAGGTTCAACATGCTCGGCATGATTCCAACGTGCATCTCCACCTTGAATTGGAGTCAATGGAGCATGGCTACTACCATCACTCATAGTATCATCATCCATACTTGAATCTTGTGTTCGAGACATTCTTTCTTCCAACATTTGCCGTTCATATCTCAACCTTGCCATGGATTCTTCTTGCTCAAAGCTAGTAGAAGGCCCAGTCCACAAATCTTGTGGCAACGATTGCCCTCCATTGTACGGTGGGCAGATTCTCCATAACTCAATTAATCGCATCTGCTGACTAGCATCTGCGGTTTTGAAGAGTTCAATTTGGGTAGGGTATAATGAGGAAGAATCGACACCATGTCTCGCGAGTATAATATCTACTGTAAGTTGATCTGTTTGGGGTGGTTCGGAAGCTGGTCTGGATGGTTGCTTAACAACATGTGCGGAATGGGTATAATGTTGAGAAACTGAGTATGTATATGTTGGTTCAACTTCCTTTGGCTGTTCTACGGGGGCAGGAGGAGGATTGTGGAGGGAAAGATTGCGAGCGAAAAGCATTGCGAGCTCTTCTTGTGTAGCCATGACGTCTATGTGTGACTGATTATTCAATACTACAGCAGATACGTCAGATGCGTTACTTTTGAGGGGAATGAATAACATACCTTAAGTTGCAAATGATCTGACGATCTTCAAGATGAATCTTGCAAAGTATGTCGACTGTGTTCAATATTTCCTTGAAAGAAAAGAGTTCGAAGCCGAATGTTGTTCCGATTTGTAGTAAAGCCTAGAGTCAGACGAACATGCAATATGCAAGAGAATGGAGCAGACTTTTGTGGACAAATGCAAAAACGGTTTGCTTGTTATTATTGACTATGCTATGTACTGAAGTAAAGGTAGAGTAGAATTACTCTTGAGAGAAATGGAAGGGATTTCTTAGATTGAAGGGTGGTAGCGGCGATCGCGGTTAAGGGGAGGAAGATGACCTTTGGGAAATGAGCTTATTTGGAATGATTCAGTCGCCACGAAAGTTTCAGAATGAGAAAGAAATGAATTTGAATCCTCAGAGACTGTGAGATGGGTGTATATGTATGTTATTGTACGCGTAGGTATTTAATAGCAAAATATAATGTTGCGAATGGAGGTTTATAAAAGGTTGCAAAGTGGAAGGAAGGAAGAAGGTTTCGATATTTCATTCAATTCATGTTTCCGATTTGATGGTACGGTATGTACCAGACAGACTAGGTATCAAAGAGATAACCTTAGCGGTAATGTGATTGATAAGTGATTTGATAAACCCCTCTTTGTTTTATAATGTCCAACCCAACTCTCTTTAAAAGCCAATGATTTTCTATTTTAAACATATTGGGCTGTTAGCGTTGCACGATTTAACCCATTTATCCCCCGTTCAATCACTTCATCTGCCAATTGTTCTATGACACGAGTATGACCTTTGCGTCAATTTACCGGATGAGGTTACTTTTTTCATTCCAGATCTTGATGCTTCACCAAAAGAGATGAACAGCTGTTTGTAGATCGTTAGAAATATCTTTGGTATACCCAGTATATTAAGGAAGGGTACCTAGTATTATTTAATGGGGATCCCTTTGTTCAAATCCAATAATCTGTTGCTGCATCTATCTCGACATCTGTCTGAGTATAAAATCATCATCTGATATGGGCAACCTGACGCAAGCAAAAGGATTCACTGAGTTGATGACGCTCCGCTGGGCCACTGCCGTGGAGGCGTTTTCGCTTCGCTCCAGGTTCAAATTTCATGGATGGATAGATGGATGATATGATTCTTGGATTTGATTGAAAAATACAGAGAATCACAAAAGGCAAATCAAGGAGATCTAGAGCGAAGCGAAAAAGCCTCCACGGCAGTGGCCCAGCGGAGCGTCACCAATAAGATCCTTTCGGTTTTCTTTACCTCATTTAATACGTTCAAGCAAATCCAATGGAATATTGATCAGGTCACTGCAAAAAGAAGTACAAAGAGGCACAGCAACCACAAGGCCATGATCAAAAGGTGATGGATGGATGTGACTGATGTTGTGGAGTGAAGACTGAATGACTTGACTTGATCGACCTGCATGAGACTTCTTTTTCCGTGCCACCCCCCATGTTTCGTTATTGGGTACCACTTTCCGTCAGGGGTATCCCTTTTAGTTCTTTGCCTTCTTGTGTCTTATCGCCTTATCCGTTGATTCTCTTATCATCATGTGACTCTCGTTGTGGCCTTAACATCAAGGCCAATAATTCAAGATGACGCTAAGAGCCGCCGCCAACCTAAACGCGTTTCGTGGTGCCTGGAGCTCTGATATACAGAATCTCAAGAGCTTCATTAAATCCCTCCAAATCTCTCCACGTCATCCCAATTCTTTGTCTTTAAAGCTCTTCAATATCCTCCTTTAAAATCTAGAAATCATGGTAAACTTCAATTTATTCAGATTGGCACATCTCATCAAATAAATGAGCTCTTCAAGCTGACTTCCCACCTTATATTAGACTTCGATAGGTACAGGTTACGATCTTTCGAATTCCGTCTTCTCTCCGGATGGACGAAACTTTCAAGTCGAATATGCAGTAAAGGCGGTCGAAAATGGTGGAACCTCTGTTGGGATTAAATGTAAAGATGGAGTTGTACTTGCAGTTGAGAAGATCATCACCAGTAAGCTCCTAAAGGCGGGAGCCAACAAACGTATTGCGACAATCGATAGACATATGGGTGCTGTATGTACAACCTTGATAATTGAATAGTCATTTTGAAATGATAAAACGGCTAATTATCCTTTTACAGGTATCTTCAGGATTAGTACCAGATGGTAGACATTTCGTTTCCCGTGCACGCGATGAAGCTGCAAGTTGGCGTAACGTCTACAAAACTCCAATTACAACCGCAGATTTGGCTAGTCGAATGGGTGGATACCTTCAAGCATATACCCTCTATTCATCCGTACGACCATTCGGTATTACTGCGATCGTTGCAGGTTATGACTCTGAACAAGAATTACCAGTCGATGGACAAGTAGGAAGTGGACCATCTATTGGTTCTGGAGGAAAGGTTGAAGGCAAGAAGTATGGTGGACCTGGTCTTTATATGATTGAACCAAGTGGATTGTACTGGGGTTACTATGGGGCTGCTACCGGTAAAGGACGTCAAGTCGCAAAAGCCGAATTAGAGAAGTTGGATCTTGCAGCAGGGAAGTTGAGTCTATTAGATGGTGTCAAAGAGGCTGCGAGAATTATTTACGTTGCGCATGATGACAATAAGGATAAGGAATTCGAGCTTGAGATGACCTGGATTAGCAATCTTGATGGACCAACAAAGGGAAGACATGAGGAAGTACCGAAGGATATTCTTGAGGAAGCTGAGAATTTAGCGAAGAAGGCTTTGGAAGGTGAAGATGATGAGGAAGAAGAGAAACCGGCTGAAGGAGATAAGATGGAGGAATAGTTAAAGAAGTATGTGTGAGAATCCCTTTGTATCAACACCTGCCTTTACAATTTTACATGGCCTAAAGGTTTTGAGCTTATCACAGCATACGACACTCTAATGATACATTTTACGCCATTGATTTTATTTGAGTCTTTTCTTTTTACTACTTTATGCAATCCTAGAGTGATGAACTTTGGATGCAAGATTTATGCCGTGATTTTAGAAATAGAGAACTATAGCTATTCTCATTTCACATCGCTACGGAAATTTGGAAGTGGTCTTCTTTTTCGATTTCAAGAGATCATATTACCTAATACAACCCAGACAAGTCTTCAGGGACCAAGGAGTCAAGTGAAATTTATTCTTGCGAGGAAGATAAACCAATGGGACAAATAGAATAGTTCTATTCGTCTCCAGTCTCCAGTCTCCAGTCAACAGCAGTACCACCTATTCTTCAGATGTGCAACAAAAGTTATTTTATTCTTCAAGTTTTAATTATATTATTGGTTTATTATTGGTTTTATTATAAGTATATATCATCAATTCAGATCACTAGGTTGATAGATAGATAACTGGTGAACTCAACTGGTGAACTCAATTCTATTAGATATCTAGTTACTGCGATTGGTATTGAGTTAATAATAGTAGATAGATAGATGTATTGATTTTGTTTGTTTAGGATGTGGATGAAAGGATGAATGGATGGATGAAAGAATAAAAAAAATGAAAGAAAAGTTTTGTGTTTGATGGTTTGATGGTTTGATGGTTTGATGGTTTGATGGTTTGATGGTTTGATGGTTTGATGGTTTGATGGTATTTGATTGGTGGTGGGTGTATTTCTTGTAAATAGATGGAAGCCCTCATTTATGGTTGGTTGTTGTAGGATTACGATTAGGATTTTAGTTGTTATTTTCCTGGGGATGGAAGTTGGAGAGGTATATGGGATATATTGTTTGTATGTTTGTGTATATGTAGGATTAGTAATAGTTCATAATACCGAAATTAAGAATTTGGGACTTACGCATCTTTGTGTATATAGTTGGAATTCCTATAGTTCGTTTGTTATGGGATTTGGAAGAGGTATATAGTATATACGAGTAGTATATAGTATCAAGCAGCTACTCTCCGGATCTGATTTGCCATTAAATCAAGTTCATCAATACTAAAGATTCTAGGTGGGTGGGAAAACATGATGGCGGTCCTGGTCCTGGGATCTACGTACTCTTCATATTTTATTCATACATTTACTGAATATTCAGAATACCCAGTTGAAAATTCTTTTCCCATTTTGCTGATATTTTACAGACAAATCGCCTTGCAATGAGGCGAATTGACCGTCTTGATGGCCTGTGATTGCTACCTACCTAGTGAAAATCTTTTAGTTCGGGTTAGGACAGAGTGGCGAAGCTTTGCTGGTTAGACAGTTTACTCTAGAATGTAATTATTAGTTTTTATTAAATAATCATTTTGGATATATATTCCCTAAAGTTTTTAACTAGAATTAGAATTAGAATTCTGTCACTTCTCTCAGTAATCTATCAATTCATTCATTCATCTAAAATCACCGCCACCCTTTCTCAATATTACCATGACCTATCAAAAGACCATCACAGCAAGCACGCACGCACGCACGCCTCATGGCCTTCCATTCAAAACCGTCTGTCTGTTTCTCTGATCCTACATATGATTGATTAAAAGATGATAGATACCTTGTCTAATGGATCAATACCCTTATTTTAGATGTAGAGTTTCTTAATGTATGTATATCTATGAATACGTATGACCTAACCGGTAATTGTAGGAGAGTAATTAGCATGGTTTCTGAGAAGCTTAGTCTAGTACAAATGTGACTACATAAGTCTTACATTGAGCGAGAGTTTTTTGGGAAATGGCCACCACTCCATGGATCAGTACGGTTCTTGTGGTGTGATGTGATGTGATGTGATGCGATATATATATTATGTTCGGTATTCCTTCAGAATTCCTGAATGCTGTATTATATATAAATACACATTTACATCTCCATTTACATCCAGATCTCCATTCTCCGCAGCAAACATTCACACCCATTAATTATATCAGTCCTCGTCTCGCGTTGGAACTCGAAATTCCTAACTACTATCCCCATCCCATCTAATTAAATAGAATCCCTCAAGTAAGAATTCCAAGTATGGGTTTTTGGTTCCTGAAATCATCGACACAGACTCATTCTTCAAATTCTCGATCTAAGGATCCTGGTTTATTGGAAAGATCTGTTGCGGATAGTAAATCTGCATCGGCTGCTCTACTGTCTGGGAAATGTATATCTGAGGAATCTGGGGTTAAGGGTAAATATAGGGATGGATTTATAGATAGATCTAAATCTATGGGGAGATTTAAATGTGCGGAAAGATCTAAATGTGCGGGGAGATGCAAATGTGCGGAAAGATTTAGATCTATGGAAAGGTCTAAATCAACGGATAGTCCCAGATCTAAACCTAAACCCAAACCTAAACCACGCAAAGGAAGAATAATAATACATTTTGTTCGTCACGCCGAGGTATTTATTTCCTTTCCTTCCCTCACTTTCCATCCCCTCCTCCTAACACCACCCAGGCCTACAACAATCTCCGCCGCTCCCGCTCCCGCTCCTCCATCCATTCACCCACCCTTACCGACCCCCCTCTAACTCCCCACGGAAAATCTCAATGCCATACCCTAAACACCAAACTCTCCCATCTAAACCCAACATACATCCTCTGTTCGCCTCTTCTTCGTACGATCCAAACTGCTTTTTTGAGTTTACATCTCCATACTCATACCTATACCAACATCTATTCAAACCTGAATAGAAAAAGACACCTAAACCCAAACCCAGAAGCTAAAACAACCCGAACCCCAAAATCCAAAACCAAAATAAAAATCTTCCTTCATCCCGAATTACGAGAATTCGGCTCAGGACCTAGTTCCACGGGTACGCGATTAGAGGATTTGAGAAGATATATGGGGATACGGATGCGGAATATGAATATAGATTTCAGCCCTGTAGAAAGATGGGAAAGAGAAAAAGGGAGGGGATGGGAGATTAATAGGGAGAAGAATGGAGGGTTTATTTTTGAGAGGTTCGAGGGGAAGGGGAAGTGGAGGAGGAGTAGGGAACAAAAGGAGAGAGGGGAGAGGGTTAAGAGGATGTTGTGGGGTTTGGGGAGGGAAGGGTGGAGAGTTGAGGAGGAGGAGGAGTGTGGAGGGAGGGTGAAAGAAGAGGAAGTGGAGGAAAGAGAGGAAAAGGAAGAGACATGGAGATTTTGATCTTTTCTCATGGGGAGTTTTTGCGTGGGTTGACGGGGGATTGTAGGTCTTTTTTTTCTTCTCCTTTCCCTCTTCCTCCTTCCCTCCTTCCATCATCCCATCTATCAAATCTATCCAATCCCTATCCTCACCCCTAAAATCAACTTCAACTTCAACTTCAACATCCCAACAGCCCAAAACCAAAACCAAAACCAATACTAACAAAATATCTAACAACCCCAATAGATTGGCATAATGCGGATATAATCTCTCGAGTGATGATTAAAACATGCAAAGGGTATGGATTTATTGATCCGCCTTCAAGGTTTGCTTGTCATTAAGAGAGGGAGAGAGAGGAACCAGATATTTTTTCTGTGTTGGTGTTTGGGTTTGATGTTTTAGATTTATTTGGTTATGTGGATGGATGGCTGTATAGATGGATGTATATATCTTTGTGTGGATTGAGATGTAGGATTGAGGAGTGGATTGAGAAGGTTGTTAAGCTACTATAATAATTTATTTCACTTTCATACACACCTACACATCCCACACTCATACACACCCATACACACCCATACAAGATATACGACCAGAAAATTATAATCAATTCACTATTCATTCAATTCCATCCATCCTATCAAGCCCAATCAACTCAATCAACTCAATTTACATCCACTAACTTTTCCCCTCTTCCCCTCTTCCCTTACCTCTTATCTCATCTCCTCACCTCCCTCACTTTCCCCTCCCCTTCCCTTCCCACACATCTCATCCAATCTACCTACATACACCTCTGCCACCCTAACAAAAAACCAAACAAAAATCCCCTCGCAAAAGGAAAAAAAAAGCAGAGCTAAAGAAAGCTACCAAAAGCAATGTATAGAAAAGCACACGGAAACAGGCTCATTCATACCCCATCCAATTACTCCTCCCCTCAACAACGCCATATCAAGCAAGCAAGCATTCATTCCGGACCTCTAAAATTCTTACTCCCATTCATATCCCCATGCATGCATACAAGCAAGCAAGCAAGTATTCATCCATTCATCTCCAGCGTATTGTCATCATATCTCATATCATCGATTTCGCTATTTTCTGCTCTACTCAAGCATTTAGCTCAAGCATTTAGCTCCATCCATCAATCGTATCCATCCACTTAATTTTTCCACCAAAATCATGCTATTCTTGATGAATGATAATTAATTCATCTCCAAATTAGCCACTTGCTAATCTGTGTATATTTCCCTCCACATCACAAAAAGTGCATCAATTTAATGCTACTCAACCAATGTTTGCTCGTCTTCCTGTCTGCTCTGTCTTCTTATATCAACCACTGAACCGCTATGAATTCCATTCCAGCTCTCCAGGGAAAAAAAAGAAAGAAATCAAAATCTAACATAATTTATTCATTCCCGGGACTAAGCCTGCAAGAAGACCAGATTATCAAAATGAAACACGATGCTACGTGATAAAACCAAATTCGAGATCTGTAATCTTCGTAAAGTGATATTAAGAGAGTGTAAGAAAAAGAAGGGTATCTTTTATGATCGATTGCTCTAAACCAAGTCCATCTCAAATAAGAGAAATAGAAAGGGAGAAGAAGCCGCTGACCTCGCATATAAACGGCGAGAAAAATCTATATTGCTGAAAGCTCATCACCATCATTATCATCGAGAACTGTTTTCATCCAGTTGACCTAATAACCAACATTTGTCCTAACCACAGACAATCACTAACATAGGAGGAAACATATCGTGATTCCTTACATTCAGAAACATTGGAATGGTTGAAGTCTCAAGATGATGTCTCTTGTTTGTATGCAACTCCCGTCATACCACTTCCTTGCTTTTGATCAAGGATCTCTCGAGCATAAAAATCCACAAGCATTGTGCCATAAGCTTCCAGTTCTTCTACTGGGACGGATAATCGGAAGTCGTTTAATAGTAAGAACTGAAGCTCCAAATGATTTAATTCATTCAATGGCAACCCACCAACCTAAAGAAACGTCAGCGTTAAGAAAAAGGTAACTCTTCAATAACCTTACCTTGGCGTATCTAGAATTCGTATAAAATACATCCGAGAAGAATTTGCTTGCACAAGTAACGCCAGCAATAACTAAACGATGAATATTGAAACTGTCAACTACAAAGAAGTGAGAGAGAGGGAACTGAGCCAATCCAGGTTCAGGTCCAGGTGAATGGGTGTATTGAGCATTTTCGAACTCTGATTTGAGTTCAGGAACGCTTCTAGCTCCTGGTGGAGTATCCGCCAAATCGGAACCTTCGGCAGAGTAAGTGGAGGAAGGTCGAGAATTATCCTGATCCATTGATTCTCGTCGCATGGCATTTATTGGTGCTGCGTTAACTCTTTCCGTCATCCTATCAAAATAGACCAACAAGCTCAAGAACACCTCGTATGTTGTTGGACAGTACTTGTGTATTCTAGTCAAGTAACTCAAAATCGTAATACTCGGCACATTCTTTCCATGGAATGCCAGTACGCTCGAGGAAAGTCCAGTAAGATTGGTTGTGTTCTCGGAAGATGGAATGCCTCTTTGCAAGGCTTCATGTTGACGATCGTTTGTGGTGGTGATTTTGGTCAAAAGTCCAGCTACCATTTCAATAATATCCGTAATGGGCATGCCACTAATCTCATATTTCAATCCAGGATCATCTGCTGTACGCTGACTTCCAGGTTGACCTCTAAATGAAAGGAATTCTTCGCTGGCGAAACTTTCGATATGTGCCAAATCTCGAACTTTGATCGTGTTACCATCATATTTTTGTACATCATCAAGAGACTTTGCTGATCTTGTAATAGTCCGTTCAGAAGCCGCACAAGTATTTCGAGATTTAAGAAGAGAATCCGTGCTCATCGTATGCGAATGTTCAGTTCGTGCATGAGGACCTGAAGATGGTGGAAAGTTTTGTTGACTTGTAAATGAACCTGGATTTGGGCTAGAACTCGAAGGAGGAGAAATAGGCTCAGACTTCACTCTTGTGCGGTGGTCTACATCGTGAGAGTCGGTGTATTTGGCTTGAGTGTTTGCGCTTGGAGGAGGGGTACCATCATTTACTGATGTGGGGTGGGGTTTCGAACTGAGTGGAGGTTCGACTCTGGACCTGGAAGGTTGTCGATATGGTGAATCCTCTGAAGATCCATGATGCCCTGCGCCGGGTATCATTGTATGAGGGTGAAAGCGCGATGAATCTGACACAAAATCAATCACCGCAGCCATGTCAAGTAAATATTATGGTTGTGAAAACCTGATCAGTCGTACGCGATTAGCTTAGTTCTTCCAAATCTGCGATGGCCGGAACGATGTGGAGAAGAGAGAATGGAATAAGGGTGAGGGGTCTTTAAATCCGTGAGCGGGAACTGATTCGTTGCCCTTGGTGAAGGATGTGGCCAAGAGGTTTCCCAAAAGTCTTATCGTGAAGGTAGTTTGTTTGCCTATCGATCGGGCTTTGACTACCGGGTAAAAAGGTAAATAGAGACCAGCATCAAAACAATCCTTCCCTTGACTCTTAACAACTGCCAAATATTGTCTGGCAAAAACTTCCAGTCTTGAATATCATTATGACATGCGATGAAACGTTCATATTTGGCTGACAAAACCTTGAATGGTGGTGAAGACGCGCCATTTAGTTGCCATTTATAAATCTTTCGTGGGGGGTAACGGAATAGTTATCCCATATAGCCCCATCCACTTGTACTGACTGGGCGGGCATGCAGAATATTGACTGGTATGGATGGATTTAAAAAAGAATGAAAGCTTACCTGCAGCATTCATAAAAAAAAAAAGATTTGAAAGTGGAATTTATCAAGTATTCCCCAGATAATCAACGATTATTGAAAAATACGATTATATTCACCAAAGTGTTGATGCTGTCTCGTATCGATAATAGAAGGAGGTTGATGTAATATATTAAGTGGTTTCTGTTGATGGGGGATGGGTGGAATGGGTGGATGGTGGATGGGTGGTGGTGGATGATTTGAATGAACCGAAAGAGATTCGAGGTCGTGTTACGGGTAGAAATTCAGAAATTCACCAGGTTGAGTGAGGGATGGATGGGGGTATGGGTTGGATGTGTGTGGAGGTTTGTGCTTCAATCCATTCACTATCACTGGCCGTAGTAAAATAGATCCAAGGTCCCTATGACGAAAACTTGAGAACCCTGAATTCCTAGGAGTCCCACCTGGAACAGGCCAAATGGAGAACCAATGAATGAGTTGGGAGAGATGAACTGATTCAGTATAATGCAGGATGATGATAGATAGGAAGGAAAGAGAGAAAGAGAGAAAGAGAGAAAGAAAGAAAGAAAGAAAGAAAGAAAGAAAGAAAGAAAGAAAGAAAAAGGATGCTTTTGGATAGGATATATCTAAAAATTACAGTATGGGCAGGTAGGTAGGTATCGGTAGGTAGCTATTCCTTTTTGAAGAAGAAATGAAAGAATGATACAAATGATACGATTAATGTCATTCCAGATTAAATAATTGTTAACTACCTAGTAGTCTTGTCTTGTCTAGTAACGATCACCGGTATTGAAGTAAGTCGCTAAAACAGAATGGCAAAAGACGGGTACATCTAAACCGTAGATGAGCTTGATTATCACAGTACCGGTAGGTCCCTAGAAGGTAGTATCTTTTGCTATATAAGACTCTACAAGTTTCCGGTAACCAGCTACTAGAAACTCCTCACAACCAACAATCTCATTGTTGAACCCATCATCGAGCCAATAGATATCATAAACCCAGTCCGGTTTCGCTTTGAAGTCTAAAGGAGTCTTGGAGTTGATGCTTGTATTCCCATCAAAATATACCCAGGGTAACCTCAAGTAGAACTAGATAATCTTACATCCACGCGTCGATACCCAAGTACCTTTAATTTTACATTACTAGAAGCATCAGAGGAAAACCTATCGAATCTTCTTTCATTTAGATTGTCCCTGTATAACAATCACACACATGTTGTAACACTCGAAAAGTATCAAATCATACTTCTAGAAGGAATGTGACACGATGGGTCGAAAGCCACATATGAGTATCTTCCTATTCTTAATCTCACCGCTTCATATAAAATGCAACTTCCTCTCATTGACCGCCATGAAACCCTGCAAATTAATCCATTGCGTAAACTCCGTGGTATTATTGTCGGGTTCTATTCGTACATTCATTCATCATCTTATTGATGACGAACAGTATAATTCGTGTCTGGAAGATATAGATGCCTGTTTGCTCCCTTAGCCGTCAGAACCACCATTCTGATGACACCTCCGGAACTCCCATCCCATTTAATAGCCTCCTGCAATGCGCCCTTGACAAAATCAACAGCATCAGCCTCTTCCATGCCCTCCTTCCAGTTCGCATCACAGTATCCGTAGATATATGTCGAACCGGACCCTCCAATAGCATAAGATTGCTTGTGTAATGATCCTCCTAATGGTATTGAGTAAACTTGACCTCCGTGTCGTTCATCCCAACCAGCAATAATCAAACCGGCACTAATCTCGAATTAGAATGAGAAAACCGCGTTGAACTCTATTCATACCTCAGTTGATCCTTGTTATCATAGCAGAGTTCCTGGAACATAGCTGCAGCCGTTTGTGTAGTTGGTGTTTTCCCATTCAAAACTCCATACATTCCCAACTGGTAATGAACAATATCCGCAACAGCTTGAGTATCAGCTGCAGACCCTGATCTACAACACCAGATTGTGTCATGAACTTGGGTGAGCTTGTCCGTAACTCGATTGGCGATATATGCTCCGGTTGTTGTTCTACTATCCGCACCTGTTCAATCCACCCATCAATATTTGTTATACCCCGCAGATTGTGTTTCAAGAGAACTGACCCAGAATGACACCATCCTTAAAGTTTATGGCCATACTACAATGAATGTCAATGCTACTCTTGATCGATTATTGTTGCTATCGTGGTCTCAAGGTTTCATACATAGAGGTTCCTAAGCTATCATATGATATTAGTAAAGCTCAAAATCAAGGACAAAGGGTCTTACTTGACTTCGCCCTTCTTCAAACGATCCATATCGACATGAATGCCATCTTTAGAAAGCTCCCGGTTAGTTTCAACTTTATTGAGAGCTGAGTTGGATGCCCAATACCTTCGTTCAACATTCCTGTGTTTCCAAACTCCATCTTGAAAGTTCTAATATTGGCCTTGCTAGATTTGGGATATGTAGAAAGACAAATGCGAATCGTTAATCGTTATGTTCGTTGAAAATGGAAATAAGCTACCAATTTGAAGCTCTCGAACAGGCAGATCTTAGACGCGAGGCAAGGCAAGCAAGCGCGGAGGTGATGCAGATCACGTGGCGATAATGATTTGAGCTTGGCGGCTATTCCCGTACCTTAAGTCGCCGTTGTTCCCGGTGAGCTGGTAGATATGCCTTTAGAAGGGAGCTAGTAAAACACTTAGTATACATAAAGCTTATAGCCTCACAAAAATTATATAAAAAAAAAAGATAAATATATACGAACTATTTGCTATCTACAATTTATACAAATGGATACCCTGACAACTTCCATTGGAATTTCCCTGCCTATTCCAATTTATATAATAATGCCCCATACTCAAAACTCTACTGAACGCCATGCTTTGATAGTTTAGCTGCCTTCAATTCTTGATCTTACATGGCCCGGATAGCACACAAGTAGACCTGCGGCAAGCTCCTGCACTTCCATCTTTCGCACCGCATCTAGATAAATTTGCTCTGGACCAGACCCAATTCCTTCTATGAATTTGCGTTCAATGACATGTTCTAACCTCCTCGAGTCAAACTACAGCCACGCTATTAGCATCATCTCCCCAATAATACCCTCAACCCAGTGAAAACCTACCCTTCCTTATCTAACTCCAACGGAGTAAACCCTTCTCCTTCTCCCTTCTTAATCTCCGTCTTTCCTGCTCCAGCCTTTCCCGGCTCCCCATCTTCCGCACACCCACAATCATAAAAGTCCCCAATCTTACTACAATCAAATATTTCCTTCTTCAACCTCTTATTGACCTCATTATGGACATGACAAGCCCATGCCGCAGCCGTACTCCTCGTAGCAACCTGCGGTGGATATTTCTTTAAAAGCGCTTGGAAATGGCGAGCGCAATCGCCACATGGATAGAGGCGAGCAAAGAGATGGATGTAAGATTTTAGAGCTGAGCTATCTTCTTCTGTAGGCTTATCGGGGAATTTCGCCATCATCGTGTGTAAGACTTTCCAGGCTGCGTGGCCGAGTTCTGCTCTGAGAGGGCGGAGATCGTTAGCAAGTACAAAAATCAAGTAATTTCAATGACATTTTGCAAAGCTGGCGCACATACTTCAAAGTAGCATTTTCCAACTTAGGAGCAGTCGCGGCTCCGTGAAGAACATTATTATCGACAAGAATTGGTGTTTTGTCCAAAGGGGATTCAGTATTATAATCACTCTCTGTGCCATAATCTAAAGCTCGCGTTCCATGATTTTGATTGCGAAATGTAAGTACAAAGAATATGCATAGGAAAGCCGCTACAGCTATTCCCGCAAGGGTAAAATGAGGTTTCCGGGCCATGCTGTTTTGTGTTCAGACAAGTATACGATCTTGTATTGATGATTATGATATGGTGGGCTGACTGTGCAGAAGAAGGAAGACCGATTTTACGATGTAGCTCGGCTCCGAATGTCAAATATTGGTGAGCTTGTCCGCAACAAAGGATAAAATAGAAGTAGCAATTGAAGGCTAATGGATATTATGATTGTTTAGTTGAGACAGTGAGGGTGAGTGAAAGAGAAAAAGGAAAAGAAAAGAAAAGAAAAGAAAAGAAAAGGAAAAGAAATCCGAACATTCGATAAATTCATTCCAACTTCATTCATAGTATGATTGATTATATATCAGTACTGTGCTCCCGTTTGAGAACTTCATCCTCAAGTAGATTAATTTCAAGGTCCTTATTCGCTCGACTTGACTGTTTCATATTCATCCAGAATCACCTTCTCATTGGTTATAAAGGAACTCGGAACAACTACCTTTCCCCACTCCACCCATTTAGTTGGGTCAGGCACATCCCTCCCGGAGCATCATTCATTCATCCCTTCCACCACCCCGCGTCCTCCGAGCTCGGAAACATAAATATTTTTGAGCTTGGCTGATTGATGACTGTATGATTAAGGAAATAACCTTTCCCGGGGAGAAAGTTAAAAACAATCTCGAGTCCTACAATTTTGGATTCTATTCTACACATCTTCAAAAGTCGGTGTGCTACTTTAACATTCAAACCTCTTGAGTTTTCGAGCAATTCTTCACCGCAGCACTTTTCATCCTTCAATATGGCATTCCCACCACCTCCCGTTAACACTATCGACTGGAGCGACATTGGCTTCAAATTCCGTGAAGGTACTGAGAATTCCAGCTTCATTTGTCAATGAGTCCATTCAATGACTCAATCCAATTCTCCAACCTAAGTCTTCCAAGAAATACTAACATACCCCTTCAGTAAATGGCCATATTGAATCTCATTACTCAGTAAAAACCGGCAAATGGACACCTCCAAAATTCATCACCGATCCTTACCTCCGTCTCCATGGCATGTCTCCCGCCTTAAACTATGGTCAACAAGCCTATGAAGGCATGAAAGCCTTTCGCAGTCCTGGTGACTCCTCCATAACCATATTCCGCCCTAACAAAAATGCTGCTCGTCTCGCCCACTCCGCAGAATTTATTTCTATTCCTCCTGTTCCTGAGAATGTTTTCATGGACTGTGTACATGCCGCAGTATCTCTAAATGCGGAATATGTACCACCTCATGAAACAGGCGCTGCTATGTATATCCGTCCTTTGATTTTTGGATCCAGTGCTCAGTTAGGATTGAATCCCCCAGAGGAATATACTTTCTGTGTTTACGTCCTCCCAGTTGGTGTCTACCATGGTGTACACCCAGTTAAGTGTTTGATCCTTGAAGAATTCGATCGTTCTGCACCACATGGGACTGGAAGTGCGAAAGTGGGTGGAAACTATGCGCCTGTATTGAGATGGAGTGATAAAGCAAGAAATGAGGGATATGGCATTACATTACATTTGGATAGTCAAACACGCAGTGAAATCGATGAATTTTCTACCAGTGGATTTATTGGTGCGAAGAAGGATGGAGATAACATTACACTGGTTGTACCGGATAGCAAGAACGTTATTGCCAGTGTAACATCTGATAGTATTTTGGAAATTGGAAAGAGTCTTGGATGGAAAACAGAAGTTCGTTCGGTAAGTTATTCCCTCTTTTTTTCTATTTTCACTAGGGTCTTCTCATGTTTTACTCTTCCTGTCGACTATACCCAATCACTTTTCCCATCTTGCATTCACCACTTCCACCTCCACCTCCAACCACACTCGTACTAACCTTCTCCAGATTAAATACGAAGAACTATCCACCTTCACCGAAGTAATGGCTGCCGGTACCGCCGCCGCCCTCGTCCCAATCCGTTCCGTAACTCGCAACTCCGACTCCAAAACCACAGAATATATCCCCTCATCCTCCGAAGACCCAGGCGCTATCTGTGAAAAACTCCTCACCACCCTCAAGGGAATTCAATCTGGAAAAATTGAGGATACTTTTGGCTGGAACAAGACGGTCGAGAAATTGGATATTAAAGATTTCACCACTGCCGAAACAAATGGTACGAATGGTTTGAATGGCAATATTGATAAATTGCCTTGATAAGGTTACAGAAATCTTGTATAATCTCAATTCTAAATAGTCAAAAAACAAAGGTAATGGCGTCAAATGATTTGATATTAGCACTCACACTAGGTAGTTTTCTAAATGGAATTAAATTATTTGATCCAGATACTAAAATATAAAAGCCCCCCTTTTCAGTTCCTTCACTTCATATATACATTCTAGCCGAGAGTTACTAGTGGAAAAAAAACATCTTATATTAAACTTTCAGAAGAACTATCAAATCAAATCGTATCGTATCAAATCAAATCGTATCGTATCAAATCAAATAATGTAATATATTTCTTAATAAATAATCCCAAGCATCAATTAAACGTATACTTCATTCTAATTCCTTCCTTCCTTCCCTCCTTCCCTTCAATCCCAAAGCGAAAAAGCCCAACAGAAAAAGCTAAAAAACATAAAAAAATACGCCCTCGCTATGCCTGTCACCTTGTGATTAACCATTCATAGAAAAAAAATCATCTAGATCATCATCGCAATGTATCCTTGCCAATAAAATAACCATTGCCTCTCCGGCTCTCATTTATAGAAATATAATAATAATTAATAAAAAACATTCTAAGATAACTGGGCGAGCTTTTGTAAAGCTGTTAAGACACCTAGATGAATGTTAGTACCCACTTTCAGAAACACCATTGAAGGATACATACCAGTAACTCCTTGTGTAAGGGTATACCCAGCTTCAGTATTCCTACTGCCCAAGCTAACAGTTGTAACACTGTTAACCTTCTTTTCTCTACCTAAATCATTGGCCCATCGAAATATCACCTCATCATCTCTACCATCACCTATCACTAGTAAGAAATCAACAGGAGAAGTATGTTCAGCATCTGGTGACATTTCTTTCGCAAGGCCTTCGAATATTTTCATGGCAGCTGTACCCTTTGACCAATCAATCGGTTCAACTGTTACAGCTCCTATAAATGATGTTAGTAAGTTTTCTTGCAACGTACAAAACCAGTAACACATACCTTCGACAGGAATTGCCCTAACTCTTTGTTCCTCACATGCATCATTAATGTGACTTGCACAATCGCCGGCTTGTCGAGTTGCAGTTTCGAAATCTTCTGCGTTCTTGTAATGGAAGATCAAACTACAATGCCTCGTCTCAATCCATGATCCTGGTGTTCGTTCGGTATAATATGCCATGATGCCTTCTACCGAATCTTTCCATGCTCGCATCTTCTCAGGATCAGCCATTTCAATCCAATCTGAAGTACCAAATTGTTTGAGGAAACATCCATTTTCAGCAATTAGACCAAGGCGTGGTACTCTTTTGAATAAACGATCGAGTTCTTCCGGTTGTCTACTAGACATTACATATACTGTGTTTCTTTCATCTTGAAGGAGATCATTAAGAGTATCGATTGTGCGCTATATACTGTTAGCCTTCACTCAATGTCAAGGGATATAAATATTACTTACTTGTGGGCTTGTTAAGATGATACTGCTTGGCGATCCCCATGATGCCAAAGTCCCTTCATAATCAATGATGAAAAGTCTCCGCTCAGATTTCTGATACTTTTGACCAAGCATATTAATAGAGAGACGTGGAACAGCTGTGGTATCTCTCTTATGCTGTTCTTCATAGGCCTTGTCAAGACGATTGAGAAATTCATTAAACCAATGCTCTCCAGTATGGTGCATGACAGCTGCATGAAGCTTTTTGAATCGTTCTTCTTTTTCTTCGTCCTGCATTTCCAAGGCTTGTTTAATTGCATCAGCGCATTGACGATAATCCCATGGATTCACAGAAAGTTCATTGCCACCAAAGATGGAAGAACTACCAGTGAATTCACTGAGAATAAGAGATCCATGCTTGTTGTGACCTTCGAACTTGCCATCTTGACAAAACAAATATTCATGACATGTTAAATTCATTCCTTCACGCTGACTAGCGATCATTAGAGCATCAGCGACTGTGAGAAGAGCCAAATATTGAGGGTAGATGATATCTTGTTTGAGATAGACGACTGGTTGATAAGCAAGATTGGCCCATGAGGAGTTAATTCTAGTAACAATATCTGAAACGGTGGCATCAAGTTCGGAATTTTCTGTGGTAGACGTTGCTACCTGAATAAGAACAACTTTGTCTCTCCATTCAGGATATTTATTGAGAAAAAGCTCATACGCCTATGAAATAAAAAAGATTAGTACTTGTCAGTTAGGACTGATCACAATTTGTCTTATTGAAAAAGTCTTTAGAAGTCCAGGATACAATAACTGAAAACTTACCAAAAGCTTAGGTCGTACACCTCGGACATGATCTAACTTGTCTCGTGCCACAATGAGCTTCTTACCACGATATCTTTCCTGCATCGTGTTCAACCAATGAGTAGCTTTAGGATCTGCGCGATTCATATCCAGAGCAACAGGATCAATTCCAATTGCGAGATTAATAACATCGATGAATCGATCCTCAAGTTGGATACCATCATTTGTGGCTTCCACCATTAAAATACGGCTGCAGGTTTGCAAGAAGTGTCGTGCATACTCTTGAATTTGGAATCCAATGAGATTTGCTCCCAACATACCCTCAAGTAACTCCTTACGAACGGCCAGGCATCGGAAAACTTCCGAGGATGGAAATGCTACATGAAGGAAGAATCCAATTTTGGCATCAGGAAGCTTCTTACGGATCATTGAAGGTACCAATAGGAGATGGTAGTCATGGATCCAAATCACATCACCTCTCTTCCATTCCTTGACGATTTTGTCCGCAAAAGCTTGATTTACTTTAACATAGTAAATCCAAGAGTGATCTTCATAAGCCTTGCTTTTAGGGTTATCCGGTATTTGGTAATGGAAGACTGGCCACAAGATTTGCTTGCAGTAGTGTGTGTAATGACCATCAAAATCGCTGTCTTTACAAAAAACAGTTGCGGAATCGTACTCTGTAGCCATGCGATCGTCGATATCCTGCCTTTGTCGACGTTCGAGAGCATCAGTGGGCATTCCTAGTGTACCAACCCAGATCTTATCCTCAAGATTTCCACTTCTAACTGCAGCTTGAACGGCATTTCTTAGACCTCCGTTACCTTGCTCGGCTGGTTCAACTTCCCATTCGGCATTTGCGAAAACTCTATCATGGCTATCACTCCGTTTGTATTGTGGTTGGCGAATTCCAGCGCTTCCAAGAAGTTCTGCCTTCTCCTTCATCTTATTGTGCTTGAGGATATCTGCGGGAGGGGGAGAACTAGCCCGAGATCGTGGTTGGTTGAACGTCTTTCCCGCACCCCATGCCGGTGAATGAGGGTCGCTGGGCGCGACCACGGAGAGCTGATTCTCTTGTATGGTTTTTAGCTCTGGTATATCGGTTTGAGCAAAAAATTGTTCGTGGTCGACATCGTGTATTGGTGTTGCTGGGGGTGTGATATCCTTCTGATGACCGAAAAGACTAGGCTTGCCGGTAGTATCGATTTTGGTGGTAGTCTTTCTAGCGGCACCTAGACGTCCCGAGCGAAAAGCATTGGACTTGGGATCTGGGTGGATATTGGATCCTCTGGTCGGGGGACGAGAATTGGTTGAAGGGAGTTTGAAGTTGATGGTGTTTGGGAGAAAACTATGAGGAAAGGAGATACATCAGCTTTTATCATGATGAAATCCCGCAGCAGAAAAGAAGTCTCCGATTCCTACGCCTGCTATATTAAACAACAAAATGCAGATCTCTGGAGATATGCTTGAAGCTACAAACCGGTGGTTTGCTGTAGCTGTGATGCGAAGCTCGAAGAAAATAAATAGTATAACATGAGGCTGCCCAGCAACCAAATGTTTGATAGAAGGAAAAGAACAGAAAAAACTCACAGAGAGACCACAAAGACTGTCATGATGAATGTTCAGAAGAGACCTTCAAAAATGGAGCAGCAGAATGGAATTCAGTATAGAATATTTTGAAAACTGATAATTGCACAACCATGAGCTATGTGCTTTGTGTGTACGGTAGCTTAAGAGCTTCAGTCTGCGTCTAAGAGCAAGTTCGAACGAGGGGCAGTAAATAGTGGGGCAGACGTGTTTCGGCGGAAGAGTAGTCAATTTTGGAATTTGAGTTTGATGTAATGAATGTTCCTGGTGAGATGAGAATAGATAGAGGAGCGCAAAAAGGTTTGTGATATGGTGTTCGACAAAGTAAAGGATTGTGAAGGGGCGGAGCTGTATTTGACTGTTTGACCTGACCTGTTAGTCAAAGTATTTCTCCAGACGTGTTGACAAGATGGTAATGGGTAAGTTTGAGGACAAGGGTCTTGCCGGACCAGTAGGAGAACAGAAGAGGATGCTTTGTTTAGCAACTTACAGCGTAAAACTCCTGCGAGGTGGGTAGATGTGGGATGTGTGGCTTGCTCTAAGAGAGGTTACGCAAAAGATGAGGTCTGTGGACTGTGGAAGGAGGAGTGAGAGGAGGAGGAGGGTATATGCTCAGTGATGTCGAAGTTGAAGTATTTAGCTAGGTGGATATATTGATAAATTGATAATATTTTATTTCCCTTACATCAACAAGTTAGGCACTCGCAAAAAACAAAAGACAAAAGAGGAAATGATTGAATCTTCTCGTAATATTCGCTAGCTATGGAATGGTCATACATGTTATTTCTTATTATCACATTATATACACAAAACCTAGGACTTTCTAGAGATTTCCCTCACTGACACAATTATCTCATAGCCGGAGCTTTTTTTCCCATTGCCAATTTGCATCCATGATAATTTACGTCAGGCACATGGGAATTCCAGCAAATGACATGGGTTTCTGCAAGGTGAATGAATCCACACATCCCGCTGCATCTTTTCTTCTTTATTCCTGCCCTATTGTCTTCCCTGCCTCTCACTGTTCATACAACAAGGTTACCAACCATATATTGATATATTGGGTGATACTAATGATAGTCCCGAGTATATATATTCGAGCCATTGTTTACTTTTGACTGACAACAGACTTTTTCGTGTCAAGTTAGGAACCTTAACAGGGAACCATAAATCCGCAACCTTGATGCTACGAATAGGCTATATATCTTGGATGAAGTATGTGCTTCATGAGCGACAAGCCTACAATAGCTAGACCAGTCGGATAGCTTTGCTAAATATCAAGTACTTGTTCTTTGATAATCCAGCCACGCTTACACACCTCCCTAGTATGCTCAAAGGTCCTGAGCACATCCTCTTATCCACAAAACTTTAAAAACTAACTCCTCTTTCCATCCACTGTACTCTCCGCATATCGTTTCCCCAATTCCGACTCGTGTTGACCTTCATCTGGCAGCCCATCTCACATGCTGAACTTATAATTAACTCATCAGTATAGTCGGTAGAGCTACCTATTGGCACCACGTCTGTCGCACGTTTCCCTCCATTGATTAGCAAAACGCGAAGAAAGGATTTTAATACTAGTATCATATCTAAATGTCTACGTTTTCCTTACTAACCTTCCAAAAGACGAGTATTTTACACCCTTGATCTCAAACTTCCTGTACTTCCAAGGCAGTGTTGCACATCATATGAAGGTTGAAACTTGGCGCTTTCACGAACACCCACAAGTCTAGAACATATGGAATGTGCATCGATTCCTCAGCCACAGCTTGATCACCACACCCCTAACATCTAACTTGAGAGCTAGCTGTCTCTGCTCTGCTCTGCGTTCCTAGTGCGAGGACGCCAACCTTAATCAACCACTCACCAACGTCCTTATAAACGCGTGCTTCGTATGCTCCTTCCAGTTTCGAAGCTTAACCACAATATTCCAAAAATGGCTCAATATGAATAAACCCCTCCAATATCACACGATTAATTCCCGCTCTGTCACTACAACATACATACACCTGCTGCGCCAATCACTGAGCCGGCTTTTTCCGATCAATTCTTTTGCCTGATGGGGGCCGTGATGAGATCTGTTGGTTGCATGATCTACAATCACTATTACCTTGTACAGAATATGGGGAAGAGTAAATATCCATATCAAAAGAAGGTCATCTCATCTCCATCCACCATCCATTAGCCAGCCAACCCATCCATTAATGACGGCGGGAGCGTTGGGCAAAAACCTATCACATTTAAGATGTTTCCTGCACGAACCGGCCCGCTGTGATGGTCGCTATCGTCGCCAATCCCCTCTTTGCTAATTGATCCGAACTATCTCCTTCGACACCATCCATCCCAAATCTTGATACTATATCAAGGATTCATCGTTACACAATGACTCAAGATCCCAGCGATTCAATCTGAACTCTCTTTTCAGAAATCAAAAGCACAAGAATAGAATCCTTCCATGCAGTAACGGGATGCCGCAACGTAACACGATCTGTCAAAATATGCGAATAGCTCTCTCTTATCAATCCATTATACCGGTATCTAATTACCTACTGCAATGACAGCGTAATAATACATGGTAACTTGATATTTTACAATCCCGCGGAAAACTAAACCACACAGCCATATCAAATGGAAAACGTTGTTTTGTTTTTGGAAGGGTTTTCAAGTTCTACCGTCGCATTTATTTATTCATCTCCATCGAGACCTCCGTCACACGACATGGCCAAGTCCGAAGCGCAGAATCTCGATGGCCACTTCGGACATGAGGATGTGATGAGGATGTGAAAAGCAACCTACCTAATTACCTTCCAGCAAGACACTACACACGTCTAATCTTACAATCTGAATGATTAACATCTCACTCAGTTGAAATTCTCATCGAGATCACAATCACAATCACATCATCAAGATTGAATCCCTACTGTAAAGATTTATCTATTTTGCCATTTAGCCAGTGTTAATACCTCATTAGTAAAAAGTACTTCCCCTTCTTCAAATCAGATAAACTTCAAAGGAAAGAACCTAAACCTAAGAGGATAGAAGAACTGAGTTTTTCTTCTTATGCGCATATTCGAAATCGTTATAAGGTTACTTTGAGAAGTCTTATTGTACGATATAATTTTGTAGTGCCGGTGCGGTGCGGTGATGGTACAATCATCAACTTTTTTCTTTTTTTCGAGTGTGATGGAGAGATAACCTTAGAGATTGAGATGATGACGGATTCATCTATGAGCTATCAAATTTTCAGACTTAAATTCTAATGCTTTATGGGCGACTGCTTTCGCTGAGTTTAACTTAACCTTGTGTATGGAGTACGGGGTATGTTATGTTTTTCTTTAAGATGAATGAATGGTGATGATGATGATGATAACGACGACGAGGTTACAATTTCAGTTCACAATTCACAATCATTACATATCTACTAGGTAGTTATACTAGTCGTTCTATGCAGCTGCTTCATCCGAATCCTATATTCATATCTTCTATGTTAGATTACACTAGAACTCTCAATACCTACATCTACATCTACATCTACATCTACATCTACATCTAGCTACATAGGTACCTAAATAAGTTAATCAATATATCATAAAATCAACACTCAAACACAGAATCACACACTCCATTAACACTATCCCCATCCCCCTATCTCCAAATATTTCTTCTCTCCTCTCCTCTCCTCTCCTCTCCTCTCCTCTCTCTCTCCTCTCCTCTTCTCCTCTCCTCTCCTCCCTCCAAAAATACTTTCCTTCCCCTCTTTAAGCCAGAAAATTCCTGTTCGTTTTATAACATGATAAAATTCATCCCAAGTAAATCTATCTTTATCAATCCTGACTCCTGACTCCTGACTCCTGACTCCTGACTCCTGCCTGCCCTTTCCACCCTTTCTCATTTCATCATCAAAGATACCCATCCGGTTATCAGTATCCGTCTTCCCCCTTCATCTCTCGTTCTTTGTCTATATAAGTTTATTTCCAAATTAGATTACTCCATGGTTGTAACGCTACCTACATGGTAATAGATGGGTTTTTGGTGTAGATGATATAGTGATTGCTAGGTACCTAAACTGCTACTCTCGCGAGCAGGATATTAGTTGGGAAGTTGATGTGTTTATAGGTAGGTAGCTATAAATCATTATGTTATTATGAATGTGCAATGTAATGAGATCTTGCGTATCTAGCTATGTTATATACTATAGTATAGTACAACGAAAATGCAAATGCAAATACTCCTTCTCGGTTCATATATGATATGATCTTACATCCCCAGCTTGATTAAATTGTTCTCCGAACGAATCCCTTGAGATACATCCTGCTATTATTTTGAGATTAGCCATTCATTTTTTCTTCTCTCTTATTTTGCAAGGCAATAAGATTAGTGTTTTGTTATGTATCCGAACTCCCGTTGCATCCCGTCATTGCTAATATACTCATCCTTTTGAGCAACGCAACAACAGTGATTTTTTGCACCAGATTGTACTTCGACTTCTAGCCCCGAAAGTTTTCGCTTCCGAACTTCTCTTGCACTCAATAAATCTTGGACAAATTTCTCGATACAATCTAATGCAACATCTAGTGTTAATGATTTATTTGGTCGTGCGCTTTTCATCAATGCCTGTTCGGGGATCTGAGTTAAGAATCGACCGGATATACCGACTTTATTTTTTGCGCTGGGAGAATTTAATTGCATGATGATATTGAGTAACTTGCCGGTGGCGGAATTGCTCTGGAAGGCTGTATAGAGTGTAGCTTCTTGCCAGGATTGGATCAATTGCGTAGGATCGAGAAGGGTCGATAGATCTGCTGTGATGATCTCTCTTCTGACGAGCTCTAATACACTTGCTTTTAGGATCTTGTATTGGGATTCTTCAGATGGTGGTTGAAATGGAATTTGGATGGCGCATCGATCGACAAATGCTTCGTCGAGACAATCGATCATGTTTGATGTCGACATGAATACAACATTTGGACATGTCATGACTCTGTCGAGTCCGGTGAGTAGAGAATTGGTGGCTCGTAGTGAATCTTGCGCTTCTCCATGCATGACACCGGAATGTCTGGATACGGCAATGGATTCAACTTCATCAATTAATACTATGATAATGCGCCTTGGGTTGTTCTGGCACATAATTTTGACCTTGGTAAGTAAATCGTCTACTTGTGTTGCACTTTCGCTGTAGTATTTGGATAGAAGAGTAGCTGTCTTGACTTGGATGAGTTTCGTGTGTGGAAATGTTTCGACTAAACGAATGGCTAATCGTTGTGCAATTGCTTGACAGATTGTTGTTTTCCCGGTTCCTGGAGGACCTAGAATTGATGAAGCACCATATAGCCATCATTGCACGAATGGCAATGATGGTTATTGGTAGCCCCATAAACGTTAGACCTGATTCTAACTATGGTGAGTGTGGTTTGTTGACCTACCATGAAACAAAGCCATTGGATTCATTCTCTTCTTTGCAAGTCTGGCATCCGCGGAAAAGGTAACTATTTGACGTCAAATTAGCATTTATCGGACTACAAATTCCAGAAGATTATACGCACGCATGTTAGATATCATCCACGAAAGATCTTCCTTGTGATTCTGATCAAATATAAGCCTGTGCAATATTAGTCGACAAGAACATTTGATATACATTATTTCACACTTACTCCTCCCATTTACCATCAAAGTCATGATGAGGCATATCGAAAACTTCAGCTGATGGTATCTCTGGATCATCATATCCTTCACTTGAATTCGTGCTTTCGGAGCCTTCAAATGAGCGTGGTGGTGGTGGTGGAACACCATGCATCTTGTAGATGCAAAAACGGCTTAGGACATCCCGAAGTGTAAGATGGTTTGGTTTTTCTTGATTCTCAATGGCAATAATTTCGACTGGTACTAAAGACTCTATCTCTTGAGTCGCCCATAACTTCCAGGCATCGCTCAATTCTGTAGATGAGAGATAAGAGTTTATTTCAACAACGGAGATCGTATCATGCAGGAAGACTTACGTGCGAGGAGAGGCAACATGTCATTATCAATATTGCAGATGACATTCTCAACTTCTATTTCTTGTATGAGGTTGGAGAGTTGAGCGTGGGCCTAATGTGTAGGTGTCAGTTAGACTATGAAAATGAAATTGGGATTTTCTTTTTCCATACAAGTTTCAGGTGATTGGAATTCAATTCATCCTCGATAAATGGTCGGAGTCTTGCCTCAAAAATGACAGTAGGCTTTTCGGAAATTGGCTGGTTGGGATCATGATTCTCCATTGTGACTTGATGTATTATCTCAAGTGACTTTGATGAGATCAGAGGTGCAGTGACAATGTAAGTGAGAATCAATGTTGATGTGAGAAGTATCAACACAATGGAGTTGGAGATGAGGAAGAGTGCGGGTTATGAAATGTATGAAAATGAGGGTGATTGCCTGAAAACATAGATAAGAAGTGAAGGTGAAAAATAAAATACAGATGACAAAAAATCACGCTGGAGGGGGGAATAGGTAGGTAGCCGACGGGGAAATACTAGGTGTTGCTTAAGTAACACCTGACTGATTGACTTGCAGTGAGACCACCTACATAGTAGTATTTGGTAACTTTGGGACCTACTATTGGAAGCGATTGCTTTCTATTTTCTTGAGGCTCTGCTGAACTCTTCCGTCAAAATAACTATCTAGCAAGTGACTTTTACAGTTCATTTGAACGTCATGAGGTTTATTCTGACTAAGCTGCCTAGTTAGATGAGAATATACCAGTTCAATCTTCACATAGAGTTCAAAGCGTTGAGTAGGACTTGGTATTCAGATGCAAACTGGAGACTTCAAAAAGTGTGAGATAACATAGTTTGAGTGTATGAAATCACCTAAAAACATGACTGAATACCATCTGGATCAAGTCTGACTACTCTGAACAATATCTAACTACATGCGCTCTGGTATGTTTTGAAAGACCGTACGTAAATGAAGCACCTCTAGTAGTCGTCTAATACCCAAAAAATGTACACTTACTCACCCACTCTGTCTGATATAAATCATCCAATCTCTCCCCGCTGACTCTCTCATCTATCTTTCTACCTATCCTACACAAAACTCCTCTCCAAAAATCCCTGGCGGAATCCTAAATCCTGAAAGGAATCCAAGAGGAATATCCGGTACGAGGAATTGAGTCTCGACCTTCCGAAATCTTACCTCAAGGCCAACATTCACCATACTAGCTATTATACCATGTCAGTTTGTTTGTGCTTGATAAGAGGGCGCGTTGTTTGGGATATAAGAGAAAGGACTAGAAAGAAGTAATGCTGATTGATATCAAGGACCGGAGAGGAGTTCACCACTCTGCTGGAGAGAGCTGCGGGACTGCTAATTTGAGGTATCGACATTCCTTCAGAAAACACTGGTGTGTTAGTTTCTATGAAAAGAATTATCATACATGAGACAGAAATACATGAGGGTTTGCTTGCCACTAGTACTGCTGTGAAGGCGTTCTCGCTTCACTTTAGATGAGGAATCGGGAGAAGCAGAACAGCGAGTCGATTTAGATTGAAATGATATCAAACATTACCCATTGATATGACCAACTATATTCGAATATCGTAGAGCAATTTAGTCTCAATAATATCCCTAAAAGACCGATCAATTTTGGTCTAGAGGGTTTGGAAGCATCTCTAGAGTGAAGATTGCCTACTAGGTATCTGACGATGAGGTGGGGTGCTTCATCGTTTATGCACACCCAACACGGTTGAACCCCCGTTCCTGGCTAAAGTCCAACCCTGCTTACATAATAAGGTTAATAAGCTTGTGAATCCAACTCGTCATAGCTTGGCAATCCATCACCGCCTGTAAAAAAAGATGGATCTCAATTGTCTACTTGTATTTGTTTGTTTACTTTGTTGCTGATGTTTTCCTTCCAATAATTCGAAAGTCGGCCAAAAACTCATCATGGCTTCCATTATGGATGCCTCAAGGGCTCCGGAAAAGGATTGCACAGCATATGATCCCACAAATGTTGAAGGACAACAGACTGCGATATATGTTCAACTCGTCCTTTCACTAACTCTCGGCGTTTCTGCATTCTTTGGATTCTGTGTAGGTCATGAAAAAAGTAGGTCTAGAAAGAGCTTTACTAATGTTTGTAGATCCTGCGACCGAAATGGAAAAGTCTATATGCCGCGCGCAAAAGGCATGTCGATGCCGCTGCAAGTCTGCCAGAGCTGCCAGATACCTTTTTTGGTTGGATGCCTGTTTTGTATAGAGTTACAGAAGAACAAGTCCTTGCATCTGCTGGATTGGATGCATATGTCGTATGTCTTGAGAATCTACTCCTCCCGGATAAATGCGAGATACTTATCCCATCTAGTTCCTATCCTTTTTCAAGATGTCGATGAAATTATTCGGGATCATGTTCATCATGGCAGTCGCTATCCTTGCCCCAATCAATCAACACTTTTATTACGTATTCGACCCGTTCGGAAATTCGACGAGCCCTCCCGATATTCCTGATTACTCGCGGTTAGAGGGTTGGCAGGGTGGATGGAATGATGCCTTAACTTTGGAGGCGCCAAAAGACTCCGACGACATACTACCTGAGACTAGCTATCTTTGGTCATACCTAGTGTTTACTTATGTCTTTACTGGACTTGCAATATATTTCATGAATAAACAAACCCACCGCGTAATAAAGATTCGCCAGGACTACCTTGGAAGCCAATCCACAATTACCGATCGAACAATCAAACTGTCTGGAATACCAAAGGAGCTAAGGTCGGAAGAAAAGATCACCGAGTTCTTGGAGAGACTCGAAATAGGAAAAGTGGAGAGTGTAACTTTATGTCGCAATTGGAGAAAACTCGATGATATGATGGACAAGAGGGTGCAGGTTGTTAGGCGGCTGGAAGAGGCATGGACGGTATACCTAGGCCAGCAACAACGTTCAAGTATATGGCCAACACGGACACAGCAGTCAACACCGGGAGATGATGCAGAGGATGAGTCGCAAGATAATGAGGGTGATAATTTACTAGGGACCAATCACATTACCTCATATGACAAACCGAGGCCGACTACACGGATCTGGTACGGTTTTCTCAATCTCCAAAGTAGGAAAGTAGACGCGATCGACCACTACGAAGAGCAGCTACGACAGCTAGATGACATGATCACAGATGCAAGAAAGAAGGAGTACGAGCCTACAGCGCTTGCATTTGTCACTATGGACTCAATCCCTGCTTGCCAGATGGCTGTGCAAGCTTTGCTCGATCCGACTCCGATGCAGTTGATGGCAAGGCCAGCTCCGGCACCATCGGATATTGTTTGGACAAATACTTATCTACCTCGATCAAATCGCATGATTCGTTCTTGGACGATCACTCTCTTCATTCTCATACTCACCATCTTTTGGCTCATACCAGTGGCTGCTCTGGCGGGCCTCGTTAGTCTTTGTTCAATTCGACAAGTCTGGCCTGGGCTAGCAGATGTATTAGAAAGCCACGAAATTCTTAAGGCTTTGGTTCAGACAGGGTTGCCTACGCTTATTGTCTCATTACTCAATTTGGCAATTCCATTCTTGTATGACTACCTTGCAAATATGCAAGGGTCAATCTCTCAAGGCGACGTAGAGCTTTCAGTGATATCGAAAAACTTTTATTTCACATTTTTCAATGTATTCCTGGTTTTTACAGTCTTTGGCGCGGCGAGCAAATTCTGGCCAGTTTTACAGGAGACATTGAAGGATACCACGAAGATTGCATATACTCTAGCCCAGTCGATTTCCGATCTCTCCATGTTTTACACAAATTTCATTCTCCTGCAGGCTCTTGGACTTTTACCTTTCAGGTTGTTGGAATTTGGAAGTGTTTCCCTGTACCCTATCACATTAATGGGTGCCAAGACTCCTAGAGACTATGCCGAGCTAGTACAACCGCCGATTTTTAGTTACGGATTTTATCTGCCTTCAGCACTCCTCGTCTACATTCTATGTATTGTCTATAGCATACAACCGGCAGGATATCTCGTCCTCTTATTTGGGATGACATATTTTGCTTTAGGCTATTACACCTACAAATATCAGCTTTTGTATGCTATGGATCATCCACAGCATGCTACTGGAGGTGCTTGGCCTATGATTGTGTATCGTCTCCTTGTAGGCTTGGGCTTTTTCCAGCTTACAATGGCTGGAGTAATTGCATTAAGAAAGGCTTTCACTCCGGCTATACTTGTTGTCCCTTTGATACCATTCACAATTTGGTACAGTTATTACTTCCGACGAACCTTCCAACCACTCATGAAATTTATCGCCTTGAGAAGTATCAGAAGAGATAGTAATCCAGACATTAACATCGCTGGCGAAGATATCGGCATTAATAGACCTCCAGGACATATTCAAAGAGGCACTACCGTCGACGAAGTCAGGGAAAGAGGCACAAGATACATCAATCCAAGTCTCACTGTACCGTAAGTAACTCATAGTAGAGCTACCTTCCATACTGACAATACATAGGTTAGAAAAGATTTGGATCAACAAGGCCCCAGATCCCGAACCAAATGAAAGCGCCCCAGAATTAGATCGTGAGGAATCTGCCGCAAGCTCTATAAGTCTTGGGGATACTCACATTTGGCGAGAAGCTAGTGACACAAATGTGTGATGAAGTTGTGTAAATGATAGAATATCCTTCTATTAGCTTGGGACTTTTTTTTCTCTTTTTTGACGATAAACCCCATATTGATGTAATGAATGGAGTGTTTGGTATTTTTATTAAGAAGACAGCATGGGACCTTCCTTATATAATTTGGCATTGTTTTAAGAATATACCCAATGCTCTTTCCTGAACAAATTGCTCCTTTTCTATTAGGCTTTATCTGTTCAGAATTTGTTGTCTATTTTCATTCTTCCGATGCACATCATGCATTTTCAATAATTATCCTTTACCTCTTCTCCATTGCAATCTAGTGCGATGATACAACAGTCTCCATACCTAAAATTTCATTTTTATTTCTTCAACATTCGTTATTGACAGTCCTAAACAAGTACAAAAATCAAAATCAAACAGTGATGCCAATAATTTCCTACCATTCAACTATCATCGAGAACAGAGCCGCCCATAAGGGGGCTGTCGACACGACGTCTTCTCAGATTCTCTTATCAAGAGCGATCGCAGATCACAGTTCAACTTCTTGCCCGCCAGTTATCCGAAGACTATACTCTACAATTGCTGTAACTTCCGTTTACGAGTCCCCGACAACTCATATCATGACGATTGGAGACGCAGCCAGCACATCGAAAGATGTAGGGCTGGATGGAGAGCAAATGGGAGAGTATAATGGTACGTAGCTGTTCAATTGCTTATAAATGGTTTCCGGCTTGCAAGGAGTGTTCTAACATCTTGATATTTTAATGTTTTTAGGCTTCGCGAGCAGCCGATACCCATCGGTCCCAGTAGTCGCTGATGCCTCTAGGCGCCATAACCTACATGCAGCATCGAATCTAGTAAGTCTACCCTTCTTGAACAACTGCGCTCGTTTATCATAGCTTCCTATTCTTCGGACCCCAACATAGTTCTGAGATTTGAGAGCTAACTTTGGAAATTTTAGGTCACTTCAATTGACGATACTGCTATCGATCCACCTTTCCAAGCCAATCCGTGGGAACTTCCTCAACTTGAATCTGTTCTAGATGAACACGAGAAGCGTGATAAAGGAAAAGAAGTTGAACGTGGGAGAACATTAGAGCGAAGCCCAAGATATTCGAATCCTCTCGCAAAGGCCGAATCACGACCTCAAAGAAACAAAACAAACATTGAAGTGGATGGTCGCTCAATAAGAACACGCGACCGAAGCCAGACTCTTCATGAGAACCCAAATGATCCTTGCGCAATTTTTGATGACCAGGTATTGGAACCCTTAATAGGTATAGCCCAACAAGATAGTTTTTCGGAAGTGCTTAGTGGACATGCGTCTCCAGCAAGTTTGAACGGCTCCCTCGACGCGAAAGAATTAAAGGGGCGACTTCGATCTAGAACATCCGGTGGAAGCTCCCTGGGCTCAACTATATCTCCCATTGAACCACTCACTCGAACAGTCACAACGGTTTACAACGATTCCACTCCTGTTTCCCCAGACCCGACCTTACCAGTCGAATCATCTTCTTGTCGACTACCTAGTATTGATCGACTGGAAGAATCTGCTCGTCAGTCGACATCATTCACTTTCTCGAAACTACCAACGGAAATCATTCAACAAATATATGATTATCTTACTCCGGCTGATTTCAATTCGGCGAGACATACATGTCGGACATGGTTTTTCACTAGTATAGACCGTTCCCTCCTTGAAAATATGATCCGCCGTGGAGGTTGGGAGTCTAGCTGTCGACAGGAAATCTCCGAGACGAAATGCGCAGCATTTAGACGTGGTTCCGAGTATGATTGGTTCATGAGTAAGCGTATCTCAAGAGAGTGTGCTCTTGGGCCAAATTGGATGGGGTGCGGGGTACCAGTGAGTCCGGACGGGTTTTCACTAGAATCAAAACAGTCGACATTTTCATCAGTTTCAATGGTGGATTTCACAGATGTCGCTGTCCAATACAAAGATACGACTCCCGCTGGAACTATTTTCACGGTGAGTAGCTGCGGAAAGTTCTTGATGGCTGCGAATGGTTGTTTAATCTATGTTTATGAACTAAACAGAAGTCATCATGATGTGGATGATTGGTATGATGTTCAACCTGGTTCTTTGCGTCCAGTCACTAGTATCATATGTCCACACAGAGTGTTAGCTTGCAGTATGGATACTTCATCACATAGGTATGCAATAGCTGCTCTCCTAGATGGGCGTATGGGTCTTGTGTGCGATATTTCTCTTAGCACTATAGCTCCACCCACTTCCTCGGACCCTGGGACTGCGGATCTTTCTTCGCAGCATTCGAGTCGTTCAGATCTCTCACTATCTCCTGGAAACGATACTCATCATGGTGTATCGTTTCTCGACCGCGTCAGTTTGGACAGTTCAGCTCCTGTTCAACGGGCTGGAAGATCTACAACCGCTTTTGTTTTCCCTGGAATAGCTACAACTTGTAGTGGTGGTAGTTCTCCAGGGGTCGCGCAACGTCCAGAGTATAATGAAGCGTCCAGATCAGCTAGTGCTGTAAAGAATTCTTATCCTCCTGAAGAAACCGGTCCACACTCCGTTGGAGCAGGTAGTCGAATGCGGAGTAGATTACCAGCTCGTAAATATTCAAATCTCAATACCAGAGAAATGCCCGTTGAAACAGGTACGCGGTCAATATATAGAAACCTCTGTTCTGAAGATGATCCTCCTCGTTCAGTGGCTATCTGTCCTCAACGACGATGCGTGGCATTTGGCTGCTCGGCCGGTATTGAATTGCATTGGGTTGATGCTTTGACTGGGCAAGATCTGAACAGATGGTTCCCGCTTACTGCTCCTAGCGACTTTTTGTTTTTCTTGCCTCCGCGGAAAAGTATAGACTCGGCGAAAAAGTTGCGGCTCATTAGTAGTAAGTAGCTGTCACTTCTAGAACCACTATGCCATGTGAATGGTAAAACAGCACATAAACTTCGGCCCAGACTTTCACTCTCCAAAGATCTTTGGCCAGGCCCACTAACCAATTTGTAGGTGCTGCTAGTCCAAGCGAATGTGCAGCTGTACATGAGAGAGCATATGGCAGAAGACCACGAGGTGCATCATTTTGGCAAAGAATCGGGTGGAATGGAAGTCAGGGGGACAATAGTGAGGAAATGGAACATGCTCAGCAGATACTGGCACCAGTGGGAAGATTTCGAAGTGATTCTGGCAGGAGAGTCGATCATTCTGATCATTATCGTGCCGTACCACTTAGTGATGGTTATCATATTCTGTTTACTGATCCAAGTACTGGAGCTCTTTGCTTGGGCAGTGATGCACCTGTCGGAGGACCTACCAAATTACTTCGCAAAGTTTGGTTTCAGGGACCAGAAGGTAGAGGTAGTCCAACAGTCTATGCTGGAGGTTCTGACTTAAGGTGGGGAGTAAGGGTTGTGGCAGCATTCGGAAGTTGTACAGAACAGAGTATCTGGATGTTTTCCGTTCCCGGAGACGTATTTAATGCAGCTCAGAGCTCTCCAAACCTACTGGAAAGTTCCGTTGTACACAAACGAAACATTTCTAAGAATTCTAAAAACATGCAATGGCTGGACTGGTGGCCTGATGAGGGACTTCAAGCATGGCTCGATCTTATTCGGCATCCGGTACCGGGGATTCTTCCAGGAAATATGTGGCCAGTTAGGATCAAGGGTCAAAGAATAGGAACATGTTCTAACATAGTTGACCTTGCGATCGATTCGAGCAATAGTATCACCATTTGGGCATTCAGTACGGACGGGATTGCAAAAATTTGGCATGTGGACGATGGAAAACATAGAGATTTGGCAAGATTAAGTGTATTGAGAGATGGTACAATCCGCGAAAATGATTACGAGGGTGATATTGAGTTGAATGGTACATTTCTCACCTCTGAAATTCTTCAACACCGCTCAACAATAGAACAACAATCATTCGACGGAACCATGTCGCCAGATCTTGATGGCACAATCTCTCCAGATATATCAACAATTATCACAGCACGAAGAGGTTCAGGCTGGAGTTACCAAAGTGTAAATTATGACTCGGATGGTGACGTGGTTATGGAAGATGTATATGGACCGGGAGTTGATATGCCAGCTACGTGGTCAAGACGGGAAAGGGTATATGAGGAGGGCCAACCGGTTCAGGATCAACAGTATCAGTATTTAATGTCCCGTTGGCCACGGTCAGCGGTGGGGTATAGGAGATGGTGGGAGAGGGCGGCGGTTAGTGGGGATATGGCGACTGTGGTCGAAGCCAGGGGAGTTACGAGGATCGAGATTGAAATTCGTTGACTTTGTGATAATGGGGGTAGAGGGGGAATGGGATGGAGATGTGAGTGAGTGATGAACCGTATTATTCACAAAAGAACGGGTGAACATGTGGGGGTGTATTTGCAATTGTGTACTTGGTTGTGAGCAGTGGTAGTTGATTATTGGAATGGGGTTGAATTAGTGTAAAGATTGTATAGATTGGATTAAAGAGAGAATACATATTATTATACTCTAGTTATGGCTTTCATTAAACTGTCCAGAACAATGTAACTATTATGCTGTGCCGTTGACGACGACCGAGTATGAAACCGGTGGGGGTGGATTAACTTCTGTGGGTTGTTGTGGGCTAGAATTGTGGATTGTGGATTGATCGTCGGGTTTCTCCTGATTATACTTGTACTGTATGTACGGGGGAGGGACTGTACTGTATGGTTATAGTGTATGGAGGGTATGGAGGGTATAATTATATGGAGAAGTCTCGACCGTTTCATCGTTATGCGAGGTACTCGGTACACTGTACTCGGTAGATAGGTCGGTAGGGAAGTGTTATGATTGGGATTGGGATTGGGATCGGGATTGATTGGGATGGATGATGTGTATGGAGTGTATATATGGAGAAGTCTGGACGTTGACACGTCGAGACCTGTCTGTTTCTCTCTTTGATTGTGAGGGTAGGTGGGTAGGTAGGGAAGTGTTAGTGATTACCATTGGGATTGATTGGGATTGGGATTAGGATGGGGAAGGGTGATGTGTACTCTGTATGTACCTGTATGTATTGTATGATTATCCCCTAGAATACCAAAATGGGCTCCATCGCTTAACTAGGATCGATCTTGTTGACCAATCAAATTACTAGAATTCTTTTGATTTTGTACAGTATTCCTTTTCATTCTATAATAGAAAATTCAATTAATGTTATAATGTAATATTGAAATAGAGAATATAATAATATATATATATATTATTTTTCAATTAAATCATCTTTTTTCAAAGTCAAAATATTCTAAATTCATTTCAGATCCATTCTTTGAAAAAGAGGTCTTTCAAAATATCGTTTTGATCGTTTTTAACTAATCAGGCTTTATCTCATTCTAGGATAATGCACGGGCTACATTTGGAGCCCATTTGGCACTGCATTCTAGTTATATGTAGTTGTATGTACTTGTATGTACTTGTATGTACTTGTAGGTCCGGAGTAAGTAAGTAAAGTAGAATAGAAAATGGAATATGAGATTACATAATAAGGAAGAGATGTAGGTAGGTGGGTGGGTAAGATTATGGGATTGATGGGGATGTGAGATGTTTTGGATGTTAGGATGGTAAGATTATGTGGTTTAATTTAATGATAGGACTTATGTTATGAGATTTATGTTGTGAGACCTTTGTTGTGTATTTTGCTGTATGTCTGTAGGTCCTAGGTAGGTAGATTAGGTACTCGGTCCGGAATCTCAATGTACATACATGTATGTATCAGAATCTGGAATTGTTGGTAGAGTGGTAGAGTACCATCGGGTGGATCTATCTCTGCAGTATGTTTCTCAGCTCGGGAATCAGGACAGGACAGGATGGTTTTTGGTGGATCTTGCGTGCGTGTGGATTAGCGGATGGACGGAAGGGCGGATGAGTAGATGGATTGCAGGTTAATGTAAATGTAATGTAATGCAATGTAATGTAATGCTATGTCGAGATGCCTGAATGGAACTTTTTGGGTGAATGCACTGGATGAGATGGTGTAGAGTAGGATTCATGATTGATGTTTTGGATAGAGGACTCCGTACCTACCGGCTTCTATGCATAGGTAAGGAGAGAGAGAAGATTGGGTATGTACATATGTACAGATTAGTGGCTGTGCATAGAACGTCGTACGAGATTTGAGATCTTTTCATGTTTGAGTGCCTGAGTGGAACATATCCGTATATGTGAGTAGGTGGAGATGAATAAATGTACGAATCTACTTCTGAGGATATGGATTGGGCTTTTGGTGGTTTGACATTACAACATGAATTTCTTGTTATTTTCTCTGGTGTCGCGATATCGATAGTTCTACTGGTTTCAATTATCGCAAATCAAGTACCCACAGAGCGGAGGTGTTCGAGAAAAGGAATATCCTCATTTGATCGACACGCAATCGTTTACATCCATCTATTATGAATTGACCACTCCTAGATCCGCAAGCCTTGATTTCATCCATACATACACGCCACAATAATACCTTAGCGATCGAATATAGGAGAGATCTTCACTGCTTCCGCGCCCAATGGAACATTCGAAAAACAGGGTAAAATCACATCCGAGTATTGCCGACGTGGCTAGAGATCGACAACATGGTCTGCGATTCTGGGTGTGCATTCTCATCACATGATCACACATGCACGGTTAGTTACCCTTCGTACGCCTTGCGCACAAGGCGAACATTGATTTCAGTGACAACGAGGCGAACGAGGCTGTGATCGCCGGGGGATCCTTGATGAATAAGTGCCTAACGCCACTTGGATTTTTGTTTTTGGAAGAAAAGGAATCCGCGAATGGGAGTAGAGAAGATAATGCATGAGAAATAAGTGGGAATGCTCGAATCTAGAATTTCGAAGAACTTCCTTGGAAAATACCTGGGTTTTTTTCTTGCCGTAATATACTTTCGAGCTAGGGGACCAAATTGACCAAAACTGCTATCTCTCGTTCATAGACTTACTTCCCTTCCTCGCGAATCATTATTTCGGTAGGGCTAGATGGATGCGGAGATTTCCCGGTCTGGCTTGTCTTGTCTTGTCTGTACGAGTCTTTGGGATTTACAGAGTAGAACTATCCTGGTTATCGTATGGGTACGAGTATCTTCATTGTTCATGTGACCCAAACCAGATTGGTTTGGTATTTTCTCTTTCTTTTTCTCGCTTGGTGACCTGCTATTTTCGTTTTAAGGTTCGCTTCCAGCTTGCGGATTGGTGCTACGCAAGTCCTGATCTCGCGGGATGATGCGTTTGTTATGATTGGGATTTGTTGATATAGGTGCATATCGTCATGATGGGTCCGGACCTTGGTATTTGGATGCGTCTGGGGATGCGTATTCCGTATCGCTATCTATGGCTGCATGCTGAAGATTGGTAGGTAGGTGGGGTATGGTATGGTTTGGTATGCTGTGGTGTGGAGACTGGAGTCGGAGTGGATTTGAGGATATATATAGAGGGTTGGTACTCGGTCGGTGAAGAGGAAGAATTTTTTTTTTCGAAAGGTTATATGAAGACGATTGTTCTTTGACTTATTGATTGTTTAATTGCTATATATATATAGACGAAGAAGAAATTTATTGAAGGTTTTGTTTAATATTTATTTACTGGTACCTTCGGACAGACAAACAGACATACACATACAGGCAGTATATACAGAAGATAAAATGTGTTTATTCAATAGTAAGCAATCCCCTTCCCACTCAATCCCAGCTTGATACATTCTACTCCGTCCAACATTCTTACCCCAACTTCTCCAAACACCCTCTCTAACATATTCTTCCCTATAGTCCCAAAAGACGAAGACATAGTCTTTGTCGACCGTCGAGCTCCCCGCCGCAAATCCACTCAAATAGTCCGTCAACGACGTTCCTCTCACTCCCGCCCCGTTTCCCGCGTCTCGGAAACAATCATAAGACAACATAGCCACCACCGACCCTCTACATCCATGACTGAAATCCACCGACATTCAACTTCAATGTCCGAAATGCACCGCGCTCAAAGTCACAGACATTCTGCCTCTATGACGGAAATCCACCAAGCTTCTACTCCTCCAACTCCCAAACCAGTAACTCCTGTTCCTGTTCACGCTTATATGGCTCCGCCGACTCCTCCAGCCTCAAATTTTGGTTATCCTCCCCCCCATTTGGCTGCTGGTGGATATCCTCCCCCCCATTTGGCTGCTGGCGGATATCCTCACCCACATTCGGTTGCTGGTGGATATCCTCCGCCTCCTATGTCGGTAGCTCCTCCTCCACCACATCAATATATACCACCTCCCTCGCCACCAGTTATGCCCCCAAGCCCATTACCATCATACCGCGATTTATCACCTCCTCGAGTCCCTACTCCCCCAGAAGAAAGCCGAGTCGAATTAATAAAAGTAGAAGAGGAACACTGGCCACCACATTCACATTCACATGCACATGCACATGCACATGCACATTCACATTCACATTCACATTCACATTCACATTCACATTCTCACGGAAGATCAAGTCCAAGCGCAAGTCATGTATCCAGAAGAAAAAGCAGAAGAGGAAGTGTAACGAGCGGCAGAGATAGAGAAAGAGGCGACAGAGAAGAAATCTACATTCAACGCGACCGCATCATCGAGCGCGGAACACCATCTCCACATCCCCCTTCAAGTCCTAGCTCCTTCGCCAGAAGAGGAAGTAGAAGTAGCCGGGGAAGCGGAACCCCGGAACCCGTTCAGAGTGGTTATAGAACTGTAGAGGGTACGGGATGGGATCGGGATCGGGATCACGCGGACAGAAGACCTATTACTCCGAGTGGGTATAGGGTTGTTGAGAGCCAGGGTGCTAGGAGGGGTAGTGGTGTGGGAGTGGGTAGTGTTCATAGAGAGAGGGAGTGGGAGAGGGAGAAGGGTTCGATGTCTGGCTCAGGGTCTGATTTTGGTGGGAGGAGGGGTAGTGTTACGTTTGAGAATGGGCCGAGGAGTTCCGGGAGGTTTGTGGAGAGGGAGAGAGAAAGGGTGGTTATGGATGAGGGGGGGAGGAGGAGAGAGTTTTATAGGAGGGGATAGGTAGTTGAGAGATGGGGTTGATTGAGGAGGAAGATGTTTGGATGTTGTTTGGATTTTTTTTTATACCGTCAGCTTATCTGTATATTGATGTTTGTGTATAATGAGCAAGCGAGCGAGCTGAAATTTAATAGAAATCTTAATCTTATTAATGTTTATATTTATTTATTAATGATCTTATTTTGATATCCAATACTTTATTTAACGTATATAAATATCTATCTATCTATCTATCTATCTATATATTATTATAAGATATTATATAACGTTTTTCAAAATAATAAAGTAAATTAGATTATAATTAGTGATAAATACTTTAGTATATCTTGTTTTGTTTATTTTAGTTATTATTAAGATTATATTATAAGTCTTAGGTAAAACTCGATAACCATCCTCCTACGAACCAGGATACAGAATAAAGTAATGCTAAGTAGAATAGTGTTTATATTTAGAGAAAAGCGTTACATATGCATACCGTCTAATGTGAAGTTGAAAGCTTAGTTTAGGACCTTAAAATAATCTTAACGTAACAAATGTTTACTAAAGTCAAAGAGGAAACTTTGTTCATAAAGACCTGAGCCTGTGGCAGGAGTCGCTCACTAGCTCCTTAGAGAGAGTTAAATTACCCGGTTGTTTCAACTTCTGCTGTTAATTTAAGTTGGGTATAATATGATAGATACATAAACTAGGTTATAGTAATGAAGGTTTTGAAATATATACTTTACTCGAGTTTGGAAGGCCTCGCCGTTCAAGGTGTTGTGAATCATCTTCGAGCTTATTCAGAGAGGTACTGGTAAATGATATAAGGAATTGATGAATAAGGCTAATATATTTGAATTGCAATCAGGGAGATGGATTAATTCTTGAATAGGTCTTTGGAAGTATTCTCAATGTTAGATTATGTGAGAGGAATTGACTATATTTCATAATATATATTTGATGAAGAAAATCTGAGTCCACATATATGTGAATGGATAACAGATGTGTCTACTGCACTGCCGGAATCTCTATGTCATTACCCTATCAAGTTCATGGCAACTTAGAACACTGACACCAGTGTGAATATCGAAACTTTTTGAAGCTGCACAGGCTACTAAACTGGCAGGATATGACTTCTGGATTAGTTTCAGATAAGTTTCTTTTGGTCAAGAGCTTGGGATCCATTTGCTACCTTTCTTTGATATAGAGAGAAAAGAAACGAGGGGTATATGTGCACTTTCCATAAATTCTGGTAATTCGTGACCTTCTAACTATATAATTATGTAAGACTGAGACGAACGAGAAGCATTGTGGTTAAGTAATTTTACTTTCCTGAGTGATTATTATATATTAGAATTGTGAGCATTGTTTTATGTAAAGGATCTCACGATGTCAATTGAACGAACTTGTATTAAACGACATGTAAATATGTTCTTTACATTCTTTAGAAAGAAAATTGGTCGTGTAGGAATAAGGTGAATCACTGCATCTATTTTTCTTCACCAAATACCGGTCGAACTTTTTTGTTTTAGCAGTGTAATTGTTTCTTTAAGCCCAAAACTTTTCACAATGGTGGAAAGAAACATCATCATATTGAAGCGAGCAGAAATTCCACTGCGCTTTACCGTCATTTACTACCTGTGCCAAAAGATATTTGTATATGCATTTAAGTAAGCCACTTTCCTCCTGTCATCTTCATACCCAATTAAGCGTAGCTAGCATTTCAATATTCCGCAACATCCATATAAGAAGCGTATATATAAGTGGGAGGACATTAGAACCAGTATTTGTGTTATTCGCCATTTTTGAAGTATTTGACTATGTGCTAATTATGGCAAATTTCTCCTTTCGAATGTCGGTGAAAGTAGCATTTAGTCCAAAGAGAGAGATCAGATGGATCACAAGGTAGATCGTTTATCGAGTGCTTTTGTAACTGAATGAAAAAGCTTGCATAAAGATCACAATTATCTTTAAAGTAACTCCATGAAGCAATGAGATCGTAATTATCCATGAAGCTCTGTCTGCCCAGTCCCTCGTGGAGTTGCTCAAAGTTGCACAGCTCGAACACAAGGGCATGAATGCAGAATGTGCGTAAAGGTGATGTAGGTGAAGTGTTTCTCCAGATCTTCTTAGTTACCTCCATATTAAGTGGAAGATAAATTTCGGGGTGACTTGTCATCGCCTGAATTGCGTCGATAGTCTTATTGGCGAGCTCATTCATGCAAAGCTTCTCAGCAAAGATGTAGAGACTGAGTAACCAGTGGAGATCTCCGCTCCTTGATGAAGTTGGTAATGATGCGCGGTACAACCAATTAACAAAAAGCTCGAAAGCTTCGGGCTCATCCTCTGGTATATCCATTATAGATTCTTGGCCCTCCTTGAATGCTCCAGCTGAGAAAGCACTACGAAAATATTGCACGGAATCGCACAATAGCTGCTTGTGCAGAACGAACTTGCGCTTCTCTTTTCCTACAGTGACCGTCACTACCTCGTCACCAAGAGCTCTATATCTGTTAGTTGGTATGTTCCATGGGGACTTCTAGAGCGCCTTACGTTCCGAGGTTGGGGAATTTTGAGGAAGTCATCTTGTGAGAGACAAAATGCTGACTAGTAATTTGCGTAGACTCACTGATAATTAGCAGCGATACTAATATATGTAGAATGGAAACAGTACCTTTATATCTGAAGTAGCCCAGTTTACTTCACACAATCCAAATCAATGGTGGTGATTGCGAGTGGAAGAAGTCTTGACATGAGAGGAATCCGAGACAAACAATTTTCTTAAGACGAAAGCCACTAAGTTTAGCCTCACCCCGCAATAAATCTTGAATTCACCTTTTAAACTGAGGTTTTTTTTTTTTTCAAATATCAAGGAGAAGATGGACATCACAACATTCATTGTTCGCTTAAAATTCCAAGTCATTACCTGTCTCTCTTCCTCTTCCTCATTCTCGCCCAAATCCACGTCTTCGTGTCCACCAAACAACAAACACTCCAGCACAAAACTATCTGTTCTTGGACGGGCAGTTGTTCATATCAAAAACGTCAACTTTGCCAAAATTCTGTTTGGTATTCAATTCTACCTATCTCAATTTCCATCAAAATGGGTAATGCAAGTTTATCATCTATCTCAACAACTCCTCAAACAGCCATCTAACATTTCTGATTAGAGTAAAGAATATGCGCCAGAAGCTACGAAGAAATGGAACAGCTTCGCAGGCAATTCCACTTCTCAAAAATCACAGGCCGAAAGCCAAAGTGCTCATTCCGCTACTCAATCCAAGACAAAAGCATTGATTAGAGTTGATCCAGAGGTCTTGCTCAGTGAGTTAGTACAATCTCCATTGTCGCTTGATTGACCTTTAACAACCGATCTAATTTTTATGTACAGTACAATGGGCATGGAAACGATTGTGTTGAAGGTTGGAGCTGCCGATGATGGACAGGGTACTATGGTCTTTTCTATCCACAAGAACTTGTTGATGAGTTCATCCCCTCGATTTGTAAAGATGTTGAATAGCAGGGTTTTGGACAGAAACCAAATCTATTCCATTCACGATACAAGTCCTAGCGTGTTCAAACTCTTTAATGAGTATCTTTACACTCGTCGCGTTCCCGGTGTTAGCCATCGCCTATCTCAATCTGCGCAAGGAACTCGAATTTCAGAGCTTTGTCAACTCTACGTCTTCGCAGAGATCTTCGAAATGGACAGAAATTTTCTCAACAAAATTATGGACGCTATCCAGGATGGTCTTGCTCTCAGTTCTTCTCTTTTGACTTATGCTCTTGTCAAGAATATCTTTGATCATGCTCAATCAGAGTCTCCTCTTCGCAAGTTTTGTGCCGCAAATGCTCTTTACTCTGCAATGACTCCGGGTCTCGATTCAGCTGGATTCCAATGGCTGATCAAAAATAGTGATGAATTCTTTGCAGAATTCATGAAGATGCTCGTCAAACTCACCAAGGGCAATGATCCTCGTATTCGTGACGTCAATCAAGAATATTTCAAGGAAGTCAAGGTTAAGGAAGAGGAATTGGAGGCTGGAGGTGTCCCGGTTGGTGCTAACATTGCTGTTGTGGTTGGTCCGGGTGTTCATCCATGTCAATTTCATGTTCATGCTGGATCAGGATCTGACACAGAAGGTGCTAGCGGTGTAGATGACGATGAGATCTGCTATTTGCTTGCTGGTCTAGACGTTTAGACAAAAGTGAAGCGGTTGAGCATTGTCATGAGATGTATTGAGGGTCCTCATGTTTAATACATGGCTTTTGTGGGGTCGAGGCGGCAGGAAGGGAGTAAATGATGAAGGGAAACGTGAGAAGAAGTAGTTGATTGCCAATACTTGGAGACCTCTAGGATTAATACTGCACCTCGCTACCTAAGGATATTTGCTCCTACATATTATACATAGAAATAAATAATTCTACATGACTAGTTTCTTGCCTCACTCAGATTGATGTATTTAAGAGAACTTTGATCCAGATCTGAGTATATCTGAACTATTCCAAGACTTTGAGAGATCTTTCTTCTAAGAAAAATCCAAATCTTCAAGATAGAAATGAATACTTACGACCCAAGACCAGCAAGAAACAAGTTCCCAGCCAGATTTCTAAGACATAAAGAAATTTTCCTCTGTAAGATTATTACTCCACCTCTTCCTTTTTTTTTCATATGAAAGATACGCCATAATCGTCTTTTGAAGAATATAATATGTCCTGGTTACACCTGAAATCTTGAACAACTAGCGATCGAATTCATCTGAGAAAATATATCTAGCAACACCTTTCAAAGTATCCTCTTTAAATTCCCTTTGAAGCCTAAAAAGTCCTATACGAAAGCTTGAAACTCCTGCTTAAGAGTTACGTGAAGTAATGCACAGCAAACACCTCTAGTTTATGACCCTGCTAATGTGCAATTACTGTATGTATCAGTTCGACTATTTCTCCCCAAATATTCTGATAGCGCTAGTTGTTTTGTCAGCAGGTGATATGTTGTTTCGTGAATCGTGGGAAACCACAAATAACAACAAAACAATGGCGAATATAGGTACAGCATTTCCTGAACTTTATAATTTTATGTCACTGAAGAAAAGAGAAACTTGGTTTTTTTGGTCATAGAGAGGTCTTGTAAAAGGTCTGTGGTTTTAAGGGCGTGCTTCTGGGACAAGTTGTATAGAGATATCCATGGGGCTTTTTGTGAGCAAGGGAATAGTAATATTTGTTGATTTGGATAGTTGAGTGGTAGAAATCTTTTGGCCCAGAATAGATTCGGGTGATTTTGGCTGGCGCGTAAGGCGACAGGAGTTACTTACTGCGCATACCTGTAGATTGTTGGTGGTGGAAAGGGTGGTTAACAATGATACAAGTATTAAATTAGCTCATCATGGTGTATTTCCTGAGTCCAGAATTAGACTGCGGCGTGAATGTTGATGGTGTAGGTGATCGATGTTGAATGTAACGAGCTAGCACTTCATCTACTCCTCGTTCTGTATATGTATATGTAAAACTTTTCTCTCCCGAGAACTTGAAATCTATTTTCTTTTCACTTCTTCATTTTGTGGTCTTTATTCAACTGTCTATGTTTAAAAGATCAGAATATATAATAGTATTCAGCAGTGTCCTGAAGCTATGCAGCGCTGACTAAACGTCGCATACTTTTATCCAGAACTTTGTCGAAGTCTTTTCTTTTTAGACACGTCCAATAACGGTATGGTGATGGACCAAGATTTTTCATCTTGGGCAGCTTGTAACGCCGATCAAAATACCTACTAGCATTGCTGAACTTATAATACCTGTCGACTAATAGAAATTCAGTCAACCACTCCATGGTTGGTTGCACAAACTCCGATCTATATGAATTATTTCAAAAATTGATATTAAATCGATTATATATTATATAATATTGAATTTTATATTTAGTTATAGTTCTAAATTACATTTTAAATATTTTAATATATATATATATATCACGGGCTCATAACTTATTCTAGTTAACCTACATGGACGTGTACGGCATCCACATCCTATATAGTCGATGATCCTCCTAGCACCTTCTTTCTCTTTGTAGAATATCATCTTATGAATAAGTGGATAAGTAGGCCAATCATGTCTATTCATTTCATGATGTCGTTAAAATTCGGTAGTTGTAGGGCGTAGCGCAACGCCAGACTCAGGGTTAATCATTCTGCCAAGGCGGTGACAACAGCCAGCCCAGAAGATCTACGAAGAGCAAACGCAATCCATCAACTCCTCCTTTAATCCTCCCAAGACAGCGATGTAGTTTACTCTTCAAAGAGGCTACCACTCACTCTATTGCGGCCTCTTACAAATAAAGTATCTCTACTTTTTACACCGAAAAACTCTCGTATCGTGTCACAGCTTTGGGGACCTCGAAAAGTACCATTCGACGACTTTTGAAGGATTCTGGAGTTTTCAAAAGTATACTTCGAAAAACTAATTTGAAAATGAATCTTCCACTAACATAACTAGAATCAGTTCTTAATTATCAGAATGGAACTCCCCACAAGATCAGTTCTTATGACTCCTGAGTAAATTATTACTCTTTCTTCCCGTTTGCTTAGATGATGGCACATCCACGTTTGATTGGAAACTAACTTTGAGCTCATAGGGTCCTTGACGAAATCGTCACGCTGTATGTCGGCAGTAAGAGGAAGAAGTACATCGTTCATAAACGAATATTGTGCGACCAATCTGAGTTCTTCGATGCCGGGTTTAACGGCGGGTTCAAAGAGGCAACTGAAGGAAAAATGTACCTTCCCGAAGATGACCCTATAGCTGTTGCTGATCTGATCGAATACTTGTATCGAGGATCACTCCCACGCTGTAGGGAGGATGGTGGCAGTGAGAAAGTTCGTAACCTTTATTACCTAGCGGAAAAGATTGGCCTATTATCGCTGATGGACAAACTTATGGACTTACTGGCAGTTCCCAGAATTCAGCAGACAGGCCATCTGGTCGGGTACGGTTCAAACGCGATCAAGGAAATATATGACCATACGCATGAGGGAAGCAAGCTTAGGCTCTTTGTTACGGCCGTTAATGTCTTCAGATTACGAGATCGAGGGAATGAAAAGGATTGGATGAGCGATCGTGCTAAACTCCTCCACAGTAATCCGGAGTTCTTTCATGATGTGTTCAAATTAGTTGGTAAACATGGGAAAAAAGTCTGGGTTGAGAAGAGCGAAGGCAAAGCTTTTGTGACAGCGTTTGAGCAGTGCTATTTTCATGTTCATGGACCGGACAAAGAATGTTATGCCAACCTGGAGACAGGGAAGGAAATACTGGAGTGATGGGTCCGACACTTTAGACTGACAAACTGTCATGGTATGAAAGCCCATTGCCCTGTCTGTTCGCATATCATACATGTTTAGATTCCAGAGCTCCTTAGTTTCTCTTCATGACGGATGGAATTTAGGTGCTGATACCAAGCTGTACCCATCTCCGACGGTTCTTAGAAACATAATGGACAGAGTCCTTGGAAGATCATCTTTCCACATATGCGAGCAAAAATGACATGAGTGTCCATTCATCTAGCACGTCTTCTATATCTGCACACGGTGCTCACCGGGTGCCATTCAGCATAGTTCCCGGTTGTTTCTCTCGCCTCTGGAATATCCACCCGAGATTGTCGTTTTCCCATTCTCATGGACCTTCCTTGGATGTCCACCAAAACCCCCATAATCCGTTTTATTCCCGTGACCATCCCTAAAACTCTCACAAAATCCACACCTCCATGTTTTGCAACCTCCAAAGCTTCTTCCCTCGCTCGCATAATCCTATCCTTGACGCTTTATCGGACTCAAACGAATTATTGTCGCGGCATCCACCCGCACCTTTTAATTCCCAAAGAAAACCAAATCCATCAGTGTGAAAAACATGATGGACACACGAAACATGTTTTCATACCTAAGCCGACTCTCCGTCTCCTTACAAGTCTTTCCAAACTTCGCTGCAACTTCCTGTGTATCTGTTTAGAGGCTTTCTCAATCACCTTCGAATCCCGAGCTATCCAACCACTCAGTCGTTATACCCGAAGTAAAAACTTTCCTCTCCACCGATTTCGACGGAACGAGTTTAAACCATTCCCCATGGAACTAATACAACACTTGCCTCTAAAATCGGCACCGTGTTTCTCATAAGATTGCAAAGTGAATGGAAGATAATTCCAGATCCTCGAAAATTAATGAAATGCAATTTGCTTCTTCGAAGGAGTTGCGCTCAAGAATCTCTAGGAAACCAAGAGAGATGGCGTTGATATCTAGATTATAAAACCATGGGCGACAAGCATTATTGTTGTTACAGAGGTATTCGCATTTTGCCCAAGCATCTTCGGCTTCGAAGCTGTTATGGTTCAGGCTCTCTGGGCCATGCTCACAATATGTGCAAGATTTGGAAATTGAAATGAAGAATGTAAACAGAAATCTCAAAGTCCTTGACTAAGTAGGTTCCTTATATCAGGCTAAAATAAAACTACGCAGCACAGCCTTACATGCGATTTCAAATGTGGATGATAAGCAGACTTGCAGGTTCCAAGATAATAAGAAGTCGCGATACTTGTGCTTCGAATGTAAAATGTAATCTTCATTTAGGCATAAACAGTTAATAATCTGAAGCTATAAATCTTCATATTCGTCAAAGTTATTGAAATTTTTACCAGAAATTCCAAGTAACTTGAAAATCAGAACATACGATAACACAAACTCAATACTTCGTATAAAGTTGTTAGATATTAAGAATGACTCATTTACCATCTACCCTTAACCTCAACTACACCCGTTCCATCTACTTTACTATCTGATGATATCATTAAAACTTTCTATCTTAACCTCCATTCATCTCGAAATCAAGCAATGGCTCATTCCCTAAAGGTTAAACGCATTTGGTGCAAGATCGTAGCACATACAATGAGTTATGTAGAGCTGCAGCTTTGCTAGATATGGTACTCTATCAACATGATGCACAAAGGTTACTTTAATATATCGTATTATTTGCATCTAATAGACAACTGTATTCCGAGCTAATAAGCGTAAAAGGAACACAATCAATCTATAGAATAGAGCCTTTATAATATCCCCAAAATCTGCTCAATAAACACAAAAGTTAATCCTAACCCTCAGCATCTCCAGCTTACAAATAATAGCATCACTTAGCTGAGCCGTGTAGAAAAAGAAGCCTTCACGAACCTTAAGTGAGATTTGGCGGTCTGGAAAACTACCTACCTAGGTTGGTAAGAATCATCCAACCATACTTCCACCAAGTCCCTCAAGTTCATCTAAAAGTGATAAGATGAGTGTGTATAAATGCAGAAACTAATTTGAGAAGTATAACAAAGAGTATCTTTAAAAAGACAACAAGGGGATTTGAAAGTAACATGTAAGATAGCGTAACCTTACCGCAGAATCCGAGAAAATAGCACCAGCAATAATAAAACATCTCTACTCATCAAAACCAATAGACAACTCAGGACTTAAAAAGATACGAGTAAAACATAAGACGTTAAACCAAACATTCCACAACCCACAAAACCATCCAACCGAAAACTCTTAAACCACCCAGGAAAAAAAACAGCATCACACCCCCCTCTAATATAAAAATCATTCCAAGTCCTCTCATCCCAAGATCATAACCGAAAATGACAGTGTTCATCAAAGTGTTCAAACCCCATCATCACCGCACTATCTGTCTGCATCTCCACTCATCTCGCTTGAGTACCTAGCTAGGAAAATCTAGATTCACCTCAACCTCGAAGAAGCACCTCGAAGAAGCACCTCGAAGATTCACCTAAACTCTACTTAACTTCACTTCTCTTCTCTTCTCTTCTCCATTCATCTCAATTCCACCCTGCACATTCAAATTCCATTCCGCATACAGCAAACGGGGGAATCCAATCTCGACACGCTAGTATCGCTTAGAAATTTCCAGCTCTATTGTTTCCAGGAACGACAACTTGATCTTAAGAAATCTTTCTTACCAAGAGAGCTTCTCGTGAATAATTAAGACAACTTCAACAACCTTCCGCCTACGAAATAAATACCGCTCTACTTTTCCACTATAATTTCATCTTGAAAAAATTATTCGTAACATTTACTTGAGAAATTTATTTATTTATTATTTGGTTCAGATTAATAAACTTACTCCTCATAATGCCGTCAAAGGTTTCACAAAAACGATCTGCCAGTCCTTCCCCAAAGACACGTCAGCATAAACGCCCGCGTATCAATATCGTGAATCACACGTCTGCGACCTCTAACTTCGCAGAAAAAGCTTTGAATAACACTGAGGCAAGCGAAAATTCACCATCATTAAATGTACCGACGAAGAAATCTCGAAAACGATCAGGCAATCCCTCCACAGGGGCGCGGAAGGAGAAATACCCGCGTGTTAGACTCACGCCTTCTACGGCTATTACATTTATCTCCGGGGACGATGCGTCGAGCAAGACTGAAACCAATACCAAGCTTAAGTTTAAGCTCAAGATCACGATGAACAAAAATCCAGAACCTTCAAAAATGCCTTCAAAGATACCCGAAAAACGTTCAATCAGTCCCCCACCCGAGGAACCTCAGACCAAGCGTACCAAGTCCACGCCCCACAAGTCCACCACCTCTGGATTCACAGCCGACGTGTCGAGCAAGAGCAAGGAAACGATTGAGGTAAATCTAGCACCTGCCGCCAACCAGATTGTTGCCATTAGGCCTCGCGTGACCAAATCAACAGCAACAGATGATGTTAGCCGTTCTGAGGCCACCAGAAAAAAAGTGCATGTTATCCAGATGAGAGAAAAAAACTCAGAGAAGTCAGTAAGCAAGTGCAAGCCCAAGACAAATACAACACGTCGGAGCAACCAATTTATGGCCATCAATCCTCGGGAGCCTCTCAGAAAGGTTGAAGACGCAGAAATTAATGTCGTTCGCAGTTGGGTGCCATTAAACGATCCCGACGACGATTTGAGCAAATCACTATCTCTTACCAACGGGCTCGTTTCCCTTGATAAGCCGCTCCCTATACCACTGGCCCGAGATCCGCTCAAAACTTTTGGGGCCGCAGAAAAGAAGTTCATTGCTCTCTGGATGCGAGCAAACAAAACAGTTGGGACACGAGGGAAATATTTAGCCTTTCAAAATCTTTTATACTCCCTAGGCTGCAAACACCCAAGTTTTGACAAAGAGACCTTGTTAAAATTTGACCATCGGATCGAGCGCTTCATTTCGAGGATCAAGAAATCGCTGAAGGAATGCGGTGCGATTGCATTCCGAGAAGAGGATAAATTGGAAACATATCCAGTATTTGCGGATTGGACTGTTGTTTGGTTGGAAGAGGACTGGAATGGTGTATATGACACAAGAGGGTATTATACAGACAACTATCTTGAGAAATACTCACCAGATCTTAAAGGATACGATGGCGACAAAGACTTTGTGTTAGAGCTAGCAATCGATGATCCTTTCGAAGAGATGGAGACCTTTATCGTCGAAGTACCCGAAGACTTCCAGATTCCCAATGTCACAGATGCTGACCCTGGTATTATCAGAAACAGAAAACACTATTCCAACCCTTACGGGATGGCTGATTGGAGATGAGAAGTGAGAACCTAAAAGAAATTGAATTGGCAGGGATGAATTTGCATTGTTTTGCCGTTCGTTTTGCAGACTTTGACATATTTTGAAAGAATGGAACAAGTATATATACTACATTCTAGTTAAAAATGCCATTCGTTACTTCCCTATGAACACGAAAATTGCACTCTGTGTAGAATTTATCCCATGTTTCGTGGAGCTGCGCGTTTGAGAATGCACCGAATGGAATGCCCTGTGCGGAAATGGCTGCATCATCCTGCAGCAGTTCTGAAAATTTTGGTTTGTTCGGATGCACAAATCCAATATAGCAAGGCATGCCGAAATCCCTGTATGAATAGTGACTTTGTGGCCTTGATGTAGTAGTATTAAGGACTTCGTTGCCGGTCTGGCGGTGGACAGTGACCGCCTTCGTCGTCCATTCAAAACGGAAGTGGAAAACGATTTCAAGTCCTCCATGATCATTCTCCATGTGACGCTTGCACATCCTAGAGGCAAACCATGGTGCTCAGCACATCCAAATTTTGTACACCTGCCATGATGGTTATCGAAGAGAAGATTTTTACATGCTTACATTTGTCCCAAACCACAACCTCAGATCACGCCTAGATCGTCACAATGCTTAGGCCATCGTCTATATGATCTTTTCGGCCTCCTCGACCAAATCCTCAACATTGAACGCTGTATCACCTTTTCCAAACATCTCCAACAACCTACGTCTATTACTATGTTCCCCTACTGGACCATAAAATTTCTGCAAACACATAATCAACCATTTTGCGTCGTCGACGCTCACGCCTCTTCCTTCAACGACCTGTCCATGCAATAAAACCAACTCCTTATCCTTTTCAAGTTCCAAATGATGCGTAATTGTAGTATGTGGCTGACTGTATTCTCCCCTCAATTTGTATTCTGCAAGATGCGTGAAGAGAACAACGACGGTATTTTCCGCCGGGAAAGTCCATTGCAAGAAATGAATCTCTGCACCCTGACCCTCCTTTGCAAGCGGCAAGATAAAGGTTGGAAACTTCTTTGCAGTGGCTTCGATGGTTTTGTATGTGTGTAAGGGTATCGCTGCGCACAATGATTGGGCATCTTTGATGTGTCGAAGTCGCCAAAGTGCCTCGATTTCTTTGTGTGTTAAGGCGCGAAGTTTCTCCAGATCCAGGTACGAGGATAGAGTCTTCAGCCCAGGGTTTGAGGAGGGTGCTCTCTCAGCAGGAGCTTGAGGTGGAGGTGGAGCTGCGGGAAATGGTGATGAAGTCGGAGATGGTGGTGGTGTTGGAGGGGCATTCACAGGAATTGTCACGGTTGCTTTCTTTTTCAATTCCTCAATCTTGGTTTTGTAGGCCCCCTTTAGTTCATTCAAATCTCGCAGTCCTTGCCTAGAAGTTTTCATAAGCTAAACACATCAATTACTCATTTTCGATTACTTACTCCTTTGCTTTTTGATCAAGCTTCTCCCTATACTTTTCCAGAATTCTATCCGATTGCTGGGTGGCCAAGAACCGAACATCATGAACTTGTGCCCATCTCTTTTGTGAGGATCGCAAATAAGGGGCAGCACCAGAAATTGTGCGACGTATGGCCGGAGAGCGAATGATTGCCATGTTTGTTGTCGAATAACAATTTTAGTATAACAACCAATTTCAATCGGCAAGCGTTACAGAACATTAATTGAAAGTCGATGAAGTTATATTATGGAGTAAACTAGCGGGCGCACGGCCGATATTCCCGCTTTCGGGATTTCGGGACATCTCAATCAAAACAAAACATGAAAAACACAAATACAGACAGGTACTCGAGTCATAAGAACTAAATATGTTGTCAAAATCTATCTATAATATATATCCAAAGACATGCATAAAATCCACATGTATATACATTCCCTCTCCAAATCTACAACTTCGCTTTCTCGTCATCCTTCTTCGCCTGATCTTTCAAAAGTCTCCTCAAGATTTTTCCACTTGGACTTTTCGGAATAACATCTACAAACTTAACTCCTCCCCTCAACCTCTTATGACTCGCTACTTTCGCTTGCAACCATGCCATAATCTTCTTTTCTTCTTCTTTATCTCCTACAACTCCTTTCTTCGGAACCACATAAGCTCGTGGGACTTCAGTTGCTTGCTCTTCATTGTAAATGCCAATTACTGCAACATCGTCAATATCTTCATGAGAAACCAATAGACCTTCTAGCTCTGCTGGTGGTACTTGGAAGCCCTTGTATTTAATCAATTCCTTGATCCGATCAGTGATGTAAAAGTTGCCGTCTTTATCCTGATGTCCGACATCACCAGTTTTGAAATATCCATCAACTGTCAAAGCGTTTTTGGTGCCTTCTGGATTATTGAGATAACCCTGGAAAACATTAGGTCCCTTGACCCAAAGTTCACCAGTCTCCCCTGCTGGAACTTCCTTCTCTTCGGCGTTCATATATTTTGCGACCAGATTTGGTAGCAAGCGTCCGACGGAACCTGGATGTTTATCCCAATCCTCCCAGGGTTGACTATGAGTGGTAGGACTTGTTTCGCTAAGGCCATAACCTTGCTTGACAGGTATCTTGAGACGGGCATATACAGCATTGACGAGTTCGCGTGTCAATGGCGCCGCACCTGAGTTCATCATCCTAACAGTCGACAAATCGTACTTCGAAACTATAGGACTCTTTCCAAGCATGAGGACAATAGGAGGAACCACATAAGCAAATGTCGCCCCATATTTCTGTATTGTTTGACAAAACTTTTCCAAATCAAACTTCTCCATTACGAGGCATTCGAGACCTCCATGGAGCGAGAAATGGATGATGCATGTCAAGCCCTGGAGACAGTCAGTCAGATCCACAAATCTGCGGTGATAAGTGACTTACATAGATGTGATAGAAGGGAAGAACAGCCATAAGCTTGTCACCTTTGCCATCCTTACCGCCGTTCCAATGCAAGTTGTGCCCCTCAGTTGAATTCGCCATTTCAGTATTTGCAACGATGTTCTTATGCGAAAGCATAACTCCTTTCGGGTGACCAGTGGTTCCACTGCTGTAAACCAAAAATGCTAAATCTTCTGGCTTGTTCTTGGTTCTTCTATATCTCGACGTACCCGCCAAATTGCGCACATTAGTAAAGTGCTTAAACTTGTGCGTCTCATCCCTTCCGTCGCCCACCAAAATTATCCTATCATCAGGTATGCCAGCATTTTTAGCCGCTGCTTGCGCCACCTCTATGAAAGGTTTCTGAGTAACAATCCCCTTGGCATTGGAGTCTTTCAATTGAAAGGTCAATTCATCAACAGTATATCCAGGATTGGCAGGAGAGACTATTCCACCGGCCCAATGCGTTCCCCAAATAACAGCAGGAGTGTCGATAGAATTGGGCGTGTAAAGCGCAAGAACATCGCCTTTCTTCCATTCCCAGACAGCTTTTAATCCCGTTCCAAATGCGATCGCAGTATCTCGCACTTGCTTGTAGGTATATGACCGTGAAGTCTCAGCATCCGTGTAAATTGCTGGGAAGCCAATGGTCAGTGATTGATCTCCAACGACGGTTCCTTCATAGAAAGTATTGCTAAATGTAATTGGTACCTTTATCATCTGGAAATTCTCTATCTTTCCGTTCGAAAAGAAACTCCCAAATATCCACCTTGGGGATATCTATTTGTGGGTATGTTGATTCTGTAGGCATGTTTTCTTTTGTGTATGTTACCAATAGGTCGGCGCGTTACTAATTGTGTGGAACAAGAAGACGTGAAATACGGTTATTTGGAGGTATTTAAGCTTATCGAAGGAAAATAGTACGTGGGTATCAAAGTACGGTGAAGGAAAGTAAGGGGAATTCATCTATCTAAATACGTTACCCATCGGGACTATGGTTGGCTGGGGATGTACAATAGCAGGATGGCTTAAGCATTATGATGTCTGTGTGGAGATGGGGGGAATTGGATTAATAACTCAAAATTTAAGCCGAGCACGCAAAACACCGAGGTAACTTTACCCCAGATCTTGGCACTCGGAAATGTCGGACATCATCTTTCCCGACTTACCCCGGAAGAAAAATAAGTCTAATCCAACACCGACAATTCGTCTAATTGAATCAAATCATCGCTAGCCTTACTAGAGTATTGATAAATCTCACATCTCATTCAAGATTGTCCCGTAATGCAGTCTCCATACCATGCCATTATTTATCCATTCCATAGTAAGCTCCAAAATTTATCGTAATGATTCTAGAAATTAGATGTAATATTACAAAGCGTTTGATGTCAGGCTTGTATTAGGCTCGGTAGAGTAGCTTTTTCAAGATTTAAGGTTAACTGTCTAGAACCCCACATCAAGCCTTTTCACCTTCTAGTGTGTAGAACACCTAATAGATACACATCTCATGTTTTAATCGGTGAATGAAGAACATGTTCAATGCAACAAACCGTTCAAGTGAGCGAAATGAGTGAATTTCCAGTTACCAATGAGGAAAAGTCGATCAATTTTGGCACATCATATATACTTTCGAATTCACTCGCTGAAGAATATCAGACTCTGAAATTCGACAATAAGAATAAGATGATTTTTATTATCATTTAAATCCTCGCAAATCAAAAGAGAAACTCCTAAAGAGCTCAAATCATCAACTATTGATACACCTTGCCCCATAATATCCTCTGCCTCCTTTGGTCGCCTTTAAAAACAATCCAGTCGCTCCTGACCTGGAGTTGGAATGGAAGAGGAAATATGCCGAAATCAAAACCCAATGTATAACTTTCCTTCACACAACAGTTAGGAGCAACGGAAGTCGAAGTTGCGGAGGAGATAGGGTGGTAAATACATCTCATGTCGAAATTCTCCGGTCTTTCTAGAGGGATTTGCATTAGCGGATGTCATCTAATGAATAGGAGTGGCACTGTACCATGAAGCCTTAGTCTTCATCCCATCCTCTACAACTTCTCCTCCAACTGATTTTTGAGTCGCTCGACTTCATTCTTAAGCTCCTGTACCTCCGTCTCAGGCTTTGATTGCGCCTGAAATTTCTTGTATTCTAGATCGATGTCATTTTCAAGCGTCTCCTGCTGCATGTCTAATTGCGCCTTACTCGTCGCCGTCTCAATATCCATTTTCGCCTTATTCGTTTCTCTTTCCATACTTAGCTTTTCCATCTCCATCTGTGCCTTCATATTTTCCTTGGCCATCTCCATCTCAACCTTAGCTTTCTCCAGGTCAATCTTTGCCAGCTCCAGTTTCAATGAATGTTGGTCATCTTGTTGACTTTTGAGAACCCGGAAAGACTGGGCAATTATAGGAGCATTAAGCATTTCGGATAGGGAATAGGTCCAAAGCGCAGTCAACAAAAGTAGTAGTGTACCATAGTAAATAAAGGCGCCGAAAAGATCGAATATGCTAGTAAAAGGAGACATTTTAAGAGTCTGATCTTTACCGTAATAGAAGCTGATGAAGGGTTCTCGAAGGAAGGTTAGATATTGTGGAAGTACTGTGGAAGAAGTTGTTGAGTCTTATTATGAGTGTATTGAAGGTCTGACCGAGGTTGTCAAGAGATGTTGTAGATATCGTGTCAATGTAAAAGTTCCAAGAGCACAATCCAAAGAGCAACTTAAGTACCCATGAGCCGAATGTTCGCTAAGGTAGTACAGTACTTATGGAATTAAATATTCAAGCAAAGAGCTGGATACAGCCACTGAACACGAACTAGTAAGTTAAAGTACACCCTAGAACGTAGAAGAATAGACAGAGGTAAGCAGTTATAAGGAAGTTCCCTCATCTCTTAATTCTAGTCTTCTATTCACTACGCATTCAAGTTGATCCCACTATTTCAAATTCCCTATTTTGAATTCACTGTCCCGAATCTATAATCACCCCCTCAACATCAAAATTATATTTCAAAATTATATCTAAAAACCACATCCCCAATCCCCACCTCTCCCCAATCTACCCATCAAACTACCCTCGCCACCTCCCTTCCACCCTTCACCCTCCCCCATAAAAGAATAACCCCCTCCCAATAACCGCCCACCAATAAACCACACCATCAGCCTCAATCCCAACCCCACAAAAGCATCGTATTTAAACAAGAACATCCCTCCCACTTCAAACCTTCTTTCTATACCTTCTCTCTACCCAACTATAATATCATCATTAGTATCCCTTAAATTATAAACCACAAACCACAAACCACAAACCCTGAACATCGCCTTTTCCCCCCAAAGAAAAAGATGACTCACACCCTAACCCAACCTAACCTAACCTAACCAACCAAGTACCCACGCACCCAACGCATTTCAACAATAAGGCTACAAATCGCCACAAATATACATATCCATTAGTAAATAAGCTATATATTCCCTCCTAAACACCCCACTCCCCTACCACCCTCCAACTTTAGCGAATATCAAGTATGCGGAAAGGTAGACAATAAGTACAAGTACATCACATAACGTGAAAGCTGGTGGTTCTTCTGACCACTTTTCACATCCCGATGATACATATATTTTTTGTTGCTAGAATAGACGACCTCACTTATTAGCTAGCATCTCATCAACCTTGGTTTCATCAACACTTGTAATGCGCCTGTAGATCCATTCGCGGTAACTTTTAAGAGACCTTTGTACTTCAATGAACCGAACATTTCATAACGTCATCAATCACATCACGCACACACACAAAGCAAAGCAGAACGGTAATTCTTCGAGGCCGAAGCAAGATTGTAGATTCCAAAACTATCTAGAAAAAGGCTAGCACTTCTTAAACCAGCTAGAAAGTTTCACATATCTACACAAAATCCGTCGCCAAAAATTTCTAGAAGAGGTGAACAAATTGTGTGAGCTCGCACCACCAAGGCAATTTGAAAAACACCTCTCCATCCATCCCAACTGATACATAACTTTGAAAGTTTACAAACAGCTGGGATACCTATCCCCCCTTCCAACATCGATGCACCCGGTGCAATTCTCGAAAAGTTTCGAAATGTGGAGCGGGGATACATAGTCACATCCAACCCTGATCGTGACTATGGTCAAGAACATTATTTGACCGCCAAGCCAGTCCCTAAGGATTTCCGCAATATCAGTCTATGTGATACATATGATCTAGTGACCTCCATTCGACGCGATGCTGGGGTTGCCCTCTACAGCTATCATCGAAAGGTCCTCACCCAAATAGACAATACCCGATTGCTTAATTTTACGACATTTTTGTCAACCTTTGTACTGGCGTCGTATTTGTTCTTGATGAAAGGCAATGGCGGGTTTATGACTTCCCCGCCACGGCACTCGTATGATGACGCTCGCGGGCATCAATCGGTGCATTCATAGGCTGCGGCCCTAGTAACTCCTTACTCTAACCACAAAGCACCAGTGAATCCTTTCGTGTTTGTCATTCAATATAAGTACCCAACAATGGAAAAAATGAGCGGTGTGAGTTTTTAGGATATTTGACTATCCCTGGCAGGCGTGACCATCCCACTCACCGGCACATCTGCCGTCGCATAGTTGCATTTAAAGAAACCCACGATAGGCATAAGTAACCCAAACCCCTGAAAGTTACCTCAATTAAATCGCCTACCATGTGTTCCTAATGTAAATCTTCTGGGGCCGAGTCCCCAACGCTGGCTCCGGAGCAAAGTCGACTCATTTAGCTAGCTGAGTCCCTTACTATCACGCTTGTCTCCTTCAGAAAAGATCCTACAACTAAAGTTACAGTGCGCCCGAGTTAAACCGTATAGAGAAAACTCCGAATATAACATTCCCATCGAGGACGGTATCTTTAAACAGATAGTTTCTCATCAAGCTTAGCTCAGGCGCACCGTCAGGCGTCCAGACAGACTCTGAATGCCCTGTTGTACCGCTCACCCTATGTGTACATATATTCATAATGACTTGGGCCTTTTAATGTCATGCCCAGGACAAATTGGAACTCACAGACTTCGTGATAAAATGGCGAATGCTGACCCTAGGGCGACATGCTCTTCGTTTATGTCGTGAAATTAAGAACTGCATGCGTTTTTTACCATCGACGGACGATTGTGATAAATGCTGGATGTGTAGGAATTGCTCATTTATCAAGTGGTTTATTGTAACAATTCAAGAGTTCGAGTTCAATGATCCAACATTCGAGTACTCAACCAAAGAATTCTCCGCCTACCAAGGTCTCCCATGGTTTTGAAAGTTCCCAAACCTTTTCCATCAATGTTCGCGCTTTGTGTGCTTGTGTCATTCCGTACCTCTCAACCCTGTTCATTCGTTCAAGAATATCGGATCTTTGCTTCTCATCTCGAATATCACATCCAGCCGTAAACATTGGAAATAACAAACAGGCTTCGGCACTACTTCCTTTCCTAATCTTGTTGAAAGAGCCAAGGATTTCACCAACGGCATGTTGGACATCTTCATGGACTGAAGGCTTTCCAAGTATTCTGCGATGAAGATGGACGAGTCCAGCAGAATGAAAGGCTTCATTGGTCGCGGCTACCTCAAGACTATCCCATCCATACTCTGCTTCAGACTTAGATTGCATATGAGTGCATGGCTTCGCTGGGTGACGACGCGACTCAATGAGATCTGCTTCAAGTTTGTGGGCACGGATGACTACTTCATCTGAAGGCTGCCAATCTACATTAATTGTTGAATCAGTATTAATGCGAAGAGCATCACATTGGCGGGCAAGATTAGCGACCTTAGCAAGAATGCGGACGCAACGACTGGTGAAACCGAGGATACAGTCAATTTGATAACTATATTCTTCATCTTCCGTTTCATAATCCAGCATCCAAGCAGACGAAAGATTTTGACCACCACTCATACTGCCAAGGACATCCAAGTATGCAAACCAACTCCATAGAAAAGACGAGACCTTATCCTTGCGCGACAGCGTTTGCATTCGGTGGGCTCCACCTCTCGCGACGAGCATTTGACGAGCGAATTCAAGATGCTTCTGCCACGGAACGGCAACCCCAAAGACCTTTGGGGAGATTATTTCCAAAGATGCAAGCATGATCACCGTCGCAAGGTTGACATTCGACGTAATCTTGTTTGGGTCTTCGAGCGCATGCCTAAGGTTGGGAAAGATATCTTTGACCCACAAAGCTATTCGAGTGGCAGGTTCGGGTTGTCTCAAAAGTCTGGCCCGATGTGTGGCAGAGTATGCAAGTAGAAGATGCAAAAGATCGTCGTCCCGAACAGCCATTTGTGGTAAGATACTACGGAATGGATTAGACGAACAGTTGTGCGGTATCAGACAACCTGCTGTGTGATCGAGAAAATGATGCTAGGAAAGATTAGTTAGATAGCTCAAGCGCAGCCGCGAGAAAAGTCTTACAAAGTACTGCATTCACATTAGCGAGGAGCGACACTGAATATTCGTAAAACTCACCAGTAGGTTCATTGGATTTTCAAGCAGTTTTGCAGGAAGGGGTTGAAGTATACGGGGTATGCATATCGAAACCGGTTTGTCATAGTATCCAACCTCAAGAGCCGTCTCATTGCTTTCCATGCCGAATCCAAACTCCATTGGCGACAATTCGCCCCCATTATCTACATCAGACTCCTGTTGAATACCCACTAACGTGGAAGATGATTCTGAAATAGCATTTACATCATCATTCTTTCCAATATCCAAATCTACCAGACCCGGGTCAATACCCCATGTATCGGTGTCCTGATATACATCATGCATATATGGAGTCCAATCCTGACTTCGGTAATCCCATCCTGATCCACTGCTCTGGTTATCCGATGGTGCTCTATCAGGTGGGCCCGATAACAATGAACTTACGGAGAGCCTGCGTGAATATTCGCGGCTTGGTATAGTTTTGGTCTTATTAACGCCCACCTTACGTAGTGTCCCGGATTCTACCTGTGACATAGCAGGTATTGCATTTCGAGGTTCATCGGTGGAATCCAAACTGGGCACTAGAGGAGGAAGCATGCGTGAGTTGTAGAGCGAGCTGTCATATCGAGTGCGTTTAGCAGGTCTGTCCATTGTAGAGCTTTCCGCTGCCGGTGTCCCCTGCCCGCTTCCGAGATATGGCGGGGTTGACATTGGGCTTTCGATATTTAGAAGTACACCTCTGTTTGAATTTGAACTTCCAGATTCGTCCGCAACTTGAAGTTGGCTAGATATCGATAGACCAGGTGATTGTGCTGAAAGTGGAGTGATCGGGGCACTGGCTTGATATCGTTCAAGATATGGAGGCTGCTGCTGATTCGGGTGACCATGATCCCTGGGTAACGTATCTTGGAAAGTTGTAATCGGTGGATAAGCAGGTCTGGTCAAGGCGGGATCAATCATTGACATGTCCGTCATTTGAAGCCCATATGCCTTATCATCGCGGCTCAAATGCTCATCTCGAGGAGCAGACGCTGGGAGAAAAGATTGGAAGCTTGTGAATGACCCCGAAAGGTGACTACTTGCACTTTGAGTAGTTTGAGTCACTGAGTTTGAGATGGAAAAAGCTCCCTGCCCAGTGTCGTCGTCATTATGAACCTTCTTCTTGCCTCTACCCTCCCAATTCAATCGTATGCTATAATCGCAAATTTCGTTCTGTTTCGAACAATTTACACATGTTGGGCGAGTTTCGTCGCATTTTACCTTTCGAGCTTTGCAGGGCCTGTGAAGGATATATATATTCAGTAAAAATATTCGATGACATAAACATTACCGCTAGCGTACCAACAGCCATTCCTACTCCTCTTCTTAGGCTCCGGTGCGCCAACTTTCTTTGGACGTGGCATGATGGAAATGAACGAGTGGTACACGAACAAATGATTTCCGACATTTGCTCAAGTTGCCGATATTTGGATTAGGGTTGTCGATATTTGAATCGTCAGTGTCTTTTCCATAAGCAGAATAAGCTTTGAGTTTAGTAGATGGCGCTATTGGATTTATCTGTACTCGCATCGACATAACGATAGACGAACGGGAAGAAGGCGTTGAAAAAGACAAATGGCTTTGGAATTTGGATGTAAAGTCAATTATCAAAACAAGAATCGAAGAAGAGACGAAAAGGATTGAGTGGAGTTCAATGCAATGAAAATTGAATTCGTAATCAAGCTTGAGATGGGAAGGTGTCCGTGGGAGTATGTATGGTAGGAAGGTGGAAAGGTGGGAAGGTGGGAGTGTGGGAAAGTGGGGATAAAATAGGTAGATTGCTCGATATGCGCTAATGCTGATAAGATCAAACGCTTGACCAATAACAGATTTTGACCTTGACTAATGATGGGATTAACATCAAGGATATAACAACTAGTGTTCAAAAAGTTCCTTCTCGGCAATATGTATTAGGCAACCCAAAGTGTTCTCGTCCAAACTCGATACATCAAGCTTTTCTTTTACATGATGTCTATATTGAGAATTTTAATATCTTCCTCCGGTTTTTCTTTATAGACTCGGGTATTTTCGATTTTGTGGACGACGTCTAGACCTTGAATTGCCCTACCGAAGATTGTATGTTTGTTGTCTAACCACGGCTATCGGAAAAGAGTTAGCACCGCGATCAATTAGAGAAATACCATACGTAGCTATGTAAACTTACAGTCTTTTCGGTTGTAATGAAGAACTGGCTACCGTTTGTATTCGGCCCCGCATTCGCCATACTAACTGTGTAAGGTTTGTCATGTCTGAGAGAACTAAATTCATCGGCAAACTCTTTCCCCCAGATACTTTCACCACCAGTACCATCTCCTAATGGATCTCCGCACTGAATCATAAACTTTCGAATGATACGGTGGAAGATAGTATTGTTGTAGTAACCCTGTTTTGAGTGCGTCACGAAATTCTCAACTGCTTTTGGAGCTGCATCTGGAAACAATCGTATGTGGATGTCTCCGTATGTGGTGTGGATAACAGCAGCTGTCCCAGTCTCGGCAGCCTTAGCCTCTGTCAATTTCTTTCCATTTGTATTGGTGGGCTTCTCATTTTGGACATCTCGTTCTGATTTGGAGACTTCTTCATCGTTTGTGAACATGTAGAACCGCACTTTACCAACACCGGTCGCAAATAATATCGGATCTCGAATTTCTGATTCCTGCAGAAGAGGGTTGTTGGATGCAGCCATCGCAACGGTCGTAATGCCTTTCTTTTGTGGTTGGCCCTGGTAAATAGCAATGTTAAGCGGCCTAAAATTCTCATCTCCTCCATACACCTTTACAACCCGATTTGTGTAAGTGTTCAAAACCTTTGTGCCTAGCATTGATCCGTAAATGATAAAGTGTCCCGTCTCGTCAAATATAACAGTTGCTTTGTTTCGTAGGGTTGGCGTTTCGATCTCACGCTCGGTAGCAAGTCGGCGACCGAACTCTAGATCTTCTAACTTCTTCAATGACGTTCCTGCCTGTTGCATTTCTTCGATAACCCGCAGGGATTCATCGTATGTACGGTATAATTTTCCTGTTGGGAAATCAAACACCCGGACTTTTCGGTCGGGGAATGAGAAAGTTGCGAATTGAGAACCGGTTGGAGAGATTGTTAGAGAAGTGGGTGTTGATTTCGCCTTCTTAAATTCGAAGAGATTCGTGGAAGATTTGTATTCGAAAACATTATCCGGCTTTTCGTAATTTCCTCCCGGGCGCCAGTATTCAATCATACCATTCTCGTCCGCTGATATTACGCAATTATAGGTATCATTGAAAGCCATCAGCGAGACAACGCTTCGATGTAAGCCTGTAATTGTATGTATTGGTTCCTGGTTTTCCCCACGCCCATCGTATATTCGAATTGTATGATTAACCTCGTCAGATACAGCTAGTAAAGGAAGAGATGCGCCACGTCCATGTACCCAGCAAACGCATTTCGGCGTGAACTCTACAGCTAGCATTGACAATAGATCAAAAGTCATCACGTCAAAGATCTTGATTGTTTTGTCAGCTCCAGCTGTCGCAAAGCTCCGCCCATCCGAACTAATCGAAACACTCTTGATCTCTCCAACATGAGTCCTAAATTCCTTGACGAACTCAATGCCATCGCCTCCTTTCTTCCAGAATTTGACAACTCCATCGACAGAGCTTGTGATCAAAAAGTCCGTCAATGGAGTCATTGTGACAAACGAGATTTGTTCTTTGTGCATAAGAGATTTTGAATATCGTGCGGAAGTTGGTAGAGCTGAAATGTAGAGCTTTTCGTATGGAAGCTTGCGACGCTTCTTTTTGGGAGCTTCCGCAGATGGAAGTTGAGGTCCCATATCATCATCGGACGAGGAGTCTTCATCTTCTGCATCCAGCTTGCGTTTATTAGAACTGAGGGCTATATCTGACATGTTGATTGATTGACCAAAGAGGCAGACTGTGTGTGTGTGTGTGCTTAGGGAAATGGATTTGTTGTAAGGTCAATTAACACCATAACATCTGAACCACAAAATAATACTGCAAGGCTGAGGCTAGAGTGTACTAGCGTGTTTCTGTGATAAAACAAGGCTGGATAGCCTCAACTTTACATAAGTCTGGCTGCTACTCCACATCGACGTCACCAGTTTTAGTTTAATATATATTTTGGGTATTAGATACTCAAGTATAAGTATACATTTTTATTTGGCAAACTTTGAGAACTTTAGAAATCCAACACCATGGGTTCTACTGCTTCAGCTGCCAACAAGCTCACCTCCCGCCATCCCCTTCAACGTCTCCCTTCCCCATCTCCAACAATATCCGCTCTCATCCATCTCATCGGGCTTACTTCCTTTTCTCTATCCTATAAGTATCTCTTCGACTTTCCAACATTTGTCAACTCTTCTTATGGTTGGCACTTCCAATATCTCACCATCATTGGCCTCACTCTAGCCTTCCTTACTTTTGTTTTCGGTCTCCTCTCCGACATAACTCTGTCCTCGAAACTTTTCCTGGTCAAAAATTCTCTCTCATTATGTTCTGCGCCCCTCGAAGTTTTGATATCCGTTTTTTATTGGGGGATTTCGGCCATTGATAAGAAGCTCTTGATACCTCCCGAGATTGTTATCAGCCCATACGCTGATGTTGGCTTCCATGCTATGCCAGCTATCTTGCTGACCATTGATCTACTGTTTTTGAGCCCGCCATGGACCATCAATGCACTGCCTGCTATGGGACTTTCATCAACTTTAGCAGTTGCATACTGGGCTTGGGTAGAGCAGTGTTACAAATATAATGGATTGTGAGTATCATTATCCGAGCGTTCACGTCTGACGAGAAGTGTGATGAGTTGCTAATATCAATATCTAGTTATCCATACCCATTATTCGGACAACTTGACACAATCCAAAGAGTTACTTTATTTACTAGCGCTGCATTGACAATGACTGGAAGTACGGCAATGCTTAAGTGGCTTTATGGGAGAGTTAACGGTTTGCAAGGTGCTCAATATAGGAGCACACCTAACAACATCAAGGGAGAATAGACGATCATCATAGATGAACTTTTTTTGAGGATAGAGAACTACATACAGATATACAAAATTGGTTTCCTGTAATGTTATCTATATACTTCCAAATGATCCTAAATCTCGAAAAGAAGCACAGTAAGCATGCGGCACATTTAGTGTGGCTTGCTAAGCCAGCTGAACTCCATTCACCACCTTCCAATCATCAATTTCATTTACATGCATTATCACATATCGATTAGAACGGGGATTTTCAGCCGGCATATCATCAATGTATGTCGCACCGCCTTTAAAAACAACCCCTCAGCTGTCTAAATGGGATTCGGAAGCGCATCCCGGATTCAGCCTTCAATTGAGTATGCAACCTTGTGGCAGTCTCCTGGCACATGATGAACACTAGCATCAGCTTGGTTCGAACAAGTGTTTTGTTTGCAACGAGTTGTTCATCATATGAACTTATATTTTTCTTCAATTCAATTTTCAAGTCCAGTGTATCAAGATGGTCAAGCTTAGCCAAGTAATCGAATCCAACCAATCTATCCGAACTCTTCCCCCAGGCCTTGTATCTGTATTCGTAGGCGCATCTCATGAGTTTGAACGCGCTATCGTCCGCAGTTTTGCCAAATATGGGAACGCGAAATATGAGAATGCGCCGAAGATATATATAATTGACAGCTTCGTCCATGAAAATAAACTGATTTCCTCTTTTGTCGATGAATTGGAAAAAGTTAATCCCGCTGGCTCTTATAAAACTTTCAATGTGCGAATAGGAATTCTGTCTGAGGTTGATAGGGTATGCGACGATATTAGGAAAGTGGAGGGATGCGTGGATTTATTAATTATGAGTTGTGGATTTATGAGATCACCTCGCGGAAAAGGTACTTTAACTTTTTCTTCATCTATCTGAAACTCTTCTGCCGCCAATAAGTCACAAGGAGTAGGATTTCATTAAGCTGATCCCCCTACCTGCAGATCGGAGTGCTTATGAAGAAAGCCATCTTTCAGATGAAGATGCACGTGGAGGTGTCCCATTTGACATAGCACTCCAATTCTACATTCGCCAACGCTTCATCACCAATCTTCTTCCTCTTCTTTCTAAAAGTCGTTGCCCCCGAGTCATTTCACTCCTACTACCTGGAAACGACAGTCCAACATACTTCGAAACACTCGATACAAGTAAAAAGTATCTGGACACCGGATCAATCAACCATGCAACCTCCCTCTTATTCTCCGAATACGCCAAAACGCACCCAGAAGTCACTTTCATTAATGTTTTCCCAGGGATCATAAACTACGATACTTGGGATCGTATGGGTAATCCCGTCCAGGGAGTCTCGTGGTATCCCGCTACAGTTCTCAAATGGACTATGCCCCCGCTATTCAAATACTTCATGTGCATCCCCACAGAAGAAGTAGCAGAGCGTATCGTCTTCCTAGCAACGAGTGTTCGATATCCTCCGGGGAAAGAGAAAAGGGATGAAGGGAAAGTGGCAGGATTAGCAGAATGTCCACCAGCATGGAAGCTTTTTGTTGTGAGATCAATGATTATGAAAGATGGACGCGGAAACGGTGTGTATAGGATTAATGAGGAAGGTGAGGCGTGCGAGGAGAGTGAGGTTTTGACTCGGTATCTTGAGCAGGAAGAGGGGAAGTGGCTTTTGGAACATACTGAGGAGGTGTTTGGGAAGATGTTGAATGCGGAGAGAGCGTCTAATGATGCAAATTGAAGTGACGAGTCTATGGGTGAAGTGGATTTTAGGTTCTCTTTCAGGTTTTTTTTCCCCCTTTACCTCTGCGAATGTGGCTGCACAAAAGCAAGGATTTGGTAATAATATTGATATTTACTTTTTGAATCAGGAAAAATTCAAATATTCCCATCCTTAAGCAATTCAACGACTTGATTTCTGTAACACAATCTGCGGGAATCTCATTGCATGTCTACGAAAACAAAACAAAAAAAAACAAAACCCACAATTTTCCATATCCACACTTCCATCCCATCCCATCCTCTACAACTCAACCCTCTCCCACCAAAAAAGAATAATCTCCCCAAAACAAAACTACCCAACCTAAAAAATCTCTTGAATTCCCTCTTCAAAATATCTCTATTCTACCAACGCAATATCAAAAACACCAAAATTCCAGATCCTCAGTATACATCTGGGTATCCCAAGACTTCATCTTTGTTGGCCATACTAAGAAAGCCAACATAAAATGCCAAAAAATATATTTAACTAGCTACATCGTATCTTCACTCTCCACGTTCATCTAGAAAGTCATCTTGCATTACCTAAGTATGCAACATACGTTGTGGGCTTTCTTCCGCGAAGGATTGAAAGTTAGTGATGGTGATGATTGATGGTGCGAGATTGTGAAGGGGGTTGAAGTTTTACGGGAGATGTTGATGAAAAGAGGTAACTCAATTAGAAGAACATTGCAAACCAACCAAAACTTTAACAATTTTTCTACGCTCAAAACTGTCTTATCTACCAATAGCCGTTCCCATTTTCACACGCTCGCTTTTTCGCATAAAGAATCATCCTGTCATTATCACGTCCAACATAAAATTGCAATTCTTCAATTCTTCATTCATGACCCGCAGCCCCATGCGCCATTACTACCATCCAATTGCCCTTTACTTTTCTCATAATCCGTCCTGTGATCTATTTCGATAATTGAGAAACGTCATATTGTGCTGCGTCATGGTACAGATCGATTAAACAACCAGCACTCCATGCTTGCGTTGGTGACTATAATCATATTAGCATATATCAGACAAACCAGAGGATACAACATACCGAATCGGCACAATAAGAACCATCTTTGTTTGTCAATTCAGTTAATCCTGCCCAGTCACTGCTAACAATAGCATCCTTGCAGCCTGCTAACCTACGAGTAATCTGTTGAAAAGCTTCGGTCTTAGCCGCTGGAGTCTTTCTTCTCTTGAGATCAAATTTCAATAAGGCTCTCAAGAAGAAACCAGTTGGCCATAACCACTCTGGACCCTGGTGATAATTTCTTCCTTTTGAAGTTGCGAAATCATCACTATCTTCAGAATTGATGTAATATGGTCGGTAATTAAGATCTGCAGGATCAAGAGTTGCCATACCAGTAGGGCCACGAAGAACCTTATCTGCAAGGAACAAAGCATTGAGTGCATGAGCATCGTCAAATAGCTCTGGGGCCACCGTCATGGCAATTGGGAAGTTTGCTCGCAGTTGATAATCTTCATACTCTTTACCAGATTTGTACAAATCCTTGTAAATACCTCTCCGATTGACGATAGAAGTGTTCACATCATACTTGGAGTCATCCTTAGAGTCCAATGGAACATAGTAACAACGTTCGAAATTCTCCTTGATTTTGTTCGCCCAATCGGAGAAAGTGATGACCTGCATAGATGCATCTGAAGTACTGACGCCGGCATACTTGTACTTGCCTTTCTCATGAAGTTCAGCTACCCAACGAAGAGTACTATATAAGAGACCAGTGATCTCAATAGCGGCACCATCACGAGGTGTACCAGGTACTCCCTTGCTTTTAGCTCGTTCACTCTCACCCATCTTGTCCATCCAGGTACCGCAGTTATTTTGGTTACCGCCAAATATGAGACCGGTTGACCAATCAACTTTGATGTCAATATTGAATCCCTCGGAGCTCATCTGCATGTCAAGATTGGGTCCAGCGTTTGCTTCTCGAAATGACATTCCAGATGCATGACGTTGCAAAGATTCTTGGATAATGTCCTCCAAAATAGATGTCTTTGAGTATGCTCTTGCATCATCGGAATCGAAGTATGTGTCATCATAAGGCAAGAAGCGTCGAGGTACCTTCTCTTTCAATAGATCTAATCCATTTGGCACAATCTTTGTATAATCTTGGATGGTTTGTAACATAAACCAGATTGAATCCCGAGAATTGTAACGTGGTAAGTTGCCACTGCTCAACAAGTTTGGTATCATGCCATGCTTTAAGACACTTGAGAATGCGAGAATATGCTCTCTGGCTTCATCATAGCGACCTGTACCAAGGAAGAGACCTCTTGCAGAAATAAACACATCTCGCCCCCAACATCTCGCCCATTCAACTGCGAAATGTGGTAAACCTGCTGCTAGAGATGGCACCGCCTTCTTGGGGTACAAGGATGCAGATTTAACATATCCTGTCTGCTGCACGCTAACCATGGCCAAATCTTGCAAGAACCATTGCCCTTCACGAACATTCTTATTCATGAGTGACAAACTTTGCTCCCAGGCAGCTCGATAAGCAGTTCGAATAACTAGTCCAAAGTAACGTGGGAGTAAAAAGCTAGGCATTTTTCGAATAGCATCGAAACGCTCTTTCAACCACATCGCTGGCTTCTGTACGCGTTCATAACCAGACTTGCTTGAGATTCTTTCCAGTCTGCCAATTATGTAGTCCAGCGCCCATTGCCCTTCCCTCAAGTGGTTACACATGGGATGTCCCAAGTTATTGTCTTTGATGATATTCTTGAGCACGCTCCACCAACCTTGTAAACCAGCATATACGAGTTTCCCATGACCAGGGATATCGTAAACTCCATCTTTGCCCTCACTAGAATCGCGCTCCTCTGGCTCACATCTGTATAGAACGAAGTTTAAATCAATGAGGTCCAACTCTGAAAATGCTGCCTTTGCTCCTGAGGTGACGAATGTATCGAGACCGGTCGCATGCTCAGCAGCAGGTATCCATGTCTCGAACAATGCAATACTTCCAGGAGGAAATTTATCTCGGACTGAAATCGTTGTTTCTCCATCTTTGTATTCCATACGGACTCCAGGAAGATTGGAGACCTTGCTAGGTAATCCTCTTAGATATTTCTTATCTTCCAGTGCCTCCTTCTTTGCCTCGTCAGAAGTGTCAACTTCAAGCATCCAGCTGCCGAGATGGCTAGCCTTAGTGCCTCCAAGGTGAACTGGTTTGAAACCTCCATTCCCGTTACCATAGCCTGGGAACGCTGTATGTGCGATGAGGAAGTATCCTTTTCTAGATTCAGGATGCACCCGATGAACTGTGATGTACTGATCTTCGTGATGAATGTATGTCTCGGCGTACCCATCCTTGCCCATGATACTATGGATTTGGTTGAGAAGCTTTTTGATCCCACCAATGCCACCTTCGCCAGCTCCAGTCTTCACTTCTTTTTCAGAAGAAGCAGATGTGTACAATCTTGTTTCGTGAACAATCTCTACTAGCTTGGGATAAATCTCATCATAACCCATGACGCTACCAATGGCACTAGAACACATGGCAACTAGTGCAGCATTTGGTAAAGTGTCTCGAGCATCACGCTTTTGTGCAGGAACTTCGTTGTCATGGGTGCAGTCCATGAAGAGGGCGTGAACCGGAGTATATCTAATGGTGCGTATGATTTCTCTGTCGGAAGTGGATCCATTGGTTTTACCATTGGGTGTCTTTTGATCTGCTCCAGAGACTTCATCAACTTCAAAGCTTCCGATAGGTCTACCACCATGGCGGTGAACCAGACGACTGACTTCTCCAGTACTCCAAGCCTGCATTGCTTCTCTGATGAGGGAGCTAAGACCTAGACGTTTGACAAAAACATAGTCCATCTCTTCCGACCCCGTAAAAAGTTCTGCAACCACATAAAGATTTGGTCTAACTCTTCTTGCCTCATCTAGAAGGAATTCGGCGACGTGTATTGGTGTAGAGTGTGCATTGTCGATGCGGAAACCGGTGAAATATTTGGCCATGAGACGTGTGTATTTCGACATAAAGTCCCACAAAAAGGGGCTGTCTTCACGAGACTCTCCATAACGCAACTTCACACAATCGCCCCAAACAATTACTTCACGGCGAAGGTATGCACGAGATTTGGGACCAGCATTGTCAACAAGTGCATTTGCCGCCCAAATCCAGCCGTTGTTTACCAAAGCGAGATCCTCTTGATTGTGCTTCGAGGTAGTGGAATTTTTGGGTAATCTGGTGAAGTAAGTTTCAATGAGAGGATTCTTTTCATCGATAGGGCCAAGTTTTGGTCCATTATCATCAAGCCGAACGTATTTGGTGCGGTTGAAGAGCTGATCAAGAATCTCCGCTACATCCACGTCATATTCTTTGTAATATGGAAGGTTGACTTCATCCAGGATATTAACCAAGCGACTTCGTGCTTCTGCTCGATCAGCACTATTTGACTTATCGCCTTCGTATCTTCCAAACAAAGCTGTAAGCAGCGCCGCGCCAACTTCAGGGTTTACCTTTCTTCTGTATCTCTCTCCAAGTCTATCAGTGTTGAGCATTCCCTTTTCTCTTAAGAAAGTCGCCTGCTCCGCAACTGAAGCATTTTTGATTGCTTCTAAACCACCAAAACCTGATCCACCAAAACCTCCCTCTGGAAATGAAATTTTGTTAGCTGCCCAAGCCCCTACAACTGCATCGGCATCCCTTTCAATTTCAATAACATAGTATTCCCATAGACGAAGTTTGGCAATGACCTCTGTTTTGACACCAGCCATTACTTTAACCAAGTCGTCAACAGAATTAAGCGTCGTTGGAAGACCATGATTGGCAAGATCTTTACTGAATTCGAGTAGTTTAGTGTCCAGTTCCAAGGCCGAACGCAACCACGGTGCTGTCGACACATTGTAGCCGACCTCTGGATGTTCCTGGAGCCACGCGCTATTGTTCGCAGTGTGGTTCCAAACTACATCAGTCAACCCCAAGAGACCATGATCCTCTTCCATGCTCTTAACTAGCTTTTTGATATCTTTTTCGCCATTGGGGAAGCATTCGGGGTCCCATGAAAGTTGGTCATAGATACTATATGGCGAGTTTGATTCACCACGTTTTTGCAAGGGGGTGAAATGGATCATGTTGTATCCTCTCTCACTAATTCCACGCAGATGTTTTTGCCAATCCTTGGGATATTTCCCCATGAATTTCGAAATGATAGAGAATACGGACAACGCAGGTAAAGGCAGTTGCCTACCCTCCAGCTTCAAGGTTGGAGCAACATCGATATAATACACTGGGGACTTGGTAGTTTCAATAGTAGCGGTATTTGTATCATCCAAATCCGGCAGAGCTTTGTATGTAGTATAGAATGCGAATGCGCCAGCTGAATGAATGGGTATCGATATTTCAATGGTACGATTAAAATCTGGTTCCAATCTATAGAGTTAGTGCTTGCGGTAGACGGAGTCTTGCAGGGAAAACTCACTTGAATTCACGGAACTGGTCTCTTTGAAATTCTGCACCTTTCTCGGGGATGTTCACCCAGAGACTGCCTTCTCGACATATCGAGGATGTCCCCTCGATAGCAAAACGGACAGTTATCGGCTTTGTGCCTTTGGGAGTAAGATAAATGTATCCTCCAGATACATCAGGACTCCCATCATCCTTGAGAGGGAGTAAATAAACTTCGTTTGAAACCATGGTCTTTGGTGCCACGGATTTGAAGAACCAACAACTTTTTATACGTTGGAAGTGACTTGTTGCAGTGGCAGAACGCGGGGTCTAAGAACGACTGGCACAAATCAAAATAATGATAAAAGCTTGACGAAAGTGAAGAAGGAGAAAAAAATAGGAAGAGAAAAGGACATGCACGGAAAAGACGATACGAAGAAGAGTATTTAAGAAGAAAATGCTAGCAAAAGGACATTAGGGTAAGTGCTTGGTAGGTTCCAAGTGTTTGTTGATGGTTTGGTGGAGGGCAGGTTGGAAGCGGGGCCCCTTTGGAGTGGTGGGAGAGTGGGTGCGGGTAAGATGCTTGTCACCATAGGAAAGACCCGGCTTTAGAAGAAAAAATAGAAAAAGCTAAGAAGTCTATTGGCTGTAGAGCTTGTTGAACCATTTAGGATGAGATAAACTTCATTTGATACGTCATAATAAATCAGTGATAATCAGGTACTTTCTACTAGAAAGGTGGTCATTGTACGTGGCGCCAAAAATGTATCACGGCCTAGACCATTATTGTTCTTTCGCTCCGAATGGTCTAAAATACTTAGTACATAGACAGGTACCTAGTATTTGGAAGGTTTAAGCTTGGTTATTTTTGACCCAAGCTTCTGTAGCTAGATGAACTTGACATCAACTACGGGTACTAGGTAATTTCATATGATCGTCGCTGTCTACAGCCAGCTGCTAGACGTATAAATGGGTAGAATAAGTGACTTTCCAGATGGATGATGGATCGGCTGTCGGGTATCTCCTCTCCTTAACCTAGGTACAAGAGTAGTGCACAGTGCACAGAACAGACAGGTAGGTTAGGCAAGCTAGACAGATAAATACTTGGTAGATCTCAGCTGCATCATCCATATCGATCCTCGAGACGACAAGTTGAAAAGGTTACCGACTAAAACTCACGATTGACACGCATCCCAATATCGCTACCATGCGTAAGTACATTTCATTCATACTATACAATTCCATCACAACATAACCCTGATACGAAATATGGAGAAAACTGGACCATCACCGATGCAGTTTCCATGCTCAAGTTGAGCTATCAAGTACCTACCCAGTATCTATGTTGTGTTTGTACTACATTCATTCATTCGATGTTGGAAAATTACTCGGTAGATTTCACTGTCGAGTCGTTTTCACCATGTGAACTTCTCACAGCGTTAGCACTGATTCCCAGAGCGCTTATTGGATCCCGCTGTCATTTTTGTATCGTGTCAAACAGCTCCCTATGGGATTTCTAAAAAGCCACAATGATAACAATATTGCACTAAACCGTTTTAAAAGGCGGTCACAAGGGACAAAATAGAAGCAAGCGAGGCTTTTTATTACAGCATACATCATATTCTCAAAGTAGTTGGTATATTGCCTCCCTTTGCATGTACTTATCTCCCTTGGTCCCATTCCATTTCCTTCTTTCGTTCAATAACATATGTGCATGCTCATAAGATTTACAGCAAAATCAAGTCAATCACTCCAGAGACTCGCACAGACAACTCGACATTTCAACACCCCTCAACTGAATAAAATGGCGACCCTGGGAGCATGGAGCACGAAGCACAAGATTACGGTAGTTGGATCTGGAAACTGGTAAGTTGGCCCATGAAATATAAAACATCGGGTCTCTTTCTGACACCTACTAGGGGTTGTACCATTGCGAAAATCATAGCAGAGAATACAAAAGAACATTCCGGTTTGTTTGAAGAGGAGGTTCAGATGTGGGTGTTTGAGGAGGAAGTTGCGATACCCAAGGAGTCAAAACACTACGATGCCTCAAACGACAGTCCTCAGAAGCTCACCTCTATCATTAATAATTACCACGAGAATGTGAAGTATCTGCCAAATATTACTCTTCCAAGCAATCTCATCGCCAACCCTTCCCTTGAAGATGCAGTTGCGAACTCCTCGATTTTAATCTTCAATCTTCCTCATCAATTTATTGGACGCATTTCCAAACAACTTCAAGGACACATTCTCCCATTCGCGCGTGGAATTTCTTGTATAAAGGGTGTGAATGTGACGGCCTCGGAGATCAGTCTGTTTAGTGAATGGATTGGTGAAGGGTTGGGAATTTATTGCGGAGCACTTTCCGGTGCCAACATTGCCAATGAGATTGCAATGGAGAAATGGTGTGAGACTACAATTGCATACGATCCTCCTCCAATGGACTCGCGTGCTGCCACTCCAACTGGACCATCCCCGTCGAGCTCTCAAGTCAATCTCACCATCACGCCGGCAGAGGAAGAACATAAAGATGTCAAGGGAAGGGTTAGCAAGACAAAGTTAAAGGCTGTACCATCGGAATATCCACCATTGGATCATGCCTTGTTCAAAACATTGTTCCATCGTCCCTACTTCCATGTCCGGATGGTTTCCGATGTAGCAGGAGTCTCCCTTGGTGGAGCACTTAAAAACATCGTTGCATTAGCTGCCGGATTTGTTGAAGGGCGTGGTTGGGGAGATAATGCAAAGGCCGCTGTTATGCGAGTAGGCCTTCTTGAGATGGTTAAATTTGGTAAGGAATTCTTTGGAGAGACTGTTCACGCTGGTACCTTCACCGAGGAGAGTGCTGGCGTTGCCGATTTAATCACAAGTTGTAGTGGTGGACGAAACTTCAGATGTGCGAAGCTTGCAGTTGAGAGAGGAGTTCCAGTTGATGAAGTTGAGAGGACAGAATTGAATGGACAGAAGTTGCAAGGGACTAGTACCGCAAAAGAGGTGAATGAGTTCCTAAAGTCTAGAGGAAAGGAAGGCGAATACCCATTATTTACTGCTGTTATTGGTGAGTTACTAGCTCTATACATTACAAGAAATGAGCATGCTAACATTATTAGATATTTTGGAGGGCAGAAACACTGTCGATGATATCCCGGACTTGTTAGCCAAGACGGAGGAGTAAGAATTACAAGAGCAATACATGGAAAGGGCTTACTGTGAAAGCTAGATAGAAGACGCAAGTCTTGATTAGAAGGTAAAAGAATATTACGGCTTACATCATCTCTCATATTCCCGTCCTCCTCGGAGATCAACCTCTAGGGTCCGTAAGACTTCTCCCGACCAACACTTTCTTAATAAGTGACCCTTCGGAGATCCTCCCTCGGAGCTCTGTAAATTCCCATCTTCATTGTACCAGGTTCCATTCCTGATTAATAAGTTCTTACCCCTAAATTCTCACGAGATTCCCACCCAATCAAGAATCTGCATTAATAATTACAGGGGTTGACCCCACCAACACATGGCTAAAACTTTTGTTGCGCAATGAATAATACTTTACAGTAAATTGCCCCGCTCGTACGTACGGATCCGAGAGGTACAACAATTCTGAACTCTCAAAGAAACAATCTCACCTCAGCATATACTGAATATAAAAAAATATCAATTGAAGAGAAACAATCTTCCAAAATATAAAAGAAACACATTTATCTCATCATGTCGGTAAGTTACCAAACAAACGCACTTCTCATTTATCCAAGATGCCTCATTTCACAAGAAACCACTCTGACTCATTGAAGGCTTTCTACATAGAAAACCAGAACGTTGGCCAAAAGGATAGCACGGAAGATTGGCGCAGTAAGTATTGGATATTTTTGATCTCTCAGCTCAAAATAATGGATGCAACTGACAATTTTTTACAGTTCGAGGATACAACCCGTTGACACCACCCGATTTGCTTCAACATGAAGTCCCCCAAACACGTGAATCCAAGGCAACAGTGTTGAAGGGTCGTAATGAGTCTGTTGATATTGTTACTGGCGCAGATAAGAATGGCAGATTACTGGTAGTCATCGGACCATGCTCAATTCACGATCCTGCCGCTGCGCTCGAATATTGCGACAAGCTCATGGCCCTCAAGAACAAATACGAAGATGACCTCTTGATTGTTATGCGCTCTTACCTTGAGAAACCAAGAACGACTGTTGGATGGAAGGGTCTTATCAACGATCCCGATATCGACAACAGCTTCAAGATCAACAAAGGATTAAGAATTAGCAGACAATTGTTCGTTGACTTAACTGCCAGAGGAATGCCAATTGCAAGTGAAATGCTGGATACTATTTCGCCACAATTCTTGGCAGATTTATTGAGTGTTGGAGCTGTTGGAGCTAGGACAACTGAGAGTCAATTGCACAGAGAATTGGCTAGTGGATTGAGTTTCCCAGTTGGTTTCAAGAACGGTACGGATGGTAGTCTCGGCGTAGCCATTGATGCCATCGGTGCCGTGCGACATCCTCATCACTTCCTTTCAGTTACCAAGCCTGGTGTTGCTGCAATTGTTGGTACAGTTGGCAACGAAGATTGCTTCGTTATTCTTAGAGGTGGTACCAAGGGCACCAATTATGATGCAAAGAGTATTCAAGAGGCAAAGGCCGCACTTGAGAAGAACGGTGTCAGACAGAGATTGATGGTCGATTGCAGTCATGGAAACTCATTGAAGAACCACAAGAATCAACCCAAGGTCGCTGCTGTATTGGCGGAGCAAATTGCCGCGGGCGAGGATGCCATCATGGGTGTCATGATTGAAAGCAACATTAACGAGGGTACGATCACCTAACCATCCCCTTTCCAGAATCTATACTTACTTCGTAATTAGGTGCACAAAAGGTGCCAAAGGAAGGAAAGTCCGGCCTCCAATACGGCGTGAGTATCACTGATGCTTGCATTGGATGGGATGACACCGAGTCAGTCCTTGAAACTCTAGCGAATGCTGTTAAGCAACGAAGAGAGCTCAAGTCTGGTTCAAACGGGAATTGAAGGACGGATGAATTATATCAAGCAGATTAGTTTATATTGAAATTGGTGCCATATAATGAGCATACATCCAGTAAGGAGTTGGTTTGGAAAAAGGTTTCCTGAATAATTAGATCTTGAAAAGCAATGCGTTTGGGGCATAAATGACTAGAAATTGAAAGACCAATGACATTTTGCATAGTAACATTTGTCAGCAAAAAAGTTGCCAAATCTCTACTCGATTTTATGGAAATGTATCAATAAGTGAGTAAATGGTCAAAGTATTAAATATTTACCATGTCTCCGTCATACCGTCGAAATAATATATTTTATGGATATCACTGTTCCGGAGCATGACTTTTAGATTCTGAAGCATTGATCGTCCGAGAAATAATCGTGCAATAGACATCAACCAATCAGAATCCGTTCAGTGGTAAGCCTGTGCCTAAGGCATAATTTAGCTTCTTTTTCGGATCGATTTCGAACGATTTGTCGCCGCACCTCACAACTTCAATCTCGAATCCTATTATTCAATTGAGCTGTCGAATTCACCTTGCACTGAATCCCAGGTCGAGGCATATTTTGCTCAATATGTTGGCTAGATCATGCTTGCGCTCAACGCGCTCGTTCGGGGGAGTACGGAATAATGCGATTAACGCTACAAAGGTACATTTCCCCCCATCTCCACAGTCAATAAACCTATCACTCGCTGCCGAGGACGGCGATGCCACATGAGCATCTCATTGTGTTGAACTAAGGCTAATGTACGTCTTACAGCGTGCCGCATCTACTACTTCCACCGAAGCCGCCTCCCCACTCGGCATCAACATGGCTGCAGGTGCTGCTACCGCAGTGGCAGCCGGCTCCCTCGCTTGGTATTATCATCTTTACGGCCAGCCATTAAACGCGATGACACCGGTTGAAGAAGGGTGAGTAGTGACATATCTCTCCAAATCGAGTCGGACATTTGTAGAGTGGCGGGCACTTAAGGCATTATCAAATGAAGACTAGAAGACAGGCATGATTTAAGTTGGAATACGATGCTGATATGACACCAGTCTCCATCCAACACAATACCCTTGGGTTCACCAACAATACACAAAAACATTCGACCACCAAGCGTAAGATTCCTGTTCTGTGTCAAGAAGATTGGCGGGTTTTAACGACATCATAGATTACGAAGAGGTTTCCAAGTTTACCAAGAAGTTTGCGCTTCGTGCCATTCTTTGAGCCGTATTCCATACAGAGCTTTAGTAGGTGTCACACACACAGTCGATGAGGCAAAGGTTATGGCCGAAGAGAACGAATACGACAGCGAGCCAAACGATCAGGGTGAAATCGAGAAGCGACCTGGAAAACTTTCCGATTACCTTCCATCCCCATACAAGAACGACGAAGCCGCTCGTGCTGCAAACAACGGAGCATTGCCACCCGATCTCAGTTTGATGGTAAAGGCCAGACACGGCGGTGCCAACTATATTTTTAGTTTGTTGACTGGTTACCCGGATGAGGTTCCAGCAGGAGCCAAGGTCCCAGAAGGACTCAACTTCAACCCATATTTCCCAGGTACCGGTATTGCTATGGCTCGTGTTCTGTACAACGACCTTGTTGAATACGAAGATGGCACACCAGCATCGGCATCACAGATGGCCAAAGATGTCGTCGAGTTTCTCAACTGGTCAGCCGAACCCGAAATGGATCAACGAAAGAAGATGGGGATGAAGGTGTTGGTTATTGGATCTATGCTTTTTGCATTGAGTATCTGGGTCAAGCGTTACAAGTGGTCCCCTATCAAGACAAGAAAGATCATGTACAACCCACCCGTTACTAACAACGGTCCTAAACATCACTAGATTCTCAATTTCTTTTGTTTAATGGGGGAGCGAAGGGCAGGAAATGAATGTGCTACTAGTTTTATCTTACTGCGAGAATTGTACAAAGGAGAAGTTTTAAACGAGGGTGGTAGATAAAAGCTTCACTTGGGAAGCGAACGCTCAAGAGTGGTAGCAAAATAGATGTGTCCCAATTCCATTTGACCTTTGAAAACGTTTACAGGAGTCCTGCCACGATGACTCGCAAAATTACAAGTCCTGCAATTACAAAAAATCTCCTGATATCAAGTAATACGTATCTGCTGCCATATGAGTATGCCAAATAATGCTAGTGTTTTCAGTGGACCAGGAAAAAAAACCTCGCTAAATAAAAAAAAAGTTGCTACCCCAGATTTTCGAGTCCTGTCGGGAACTTTTTTTTGCTTGTGGCATTCCTTACTCTTAATCTCAAAGCATTTGCGAGCCTTTTCTCGTCTTTCTTATTGGCCAAAATTTTTAACAAATAACTTCTAGTTATTAATATTGTTATCAATCGGTGTATCAAAAGCAAATACACGGAACCATTGAAGATATGCCGAAACGAAGCAGTACTCAAGCAGCGGGGTCGCCAGCTGGAATGGAGAAGAAAGCCAATGATGTGGTCATGACGAATGGCAAGGCCGGCGAGGCGGAAAAGGGAGAATCTCTTTCTCCTCCAGAAGCTTCTCAAAATGAGGTATTTTTGGCAGCACCTCACACTTATCATGATAGCATTTTGGAAAATAGCTAAACTCTTTCATCAGAATGAAACCCATGTGTCAATCGATGCCGAGAAGGCTACCGGTAGCAACAAACGTAAACGCGACTTCAAGGCCGAACGCGAAGCTAAAAGACAAAAAAAGGAAGCAAAGCTGGAACCCAAGAGAGCTGCTGCTGCGATCCTAGAAGCAGAAGAGGCAATTGCAAGAGAGAAGAAGGCTGCGGAAAAGGCAGAGGCAAAGAGAGTCAGAGAAGCAGAGATGAATATATTGAAGGAACAAAAGATGGAAGAGAAAGCAAAGAAACACGAGGAAAATTTGAGGCAGCAGGCAGAGGATAAACAGAGAAGGGCGGAAGAAAAGAAGAGGGATATAGAAGCGAAGAAGAGAGATGCAGAGCAGAAGAGAAAGGATAGGGAGAGGATTCAGGCGTTAGAGAAGCAGGTTAGAGATTTGAAAAGAGGACATGGGAACGCAAACGGGAAAGGAAAAGGTGCAAAGAAGAGTTGGGATAAGAAGCCAAAGGGGCCAAAGACTTCGGAATTTTTTGGAGAGGGGTTGAAGGCTCAAGTTATTGGTTTGGAAGATGAATTGAAGGAAGAGGTTGCTGATTTGGGAGAAGAGGCAGAAGAGGAGAGTAGCAAGAAAGTCAAGTCGAAGCGCAGCTGGAAAGATCTTAAGAAGGGAAACGTGGCGCCTACGGGTCTGGAAGCAAAGATTGCTGCTGCAAGAGCATCCGTAGCTCAGGCTGGGGTAACTGTAGATGCTGATGTGCCTATGGAGGATGCGGTCGAACAAGATGATATCGTGGAGCACAATGAGCCCGAGGAGGAAGCTGAAGCGAGTGCCAGTGTGCCAGACGTTGTTTCGTATCCTGCGATTGATCATTTAATTGAAGATAGCCCCGAACTCGCTGTCGAGTCTGAGGCTCCAGCGCAATCAAAGGATCAGGGAGTGGAGGTTCCGGAAGAAGCTTCGGAAGAGACGGCAGGAGAAGAGCAAGCCGACTCAGAAATCCCCGTAGAAGATTCCAAGGGACAAGAAGAGGAGGTAGTGTCGACTGATGATGCCTCGTCTACTGGTCAAGAAGATAAAACAGAACAAGATGGTCCTAAGGAGGATGCTGCGCCGGCGGTGGATGAGGAAATAGAACTTGACAAACCCAAGGAGGAAGCAGAGGCCGAAGCAAGTGCGAAGAAGCGCTCCCGAAAAAGGGTTAGGAACAATAACCGTCTAGAGGCTGAAGAAACACCAGCAAAGCCTACAACACCTGCTTCATCTAAGAGCCAAAAGACCAAGACGCCAACAGCCACGCCTCTTACATCAAAGAACCAGAATATCAAAACACCATCAAAATCACCTGCACAGACAAAGGCGACGAATGCAAAGAACGGAAAGGCTCCAGTCAAAGCAACAATTGAGGCTCAGACTGTCTCTAAATCTCCAAAGGCCAGACGTGTTAGAGTACCGAAAGCTAGAGCTGCCGCTCTTGCCTCGGCACCTGGACTCGATTCTCCGGCTAGGAATACCAGAAGATCAGCAAAAGCCAACCACTCGTAGAAGGGCCAGAGTCTACGAGTGGTAGTCAACTTCTGGATATTAGTTTGAGTCACCATAGCGGCGACATGGTTGAAAACACGGATGATAAGTCGGAAGGGGGAGACAGAACTTCTAGGACCAATGATGATGATGAGGACGTTTACGAATCCATCACCTGCGCATCCCAGTCAAATTCTAACTCTGATTTTGAAACGCATTCGAATACGCTACAATCATTTGACAATATGGAACTACCTATCCAAGGACAGACAGATGCCCTTAGTGTCAATATTGACGAGAGTGACTCCTCGGCATTATCTGAACTAAGCATGACCGATCATCCTTTTCTAGCCTTGGATAGCAGCGAATTTGATACGATTGAAGTTGATATTCCTAGTTTTCTGAGATCCGGCAAAAAACGAAGGCCGCCTGCACATTCGCCTTATTTTACACCACTAGCTCCCACTCCTTTCAAATCGAGGAAATCAATATCATTGCAAGTAGAAGCTTCTATCAACAATGCATCTCCAAAGAAGGAATCCCCTAAAAAGCGTCCCGTTGGCATAATTTCATGCATCCCTTTTCCACCCCTATCCGCACCTCATTTTGGGCTCATTCAAGAAAAGCTGGCCCATGATCCATTTCGCCTTCTCATAGCCGTCACATTTCTCAACCGCACTCACGGTAAACATGCCATACCAGTGTTCTATACTCTAATGGAACAATATCCTACCCCGCAATCACTCGTTGATGCCCCAAAAGAGGACATTGTTTCAGTGATTCGGCATCTCGGTTTACAAAACCAACGTGCGGCAACTTACCAAACTTACGCTAAAACATTCTGCGAAAATCCGCCCGTTAAATTTAAACGCTACGCAGTCCACGATTACCCCACCAAAGGTCTAGGTCGTGACGTCAAGAAAAGTGAAGTCCTCCCCGAGGAATCCGAAGACCCGCGTACAGCGTGGGAGATTGGACATATGACTCAAGGGCCCTATGCACTAGATAGTTGGCGCATCTTTTGTCGCGACATCCTATTAGGCAAAGCAGAAGGATGGAATGGCGAGGGTAATCATGAAGAAGGGTTTCAACCGGAATGGATGAGAGTTGTTCCAGAAGATAAAGAGCTAAGGGCGTTCTTGAGGTGGATGTGGTTGAAGGAGGGTTTTGAGTGGGATCCGTTTACGGGAGAGAAAGAGGTTGCCGGGGATGAATTGATGAGAGCCGCGATTGAGGGGAGGATAGCTTGGGATGATGGAGGTGGGATGAGGATTTTAGGCGCCGATGCGGTGGGGGAGGGAATGCTGTGAAAGTGAGTTAATGTTGTGATTTTAGATGTGGTTGTTTATCATTGTCCTGGATATAGAGTTGATGTTGATTCTTCAAGGGCTTTCTGTCTAAGACTAAGTTGTATATACCTCTGTAGATTCTGGTTCAATTTTTCTTCAGCCTCTCCTCTATATTCTGATAGGCACGGCACATAGAGCTAGTTTGGGATACGCCAATATTCATACAAGAATATAAATGTACATTTTCATCTAAATTTATCTTCTGTCCCTATCTTCATTACTCTGACATAGATATCTCACTAGGTGAGATTACATATAGTTTATAGTTTATGTTTCCGGAGTATGCATATATATGTAAGATTATATTAAGATTATAAAAACATTCTAGTGGATTTCTATATTTTTGATGTCCTAATGACCTGATCGCTTATCTAAGGGACAAAGGAGAGATATATACAAGGCTAATCTAATTGATTTGCTTTAGTGTTGCTTGGTGTGCAAATATCATGGTATTTGCTGGATTAGTTGGATTGGTTGGTATGTTCTGAAGGAGGTAGGAGGTGAGAAGGCATGGAAACCTGTACCCTCTCTGGCGTATTTGAACTTCAACGGTAGTAATGGGGTCCAAGAGAAGCAGGAGAAGGTTCGATTTATTTTATTTCATTAAATTTTGCTTCATTTTTGTCTGTTGGTTTTAATTGGATTTCTTGTCATTCTTAAAATGTTGTGGTTGAATTCCGCAGGCGGTAATTAATATTGGCTGCACATGTACTGGGTTTATTGTGAAATCTTACGGGTGCTAAAATTACTCCGGTGATAGATAGGAATTGAGTAATACTATTTTAGGATTGTGTTTATTCGTCTTTTGATTGTTATAATCTTACTATGAATAGGAACAGGAATAGAGGGAGCCATTTATATCAAAAAGGAAGGGGCTAGAGTTCGCTAGTGGTGCGGCTCTTTGTGAGGTGTGTTATAACTTTATGATGTACCCACACTTAATTCTGGTCAATGAGAGTAGTGCGCGGATTGAAGGTGTGTTTTATTCAAATCGGTCACTGGCATGTGGGAAATAGAGCGCTGTTCGATTATTCTAGCCAATTTTGAAATTCCAAACCCTTATGAAAAGGTACGAATATCCGTTGAGAGCCTATGAGATGCATGGTAAAGCTCGATTTTCTGGGCTGCGAGACTTCTCGTCCGCGCATCTAATTTGTCGTGGATATCCTTTTAAACTTCCTAGATCAATCCATCAAGAGATTAGCGCGCACTGTAGTCGTCTCCAATTTCAACCAGTCAGCTTCGTTGGGATAAAGAATGTTTGATTTTACTAACAAAGGATATATAATAAAGAACCTGCAAGATGTGTTTTCTAAGTATTATGCATAATGTATCTACACGCGCGACCTCACAAGCATTATCTTGATCGAGCAAACTCTTCCACAAAAGTCAAAATGTTCAGAAGGTTTCGTCGCGAAGAATATTTATCACCGGATGCACATCTCAGGGAACTCATCGAAAATCTAAAAGATGACATCCCCGATTTCCTCGAAAGCCGAGCGTTCACCCAGTATGAAATCAGTTTAATATACGATATGCATTCAGTAATTCACAATCAAGAAAGGAGGTGGGTGGAAAGTGGCGGTGGTGTTTACAATGGTGGTGGCTTAAACGGTGGTAGATTCGCACAATCAGTTACCCCTTCCCGTGGAGGCACCATAAGCAAACTTAAGTGGATTATGATCTTTCTCCTGTTGCTGGGTATTTGGTTGATAGTGGTGATATGTGGTATGATATTTATAGTAATGAACGGCTTGGCTAAATTTGACGCTGTGCCTGGCGCGGTTAAATGGTATTCTGCCTGCATGGGGACAGATTGTCACGGACGCACCACCTGGTGGCCCTTCCCGCTGTACGAGACATGGGGCGAAACTCCTCCTCGCAGTGCGTAGTTCAGTGAGAATAATGCTACCTAGCAACAACGATGTTCCCACCAATGATTTAGCTGCGCTTGGAATTGTTAGTGGAAATGGGATCGTTAGACTTCTCTGTCATAAGGATAGATATAGATAGAACGATTATCAGATTTTCTTCTTCTTGGGGTTTTGATTGTTTAGAGCGTTCTTTGTGTTAATACTCTCGGGCTCTTCTCGACTGGTTTCGCTTGCGGTTCTAGAATTGGTAACTTCGCCGTCTCTTTTAAATTCGACGAATTCGACGGATTCGATGATTTTCATGGTGAAATTTTCGATGGAGAACGATTGATTTTGGTAGTCAGAAACCCTTAAGGTCTTTTTGTACGCAGTCGATGGAAATTGGTAGTGTAGATATTGGTGCGTTTCAGAGTGTTGGACTTAGAAAGGTCGTTGAAGTGATTGGAAATTGCCGGAAAATTAGAGGTTTTGTACTTTTAAAGTAGCAGTTATAGATTCTGTTTCAGCAAGTTTAAAGGATGAATAGAAGTATCTGAGTTGGTAGTGGTAATCTTACCTTTACTGCTGGTGTCTTGAAGAAGCTATCCAGTTCTCGAAATCAGAAATGAAACTTTTAATGCTAAAAACATCATGGGGTTTCCATTAGACTCTCTAGGTTAAAACCAGTTTCGATTGGCAAGCTACTAATCTTTCGATTTTCTTCCAAGTAACCTACCTCTTTCCTCAGTAGGATTTCCCTTGGATATATAATCTGGCTAACTGACATCCTTATCGAAACTTCAAACCCTCAACCTTGAACCTTCACAAACCTCGTCTAAAAGCAAATTCTTTGAATTTACATCTCATCAACCTACCACCACATCTATTACTCAACTCAAAGCAAAGCAAAACAAAACAAAACAAAGGGCAGACCAGTTAGACCAGTTGCCTCCCAATCTCCATATCCCGGCAGCCGGACGCAATGACGATGCACATGATCAACCCCGCATGCTCTCTCGGCCTCTCTTTCCTAGAGTGGTATCAAAGTCTTACTGATTTTGACTATCTTGATCCTCGGATTGGCCCTAGCGTTTTTAGTCCAGATGTTCTTGTCCTTGTCACACTCATCAAACTTCGAGTATGCTGGTTGTTTAGGGCCGTTTTGCGCTACATTCAAGGGTACCAAAAAAGATTTTGGCCCCTGTTAAGTCAGTCGAGTCTAGAACATAAACTCTATGTCTCCAAATGTGCTGAGTACGTGGTGACTATAATCCTTTGGGTTCTTCGCCAGCGGGTACTATTTCTTTCATTGAATCACAATTATGCAATTTTTGGATTTCCGTTTCGATCCCCGGTACCCTTATTTTCGGTCTGAAAAGTTCACCAGTAGACGCATCATCACCGAGCATACTCCAATTTACGAAATTGACACCAATATTCCATGCTCCTCTTCCCTCATCTCCCTCACCTACCATAAGAGAAAAAGCTCCCTGGGTTATCCGCCGCATCTTCGAACTACACCGTCAACGCAATGATTTAGGGTCGGTTTTGGAATAGGGTTGCAGAAATTTAGGGAAAAGGAGAAGGTGATAGCTATGTGTTATTTTGCTTGGGGTTTCTTTTTGGGGTGTCTTGCGTGTTTCTTGTTTGGGTTTGTAATGGGGTCTCGAAGGGTTTTCAGATGGTTTAGACTGTGAATGATTGCTAGGTTGAATTTACTTGGTTTGGCTGAGATCTATCAGGGAAGATAGATTTACAAACGTTTCTGATTTCTGAATATCAGCTTGCACTTTCATCTTATCTTGGTTTTGGTGCGGTTAGCGCCTTTGTATCTTCGTTGTTCGATAATAGAATCTTGAAGTTTCGCTTAGACTGAAGGGCTTTCCAGGAAAATTCAAAATGTGCTGGATAAAACCTTTCTTCTAGATATGTTCGAGCTTTTGGTAGATTGTTTCAGTGACCTCTTCTAGAAATGTCACAAGTTATGTCGAATGGAATATCATACAAGAACCTTCTAGACTTTCCAATCCGATCATGGGTAAAGGTATATAAAGCTATGCTTCGCCCTACCATTCCCATCTGAGCTCTACACAAAAAATCTACATCGAAAAACCACATCTAACACAAAAATTTCGACGTATTCTTCATCAAGAAGAAGCCAAGTAAAAAATGTGCATCTTTTCCTCAGTACTTTTATCAGTTTTCCTCTCAATGTTTTTATCAGACACTCCACAAACTATCACATACGAAAGCTGCTATACTCCCAGTTAGTCAGAATCCACTACTCCGTCCACAGCGAGCTCTTGCTCTTTAGGATCGGCCACCTTGATCAATATTACTAGTAGTCCTCGAAGCCCTTCTTACTCCAGTAACTAAATCCATTCAGGATAGTCCCCCAGGTGCGTCACTTCATGAGTCCTATTTCCACCATATAATCTCCATCTGTATTTTCAATCCGCCTGAGTGGTGTAGGAGGTTGACCTAATTCCTAATATGTTAACTCACGTCCTACATTCATATTGTGAGAAAGTTGGAATTATAGGCCAAATACATAAAGGTTTTAGCTAGTCAATCACATGATCTTCTGTAATTAGATATAAAAGAAGAGCCTTTTGCCTCTTCTTTTCACAATAATCAACCTTCTACATATATACATTTGAACCCATATAACATCAACCCCAAAACCATTGTGAACCCCGTTTTACCCATAAGTGACGTATTACAATGTAATCTAATTCAGCTTTCTCTTCCAATTCCCTCCTCACAGCGTGCTATCGGGACGCACGTATCTCGACCTACCACTTTTACAATATTCAGATGGATTTTGTGACGTGGATCGCGGGCATCATGTCGAAATTTTTGGGGCTGATATCGATCTTACAACTTATCTTACACGCATTCACGTTGGCGTTTCGCACGATGCACGTTATGTTCGTTTTTCTTTCTGTTAATTTTCAGTCAGGTGTATGGAGTGTGATCATTTGGTCTGTGCAAGTACTGGACAATGAGCGACGTCGACAAGAGCACAGAAAAAGGGGGTAGTAGTTATAACATTATTGGAGTACAGATGAACCAGGCTAGGACGAGCAAGACAAGTGAATGGGAAATGGAGTGTGTTTTTGGTATCATGATGCCAAATTGAAGGATTCTCCTCGTCCAAACATTCGTACTAATTCTTCACTTTATTGATTTCATTCTGCTTGGTTTGTCTCTACAAACGGTTCTCCGCAGTAAAACTAATCTTCACTATTTTAATTTGTACAACCATGTAGATATGCTACAAATCAACACATTCTGGGTCTAATTTTTAGTTCCCGCTATTTAGGTTGTGCCAAGTATTTACGTAAAGGTGTATGTATTATTGCCAGTTCCCCAGATAAGTCTGAATATATCCTATGCCCATTTCAATGTCAAGTTTCAATTCATAGTTACCAGACAAATAAATGTCCCTTCCTTCGTCAAAATTAAGTCTTGGAATGAATGGCATGTTGTTCTAGCGGGCTTTGTGCAGTGAACATGCTACGTTTATGATAATCTACAAACTCATATATCACTCACTATAACGAGAGTAATTTTATCAGGTCACATATACACTAGTTTAGTTTAGATCTAATACTAATCCGGATATAAATACTCTGTCAGTTCTATTCTTCAATCTACACCTTTATTCTTTAAAACTACTCGCTTTTCTAACAACATCTACAGGATTTTTCGATTTTGTTTCGGAATTTGTATCTATTCGATTACTTATATATATATAATATTTATTTGTTTTTGAAATAATCGTTTATATATTATTATCGAAAATTGTCAATTCGTTTTCAAATCCTTTTCAAATTTCTAGATTGTTGTTTATTATCTTTATATATACTTTTCAATTGATTAATCAAAAAGTTATAAATAATCTTATTTTTTTCGTTTTCTATAACTTCATTTTCTCGATTTCAAAAGTAATTATTGATTTTCCTATTTCTTTTCAATTTCAAACAATTATATATCATTTCGATTTATCGATTAATTAAAAGTAATGATTTTTATTGAATTTATTTAAATACAATCAAATGATCAATTTTCGATCCTACATTTTCAAGAAATTCTATATAATATAATTTTCTAATTTGAATTTATAACAAATTCTTTCGATTTTATTTTATCTTCTTTTATCAATAATATCAACCTTTATTTATATCATTTTTTAAATATCGATATTTTTAATTCTTTTTGTTAATTTTTCAAATTAATATATTCCTCGATATTATCGTTATTCTTTTTTGAACCTGATCTTGATTTTGAAAATCTTTACAAGAAAATCGCAATCTTAAATATATTTTCGAAAATACTTGAAAGATTCAAGAATAATCTTATTTATAATTTTATTAAAAATCGTTGTTATTTCTTATTTATATAATCTATCAATATCCTTATTATTCCTGTTTTCGATTCTAATATATCTTTCGAATTCATTTATAAAAAGCCAAAGTTTGTTTTTATCGATCGATTCGATAATAGTACTTTCATTTCCAAATAACTTTCCCAATTAAATTATAATTTCGATCTAATTGAATTCATTTTTTCTTTTAATAATATTTACCTCAAAATTATATATATACTTTATAATAATAATATAACAAAATGAATCGATTCTATTCTTTATATTTATAATATCTTAAAGAATTATAATATTATTATTACTAATCAAATCGAAGATATTAAATTATAATTGTTTAAAAGATTCTTTACCGAAATCTTAAATCTATTCGATATCAATATATAATCCAAAATAGAAATCTTTGAATAATATAATAACGAATTGTTATTAGTATATTATTAATATATTTTATATCTTTTTTATTATATATCAAATCAAAATAAACTCAAAATCGATATAAATATTATATTTAAAATCAAAATTCTCAACTTCTTTGAAGAATTCATTTTGAATATTATCTGTAACGATCTGGTCGAGGCAGCGGCTGCCTTAGGTTTTCGTATGGTTGGTAGTTGTAGGTTAAGGTTAATAATCATTAATTATCTATTCGAAGGTGAATATGTTATTAGATTAATTGGAATGTAGGTAAACTAATTGATAATTAAATTGAGTACGAAGTTTCTAAATTATGAAACTATTCTGATTATATATTAATCTATTTTGGGAGCTTTTAGAAGCTTACATTTCTAAGAGCTTTAAGGAGTTTATAGAAGTTTATGTTTCTGAAGGCTTTATTATATAATTAGGATTAGATTATATATTTAAGTTTGTTGAAAGTAAAGAGATTATACGAAATAATTGTTATACAAATTTATATACAAATTGCTTTGTTTTTCAACAAAATCAAAGTTTATAAAGATAGATTGATTATTACTTTGTAATATTTTATAAAATGATTTT